CTGCAGGGCTGCCTTCGCGTCGACTGCCTCGTCGGCCGTCTCGAATCGCGTTTTGAACGCCGCTCTGAAGGTCGTCCAGTCGTTGTTGAACACGGCCAGCCCGTTACCGATCGTTTCCAGGTAGGGGGTAGCCCAGATCGCAGTGTCATCGGTGAGGAGAGTGAGAGCCGACTTGATCCACTTCGCGTCGTCGCGATCGAAGCCGCCCGTGGCGTTGGCAGTGTTCAGATGGCCTCCCATCTGCATCGCATAGACTTGGAAGGACGCTACGAAGCGGCGTGCATCCGAACTGGTCTTGCCGTTGTATGGCTGGGGCTTGTTCGCGACCTTTGTCGCGTCCTTCGTGGCTTGGGTGTTGACGTTCGAAGCCACCGTCGCATTCGTCATAGCTTGGGGGAGGGTGGTGGACAGGTTCTGGAACGCGGTTGCCAGATCTGTCACCGCCTGGGTAAGGTTGGCCTGTCCGGCAACCAACTGCTGCTGGTTCGCGGTGAGGGCCTGCATGAGGGCCTGAAACTGCTGGGCATCCATGACTAGGGGTGGGATAGGAGTGTGCGTCTCGTCGAATCTAGCCCTGCGGGTCGTGTAGGTGACAGGGGTACGGATATGGGGACACGGTTGGTCGTCGCACTCTCGCCAGAGGAGGTCGTTTCGCTCGTTGCGGACGATGTGGACGTGCCGGTTGTCTTCAGTGTCAACCGCGTGCTGATGACCTGCGCAAGCCACCGTGCTCTAGGAACCAGGGTACGCTCCGGGGAAGTGAACACCTATTGAGGCTTCCGGGCAGCCAATCAGTCGGGATGACCAACTGCGCGGATAGAGTCGTCGGCCGGGAGCGGGGTAGTGTTCTCAGAGTGTGATACTCGAGCTCAACAGACCCAGGGAGACTGCGATACGCTCAGAGCCTTATAACTCCGGCAGGTATGCAGGGTAGGGGAAGAGCGGGGCGGGTGGCACAGGGTGGGGACGATGCTTGCACGAGTGGGGGTGATCCGATGCTTTGATGCCAGCACTCACTGGTTAGATCTCGACCTAATGACGCGGGAGCGGGCCGCGTACGCCAATCGGAGGAGAGGGAGGTGTGGATGGGTATGGATAGAGGTTGGATGACCTCGATGTGGTGGTGCAGAGGCGTCGCCGGCACTAGGCGCAAAGCAAACGCAAACTAGAGTCACGCGAGGGATGTCTAGCCCACAAAGACCAAGTTAACATAGCTCTACATACATACAGGCAATTGAGATACTCACCTAGCCCACAAAGACCAAGAGGTCGAGATGAGGGCTAGGACACGAAGTGCAAGTGCTAAGAGAGTCCGCGATACGGGCGCTTAAGCGCGGGAACAACCTTCCAATATAGTAACAGGCAGAGAAAAGGCAGAGAAATGGCGAAAAATAATACATAGGGTGAGTCCAGAGTCCGTTCCACGACAGCCCCTGCGCCAGGGACAGCAGAGGGCGGGCCGTCGACCCTAGAGACGACAAATGTGCCCTCGAACGAGACTGGGTGCGTGCTCGCTGACTGCACGCCGATGACGTACCTGTGGAAGACGGTGGGGAGGACGCTGGTGTGGCTGTCACGCCACCCGCTAGCGGGACGCTGACGAGAACAAGAACGAGGGGGCCGTCCTGGGGGCGGATGCGGCCGTGGAGCGCGTACTTGCGCCAAGCCTGTGCGTATCCCACGGGGAAGTTCCTGTGCGTGCGTGAGGGCACTAGAAAATGGGTCAGCAAAGGAGAGGGAATGGAGGAAAATGCGCTACCTCGCCAGTAACGAAGATGCTTGTGATCCCAAAGCATGTCCACTCGGTGACCATGACAGGGTCCGTCAGGCTCGCCGCGCGCGTCGTCCGGCTGGTGCTCCTTGTCGTCCCTGCTCAAGAAAGAAACCGGCGGGGGCGCACCAAAACCGTCGCGCATTCATCCCTCATCCTCTTCAATCCAGGGCCGTCTGGGTCTTTGCCGGGCAAGATATAGCGGACACACGTCGCTGGCTGCAGTGGCGGCACAAGCGAGGTGAGTAGGGACACGGGCAGGAGATTGCAACTGGGGCGCTCACAGATTCCCGAGATATCGGAGGAACGGGAGGTGGGTGGACCCCCGCGGCCGAAAACGCGTTGGCCTCGGCCGGAGCGATGAACGAGACCAACCTGGCATATCAGTGGCAGAAGGGAGCCCACAGAGGATTAGGACATACATGCGGCGGCATGCAGCGGCGAAGAAAGAGCTCTGGGGCTCATTGTTGCTCTCCCAGGGGCGGTGGAGGAAGGGGGCAAGGATGTAGTCCAAAGCGTGGCTGGTGAGGTGGACGAGCGTCGAGTTGGAGGTCCGAGAACTGAGCGGCGGAGACAACGAAGATGGGGACTTCGACGGAAGAGGATGGAGGAGGGAGAGGGAGAGGGGGAGAAGGTGCTCGAGGTTGTGGAGACAGCTGGCAAGGAGCGCCAAGGGAGCGCGCTGTGGGGACGCGCGCGCTGGGTATGGGCGCTAGTGTCGCCAACCTTGTCCCGTGGTCGCGTCCTCGACGCCTCCACTGCTCTACATGGATGCCGCCACTTCCGTCCAGTCTCCCCTAGGCAGCACTTCTTGCCGCACCTTGTTCTCAGCATACCGCCCTCGACTATTGCATATTTCGACCTCCACGACCACCATCTAGCTTATTCCCCTCCGCCTTCCCATGGCTGCCATTTTGGTCCCTTCTATTCTAGTTCGCACCAAGTGGTCATCGAACGCGATGGCATACCTCCGTCACCTTCGCCGCCCTTGACCTCCTTCAAGCCTGCTTCCCGCACATGAGGATCCTCAGGTCAATGCTCATTTGTCTCCGCCTTCATGACAGCATGCAAGATCGTCCGCGACCACACCTATTCCAATGAGTGGCGGACCATCGTCGACCAGGACATGTTCGCGTTTCGTGAGATCAACCAGTAGAGCGGTGAATGTGCTCCTAAGTACCTCCAGTGGCAGCTCAACGTCGAGCCCTCGGCCTCAGCCCTCAAGGAGTTCGTCGTTCGAGCACAAAATCCGGCACAACTTCAAGGACTCCGTATCCTATGTACGTTCTGCCATCACCTGCGCCGTCACCAATGCCTTCCGCCGCCCCCCACACCGTTGTCGCCTCTGCACCACCACCTGCGTTCACAAACAAGACACACCAACCTCCTTCCACTTCACCGCTCAAGCACCTTTCCCATCCCGTTTCCATCCACACTGCGCCCCACCGTACAGTACTAGTGCGAGCCCCTCACGTAGCTCGCACAGTGCGCCCAGTACCCGGAGTCGTCGGTGTTGACGTCGACATTCCCCACCGGCGTCGAGCAAATCCCCATCGACCTCTTTCTGCTGCCAGGTCGCTGTCCCTCAAGACCAGATGCTGGGCGCGAACATCGGGCACGATATGGTCATCGACTCGCGGGCGCGCTTGGGTGAGTGCACGACAGCTGCTGGATCTTCTATGCGTCCGTGCGCGGCTTCTGTGGTGAGCGCGATGGCTACTTCCATCTCGATCCAATCCTCATCAGCCGTGACGCCATGCTCACCACCTACACCCAGCTCGCCCCGGACACAGTCATCCCCGATGGCACGACGTATATTCTTGGACGACGACCACTCCCCCGACCACCACGCGCAGTACAACCGCGCAGCGCTCCTCTGAGCGTTTCCGTGCCGACTGCATCTACCCAACACGCGCCGCACACGCACTCTGCGAGCAACGCCATGATTGACACTGCGCCCGACTCGAGCTACGCGCCGCTGAACCCGCGCCGACCGGTCTATTCGTCGGGCCGCAATGTCCCCGCCTCGTTACCCACCGCGCCCAGCCCGCGATCACGTTCGTCGCACATCTCAGTACTTAGACCATGAAGCAATCATAGTTTTTTGTATGTTCCATCTATGCGTGCTCATGTGTGGGTGGCGGAAGAAGTCAGACACCACTGTAGCAGGGATACAGTCGAACATATCATTATTGGCTAACTACACATACAGATACCCGTTACAACTACTCAAACATATCAAATTATACCTCATCTACCCCATAAGCGACCAGAAGGAAGGCGATAGTGTCTGTAAACTGCGGTGAGTTGGAACAGCTGCAGTATTTTGGCGTATATCGGCTTACCAATAAATTACCTCTCAATAGGAATTTGGGTTTTTCCTGATGTTAAGAGCCAATTTTTTAAGTTGCAAGTATCACCTTGTCGAAGTGCTAAATTTATACGTCCGAGGAATTCGGCATTCTACCACAATACACGCCGAGCCAGGCCTTCGAAGCTCGTAAGTGCCCACACCAGCGACAGCTGTGCTTCTGCTGCATGCAAAGGCTGTCCTAGACACTTGTATTATATGCAGCCCGCAACCCAGCCTGCCACACCACACCACCATCCCCACCCATGACTACTCCGATCATCCAGACATCCAACTCGGACCATGACTCAACCACGAGTCTCTCTTTCGCCGTCGTCAGCCCAGAACAGCCTGCGCCTGGAGGTCAAGACGTCATCACTGGTGGTACACTGTCTACCGACGCTCTCCTCTCTACCACTGGGTTTACCGACCGATCCTCCCACCCTTCGACTTCCAGCCGCCGTTCATCATCAACTTTCGTGGTCCCGCTTGGCAGTGATGGCTTGATGGCTTGCGAGAACCACCAGGAATGCGATCACAGCAATGCCACGAGAGAGCCGACAAACGACGAAGCCACCCTGCTCCTCGAACAGAGCAATGAACCTAACCCCATGGTCCGCCTGGCGCCCTTGCCTTCCGAGCGTGATATAAGTGCTGTGCCTTAATCTTGCCTTACTTCCAATACTAATTGTCCACCATCCATCGAGCAGCGGGTAAAACATGGTATTGACAATAAAATGTCGGGATTCTGGAACATTGACGCAAGGGAGGAGATCATGTCTCTGGCGCCGGTTATATTATGATAGGAGACCTCAAGCGGTGTTCTTTGGCCCGGGTCCCGGAGAGTACATCGAATGCGCAGGCGAGATCGCGCATCTTCTATGCCGCAAGCTCAGGAAAAATGTCCGGCAACACCTTCTCACACGGCCCACGGAACACGAAGTCAGCCCTCTCGTCCCGCTCGCCGGGATCGAGGTTGAACACTGCGACTTTCCCTCCGTGCCGCTGGACGCGGTACGCAAACGTTGATGCCGGGAGCACCTGTCGAAATCCCCCGCCCCGTTAGCCCCCTCCGTCTCGCCCATCACAGTCACAAACGCACCGTCGACGACGTCCCCACGACGAGACACATGTCCGCCTTGAACACGATACCGTTGATCTCGGGCAGATGGTACGGCCTCTCCCCGAACCACACCACGCCCGGGCGCGCGAGCGCGCCGCACTTCGGGCACCGCGGAAGCTCTTTATCAGCGATGTCGATGCGCTTGGTTCCCGCGTCCTCGTAGCTCGCGAACTCGGCGTCCGCGGCGCCCAGCGCAGCGCAGAGGGGCTCCGCGCGGTCCTCGTAGACGTGCCCGCACGCGCCGGTGCAGCGCACGTCGAAGATCCGGCCGTGCATCTCGAACACCGAGTCCGGGAAGATGACGCGCTTTGGCTTCGCGTCGGGGGCGCCGGCGTTGCTCGCCTGCGCGCATTTCAGGCGCGCTGTGAGGGCGTCGAGGGCCTGGACGGAGAGCGTGTCCACGTTCTGCGTCACGAGGTGGAACGAGGCTGCGGATGGCGCGACTTTCTTGAGGTACGCCGGGGCGGACATCTTCGCGATCACTTCGTGTGCTGCGTTCGGCCTCGCTTCTGCGGCCCTGTATGGTCGAGTGCTCGGGTCGGACACGAGCTTCAGGAGACTCGTAGGCCTGTGATACGTACTTAGTCCTGCGGTAATGATAGAACTGCCACACGAGCGAGGGGTTCTCCTCGAACGCTTCTGGAGTGGCGAGCGACATGGCGTCGAGTGATCGCCACATCCCACCGCCACCGCGAAAGGTGGGGATTCCTGCACTTGGTCAACACTTGGTTCTAAGAGCGCTGGGTAGAAATCTCACCAGACGCTGCAGACAGACCTGCTCCGGCAATGACCACAATGTGTTTGCTACTCTGCAGAGTCTCTCGAAACTCGGCAATGTTGGTACTTGCTTTTGATGAGACTCGAGGGCTCTCCAGCTGCACGCTACCCGATGGCTCTTCCATACTGCTTGTCCGGTGATCTCGCGAGATGGAGAAGGGGGTTGGTGGTGGAAAACAAAAAAGAACGAAGACGGAGGGTCGAACTTCGAGACCGATCGCGATATGCATATTAGCGCCCGGCTCACAACTGCACGGGCCGCGGGCCGGTTGAACCAGATTATCAATGACGCATTACGAGGTATACTCGCGCACTCGTTGCCAGACGAGCGCGCGGAGGGTATGCATACAAGTCCAAGTGTTCAACGTTCAAACGTTCAGATCGCGTACGCGTGATATAGCGGAGTAGTGTAAACGCAAGTTTCCTATCACCTCGTCGTATCGTCCGCACGATCTCGCAGTGTCCCCGACAGCCTGATGCCCCGCGCTCCACCGTCGACTGGCCGTCGTGGCCCGATAGGCCGCGGCGATAGTCCTCCTGGGCTGTAGTACGTGTCCGAGTACGCAAGGCTCTGTAGGTGCGGCTGCGGCGCGGACGCAATTAACAGGGGAGGGAGCGTTCGGAAGCTGATGATAGGTGCAGCGAACGGCGGATTAGGCGATGGAGAGATAAGGGACGCGTCTGTCGTAGAAACTTCGTTCGTGGTTGGGGTCTGCAGGTGGATTTGGGGCGAAATTGGGGGCACTGGTTTCCTCTTGGAGGAGACACGACGCCGGGGTGGATTGAATACGAGAGACGTGTCTGTAGCATCGGAGGGTTCGACGAGGGGTTCTTCATGTATGGTGTCGCCAACCGTTGAGCTTCCATGGACCGTCGAGCCGGTGAGGTCTGCAGAGCGGGATGATGATGAGTAGGAGGGTTTACGACTACACGTCTTGTCAGCGGCGAACGGCGCGCGCGCAGTGAGTTCCGCATCGGAGCTTGGAGAAGCGTCTAGAGGTGTCGCGCCTTCCATGTCTGCGCGGAAAACCAGGTCTTCAGAACACACTACCATCGCGTAGAGAGCAGAAAATACTCACCAGAGGGCGAAATCTCCTTCATCCGTGCCGCGCGTGTCCTGCGCTTCCACCACCATGCGCCTGCGGTGACAACGAGCACTACGACGGCTCCGGCGATGGCGACGCCGATGATAGCGCCAACGTCGCCCAGCGGGGATCCTGCCTGTAGCCCAGAGACAGTCGCGGCGCCATCGGAGTTGGAAACTCCACCGCTGCTGGAAGGCTTAGCGTTGATGCTTGAGGATGTGCTCATCTGTGTCCCTGGTGCGCCCGTGCCGTTGTCCCGTCGTGCAAACGCATTTGCTGGAAGGGGATCCGACGTTAAGACGGGCGAGTTCAGCAACCTCAACGGCTGGGAGGCTGAGGGAAGCCGTAAGTGCTGGTGCGTTCCCGCTTGAGAGGCTGGTGGGCATAATTGGGAGGTGGGCATCGACTGCGAACCTGCTGTGCCAAAGTCGGGGGCGTGGTATAAGAAGAGGAATGTCCTCTCAAAATTCCAAGGAAACGGCGCACCTGTGAGTATATTTGTGGTATTTGTGCCGGATTTTGTGATCGTGAATGTACAGTCGGGGTCGTCCATCTGAGGGTCGGGCCTATGGTTGTTAATCCACTCGCCGGAGGAGTTCAATTCGTTAATCTGTTTTATGCCAAGGTTGTGTCCGGCCACCAGCGGCGCATACCACAGAGTCAAAAGAGTACCAGTAAGGACAGAAAAGAGGCGTTTCCTTGGATGCCAGGCGTGGCGAGTCATAAACAGCCGGGGCGGTCAGGGCATTGGTGGAGCAGGGCCGAGTCCGGACGGAATGCGGGGACGACGTCAAGCTGGCGGCGGAAGGAAGTGCGATAAAGAGCAAGCTGTCTGGTGCATCAGACAGAGAAGCCGATCGCAGCGGATGTGTGGGTGAGAATAGGGCGGAGACAACGAAGGCCGACTGGGAAAGAATCCCCACCTGACAGATTAGCTGCTTCGCTGATGATCATTTTTTGATATCGAACTCACTCTGGGGACTTACGGTATCCCGGCTTGACGACGATGTGATACCAATGCACGACAAACATCGTTAGAAGCATTCAAACTGTATGCCCAGGAATCGCGGTACATACTATGATCAGCAGAGGTCAGGATAACTTACTGATCACGGCGATGTTATTTCTTGCAGGCTCCGTGGAAGCAGGCTTCTTGAGCGCATCAGATGCGGGTCGTAAAATTCGACATCTTATGAAGAGAACCGTCATGCAAGAATGTAAGAATGCGTGCCGGGAGGACATCTAACTGGAACGATCAGTCTATCATATTGAGATACGAGGACAGATGCAACATACCTTCAGGGCTGCTAATCGTGGACAACTGTTATGGTTTCATGCAGCCATCGACTTCGGGAATGACGGAAGTCACGGTTTGACGAGCGCGCGGAAGCACGCAGGCGCTTATCGTGTTAACTCAGCCAATCCCATTTCAATCTCCGATTTTCTTCTCATCAACGACGCTTAGTAGCACTAGCTTACCCTAGCTTACCCGTCCAGCAACAGCACTCCCTCTTTGCTTCATTCATCCACTCCTTCACTCTGCTGTCTCCATGTGCTTGCCTTGCTATCTGGCAGCGAAGTATGACTGGGGACGCTCTTCACTACGGCGACCTCGACTCAGAGCAAGTCCGCAGGTGTCTAGAGGGCCTCGTCGCCTTCGGCGCACACACCCCCAACGCTACACACGGCGACGCTCCGCGTCGTACACAGACGTATCAGCCTTTCCGTCTTCCGGAAGACCTTTGCTTCCGCCGCTGCCGCCGCCGCCATCGCCGAGGACGCAGAGTCCCCTTGGTCCGCTCTCAACGCCGCCCTCTTGCGTGCGCGGTTGCCGCGCATCGTCTTTGTCTTCACCAGGAGCGGATTGCCGCAGAAGGGGCCCGATCGAGAATGCGCTGAGCCGTTGCTTCCCGCGAGTGTCGAATCGCGGCCTTTGGAAATGAAAGATCGATCATCGGGTACCACTACACGCACGTCCCGTCGACGCTCACTCGCACAGCGGCCGTCTGCCCGCACGAGGCGGGGCGCATCGCGATTCCCTCCGCCATCCAGTCCGCCCCACCTGATCCGGACCCTGCGTCCGTGCTGCTGCAACCCTCGTCGCTCTCCTCCCACCCGTCTCCCGCGCTGGGGACGACCGAGCCGTACATGTCGAAGGCGCTCGCCGCCGACGCGGGTGCGCTCGGGCTGAAGCGTAGGGTGCCGAGCGTCGGCGGTTCGGTGGTGTCCGCGCCGCGGAGCCGGGCGTTCGCGGTCTCATGCAGGTCCAGGATGAAGCGGGACATGAGGATGGCGGTGAGGCTGTGGAGGTGATTTCATGTGAGCGGCGCGCAGCCCAGAAGTCACGAGGGGAGGGCGGCCGCGTGCGTACATCGCGGTCCAAGTCGACATGACGTAGACGAGCTGATTGTTGGTCGTCAGACGTGAAATGGAATGGATGCCATTCAAAGGCACTCGCCTCGAGGTTAGCGTAGAAGCCGAGCGCCATAATGTTGATGCATAGCAGAACACTTGAAGACCTTGATGAGACACTGTGATGCCTTTTCGCACGGAGACTCACCCGAAGTATATCGTGCCTAGGTAAGCATGATCAGCCGCCTCCAAGATCCACCAGCATCCTCATGCTCACCGTCGCGCAGGATAACCGCCGTCAAAGTGTTTTTCAAGTTGCTCGGCGCAATTTCTCGGAAGTTCCACGTCCGCTTCCAGGTTATGATGATCACCAGGAGGTCAGCCAGAACCGCAGATGCGCGTGCGCCGGCCATCCCTGTAGCACGTAGTTAACACATCTTGGCTCCCGTCCAGTGCGGATATACTCACATCTACCGGGTGTTAAGAAAACTCGACCTTTTCGGTGGATTTGCTCGCAGCGACGCTCACCTTACATACACATCTATGTCGATTACGCTGACGTACCCGCAAACAGAGAATACCGGCCCTGGATCATACACAGGGATACTCTTGATGAAAGTATACTTCATGATCAATTTCTCACTATTAATAACCTCATGCGTGGACATATCAAGCACTCACCAGCGATATGGCAGGGTTGACCAGCCCCAATACTAAGACAATAACCAGGACCAGGAGGCTCTTATCGCACACGGCGTACGCGCGAAGACCGGAGAATACTTGATTGCACAATATGGATCAGCCCGAAGGTCGAAGGCCAACTGAATAAACTTGACGTACTCGCGGACGCGACTAGTAGGATAACGTTGAGAGCCATGTCCCCACGAATGGACACGGTGCAGCTGCGAGAGAGATTGTCAGCTAGCATCACAGGAAGTACACAAAGACCACACATCTGCGGAATCAAAATTCAAATGTGTGAGCAGAAATGGAAGTCCGAAGGCGGCCTTTGTACCTCATCATTAACACCTGGCCAAGGAGCGACGTCCACAATGGTGCTGATAGTGTTCATAATCGCCGGGTACCGGACGAAATAGAACAGTACGGTCGCCGCGGTGACACGACGTGTCCACATCTGTTCGACCTCACGATGGAAGGTGAGCACGTAGTCAAACGTCATCAAAGCTGTGTGCCATGTTGAGGGGAGGATGAGGATGAGGATTACCGCAGAGAGAGTATGATAGAACCTGCCGCGGCAACGTAGTTCAGCGAGCCTATCCGACTGGAATGCGGCAGGAGGGTCAGTGCCAAGCGAAGCTCGAAACGGTGTAATCTGAACGTACATTCCGTCGATCGACGCGATTACTTCCGAGACCGAGCTGTCTGCCATTTCCAAATTTGCGTAGCAAGAGTCCCTCGAGATCAAGTAGTGGGAGGAAGAGGAGTCCGGCCTTGCCAACCACCGGCCCAGTCAGGTCGAGTATAAGAGCTGGAGCTATTTCACATCGCGGGGCGCTGGGAGAAAAAAGGTCGTCCCAGGCCCGGTGCGTCAGTCCACCGATGATGATCCAGATTCCAGAGCCTTACACCACGTTGACACCTCCCTGAACGTCCAGACAGTGACCTAGCTTCGTGGGTGGGGGTGAGCGAAGGCGGTCGCAGGTGGATAAGCTGATTATCGCTTTCGTGAATATTCCGTCACCAGGCAAGCATCACTAGAATGAATTTCGTAGTTAATCAAGCGGACGATATGACCAGGGACGTACAACTTACAAGGGACCCGAAGATGCCCGGAGGATGCGATTGATCTAAGTATTGAAACTGCTTATGGGCTGCGCGGGTATCAGCACCTGACAGAGAAGACACGTCAGTATGGGCCACTTGCATATATACCTGGATGCCAGGCCTCACGGCGTGAAAACCTTACCTTCCGGAGGAGCGTTGTGGCAGATGCCATTCCTTATACAGAAGTCCGACTGAATCGCAAATTGTTGCACTCGGTGAGTCTCGTTAGCGCTCTCAGCAGAAAACTTGGTCTCCAGCTTTTCGCTTCTTGAGTAGTTCGAGCCGTGTGCCATGAGTCGCGACTCGCTGAGCAGTAGTTTTGACGTCAATGGTGACCGCGAGCGCTGTCGTCGTCGAGTAAAAGAGATCGTCGGGAGACATGGCGAACAAGACACCGGCCAGCTACTCACTGGTTCTGACTCCTGGTGACCCGTTTACAGCAGATTGCAAAATCGGCGTTTTTGCGAGCTGCCAGCGGGACGTCACGCGTCACGCGTCAAGGAGTGTTTGGCACGCCGGAGGTTCCGGCGCCGAGTTGGGCCGGCGTCCATATTGGGAAGGTCATTCACACCCTCCCTCGCGTCACGCGATGCATGATCCTCAATGCGAGACCTTCAAGCAACTTGCAAGCGGGGCTATCGTCACCAGCAACTGTTCAGGCACCCTGGCCCTGAGTAAACACTCGATAGGCCCCACAGGCTAGACCAGGGGGTGTGCAGCCGCGAGAGCTCGTTCTGGAACGTCACGCGCGCGCGCGCGCGCGGTGAGATGTGCGCTGCTGAGCTCCTAGGGTGTATCCTGGTGGTGGGCCACGCATCCCGGTGCAGCAGACGCAGGAAGCCCGAATGGCCTTTCACACATCGAAGTTACCTAGGCTCTCGTAGGCTTGGAAGATGCACCGGAAGACGTCCCCTGACAGAGCACTGGCAGTCACATAGTATTGACAACGAATAACGACCTCGGAAAACATTGATGGTACAGAGGTAGTAAATGGAAGTCGGAAGCGGAACAGGAATCCCGTCATATCAGTGGTAAACCTCGTGTCTCGTGCCCATTTAGTGCGCGACAGACCCATATCCCCCGCGCCGCGCCCGCCGCTTCGCGCACCCGCGCACATGCCGCGTCGCCGCGCTCTCGCGCATCTGGCCCTCATCCCCGCACACCGGGCACCGGAACACCACGCCGATGTGCACGTTCAGCCAGTGTCGCCCGACGCACTCGAGCGTCATGCGCCCGTCTCCCTTCCGCCTACTCGCGCCCGGCCCAGACTCGGCGCACCCCGGCATCGGGCAGCGCGCGACGCACGCGCTAGAGGGAGCACGCGCCGAAGGACAGGTCGCGCATAGGTCGTCGTGGTGCGCTCGCTTGAAGTGCGTGCGCCAAGCTGCGTCGGTGGCGTGGAGCGCGGCGCCGCAGCCAGGGATAGGGCAGGTGTAGGTGTCCGATGACGATGTGACCCGGATGGGCTGAAGGCGGGAGGGGAGCGGGGAGGGTGGTGCGCGCCGGGGACGCTTGCATGGTGGAGGGGACGCGGCGCGCTCGTCGTCGAGCAGGCGCTTGCGTTTCGGAGATTGGGGGCGGTCCGGGGTGGGGACGGCGCTGTGTGTGATGTCAGCACAAGACTCAACCGTGTGGAAACCGTGAATCTTAACACACCTGTAAAGGCCCAGCGCGGAAGGCACAAGCATGTCCAGGGGCGGAGACGGGTCGAAGGAAGCGTTCGCGGTGTATGAGGCTGCCTGATGAGGGCTCTGGCTGCGCCCGAGATCGATGAGGTAGTCGACCTCACAAAGAGGCTCCGGAAGGAGCTGAGTCGCGACGCCCCCGCTCATCGTGTTGGGCACGGAAGTCCAGTCCAGCAGCTCCAAGTCGACGAAATGCTGAGACTGCGAGAGCAAATCGACCGCGAAGTCACCGCTGAGCTCGCCAAGCTCGTACGGACGCAAGTCGAACGACGCGGCAGGCTTGTCATCGTTTTCTTGAGAGGCGCCTTCTGGAGACCAGTAGCTGAAATCGCCCCGGACCAAGGGAGCGTTGAACAAACTGCAGGAGACGGCCGTATGAGCGCCACGAAGAGACTGACTGAGGGACACGATGAGACCCACCTCATCGGATCAAAGCGAGTATCACAGACAAATTCAGAGTAGAAGGACATCTTGCGCAAGAGATGGTGAGGGTGGTGAGGTGAATGCTACGCGTCCGCCGTCGAAGGGGGTTTGGGGGAGGCTGCGGGGATGCCTCGTCCCCGTCGAACATCCCGAATTTTATACCCCATGGTCCCGACACCCGCCGGAGTGAGTTCCGCGCGGTCGTGAACCCAGTAAAGAGCACCGTAGCCAACGAGAGCGCGAGCAGGCGTGGCGTGGACGGAGTAAAGAGCATCGAAGCCAGGATGGGTGATAAGTAAAGAGCGTCGAAGCCCATATTCGGACTCCGACAATACAGAGTAAAGAGCAGAGAGGGGCGCCATCACAAATGCTCTTTACTTATCATGATGAGGTGGCCGTGGCCCTGATACGGCGCGTTTGTGAGACATGGAGGGGCACAGACGGGTTCAGGATGCTCCTACCTTTCGTTTGGCATCCCTCATGAGGGATTTGAAGGGCTGGAGGGCTGGGACGAGGAGGAGGAGGTTTTGTTAGTGATTGAAAGGCCGAAAGGACGAGAGAGAAGTGAATAAGATTCGAGCAAAAGACGGATGATGAGGGAGCTATCGGAGTTTATATTTGCTTGACGTCGGCTAAGTGCAACGTGGTCGCGCCAAGCGAACACGTGTAACAGGCGCAAGGCCACGGCACGCCCTTTCCTTTCTGGAATCTGCACCGATGACGTCACGCGAGCTGGCAATAACGGCTTGCCCAGAATACAACATTCGAACCAACCGAAACGCAGACATTTGGTGGCCATGGTAGTCTAGTCGCGACCCGATTGCAATTGCATTGTAAATACTAGTACTGATCATAGAACCAAACGCTGCACTGTTTATCAGGCTCGGCGTTCATTTATTTTTCTGGTACATGAGCCATTACGGCGAGGGGTTGATGGCGTCGAACTCTTGCCACCTCCTTCGAGTACCGGCACACGAAATCTCCTGCAACCATCGAGCACGGCGTTTCATTATGTCTATCAGGTTGATCAACACACAGGGAGGTCGCCCATGTCGCTCGACTCCATCCAAGCTGAACGTACGACCATTACCTGCCCAAAAGGTCGGTGGGGGCTCACAAAGATCGCAACGTGGACACACTGACAATCCAGCAACGAACGACTTGGCCCTTAAGCTTGCGCGCGAGCCTGTTCGAGTGGTTTGCTGATCTCGCCGTTCTTAAGGAAGCGCTGTGGAAGCGTCCGCCGTCGACGCAAGACGCGACAGCCTCTTCAACCCGCCGAAACGCCTCAGAGGGGTTCTGGGCACGGTTTGGGTGTCCTTTCGCTCGGGCACTGGCGCCAGCAAAATATAGATTGACTGGTAACGGTACCGCAATGCTTGGGAAGCGGTTGAAATGTGCGAGGCAGCAAGTACGTAGCGTGTGCGTTGTTGAGAAAGGGGTATGCACCAAATGAGTTCAAGTACGCCATCCTCATCACCACAAACAACGTTCATAACTGGAACATACCTCCATAGCTCGACCAAAAGCAAACCTTCCGCCCTATGTACCTCCTCCGAAGCATTGAACGCGTACTCCTCGCCTTTTCCTAAGCACCGGTCGCGCGTCGGCCTAGGGGAGACTACCGTCACGCCCTGACCTGAGCTCATGAATACCACAGCCCAACCCGACGAGACAGACCAACGACCATATTGAGAGCTCACCGACGCCCCACAACCATGGCGAATCACCCACTGGCATCTAAATGATTGGCACTATACCTGCACAAATTGAAGTGAAAGGCGGCGTTGGAGACTTGGGAGAGACATGCGCCGGATCGAGGGCAGGGAGGCGCAATTATGGTGCTGGCGGACCGCATGACATGGGATCGATCGGGCCAAGTAGAGGGAGACGAGGTCGCGCGCCGAGCGGAAGAACGATGGCGCAAGGAACGGTTCATCGTGGGAGAGGTTGAAAGGCGAAGGGAGAAGCCGATAAGAGGCGAACATATAGAAGATAAAGGTACTGCTATCGGAGTTTGAACGAGTCAACAGAAGCTAGAAACAGTAAGCATTTTCACCGCGTCTCCTCACTCTCCTCTACTCGACAATGACAGGGCCACCACTAGTGTCGACACAACTGCTCAGCCGACTCATGGCGCACGGCTCGAAGTACTCAACAAGTCAAACCTAGAGACCAGATCTTCCGCTGAGAGCGAGGCTGTTCAAAGCCTGATTCACCGAGTGCCACTCTAGCTTACCTCCTCCCTCCAACGTCTTTGGACAACTCGATGTTCGCTCTCAGAGTGCGCCTAACCCTCAGCGGACACGTTGTAAAGAAGAATTGAAGTTATTGACTCGCTGCTCCGTCAGAGAGACTCAATGTTGGCGATCAATACCACGTTTGTCATTTTTCTCATCATTGTTCCGACAAACGATTAAACTGCTCATCTCTTTCGCTGCAGCAAACCACCCCGCTGCGATTGTGAGAGCTCATGCTCGAATAAGACCGCGAGCTCTTTTGCCTTAAACAGCGTCCAAGAAGCGCAACTCGGCGTCAAGGTCGCCACAGCTAGGCACTGACACGACAATGGCAGACTCGGTTGCGAAGCATGCTGTCTGATACGGATGCATGGCCGATTGTCCGTATGTCTGTTGGAGTTCCTGTGAATTGCGGTTTATCTCAGGCTAGATACTTGCAGACGAGCCGCACCAAGAGCAATCAGTCGCGCAACTAAGTTACTCATGGCACAGTCAGTATGTCTACCCCAATCCCAGCACTGTATATAGGGCTGAACGCTTCTTGAACATGTTGACAGACTAGCACATGCTTTGGGTTCGCAGCACCACCGTGGGTCTCTACACGTAATAGGCATAGATGACTCGGTAAGTACACCGTCCTCGCGTGTCGATAGAGCCCGATTGTTGATTATATGCGGAGATCAATGGGAGTTCTTGCTGACCAATCTCTATAGTGCTCACCCATCCCTCGCTCGGCAAGGGTCACCAATCTCATTTCCATTGTCCGCGCTCTGCCATTGTTCACCTACCGCTGAAGCGACCGCCCAACTCTGGGAGAGATCGTATAAAATGGCCTTCAGATAGCCGCATGAGCCCAGCGAAGGCTTTCCCATTTCTCCTCCTCCCCTTCGTTCCTCCCCGACAGTGCTGAGTTGAGGCCAGCCATGGATATTTCCCGGGTGCGCTTCCTTTGCCGACTGGCCTACGATATCCTACGCTGACTTCAGTGGTAGCTGTCTAGAGAGGAACATAGCTCGCGCAGCCAGATCGAGTTCGCGATCATCGAGAGACTTCGCTTCGACAAGGCCGCACTGAAGCGATGCGCTTTGGTCTGTCGGCGATGGCGCTACATCAGCCAATCCCACCTCTTCTCCTTCATCAGCCTGCCCAGTTCGCGTTTGGCGGACTTCGTCACCACACTGAGCGTCAATCCAACCCTCGGAGGCCATTTACGAAGCATCGACTTCCGGGGACAAGCAAATGTCGGCTATGTCCCGCTCCCTTTACCACTCCTCGGGCATCTCCTGTGCTATCTCCCTCACTTGTCCGAGTTGTACATCAGCAGCAGCTCTCTCGAAGCTTCATATCCCTACCCTCCCCGAATGGAGCTCACCGGAGGGAGCTGGCGTCCCTCTTCCCTTGACCTCCTCAGTTTCTACAACTGCACCGCCCCCGACTCCAGCGTCATGCCCTTGCTCTGGCTCTTGTGCTTGTTTTCGAGGATTGGTCGCTTGTCGATCACCGAGGCCAATTGGGAGGATGGAGCCGTCGAGGAGGTCCCCGCGGAGGACTGCAACACGCCTGCCATTCATGCGATCACGATCGAGAGCATCCCTGAGGACGTGGACGTCTGCCTCTTCGACCTCCTCGAGGTCTCCGGATCCCTCGCTGGACCCCTCCGAGAGCTGGACATCCACATCCTTCGCGACCGCCCGGGCACTCCAAACCTCCTCACCGACATCGTCGACCGCGGCGCCCAGGGCCTTCGAAAGCTCAGAATCAACATATGCAGCCTGAACCGCCCATGTACGTCGTCTCCCGCACCGCACCCCTCGCCACTCACCGACGCGCCTCTGCGCAGGCATGCTCTTCGAATTCGTGGACCTCGACTTCGCGAACCTACCCGCGCTCGAGGAGCTCACGCTCGTCGTCCAGCGCGGCGGCTGGACGATGAACACGGTGACGAACACGAGCTTCCTCCGCGCCTGGCTCTCGATCTGGACGCGCTTCGTGCGCACCGCCGCGCCCGCGCTGCACACCGTCACGCTCGAACTCGACGCGATGACGGAGTCGTTCGGCCGGTTCCTCGCGAGCGTCCGGCACGCGTGCGAGCACGACCAGAAGCACCGCGACGCGTGGGCCGCGCTGGACGCCGCGCTGGCCGGGCGCACGCCCGCACTGCGCCGCGTGGAGGTCTTTGTCGGGGAGGACCGTGCATCGGTCAAAGCTCACATCCAGGGGCCGCTGGAGGAGCTATTGCGGTCGTGCTTGGCGCAGACGTGGGCGACGGGCCGCGCGAGCTTCGCGTGGTTCGAGCCGTGGATGGTGAATGACTGGGCGAGGGACGCTCCGCCGCGGGTGATTGTTCTCAACGAGGAGGGAGAAGAATTTGATTTCGAGGACATGGTTAAGGGCGATGATGGATCTGACGACGAAGAGGACATGGAAGAGGACGGCGATGAATCCGGCGAAGACGACGACATGGGCGATGATGATGAGTTTCCGGGGAAATAGTATTTTCGGTTCTGTCGTTGGTGAGTGTATGATATCGTACTACTAGTCGACTTGTTGTCCCAGCGGTGGCGCGTCATCTGTTAGGCGATCCTTGCCATGGCGGACTGTTGTCCACAATCCACTCCGGGGTGAGGACAAGGAATATCCGCATGGCCACGGCCTGTTCCGCGTCCTGGACGCGACGTCAAGCAGGTGGAGTCTATATCTTCTCTGCGTGTCCTGCGTCCTTCCCCGTCCTCTACGTCCAGTCGAGAGCCCAGGAAGCGTACGTTCTGTTAAGTCTTGAACGTCCCATTCACTGCTTCGCTCCCTCATGCCGCCGCAAGCCGCAGCATTTCCTTGATGCACGCGTCGCCAGACGCGAGGTCGTCGATCTCGGCTGGGTCGTACGGGAACGCCTAAATGTCGCTCTCGTCGGTGTGTGGTGCAGCCCCGGCGCCGTGGGGCTCCATAAACTTGGGGTCCAAGAGCGCGGGTTGGATCCCAAGTCTGTGCGCAAAAGAGAGGAAGCCGGAGTCGAGGTCGAGGTAGCGCCACCCGATGGCCGTGATGTCGACGGTGACGACGAGCACGCTGCACTCCGAATGTTTTGCAGGAGGAGTGTGATGTCTTCGTTAAGCGTCCTGTAGGAGGTAAGGGTATGCGCACACGGGTGATACAGCGACGTACCAGTGGGCTATTCGCCTCTGCGACCTGCTCGAGCGAACGCGAGGCAGCGCCGCTGAGGATGAGGGGAATCCCGAGCGCACTCGCGGCACGCGCTGTCGCACGCTCGGCATCGGTGTGCGTGACGCCGACGAGTGTTGTCTCTTTTGTGGGCAAAACCTTGCGTTGAGGAGGGAGAAATCGCAGGAACCGGGCACAAGGAAGTGACATACATACGCTGAGGTCGCGGTGGGTGACACATCACCGAGCATGTGCGGCCGCGATCTGCTTGCGCATGGACTCGTTTCGGTTCGCGCGGTAGGTCTCGCCCGTCCCTGCATATCCGAAGACGAACTTGGATGAGTCTGGCACGTTTGCGGAGTACGATTGAGCCAACACAGACGGAATACAAGGATGAAGGAGCGCACCTGGATGATCGTTCAGCTTCCCCTTCGCGACCTCCTCGAACTCAAAGGGTTCATGGAGCCCAGGAGAGGCCTCTTGCGCGTAGAAAGCAACTCGCGTGCGAATGCGGACCACTTGCCCGGCGCAAAGCCGTATGTTACATCCTTCGTGGCTGTGGCTGCTCCAGTCATGCTGAAACTGGTGTCGATAGGTGGGAGAGAGGGAGCGTGCGCAGCGTGGCGAGACCGGGGAAATGGGCGCCGAAGGCGTCGCTCCGTATTTCGCTATTTGTGCTGGACATGTATGTACTGGGGAGGGCGAGTCGGTTACATGGACGCTGCGATCGGAGGAGTGAGGACATCACGCGCCGAATTCACCCTTACCGGGATTCGAACCGCAAGCCGCGGGTCTGGACAGGGCGGGGACTGCGGGCCGGGGCGGGCCTGCCATGGTTGGCGACGTCACGGTTGCCTCCCTCTTATCCCCTCCTAGCGTGTAAGTGCTCCCACCAGACGGCGCCCCCGCTCGCCACGGATGAAATGCCTGTGCTTATCAACTCCTGGTGCTTCCAGCTTCTTTTCGCTCTCGTTCGTGGTCGCCATCGTCACATCCTACCCCGCCGCTGCCTCCAGGTCTCAAACTAGATGCTCCACAAGTCCTACGAAGTATGGCTCAAGGTCGACGGCGAACGGCTACCGGAGTACAACTTAGAGATGGAGGGGGATGACCAGAAGACGGCGGCGTGCTATGTTCCGAGCGAGAGAGGGAAGGTGTGTGCGTCACTCTCGTTCATGCGCGATATGAGTCGACTCCCCTGCGTCCTCGAAGCACTTCGCGATCCACTGGCGGGACCACAAAGCGACCGACTACCTTTCGCTCGAGTTCACCATAGACGGAACTCGCTTGCGTTCTGCTCAATATTGCGACCCAGGCAAGACTGGCTTCAAGGCCGATGTCCGCCGCGACGCCGAGTACACCCACCCACTGATGTTCTCAGACCTGCAAATCACCGGTGAGTGGAACCCTCTGCTCCGGGTAGCTTGAGTAGTTCCGTTTCTAACGGAACCGTCAGACGGGGAAGATGCCTTCCAGCCCACCGCAGCTCTGGGTACCATCGTGGTCAGCGTCACTCGGATGAACCCGCCACAGTTGGTTCCTCGGGGTGACTGGCACGTGCGGGGGGAAGACTTCCACGGAGTAGGCGTTGTACACGAGACTAGCAAGAAGGCGGGCACGCATGGGGTATCGTGAGTTCTATTGTGTGTTCACTATGCGGGGTCGTGATGGATCTGCAGGCTGGGAGAAGCACAGTTCAAGCCAAAACGCCTTGATAGAAATCGAAACAAGATGAGGCGCAAGAATACGCCAGTGGATCGGGGGGAGGGAGCAGTGGCGCGATTTGTGTTCCGCTATAAACCATACGGTACGTCATTTGAGTGCGCTGGGGAGAAATCCACGAATTCATGCGGATGTGTCGTCTCAGCCGTGCTTCAGGCCGAAGGCATAGCACCTCTGACGGTACTTCTCGCAACTGATGCTGCAGCACCTAAATTGCACCAGCATGATGAAGGACCCAAGCGCAGCGCCTCTGATCCTAACATTGAACACTCCGCCAAACGTCCTCGAACGGAAACCGGTGACGACCCGGATATCATCGTTATTTCAGACGATGAGAGCGACGTGAACGAAATGCAGGTGTGTAACACAGAACTCGACTAGAATCGTTTGACCTAATGCCATACCAGCAGAAACCACAAACTCTGCAAGCCAAGCTCGAGCAGATCGCCGTCGCGGTGGGTGGACAGGCCGAGCAAGCTGCTTCAATCAAGAGAGAGCTGAAGCGAGAACCCGGCGCCGTTGAAGTCATTGACTTGACGTGATGTGGACTTTTATGTGAATGGTTGCCTGTTTCCCTTTCGTCGGTTTGTCCTGTGCGCTTATAGCACTTGTCCGTTCTAGTCTCGCCGTCACACCCTAGTAGTGGGCATTGTAGCAAATATCAGACCCGCAAATAACACAATTCTCCCTCGGCACCTTTGCGCTTGGACCTCGGACATTGAGAGCTGAGCGCTGGAATCCAACACATCCAAGATGCTATTTCGCAACGAATATGAAGCATGGATAGCCGTCGATGGTCGGAGGCTGTCTGAGTGCGATGCAGGGCCACAGGAGAACGATGGGCGCGCGGTGCCACATTCTCAGCGAGAGCGGCGGGGTATGTGCAACGACATTGTCTCGAGGCTCGGGATTCGACTCGACCCCGCTCAAAGCCACAGACTACCTCGAGGTCAACTCAAGCATCGCCTGGACGCCCTTGGGATACGTCTCATCTCTCTCACCCGGTCAGACTGGCCAGAGGTCCAACGTCCGAGTCAACACCTACTAGTACACGGGCCCACTGCTCTTCTCGGACCTGCATACCACAGGTTAGTGGGGATTCAAGCGGTCAAAGGCGTATGAAAGGGGACTCGACGCTCATTCCTTGAAACAGATTCTGCAGCAAACTCCACCCAGAGATCTCAGGACCATCGTGGTCGACATCATCCGAGTCAACACACAGTCGGCGTTGTCCATGAGAACGGAAGTGCAAGGAGGCGGGTGCGCATGGTGTGACGTGAGTCCTCTCAGTCCCCGCCACGAAACCACAGGTCTGAAGCTGAAGATACCACCTACCGTTCCATGAGGCCCGATGTCACTGTGCAGGATGGGAGATGCTTGTCTCAACCATAGAGCATATTCTCCCGCAAAGGACGGCCTCGCAACCAGCCACGCCCAAATAGACAGCTGCGAGGTTCCTGCCGCACGTTTTGTATTCCGGTACAGGCCGTACGGTACGTCGTACTTCTTTGACGGCACTGAATATGGTCCGAATTTATGCTTGCTCTACTCCAGATCTCCAGATTTACTACAAGCTCAAAGCATAGTTCCTCCGCCTGTTCCGTCGCTCTCGCTCGTCGCATTACCCGACACGCCTCTAGCAACTACTGCGTCCGTGACGCAAAATCGTGCCTTGAAGCGCCCTCCGTCGTCTGAGCGTCCTCCAAAGCGTCCTCGCGGGGACCCAGGTCACACCGTTGATCAAAGCCCCATCTCAGACGTCTTAGACGACGATGACGAGCTCGATAGTTACAGGTACGTTGTGTGTTCTTGTGCTGAAAGTAATCTAAGCCGATGTCATGCGCCATATTGAGCAACTCGCCAAAATCATCGCGAAAAGACATGATCGTCAACCCAGTCAAGGGGCCGAAGCGTGAACCTTCGACCGTTGATGCCGTCGAGGTCATCGACCTAACATGATGACCGCTCGGTTTGTTGGATCTCTGCATATTTCTTGCTTTCTTGGACATGCTTTGTATCTTGCTCCTCGCTTTGCCATGCAAGTTTGCTCCCAATTTGCTCCGATCTCGATGTTCTTCTGTGACTTGGCTGCGTCTGTACTATCATCCGAGGTCATCCACCGATGGTTGTAAATTGTCGCTTCTGAACGCAAGATCCAATATATACGCATTTCGAAAGTCGCTGGGTTCCATCGGAGTTGGATCGGCCTTGTTGTCTTCCCACCCGCGAATCGAGTGGCAACGGTTGACAAGATCACGTGGTCGTGAATGTCCCTTCCCAGCTGTGCTCCTCCTTGCTCCTCCTGCCAATGCCACCGGCCCTCTCGATACTCCCCACTTCCTTCCCTCTCGCTCGTGAACGAAGTGCTGTCTTTTCACACAACCCCTGGGACTATGCTTATACCCTCTGATCCCCCCATCACTCCTCGTCTGCAATGTCGTCAAACGACTGCGCTTGAAGCTGCCCAACGGCTCGGTCAACGCTCTTAGAGCTCTGTACAGCAATCCATGCAAGAAGCTGGACACAAGACGGCATTCACATCTCATCCGACGCTCAGTGGCACATTCCAGCGCCGATGTCATGCTCTGCATGTCGTCTCGCTCAACTACCCTCTCCACGCGCTCGCCCTACACCAGCCTACACCTCGGAGAAGGGTCGTCAGCTAGAGTCATCAGGGAGGGTCTCAAGAAGAGTTGATGCTGTCGTATGGCCACACTCCTGAAGTGTGGCCAAGTGGCACAAGGCACAAGGCAAGCGTGCCATGGACATGGTCTTAACCCGCCGCCCCTCAGCATTCTCTTCTTGCGCTCCTTCCCCCGTCCACCCTCCCTGTGTCACACTCTGCAATTTCCCCTCCACTCCGTCCCTCCCTTCGACGCTCTGTTATGCCCCCCACGCGCAATTTCGCAATCCGCGCCGGGTTCCACGCACCCGGTATCGGCCCGTACAAAGGCCAACTCCACGAGGACACCTTCACAGGCGCGTTACCTCGCCCCGACCGTCCTCACCCCGCTCTGCCCTCGCACGCTGCAGTGCCTCGAGAGCTCTGCGACCACAAACAGGTGCAAATGCAAGAGCCCTGCGTGCAACCGGGCCCGCAGATCCGCGCCCTCGTCCCCGTTGGCCACTGGGCACTTCGCGGCCCCGCGCAGGGTCTCGCGCGTGCACCGATCCCGCCGTACCCACAAAGCCCGTACACAGCCTCCAGTGCAGCCTCGCCAGACGTCCCCGGCCCTCCTCCCTCGCGCACGCCGTCGCTAGCGCACTCCGGCTCGAGCACCAGCTCCTCGAGCACGCCCTCGATGCCAGGCACCCCGGTCCACCCGGCGCACCCGACGGCCTTCACCAGATCGTGGCTGCAACAACAACACGAAGGGGTCAGTATGCCGCCTCTACTGCTCGATGCGCGCTCACCTCGAGGGGGTATTGTAGCAGGCAGCTGAGCCACCCGTCTCCGGGGAGGCGCACAAGAGCGTGAGTGGCTCAGGCCTGGTTGCCAGATATGATCAACAGCTATACCACGCCCCCTTCGGCTATGAGCTGGAATCTGCCTCGCCGAACGTGCGCTACGAGCAAGGGCACCCGAGCCAGAGTTTTGTCCAGATGGTTTGTCTCACACTCCCCTAAACAAATAAACCTGGCTCACCCATTCAATGCATCAACTTCGTAGGCCTACCCCCAATTCGGAGCCCCATCTCATCCACACTGGGATCCACGCAGCGCGCATACCGCGCGCACTAGGCCTGTTCCGCAGGATATCCACACAACACTCCCTCCAGGAATGCCACGCCCACAGCAAGTTCCGCCGCAACCGGCTCACTACTGGATACAGCCGAGTCCCAGTCCCAGAGCACGCGGATCGCACAGCGCCGCGCCGGCATACCACCCGTACACCAGACAAGTGCCCCAGCGGTACCCCCAACACGGCCACGCGAACCGACCGTCGCTGCACCCCACACCCCAGCACTTCTACGCGCTCGCTCCACCACCTCCGTATGCGCCGATCCACCCCAGCGGGCAATCCTGGCATCCCCCGTCCACCTTGCTGGCCCAAGGCTACGGCCAGACGTTCCTCCCGATCCCCCCTCCCCGTGGCTTCCCCCGTTCGGCGCACCCGTACCTCGCCGCCCCGATCCCGCGCGCCCCGGTATACTTCGACGAAGACTGCTACGAGATCCCGCCTCCGCCGCCGCCGCTCTCCCCGCCCCCCTTCGTCCGCTCGCGCGCTCCAAGCCCCGCGGCCGTCCCGCTCGAGCACGTCGCACGCGTGCCCCGGCTCCCTACACCATCTCCTGTCCACGACGCGCTCCCACCGCCGCCCACGCCCATCGCCGTGGAGGTCGAGGTTGAGGTGAAGGCCGAGCTGCCGGACGATGACGGCGGTGCGCTCGCGCCGGCGGCGGAAGCCGGCCAGGTGGTGATGGACTGGTCCGAGATCGAGGTGGACTGGGACGCGGCCTCGTATGCGCTGTCGGAGGAGACGCTGCGGATGCTCGACGGCTTCGTCGATGGCTCGAAGCCAGTCGTGGACACGAGCACCTCGCTCCTGGATGAACTCAACGGACCATTGCTGTTGTGACGGGCGTGGCTGCTAGCCTGGATAGTATCTTTTCGTTCACTCAGCGCTGTGCGCGACCTTGCTTTCACTCTAGAATGTATCAACCCGAAGGCTACTCGACTGGCGCACCCACTGTATCGTTACTAGATCTGTAACCTTGTCTCATGGGTCTCATGGTCCTCTCATTAGCTTATACCTGTAATATATATCCACATGTAAAATGGATCTGGGTTCACCGCTGAGACACGTCGCTTTCCGAGCATTTGCATCTACAAGTACAGAGGTACAGCAATACACACGAAAGCACAGACAAAACAAGATCGACGAGATAGCCTGTTGATAGTGTCACCACGCTCCGATCGCCCGGCATAACTCACCGATACATATACAGCGACGACGTGCACAACATCAGTCCGACGTCAGGTCAATCACGTCGCCCGGGTCGTACTCCCGCCTCTCTCGCTTGACCGGCCGGCGGGGCGTTCTCTGCACAAACGCAATGAGCTCGTGCTCCGCGGGCAGTCGCAGTCTGAGCTCGGACGCGAGCGCTCACCTTCTGCGGCCGCTCGTCCTCCGAGTCCGTGAGCTCGATGTCGATCGTGTGCCCGTTCCACCCGAGCCCCGCGCGGGACACGGGCTCCTCCTTGACCCGCGCGCGTGCGGACGCGGACGCGGGCCCCGGCTCGGGTGCGGGTGCGGGTGTGGGCTCCGGTTTGACGGCGGGGCGGTCCTTCCCCTTGCGGGCGTGCGTGCGGGGGAGGGGGGGCAGCGACGGCTTTTTGGGCGGGCGCGGGTGCGGGTGCGGGTGCGCGGAGGTCTGGGAGGAGCTCGGGCCTGGCTCGTTCTCGTTCGCGGACGCGGAGGGCGGGGGCATGATCTCTTGCGCCTGGAGGATCGCTGGAGGGGCACGACGACGTTGAGCGTGGACGACGAGGAAGGCAAGGGGAGCCACGGGGCGAGGGAGAGCAGGGGGACGCGCACCTGCAGGCTTGTACTGGAACACGAACGTCGCGACGGGGGTCGCGCGCCGGTCGAGGGGCAGCGCGCAGACGCGGCCGTGCACGCGTGAGTACCGCTGGACGCCGCCCAGCCTGCGGCGGCGGCGCGCGCCGCGCGTGAGGAGGGGCGCGGAGGAGCGAGGGGGCGCGAGGGGACGTACGAGACGCAGTGGCCGCCCACTTTCTTGCTGCGCTCGTGCACGGTGCCGACGGGCGCGAACTCCGCGGGCCTGTAGGACACCTTGCGGGCGTCCCCGTGGACGTGGATGACGCGGGCCTCGATCGTCCCGAGCGCGTCGCCCGCGCCCCCGGCCCAGGGCGCGTCCTCGTCGTCTGCCAGACAGTAAGACCACCATCAGCATAAAGCCACACAGGCATGGCGCAACCGCGAGCAAGGAAGTTCAAGGATGGTGATCGGGTGGCGCGTAAGACGAGCAGTATGAGAGGACGCACCCGTGGTCTGGAGGTCCGCAAACTGGAACGGCTGGTACGTGTCCGCAGACTGGGTGCTGATGCCTCGTCTCCGTCCTATCGCTCCCGGAGGGTTGTGTGTCTTCCCGGCGGGACGCCCGTCGAGGAAGGTGCGGAGGCTGAAATGGTGCCCGTCGCGACCGTTGTGGTCCTCCCAGCGGACAGTGAAGCGCTGGAACGGGCACGGTGTTAGGATACGCGCATCATGGAGAATCGTAGAATGGGGAAGTAGAGGTTACAGACGCGGCGGAGGAGAATCTTAGGGCTGGGCAGTAGTTAACGCACCTTTCCGCTCTCGCTTGGGATGAAGCATGTGGTGGTGTTGCCCTCGTTGTGAACTTGAAACTCAGGGATGACCTTTCCCTTGTCGTCGGATATCCAGATCTGGTACCCGTGGAGGAACATGAGGGGCAGAGGCAAGTGGCGTAAGTAGTACCAGTCGACTGTCTCTGCAGCCACATGGCGGGGGTTGCACGGCCCGGTCACGTTCTATTGTGCTCGTCACAGTGTGACACATAACTATCGATGTTACGCTCGGGGATTTCAAGTTTTCAACTGGAGATTAACCCGGAACCGGAAGATGCGCAGGAGGTGACAGAAACGAAACACGTAGTATGCTACATAATACAGATTCATACGCCGAGCGGCCCGGACGAAAGTATGTGTACAAATTGCCTCTCCATTGGCAGAGTCCAAGACCACTCCCTGCTCACACTCTCTGACTCCCGGGTATATCATCAGTCGACCTCCGAACTCAAGCTCTCCTCTGACCGAGCACCCTTCTCCCTCACACTCGCCCCCGCGCTCCCCGACGACGACGACGACGACGACGCGAAGGTGCCGATGCTCTCCTGCGAGCGCGCCTTCTCGCGCACGCTCGCCCCCTCCGCGCCGTCCTCGGCGGGCTCGATCACCACGCACCACAACACCCGGCCCCACGGTCTGTCGGGCGTGCGCTCGCCCTTGGGCAGCCGCTCGCAGCAGACGAACCGCACCGGCTGGCCGTCCCAGTAGCGCATCAGGTCGATCGAGATCCCCCCAGGCAAGCGGAGCGTCACCCCCTCGTGCCGGAACTGGAGGAAGTCGTAGCAGAAGTCGGTCGTGACGACGTCCTGGCGGGGGAGAACGGACGCAGGTGAGCACTCGCACTGCGCGCGACGCGAAGGAGGGAGGCGGGGAAGAGGGCGGAAGAACGGAGATGGGGACGGGAATAACGACGCACATCGGGCCCAAACACGACCTCCTGCCTCCGCAGCGCGTTCGCGAAGTAGCCCCTCCGCTTCGACGGAGTCTCCTTTGGCTTCGCCGCCCGCGCCGTCGCCCCCGGCGTCGTGCGCAGCTGCGACACGTCGTCCAGGATGGGCTCCTTGGGTGGGAACGCGGGCGCGCCCGTTGCCATCCTACGTCGGTGCTGCATATAGGGCATCGTCGCAACGAGAGGCGAGAGCGCCCATGGCTTCTTGCGCGATGCGAGGTCGTGCTCGAGCGTGGGGTCGATGAAGCTGGAGCAGGTCACAGAGGTGGGCGAGGGGAAAGCGCAGCACGAAGGAAGGTGAGAGAGATAGGGAAGAAGGCGGAAGCGATTAGCGTCGCGCTCGTTGGAGCCAGAAGGGTACGTACTTCATGAACTTCAACGCTGCGCTGAAGCCCCAAGGGAGCTTGAACGGGCGGTCGAAGATGTTCCCGAACAGCAGGTCGTCTGCGGAATACTCGCGCAGGAAGCGGCCTGCACGGCGGGCAAGGAGCCGTCAGCCTTTCTTCCACCCGGGCAGCACGCATACAAGCTGGGAGCGGGAAGATGAGAGACGCACCTTGCACCTGGATGCTCCAAGTCACGCCGCTGCGTTTGCGAAAGTAGTCGGTTTCGCGGGCGACGCCTGTGTCGGGGTCTTCGAGGCCTTTGATGAAGATTGCGACTTCGCCCTCGAAGGAGTCCGTCGAGATCTTCACAGGTATGCCTGAGTTCACGTTTACGGGGGTGAGGTCGTCCACGGAGGGACCCGCGAGGACTTGTAGTCGTGGCATGTTGTAGGGAATGTTCGTAGGGAGTGCTGGAGTCGCGTCGTCGTGGATAGTGTGGAATAGCTATGCGCGTAGTCCAGACGCACACGTTGACGGGCAGATATCCCGGAGTCGAGATGATCCAGCGGGAGAGGAGGATGGGGAGGCGGTAGGCCAGCTACGCGCGGGGGAGGAAGGAGTGTTTTTGAGGGAGCGTGGTGGGAAGAACCTGACGTCGAGTGGAAGACGGGGGACGCCACTGTCGTGCCCGCGTCGCTGCATCGAGCACCGGCGTTTGCCGTCTGCGCGATGGAGCCGCTATATCTGGCCGCTCCCGCCGTCCTCCTCCTCGATTCCTCACACGCGCGACTGCGGAGGCACTGCGCGCAGTGGATGGGGGACACGCTCTCGGAGGGCGATGTCGGAGGTGAGAACGCGAGCTCAAACGAGGACGGGGCTCGCGCGCAGTGAAGCGAGTCCGGAGAAGGATTCCCACACGGCACGGTCTTCTCGGACACTGCTGCGCTGCGCGACGGGATGGATGGATTGCTGCCATGCTGAAATCCATCCTGGATCGGATCTGTTACAGTCATACTTGACTGTTTCATCGCGCCTGTAACGCTCTCGAGCAAGAGGAAAGCGAGGCGGGACTGGTTTCGAGAGTGAGATCTGGATATGCACATGCAAACGTCCGGCCCGTTTTCTCCGCTCGATTGGCTCTGATGATGATCATGTCAACGACCAGCTGGACACCACCCACGTTCTCTCCTCCCACTTCTATCTGTGCCCTGGGGTCACTCTACTCGTCCAGTACCAACATTACCTCCCGGGTGCCAATAGCCCCCGATCGCGTAATCCTGGCACACCAGAAGCCCCGCGTGCGCGGACAGCGGCATGGTAGACGTGATATCGCGAAAAATAAGGAAGGGTGCACATATGCGATCCTTAAGACGTCTCAACCTGCGCAGACCCACAGCTACTGTGTGGAAGTACGCGGCAGGTCGCGACGATGGACGCGTTCGCGTGCGTGGGGTCCTCTGGGGGTTCCGCGGTCCGTAACCGAACAGCTCCTCTGAGGCGGGCCCAACATTTCCTCGGAGGCGAACCACAGGCGGATCCGGAGGCTGGCCACAGTGGCTGACCGCTGCCGCAGTCCATATGAACCCGGGCTGCCTCTCGAACTGCCCTTGCTTTTCCTCACCTCAGGTCCGTACCCGATACGTCTTCACTAGTACTTCGCCATCCAACACTGACTCCTCTTGACAGCTCTCCCCCTTTCTCACTGTCGGTCTTGGTTCGAGGACCGGGGTCGCTCCCCGGCCCTCCCGGGCGGTATGGACCTGTTCAGAGCAGGGCGTACGCGGGCCATCCGGCTTAGCGGCGCCCTCCGCGCGCGGCAGGCCAGAGCCTCCGTGCGTGGCTGGGCGCAACCCCATCGAGTCGGAAGCCACGGCGCCAAGTGGTTCAGCTTCCTAGATAGCTGCCGTGGCTTTCGTCCTTCCGCGTGCGCCTGCTGGCGGTGGCAGCAGCGCGGTGTCCTGCGGGGCCGACAGTCCGACTCTACCACTCGTCCTTCCTGCTCCGCTTCGGGACCCGGTGTTTCAAGCCCCCCTCCCCCCCCCCCCTCACCGCCACCCCGTCGGCTCCGTGAGCCGTTCGGGGGACGGTAGGTCTTTCTCGGTGCTTGTATCATATTTCATCCTCTCCCTTCCATGCCTGCAGCTGATCTGCATGGTTCTCCCCGGCCGTATTTTTCTGGCCGCTTCTTCTCCCCTTCGCCTTCACCTTTCTCTTTCATAACACTTCCTGGAGGAGTTCCTCCAGGGGTTGCCCTGAAAGACAAACGGTGTGAAGGAGGTGCGATCGACGTGCTCATATGTTCGTTGGGCGCCTTGTTTCGCGGCCGAAGAGCATGGCCGGGTGATGCCGGCTGTGGGCTACGTTCCAGCTTTGCGCTCGTTGCTTTGACTTTGGATTGTCCACAGGCTGAGTGGCCCAAGTCGCGGGAGGGCCTTTTTCCAGCGCATTCTTCGCACCATCTCTGCATCTCGGCAAATTTCCGAGCTTCTTGGCCCTTCCGGGGGTGTTCCTTGGGCGCTTGTGCCGCACGACCTTCCGCGCCGTCAACACGCGCCTGCAGCGCTGAACTCCTCCGCTCATCTCTTCTTCTCCCCCCACCACCCCCCGCCCTCGCCCTCGCCGCCTCTCCACTTCCATCGCGATCGACAGGAAACCTGGACAAACGGAACACGCAGCCATGTCGCTCGTCGGCTCATACGTCGCGCTGCGAATCAACCCGAAGGCGATGGTCGCGGAGTACGGCGACGGCCCGGTCCTCGCGGTGGCTAGCGCACTGGGCACGCGCAGATACGTCGCGCTGGTGGTGCAGGTGCGTCCTTCATACCCCCCTCCCCATGCGCAGATCCCCTCGCCGCCGGAACTCTCCCCCGCGCGCTCCCCCAAACGCAATATTCATATCATCACGCAGGAAGTCCTCCCCCAGGCGCTCATCTATCCCGGGTGGCGCACATATCGCCTCGCGTTCCTGGGCCGCCATGACGCGCCCAAGCACCCCCACGACCTCCTCTCGAGCGCGTGCGTCGCCGCGCTCGCACACGACGACCCCACCGCGGTCGCGCTCGCCCCGTGGCGGGTGCTCAGCGCCGTGCGCCCGTCGCGCGCGCTGCCGTTTCCCGCCGGGCAGCAGTGCTGCCACTGGGTCTCGCTCCAGGACGCCTTTGTCCGCGTGCACGAGCAGTCCCTCGCCCACGTTCAGCCCCTAGCCGAAGACAACGGGGGCCCCGCCGACGGCACCGACCACGCGCGCGCCTGGACCGTCGCGGAGCGAGACGTCCGCAAACTGCTCGCGGCCGCGCGGCGGTGCGAGGCGGACCGCGCGAACGTCCGCGCCGTGCTCCCGCCCCCCGCGGGCCGCATCCGACGGGCCGCGGCGGTCCCCGTCCTGCAGCACCCTCGCCCGGCGCAGTTGTATCCCGGACAAGAGTTCGGCGTCCTGCCCCCCGCAGCGCAGGGAACGTCGCTGAACCAGCTCGCGGACCTCGCGCTCGCCCCGCCGCCGCTCACCCCGCCGCCACTCACCCCGCCGCCGCCGCGCACCTTGAGCCCAGCGGACACCGCGGCGTCGGCGTCGGGCTCGGAGCTCTTTGAGCGTGTGCACCCGCGGCTCGACGACGACGCCGCGAGCGTATACTCGACGGACCGCGAGACCGATGCCACCCCCGCGTCTTCGTGTCCGACGCCGTCGCCGGTGCCGTTCCCCGCGCAGAAGGCGCAAGTGGAGGAGGAGGACGAGCCGCTCGACCTCTCCATCCCTGCAGACATGAAAGCGGAGGACGCGCCGTTCGTCGACGTCAGTTTAGACCTGGGCGCACTGGAGGACGTCGCGAGCCCCGACGAGTTCTTCATGGAGCGCAAGGTCGTCATGCAGTACGTCCGCCCTCCCACGCTCCCCGCTCCGCCGCAGGCTCACGCGCCGTCTCCCCTCCGCGCAGGCTCGTCCAGAAAGCGAAGGACCGCCAGCGCAACGAGCTCACCTCGCCCTCCGTCACGCTCTCCCTCCCCGAGCGCGCGCCGCGCCCGAACAAGCTGAGCAAGCGCGCCCGCCCCTCGCACGCGCGCGCGCCGAGCGCCACCTCCACCCTCGCGTCGATGTCGGTGTCGATGTCCGCCGTGTCGATCCGGAGCGCGCCCACCGAGCTCGGGGTGCTGGGCCCGCGGTTCGCGCTCGCGCCGTCCGGGCACGCGCGGAGCCTCAGCGCGGGGCAGCAGGCGGGCGGCGGGCGGTCGCAGACGACGCTCGCGTACGTGCCGCACAGTGCGCAAGCGCGCTCTGAGTCCAAGGCGGAGGCCCGGGTTCAGGCTCAGGTGCGAAACCCGACCAAAACGCGACGGCCGCCGTGCGGGCTCGTCAAGACGCTGAGGCGGGTGCTGGGCAGGCCGCACGAGCCGCTGTGAGTGCTGCCTGGCTATATGCGCGTCTCTTTTTATTCCTTGTGGCTGTGGGGCTCTGAGGGAGAATATGCTTCCGCTCCTCCGAATATGTCGGAACTTGGCGCGTTTTACGACCGCTGTGCTTTGCTGTGCACTAGCTAATTTCACGAACACTTGATGCTTACATGCCGTACCTTATGGATATCGTAGTGCAGAGGCTGGGGGTACATTCAGGGGATACATTCAGATGTCCACGAGTACGCTCGATATACAACTTGATTGCATAAGACACGATGGGCTAGGAGCCAGGAGCTGGGTTGTTTCTAGAGCAATCCCTTCAAGTGCCTCAACATGTAAGCGGACATAGAAAATCTTGCTCCAATAACGTGTGGCTCCTCTGGGATTCGAACGAGAGGCGCCTTGTTATGGACGACGTTCAGTTCGATCCCAGAGCTGAAGCATGCAGCGGCTTGACGCCAAAGGGTTTGCGATACCATTGGCTTCAATGTCAGGAGCACAGTACTTGAGAAGACGATATGACGAATAGCGAAGGTTGAGACTTACGGCTCGCCCATCACAAGGTTGTCACCCGTGTTGACCGACGGAATCAGTCCCAGTGAGCTAACCAAAGCAGCAGCGGTATCAGCACTGCAAGGAGAATATAAGTGACAGCTTTACATCGAGGAAATGAAGTACGGACGAGAGGTCACCGTAGAGCGGGGCGACTATGACGTCATCGATTTTTCATGCGCGCGAGTACCATCCATGGCGCCGAAACATGGTCGCTGGTGAGATGGCTCAGCGTTGCGTAGAGCCCTCGAAGTCACTGGTAGAGGGCACTGACCCCACGAACTGCTCCTCGATCTTGACTCCATCGAAACGAAGTACTGTTCATCTTAGGATGGGACGTTGTCCCACGGATTGTCTCTCTGAACAGATCATCCCTGACCGGAAGAACGCTCGACTTGTGGATGATGGTGACTTGCTGCTGCGCGCGTTGGCTCATGTGGGTTCGGAGACGGAAGTCGCAGTCATCTTGCGCGGGGAGAGCTGTCAAGAGGAACCGGTGTCGGCTGGCGAAGCGACGACGTATCGAGTACGGACTGAGGGAAGTTGGAGGAGTGGCGCAGGTTCATATGGGCGCGACCGCGGCCAGCCATGATCTGCCCCCGGGGAGCTGGTCTTCCTCTGGCCAGGGGGCTGTTCGGTTCGGTGGTGGAACGCAGAAACATTGGCAGGCCTTGAGTCCATCGCCTCCACCGGAACTTTTTCGCGCCGGTGCCGACCGAACCGGATGTCTAGGATCGAAAAAGAGCACGAGGTGCGCTTATGTGTCCTTTCTGAACCTGTAAAGCCTCGGTGGATGAGCGCGCTCAGAGGAGAACCGACGCGCTTGATGGTATGCAGCACGATACGAGCTGGATGGAGTGGTGGATTAGGTCGGTAAAGAAGATATGCGGTAAGATTAAGGCCAAAGGTGACACTACGCTACAAGCCGACAGTGGAGACCTTCGTCTCCAGTCCCTCGTAGAGGCGATCCCGGATGACCCATGGCGTGTACTGCCACATGCGCTTTTGGAAGACGAGATACTCGACCACTGGGCGGACTTCACTCTGGCTGACGAGAGCGCCAGTCTTGTTTAGTCGTGTCTCCACGCTCTGCACACGAGAAACGTCAGGGCTCCGCTGGTGTAAATGTCTCGCGCAGCACACACTAACCTGCAACGTGTCGAATCGGACGAGGGCTTGTACAAGCAGAGTGCTACCGTGTTCCGGCTGCCTGCTGCCAACAAAAGAGTCTCGTGCGCGTAAGCTCACCACCTGGCATGGTGTCCGCTCTCCGTGGAATCTCCAGACTTGAGAGTATCGAGGGTCCTGACTGTGTATAATCTTGTTGTACTCTTGGACCATGCTTCCGGTGGACAGTGACCTGATCTTCTTCGTATCACGGCTGCAAGGAATGAGTGGGGAAGCATCGTACTCAAGAGGAATACGCACGCTGCGATGGCTTCATTCAGTTGCAGGTAACTCTCTAACGCTCCCTTACGGAACGGCGCAAGCCAAGACGTAGATCTCGTGGAATGAGAGAAGAAAAGCTGCGGGCTGAATGGCGACTTGACCTTGATCCCAGGAACCGACTGAGCTTTGGCCATGTAGTACATACTACACAAAAGTAAGAGGAAACCTGAAGAGAAAGAGCTGGAGCCACTCACGAGATCATGTTGTGGAACCGATTCCGTACGTTTTTCGAGAGCTGAGTCAAATGATCAAAGAGTCCCGCTCCTGACTTCTTCGCGAACATTGTGGGGATGTGGAGGTCTACGCAGGGTGAGACCTCTCGAAGGACGCATTCATGGATGCAGCTCACCTGAAAGCTCGACCTCCATACTATTCACGTCCGCCGTCCCACTGTCTTGTAGCCACCGCACGCGACCCATGAGCTCTAGTGCTTCCTCCTTCGACTTCGGGGCTTCAGGCGGAGGAGGTTTACGCGCTCGCGGAGCATTGGCACTTGCGACGTAACATCGGTGCTGGACGAGAAGAGAGGTCCCAGGTCGCCAGTAGAAAGGGGCGCGGTGAAGCGCTCTGAGGGCAGGCCGTGTTGTCGAGAGGGTCATAGTCATCGAGGGATACGACGGAGAGAACGTTCCGGACGGTCCTCGAAGGTGCGCGCACCGTCCACGGCGGACGCGTCGGACTCGATCGGTGCCAGCACGACACGTGCACGCACGTGGCGCCGAAATTCGTCTCGTCGCCGCCTGGCCGTGTCATCGGCCGTGTCTGCACCTCTTGCTTGCACTCCACCACCACCACCACCTCCTGCTCTTGTCTCTGCTTTACTAGTCATGGCTGTACGTGTCGTCGACCATCATTCTTGCATCCATGCTAACTCTGGTGCTATCTCCAGCGTCAGTCTCGCTCCTCTCGCCCTGCTGCCCGTCCCGCCGCACCTGCTGCTCAGCAGACCCGCAGCGCGCACACCGCCGCTGCCCCCCACCCCAGTGCGGGCTACCCGCCTGCGCATGCACCCCCGGCGCCGCCCCATGCCGCGCAGGCGTCGTCCGGCCAGCCAGGCATGCTCGCGCAGATGGCTGCCACTGCGGGTTCCGTCGCCGTTGGCTCAACGATCGGCCACGGGCTCTCCAGCATGCTCTTCGGCGGCTCCTCGCACCCCGCCCCCGCCCCGGTCGACCAGGCCGCGCCCGTGCAGCAGCAAACGTACCAGCAACCCCAGGGTATGAGCTGCGAGATTCAGGCGAAGGGTGAGTGTCGGACTTATGCGGACGGTCCGACCGGGAATGGGTTGCTGACCGAGCGCGTTTCGGGGTTAGATTTCACGAAGTGTCTCGAGGCCGCGGACGTGAACGCGTGCTCGTGGTACCTCGAGCAGCTCAAGGCCGTGAGTTTTCCGTTCCGTCCTGCTCTCCCACGTGGCTGTCGGCCGTGAGCTGACGTTCCGCCCTCTCCGTAGTGCCAGGCTGCGGCGTCCCGCTACACGGGCGCGTAGAGCCACCTCAGAGATCTTTTCCTCGTTGTTCCCAGGGACCAAGGATGTTGCGGCACCTGCCGTCTAATGTAGTGCTGTGGCTACTATCCCGTGTTCAATGCGACGCCCACCACTCGTTCTCAATCAGCATACGTGAGAGCGCGTGAGAGCTGCAAAGGCTGCAGGTACGCCCTTGCCGTCTAATTCCAAGACAATACCTGTCCCTTGCTCCCATGCCATCGACGGTCGTCGGGAGTGTGACGTATGAAAGATGTCGAGTTCGGAAGGTTTCGGACATTGGCGGCTCATCGTCCGATCGGGCGGATTGAGTTTATCGAACGTCCGTTGGGTCCGTTAACTGTGGCGTCATTCAGAGAGCGAGAAGCCAGGCCGGCAGGGTTTCTTAAGCTAACGTATTGTGGTATGATAGTCTCACGCCGGTCAATCGTTGAAAGCTCCATCAGTCGCTTTCCCGGAGGTATTAGATGTTCTCCTGGCTGTAGTCATGACCAACTTTCTATCTAAGTCACATTGGTGTGTGGGCTCTCGAGGTATATGGGAATTGAGCATGCGCGTATGACGCCACCTGCCCTGGCACGAAGGAATTTTCTACTCAATCTCTCACACCGTTCTTCTCCGCTGCTCTCCCCGCCGGAGAACAGGCATCTAGAGCACGAAGAAGTAATCAGCGTTCGGCTTCTTGGCTCATCAGGCCCATTTTCTTATCAAACTAGGCCCAAAAGTGCAGATAGTCCTCCACGGCGCACGGAAACGCAACTTCTGGTTTTGGGGTACGGACGGAGTACGTACTGAGCATTCTTGAGGCGGCCTGAGACTGGCACATGAGCTGGCCTTCGAACAGACGCTCCAAGTAGAGTTTGCGGTCAAGGGGCTGCAATGCTGAAGTTGCACTGTGAAGCTGCAGCGAGAAAGAGAGTCGATGTATGAGTCGAAAAGAGCGCCTAGTTGCGTGCGTCAGATCAACGGCCCGGTCGAGACCCGTTTCGTTTTAGTAACTCCTCTGTCAACTACCACATCATCACCCTTGCTTGCATTCTCCGCGCCTGCTCCCCGGGCTCTGTCTGCGTGCTTTTGCTGCCATGCAACAAGGCTCGCATTCAGGCGCTCACGCTCTGACTAACTTTAACTCCCACAACTCTCCGGTATGTTGGCTGTTTTCCGTCGACCGTCCGTTCTCCCAGGTCGGTGCTTCGTTCAAACATTCTGCAAGGTTTCTCAACACAGTTTCCCGACAATCGTGGGTCTACTCCCGACAGCTGACGCATAGTTTGCGGGCAATGAACTGTGCGAGTGACCAGGGAGGACATAATAACATCCCGGTTTCGCATTGCTCGACATGTGAGTGATTCTCGCGGCGCATATATTCTGCTCTTGACAAAGGGAACCACCTCTCGGGATCACCGGGCACGGCTCGCCGTTAACCGGTAGGCTCACAGCTAACTCCCCACGGGGAAGGCAAGAACCGCTCTTCTAAGTGTTCCTCTCTGGTTGCGATGGCGCCGTCTCGTGTGGATATTCATCTCACGCCGACAATTTGGTACTTGCAGGAACCATCGCGGCACCGAGCCTCCCAAGGATTTGGCGCCGCTGCCCAATGTTTGTGGCTGGGCGATTTGAAGGGTTTGCTGTCAACATCTATTGTCCATTCTTCCCGATCATCCTCATAAAACTCGCCTGCGTCCTCGGATCCCAACTAATGTCGACTTGGCGTTTGAACATGGTCCGATGAGCTCAAGGTCAACGTGGTCAACCTGCCGTAACGCTCAATCTCCACGTCGTCGGCATACATCTCGTGCTCCCCGCCAATACTCCGCCTCGTTCTCGCGTCGGGCATCGTGATCATCGACCTCAGAGTTCTTTATTCATGCCACATCATTTATTCACCGCCTTCCCTGACTCCAGCCTCGATCGACCTCCCTCGGACGTTATAGGGTCATGAATGCTCCCAGGCAAGGCACTTCCACTATACCCATTGGCGGCATCCCGTTTATTGCGCGCTCGGAGCCGCCATCGACTTCTTCGCCGCGGGACCGTTCACGCGGCGTCGCGTGGCTTAACGTGGCTTTGAACACCCACTCTCCTCGTTGCTACCATACGTCGCGCGCCGTCATCGACCTGAGCGCTTCCCACGACACGCTCTTTCAGCCCTTGTGACAGAGGACGTGTTCCCGCGTTCATGCGGCTCTGCGCTGAACTCAAAACCTCGACGGCCCGACATTGCTCTTCCAAGCAGCGGTGATGAATGAAAGTGCGTGTTTCCTCTCACACATCTCCAAGTCTTATCACCGCCGCGCATATTTCCGACCTCCAGTGTTCAGTGCCCTGCATCTCGAAGCCAACGATCCTCGGCCTTCCAGAAGTTTGTAAAATTTAGTGCAAATGGCTCTCAAGAACTCAGCCCTGTAATTCAGATATGAATGTGCCTTTGATATGTTTCCTTTCCCCGGGCCGTCATAAGCCAGGCGTAGGCATGCACGCAGTAAGCGTTCATTCCCACGTCGGATCTCGTGACACCATCCCGACATCGTCGATATTCTTCGATTCCCGCGCTCAGAGCTATCACGACTTGCACGGAGCCCACCGCACCATGGCGACCTGTCGCTATGTTGGTCCCTGCTGTGGGCGCGTTCACTTCGAAGAACGCTGCGGGACACAACAGGCTGCCATAGGAGCCCATGTTCAGGTTCTATGCACTGTCCACAACTCCATAGGTGGGAGGTGGGTGCCAGCCCAAGCCGGTGGAGACTCACCGTGCTCTCACAGAGCTTGACGACGCCCTGGGGCGAACATTCCTCGAGGACAAAGTTCGGTGGCGCGCAGCAGCTTCCTTACTGGAAGGTTCGAAGCCCGCCGCCCGCGGCCGCCCTCGGTGGTTTATGACCTCCAGGGCAAGGCGCTACATACCCGCATGCGAGTGAGTTTGCGTTGTTTTGTCGACTTCTTGAGCCTATCTTCTCGCCCCCATTCAGTCGTTCTGTGCCCGCAGGTTTCGGAACTGCGGTCGCGACCATGCTCGCTCCGCCCCGCGAGCTCCGTTCGCGCAGCCCGTGCTCCCCAGAACTCATACCCGGTGCGCCGCTTTTGGTTTCTTCCCGCGATAATTGTCTGGTTTGCGGCGCGGTTGCTGACGGGAGGAGTCACTGAGGCTTGGCCCCAGATCCCGCTCAGAGGCAATCTCGGACCGCTGCTGGGAAAACGCTCTCGCACCTCCGCCACGGAAAGCATCGGGTTAGCACTTCTCACCGTCGCCGCTCTGGGTGTCCACCGGGCGGCGCGCGAGCCACGTCCAATGATGGATCAAGTCATTGGCGGCCGCATGAAGGATGGTGGTGTTCGGAGTCCGGACGGGTTGGGATCGCCCCGCTCGAGGCCGTTGAGGAGGTTAGTGTGCACGTGGTCCACATGGCGCGCATGTTTGTAGACATCCGATGACGATCGCCGGGGCTTGACTGTCGCCGGAGCTTGACGGGCTAGCTGCGTCTTGCTGCACGACGGGTCACAGGGTAAAAATCATTGTCAACGGTGAGAGCGAGAACGGCACAACCCATCTCGCAAAGGCGCCTATCTAGAGCTACGGCCGGAACAGCGGGAGCTTCAGCTTCGGACGTCCTCACGTCCCCACAGACGATTCGATTTCCAGGACGTTCTTGAAAGCAGCGGATGAGGGCGGCAAGAGGAACGGGAGTAGGAGAGTGGGCGTTGCATCAGCATTTGGCGGGCATCATAAGCAAGTATGGGGCAAAATTAAAGTGGCCGGCGAACCCTGGAGGCACCGATCCTCAACGCAAGGGGCCGCCGCGCCAAATTAAACGGGTCGACGATGCGCCTCCACCACCATCAACGTGTTCTGCGAGACTGCAACTAGCTGCAGCCACCACCAGCGGCCCCCACCGTCGACGAGCACTACGGGTGCAGTGGTCCTCGCGACGACGGTGATGCGCTCTGCGTCATGGTTTTGCGCTTGATCGCAAAGGCAAATGCCCGGACGTCCTGCCCAGAGCGGTGGGCGACTCGGGCGGGGCGCGTCAAGGAGAGGCCGAAGATGCGGAAGCGCCCGCGGGCGAGAGGCTTCTGACCTTTCTGACCGGAAAAGGGCGGTCGCAATGGTGTGTAATTACGGCAAACCTGGGGCTGAAACGGCGTAGTGATGCCAGCAACTAGCTTGCGCGACTTGTGGTAGTCTGGCGTTGGACGCCGAGCTTTATGTACATCTGTGCGGGACGACGTGTGCCCGTCGGCGGCCGGGCTCGCACGCGATGTCGCGCGAGGCAGGGGCGGGCGGACGGCGCAGCGGTCGCCGTTGAGGTCAGAGGGCGTCGTTTCCCGAGTTTGGTTCACGTGCGCGGAGGGCATCGCGGCGAAGGTGGACATCACGGGCCACGGCGCAGGTTCCGTTAACGTTATACTACTACTTGTCGTTAGAGGATTGGCGAAGGCGGAGCGTTGCTTAGGGCGTACGTCAGTCCCAGTGTCTGGACTCGGGGCGCTCCTCTCGGAGATGTGCGCGGCGGACACCGATGAGGCATATATCTATTTGCCGCTATAGGAGGGGTATCCGACAAACCAGGGAGGGTTGCGCCGGTGGATGTGATGCGTCAGCAGAAGACGGTTTGAAGGATGTCCGTTAGTTGGGCGACAAAGACGGTCTGCGGCGGAAGTGGTGCAAAGCGTGCAGACGACGGAAGGGGCAACGAGGGCAGGTTGTTATGTGAGCACGGAGGGGGGGAGGCGCAGCATTGTCGTGGGCAGCGCGGAGCGATTTGCGCGATGGCGAGCGTGGGAGGTGGGAGGGGCGGCGGATGCGGATTGGGCGCGGCGGGCGTCTTGGTCGCGTGGGAGGGAAGGCCCTGGAGAGGCTCGGCAACGGGCCACCGGCTGGATCGGAGATCGTGATGCCCCCGGGCGGTGGGTCTCTGAGCGCGGTGCGCCGGTGCCGTCGACGCGGGTCCTGGCCCTCCAGATTGTAACTTATAAGTTTCCTCCAATGCCGCCCGGACGCCTTCCCCTGGCCAATGCCTTTCGCTCGCTGTCTGCCACCCACCACCATCTCCCGCTCTCGTTGACTCCCTCCCCTCTGAACCCCCTTCTACCCACTAGCATCGCGTGCGATGTACCGCCGACCAACCCTGCGCCTCGAGCCCGACATCACCAGGGAAAAACGATCGACCCTCTACGAACTGCCGTCCGCGGGTGCAAGCGATGACTACCCCCACAACTCCGTCTTCCGGTGCGTCCGTTCTTCGCATTGGCTGCGCATACACCCATGTAAAGCCTCTCCCTCGCTTCCCTCTTCTGCGCGTGCGCATACATGCAGCTCGGCGCAGCTCGAGGTCCACGTCCGCAGTCAGTCCATAAAGATTCACCGCGCAGCGAACTACGACATCCGCTCCCTGCCCGTCTTCGGAGACCATGACAAAGTCTCGGGCAACGTCCTCCTCGACCTCAGCCTCTGCTGCGCCCCCGGGCGTTTAACGGTCTATGTGCGTCTCCCACCTGCTTCCGCTTTTGGCAAGTTTCCTGACCCATCCTATCCGCACAGCTGCAAGGCTCCTTCCTCTTTGCATCCCCCAATATCGGCAACCAGGAGCTTGACGACTACGCAACGCCCAGGAAGGAAAAGAACCGCCATGTATTCTTCACCGCGTCCGAGTCGCGCCCCACCGGCGAGCTCGATTCCCCACGCTCGACGACTTCCCTGCGCGACGCATTTACCGCAAGCGTTCGTTCACGTCAGCGCCGGCCCAGCCAGTCAGCACTGCGGGGAGCGCTCCGCCCGTTTCCCTTCTCATTCGAGATCCCTCGTCCGGAACAATCAGGGCAAGAGCTCCCCCCGACATTTTCAAGCGTCGCCTCGAGCGAAATGGGACCGCGGGGACGCACCGGAGTCGAGCGCGCAGAGGTCTCGTACTCCGTCACCGCGGTTTGGGAGGCGTTCGATCGAAGTGACCGCATACTGTAAGCTCCACTTTGCAATCCGCTTATCATACCTCACTCACGGGACCACACGTATTTTAGTGTCGAGGCACCCATCATCTACCAGCCAGAAGCCGACTTCCAGTCTCTCGACGGACACGCCATGCAGGGCGAATCCTGGCTAGAGATCCCGCTCAAGGCGGACAGGCCGGTACCGTTCTCGTGCGCAGTGAGTGCTCTATCCCCCACTTACCGCCTAGACGCCGACACTGACCAATGATGGTTATGTTCTCGCTTTGGTTTCGAACCTTCACCGCCAACGTGTTGCCACAAAATTTTCTTCCCTTCCTCCCGGTCTCAGGTGACGATCCCGCACCCGGCGACGTTTTCCCGCTCCAGCGCAATCTCGTACTTTGTTGTCTTCACAACGACCCCGCGGTCTGCGACGCTAGCCAGGGAGATCGCAGCCGACGCGACCATCTCTGTGTCTCTCCTCCGCGACGTTCGCATCGACATGCCCCCGGCACGCCCCGGTCATATCTCTCCCACATCGTCAAGTCCAACGACTTCGGGCGACGAGTCGGACGCGCCGCCCATAGCGAGAAATAGGCTCCTCCGCCGGGTCGTGCGTAATCCGGGGCGCACACTCGTTCGCACTGCATCCCTTACCCGCCTTAACTCCCGAGGCAGCGCTAAAGACCGCGACCGGGAGAAGCCGCTCCCTCAACTGCCTCCGCAGGGGATCGTCGAGAGCCGGGTATTGCACACCGACGTCTCGATCGGATTCCCCAAGCGTCCCAGGTTTCGCATGGAGCCAAACCAACGCCACCCGTCGTTAGATGAGTACAACACGCTCCCCGACGGCCTATACAAGGGGCGGATAGGGTTCGAGAAGCACATGATTCCCTCCTTCGACTGGGTTGGCTTGCGAGTCAAGGTGCGTCATCCTTTCATTTAGCTGAGGGCGGTTGCTGACGTTGTGTGGTTACCCAGTATTATCTGGAAGTAACGGTCATCGTTGGTCAGGACCAGATGCGCGCGCGCGTGCCGCTCCGCATAACATGACCCTGTTCTCGCTTTCACTGGTTGCTCTGCGATGCTTTGGCCGGTCCACGACACTACGACATCTGTTCTTGCCTTGTAGGCTTGCTTGTCCCTGCCTTCCATCCGCTGGTCGTGGTCTCACACCCTTCCCTGCCCTTCCCCCGCATTACATCCACTCTCCGCGGCTCATTTATTAACAAACGCGACATCGCCGCTCCGCTGAGTCCCCCCATCTCAATTTCCCTGCTCAAATCCACGGTATCATACACAATTTCGCCATCATCTGCACCCACCCGCACGCTCCCACCACGCCCCATCATGTACATACACCCGATCCCCCAGCCATTCGATACCCCGGGCCCCCGCTTACCCGGGACGCCACTTCCGCTCCCTTGCACCCCGCGACCCCTCTACCCATATGTACGTACCTACTCGCCGATGCGCCCGCCTTTACTTTATCTATCCACTCTACGTTCTACCCTCACACCCGGTTTAAACGTCCCGCATCATTCGTCTCTCTCGCTGCCTCGGCCGCTATCCTGTCCATGCTGTCCATTTCTCGCTCCTCGCTACCACACGCGCACATACACATGCCGCAGAATGCCACAAGCTTTCACATGTAGCTTCCTGCCGTCGTGCGCGCGCTGGTCGTTTCGGTTGTCTTGTATCATCAACCTTTTTCGTTCGTTGGTCTGTTTTCGTTTCGCTCCCACACGCTCCTTTAGACTGTATAACTCCTACATAGAAGTCGAATAGGTACGGGAGCACCGCCGAATGAAACGTCAAAGTCTCAGAAATCTCCCCCTCGCGTGCGCCCCGTTGGCCCCCATGCCCAGACCCGACCAGTGCGCATCGCCAGAGTCTCCGAACCATTCGCCTTTGCACGCTACTCCCTCGACCGACGACCGTGCCTGCCCGCACGTGCGCACGCGCGCCCAGACCGGGCCTTCCAGCATCCACGGACCACTGGTACTGCCAGGCACTCCCGCCGCGAGGCTCAACGTTCAACGTTTCGACGTTCACGCGCACGGTTGCACGCGCCCCGCGGGACGGTCCGCTCGGCTGGCCTACGCGATCGACCCGACGGGCATCGAGGGGCGCCCGCCCGGTGCCGAGCCGACCGGTGACCCCGGACCAGCCCGGACCCTGCGGCCACGGCGAGCGCGCCAGGCACGCTCGCCAAGGGCTTGAAGTTGCCGCCTGCGCCGTGCGTCCCGCGGGGCGCGGGGGTCCCCAGGCGATCGCGACGTCGGGTATTAGGCTGGGCGAGTAGGGAGGGGAGGCGACGCGTGTCCTGTGAAGCCGATGGCGGGAAGCGTAGACCAGGGCGGGGTGGGATCGGGCGCGGGGCGGGCGGCGAACAGAGACTCGGAGCACGCTTTGAATGAGGGATGTCGTCGGCTGACCGCGCGGACGGTGGGGTTTTCCGATTCGCGTCGTGGCGGCGGGCCTGTTGCGCTGCTTATGTGCAGGCGGCGGGTGGAGCTTGCTGTTTGGCGGGCCCTGGAGGGCACGTCAGTGAGGGCCTCAAGGGGATGAAACGATGCTTGTCGGGCGATCTGTCGACTGCTAAAACCTCCGGGCGCAGAAGTAGAGCTCGTGTGCGCGTAGTAACGTAAGGAGGCTTCCCGCCAGGCCCGCGCATTTACATACCGTGCGGGGACCGCGGGTTCGAGGGGCCCCGGCACAACTTGAGCTCGGGCTCGAACGGCGACAAAGCAACGTCCGCGCACGGCGCATGGCGGGAGGTGAGTGGACGCGCTTCGACGGCGTGGAAGCCCGTGCGTGTCGTACTTGCGCTCGACATCTCTGTCCCACGCCAGACCCCGAGGTGAATTTTCACGTAGAAGGTCTGCGGATGCATGTCACCAGTCATGACGTTGGTACCGTCACCACTCCCGTACGCCATCAGCTACTTAGAAGGTGGAACGACTCGCCAGGTGGGTGCGCCCGTGCGCCGGCCACACCTTTGTCAGGGATCGGCTTACTGAGAGGGCCCACGGGATGATGACCGCAGCGCGAGCGCACGAACTGTGAGCTCATCATCGCCCCTCGCGCCGGTGGTTGGTTTGAGATTTCCTCTTGGCTGACTCTCATCTCTGTGTGTTGAACAAGACAATGAACACTACCAAAACAAGACAACGTACGTACAATACAATACAAATGACGGCGCACCGCAGACAAGACTTGTGCGCATGGACGACGACGTTGGAAGGCACGAAACCAGGCCCATCAACGGGCTGCGCGAGAAGGCGTGGGTTCCGGGAAGGGCCCACCTCTCAGGGGGTGGGCTGACTCAGGGACAGGGCCGTGGGGATATGTTTTCTGTCGCGTTCTGATCCGGATAATCGTTCATCGCGCGCAGATTGTAGAGTTTGCGGCGGACTTCATTTTGCGATAATGGAGGAAAGACGGCGATGTTGTTTCCAGAACTTCCGATGATGTGCCAGCCCCGTGATGGTGCGGGGTGGGAGCGCGCGTCGGGCAGAGCGTGGTGGAGAGAGCGGAGAGGACGTGGTTATAAGTCTGCGAGTTGGACTGCACCCGTTGCTGCCACTGGCGTACAGTACAGAGTCCGTAAGCGGCGGGATCGAGAAGGTCCAGGAACGCACCAGGTAAATTTTTGCGCTCTGTGAGAGGTGGCCCTACTGCACCCAGCTGGGACGCTCGTGGCGTACTTATCCAACGTCGCCCGTGTGCCCAGCGCCCAGCGCTCAATGCTGCTCACGACGGTCTCCGCTCGGAGATTGTGGGTGATTGCAAACGGTGGTCAATGATGTCGAAGGAGGTCACGACTCCCGGGTTGAGGACCACGGCTGCCTCGCTGCATTCGCGGGAAGATCTGAGTAGGGTCATCTTTGATCCGCCGGCGACTGCTTGACGACGTCGATGATGGGACCGGACAACTCGTAAGCCTGGGACTAAGTACAGCCGCGGAAGGAAATGCTCACACCATTTGTGATCAGAATGTTCGAAGATGGGACGCCGACTCATCAGTTGGAATTTGGAGTGGGATGTGAGCTGTCGGCTAGCGCAGCGTGCCCGAGTATTCATGCGCACCGAACCAGATCTGAAGGAGCAGCGATACAGAGCCCCATTAACATGGGTACACCCACCTCAATAGAGAGGTCCAAAGGACCTCAATGTGTTCAAGGATGTGTTTACTGCGAAGGTACTTACCTTGAACGTCAATCGCCGCCGTGCATCCGCTACCCCAATCGCATCGTCGAGGATCGCCCATGGGGTTGGTGTCGAAACGAGATGACGGAACAGTTTGCGCTGACGTGACACAGAACACTCGTTTCATGCGCCCTGCTGCACCTGAGATCACAATGTTAACGGCAACATGGACGGTAGAGGTAACTCAGAACCTGTACTCATAATCCATCATGAGCGTCGGCTGGTATGTGCGAGGGATTTCAGTCCCGCGTGCTGGGCTTGGGATCCATGCTGGCATGATTATCAGCCGCTCCTTTCGGATATCGCTCATGCGGGGTGTTGGGATAAGTAATGGGCTTGACTGTGCTCGAAACATGTGGAGAAGCGAAGGGATACGGCGGCGGCGCAGCTATCGTCATACTTTGTCAGGCTGAATTTCGCACATATATCCAAAGGTGCTGAGGTCTACAAGTTGAGTAGCTGTGGCATGCGTAAATATTCTAGATACTGGATTGATTATAGAACCTATTAGATGCCGTACCCTGCACTGGCCCGCACGTGGACTCGGCGTTAGAAATGAGCTTCAGATTCACAGCATCCACGAAAGCATCTGGATTGCCTGGTGAAGAGTCGAAGCAAAAGACTGGAACAGGGATTCTGCGGCGACCGTCACAGATTGACTGAACTTCCCGTGTGGGACTCGCCGCGTGCTGCAGATCGTTTCCCACGAATAGGCTCGGGCTTGGCCGAACTTGTTCTGTCCACTGCCTTAGAACTTCCGTGGTCTGCCTTCCTTCGTCAGAACATCAGCCCTATCATGGGGATGCATGTGGACTTATAGATGACGGGAAGCATCACCAGGTCTCATAGATGCTGTATTTCCTCACGCCGTGCAGGCTCACCGGATTTACATATGTACCGTCTCCCAGACATGCCATTCGTCCGTCAATTGCACAACAGCATCGCAACAGAGCTCTGTTCCAGGTACTATGTAGTAGCATCAGCATCAATATTGACTATATTTCCTGGCGCTAGTACAGGTTGGGTCAACTTCACCGGCTCTCAACTAGTGTTGATGCTCAATATGCAGCTTTATTATTATTATTATTCTCATTCTATCCCTATGTGTCACATATGAGCGCGTGTAACTACACAGCTAAGAACGTATCCCGCATTCGTGCTCAATATGCAGCGTCCGGTGACGACTGGCCAGTACTACTTGAGGCGCGCACATGTGACACGTGATCAAGTTGCCGTACAGAGTGCCGCATACATCCTGCACTAGCCAACTCCCCATGTCCTGATACCTCGCGTCGCCTCCCCATTCCATCTTGTCATGACCGACCATCCAGCGCTATCATGGGAGGCTATGCAAGACGGGACCATCTTCTACAGGCGACACCAGCTGTACACCATCCCTGACAAGCTGCCAGGCGACCTCCGCGACTTCATTGTTGCTGGGTGTCGGTATGGCGGACCCATTGGCATGTCGCCCTCATGCTTGTATGCACTTTTTCTCACAGATTTCTCTAGCTGTAATGCGAGACACGACCAAAATGGTCGTCATTAGTCGCGGGGGGCCGTCCTTCTCCAAGTCTCAAATCCAGATATATTCTCCTGCGGGGGAGGCACTCTTGCTCTTCAGTGTGTGTGTGCTCTCATATTTTTCTTTGAATGTACGCGCACTACTGACCGCTCGCGATCGCGCAGTGGGACCAAGGCAAGATCATACGTTTCGGGTGGACGGGTGACGAACGTTTGGTCGTCCTCAACGAGGAAGGCGTGTACCGCATATATGACCTTCAAGGCGAATATACCCAGTACTCCCTCGGAAGTGAGGCGGGAGAACTTGGCATTGTGGACGCAAGGATACACGAGTCGGGGCTCGTCGCGCTCACCGGTCAACTGACGTTCTTGGAAGTGAAGGAGTGGACGGGCGGAAAGCCGTTGACATTGGCAAACCCTGGTGCGTGCTCGTATACCTCTACTGTTCATCCAACATGGACTCAGAATGCTCGTCCTGCTCCCGCCTCCTCTCCCACGAACAGGACTGGCCCAGCCACCACAGTCATGGACCGTCATTCCCCCAGACCAGACCATCTCGCGACATGTCGAGGTGCTTCTTTCGGTCGATCAGACCATTCTCAGCGTGGACAACTTGGAGAACATCGACCAGCGTATATCGCGCGGGCCGTTCACCCACATGTCGCCTTCACCGAATGGCAAGTCGCTCGCACTCCTCACCTACAACGGTCTCCTGTGGGTCGTCTCCACCGACTTCCAACGTTCTTTGGCGGAATTCGACACAAAATCGGTCGCCGGTGCAACAGGGGAAGTGCATCAGGTTGAGTGGTGCGGGAATGACGCGGTCTTGGTGACTTGGAACGGGTTGGCGGTGTTGGCTGGGCCGTTCGGAGACACACTGCAGTGCGTAACAGATCCTTCTTCATGCGACTTGTTTGCCGACATTTTGTCGCCACTAGGTACTTCTACACAGGGTCGACATTCGCTATGACCGAGCCGGATGGTATTCGCATTATTGGACCCGACACATGCGACTTTGTGCAGAAAGTGCCCACGTCATCCGTGTCCGTCTTCCGTCCAGGTTCAACGTCACCGTCGGCCATTCTTTTCGACGCCTTTGAGAACTTCTCCAAGCGGTCACCGAAAGCAGACGAAATGATCCGCAGTATTCGAATCAACCTTGCTACCGCCGTGGACGAATGCATCGACGCCGCCGCGCGGGAATGGGAACCTTACTGGCAGCGTCGTTTGCTCAACGTGCGTCGCTTCTCGTTCTGCCACATGACCCGTCCTTATCCCACTATTCGTAGGCTGCAAAGTTTGGCCGATCTTTTCTCGACATGTACGATCCTACGGACTTTGTTAACGTCGGCCAAGCACTCAAGGTCCTCAACGCCGCCCGCTTCTACGAGATCGGCATCCCGCTCACCTACGGCGAATATACGCAGCTCTCTCCTTCCCACCTCATATCCCGCCTTCTCTCCCGCAATCTACACCTTCTCGCCCTCCGCATCTCCTCATACCTGTCCCTCCCTCCCAACGCTGTTCTCAAGCACTGGGCGTGCGCCAAGATCGCGCGTTCAAAACCCGTGGCGGGCTCAGGGGGTGAGGACGCGGGGGATGAAGCGCTGTGCCGGATGATCGTAGAGAAGTTCAAGACGTTGGGTGGTGCCGGCGTGAGCTACGCAGACATCGCGAAGCGAGCATGGGAGGTCGGCCGTACGGCGCTGGCGACACGGCTGCTGGATCACGAGACGAGGGCGTCGGACCAAGTGCCGCTGCTGCTGAGCATGAAGGAGGACAAGCTCGCCCTGGAGAAATCGGTCGAGAGCGGGGACTCTGACCTCGGTGAGTGTTGACTCTTTTATGCGCGGAACAAGGAGGTGTTTATGCAACCCGATGCCGTCCAGTGTACCATGTACTGCTGCACCTGCAGAAGCGCATGTCGCTTGGCTCGTTCTTCCGCCTCATCGAGGAGGGGGGCCCGAAGCTTGCGCCGGCGAGTCGCCTGCTGCAAGTGTACGCGCGCGAACAGAACCGGGACATGCTCAGGGACTTCTACTATTCCGACGACCGTCGAGTGGAGAGCGCAGTACTTTGCCTAGAGGATGCTGCTGTCGCAACTGTACGGTTGTTTCTTCACGAGTACTAGACCGCTAACTGACACACATCGGCAGGACCCCGGCGCAAAACTCACGTCAGTCAAGGCGGCGCAGAAGTTCTTTTCGGAGGACAAGGACCGCGGGTTTGAGGCCAAGGTCTGTGTGCCCCTGTACAGACACCGGTGCGTTGCGCTTACGATGCACGTTCGCAGATGATGGATGAGAGCGTGCGCCTCATGACGCTGCAGCAGACACTGGAGAAGGAGGCCGATGGTAAAGTGGCGTTCTTCGGGCTGAGCGTGAACGAGACGATCCGGGAATGCCTCATCAACGGCATGTCGAAACGCGCGGACAAGGTCAAGTCGGATTTCAAGGTCCCCGACAAGCGGTGAGTCCGCAACCTCCTCGGGATGCCCGATCCGCTCGCTCAATCAGATCTCGCAACAGGTTCTGGCACGTCAAGATGCAGGCTCTCACTGCCATCCGAGACTTCGAGGGCCTCGAAATGTTCGCCAAGTCGAAGCGCTCTCCGATCGGGTACGAGGTTTTCGTGAAGCACCTCGTGGAGAAGGGCCACCAGAAGGAGGCACTTTCGTACGTGCCCCGGTGCGACGGCCCGAAACGAGCAGACCTGTATGTGCTGGCTGGTGATTGGCGTGCGGCGGAGAAGGAGTGCAAGGATCGTAATGACAAGGCCAAGCTCGAGTGAGTGCTTTCCCCATGGCAGTTCCTTTATTCGTCGCTGATGATGTTTGTGATTTACAGACAGCTGAAGGCTAAGGCGCCGAATTCTCTGATTCAGAGAGAGCTGGAGCAAGCTGCGGCGTCGATGAAGTAGTGTACCATGTGCTCGCGTATACCTGGATGTCTGGAACAGGATCCATCCCACGTTCTATTTGCCACATTCTATGCATTGGATTACCCTGGATGACGGTGCAGGACATACAATCGGATGATGATGCTTCGATCCACGACACCACCGGAGGAACGAAGTCGGACCCCTCGGTGGCGACTTGCCAATGCTGTCTCTCGTCTCTCGTTCCGACCCCTGACTCTACACTCGCCCCGGCTTCGTAGAGGACACTCAACTGAACGCATTGAGGGGTACAAATTATATCTTGGGGTCCTTTGAGCGAGCGGAGGCTTGTCTTGACGTGCCGTAGAGACCGTCTCTTCGTCTTGACGGAACATGCCATGGAGGTGCTTCTTATAGCGTGGTTCGCGACGTGATCTTGCGTCCGCGCAACCGTTTGGAGGTCGGAAGTACGGTCCCGAGCGTGGCGGCCCGTTGAACGAAAGATGTCAATACCGGATGGGTGGAAGGGGCTCGGCACGTATAGCCGACAGGTCTACAGCGTTGTCGGTCGCGTCGTCAATCTCTCCTATGAGCACACTGAGAGCGAGTGAGCAAACGCTTCCTCAAATGCGGATGAAAACAAAAGCAGTAGGACGAGGTGGGGGTTGTGGATGCAGGAGAGGTGAGACTGTACGCACATCTGATCACCCTTGACGAGATACAGACCCAGAGGTATCTCCTCCACACCCTCATCCATGCTGTAAACGCGCTCCTTCGAGTCTGAGAGAACGACGTTGGATTTTTGGTCGAAGCCCGCCATCATGCCCTGCGTGATGTGACCAGATCAATCCGGCAGGAACATACGTAAACGAACACACGAGGAAGATGAAGACGGTGTCAGTTCGGGGCAGCACAAGCAGCGAAAGCGAGCGGCGCACCACGATCGCGCGGCCGTCCTGGAGAATGAGCAGGACGCGGTCTGTCGGATTAGAGCGTGGGTTAGCGAGGTCAAGCATCTCCTGGTGTGCATACGCACGGTCGACATAGCTCTGGAGGCCAGCCATAGCCTTTAGGCGCCGACTGTGGGGACAGAGGACGCGGTTTGGACGAGAGTTCGTCGTCGCGCCCGTCTCCTCGCCCGTCGGCCACAATCCCCAGAGCGGTGGCCGGGGCCCGCCTCTGCCCTAGTGCGTGCCGGGGTCCTGTGAACGCTACACGTGACAGGACGCGCCGGAACGCGCTTCAAGTCTCGAGACGAATTCCGCGGAGCCTGCTGACCTCGACTCGACCGGCGACCCGTCCTGCTCGCCCTCCCCCGGACCGCTTTTCACCTCGTCGTATTTACGGCACGCACCCGTGACACTCATATCGAGAGCTGCATAAAGCCGTCAACACCGCCGTCAAGATGGTCGTGTCTCTTCCCCCGACCGCGTCTCTCGCCCGGCCGATAGGAACAGGAACATGTACGCAGCTTGGCTTTTGCTCGCCTCATTCGCCGTCTCTGCGCTTGGGAAACCCAAGCCCCCAACACGCAAGACTTGCAGCGTTCCTGCAATTGGAGGCGGCGAGGATGATGGGCCCACGATCAACAAGGTTTTCAAGACCTGCTCGACGCACTCGAGAATCGTCCTTGACAAGTACTACGTCGTCGACACACTCCTCCTCACGAAAGACTTGAATGATGTGGAGATTGAGCTGAGCGGTACAGGTGAGTCGCACAGCATGTAACGTCGTGTGCATGTACCGAGCGCAGTCACTCTACAGTGCAATACACTCCCGACATTGCCAAATGGTCCCCGCAAAGCCTTTTCTTGACATACCAAAATGCGTACGTCCTCAGTATGCACCCTTATTCCAGGGATCTCATGTGCATAAATAGCACGACGTTCTGGTTCCTTTCTGGTAACAACATCCACATGTTCGGCGGAGGAACGATTGACGGCAACGGGCAAGTCTGGTGGGACACTCTCAACAACACCGGCGTACGTGCACCCTTCACTCCACTACATGACAGACTCCTGACTCGTGACCTTGTTATCTTAGAACTCTGGAACCGCGGGAGGGTCTTCCACCACTTTCGCACGTCCTATCCCTCTGACGGTAGGGAATGCCACCAATGTCGTCGTCGAAAACATTCGTGAAATTGGCTCTCCCTTCTGGGTAAGAATGCACTGGATGCGTAATTTCCTTAACTGACCTTTAATCTGGTTGGCCAGAACAACGTATGTCGAGACCGGCTTGCGAGCTCGGCGGCTGGTGCTGACAAGCATCTTCGAAGTTCGTCTACCAGAGCAACAACGTCACCTACAAGAACATCAAGTATGTCTCTCACAATATTTCAATGCTGTGTACCTCCGTTGATGTCCTGCCAGCATCCGTGCGGTGTCGTTCTCTAGCAGCCCGACGGCGAACTCAGGCAAGGGAACGATTGCGAATGCCAGGTTATAGTCTAACAGACGTCCTTGTAGATGGTTGGGATATCTATCGTTCAAACCAGGTAACCGTTCGGGACTCGGTTGTGCTTAATAACGACGATTGCGTTTGTGAGTACGCTACGTGTCTTTATGTGCTTCGCTGACACACGGGTCAAGCCTTCAAACCGAATAGCACAAACATTATAGTTGCCAACATGATCTGCAACGGCTCTCATGGAATCTCCGTCGGTAGCCTGGGACAGGTAAGATCCATTTCGATCGACTGTGCAAGCTTTGTTCACAGCGCGAGTATCGCTAGTACGCTATGGAGACCGACATCGTGGCAAACGTCTCGGTCACGAATGTAACTATGATAAATGCGCAGAACGGCGCGCGTATCAAGGTCTTTGGTGGGAACCCCAATCCGAGTAAGTTTCGAACGAGTACTTGCCACGCATGCGATCCTGACGAACTCACAGACAGCACTGTTGGTGGAGGATCTGGCTACGTGAAGAATGTCACCTTCACCGACTTCTTCGGTGCGCATCCAGTCCCCTCGTAATGTGGCATCGCATTCTCACTTCTTCACATTGTAGTCCAGAACGTGGATAACCCGATTCTCATCAATCAGGCAAGCACACCACTGGATCATTTTGGGTCTGTCCTGACGCAGGCGCTGGCAGTGCTACTCCACGAACGCCGCTGTCTGCGCCCAATTCCCGAGCAAACTTACCATTTCAGATATACATTGTGAGTGGTTCCTATCCTTGATTTAGCCGCACAGCTAATCGATTCCCAGACATCAACGTTACTGGTACATCCTCCGGGCACGAAGGAAGCGTCGTGGTGGATCTGGAGTGCTCCGACATCTGCGAAGACATCACTGCGACAGGAACGAACATCTCAGTTGGCGGAAGCAACAAGACCGCGACGTATGTGTGCAAGAACATCGGGACCACTTCAGAGGTGAGCAGCCTCTGGAGCTCTCGGCGAAATTCCAGCTGAATGTTTCATAGCTCGACTTCGAATGTGTGGCACCTAGCACCTAGTCTTTTTCCCGCACGGGAAGGAATTCACTACGGGTTTCACTTGTACATGAATAGGTCAAATATGATTCCAGGGCGACTCCATGGTCGATTCCATGACCCATTTTGCGCATGCAATAGCATTGAAACGTCTTGGAATCGGCCTCTTGGACGCAATCTCGACTTTATTGATTACGCGCGCTGCTCAGCAGACACGCGGTGTATTGTACAGATAAAACGACAGTGAATGGAAGGGAGAGTACAGGTACAATACACGCGAGAATACAGCAACCGAATCGAACGAAGTCTATACAACAGGCGGCCCCTCCTCAAAAGTCCGCAGTCCGCAGGCCGGACGAATCCGACTCGCTCCGCCCGCGGTTCCGCCAGTGCTCGTGTGGCACGCCCCAGGAGGTCGGGGTACTGTCTGCCCTGCTCCGCTTCCCGTCGAGGTCGGCGCCGGGCGCGAGGCCGGACGCGGGCGCCATGCCCTTCTCGCGCCGCTGCTGCTCGTAGATGAGGAAGGAGAAGAGGATCGCGTCGAGGAACGGCGCGAGCGCGGGCGCGACGTCGAGCCCGCCGCTCCGCGCGGACGAGAAGAAGCCGTACGTCGCCCGGCGCGTTTCCGCCACGGGCTGCTCCGTCTCCTCCTCGACGAGCTGCCGTCCGGGGGGAAAGAGGAAGGAGAGGGCTCGGTCAGGACGGCGCAGGCGGCGGGATGAGGTGGGCTCACCTTGAGCGAGCCGCTCCACCTCTGGCGCCATACGTACGCGCGGCCGTTGGGCGCGACGAGCCTGCGCGACCTGCGATGCGAAGGCGAGGGCTGAGGTGAGCACTACCCTACTACACCACAAGTACTGCGGCGGGCTCGGAGGAGGGCGCTGCGCGCATTTCGGGCCGCCACCGACGAACCGCACCCTGATCCGCAGCCACGGCGCGATCGTCAGTGGCGGCTCATTATGGCGATCCGCTCGAGGTCCCTCCGCCGGCGCGCCCGCGGAGCTGGCGGCGGGCGGCGGGCGATCTGGGCGGCATCGACGTCGCCGTCGCGACCCGCCTGCAGCAGCTGGTACCCAAGCACTCACCCGTCGATCCGCCACGGCAAGCACTCGACCGAGCGGCTCCACCAGCCAGGGCCGTCCATGGGCAGCCACTCCTGCTCGTGCTCGTCGAGGTCGAGGTCGGGGTCGAGGTCGTCGAGGTCGTAGCCGGGCCCGTCGAGGTCGTCGCGCTCGCCCGCGCCGCCGTACGCGGCGACGACGTGCCGCATCGCGTCGCGCACGGTGATGAGCGCGTGCGCGTGCGCGGGGGCGGGCGTCGAGACGTCGAAGAGGAGCGCGCCGGACGCGCCGTCGACGACGGTGCTGTTGAACGGGTCCGGGGACTCGAACATGAGCGAGAGCGTGCCGGGGGGGCGGCTGAACGCGGGGGACGCCTTGTAGGTGCGCCGGGTGGAGCCAGAGGCGCGGAGCGAGTTCGAGGGCGAGAGAGGGGAGTCGGGGGAGAGCGGGCTCGTGAGGACGATGGACATGGTCGCGCGCGGGTGGTGTGAGTTGGGACGCAGGAGATTGGCGGCCCAGGAAGGTTCCGGAGATTAATGAGGGCGCGAGAGGCGCAGTGCGAAAGCGAAGGTCGGGAGGAAAGGACTGGCTGGAGGGCACTAAGCTGGGAGCGCGGGGAGGCTGAGTTACGGTGGTGGGCCCGTCGCGTGCCCTGCTGCCATATATACGCCCGCGCCCTACCACCCACGTCCGCACATCCGCCGGCACAATATATGAGACCGCTCACGCGTCGTTGGGTGTGGCAGGATCGTGAACGATCGCGGGGCCGCTCTGGATCCACGCGCACCGCCGCGGGATCGCGGGCGGCTGCCCCATCCTGGTGTGTTGCCGCCGGTTCAGCCCTACGACGCGCCCGCGTGTCCCGCGTCCGTCTCAGGTGGGCCGTCGGGGTGCTACACATTGCGCAGTGGCACCCTCGCCGTTTATCCGAGCGTCCTCCCCTGGCCGCTTGTCTGCTTGTGTGCGCGCGTCGGTCTCGTCGCCTTGTTTCAACGTTGAGCGACGGAAAGGAGTAAGAGGTGACAAGTCCTAGTGGCTTGCGCACGCGGGGTCGTATGACGAGTTCGGTGCTGAGTGGTGGCTTAATGAGGCGCCGTTCGAGGACTTCGGCCAGTCCAGCCGTTAAGTGCCGAGCAGCGGGAGGCCCATGAGGGTGTCAATGCTGGTGCGGAGCCTCGAGATTGCGTGCTTGAAGGGCACTGTGTTGCCGGGCGGAACGCCGGTGCTCCGTTTGCGATCGTCCCGAACTTCGTGCGCTCGGATCCAGCCGCAAGGAGTGAGTGATCTTACTGGGAAGACTGGTCTCAGCATACCCACACCAAGAACGAACAAGACTAGATGATGTGTCGTCTAAATCCGCCGCGCCACCGCAAACTATGGAATACCACAAGCGGAGACGACGTCTGACAACTTCCGACTCCTTGAATCGAGAACGTACCCTCATAGGCTCAACCGCCTCAGAAGCGGAAGCTTGAAGATACAGAGAGCATTCTGTAGACCTAGGAGCAGATGAGGGTCAAGGCGCAGAGGAGGAGGAGGAGGAGGAGGAGGAGGGTGCCGCCGCGGGTGGGAAAGGCACACGTGACACGCTTAGAGGGCGTAGGACGCGGACGCCGCTTTCTCTCCCATGCCCACCCTGATCCCTCCCTTCCTTCTTTGCTATCGCTCATGCGTACGCAAAAAAAGACCCCCGCGCGATACGCGCAAGCCTGGTGCGTGTACGCGCTCTACAGTCACGTCCGCGACTCAGAGTCGCCCTTGTCCGCGTCGAGGTCCCGCTGGTGAGCGGCAGTGGCGCCCTCCCCACCCAGGTGTATGCTCGTCAGCGCCTGGCGGCATGCGACAGCGATCGCCCTCCCCACGACCACCGCCCTCTGCTTCCCAGTATCTGGCTTCCCTTGACGTTGGCAAACATCCGCAGCAGCGCGCCGCACACCCGCTCCGTCTCGCGGATCTGCATCTGTTCACGCCACATCCCACTCCCTATGCCGGAATAAGCACCACACCGGGGGCATTTCCCGATGAGACAAGCCGTTTCCTTGATGGCTCATATAGAATGCCTCGCGGATGCGCCATCCTGACTCATTTTGAATGTCTCTCCTCGTATCATGGGAAGCTCGAGCTCTGATTGGCTAGCAATCAATGATACAAGGATGTCCCTCAAGATGAGTTTGTGCGGTACATCAATGGGACAATCTATGTGAACAAAGCATGAAGCCGCGTGTTTCATCCGGTAATGCCCCCGGTGCCAATGCGTTCTGGCCGCCGCGCCACGCCGCGCTCTCGCCTCCAGCGCGCGCGCGTCCGCCGCCGCCGTAATGTCCGCAGGTCAGGTCCCGCCAACCCGCGCGGGTCACCCGCAACCCCTACCTGCGCTGAGCCTGCAATCACGCAGGTATGATTTTTGGTTCGCCATCTGTATTGCTTTACTGATTTGCCATCTTCTTTCAGCACTCCTATGAACCATGGAGCCGCTGTTATCAAGTCTTTTGATCCCGACAGGCTCGGCACCGGCTCAGCGTGCTCCCACAATGTCGTAGTAACTGTAGTTGTATAGTGAATTTATTTGAGCCAGTATTCAATCTGGCTTCTACTGAATTCTGAGTGCGACCACAATCTGCTGAGCAGCCCACCCGATCCCGCCCCTTCCACAATCATTTGCTTGCAATCCGGTCAATCCCTCAGCAGCCCGGCCAGCGATTGACATCCTTGCACGAGTGTGCACTCCGCCCAAGTGCACAGAACCTTGCCAAGGACATCGTGCCCCCGGAATCACTTGGGTGGCGTACGAGGGCACGCAGGCGGGCCAAGTGCCCACCATCAAACCAATCCCTTGCTGAAATTGCGTGCGCACGGCGTAGCATTGCGTGGGATTGGCGCCGCTTGCGCAGAATTGGGGTGGATTGTAATCCGTGAGTTGCGCAGGGATCCTGCGCCACAGAATGGACGGATTGGCCGGATTGAGCACACTTACGTGCGCACGCGCGCGCGCGCACGACCGATGAGATTTTGCTGATGACACTACGAGTCTGAGGACGGTTTCTCAGACAGTTCTCGCCCTCTCCGCACCTCACTCTCTATCAAATGCATCTTTAGCTATGATCTCGAGTTTATTTGACCGCATCTGGAGTCTCTCGAAGCCTCCGGTCACTACCTGTGAGAATTCGCAGCACCTGTCAGAAACATAGATACCAGGACAACCGTTGGACGTTTACGCAGTTCACCGAGGCCCGGCCAAACTCTGCCGGAATGCTTTGACAGCCTCAGCATCTTCCATCGCTTCCGGGTGGCGTGCACGCTGCGCCTGTACATCAAGCAACTCCGCTCCCTCCCGCCCCCTCCAGGTCTCACTATCGGCGCTCTCCGAACCGGCTACTACACCAAGGGCGCGATGATTGAAGATGAGGTGTACGTCCCGTACCCTTCACTCGACCACTTCCGCCGATTTCGAAATCGTGCTGCGTTCTCGGGCTGGGAAGTAACAGCGAACGCCAGCAACCTTGGCGGCGAACCACCTCCAGCCCTCCCTTGTTCCGGCGCTGACTGGACCCCGATGTCTACCCATGGTGATCTCAATCGAAGTAACATGACATTGGACCACCACGGGACGCTATGGATCATTGACCGGGCGGTCGCTGGTATCTATCCGCGCTGCATGGAGCACATGATGCTGACGCACATCGAGAGTCCAGACACGCATCCGAAGACTGCTGGCTCTTCTTGGAAGCCGTGGGCACCGTTCATTGCTGGCCGTGTTTCCCGCGCGGAAGGCATGTACTGCGCGCGGCACGAGAGCCGTTCACAACGTATCTCAACTTTCACATTTTGCGTGCACTAACCATCGTCCGCGGCAAGTCTACGCGCCTACATCACGCCACGATCGGGTTCCAGAGCTCGTGCGACAACACCTCCTCCTTGCAAAAGTCAAGAACCACCTAGCGCAAAAACAATCAGCACTCCCCACACATCTCTACAGCGCCAACACTCACGGGGACGGAGACCGCGGGACGGCCGAGCGCGATGCAGTTCCCGTCCGCGTTCGAGATCGTCATGGGATCGTCCACGTTGAGCACCCAGAGCTGTTTCGGGTCGTCGGAGCACTCCGCGATGACCAGCGTCTGCGTCGCGCCCTCGGGCTCGACGCCGTTCGCGGTGATGCAGAAGCCGCCGCCGGTCTGGATCTGCGTCGGGACGCCCGAGCCGAGCACGGGGTGAAGGACGGTTGGGTCCGATGCGGAGCCGTCCCCGACGAGGGCCATGACGAGGCTCGCCCCGGGCTCGAGCGCCTGGGCCTTCAGCGCGAGGGTGGTGTCTGGGTGTTCAGACGTGAGCATACAGCGAGCGTCGACGGTGGGGTGCTATGAAGGACGCTTACTTTGGGTGTTGATGAAGTGCGCGCCGGAGCCGGCGGGGATGAAGTCTGCCGCGACGAACGCAGGGAGAGCGGCGACGGCGGCGAAAATGAAGGGGCCGAGCATCGTAGAGAAGGTCGTTAGGTGTGACGGCGGTCAAGAGGGCAGTTGGAGGCAAACCGGGTTCGATACGGCTGCGGTGTCTGCCTCGTTGGCTTTTATACGCTAGCATTCCATCTTAACGCTAACCGCTGCGTAAGCCATGAGAGGGTATAGCCGCTGTCAAGACTGACTCACGTACTCAGGTCTGGTGATCATCTTCGCCACTCGGTGCTCAGGTCAGCTTCCGGCGCATATGGAGTTTCGGAGAGGTAGGGGAGAGGATTGTTCCCTGGTAGTACTGGAAAACCGGATCAGTATGAACTTGTCGTTGTGGGGATAGAGACTTACAACAACTGCGATGGCTGCGCACAGCCATCACGGCAAACTGTCCCCTTCTGTGACATCGCATGCAAAGCCCGGAATTTATTCCGAAAGGCCGGAAGCTACTCCGTCCGTCAATGATTGAGTTGCGGGCAATTTTGCCCTTGAAAAGTGGACACGCACTCACGTTAGTCGCCCCAGACTAAGGCCAAAGGTCTAAACGGCGACAGAAGACCGCAGTGACACATGCGACCACTTTCGCCGGTGGCAAGACTTTGCAACGTGTTATCACTGTGCACCAAGAAATATCTCAGTAAAGAGAACGCAGGGGTGGTGGTCGGCGCGACTGCTTATCACCGGTCTGGAGTGAAATGTATGCACATACGACGCAAGCCTATGCAGGCTAATGTATGCAAGGACGTTGAAACTCGGGAGCTCCGAAAGCGCGCGGCCCTTCGGGGTCATGAGCCCGCCCGATTTGCAATGACTGTGTGGTAAAGCTGAGGACATTGTTAGCATTAGCAAACCTAGTGGACGTCGCATTTCATTCTCCGACACGCCAACAGCGGGGCGGACTGACTCATCGGGGAGTGACCACTGACCACAAGTCGACCGTCGAGTGGACAAATCAACACTCACCTGTCGTGTCAAGGGCAGTCGACCGCGAAGACATCCCATATGGCTCTCGTGAAACAACCAGAGATCGAACAAGATCATGGATGACCGAAGTAAAGCAAGGACGTCTTCATTTCAACCCAGAATGACATTCAAACCGTGCAACATGAAGACGACGGATGGGGAGAGAATCAGACGTGGTTGCAGTTGCATTGACTTACCTGACATGCACCCGTCCTCTTACTCGAAGGAGCCTCGCATCGAAGATCCACACGCATGCCCGGACCATACCTGCATCTCCTCTTCAATACTCGTTCGAACCGGAACGACGCTATTATCGTAATCCACCCAACTGCGACAGGCGAACCCGCGAAGGAGCGTGTTAGTCTTCGGCCACATAACGACGAGGTGTACACTTACGTCGAACCTAACGGAAAAGTGGTCGTGCATCTGAGAAGGGGGAGAATAGAGAGGCAAAATATGTAGGGCGAGGACGCCGTGTGGCACTGGCATGGGGTGACCCTGTGACCTGTGACAAAAACCCCCGCCACGCCGCCACCGTCGGAGTCGGAGTCGGAATCCTAGGACCGCCACTGGTCGACAATAAGTCGACAACCCTCGCCTTCTCTCCCCATTCTACGACCTAAATGTATCGCTTTTGGGAATCCCCGGAGCCGTCTGTAACTGTGAGTGTGGCCATCTACGGTAAATACGCGTCGTAGACTCAATCGATCAGACCTACTCACTCGAATTATACGGACAGGCGATCCCGGGATGGGGATGTCCATTCATCAGACGCTTCTGGTATGGCTTTTTTGAGGATCTAGACCACCTAATGCTCATATTTTCTTTGCCAATAGCACTGTTCGCCCTATATACGCGATGACAAGACACGGGTCGCCATCGATGGAAATGGCCATCGTTCCTCAGCGTTCCACGGATGTTGCACTCATTGTCTGCGACAGGGCCGCCAAGAAAAGCGGTATCAAAGCCCTGTTAGACCGAGTTGCACCTTCCCCGCCGTCTACATGTTTTGTTTTCACCAACATCGGCCTACTTTCTCCTGGTTGTCCATCGGACCGCGCGACCAAAGTCTTCCGGCTGAAAGCCGTAAAAGAATACACTCTAGGAGTCGACTGTTTCCCAGTGGATCTGACTACCAACGAAGGCATCAACGATCTGGTGAACTACATCGGTACGTATACGACTTCATTGAAAGGCGTCCGAGTCCTCTCACACGTTCAATGGTTACTAGCCGGGTGCAAGGGCGACACGATCCGGCGACCTCATTTTTCCTTCAGAGATTTGATGATCGACTGGATCTCGTCTATCTTTGCATTGCCCGTCAGACAGGTTAACTCAAATGCGAGTGATATTATTAGTCTTGCGATTCGTTCTCGATGTTGAAACACCTTCACAGATCGATAATGAGGTCGATGCATTGCTCAAATCAGATCCTGCTCGCTTGAAAAACACAGACCTCGACGTTCAATGGGCGGAGGACCTCAAGCGGAGGTTTCATCTGTCACCTTCGACTTCCATGACGGTTTGGCGCGTCTCCCCGTCCCTTGTCATGAAGAAGTTTGATCGCTTCGAAATCACCGCGATGGACTTTGTTCGACATGGAACGACCCTTCCGGTCACTCGAGTACGGTCTTCCAACGACAGGCGCTGGATGTTCACCGAGTACATCGACGGCGAGACGCTGCTCGACTGCTGGGACAACCTCAGCATCATCCGTCGCTTCCGCGTGGCGTGCACTCTGCGCCTCTACCTCAAGCAGCTCCGCTCCCTGCCGCGACCTCCAGGACTCACAGTCGGCGAGCTTCAAACCGGATACACCTCCAGCTTCGTCTTCGGCGACGCCTTGTACGCGCCGTTCCCGTCCCTCGGCCATTTCCGCCGCTTCTGCAACTACGCCGCCTCCTTCGGCTGGGTGCTCAGGATGGACGAGTTCCGGAGATCCCATCCGGGCGTGCCCCTCCCTTCGCCCCCTCGTCCCAGCATTGACTGGACTCCGGTGTTCACCCACGGCGACCTTCACCGGTCCAACATCATATTGGACCGCCAAGGAACGGTATGGATCATCGACTGGGCGGAGGCTGGATTCTTCCCGCGTTGCTTCGAGACTCTGGTAATGCCGTGGGTCGAGAGCTCCTTACAGATCCCTACCTCGCGGGTTCGTCGTGGAGGGGATGGGTACCGTTCATTGCGGGTTCTATGACGGACGAGGAGCTTACGTATTGGTATGCGGTCAACGGGGGAATTCGTTACGCTGATCACGGTGTCAAGGTGCAATAGGGTGTTCCAACGTACTACGGGGAGATCAATCGAGGTGAGTGAGGCGGAGGATGGCGTGGTGGTCCATCGGAAGACGATTCGTGTGCGCAGGTCCGCTTCGGTTATTGCTGGGGCATGGCGGGGCTGATGGAGGGGTTCACCATAGATTGGGTGCCGGTCCTACCCATATAATGAATCAGTCCATATTCGCAAGACGGATGACGCTGCGTACACCTTCACTCCCCGCATCCACGGATGTGCGATCCATAGTGGAAGCTAGAGGGTTTACTCCTGAGGTATGTCTGGGGATGGAGAGTCGAGGTGGTCGTGGGAGAGAGACGTTACGGCCCCAGAGACGTGTCGAAAGGCTAACAAAACGACGGGAAAATACGGTCAGAGACGGTCTCTGTCGCACGTGGTGGTGGTGGTGGTGGTGACAATTTCTGAAGTTAAGTACGACCTTTACCCTGGCGAGCGTGAGGTCCAAGAAAGCGTAGTATTCCTACAAAGCTCGTACATGACTTTTATACAGCACGTTTGAACGTGCGTGCGCTCGAGAGTTCACTGCTTCTTCGCGAGATACACCTGCCACCACTCCTCGAACGGGTTCCAGCCGAGCCCGCCGGAGCCCTCCATCAGGTCCTGCGTCTCGTGCACGTACAGCTGCGTGTTCTGCGGCCGGACCGTGCCTGCCTGCGTCCCCATTCCCCTTCCTTCAGCATTCCCGTCTGGAGCACAGGAGGACGCGAAGGAGCGTACCTTGGGCGGCTCCGCGTCTGCGACGATGTGCGCGTGCGGCAGGCCGAGGATGCGCGCGAAGACGAGGCACATCTCGTACTTCGTGAACGGCTCCTCGGCGGAGTAGTGTATGATCGGCGGGACGACCTTCCCGCTCGGGAGCTCTGCAGGACGGGACGCGGGAAACGGCGTCATCGGGTGCACGCAAGGCGCGAAGAGGGGGCGGCGGGAGACGCACGGATGAGCCGGACGAGGAAGTCGGCGATGTCGAGCACGTTGGTGGGGTAGCGGGTCGCGTAGTGGTCCATCTTGTACGTCTTTCCACTCTGGTCGGTGACGACGTCGAGGAGGATGTTCACCGCCGTGTCCGAGTTCTTCTCGGCGGGGCCGTAGCTGCCCGGAGGAAGGGTGCGTGAGTGCTTGGGACGAAACGCTGAGAGAGGGGTGTGGCTGACAGGACTGGGACTCGCAGGACTATGGACTGAGCGCCGGTGACGCCGAGAACGGCAAGCTCTCCGTCGCGCTTGGTGATACCGTAGAGGTTGACGGGGCTAGTTGCCGCAGAGGGTGTGTATGGAGGTGACGTACCGTCGAAGACGTAGTCTGTCCGAGAAACGAGTGAACTCAGAGGCTTCGACAGTATCAACATGCATACCAGTGGATATGTAAACGAGCTTGAACTTGAGCTCCTTGGACAGGGTGGCCAGGGTCTCCGGGACAGCGACGTTGATCTGTGGAAGTGCTCGATGAGGCGGCGCACTGGCGGCTAGCAAGGTGCTGCACAAACCTTCCGTGTCGCATCTGGATCCTTCGCAAAAGGTCAGCCCGTCCGCTCGGCACGAATAACGAGTGCTACCTTTTCCGCGACGTCCGGTCGTCGTTCAGCCGCGCAGTGGATTACCCCTGCGATTGCGAGCGGATAATGGTCAGCAATGATTAGCATGATGCACGGTTCAGCATATGGGGTGATCAAAACGCACAGTCAGGTTTGAACTCGCTCAAAACACCTTTTGTTGCGGAGGCGTCGAGGAGATCTAGCTTTCTGAGCTCGCCCTTGGTTCGTGAGTGCGCAAGGCCGAGGACATCGAGACCTGCGGCTTTGAAGGCCGCGAAGACTGCGGATCCGAGTACGCCAGAGGCGCCTGTGAAGAGATCGGATCAGCATCCGCAAGTCAAAACCTCGACGAGTGGTCTCCCACCAGTGACGATCACGCGCATAGTGTGCGTTTGGTACTGATGCGGAAAGAGCGACCGTTGGAAAGGTGGCAGGCCGAGACCATCCAACCCTAGTCGGCGATGCGCGTGGCACCCACGTGGACCGCGCTGAGCACGCCATGACGTCACGCGTTGCGCGCTCCTATCCTCCCACTCCTCACACCCCCAGTGCCTGTGCAATATAAAGCGACTCCCGCTGCGAGTCTCCCTTCTAGCTTGCCCTCTGATCAAACATCGCCATGGCCTCAGTGAACACCTCCTTCGGCACCCAATCTCCTCCTCTCGAGTCCACACCTGGCGGCGAACAGCCCCTCGGTGTCTCATCCATTCGTGGCGACAAGCCACAAGGCGTCCCTGATCGGGAGCAGCGTAAAGGTGCGGACTCCCGTGCAAAGATCCAGAGCGTTGTTCAGATGTGTACACAGGCTATTTCAAGGACGAGTCGACTTCTGCAACTCAGCAGTCAGGCAGCACTGAAAGCGAGTTCATGGCACCTCAGGTGAGGAGCGAACGCATACCCAGCGACGGCATGGAGGACCGAATCGCCTATCGCAGAAGGTTGGGAAGGTCAAGCAAGATTGAAGGCGAAGTGTCGGTCGTTCAACCCAGCATGTTCTGTCAGTTATGATACTCGCGGAGTTGTACATGTAACTGTATCCTGCCTCCCGCAGTTCATGGCGTAACTGTCGCACTATTTCCCAGATTCATTGCGTTGTGACCGAGAACACCGACATTGGCATGGGTTTCGGCAGTTGCGTTCGTTGAGTAAGATCAACATAGAAGCACGGTCCTGAGAACATATCATGTTAGTACCCACCGGTTCTGCGGAATTGACGCAACTTAATACTGAACTCATCGCCGAGCGACCGTCAGTGGCATCCACAATGAAACTAAATCCAGTCTCGTCAGCTGGCCTCTCTAGATATAGAATCCACGCACTCCTGGAGGCCTGGCGTGTGCCGTGCCGTGCGCGGGTGGGCGGGACAAACCGCGGACGATTTGGAAAAGACTCGGAGGGCCCGTCGAGCGGGTGGAAAACGAGTTCTTCGGTTGTCGGGAATTCGAGATCTGAGCGATCTGAGCGCGAAGAGCGATGATGGTGGGAAGACGAAAGAGCGGCTGGAGTAGTACACGCAGGTCAGCGCTCGGCTGGACGTAAGAACCTGCCTCGCCGGCGCCGACACTATGGTACTAAGCTTAGATGCAGATGTGTTTGTCTGAAAGTCTAGGCTGCTATCAGACCAGTATAAAACGGACGAAACCGAGACAACGATCCAGCATCGACTTACTCCCTTCGACACTCCTCTCAGACCAATGCATTGCATCCTGTTTTGCATCTGCCTCGCGGTTGCTCTGGGAGCATACGCCGCCCCTGTGCCCGATGGTAGCCTTGGTGGGTGCCAAACTGTGCACACCGTTCCGATATGTTGGCTGAATATTACTCTGCGCAGACGGAACGAATGAGTCCCCGAAGACTTTTCGCGCACGTAGCGAACTCGTGTCCGTGGAGGCTACAGGTATTTATACGCGGCAGCCTGTCAGCCTGTTTGAGCTGTTCTGACCATTGCCTACAGGCCACGTGGGGATTAGGCCGGACGCCTGGGGCCAAGAAGACCACGAGTCACTGTAATTGGCACTCACAGAGAATATTAATGTACCAGTTCCCCTCGGAGCGTTACCTGGTGTAGTAGTACTAGTGTAGACGAACTAGAGCTCCCACAGGCGCTAAAGTGACTGATTAGATTACATGATCGCAATGAAGATCGATCGGAACTAGCGCCCGTTCTTGTCTCTTCTTCCCCTTCCACTCCGTCCAAACTACCCCGATAACTCTCCTATTGGTTACCGTTCCAGGTATAGAGAGTTTTTGCACATGGTACAGTGGTCACTGCGGAGGCGTCTGCGATCGCAGGCGAACGACGCCTTCTCGCTGAATGCCACGACAACCGGGCCAAAGTTGGCTACTGGTCATTTGGCTGCAGCGGCGCAGACACTTGGGTAAGTGCTCCACCGAATGAACCTTGATATGTCCCTGCCACCCCCGAATTTTATCACGTCTCTAGCCAGTAAGGACGACAGAAGTGTAGATTTTAAGGCGACGTGGGACAGATCGATTCTGCGCACTGGACGGTTTCGCTCGCTGAGTATTCATATTTGCGCGGCACCAGTGCGGAACAACTGAGGCGCCGCCTCATCAAAGCAGCGTATTCCATCAAGCTTCCACCACTGTTTCGCCAGCTGGGAGCTGTGGTGTCAGAGCGGGAAGACTGAGCCGCCATCCACGTCGCATTGCGTTATGTTCGTCTCTGGGGACGACTGGAACTGTAACGACACCCATAAAACTAGGCGTCCCTGTCCTCGTCCCATTCCCTCCGTCTTCGAACGGTTTCTTTCACCAACATGAACTTTTCTCGCGACATAGCGGACCTCGTTGGCTTTGCTCTCGAGGCCATTGCTTGGGGTGCGTCTCACTTTGTCCAACTCGACATGATCACGCTCAAAGAACCCCTTTCAGGTGCTTACGCCGTGCTATTCGCCGGCTTTTTAGTTCTTCACTCGCACAAACGTCAACCCTGGTCGGTTATTGAGATTGTTACTTGCATTTTGTTTGCAACGTGCACGACACACTTTGTCCTCGAGTTTCACCACTTCGTGACGGCTCTGGTGAGTCGCCACATCTTTTTTGTTTGTTTCCATGAAGATGCTGATATTGCTCTAGGAATCTCAAGGCGTGCCTAGTTATTCGGCGGAGACTAACCCCCTCTTCGGCGCCGACATCCTCATCTCCGTTTGCGACCTATTCGGCGACTTCATCCTCCTCTACCGCTGCTGGGTCATCTGGGGACGCAACTACTGGGTCATCGTGCTTCCCAGTCTGACCGCTGCAGGGGGTCTCGGTACGTTCCGTTGTCGTCCACGCTCGAGTACTACGTCAACTCACACCTCCATACGCAGCCTGCATTGCAGGTTTTGCCCACCTCGTCCTCGCGCTTGCGCCTGGGGAGCTCCCACCCCCGGCGATGATCCCGCTCGAGACCGCCGCATACGTCCTTCCGCTTTGCACCAACGTCCTCACCACCGGCCTCATCCTCTACCGCATCTGGTGGGCGAGCCGCCTCGGCGGCGGGCGCGCGATGATCGCGAACACGAGACGCATCGCGGTCGGCGCGATGGCGGTCGTCGTCGAGAGCGGGCTGCTCTACCTCGTCGTCCAGCTCATCTTCGTCGTCCTCGTCGCCCTCGACAGCGACGGGCTCGACATCGTCATCGGGCTCGCCGTTCCAGTCTATGTGAGTCGTTCGACGTTCGGCCTCGGACCCTGGCTAGAAGTTCTCGGCGCTGACACGGTGAGCAGGGGATCGCGCCGACGCTCATAATCATTCGCGTCGCGCTCGGGCTGTCCGTGGAGGCGATCACGAGCCCCGACACAGTCGGCAGCAGCAGGCTACTGCTGTCGGCGGAGTCCGCAGGCCTCTCCCGCGGGCAGAACATGGGACCCACCGCGAGTTCGCTCGGAGGTTGTACTAAGCACGACGGCAGCGAGATGAAAGCGTTATCTTCTAGCGCGGTGCACGTTTTTTGACACAGAAGCGGTTTCATGGCAACTCCACACTCTCCGGGATCGGATGTACCTTATGCGGATTTATCATGATATCAGAACGGAGAGGCTCTCAAAGCGTGCGCTCAAGAATAAGGCTGTGGGCGGGCACGAATCAACGAACGATGGATCGCGTGCTCAGCTCGAGTATGCGGTACGGGTGGGAAACGCGGCGCCTTTCACCGTGGCATGTAACAGCTTCGACAGCGAAACTCAAACTTTCTCGACTACGGAATCATTTACCAGCGGGGAAACTACAACTCTTGTTGAACTTACGCACTGCCTCGCGATCGCAGACAGCACGACGGCTCCCGCGGCCGCCCTATCTTATGTTATGCGCAGATGTGATGCATGTCGCCTTGCATCTCAGTTCTCACAACCTGGCGGGCATAGTCCGGCGCACCATAGTGCGGACCGGGTCCAGCCGACTTAAAGGGTGGCTCGGCGATCGCAGCCTGGCTTCGCAGCGGGTGCAACTTTGAACTGCCCCTGCCGCTGTGATACACCGCAAGCTGCGTGGATGTGGTCTGCGTCGCCTTGGAATTCCCCTTCTTCTCCCACTGGGGCGATGACTTCGCTACGTGACAGATATATAACGTGCCGGACCAAGTGCTAGTATGATAGTACATAAGAGCAGGAGCTCATGTCGTGAACGGCACGATCCCTGGTAGTACTAGACATGCACTTCTTCGCCATCCTAGGTCTTGGTCTTGTTGCCTCTGTTCTCGGAGCCCCCATCATTGATCGACGTGGTATTGGCAGAGCCACTTCAGTCACCCTCTGTGAGTTGTCAATGAGCCTTCTGAGTGTGTACTATATCCACGGAGAGCAGCGCTTACCTGCGTCATTTTACAGTGCCGGCGATCCCCAAGATGCCCACGAGTGTTCCAAAGGTCGAGGGAGTGATAAGAGCGGGTGAGTTTATAGATATGTCAAACATCATACCTGAGTCCTCACACCGTCTTCAGACGAGGTGGGGGGTGCTTGGGGGCAGTGAAGATTTGGTCGAGAGCCACAGTTTGATCTGTAATGATAGGTAAAGCAGAGAGGGTTCGTACAGTCTTCGTCGTACACAGGGAACCGGGAATGTATGGCAGTGTGAACGATTCCGTTCGTTCAATCACGCTATGTGGGTGGACTGATACTACTCGACTGAACCCACGCCTTACAGCCCCATGCTCGCCGACGCCTTCGACCCGCGAGGACGCCCCTTCTCTCCGCCCTCACCCACCCTTCAAACGTCGCGCACTCTGTCCCGGAGGCGCACTCGTCTCGCGCGCAGATGCGCGCCGTCGCTCCCGAATGCGAGCTCGAGCACGGACCGCCGCCAGCCGCCTTAGTAGCGTGAAGTTACATTCGCGACCTGTTGGTGGGCTCCGGTTCAGAAGGTATCAAGGCCGCTCCTGAGGACCAGGAGGAGTTCAGTCTGTGGCACAGCAGCATCCGGTGTGATCAAGCGATGTGCATACCATGTTGCTGGAAGGAGGTCTGGTCCGCGCAGATCGAGTCGCTCGCGTGGCATGATGGGCTTGGTCACGCCAGGTTGCTTACTCATGTCGGGCGCCAAGAAAGCCTCTTCGTACCGGCCCGGGGCCCATTAATTGGTGTCGGCAGGTTTGTCTACATCGGAAGCTCACAGACAAGCCCACTTAGTCACTTTTGCCATACGGGCGAACGACTCAAGAGGAGGTATGTTATTTTATGTTCGCGTCGTTCTGATTGGCTCACTGGTCGAATTGCGGCTACATTGAAGTCAACAGTAGGTCATAATTGAGTTTCCTGACGCGTCCCAGCTGCAGTGTCACTCCCAACTACTAGAGCTGTCTACTAAGTATGGACGCAACGCTGCCACATTTATCTGCTACGGCTTGCTGTGGTTAGCGTGAGCATTGTCGGACAGCATCGGAATATGTGGACGACGGTCTGTCAGTTCCCGCTCAGCCATTGCAAATGGCTGAGAAAGCGATGGGGATGGCCAAGGGATGGCAACGAAGGGGTCAAATTCAGCCAGGGTATGTTCATTGCTGCTCACTGACTTCATACAACTATCGTGGCCGAGCTTTCCTTCAAAAGTACAATAACAGCACTGGGCGGTTCACTGTTTTGATGCGACACTGTACGCATTGACCGGTCGGAACTGGCATATCAAATCCACGCACCAACGCCGCCTTCCGTCTTATGCATTTCATCCCCGATATTGGCTCTGTGTGGTCATTCGAAATGCGCCCGGTGTCCGCTCGTCAGCTCTACAACGTCAAAAGCACTGCGTACGTACGCTTCCTGAGGGATATATTTATACTCTGCCGACCATCGACTTGGTGCAACACAGACGTCTCTCACACCCCCCACGACAAAGCCAGCATGGCGTACAACTACCTCTCTGCGCCTGACGCAGAACTCGCCCCAATGCTTGAGTCTCTGTCTGGACCAAACCTCCCACCCGGCTTCATCAAGTCGGATGTCAACGCTTACAGGGCCATCGTCCACGGCTTTGAGAAGTCTGCGAACGAATCCCAAACCCCTCCTGGTCAGCTCGTTTCTGCCTGGCTTTGCTCATAAGCTGATACCCACCTACACACAAGATTCCGTCATAGTAACAGAGCACTCTATTACGGTCACGGAAGGGTCAATCCTGGTGCGCACCTATCGACCAATGGATCTCCTGGATGGGAAGTTACCTCTTGTTGTTTGGACGCATGGCGGAGGTACGTACATCTCGAAATGCACGTGGATACTCGAGCTCACCGCACATGTCAGCACTCGTTTTTGGCAACCTCGACAGCAGCGACGGAGTGTGTCGAGTCCTCGCTCACGATCTCAAATTGTCGGTAGTCAGTGTGGAGTACAGGTATACATCTTTCCAATCATCTCCATGCTGCTCTCCTCAGTCTTCTGTACAGACTGGCTCCGGAATTCCCTCATCCCATTCCGTTAGATGATTCTTACGCCGCGCTGAAATGGGTGAGGGTATTGTCGCTCCTGCGGCCTAGTGCATGTACTGATCGCCTGGTTATCCCCTCAGGCGGTCAAGAACTCCACCACGTTGGCCGCAGATCTTTCGAAGGGCGTCATCGTGGGCGGCACGTCTGCTGGAGCCTATCTCGCTGCTGCCATGGCGCAGCGCGCGGTCGCCGACCCCTTCTTCGCTGCCCACGGAACGAAGGTCTCCGGCCAGGTGCTCCAGATCCCGATGCTCTGCCACCCCGACGCGTTGCCCGAGTGAGTCCACCTCGCACAAACGGCCCGGCCGGTCATGCACATAGGCGGCGCTAACGACGCCGCGGGCAGATCGGCGAACTTGACCTCGTACGAGCAAAACGCGGAGGCCCCGATTCTCTCCACCAACACCATGCGGGAGACGTACGGTGGGTGGATTGTCCCCGGTCGTTCGCGCATCTCGGCGCACTGACGCCTCGCGTTTTTTTGGGGACGCGCAGACCTGGTTCAAGGGAACCCGTCGGACCCTGAGCTTTCTCCACTCCTCCGGCCGTCGCTGGAGGGCCTTGCTCCCGTGTACATGCAGGTCACAGGGCTGGATCCCCTGCGCGACACTGGACTGGTGTATGCGGAGCGCCTCCGTGAGGCCAACGTTCCCCTCAAGCTTGATCTGTAGGTCCTGTCCCCCATTCTACTTTGGCACGTGTTGATTCAAAATTCGGGAACGATAGCTATCCGGGTGCACCGCACGGATTTCACGTTATGTTCTCCCAGACCAAGCTCGCGCAACGGTGGGCGCGAGAGAGGATGGAAGGGGTGCGGTGGCTTCTGGCTCAGGGAAACGCGTGAGCATGACGGCGAGAGTGGACATGGAATCAGCGGGAAAGAACGATTCGAGATATGCACGTAGATTACAGGTAGTCGCTGTCTATGACAACTCGGACGTCGAGAGGAACCTGCGGAGACTTGAAGTCGCCATGAGGTTCACCAACGACGGGAATCTGCAAGCCGTCGATGCGCCAGTAGATCTCCTTTCGCACGCCGTTCTTGTCCACCGCAGAGAGATGTGGAGGCGTGACAAGAAGGTCGTGATGACTTGCTCTATCGCGACAGAATGAGTCTAGTCGCGAACGCGAAGAAAGCTGTGAAACTCACTGATCTCCATCTCGGCGAACTTGAAACCACTACATGAGATGCTTCGTGAGTACACACCGACTAAATCGACCAATATACTTACATGCACGCCCTGCCCCCGCCGAGGAACGTCATTCTAGTCGCACGAGGGTTATCGCTCTACCTCCTCGTGATAAGATGAGAGGCACTCACATTGTAGCGTATACCCCCGGGCACTTCACGCCTGCCTTGTATCCTGGCGCACCATCCAGGCTCTTCTCGCCGTCATCCGCCGCTTGTCCCAGCACCAGATCCACGCTCCGTCCCTCTGTGAGCTCAATCCGCTCTCCCGACGCGGTCAACCACCGCTCCGGCCTCCACACATCCGCGTCGTCGCCCCACACCTGCTTGTTATGGTTCGCGCCGAGGATCGAGATGACGAGACATGCACCGCCTTCACCTCCTCCCCGCTCGCGTCCGTGAGCGGAAACTCGACGGGGAGGGCTGCGTCCCTGGTGCACGTCCGATTGATCATGTTCGTCGGCGGGTGCACGCGCAGGGTCTCGCGCAGCACGGCGTCGAGGTACGGGAGCGCCATGAGTGTGTCGTATGGCAGATGGACACTCTCCCAGGGGCCGTCGTGCCCGCTCGCCGCGGCGTGGGCGAGCTTTGCGGCGCGGATCTCGGAGCGGAGACGAGCTTGTGCCGGTTGGTCGCGGGAGAGGATCCAGAGGATGCGGCTGAGCGCGCTCGTGGAGGTTTCTTGGCCGCCGAGAAGCATCGTGCTAGTCGAGGAAATGAGGCAATGGTGCGCATGGGGACATGAGGTACCCACTTGATTTGTCCGGTCAACTCGACGTCTGTGAGCCTCTCTACTTCGGACGTAGACACGTTGGCTTCCACTACATGGCCAGGTCAAGACCGTGCGCATGCAGGACGAGTGGGACTCACACATGATCGCCATCAGGTCTCGCTGCTCGCTTGCTCGCCCCTGCTCCATTGCTTCGCGTTTCTCCTCTAAGATCTTCTTAGAATATCGCTCCATTGTGTAGCACATCTCGCGGATCTGGCGAAGCGGAGGCAAAGGCAGGCAGTCGACGAGCTTGTTCCTCCAGAAGGGGCTAAGGTTGCGAATGGCCTACGGAACCATCGGGCGCAGGAAGATAGTCTTCAGCCCAACGTGGCTTCCGTGGACATCAGTTATGAAGACCGTATCACAAGTATGTGTGGACTCACGTTACGAATGGCATCCACGTATTTGTTCGAGTTTTGAGGGTCGAGTGCGCCAAAGTTGTTCCCCAGCACCTCCTGCCCAACGTACTCGATCGTCCCGCGACCCATCCACGGATGCAAATCAACCTCCTTCGCCCCTACGCTCGTCTCAGCAGCAGCAACTGGGACGAAGACGCACACGCTCACCTCCGATGGGTGGTACCTCCGCCATACTCCCACGGAGAAGCTCGTCGGCGATGGGTTGAATCGTGGGGCGCAATTCGCGCATATCTGAGGGGAGAAAACGGGATTGAGGATCTGACTCTGCTTTTCCGTGCTGTTCGCTTGTGCGTCGCGTGTGGGGGGATGGATCTTCGAGAGGACCAATATGACGAACTCACTGTCTGTGGATACCAGACCCTCGTCGACCGGTAGTTGGTTTGTCCTAGGCTCATGAGTCCCTATGAGTCCTCCGAACGAGAGTAGACGGATCATTTGAGAAACATTTCCGATTCATCTTGGTCCCTCACGACGGCGTGATGCAGCGCTCGATTGTCGAAGATAGAACGTTGCTGAGACTGAAATGGCGAGACTGAAGATCGGCGTTGTGAGCAGCGAACGCGAGACGGGAGGACGCACCACAAGGACGTCATAAATCTTCAGCACGCCTCCATATCGATGAGATGGAAGGTGTAGTCATGCGCGTCTTTGAAGAACCGGTGGAGATTGCTTAAATAGACCAGATGCGTGAGTTGGAGAGCAGGTGGTGAGGTGAGAAACGCGGAACAACCGAGGGTGTGGCGCGAAGACGGGAGGGCCAGCGCCTGTTCTCCTACCACCACGGCCTCTCACTCACCGGTCAACCAATGCTCCTTCTCCGGATCTCGCACGAGCGACAGGACGCTCGGAGGAGTGCGCCTAGGTAGCAATCTTTAGACCAACGCTGCGACCAGGACAGAACCGAGCCAAGCCGACGGAGAAGCCATTGCGGTATCTCAGCGCCCTTGGAAGGGTACCGTACCTCGCCAAGGCACAGATGGGACTTGAGCGCAAACTTTGGGAGTGCGACGGCACACGCCCTCTCTTCTTCATCTTGGTCGTACTCGGCGTCTTCGGTGAGTGACGTGTGCTCTGACATGGCCAGAATAGTGCGCGTATTCAACGCTGCATTCTCCGATCCGGCCGGGGTCCCAGAGATCTGAAAATGCGTTCAACAGCATCTAGATCATGCTCGAAGCCATCGTATGTTCTGGTCAGAGGTGTTTCTACGGTCGCCGCCCTTGTCGGATCGTGGACAACCCCACCCGTAGCTTTGGTCCGGTATAAAGTTCTGTGAGTTCGGTCCGTCTCCGATCTCAGGTGTCTTCAGATGTCTTCAAAAGTCATTCGGAACTACGACGCCCGGTGTTCCCGACGTGAGCGTCAGCCAAGGTTTCTGATACATCTCCTCGTGCAACAAATTGCACCCTCTACATATCATTCGAGGTCCGCAACGCACTTAACGCGTACTGCGCACATCGTAGCGGCGGCCGCTGATTCGACGTCATAGCAGAGCGACTACGCCCCGACGCCTCGCACGGCATCGACAATAAGACGAGCCTCTGCCCAAAACATCCACCAAGTTCGGCGGGAACGCGAGCAACCGCAGCATGAGCTGCACGACCAGATACAGCAGCCCGCTTTTGACGACACCGACTGAGTCCACATCAGACAAGAAAACTCAAGGAAAGTGGAGGATAGTAGTCCCTGGCAATGTGCACATGAACTGACCTCTGCCTGTCTAGGTGGGATGATTGCGGTAGGGCGGTATGCGCGTCTATGCATGTGCTCGACAAACTTAACTTTCAGTGCGGCCGCTGCGGCATCACGCACGACGTTCTGAAAGATGAAGCTGCCATCTTGAATGACCCCATCTTCGAATCCCGAGCCCTGGAAGCGCTCCTGAAGAGTTGTGCTCCTGCATGGCAGTACCCCAGACTAGTATAAAACACGCCGCTCAGAGTGCTCAAGAGTATCAGTTACCATCTCAACAACTCCCTCCACAATGCGCCTCACCATCCTCTTCGTTCAATTTGCTGCGCTCATTCTCGCTGCGGCAGCGGTCGCAGTGGAAGGCGGCGCTGGTGAGTCAGCAGCGCCTGCTGTTCCTTTCGCGGCCTCAATGGCATAGCTGATCTTCGACGACACTCGCAGAGCCCAGCGCACTCAAGGTTGCTCCAATTCACGCGGATGGTGGCAGATTTTCTTGAAAACCACAGTGAGTGGATTTGGAACTCACCATCAGTTCTCAATATACGAGCTAGGAAATAACCGCAGAATTCCAGGTAGATCAGGAGAACAAATTTCCCGCCAAGTTGAAAGTGTGGTCGGGACTGGGGGGTGCACCAGACCCTGTTAGCGCCTGGTATCTAATCACCACACCAGTCTCATCTGTCGTCTTGCCTCGGATCCATTTGCAGTCTCCACATCTCCCCGCCTTGTTCCGTATACAGGTGTAGACCGAAATCCCCAGTGTTCTGGAGAAAATAGACCCTACCCCTGTCCATCTTCGTGTGACTGACTCTCTGACGTGCGCCCGCCGTGTTCGATGCGAACGACTCTATGAAAGGCATCTGAACTATACCAGCGTGATCATTAATGGTATTGCATCAGGTGCAGTGCTTCTGGCTATTTTGTTTACCACGGACATGCGCTGCCTGTTCCCAGGATAAGGTAGACGCGGTCAGGAACCAGCTACCATGACATAAGCAATCTAGGTGGCGTGGGAATGTTTCAAATCTCGCCGGCGAGTCATCGCCTCTTGAGAGGTGGTCAAAACATGTATTCCATAGACATCTGCACACAATCTTTTGCTGCTTCTGTCATTTGATGGTCTAACTGCGCCCTATGCATGTCCCAGATCGCTTCCCAACGGTGGCCAGGAGCCTCTGCGCTTCGCTTGGCACAGTGAGAACGAGTCCCGAAGAGCGTTAAGCTCCTCGGCGTCAACTGGCACGGGTGGGGCAGGCGGAAAGTTGTCAACCCCCACCCTGTGTAATGTCCCTTGTATAACCGGCTGAGTCTTCCATGATGGAAGTATGACTATCTGCTGTAATGGGAGCTTCAGAGGGCTGGCACATGCAGCAGAACACTGTTCCCATTGCCTTTCCGGACGGTACAAGTCGGGCCGGTACATCACGTGTTCAGCGTCTACTGTAGACGCCCGTTTCAAACATTTCTCCTCGCCGATTTAAACCGTGCTCAAACACATTGAAACAGTGTTCTGCGACGTTTTAGAACATCTTCAATTATTGGCCAATAACTCGGTCAAAAATGAGAATATCACAAAAGTTCTTCCTAGCATTGAGAGCTAAGGATAGCTACTATCATTGTCAGAGACCAGAATCTTCAAACATGGGTGAGGGGGGGAGGGGAAAAGGCAGGACAAACGGGGGGCGCCTGCTTATGTCATGGTGGCTGGTTCCTGGCCGCGTCTACCTTATCTTACTGCTTTCGTCAGCCAGCGTTAGTTCCGTAAAGCTTCAAGTAGCTGATCTAGGTACCGACTGTACATGATGATCACTCAAGCTCAAGGTAGCTTCTCGTCGGAACCTAGCATTCTGTTCAAACCACACAACAAGTCCCCTTTAAAACTACTTGATGAGTCTGGGTGTCTTCTTCCATCTGAGACGAGGTTTCTTTCGAACCTGATTGCCTCCGTTGCAGCTGGCAATCCAGGAGAATGTAAACACCGAGTCGTCGGTGGTCGCATGCCCAGTTGGCATCAACTGGCTTCTGATATCTGTCAGGGTCAGAGTTGTGCCTGGTACGTATATCTGGAAGCCTATCTCCTTGTTTATTTGCCGACGTCCTCAATGGGTGCCACGCGGCTCTGATTTCAGTTCTCACAAATATCCAACTTGTCATACCGATACGGAACCCCGCATACGATCCGACGGATGAGAGACATCTCTCTGTGAAGGAGAGCGACTGCGGAAGGATCGAGAGCGTTCAGAAGGGGACTAGGGGAGCTTGAGTCGTGGATGAGCTTAGCGTTTAGAGAGCTGTGTTATGCTGCAAACCTCAATATGTTATTTGTTGTGATCGGGGTCCGCACGAGGCGATGTATCCGAAACCTTGTCAGAAGTTCATGCCGAGAAAACTGGGCGTTTCGAATGACTTTTGGAGACATCTGAAAACACCTGAGATTGGAGACTGGTACGGAACGAACTCAGTACTTTGCACTGGACCGATGGTGCGGCTGCGCAGAAATCGCACCGTCACAAAGCCAAGGCTGCGGGTGGGGGTCGCCCACGATGCATATGATGGCTTCGGGCATGATCTAGATGTCGTTGAACGCATGCTCAGATCTCTGGGACCTCGGCCGAAGAATGCGACCCCTCGGCTACGTCAGCATGTACATCCCCGAACCGACTCACAGCCCCAGGTCCGCCAACAGCTCCTCCGCCGTGACCCGCGACGCGCCCTTCTCGCCACCCCCATCCTCGCCCCCCTTCCAAGCTTCCCGTATCTCGTCCCGGAGGCGCACGAGGCGCACGCGCCTCTGCGGGCCGTCGCTCCCGAACGCGAGCTCGAGCACGCGCCGCGCCTCCGCCGCGACCGCGGCGGGCGTGCCCGAAGGCGTGAGCCCGGAGCGGTAGATGCGGCCGGCGCCGATGCCGGTGCGCACCTCGAAGAGCTCGTACGCGGCGCGGTTGTTCTCCGCCATGTGGACCGCGTTGAAGGCGTCGATGGCGGTGAACGGCCAGCAAATCCTGTGCGCGCCAACAGAACCAAGGGGGAACAGAGAAGAAAGGAAAGATAGGAGTGAGACGGGGATGCGGAGAAGGCGGGAGGGCGCACGTACACGGGCACGCCCGCGTGGGTGGCTTCGATAAGACTGGAGGTACCACAATGGGTGAGGAACCAGCCTGTCACCTGGGGGGCTCGGAAGCAGTGTCAGTGCTAGAGGAGAGCGGTGGACGGATTCAGGGCGCACGGGATGGTTCAGGATGTATCGCTGCGGGCACTCGCGTGCCGCCAGTGCGAGCTCGTACCCGTCTATCCGCTTGCGAACTTGGTCAGAGAGCTCGAGGGGAGGATGGCTGAGTATCTGTGAAAAGAAGATGTCAGGTGTGACGTTATACTAACATGAAAGCTCCTACTGACGAAGGGTATGCGTTTCTCGACGATGACGTCCAGCACCGTCAACAGCTTCTCCTCGTCGGTAGGCCACTGGAACAATCCGAACGAGATCTGCGAGGGATGAGTTCACGGGAGATGATCTTCCTTGTCTCGGCACACTTACATACAACACTGATTTCGAGCCGTGGCTCTTCATCACCGAGCTGAGGAATATTTGGATCCTGTCGCTGTGGGGCACACTAGCGAGCTCCGTAGCAGCCCGCCTGGATCCCACCGGTAGGACGGGCCCCACATAGTATATCTTGGCTCCCCTTTGCGACATCCACGCAGAGTTATTCCTCGCCGACGTAGCGTCGAATGACTGGGGAACAATCGAGACAACTCCATCAACCATCTTCCACGCGCTGTCGACCAAACAGGAATCAGGTAAACGGTAAAAGTTCGTGACGTGAACCTATACGCACTTGATGAAAGTCACGAATTGTTCCCCCGTGACCGACCACCCCGAAGGCTGAGGCTGTTTGGCCATTCTGAGGTTTAAGCACTGAAAATCAAGCATGGACGCTTACCTGTTGCGGCTGAACTTCGTATTTGTACATGGGTTCGTACCCAGGCACACGAATGAGGATGTGTGACGTCATCTGCATTGTCTGTGTGCGCGACAAGTATGAGTAGAGGATAGTGAATATAAGTGTCTGCTCACCTTGACAAACATGTCGTCCAGCCTTATGTCGCCCTTCATCGACAGCTTGCCATCATCTACGAGCTGCTTCAAGGAAGCCTTGAGCGAGCCCCTGTCATCCGGTCCGTGTGCGAAGAAACCAGTCGCAGGGCAAGAATTACGCCACCAGAACACTTTGGGTGGCTGATCCGAGCACGCCCGCACCCTGTTCACGAATTCCATCGAGTGGTGCCACTGTCGAGAGAAGAGGGTAGTGGTCAGTCTACGGCAGCGTACGTTCCGAAACAGCGAACATACTGGTGCAATCACCAATTGAGGAAGAGGCAGTGCGGAGGGCATGTCACCAATGCTCGCGGAGACTGGCTCGCCTCTGATGAGCTCCTCACAAACACTGACACTCGCGTCTGCCAGCGCGGAGTCGAAGAGCTTATCCGCTCGTCCCTCGGGCGTTACCATTATAGGAACCAATCTGCAAAAGTACGAATATGAGCCAACGAGACTGAGGAAGTGCATCTCATGCGTACCTGATCAAAGTCCTCCGTGAAGCGCTCTCGACGGTATCGTCGAGCTCGCTGTCCAGTTCTGTAATCGCGCATTGGAGCATGTCGGCGCGTAGACATATCGTGACGTTCACCGGCCGGATTGTGACCAGTCTGCACGCGAAGACACAGTACTGCTTCAAGTCGGCTAGACATAAGATGTGTGATGAGCAGGGAACGCATACAGTACGTCAGCATCGAGTACCAGGAAGTGACAATGGAAAAGAGACGTCAGGAACCACGCGGCAGGACCCAGATTTGGATGCGCGACTGACCTCGGACCCCACTGGCGACCATGACAATGTGACCCGGAGGCAGATTTGTCGCCATCGGAACAGAAGATTTTGGAGCTTCGATCGCCACAGAGGGAGAGAAATGCAATGTCCGAGCGTCGATATCGAGGCGGGGAGAGCTAAGAGACAGTAAGAAGGAGAGTCGCGGAAATTGGATGGTGGGAGTCGCCTAAACTTTATATACGACAGTTGTGATGGCATGCACTGATATTACGGCGGCTTCTTAATGGACACTGCCTTGCAACGAGCAGCCTCACACCGATGTAAGCGATGTTGTTTCAGCATTCGGTTGTGTAGACGTTGCTCGGAAAACCAACTGCGAGTTAGCGAGCACATCGGCGGCAAGTAAGAAGGCAAGTCAAAAGACATCAGTCTCCTACGGACTAAGCTGAAACAAGGAGACCCGCGCTGGATACCGCACGATCTAACGGACAATACCATAGACACGTGTTACCGACAACACTTCCATATGAAGTTAGTCCACTTCAAGCCAGAGTCGTCCGATGGAATATACTACGGCCGCATGTGCATTGCGCACGCGGCGCCGTCCGAGGGCGGGAGAGACTGCAATAGATTGACCATTGCCAGACTCAACATTAACGCCACTAGAAGACAGGTACTACACCTCAAGACTTCAACTTTCAAGCTTCAAGCTTCAAGCTTCACCCCCGGAACTCCGATTCGGATACTCTCTTCATCACCACACCTAGCGAAGGCACGTGCAGCCTCCTCTCGTTGCTGGAGCCGGTGAAGTAGATAGCGTTGACAGTGGCATTGTTGCGCATGCCCCACTCGTCTAGGATGGTCCAGTACACGTAGCACCCTACATGGCGCTTGCCGTTACGGCCGGCCTGGCCAGTGTCCACCCTGCCGGACGCCGAGACTCTCAGAACGCGACTATGAGGACGAATGGGACGACTCACCTAAACTCTTCCCTCCGCGTCTCACGAAGCACGACAGGACCCTGCACCCCGAACTTGCTGAGCGCGTCCTCGCCGTAAAGGTTCCACTCCTCCATCTACAACGTGCCTTGGTTCACGTTGATGATCGCGTACGAGTCCTTCAGGTCCGCGTTCGTGCTCGGAGCGTACCAGAGCCCCGCGTAGAGATCTGCGGTCGCCTCGGCAAGCGCGGCGTCCATGGCGGGCTGGAGGATCTCGTATGCGTCGTAAGCAAGCTCGCCCGAGTCGCTGAACGAGCCGCCGATCATGACGACGATGCCGTACCCGCTGGTAGGGTTGACGGTGAATGCGGTGTGATAGCTCGCAACGTTTCCCACTGCGACGAGATCGGCGTCAGCATTCATTGCCGAGCACAGCAAAGGGATCGAAGAAGTACTCACTCTTTTGATAGAGGCGGCGAGCGCGACCATTGGAGTCGTGCGTCTTGACAATTTCCCAGACAAGGCCCACTTCCGTCCAGTTGTCTTCGAAGGCGTGCATAGGACGCAGCCACTTCCTCAGGGAGAAGGGCGAGAGCTGGCTCTTCGGATGTTTGGCATTGAGCAGGCTTTGTGCGATGGTCATCAGGTCATGGAGTGACGTGTACTGGCCCCCGGACGGGTTCATGGCATTCTTGAAATCCATGTCCTGCACCCAGAGAACCAATTAGTCTGCATAAAGATAGGTAAACGCGAACAAGCCTCACAGCGTACTCCGAGTCTTCTGCACCAACAACAATCTTGTCCTTGGTTGCGTCGGTGGACAAGAAGTGGCTCCCATTGAGCCCCATGGGGTCGAAGATGTCCCGCTTGAGGAGCTCCGCGTGCGTCAAAGCGGTCTCCCTCCCGGACGCGGCACGGTCCGCTTCGGCGAGCGCGAGTCCCAAAACACCGATGCCCACGTTGGAGTAGATAGGCTGGTCCCAGGGGACGGACGCGAAAGGGTGGTTGGGCATGTCTTGCATGACGGCTTCGCGGGAAGGGAAAGGCAGGCCGTTGGTCGGAGGCGGTCCTCCACCGGTCATGGAGTGCGGCCAGTCCGTCGCGGTGCCCGGAGGCCAGTCTCTTCCCATGCCGGACATGTGTGAGGCGAGCTGAGCGAGGGTGATGGGCTCTTCATCAGGACTAGGATAGGATTGGTCGGGGTCGAGACCTCGGGTGGTGTATTTGAACTCGGGGAGGTGCTTGTCGACACGATCATCCCTGGGAGACGGTCGCGACCTTGAGGGCGAGGTATGAAGCGTATGTAGAGACGACGCACCATGATAGCACCCCTCTTTGCTCCAATATCATTCCCTCCAGCACTGTGAACATCTTCGAGACCGACGCGATCCGATACATTGAATGGCTGTCGACAGGAGCAGAGCCCGTCTCGTTCGCCCTGAGCACGCCGAAATTGTGTTCGTACAGTACGCCATTGGACGTGACTGCTCCGACAGACAGCGTGTCGATGGCTTCAGAGTGAAAGCGAGTCGCGAGGTACGCGTCCAAAGCTTGCGTCGCATCGCGAATCAGGGGATGGCTGGCAGTAGGGGGCGCGTCGACGAAGACTTTGGGGAGGAAGGGCCGGCATGATACCGATTCGAGCACCGAGGGCGTATCCCTTCTCAGATAGGACAAAAGGGTCAGCCAAACGGTGGAAGCAAGAGGCCACATCGTCGTCGAGAGCACGCCTCCAGACGCCGTGAACCCGTACCGACAGATGCTCACCTGTATCACATCAACTACATATGTAATTGGGGAACACGTTAGTCCGAAAACTTCCATGCGTTTTGAAATGGACTTCTTGAGCTATGGCCAGGACGGTATGCGACGCGGGAGATTTGCTGCGTCTATAGAGGCAACGGGAAAGAAGCAGAAGGAAAATACGCGGCTCCAGAGGCACTCGTTTGGGAAAGACTGGCACGCGCGCCTTATACGCTTTCACTTCAACGACCATCATCCAATGTCGCCAGATAACCTCACTCTCTGTTTGAACACATCTCGCACACAATTTTTTCCGCCCATTCAAAGATGCCAATACCCTAACCACAAATGTGTTCAGAGCCGACAGCATCAGGCCATCCCGCTGACCCCGCCCCACAGAAGATTTGCAGGAGGTCCCTGATTCACCTCCTTTCCCATGAACTCTAGGGCTTGTCTTGCGGGCATGGAGGAAGGTGAGCACGCGTTCAGAGCTCCGTTTCCTTCCCGGCCGAGTCTGACGCACATGTCCGCGATACAAGCCTCATTTAGGCCGGAGAATCACTGCTCAATCTTCTCGTGCCTGCCTGTATACCCAAGTTCGGTGGATCCATGCGTTTGACCGCGCGCCCAAGGATCGTCGCCCAACGCCCAACGCCGCCGGCGTGCAAATTTATCCAGTCCAGGCACTCCGCCTCCTCGTTACGGATAATGTCTTCCGTGTTTTGCACCCATGGCCAACCTCTTGGAGTACCGCTCCCTTACCAGGGTGAACGCTCATGAAGCTCTCCGCACGTCCGAGCGCGACCGGAGGCCTGAAGAAAGGGCTGGCGACCGGGGAGGGTTGCTTGCTCCCCCGCTCGTCCCTCGACACCCTCGCGCGAACAAGCCCTTTGCTGTACAGCCCACAATGGCCCTCGACAACGACGGGGCCGCCATCACCGGTTTTATGTGCGAAAGCCCGCTTTGGGGTGAGTTCAACCCATCTCAGCCTGCCTTCGCAGACGTCAATGATGAACGTAAATATTTGCAGGAGCATACGTCGTCCTCTTCGTTGTTTCCGTCTTTCTTCTCCTTAGTAGCTCTCGAAGCCTGAACCTGCCCATTTTTGTCGCCAACACCATCCTCTTTTCATTATGCACCACTCATTTCTTCCTCGAGGCCAATCACTTTTACACCACTGTGGTGCGTTCACCGCTCATCTTTGTCTCCCTTGCCAACCTGCAACTTACATTCGTGACAGCTCACGACTGGAGTGCCCGGATATGCGGACGAAACAACGAAACTCCTCGTCGCCGATATTATCATCTCCCTCAGCGACCTTCTCGGCGTTCTCATTCTTCTTTACCGCTGCTGGATCATCTGGTCGAAGCGCTACGACATCGTCATCCTCCCCGCTATCTTGGCACTCACTGGCTTCGGTGAGTTCTGGCTCTCCATTTTCAACATCCGTGTGTTCCTCACATAGCCCTTTGCGCAACCCAGCATGCATATTGGGCGTCGCTATTCTCGTCGTAACCACCGATCCAACCGCTCCCTCCCCATCCCCCGCAATCGTCCCCCTCGGACTAGCAGGGTACACCCTTCCCCTCATCACCAACACCATCACCACCGGCCTCATCATTACGAAGCTGCTCCTCACCTCCCGCCGGTCTCCAGTCGCCCCGGATGAAGAGGCCCGAAGCGCGGTTCGGAGCGCAGTGCTGCGCGCAATCGCCGTCATCGTCGAGAGCGGGCTCCTCTACCTGTCCACGCAAGCAACCTTCGTCTGTCTCTTCGCGCTCGGGCACCCCGCGCAGGCGATCATCGCCGTCGTGGCCGCCCAAGTCTACGTGAGTCTCCGACCCCCTTATGGTGCCTCTCGTCCGTACGTTCTGAACGCGCGCGTCAGGGTATCACCCCCACGCTGATGATCATCCAAGTCGCACTTGGGGCCCGCGAGCCCGAGAGGTTCATCGAGACCGACGGCACGTCGCGCGCGGGGTTCGGCTCTTGTTCGGCGATGCGCCGCGCGTCGAGCGCGTCCGCGTATGCGTCCGAGAGCCGCGACAGCCTCAGGCCGCTCCCCGGGCTGTCGCGCAAGGCGTTCCTCTCCGGGGCGTCCTCCGCCGTTGCGCCGACGATCGACAGTGCGCGGACGCTCACGACGGAGGGCATCGAGGAGTGCGAGGAGTGCGACGGAAGCCAGTTGCGGTTGCAGACGATCGACTTCGACGAGGACTTCGCGATCGCGTTGTAGGAGCTCGGAGAGGGGAAGGAGATTCTTAGGCTCCCGGACGAAAGCGTTAGCTATTCCTGTAAAGTCCCATGTCCTTGCGCTACCACCGCAGTATCCCATTTCTCGCATACGCCCTCGCTCCTTGCCCGGGCCTCAATCTCCCTGAAACGTCTCCCTCCCCCCCGCGCCCTCCACGACTTCGCCCTCGATCTCGTCCGGGGGATGCGCCTCCACCCATGCCCACAACGCCCTCCAGTCCCGGCACACGTGCACCGCGCCCACCCCGCTCGCCGCGTGCGCCCAGCGCCCGTCGCGCACGCCGGGCTCGTCCGCCTCGAGCGTCGCGTCCGCGCGGCAGCGCACGAGCTGGAGCATGTACCGCAGGCAGTGCGCGACGTGCGCGCGCGCGCCGGGGCGCGCCGCGTCCGCGATGGCGACGCGGAAGACGTCGAGGCAGTGCAGCTCGTGCACGGCCGAGACGAGGAACGTCCGGCCGGTCGCGGTGGTGTTGCTGAGCGCGGACGAGGCGGCGGGTGGGGGGCGGAGGGTGACGAAGCCGTCGGTGGAGGGGAAGAGCGCGCCCCACTCGGCGTCGGCGTCGAGCGCGTGCGCGGGCTCGCCGGAGGTCTGGACGTGTGTCGTCGCGGGGAGGGATATCGGGGCCTGCGCGGGGAAGTCGTCGCCGACGTACGCTGCGTGCGCACACGAGGGGCCGTCAGCGGTCGGGCGCAGGGACAGTCCCGGGCGCAGAGCACTCACAGTACGTCCTTCTCTCATCGTGTCCCCCGCACGCGCACGCGCTCGACGCCACGACGCCCCGCGCGGGCAAGAGCCGCACGAACAGGAGCGCAGCGGCGGCCACCGCGTACAGCGCGCACCGCAGCGGCAGCACGACCGTCCTCTGAGTCGACGCCATGGCAGACGCAGCACCAGGGAGTGCGCCCCGAGGCCGCGCACGACGCCCGCAATAAGGCGAGCCCCTCCGCCCCACCCAACGACCCGCACAGTGCCCGCTCGGACACGCCGGATCCGCCCAGCAGCCGCACCACATGCTCGCGCGCCCCAAAGCGGCAGCGCACCGGCCGCGTCCGTGCACGCACGCGTCCGAGCCCGGTACGGTGCATGCTCACGCTCGGGGGGACCTGTGCGTGGTCTACATGACCTCGAGGCGGAGGATGCGGGTTGGTGGCTGGGCCCGGAGAAAGAGGGGACGACGCAGCTGCGTATGGCAGCGGCCGCCACCACACGGTGCCACGAGCGGTCTTCCGGTCTTCAAAGCTTCAAAGCTTCAAGCTTCAACGCGGTGCGAGCTGCGGCGTGCGAGGCGGGAGGACCCGGTCGGCTGCGTGCATGTTGGGTGGGAAGGCGGGGCGGAATAGGCAGCGGAGGGACGCGAGAGAAGAGGAAGGCGACAAGGTTGAAGGTCGCAGGGGCCATTTTGGGCATCCTGGTGTAACTGACGAAAGGTCAGGGCTCCGAGAGGCGAGAACGCATCCAAAAGCACGGGACTTGGCAGTGACGTCCACAGTGAAGTCTGTCTCTTTGCTGATGGTTCACGTCGCCCGAGGTTCGGCTCATTACTGCAACGTTGTCGCAACGCACCACACCAGACTCGCCACCTTGTTGTTCTGTACGCCAACGGCACCGGTGAGTTCGGGAGAGACCTGTGAGCAACGACGTCAGAAAGCACACTGACCCTCGCATCTCGGCAAGTCACCCACCCAAGTCGACGCGTCCATGATCCTGCACCCCCGTTCTCCGCTCGGAACCGCGCCCCCCACGAGGTGTTGCATCACGAACCAGAGCCCGAACAAGACCTGAGACGTGAGCAGCTGAGCGGACGGCGCGAGGGGACGTCGAACCCGTCCGTCTCTTTTCCTCCTTGCGCGGGAACTGCAACTCCCGGCCGCCGTGCTCAGCGCCGCCTCTGAGCTCGACGAGGAGGTCCCAGGGCGGCGCATGCGGAACAGGACAGGACGTCGACCGGCATAAGAACCCAGCAGACCTCGGGGGGAGAGACCCAGGTCCCACACCGTCCTGTTCCCCACGCACCTCCACTGCTAGGTCGTCATGTTCTTCAGCCCCTTCGTCGCCGTCTTCGCTCTGCTGGCCTCCGCGGCTGCAGCACCGCTCGCACCGTCTGTCCAGGAAAGGAGTGAGCACCCACTCTTGAGAGCCGCTGCGTACTTTACTTACCAAGTTGAGTCATCCTAGACACAGCTGGCGGCAAGCTCTGGCGAGGATACGCCCACCAAACTCTCGACAACGGTGAGGCACGACTGTTTTATGTATCGAGGGCTCTCTCATCATAGACGTCTAGGCGCTCCGACCACCGTCAGCACCATTCAGTGACTGAATGAATGATCAGCGACACGGTCGCTTGCGATGAAAAGAGAATGTGTAACAGAGTCGCCTGAAACGTTGCGGAACATTTGTATCACACTTCTTAGCCCCGTATGTAGGTCGGATTTATGGAATAGCACCGAAGAATCGCCGCGAAGTTGAGATCGGACTTCAACTTCAAGGATCATGTAGTCCTTCACGTCCAGGGTCTCGGAGGAAGTCAAGGTTGAATCCAGAGGCGCCCAAACTGGCTAGCGCTCCCCCTAAAGCCGGGGATTACCTCAGCACTATATTCGCACTTGTTGAACGTTGAACACTCAACATCGAGCAATTGTGAACCGAGGCTGGCAGCGGCATGGAAAGAGTCTTTGCTCTTATCGTATCTCGTATCTAATAGTAGGCTGTATATATGCATCTAACGGTAAAAGTTCGGATGTACACAACACACGCGACGACGGTCCTCCAAAGGCAAAAGCAGGCAAGAGTGAACCGGGCCCTGCGCAACGCGCGGGGAGCCGACCTTACAGAAGATTGGTACAACACGCGCGACGGGCTTACTTGCCCGCGGTCTTGTAGAGGATGAGACCGAGGAGCGCGATCGAGTAGCCTGGTGGCAGGCGTGAGCACGGAGGGCCCCAGAAGCCTAAACGGACAAGACGAGGACTCACCGACGACTTGTGTGGGGGTGATCATCGCGCCGAAGATGAGCACGGAGCCGGTGATAAGCAGGATGTCCTTGAAGACACCCGCGAGGGTGAGGACAAGACCGGACCCGGCGCTGACGAGAAAGACGGCGGCGACATTGAGGAAGAATGCGACCATGGCGTTCAAGAGGAGAACGAGCGGGCTGCGGACGGAGGATGACGATTAGCGCTGCACTGCATATCGACGTCGAGGGAGTGACGGACCCAACGCGCATGATCTCGTAGAACGGCGCCAGACCCTCGGTGAAGGGAAGGACGGCGAGGTTGATGAGCGCGCAAACGGGCGCATAGTAGTGAAGCGAGACCAGCGGGTTCATCTTGAGGCCGTGGAGGAGGATCTCAATCATGACAAGACGAGATGCCTCGAACTGTCCATTATTCGTCAGAGGCGGTCTAGCCCATCAAGGAAAACAACTTACGACAACCGCGGCGGCCTGGATGAGGAAGCCAGTGAGGTTGAAGCGCAATTCACCATGCGACGCGAGGGCAACACCGGCCGAGATCATAAAGACGATCACCGCAAGGCGCTTGCTGGGGTCGTGGATCCGGAATGTCCACGAGATGAGCAGGATAGCAACTGGTACGAACGCCTGCGTTCGATCAGGCATGTGCGTGAGCAGTCGTCCAGCGGTTTTTTGGGATGGGGGACGCACCTTGAGCATCTGGATGTATGCTACTGAGAGATAGAGGTACGCCGTGTTGCTAAGAATAAGAGAAGCACTGAAGAGGAGGCCGATGGGGAGGATACTCCGGAGGAACATGTCTTTCGACATGTTCACGTCCTTCGCGCCATCGAGGAGGTGTGTTGTCCGCGCCAGTACGCGGGTGCCAATGGCCTGCAAGACGATCAGCTCAGCTCAACATTCTCCGTCCCCAGACCCGCGAAGTGTACGCGGGCACCAGGCGGCTCGCGCACCCCGCTACCAAACCCAGGCCCCCGCCCGCCCCGTCGCACGCATGACGTCGGCCGGCAGCTCTGGCTGTGGTCGCGCGGGCCACCCACACCGGAAGCCGATGACTTCGGCCCCGATGCCGAATGGAGAGTCCGCGCAAGGCCGCCTCGTCCGGACCAGCCCGCCAGGCTGAAGGCGAGAGTCCGCCAACGGGACAGTCGGACCCATCTCGTGTCGGTCGCGGAGGTGGGGCTGGACGCGGATGGCGCCTTGGCGCTCGGCGGATGGGGGCCGAAATTGCCAGCGGGGACCGCCAAGCCGAGAGGCGGGGCGCGCAAGCGCGAGATGGGGCGCGCAGAAGAAACGAGACGTGGTACTCACGGCAAAGGTCAGATGCCAGGTGACGAGGAAGACGGGGAAGCGGAACTGGAGGGTGTTGTACAGGTAGTTGTTGTAGATGATCACCGCGGAGGAGAGTGCGATCCAGACGGGGATAATCATCGACGCGGAGAGCTTCGGGGCCGCTTTGCTGTTGCCCGCGCCAGGGCGCGGCGCCGTCGCGGAGACTGGGGAGGGCAGGAGGTCGCCGGTGTGCTTCTCGTGTACGTCGAGCATCTGACCCTGCTCCTCGGCAGTTCCGGTCGACTTCTCGTCGTAAGGCATCGTGGAGGGGAGTGTGGACTTGACGGCGGGCGGCGAGGAGTGCGCGGGTAAGATAAGGGGGTCGGGGGTCGTGAAGGGGGTGAAGAGAGGCGATAGAAGGCGGAGAAAAGGAGAGACTAGGGTCGGGGACCGGACAGGGAGCAAGGCGGGGGCGTCGAAGAGAGTTGCAGACCATCGGCGCCTCCGCCGCCCGCTTTGTGTCCTCCGCCGCGCTCCCACGCTCCCGCCTCCGCCCGCCCGCCCGCCGCGAGCAAGATATCCGCTAGGACACATACTCCTAGCCTCGGCTTATCTGCCTCAGATTAAACCGACACAATCCTATGCTGCCCACCACTTCTAGGATAGAAACCAAGTGAGTACCGTTGTTCTCACAATGATACATCCGCGGGGATAGAAAGACCAGACCGCGTGCGAATGACATCGAGTTCAGATGTGGAGATATCCATTGTGTATTCGAGCTCCGGGCGCTGCAACCGACCGCCTACGTTCTTTTTATCAGTTGGTTCAACGAACGAAAGGCATGCGTCTCGCGCGTCCGTGCCTCAAGGTGATATAGTCATTACATGCGGCTCCGCGGTCTAGATGTGAGATAAGTAATGCGCGGTGTAGTCTGATCTAAGGACATAGCCATTCCTACGCTGGCGACGGATGTGGATCTGATCCAATCTATGTAGCTGGACATCTCGAAATCAAAATCAGGTGTGCGTAAATACGTGCGATTAAAGCCCCGTGCATGCGTGATGTCCGAGGGGAGGAATGAAGCGTTGTAGCGTACATCCAGCGGCGCCTCACGAGTGTCGGCGCGCCGCCTCTTTGCGCACGGCCTGCAGAACGGCATCGACGTCGAGAGGGACGTGCTGGTCTCCCGCCACCGTTGGGGGGATGACCGACGGCAGGTCCCCCGACGAAAATTTCCTGTCCCGGCCGAGCGTCAGCAGCGGGTGCAGACCACCGAAGACAGAACCGCGCACCTTCCATTCCACCAGGCGATGTAGTCCATCCCGAGCGTCTCCATCGCGAACTGCTGCTCGCGCACGAACACGCCCGGCGGGAAGAACTCCATCAGCAGCGGGGGCACGACCTTAGCCGCATCTGCCGTCTTCCCGCTCGCCGCGCTCGAGACGCTCTCTGCGACCGGCGCACGCATGAACACGCTGTCCGCGAGCTGTGGTCCGTATGAACCCAGCACGATCTGAAAAGCCAAGCGATATCGATGAGCACGCGCCCCGCTCGTTCGCCCACGACCGGGCCACTCACCGACGACTTCGCGAACGCGCCCATCCGCTCTGTCCACTCCAGCGCCGGCACACTCCCATTGCCCCTCACCACATGGACCGCCTCCAGCGCGCCGTCGCGCTCCATCCTGCGCAGCCCCTGCACAAGTTTGTCCTCGTCCCCCGCGCTCAGCCGCGGGCCCGCGCCTGCAGGCATGTCGCGCATCGAGACAAACGTCACGACCGGCTTCCTCTCCTGGCGCCCCCAAAACCCGCCCGCGCTCGTCGCATCGTCGTCCGTGACGTGCAGGTAACGCAGGAGCGCGGAACGCGCCGGCGCCCACCAGTCCTGCGGCGCCGGAAGTGCGACCAACGGCGCTGCCCATGCAGGGGCCCCGGCGATGCTCCCACCTTCCGCGCGCTTAGCCAACCCGGCTTTCTCCTCGTCCGAGACAGAGATGGGTTCGCTGAAGGCGCGCGGGGCCGCCCAAGTGTCGCGACCGCGCTCCGCAGCGCCGCGGTCAGCGACCACGACGCGTTCGAGGAGGAAGGGGACGTGCATGTCTGCGAGGTCCTTCCAGTCTTCCTCGAACCACATCCCGACGGTGGGAAAGACGGCTTTGGCGAGGAGAGGGTGTACGCCAGTATATGCGCGTTCACGGGGGAGCGGATGCACCTTGGGGTCCTGGTCGCCCGGAGGGAGAACGCTAGGCGTGGAGAATGTGGGGATACGGGGGAAGACGAGCCGGAGGGGGGCCGGGACATCGGATGTATGTGCTGCCGCGGAGGAGGGAAGGCCATGCTTGTTGTGCACGGAGCGGTGCGAGATGACAGAGCCGGATGAGGCGAGTGATGCTTGCGTGCGGAAGAGGGAGAAGAGGGTGTATGCGTCTTGCGACTCGGCGGACCCTAGCTGCATCCATGATGTGCCGTGGATTCTGATCACGTATGAGGCCAAAAAGCTCAGACAAAGGCATGCACCACTCACTTCGCTGCGTACGGGCCGAACCAGATGTTTGCGTCCCTCGAGGTCAGCATGTGCCAATCTCGAATCTGTGGCGGTCGCGAGGCGTCTGACGAAGACGACGCAATGTCGCCAAGCTGGGGAACCTTGGCCCAGTCGTCTGCGACGACGAAGAGCGTGCCGTTCACGGCGACCACGTTCTCCAGTATTGAGAATCCTTGAATCGCCCAGTCAGCCCAGACACAAATACGGAGGACGAGGGCAATGACGCACCGGGTGTATGTGCTACGAACTTGGTCTGCGGGACCTCATTCCCCCACCGCACGAACTGGTCCTGCACCGTCACGCCTGTGCTCAGACTGACGCCCCTGTCCCCGAGGTCCCGCGCGCGGCCGTGGTGCTGCTTCCCACCAAAGTCGTAGAGCATCGCGTACCGGCCCTTGCCTGACGACGTGGGATGTCCGCGGCCTTCTCCTGACACTTCGCCCTCACGCCATTCCCAGTCTCCGACAATCATGTCCTCGAGTTTGTCTCTCCATTGCTTCGGTCTCCGCCCGTCCTCGTCGAAACCTGGGTCTTTCGTGCCGAGACCTGGGGGGTCCAATGGTCAGCGTCGGAGATAGAGGTGACTAACAGAAGGGGCCCGAGGGACATTGGACGGCTCGATGAACGCTCCCGAGGCAGGGGTGGACGTGACGTCCGACGGGTGCGTTTGCTCGACCATCTGAGAGAATGCTGCGCCCCCACCCAATAGCCGAGGAGATGGAGACCGCAGCGACCAGACCTACCCACGCAGCCCGTCGTCCCAACGGGTCCCCAGCGGTCCTCCAGGAGCTAGCAACACGGCCCCACCGCACGAAATGACACGAAGTGCATACACTCACCTATACTCAGAAGGTACGACGACGATAGCTTCTGCGGGCGCACGCCCGCCAGCCCGAGCGTGGCTTCTAGGTTGTAGGAGAGCACAAAGACGGTGAGGGCGAAGAGGGTGAGCGTGAATTCCCGACGCGTCGGCGCCGCGGTCCATGTGCGTTTTGGAGGCATGATGCTGAGCCCAGGTGCCCGAGTCGGCCGCTACTTGCTTGACACTTGAGACCGCAGGGCAGAATACGGTGGCCAGCGCAGCGGTGGAGGTGAGGTTGAAGCGAGGACGGGATTGTCGCTAGAGCGTGTGAGAGAGGGTGATATGAATGCTTGAAGTGATCTCGCGTGGCAGAGCTAGTGGAGCAGGCGGGAATAGGGTGAGCCGAGACTATGTGAGGGCGCACAAACAACGCGAAGAAGACGATTAGGTGCGGCGAACGTAGACAGCAGCCGGGGACGTGCGACGTGGAGGATGAGAGGGAAGCGAGCCCGCTGAACGCATCTGTGGCCTCGGCTCAGCGCCCAGTGGTGGCGGCATGCTCGAAAGCGGCGCGTCTCTCACGTCACTGAGATCTGCGGTTCTCAGGCGAGCTGGACTGTGCCATCCCCATCTTCCACTCACGAAGGTTCGCATCTGTCGCTTGATAAACCCAGCAGGCAGTGAATAAGATGCTCTAGTTAGATCTACGGGCGTCACAGCTCTGAATACATGCAGGTATCGTTGGACTACTGGAGCCGCCGACGTTTCAGTGTCCGGATGGCTGTAGTAAGGAAACGACTCGGGGCGCACGTCGATCAGCTCCGCGACGGCTCACTCCCATCCATCCCTACACAGTCGCCGTCTTCGGGGACAATGGCTTTTCTGCCTGCTCCGAGGATGACGGTGGTGATACCCTGTTCAGTAGTACGGTTGCGCACGTTTGCAGGGCAGCGACCTCCTCTTCCTTCGGATCTGCGCAGGCAGCCCAGCGAATCTTCAGGTTGGGATCTACCAGGTAGACGTACCCCACCACCTTGTTATTGATACCCAGCGGGTCTCTCAAGTACCTTGTCCGCATTATTGTCAAGACTTGGCCTAAACGTTTATGGGAAGGAAGCACGTACTCCATATGCTGGCTGGAAACCAGGTATGTTGGCCAGTACTCTGGCGATACTGATTTCCGAATGCCGGACACGAACATGGAGATGAGGAACGTCTTCATTCTATTGTCCTGCAAGTTGATCTGCACATGCTGAAACATGGGGTTGGACGAATGCGCGGCCAATGTGGGTTCCACGAATTGTGCGGACTGTACCTAGAGCGGGGGTCAGAAGGTGCGCAACACAAGTGGGTAAAAACATACTTCGGAGACTCTTGTGGTGAGAAGCGAGACAATTGAGACCTTGCCGGCGAGCAGGTCTGTTGTATGGACCTTCTCTCCTGTTCCCGCTAATGGTGTCCCACTAATATCCGGAAAGAACAGTGCTTTCTGTGTTGTATTGTCTTAGCACACCGCACGGTTTGGCATGTCACAAGGTGCGCTCGACAAGAGACATGACGTACGTCTTCTCGAATCATGACCTTGGGCGCGATCCACGTCTTTCCTCCATGATTCTTCGTTCTACTCAGGTCCGACCAATACCCTCGCGTTGCTTCCTTCGCGCTGCGTCATGTAAATGGACGAGGGCCCACAAACTCAATAGGATGAACGTACAGATGATGCCTTTCCTGTAAAAGCTGGTCCTTGTGAAGATACTTGTCCCTCGTCGTCTCCCACCTGCTGGTTTTCGTTTCGGGCTTCTTATTCACCCCCAAAGGACGCTGAAGCAGGGGTAGATCGTCGTTCTTTGCCTCAGGAACCTCCTTTGCCTTTCCTTTCTCCTCTTTTGTGAGCGGTGGCGGAGTGGCCGGAGAAGCAGAAGTTGAGGGCTCCTCTGCGCGACGCGGTGAAGTGGTGGAGAGGAAGCGGCGAGCTGAGACAGACGGAGAGGCGCATACTGGAAAAGTGCGTGGGCGGATACGAAGGAGAGCCGAGCGCATGGCTCAACGACTGGAATCTGAAGAGAAATGAGAACCGTTCTGAGAAGTGAGCTGGAGGGCGTGCGAGCATGCTCACATGTCACGTGAACTACGCGTCGCGTCTCGGCCACGCAGCGTGGTAATCGTCTTCGTCGACATCCGAGCCGTGGCCCTGTACTTACTCGGATATCCCAGCTATCCTTCTAACCACAATGGTCACTCTCGTCAACGCCCATAGGGATACGTCAGGAGCTCTATCGTTCCAAATGGGCCCATGAGCGCCACCGTCCTTCACCAAGCCACTGTTTTCTGCGGCCCACCGGTGTCCCTATCCACTTGAGGCCCCACATCTCATGCTGGCAAGCGTATGTAGACGTTGCATAGGTGCGTAGTCTGTGGCGACGCATATACCCACATCTCATCCAGTGCACTGCCCAGGACCCAGGCGCGGCGCGCCCCCTCCTCATGCCGCGCCGAACGGCGTGCGACGGGGCGCATCTGACGTGGAACGCCGTCCGCCCTCACCTCGCCGTCGTCACATTGCCCGACTCTCGCCTGAGCGGCTCGCTCGTCATCACGAGTCCCGAACGCTGCGCGCACGCACCCGGCCCCCCGGTGCGTGGTTTGCGCACCGTGATGCACACCGTGCGCGCGAGCGCCCGCCGCCTCGTTGCGGCGTCCTCGCTATCCCACGCGAGCGACGCCGGGGGTGACAATGCATGCACCCTGTTCGTTGCCCCTGCCCCACGGTCCCGGCCCTCGCTCCATCGCACGCGCGCTTCTAATCCGGAGATCCAGTCTAGTGACCGTCTACGGGAGCAGTCAGTGCTTCGGGCTCACACAGAAGACACGGAAGGCGACGGAGTACGGGACGGGGGAACCCCGGATGCGAGGGCCCTAAGGTCGAGGGACGGTTGACGATGGACACGCAGCACAGATGCACGCCGATACAGGTCAGTAGATACATACGGATACATGCCGGTGCTTCTAGAGCCCTCTCGCTGTCTTATCGTCTGCGCACGCAGACGGCCCTCGGACCTTAAGCCAGACTCGAGGTGGGAGAGAAGATCCACCTCGGTTTGAGGGGGAAGTCTTCAAGAACATTCCATCGACCAACGTTGTCCACCGTGCTGTTTCAGAGCGGGCGATATCCAGAGCCATAACCACACCCATCAGGAGCGTCGACGGACATTACTTACGCGCCTACCAGGCCGTTACGAGAAGCAAGTTTCAACGACAGCGATTCCACTCTGTTTTTATAATCAACGCAGCTCGAAGATCCTCAGCCAACAACACAGCTTTCGTACACCGGATGCTCCAGACGAGGCAATGTGCCTGCGCCATATTACGCCCCTGAAGCGTATCTTTTCGTGTTGCGTTGCGCAAGCACTCACGGGACATCGACAACCTGCAAGTGACATGTCATAATCTGCGGAGATGTTCGGTAAGCTGCTCGTGCTCCATTCATATCCTCGTGTCAACGTTGACGACATCAGGGACGGCCAGCATGCTTCTGGGTCAAGTGAAGCCTTCGTCAGCTATCGGACCTTGTATCAGGTTCAGTCTGTAAGATGAGCGTTTGCGATCTCAGAGAGAACCCAGCTGAAGTTTGAAACCAGGGTCTGGATGCGCCGCACCCGGATTGAAAGTCCCTGTCGGGGCGCTTGAATGATCCGTCGAGCAGGTGCCTCGTCGGAGAGGTGTCCCGGCGATGGCGGTGCCGCACACCGAGCTTGTGCGCACCCTGGTTCCGCGGCCTTGCGTCGGGCCCCAAAACACGTTTTGCTCTCAGCACTCGGACGGTCGGGAGCTCGAAGGGCGGCGATGCGGTGCAGGGCATGCGGATGCGGCCCGGCCACGCGTCCCGGCGTCTGCATCCGATATGATCTCGGGTCTGGGCCTGTCCCCGCGTGGGCGTCACAATTGTCCGTCCTCCGTCTCTTGTCCTCCGCGTAGCTTGCTGACCCGCACATAGAGACCGCACAAGAGCACACAGCCTCGTACAGAATGGCAGAATGTGTTGCCCATCCGACCTCCGCGCCCGTCCGTCAACAACGAGCGGCGGCGACGGGGCACAATTTGCGTCGCGCCGCCGCTTGTGCGCACCCCGTTCTTGAAGCGCTGTTGTACGGCAAGAACGCCCACACGGGCAGGATCACCAGCGTATCGTCGACCGCCCGGCGCGCCCGCTTCCTTTCGCACCTTAATCCGCGGGCGGCTCGCCTCCTCCGCTGCCCCCCCCCAGGCGATCACTTCCTGCCTCATGGCGGGCACGCCCCGGCCAGCCCTTTGTCACGTTCTGCACACACTAACTATAAGACTCCGTCGCGCACTCCCTCCTCCCTCGGGTCTTCCTCAACGCTCTGCGAGCACACCTCCGCTCTCCGCTCTCCCCCTCCTTCCCCCCTCCTCGCCGCCCTCCGACGCCATGGTCCCCTCCCCTTCCGTCTCCTCGCCCGCCCCGCCAGCGCTTGGCTCCTACATAGACAACGGCGCGCTGCGGCTCGTCGAAATTCTCGGCTACGGCGGCTACGGTATCGTCTACCGCGCTGTCGACACCCACTCCCCTAAGCCGACTTCCTACGCCGTCAAATGCCTCCCCCATTCCAGCAAGCGCAGCTCCGCACGACAACGCCAACTACACATCCGCGAGATCACCCTCCACCAACTCGCATCGGGCCACCCGAACATCGTCACGCTCCACCGCGTCATCGAGGACTACCAATATACCTTCATCGTCATGGACTACTGTCCCGACGGTGACCTCTTCACTCAGATCCTCCACAAGCGGCGCTATCTGGGCAATAACGCCCTCATCAAGGAGGTTTTCCTTCAACTGCTCGAGGCGGTTGAGTACTGCCATTCTCTGAGTATTTATCACCGCGACCTCAAGCCCGAGAACATTCTCTGCTTCGAGGACGGCCTCCGCTTAGCCGTCACCGACTTCGGTCTCGCTACCACCGACCGCGTGAGCACTGAGTTCAGGACAGGCAGCGTCTACCACATGAGTCCTGGTACGTAACGTACTCTGACCTTCGAGCTTCGTCTGACCGACCCTTCTTGTCCTACAGAATGCCAGGGCGGCATGTTCGCGCATAACCGCGCCTACTCCCCCCTCTTCAACGACGTCTGGTCATTGGGCATCATCCTCGTCAACCTCATCACCGGCCGGAATCCGTGGAAGTCCGCGTCCGCGGACGACTGCACCTTCCAGGCATACCTGAAGAACCCCGACAGCTTCCTCCCCACTGTTCTCCCCATCTCCGAGGATGTCAACTTCCTTCTCGTCCGCGCGCTCGAGGTCGACTGGCGTCACCGCATCACACTCCGCGAGATGCGCCATCTCCTGGAGTCCATCGACAACTTCTACTCCCCCGACGTCGTCTTCGAGGACAGCATGGCGCGTTGCCCCTGGGAGGCCGGTCTCAACGTCGACGCTGACAGCGATTCGTCTGCAGAGGCTGAGCCGGAGCCTGCGGACCCTCCCGCGCAGCAGGAGGCACAGGAGGATCTCGTTTCCACCTGGAGCGACGGTTCCGACGCCGAGATGGTCTACACCCGCGAGCGCTCCCTGGTCAAGGAGTCGTCGACCTGGACAGCCTCCTTTGGTGCTGAGCGCGACGATGACTCCGGAGTCGCCTCCGCCTACTCGCGTTCCATGTCCCCCAGCCCACGCGCGTCCCCCGTTTATACTACGACGAAGCTCTTCGACGCCCTTCAGACTCCCGTTCACAGCCCTGCTTCCGCGTACTCTGCGCTTTCATCCGAGCCCTCTATTCCTTCACCGCCGGTGACCCCGCACGCGTGGGACCACGAGCACTCGACGCGTCCGAAGCTTGTTCTCACCGTCGACACGGACACTTTCAAGCCCGAGTACTACGACAACAGCGTCACGATGCTCTCCGCGACGGCGTCCTCCCTTCACACGGCGCTCGAGTCCAACTGGGGCGACATGTACTCGCCCCTCGTCACCAGCGCGATCACGACCGCGAAGCCCTCGCCATACCCTGGAGACGAGGACCACATGGTCATCACGCCGGCGATGGAGGACCAGATCATGGACGACTATGACGACGAGGACGAGGACGAAGATGAGTACCCGGAGATCGATACGTACGGCTCGATACCGTCCGCGCGCGCCGAGTCGCCGGTGCTCGGGCTCGACGTCAACGCGAAGGAGGTGCGGCGCGCCCCCGCCGCGAACGCCGCGACTCCGGACGTCGAGTACAGCTGGAACCGGATCTGCGACTGGCTCAATCCGCAGCAGAAGCCCGCGACCCCGACGTCGCCCACGACTATCGCCCACGCCACCCCTTTCTCCTTCTTCACCGTGCAGGCTACCCCCGCGCCCACGCGGCCGTCCTCCCCGCGGGAGTCCTCCGCATGGCCCGCGTTCTCCTTCGACCTGTCCACCGCGACCACGACCTCGCCGACGCCGCAATCGACGAGCAAGCTCGCGACCCCGCGCACGTCGCCCTCGCTCGTCGCCCACGCGCCGCTCTCGCCGACCGCGGGCCCCTCGCGCACGCTCGCCGCGGACCACCGCAAGGGCCGCGCCTCGAACTTCCTCCGCCCGATCCGCCTCGCCTTCCCGCGCCGCTCGTCCTCGTCTCCCGCCCGCCCCGCCCGCCGCCGCTCGCCCGCGCGCAGCAGCCTCGGCGGGCGCGGGAAGACGCGACAGACGGAGAGCGCGCCCGAGGGCGCGTACGCCGGGTCCGCCAACTGGGTCTTCTCCGCCTCGACGAGCGCGTCGCCCGAGCCGCAGCCGTACCTGTGCCTCCCGCAGTCGGTGCAGCCGACGCACGTCCGGGTCGAGGCCACCACCGCGGCGGCGAAGGAGCCTGAGCACTCGACGCTCACTGAGGACGCGCAGCCGCGGCGCAAGCGCCTGCGGGTTGCGCGAGACTGGTTCTCGCCCGGCAAGCTGTTCGCGTCGGTGCTCCCGTCGTCGTGACTAGCCCGCCTCACGGACACATCTTCCGGCCGCCTCGCGCGTGCGTGAGCTCAACCGATCTGTATCGATAAGTTATCCCTGTACTTGTACCGCTTCCTGCCTCCCAGTCTCCTCGCATTCATCACGCACCCTGCATCCGCATCCGCATACACACCCACACATTGCATTGTTCATCGTCCCTGGTTCTGCGCGCATCATTCTCTCATCTTGGCCCATCCTGCATTGTTCTCCGCATCGTTGCATCGCATATCATTACACGACTTCTCACGACGCCTCACGAGCCCGCTGGTCCCTCTGGTGTAACGTCTAGCATATCTACATCTCTTCATCTGCTTGGTTTGTGTATCGTTAAGCACGGGGCGTTGCCTCGTCTTTATATCTTTATCTCGGTAGATCCGTGTACGTTCATGTACGCGCATATGCGCACGTAGCATAGCGTTCGGACTGGGTCTCTGCGCAGCACTTGTAGATCATCACCCTCTCGCCCCTTTCACGACCTCGTCCTAGAGACACGATTTGTCACGGTACATGCCACTTCTTCTCACCCATATGCCTTATGCCGCAGTATGCCAATCCATTCCTTTCTTCTGCAATTTGGCGGCTTCAATACCGCAAGCAATTGCGAAGTCTCGGTGTGCAGAACATAGTTGTTGAGAACCGCCCGAATAAGGCCACGTTGACTCGTCTTTGACTGGTACAGTTCAGACTTTGACCGTCACAGGAAACATGATAAACCTGTGGTCTTGTGATGTTCGAGCAGCGACCGTTGGCACGTCCTGTCGTGTGCAGTCCGAGGAGATCCCGCAAAACATCGATCCAATCATCTAACCTACGATCCTACATGCAACGCCACCGGTTCATACCATTAGCTCGAAAATGTGTTGACAAAGTCCCATGATCTACCGCGCCGTCGTCTGCTGCCCTCCGCTCTTCTCTTGCAGGCGATCGATGAGCTTCGCATCGGGCGCGACAGCAGCCGGGATCTCGAGCTTGGACGTGCCCTCCTTGCGCTGTGAGCGGCTGTCGCCGCGGAAGCCGATGAAGTACAGCCGGAGCTGGTCGCCACCGATCGCGTCGCTCTGGAACCGCGTCGCTTCAGCGCGCATGCGGGCGGGCAGGGCGCAGGGCAGAGGGGACGAGGGGACACGCACGAAGAAGAGGGACAGCGAGTGCACGTTGGCGAACGAGGCCGCGCGGAGCGGGTACTCCGTCACCTGAGTCTCGCCCTCGAGCAGGGCGATGTCGAGCTGCGGCGTGGCGCCGTCCTCGGCTTCGGCGAAGTCGACGATGTTCGTCCGGTTGGCGTATAAGCGCAACCGCCCGGGCGTGAGCTCGCCGCGGCCTGTCCGGGGAACGATCAGCGATGCTGCGATGGGCTGAAAACGGACGAAGGGGTGGATGGATTTGCGTGAGGACCTTTAACGAGACGGAAGGCGCACCTGTCTTAAGAAGAAGGGAGCGTAGACGGACGTTCTGTGTGAAAGGGACGTGTATGATGATCTGCGACGGGGTCGGTGTGAGCACTGTGCCCAGACTCAAATCTCCGCTACGCTGCAGCGCGTGTGGCAGGTGATGCCCTCGGTGGCTTGGGCATGGAACGAGGGGAACGTACTTGATCGTCGACACCGGACTCAGCGAAATGGGAGGTGTCTTCTCGCTCGTCCCAGGACTTTATCAGCGCCTGGGCGTCCTCCGGTACGGTGAGGTTCAGGCCGTGCACACTTGGCTTGTCATGTTCGTCGTCACAGATTTACGGACCCCGCGGGTGATGAACGGCGTGCTCACTTGGACTTGTCGATCGATTGGTAGAGGTTCCCGATATCGAGCGCGGTGAGCTGTGCGGCGACGGAGTCTTCGTCGTGCGACATACTCGAAGAAGTGGTCGCAAGGGATGAGAAAGCTGGTCAAGTTGATGGTAAGGGACGAACAACCTAGCCACTGTGAACCCCAAGGGACTGAGCCTGGCTTGCGCGTCCCGGGCCGGCGAGTCTCCCTCACGTGAGACGGCGCTTGGCCAGCGAGGCATTCTCCGTGCTCAACGTCGACTGTCCGCCGTCTTGCGACGCGCTCCTCATCGCGCTCCTCCTCTCTACCCTTCCCGTCGTCGTCCGGAAGCAGGCCTTTGTCGTTGGGACGCGGGCCTCCGACACCATGAACTCAAAAGTCGCTCGGTCTATTCTCTCGGCCTCCTCACGGAGGTCCGCTTGCCCCCTTCCATCCATCCGTCCTTCCCGCTCAGTATCGACCCCCGCACATGCTTCCTCGTCCGCACCGGTGCTGACCGCACACCAAGCCGCTCAGCAGCAACAAATGGCGGAGGCTCTCCGAGAGAGTGAGCAGTATCCCAACCTCATCGAGCACGACATCCTCCTCGACACCCATGAATCACACACATTCGGCCCTTCCAAGTGGTCACCCTACACCAACACCGTCATCCTTCGGGACGAGGAGACCATCTTTAAGCTCGCGCGGGAGGCCCAGAAAGGCGAGGTTGCTCCAATGCAGCAGGCAGACACGACCAAACAGAATCCAACCAGCGTGCTCGCCAAGAAGGTCCTTCGCGTCAACTTCATCCGCTCCGTCATCCACCAGACCGGCAAAGGGAGGGTGATGTCCATGGCCTGCACATCACTTGTCGGGAACGGCCACGGCTTCATCGGCATCGGCGAGGGCACCTCAGGCGAGGGCGTGTCCGAGGCCCGCGACATCGCCATCAACCGCGCCCTTCGGAGGATGGACCAGGTCGAGCTCTTCGAGGGTCGCACGATTTGGACGGAGATGGACGGCAAGTTCGGGTCCACGCGCATCATCCTCCGCCCTCGCCCCGTCGGGTTCGGCCTCGCGGTCAACCCGGTCGTCCACGAGGTCTGCCGCGTCCTCGGTATCAAGGACCTCAGCGCGAAGGTGTGGGGGAGCCGGAACAAGTACCAGGTGCTGAAGGCGACCTTGCGTCTACTCTTGCCCGGATCTATGCCGGCGATGATGGGCAACGGGGTTGGCGGGAAGGGGAAGAGGCTGGAGAAGGGGGTGCCGATGAGGACGGCGATGGAGATGGAGCTTGCGCGGGGGAGGAAAATCGTGCCTCTGCACGACTGATGCTTTTCGCAGTGCAGTTGACGTTCGTATCTGTATGTCACTTCATAATCCACTGCTATGCTCACCCTGGGCGATTGTTGCTGCAACTAGACGCGTTTGAGTCGGACACTGAGTCTTGGCAATAAGGTGGTTTTCTACCTAGTTCGTATCTTGCCACAGCTGCTCTGGGTGCGCTCATGCATCGACGTCCTCCACCTTACGGAGAACTTTCCTCGGCGGGGCCGCCGTTGCTCCCGTCCAGTCCTCGCCAGTGCAGTATGATTCTCCTCCCTTTCTCGCCCCGCTTGCGCTCATTCACCACGATGCCTACAGGAACATGTACGGCGTTGGCATCGGTTTTTCGGGCTTGGTGGCGTGCGCGGGATCCTCTGGGTGCGGTCCGTGAGCGAACTAAACGGCTCCCCGCGGGAGGCTGCCCAGACGGCTACGAGAGGCGAACCAAACAGCTCCCTAGAGGCTGACCACCGCTGCAGTCCATATGAACCCGCCCCGCTCCTCGAACTGTCCTTGCCTCCTGCCACTTCAGGTCCGTACCTACTACGTCTTCACTTCGCGAACCGACACTCACTCTTCTTGACAGATCTCCCCCTCCCCCACTATCGTCCCCGGTTTGTGGTTCGGAGATCACCCCCGTTCTTCCTCGGTCGGTATATGGACCTGTTCAGAGCAGGGCGTACGCGGGTCGTCTGACCTAGTGGTACTCTCCGTGCGCGGCAGACCAGAGTCTGCGTGCGTGGCTGAGCGCAACACCATCGAGGCGGAGAACATGGTACGCTTAAGGAGTACAGTAGCCGGACCTCCGGACAGCAGCCGTGCCATCCGTCCTTCCGCGTGCGCCTGCTGGCGGTGGCAGCAGCGCGGTGATCATGCGGGGTCGACAGTCCGACTCTACCAGTCGTCGTTCGGTGTTTCATGGCCTGCCGGTATATCCCGCTCACCACTACCCCGTTGTCGGCCCCGTGAGCCGTGCGGTGAATGGTAGGTGTTTCTCGTCTGCTTGCGTCTTTTCTTCACCCTCGTCTCCACCCCCTCCCTCCATGCCTGTGGGCTCCTCCCGGCTGCATTTTTCCAGCCACTTGCTCGTCCCTCTTTCATAATTTCTCTTTCACAACACTTCCTGGAAGAGTTCCTCCCGGGGTCGCCCTGAAAGACAACGGTATGAAGGAGGAGCGATCGGCGTGTTCGGATATTCCCTCAACGTCTGAGCCGCGGGAGTCAAATATGTTGCGCCTTAGCGATGCGGCTCGGCTTGCAAGGTACTCAGGCTGTGGCTTGAGGCCTCAGCGTACGGTCGTCAGTGGTCTCGTCCGGCCGGACCGCTCTGCACCCTACCCCGCCTACACAAGCCGGGGTGCGGTACAAAGCGGCTGGCCATGGGTACAAGACTGGCTGTTGGACATAGGTAGCGTTTGTCGTCTCCTCCACTCTCCTTTGCGTACGGCGGCGCGGGGAAAGCTTTATTCCCGGGGGGGCGATGAGATCTTGAGACACGGTCCGGGCCTAGTCCGGGTGTCGTTGAGGAAGAGACGCCCGAGGCTCTTTTTACTAGCCCCCCCTGATCTCTCCTTCGTACGCTTTGGCAAACTCTCCAGGTTAGTTTGGCACTCTCTTCATGTGCGGTTTTTGCTAGGCTCGGAGCCTTTTGTTCGCCGTATATGGTCAGTCTTGCAGTCGCCGACTGGCACAGAACTCGGAGCGTAAGCCTCAGGCCTTGGCAGTACTCAGTCTTCTCCACCCATCCAGTTATCGGCTCGACGCCCGCCATTCTAAAGGTTTCCCATGTGGCTGTTGTGCTCATGCGCATGTGTTTGATCAGTCCACAGCCCTTGACATGCTCTCCCCTGAGCGTGACGACGAAGCCGCTCGCCCGACCCGCGATCTCCCTAGAGGTCCTTCTACCCAAGCGTATGGCATGGACAACAAGTTTTCCAAGAGCCGCACAAATGAACCCAGATACCCTGATCTCGTGGTGAACCAACATACTCCCTGTAAGACGGCTTGCACCACGATTGCGGAGCCACAAAGTCTCACCCTTGGGCCTTCCTAGGTCCTCTCGTCACGTCTCCTTTCGACGCAAAGACGGCGTCGAAAGATCGCTTCACGTCCATGGCCGTGACGTCTCCAAACCAAGACTGGATTCCCGCACATCCCGTGGAACGGAGGGTGGTGCGGACGTATCAAGACGGGCTGTGGGGCGAACACGAGTATTCACGCTGGCCCCAGCCTCTCGTTCGACACATGTGGCACGTCGCCTGCATTCCCTCCTCACGAAACCCACAGCCCGACGTCCCCCCAGTCTTCTGGCTTGCCTTGGCAGCCAGGCGCGATTGGCAGGAAGATCCCACCGTCGGCGTCCCTGGCCTCGGGTTCCTCAGCTCCGAGCTCCGCAAAAACCTCTCGAAGGCCGCCCAGTACGTGTCCACGGAGTTTCAGAATATCCCTGATATCGCCGCGCATCGTCGCTCCTATGGACAGCAACTCTGTCTGGTGCTCACGCAATGTCTGGATCGCATGAACCGACTGCCTTCGTACGCCCCGGTTGCCGTCGCGGTGGGCGCGCATATACAGCGCGTCGGCTTGGAGCTACTCGGCCTTTGCACCTACTTCCACGAAGTGTTCTCCCGCATCAACTCCGCAGACGACTTCAGCCAAGACCTCCTTCCGGTCCTGGGTGTGTTCGCGCGCGACGGCGCGACGGTGCAGCTGGCCACCCGGGTTGGACTCCCCGTGTGGTTTCTACAGCCCATCACACAGCACCTCAAGGTGTGGAAGACGGTAGAGAGCACGTCACCGTTCTTCATGTCCGCCGAGGAAAGCAACCCACCGATGCGCCACCACCCGGACGAACTCGGCGCCGTCGCGAACCTCACGAGCAACTGGGTCTCGAACATGGTGTTTACCGTCACCGGGCAGCTGTGCACCAGTCGGCTGCCTCGCATGGAAGAAGACGCAGCCCAGGATCCGACGCAAGGACCCCTCAAAAGCAGGCGCATCGAGCTCACCGAGATATCGACTCAGGGGAAGCCGAAGCCCCTAGGCCCGAATGGAGAGCCACCTCCGAAGAAGAAGACCAGGAGAAGTGGCAGGAAAAACACCAAGGCTTCGCCTACCACGCCGTCCGATGCTGGGTCCTCGTCGCAGGCAGCCACCTCTGTCGACGTACCAGTCCCCATCATTTCTCCTGAACAGCGTCACCCGGCGAGGTACTTTACCCCTGCTATATATGTGACCATTCCGGAGCCCTGGGCCGCTGCCCTGAAAGCGGCGGGCACTCTTGCGCAACCTCGTCAATCGGTCCACTACTTCTTCCCGCCGCCCTTCCTGCTGGATTCCGTGTCGGACCTTACCCCGCTGCCCACGTCCGAGGCCGACCTTGCTCACGTTCGCCGCGACACCAAGGTCCACCAGTACATCCACAACGCCGTGCGCATCCGCGAGTTCTGCAGGCTGCGCCTGCTCGACCCGATCGTCTCCGGGGAGCCTCTGACAATCGCGGAATGGCGCGCCGCCCTCTGGGGCGACTACCAGGTCAAGGATATCCCCACAGAGACCGACGACAGACGCTTGAAGCGCAAGTTGGAGGACAAAAATGGCATCGCCCGCCTCTTCGGCAACGGCGCCGCCCTCACGTCGTACAGCCCCGCGAGCGTCGAGCGCCTGCCCGGCGTCGACGTCGACGTTTCCGCGGAGGTCGCCGCGACGGACCCGCGCGTGCGCCGCATGCTCCTCTGGGAGGCGCACGAGGTCAACTTCCGGTGCGAGCTCGCCGCGCTCGACTCCGCGCTCGTGCCGCGCGCGGCGATGTCCGTCATGGAGCGCTGGGGGCGCGAGGCGTTCTTGTCCGGGGTGTGGGGCGAAGACGCGTCGATCGCGAGCGTCGTGCCGGACGTGCGGCCGGGGCGGGAGCCGTTCCTCTGGCTGTCGGCGCGCGGGGACGGCGACGACGCCGGGGGCGACAGCTGGGAGGCGGCGGTGCCCCGCCTCCGCCGCTTCCTCGCGGTGGCGTCGCAGTGGCCGGGGTGCAAGGACGAGGTGCGGGCGTTGCGGAGCGCGGAGACGTGGACTGCGGAGGAGTTCGACCTCGTCCAGCGGGAGGTCGCGAGTCTGTACGTCTCGCAGTTCGCGTCCCGCTTCGGACGGCTTCCCATCCCCCCCGTAGCACAAGAAAGGCCTCCCGTTTATTTGTGCCCTGCTCATGATGAATAGAGACGTACATTTTTCAAGCTTCCGACTGTTATAAGTCTGGGCCCAGCCAACACCGCGACAGCGGGGCCGAGCAAGAGGAACTGGCATCACGCCATGAGGCTCTTCGCCCGCGAAAATCAGGCGCCGAGAGAACATCCGAGCACCGCCGATCGTTCCTCCTTCACACCGTTGTCTTTCAGGGAGACCCCGGGAGGAACTCCTCCAGGAAGTGTTGTGAAAGAGAAAGTATGAAAGAGGGGCGAGCAAGTGGCCAGAAAAATACAGCCGGGGGGAGCCCGCAGGCATGGAGGGGATCCGAGGGGTTGAAGGCGAAGGGAAAGAAAAGACGCAAGCAGACGAGAAACACCTACCATTCCCCGCACGGCTCACGGGGCCAACAGCGGGGTAGCGGTGAGCCGGAGATACCGGCAGGTCATGAAACACCGAAGGATGAGTGGTAGAGTCGGACTGTCGGCCCCGCAAGATCACCGGGCTGCTGCCACCGCCAGCAGGCGCACGCGGAAGGACGGATGGCACGGCTGCTGTCCGGAGGTCCGGCTACTGTACTCCTTAAGGCCCTGGTCGGCTGCCCGTGGGATGGGCTGTGGACTCGGGATGGGTTCGCGCCTGGCTCTGGGGCGCAGGAACCCATCCCACAGCCCATCCCACGGGCAGCCGACCAGGGCCTAAGCGTACCATGTTCTCCGCCTCGATGGGGTTGCGCCCAGCCACGCACGCAGACTCTGGTCTGCTACGCACGGAGGGCGCCGCTAGGTCGGATGACCCGCGTACGCCCTGCTCTGAACAGGTCCATACCGACCCAGGAGGAACGGGGGTGATCCCCGAACCACAAACCGGGGACGACAGTGGGGGGAGGGGGAGATCTGTCAAGAAGAGTGAGTGTCGGTTCGCGAAGTGAAGACGTAGTGGTACAGACCTGAAGTGGCAGGAGGCAAGGACAGCTCGAGGGGCGGGGCGAGTTCATATAGACCTCAGCCCTGGTCAGCCTCCAACATGAAGCTGTTTGGTTGCTGACGTCGGGACCGCCTCCGGGGAAGTGTTCGGTTCGCTTACGAGCCGCACGCCGCAAGCAAGCCCTATCCCCCCAATTCCAACGCCGACCCAGTTGCCCTCAGAGCATTTCGAATGATGGGTACAGCTCCACGTTGACTTGGTTGCATGCACCCTTCATGATATCAAGAGAGCGTGGATATCAGTGTCGTGGTGAGAGCGCTTGGGAGGGTACGAGAGGGAGGAAAAGCGTACCACAGCGGTGAATTGTTCGTAACCGGTCAACTGGAGCACCTCAAAACCTCTGGCAGAAGCCAAAATGTATGATAAGTGCGGTACAGGCAAAGGAGCATATAGAAAAACAGATTTAACAACTTGTGAAGGAGGTTGGTCACAATAACGTCTTCCCCTCATGTCTATTCAGGGCCCGCGGGATGAGCGGAATGTTCCTCCGAATATCGCTGTCCGGTTCGTGCAGCTATGCACACTCCTCACCCCACTTCCGGGCTGTTCCATCCCGGTGCTTCCATTGTCCGTCCCTGAGGCCTGAAACCTGCGCAACGGCTGCCGGTTCGAGGGTTGTGCGGCCAAGCAGAGGGCGGCCTAGCGGAGGTAGCACAGGCAGTGCTCGAGCCTCGAAGTGGTGCGTGGACCAGGGAGTCTTCGTGGCGGCGAAAGCGACGCGCATCGCGTCCAAGCAGTTGATGCATCGAGGAGAGAAACATCTGGTTCGTGGACCCGAGGTCGGTGATGCCGTCGGAGGGTGGGGATTGCGTGTCCCAGTCGTCGTCGGCGAGGAGTGAGAAGTTGGGCTCGTCGTGAGTCCGACCGTAGGTACCTCGAGCGGCAGCTGCAAAGGGAAGTCGTCGCCGACGCACTGGCAAGGGAGAGCAACAGCGTAGGGCCACCAATTGTCACAACAGCGTAAAAGATGAATGAGTCGTTCTTGGCTGCCTCTCCTTGTGTTTCGTGGGCGTTCGGCGAGAAGCTCTATCCGACAGGCTCCGAACGCGGGCGGGCCCTGAAAGTTTGAGTTCATGTTCACAGAACCCGGTCGCGGAGACTGGAAACGTAACGCGCGCTGAGCATCATCACGGGCCTTTGGTGTCCTGGGCAGAGTGTGTGAGCCGCCACATAGTACCGCGTCGTGCTTGCAAGCCGGGCGAAATGGCCTCTACTTCCGTCTGCTTAGGGTCTCTTATTCTTGCAGTACTGATATGGAAGGTCTCCTCTAGGCGCATCCCTCCGAGCATCTTGTCGCGTGTGCGAGGCCCAGAGAAAGAACATTGGCTAACCGGTAAGGCGGAGCACTGGGGAGTCAGGACAAGGTCGAAACTGGCGCTTAGGCGCGCCTCTCGTTACCCGCGATCCTCGTTCATCAATCTCACTCTCCCCTGCTTTGCAGGCAATCTCCACAATCTATTCAAGGACTCATACGACTACACATGCCAGCTCATCAAAGACTATGGCGGCGTGATCAAGATCTACGGTGTCCTTGGGGTGCGTCCAAAATGCGACACTCTCAGCACAAGACGCTAACCGTCTCGCCATTCCAGTCTGAGCAGCTGTTTGTCTCTGATCCTCGAGCTTTACATCAGGTCGTCGTGAAGGACCAGGACATCTACCACGAGACGGAAATGTTCCTCAAGTAAGTAGATTTTCTCATCTTCCCTCGTCTCGGAACACTCATGGCCCCAGAACAAACCAATTGCTCTTCGGAGAGGGTCTAATATCCACGGATGGTGAGTTTTTCTGCTCTGTCTTTTGGTGAACCTATCCCCATACCCGACGAACGCGCAGGCGAGCAGCACAGAAAGCAGAGGAAGATGCTCAACCCCGTTTTCTCCCTTGCAAATATGCGCGAATTACTCCCCACAATCCAACCCATCGCCGACGAGCTTCTCCGCGGGATCATGTCGGAGGTATCACCTGACGGAGGTGAGTGTATGCGTCTTCGTTCCGGTTGCCGCTGCTGAGACGGGCGTAGGCGCGAAGGAGATTGATTTGCATCCGTGGATGGGGCGCGGGACTATTGAGTACGTCGGGCAGGCGGTCCTGGGGATAAGCTTTGGCGCAGTGGATCCTCAGAATTCGAACGAGTACATGGATGCGATCCGCCAAGTCGCGTGAGTCTCATGCTGTCGCCGTGCGCTTTTTCATAGCTGATTTCTCCTGAAGCCATGTCGGATTGAAGATCTTCTTCCTGCGTCCGATGGTTCCGTGGGCTGTGCGCAGCCTCAGCCCCTTCTGGAGGAACAAGCTCGTCGACTGGTTACCCCTTCCTCCGCTTCGCCAGGTTCGCGAGATGTGCTACACGATGGAGCGGCATTCGAAGAAGATATTGGAGGAGAAACGCGAGGCAATGGAGCAGGGGCGAGCGGGCGAGCGGCGAGACTTGATGACGATCATGTGTGAGTCCCATACATCCTGTATGCGCACGATCTTGAACTGGCCATGTAGTGGAAGCCAACCAGTCTACGTCCGAAGAAGAGAGGCTCACTGACGTCGAGTTGACCGGACAAATCAAGTACGTGTCTCGTGTCCCTGTGCGCACCACTGTCTCATTTCCTCGACCAGCACGATGCTTCTCGGCGGCCAAGAAACCTCCACGAGCGCGCTCAGCCGCATCCTCTGGATTCTCTCCCGCGACCAGTCGGCACAAGCTCGTCTCCGCTCCGAGATCCTCGCCGTCAAGCTCGCCCACGCCGCGGCGAGCGGGCACGACGGCCCCTGGGAGAGCGTCCATCTGCCATACGACACACTCATGGCGCTCCCGTACCTCGACGCGGTGCTGCGCGAGACCCTGCGCGTGCACCCGCCGACGAACATGATCAATCGGACGTGCACCAGGGACGCGATCCTCCCCGTCGAGTTCCCGCTCACGGACGCGAGCGGGGAGGAGGTGAAGGCGGTGCATGTCCCCGCGGGGACGAACATCGTCATCTCGGATAACGGTAACGCCCGAGGGACGAGCGGACAAGCTCTTCGACTCCGCGCTGGCAGACGCGAGTGTCAGTGTTTGTGAGTAGCTCATCAGAGGCGAGCCAGTCTCCACGGGCATTGGTGACACGCCCTCCGCACTGCCTCTTCCTCAATTGGTGATCGCACCAGTAAGTTCGCTTTTTCGGAACATACGCTGCCGTAGACTCACCACTGCCCCCTTCTCTCGACAGTGGCACCACTCGATGGAATTCGTGAACAGGATGCGGACGTGCTCGGATCAGCCACCCAGAGTGTTCTGGTGGCGTAATTCTTGCCCTGCGACTGGTTTCTTCGCACACGGACCGGATGACAGGGGCTCGCTCAAGGCTTCCTTGAAGCAGCTCGTAGATGATGGAAAGCTGTCGATGAAGGGGGACATAAGGATGGACGACATGTTTGTCAAGGCGAGCCGACACTTATATTCACGATCCTCTACTCATACATATCGCGCACACAGACAATGCAGATGACGTCACACATCCTCATTCGTGTGCCTGGGTACGAACCCATGTACAAATACGAAGTTCAGCCACAAAAGGTAAGCGTCCATGCTTGATTTTCAGTGCCTAAACCTCAGAATAGTCAAACAGTCTCAGCCTTCCGGGTGGTCGGTCACGGGGGAACAATTCGTGACTTTCGTCAAGTGCGTATAGGTTCACGCCACGAACTCTTACCGCTTACCTGATTCCCATTTGGTCGACAGCGCGTGGAAGATGGTTGATGGAGTTGTCTCGATTGTTCCCCAGTCATTCGACGCTACGTCGGCGAGGAATAACTCTGCGTGGATGTCGCAAAGGGGGGCCAAGATATACTATGTGGGGCCCGTCCTACCGGTGGGATCTAGGCGGGCTGCTACGGAGCTCGCTAGTGTTCCCAACAGCGACCGAATCCAAGTATTCCTTAGCTCGGTGATGAAGAGCCACGGCTCGAAATCAGTGTTGTATGTAAGTGTGCCGAGACAAGGTAGATCATCTCCCGTGAACTCATCCCCCGCAGATCTCGTTCGGATTATTCCAATGGCCCACCGACGAGGAGAAGCTGTTGACAGTGCTGGACGTCATCGTCGAGAAACGCATACCCTTCGTCAGTAGGAGCTTTCATGTTAGTATAGCGTCACACCTGACGTCTTCTGTTCACAGATACTCAGCCATCCTCCCCTCGAGCTCTCTGACCAAGTTCGCAAGCGGATAGACGGGTACGAGCTCGCACTGGCGGCACGCGAGTGTCCGCAGCGATACATCCTGAAACATCCCGTGCGCCCTGAATCCCTCCACCGCTCTCCTCTAGCACTGACACTGCTTCCGAGCCCTCTAGGCGACAGGCTGGTTCCTCACCCACTGTGGTACCTCCAGTCTTATCGAAGCCACCCACGCGGGTGTACCCGTGTACGTGCACCTTCCCGCCTTCTCCGCATCCCCGTCTCACTTCTATCTTTCCTTTCTTCTTTGTCTCCCCTTGTTTCTGTTGGCGCGCACAGGATTTGCTGGCCGTTCACCGCCATCGACGCCTTCAACGCGGTCCACATGGCGGAGAACAACCGCGCCGCGTACGAGCTCTTCGAGGTGCGCACCGGCATCGGCGCCGGCCGCATCTACCGCTCCGGGCTCACGCCTTCGGGCACGCCCGCCGCGGTCGCAGCGGAGGCGCGGCGCGTGCTCGAGCTCGCGTTCGGGAGCGACGGCGCGCAGAGGCGCGTGCGCCTCGTGCGCCTCCGGGACGAGATGCGGGAAGCTTGGAAGGGGGGCGAGGAGGGGGGTGGCGAGAAGGGCGCGTCGCGGGTCACTGCGGAGGAGCTGTTGGCGGACCTGGGGCTGTGAGTCGGGGTTCGTGGGTGTACACTGACGTAGTCACCGGTAGGCCGAGTAGTCGCATTCTCCGGCCGGCCAGGGCCTCGCGGAGAAGGATACAGCCATGCATTTGACATCATGCCGGACAGCGGTATTTCTACGACCGCCGCCAGCGTAGCTGCTGGATATCACGTCATACCGCAGGTTCACTCTCAGGTATTTACAATTCACAACGAACTGGCTTGCCGCACAACATAAGTGAGGAAGGGAGGCGGTTCTCTAATCATTAAGCCCACCCAGGGCTCAGCTCGTCTAATCCTCAGTTCGCCGCACTGCAAAGTAGTATCATTGGTGCAGCATCCGATTGTGTGATAGCACCGTCGACAATGCGTCTGCTACATTGAATCAGATTGTCATAAATATTCCTTGCACTGGCGGGTACATCGCAAGGGCGCACAATGGAAAGTGAACCGAGACTCATGCCGTCGTAAACTCAACACGGTTACTGCCCGACTTCAACACACTGCCAACATTCGACGACGATTCAGCTCCGCGTGAGAGGTCAAGTTGGATGTGGCTCCCCTTCCCGTCTGTAGCATCTCCGGAATGGGTCGTGTCTTCCATCGTCGATGTGAACGTAGTCATTGTGAGTCCTTCCCCTCGCCGTGCCGCCCAGATCCTTTCAAATGGTGTCGTCGTCGACGCCGCCGACGCCTTGCTGGCAGGAAACGCACGTCCGAGGCCGACCCGGATGATGATGAGGGTCGGTGCGATTCCCTGTGCACATAATGACGATCAGCGCAGCATCAGGGCGTGAGAGCACCGTAAGTGCAGAGTCAAAGTGTGACGGGAGGTCGGATTCCTTGTGCGCCGGGACGGTATGGATCTGGACCACAGTGGCAAGCCGTGGCCAGGTACCGAGCGACAGAGCAGCAACGAGACACGCACGTAGATTTGGACCGCCCCGACGGCAACGATCGCCTCCGCGGGATGCTTGATGCTGACGAGAACGACAAGCGTGAGCTGCGCGACGAGGTAGAGCACCCCGCTCTCGATGATGATGCCTGAAGCCGTGCGTGCGAGCCGGGCGGTGCTCGGGAGACTCAGCGTTTCACCGTTTTCGTCCTTGTACCGGCTGGTGAAGCGCCAGATGTGGAACACAATGAGGCCGGTGGTCATCGCGTTCGTGCAAAGGGGGAGCGCGTAGCTCGCTGTCGTGAGAGGGACAATTGCGGGTGGCGGTACTGATGCGGTAGAGTTGGTGGTGATAATGAAGTGAATGGCCTGGGCGATACAAGCTGCGTCGGATGTTCAGGATGAATATATATTCATCAACTCCGAAAGACGTACCAAAACCAGCGATCGCTGTCATACTGGGAAGTAGAATGATGTACCAGTTCCGACCCCATACCATCCAGCAGCGATAAAGAAGGATGAAGTCCCCAAGTAAGTCGCACGTGGATATGAGGAGGTCGGCACCAATCAAAGGAGTTGTTTCGCTCGAGAATCCGTCCACACCTGTGGCCCACTGAACGCGCCATTCTGCGATGAGCCGAGCGAATTTCCTACTCTGGCGCGTACTCACCAGGACAGTGTAGAAATGGTTAAATTCAATCGCAAAATGGCCGGTACAAGCGAGAAACAAGACCGTGCTTGCGACGGCGAGCGTGTAACTTGACTGAGTCCCCCGGGTCGAGCGAAGCAGGAAAAGCACCATGGATATTCCAAAGAGAATAACATACATGCCTGATCGCTACTAGGTGAGCGTCGCAACTCGACTACGATGTGATGCAACACTCACCCCATAGGGCCGCCTCGCAGGCAAAACCGATCAGGGCCGCAATGTCGTTGGGCAACATGCCGCCGGTTATGAATGAGCGGCAAGGACTACGCGAGCAGAGAAGTGAGGTGAGGGCGGTGGGACGAAATCTCTGAGCAGATGCGGGGTTATTACATAGTTCCCGGCGCGGGGCACACGTTTAAAGTTGGAACCTCCCACAACCACCCCGCACGGAGACCCGAGTGACACGCGATCCAGGTGGTGGCTCTATGGCGGCGGCAATGTTCCTGCGCAAACTTGTCACTGTCGCATCACGCACGGCGTTCGGAGAGATGGAGCTGTCGTCTTGAATGTTCGCATCTATAAACTCTGCTCGCGTACGGCAGTCGCGAAAAGCCCTGAGGAAGTTCCCCTGCGAGCAATTGGAAAGACATCCATAAGAATTTATGGTTTTGAATTGGTGTGTGTCTGATGAGTCCACGCTTGCCGGGCTACTCCCACACGACAGGGGCGTCCGTACTATGCCCACCCCAGAAGCGGCGGATGGAAGAATTGACCCACGGCAGAAGCAGCGTACCGGTCGGTCTTAGGCCCGTTAGAAGTCGGCGGCTCGGACGAGGTCGGACGAGGGGTAAGGGCAATCAATACGGCGCATTTGGTCCCTATGGGCACCGGGAGGCGGGTACAGGCGGACGCGAGGGGAGAACGAGGTGGTGGGGAAGGGCAAACGCAGGCTGAGGCGAGTGCGGGACGACAGACGGCGGCTATCCACGTGATGACTAAGCGTAGGCACTACGATACAGCCGAGCTTGCTATCTATGTGAGCATATTCCTCTACTTCCCCTGCCTGCCCCTCGCGCTTTTGCGCAACAAATTGTATTATAAATGTATATAGAGGCTCCTACGGGACCACTGGCGAAAAAACGGCGAGATTATGGGCGGTAGAGCTCTCGCAATTTGAGTAACAAAGTCGTGACTTTACTGACATTAGCAGCATTAGTTTCGCTTGACATGAAATCGCGGACGGTTTTCTAGTGGAGGACAGAGTATATTGCGCTATCATAGGCCAGCAAAAAGTTTTCCGAGGCCTCGGGGAAGGAGAGAAGCGCACCGCGGAAGAATAAGCTTCGGGCGTGACATTACAGGGCGGTCAAGCGGACACGCCGGGGCGACCATCTTTCTAGTGCCACATTAAAGCCGAGAGAAAGACAAGTAAGGTTTTCTCTCGCCCATAGAAACCCATAGAAATACTTTTTCTGGCTTCACGTGGATTTTGAACCTTATAAACGGCTCCCAGAAAAGCTCCCGGAAAAATGGTGGCACGGCGTGGGAGTCAGTGTCGACCCGGCGTCTCTCCTGCCACTTCATCAGCAAAATGGGTGCATGCACGACAGGGCTCTGTAGTACACTGTAGTATGTCAGATAGCGCTATCATTATTTGTAGTTCAGACGAGCAATGATCCGATAGTATCCATGTTTGGTAGATTAACGGCGGCGACGATCAGCATTCATCTGCATCTGTCGGACAAGACACCGTCCGATCGGGCATGGTCAGACGCCAGTGAACGTCAGATCGAATCCCGGTGTGTGTATGATCATTAGCTGGCCTGTATATGATCTAACATTATCTGCGCAGCCGCTATACTACAGTGCATTCTTGACCCGACAAAGACCTATCGAGTGCGATCAGACACAGGTGCTGACGTCCATTATAGACCATATAACGGGTCACCAGATGCCTGGTGCGGTACAATCCACCGAAATCATGCACACACTCATAGCAGGTGTGCAGCACAAACCATTGTATTGCTACTTTATATCGAGTAAGGTACATACTACACATTGAAGAGAGCGACAGGAAAACGTCGGATGTTATGCTGACAATGCGTAGTCGCCATGTCAGCGGGATTGAGACCGACTCTCTGTGTGCTCATACAGCGGCCGGCGGCGGCGTGTCCCTGACATTCTGCCCGAGGACCGGCCGGCGGAGGTTAAGGTCAAGCGCATGAAGCTGGTACACCGCATGGGTGTGCATCGGGACGCGGGTTCTGTTCTTAGGCACTAAGAGGAGTGTGGCGAAGAAGCTGAAGAAGCTGAACACTTGGCATCAGCGTCGGGGTTTGGGATTCGGCGCGGGAGAGGGAAGACGTACTTCCAGTCTCAGTCAAATCAGCCTCAGGCGCCGAGTAGCGCGGGGACAGTGAGCGCGACATTGAAGTTGATGGTTCAAGCGGGACGCAGTGAGCGCGGGGCGGGCGGAAGAGGAGTGGGATGGTACGTACACTGAGGACCAGCGAAGTCGCTTGCGACATGCCGACGTCGCGCTGCGCTGAGCTGTGTGTGGGCAACGTGCGCGCTCAGCGGGGGCCTCGAACCTGGGGTTATTCCAGTGGACGGCGCAGACGGAGGGGCCGAAGCTGGTTAAGGGACACGGCAACCGAGGGAGCGAGGGAGCGAGGGAGGTGGACGCGTAGGGCGTGGAGGGGTGTATCGGTTGAGCGCGGGGAGATGGACGCGTTGAGTGTGGGGGAGGCGCTCACCTGAGAAGTCGTATTCCACTCCTCATGAACCGGTTTAACACCACTGGCGGTGCCGCACTTGCTGTCTGTCGAAGATTGGCGAAGCAGGGGGAAACATAACGGGGGAAACGAGGTTCGTACTGCTGCAGTGCGGGCCCCAGTGATATAAATGTTCTTGTTAAGCGGAGTTCATGTCGACCAGGATACTGTTGCCAGATGAGCTGCGCTTGAACCGGGTGGCAACGAGGATGTACATCTAGATCACCTTACCCACTGATAGCGACACCGGCCCCCATGAGCCTCTGAGAGCCTCGTCAGCAATAATATCAACTGGCCGACAAATCCAATATCATTGCAGATATGGTGAGGGAGACGATTCCATGAGACATGGAGATCCGAGAATCTGATCAGGGCACGAGTACCGTGGGACAGGAGGTCCGAGGGTGTCGCGGAGAAGAAAGGGAGCGAAGTGGGCGAACACGGAGGGGATGAGAGGAAAGCAAGCAGAGAGAAGGATAAGCACGATGGGAACTTCGGGGATGGTGGGGCGCGAGGCTTGACGGAGAGCGCGTGACACCGGCGCGTTGTGTCGGGGTCCCTCGTGAGTCGGAGATATGGCGTGTTGTGTAGCGGCACCTTGCAGGGCGATTTTCGGGGAGGCGCGACGTAGGTGCGAAGGGCGAGGGTGCAATGAGAGCCGGCGCGCGGGCGTCTGCGATGGTGGCGGGGTCGGGAGTCGAGTCCTGCGGACGCGCGCGTGGATAGAATTGGGAGACTAGTAGTACCAGCGCCCGTACCGAGGATGTTTTGACTACACTCTAGCTCCTTCTTAGCGTGAAGAAACAAGGAATGAGTCTCATCTACCATAGTACAACTGGCTCCCCAGTGCTCTCTCAAAAAATGTCTTACCAGATTATCACCGGTCGAGCAGAGCCCTACACTACGTAAGTCGATCGTGTCCGATCATTGGACCTCCGGACCGACGATGTCTGGCGTCTGCCGAGCTGACATCATCCGCTTTCGCCGGGCGCCACAGCGCTCGATCGGGCACCCCTCGTTTTGCTGATGTTCTCCCACCACATGATGGCCTAACCTTGACTCCCTCTCACTTACCCTCAGCAAACTCTCCTTCTCTAGGCGGAGAAGCCATTGCGCCAGGAATGTGGCAGGCAAGGTATCTGGCACGACTGCGGCGCGGTCGGAAGGCGAGGTACGTGTGCACGGGTGGCCGCTCACACGGACAAGCTTGAACTCAAACTTTGGGGGTGCGCACGCTCGTGCACCTCTGCTGAATAGACATTCTCGCTGAACGCGAACGGCACATGGACTCTAGCTAGTCGCGGTCGGTGGATAGGGATCTTTTCCAATTGCTGACTATACCGTACTACAGAAGAATTCCCAACCCATTCGCACTGTCGGGCCTCGCCAAGGCACGCGTCTCCTCCATGTCCAGTGCATCCGCGATGGCTCGGTAGAATGTCCCCAACCGCACCCCTGCGTACACCCACACAGCGATGTTCATGCCAACCAATGCTACGATGCTCAGGACGAGCGCCGTGCTGGTGGACGTGTTCGTGGTCGGATTAGAGGAACGAGGGAAAGCCTCTTCCTCGTCGACATCTTGGTCGTCCTCGGCGTGCTTGGTGAGTGGGGTGTACTCTGACATGTCTATTATTTGCTCGTGTGAGGACTCCCCGTTGACTGGCTATCAAGGACAGGGCTTACCGACACCAGAGCGAGCAGATCTCTCCTGTGTACATCGTCGGCTCGAATGTGATTATATAGAACGGTGAGTGGACGATAGCGCAAAGGGTCCAACGAGGTCTGACTGCTTGCTGGCCTCGACATCTGGATCATGCTCGAAGCCATCGCGTCTTCTGGAGAGAAGTGTTTCCGCCGTCGCCGCCGTCGTCGGATCGTGTGCGTGCGGCCCTCACCCGTGGCTCTGGCTTTGTGACGGTACGGTTTCTGTGCGGCCACGCTGTCGGTCCGGCAAAAGGTACTGTGAGTTCCATCTGTAAAGTCTTTGATATCAGGTGTTTTCAGATGTCTCCAGAAGTCGCTCGAATCTACGACGCTCGGTGTTCCCGGCATGAACTTCAGACAAGGTTTCTGATACATTGCCTCGTACGGGCCTCAGTCACAACGAGCTGCACCAAATATACTAAGCTATGCGACATAAGTCTTTAAACTCTACGCTCGCCCCGGCTCAAGCTCGTTCGGCCCCCTGTTCGACGCTCTCGATCCTTCCACAGTCGCTCTCCCTCACAGATACTAGATGTCTACCATCCATCGGATCGTTTACGTGCTGGTGCTCGTGACGGTCGCCAACATGGCATTCATCAGCTCTCTTGTTTATACCATTGGCACGCTTCTACCACAGGAGCACATCTACAGTACGTCCAGGTCCTCCACTTCCGCCCCTTCGGTGCGCTTTTTTGAACGACACTGTTGGTTCTCAAGCCTACGTCGACGACGACTTCCCCGCGCAGCTGCCAATCAAGCTTCCTGCGGTCGGCCTCGTGCTCACCACGGGTGAGCCCGACTTTGGCCTCCTCGCCGACGACGACTGGGGCACACAGTTCCCGCCCTCCGACGGCTTCACCGACCTCGGGCCCACGAACCGCACCTTCCTCGTCTCAATGGTCCACCAGCTGCATTGCCTGGACGTCATGCGCGTCGGCTTCGTCACGAATCGGACCGGGTACGCGCACCATGTCGCACATTGTCTGCGCTACCTCCGACAGGCCATCCTATGCATGGCCGACACGACGCTCGAACCCAGTCACCCGGTCGTCATGAACGGGGAATGGACTTACGCGGCGGGCGGCGTGGGGAGCGTGCACCGATGCAGGGACTGGATGAGGGTGAGGCAGTACTTGGAGGAGCATCCCGCTCAGGATCCGATAGACCCTCGTTTGGTGTGAGAACGGACTGTATGAACACCAAGTTTTTTACGCACCGTGTAGTCTGATTCCGTGGTACCGTGATAATGCAAGTAACATCGTCGCTCCAACGTCAGATTGTGTGATAGCAGAGCTGTCGGCGGATCGAGCGTCTGCCTCAATCGTGTTCAGTGGTGAACAGAACCCCTGACAAGTTCGCATCGCGCGGCCGACATTCGACCACTCAACTCGGTTTGGCGCACCTCGTCTCTCTCCGTTCTCCGCAACCACTCCCATGACGGCGTGTGCCCCTCCGCCAGGATTTCGTATCCCGAGCAAGTTCATCTCCATCCCACTGGCATCAGCTTTCGTCCCGGGATCTCTTCAGACTGTCACACAACAAGGCATCAGCGGCGCCTGACGTCCCTGATGCATCCGACCGCGAGCGTCGTCCCTACGTGAGTACCGTTCAAGTACGTCTGATACTATGCTGTCGACCCGACGGACGATGATGGAGACCATCGTGCGTGCCAATGAGAAGAGAGGAGAAAGTTTTGATTGTTGAGCGCTGAGCGCTGAGCAGCGCCATAACTATCTGCGAAGCCTTTGGGGGGTGACCGGTGAGCGTCGAATGCATGCATACAGATGATCTCCAAGGATGCAAAAGGGATGCAGCCGAAAAGATGGACGAATCGTTGTCGCTTCACGTGTGAAGCGTTCCATATGATGAGTTGGACATCTGCGGGAACTGAATTCAGAGCCGCATGATAAGCCTGCCCATTGAGGCCGTCGGCACACTCAGGTAGACGGGTTTGCGACGAGCCCAGAAATGCGCACCAGACACAACTCTAACTCTGACAGAAATCGGAACTTCCAGCTAGCGTCAACTGGTGCGCACCGTGCGACGAGCGTTCGCATTCTCCTGGGTTCCCGGCTGCAGCAGAGGCCATCAGGTGCTATGTAAACAAGATCCGTCTCACTATAGGAGGCACACGTCGTTCACACAGAGAGGGACAGGGGTAAAGTCTATTTTCTCCGGGACACTAGGGCTTTCGCTTTACACCTGTACTGGTATGTATATACGTACGTCCAAGTTTCATCGGGAAGTAAGGGGATACGTGGAGACTGCAAATGGAACCGAGGCAAGACGACAGATAAAACAGGCTGAGAGACGTGGTGATTAGATAACGGGCGCTAGCAGGCACTGGCGAGGGGATGACTCTCGAGCCGGTCTGGTGGACCACTCAATTTGTTCTCCTGATATGCCTGGGGGATCGCCTAGCTCGTATGTCGAGAACTGATACTGGGTTCAAAATTCACTCACTGCGGTTGTCATTGAAGTCTGCCACCGTCCACGTGAACATGAGCAAAGTCCTTGAGTAGTTTGCCTGCGAGTATCGTCCACCGGTACCATACCGAAGATCAGCTATACTATTGAAGAACAACAGGCGCTGCTAACTCACCAGGGATGGCGTCACGCTTCACCACTGCGACTGCCGCCGCAGCGAGAATGACCGCAGCGAACTGGACGAGTAGGATGGCGAGGCGCATTGTGGAGAGTTGAAGTTGAGAGGGTAACTGATATTTTTGAGCACTCTGAGCGGCGTATTTTATAGGGGTCTGGGACACTGCCGTGCACGAGCACAGCGCCTCCGGAACCCGCGATCCAATGATGGGGTCCTTCAAGATGAGAGCTCTATCTTTCAGAACGTCTTGTGTGAACTGAAAGTTAAGTTTGTACCCAAGTAAGAGCAATATAGATGCGCATACCGCCCTACCATAATCATCCCGGCCGGACGCAGGGAGAGGCCCTGACACGGGCTACGGGCTGCCGCTTTCGGTTGCGCGAGCATGTGGTGCGGCTGCTGGAACGCACTGTGGCCGCACTTGGTGGATGTTTTGGGAAGGGGCTCGTTTTATCGCTGGATGCTGCCAATGCCGTGCGAGGCGTCAGAGCGTACTCGAATCAGCGGCTGCCGCTGCGATGTGCGTAGTACGCGGTAAGTGCGTTGCGGACCTCGAATATTAGTGGGTGCATTGTGTTGTGACCGGGGTCCGCACGAGGCAATGTATCGGGAACCTTGTCTGAAGTTCATGCCGGGAACACCGGGCGTCGTAGATTCGGACGACTTCTGGAGACATCTGAAAATAACGACTTTACAGACAAAACTCACCGTACCTTTCTGCGCAGAAACCGCATCGTCACAAAGCCAAAGCCACGGGTGGGGGTCGCACACGATCCGACAAGGGCGGCGGCCGCGGAAACACTTCTCTCCAGAAGACGCGATGGCTTCGGGACTCCGGTCGGAGAGATCTGCTCGCTCTGGTACCAGTAAGCCCTGTCCCAGCCAGTCCGAGTTCTCGCATGAACCAATCATGACTGCGACTGGCGAGAGGCCGTGTGCCGTGCGCATTCAGCGAGAGATTCTCTTCGCTCCCCCCAAAGTTTGAGTTCAAGTCCGTGTGAGCGACCACCCGTGCATACATACGCACCTCGCCTTCCGACCGCGCTGCAGTCGTGCCAGATCCCTTGCCTGCCACAAGCCTGGCGCAATGCCTTTGCCGTCGGCCTGGCTCAGTTCTCTCCTGGTCGCCGCGCTGGTCTGGAGGCTGCTGTCTAGGCGCACTGTTCCGAGCATTCTGTCGCGCGTGCGAGGTCCAGAGAAGGAGCATTGGTTGACGGGTGAGTGAGAGCGGGGGAAGAGGCGCCGGCATTGTCGTCGTCGCCTCGCGCGACGCCCTCGGTTGTCCCGCGTTTCTCACCTCAACCACACGCTCTCCAACTCACGCATGTGGCCTGTGCAGGAAACCTCCACCGGCTCTTCAGAGACGCGTACGACTACACCTTTCATCTCATCGACAGCTATGGAGGCGTGCTCAAGATTTACGGTGTCCTTGGGGTGCGTCCTCCGTCTCGCGTCCGCTGCTCACAACGCTTATTTTCAGTCTCGTCATTTCAGTCTCAGCAACTTTTTGTCTCCGACCCTCGAGCATTGCATCACGTTGTCGTGAAGGACCAAGATATATATCACGAATCGGAAATGTTTCTCAAGTGAGTGCCATGATCCGTCTATTCTCGTTCGGAGGACTCATGAGCCTAGGACAAACCAACTACTGTTCGGCGAGGGTCTGATTTCCACAGACGGTGAGTTCGTCATATTATATCTCGGCGGACTTTTCCCCATACGCGACAATGCACAGGCGAACAGCACAGAAAGCAGAGGAAGATGCTCAACCCTGTTTTCTCCCTTGCAAATATGCGCGAATTGCTCCCTACGATTCAACCCATCGCCGACGAGCTTCTCCGTGGGATCATGACCGAGGTGCCACCTGACGGAGGTGAGTGTATGCTTCTTCGTCTCGGTTACCGCTACTTAGATGAGCGTAGGCGCGAAGGAGGTTGATTTGCATCCGTGGATGGGTCGCGGGACGATCGAGTACGTCGGGCAGGCAGTGCTGGGGATCAGCTTTGGCGCACTCGACCCTCAAAACTCGAACGAATACGTAGATGCCATTCGTAACGTCGCGTGAGTCCACAGATGCTTGTGATATGGTATTCATAACTGATGTCCACGGAAGCCACGTTGGGCTGAAGATCATCTTCCTGCGTCCGATGGTTCCGTGGGTCGTTCGCAAACTCAGCCCTTTCTGGAGGAACAAGCTTGTCGACTGGCTGCCTTTGCCTCCGCTTCGCCAGATCCGCGAGATGTGCTACACGATGGAGCGGCATTCGAAGAAGATCTTGGAGGAGAAACGCGAGGCGATGGAGCAGGGGCGAGCGAGCGAGCGGCGAGACCTGATGACGATCATGTGTGAGTCCCACTCGTCCTGCATGCGCACGGTCTTGACCTGGCCATGTAGTGGAAGCCAACGTGTCTACCTCCGAAGAAGAGAGGCTCACTGACGTCGAGTTGACCGGACAAATCAAGTGGGTACCTCATGTCCCCCTGCGCACCATTGCCTCATTTCCTCGACCAGCACGATGCTTCTCGGCGGCCAAGAAACCTCCACGAGCGCGCTCAGTCGCATCCTCTGGATTCTCTCCCGCGACCAGCCGGCACAAGCTCGTCTCCGCTCCGAGATCCGCGCCGCAAAGCTCGCCCACGCCGCGGCGAGCGGGCACGACGGCCCCTGGGAGAGCGTCCATCTGCCATACGACACACTCATGGCGCTCCCGTACCTCGACGCGGTGCTGCGCGAGACCCTGCGCGTGCACCCGCCGACGAACATGATCAATCGGACGTGCACCAGGGACGCGATCCTCCCCGTCGAGTTCCCGCTCACGGACGCGAGCGGGGAGGAGGTGAAGGCGGTGCATGTCCCCGCGGGGACGAACATCGTCATCTCGATCCTCGGCGCGAACCACAACAAGCAGGTGTGGGGCGACGATGCAGATGTGTGGAGGCCAGAGCGGTGGCTGACCGCGTCGGGCGAGCGGATTGGGCTCACGGAGGGACGGAGCGTTGATATGATGCTGGGGCAAGCGGCTGATGAAGGCGACAAGAGCGCTGTGGACGGTACGCCAGGATACAAAGCAGGCGTGAAGTACCCAGGGGTATATGCTACAATGTGAGTACCTCTCATCTTATCACGAGGAGGTAGAGCGATAACCCTCGTGCGACTAGGATGACGTTCCTTGGCGGGGGTAGGGCGTGCATGTGAGTTGCGTTTTGGTTGTTTTTAGGCGGTTTTGTTAACAACGCACCTCATGCAGTGGCTTCAAGTTTGCCGAGATGGAGATCAGTGAGTTTCAGTTTTTTTTCCGTGTTCACAGCTGGACTCATTCTGTCGCGATAGAACAAGTCATCACGACCTTCTTGTCACGCCTCCACTTCTCTCTGCCCTCTGCGGTGGACAAGAACGGCGTGCGAAAGGAAATCTACTGGCGCATCGACGGCTTGCAGATTCCCGTCGTCCGTGAACCGCACGGCGACTTCAAGACTCCGCAGGTTCCTCTCGATGTTCGAGTGGTCAGAGACAGCGATTACCTGTAATCTACGTGCATATCTCGGATCGTCCTTTCCTACTATTTCCATGCCTACTCTCGCCGTCATGCTCACGCGTTTCCCTGAGCCAGAAGCCACCGCACCCCTTCCATCCTCTCTCGCGCCCACCGTTGCGCCAGCTTGGTCTGCGAGAACGCAACGTGAAATCCGTGCGGCGCACCCGGATAGCTATCGTTTCCGAATTTTTCAATCAACACGTGCCAAAGTAGAACGGGGGACAGGACCTACAGATCAAGCTTGAGGGGGACGTTGGCCTCGCGGAGGCGCTCCGCATACACCAGTCCGGTGTCGCGCAGGGGATCTAGCCCTGTGACCTGCATGTACACGGGAGCAAGGCCCTCCAGCGACGGCCGGAGGAGCGGAGAGAGCTCAGGGTCCGACGGGTTCCCTCGAACCAGGTCTGCGCGTCCCCAAAAAACGCGAGGCGTCAGTGCGCCGAGATGCGTGAACGACCGGGGACAGTCCACCCACCGTAAATCTCCCGCATGGTGTTGGTGGAGAGCATCGGCGCCTCCGCGTTTTGCTCGTACGAGGTCAAGTTCGCCGATCTGCCCACGGCGGCGTCGTCAGCGCCGCCCACATGTGCATGAGGTGCCGGGCCGTGTGTGCGAGGGGGACTCACTCGGGCAGCGCGTCGGGGTGACAGAGCATCGGGATCTGGAGCACCTGGCCGGAGACCTTCGTTCCGTGGGCAGCGAAGAAGGGGTCGGCGAGCGCGCGCTGCGCCATGGCAGCAGCGAGGTACGCTCCAGCAGACGTGCCGCCCACGATGACGCCCTTCGAAAGATCTGCGGCCAACGCGTCGGAGTTCTTGACCGCCTGAAGGAATGAGTAGGCGATCAGTGCATGCACTAGGCCGCAGAAGCGACAATACACTCACCCATTTCAGCGCGGTGTAAGAATCATCTAATGGAATGGGATGAGGGAATTCCGGCGCCAGTCTGCACGGAAGACTGAGGAGAGCAGCATGGAGATGATTGGAAAGAGATATACCTGTACTCCACATTGACTACCGACAGTTTGAGATCGTGAGCGAGGACTCGACACACTCCGTCGCTGCTGTCGAGGTTGCCAAACACGAGTCCTGGCATGTGCGGTGAGCTCGGATATCCACATGCATTTCGAGATGCACGTACCTCCGCCATGCGTCCAAACAACAAGAGGTAACTTCGCATCCAGGGGATCCATTGGTCGATAGGTGCGCACCAGGATCGACCCTTCCTCCACTGTAACAGAGTGTCCTGCGACTACGAGAGAATCTTGTTCGTATGTGATTATCAGCGTAAGAGCAAAGCCGGGCAGGAACGAACTCACCAGGAGGAGTTGGGGATTCGGATTTGCTCACAGATTTCCCAAAGTCTTGGATCATAGCCCTGTAAGCGTTGATATCCGACTTGATGAAGCCGTGTGGGAGTTTCGGCCCAGACAGAGACTCAAGCATTGGGGCGAGTTCTGCGTCAGGCGCGGCGAGGTAGTTGTATGCCATGCTGGCTTTGTTGTGGTGTGGGGGACGTCTGTTGCAGAGTCAATGGTCGGCAGAATATAAATATATACCTCACGAAGCGCCCTCAGCAGTGTCCGATTTGACATTGCAGAGCTGACGAGCGGACACGGGGCACATTTCGAATGAGGTTACAGAGCCGATGTCGGAGATGGCGCTGGCTCATGCATTTGATTTTATGATTCGGACCGTATTCCCATGTGTGCTGAGTACCTATACCACGGGAGAAATCAATGCAGGAGCGGGACAAAAGGAGGACAGTGTCGTACCTGAACGGTTCAGAAGCGTCGAGTGCTAGTGCTTTGCTTTTGGGGGATACGATCGACGCTTTTTGAAGTGAACTGAGCGAGCATACCCTGACTGAATTCGATCCCTCAGGCCTCAGGCCCTTCACTGGGTGGCGCCAGAATACCCTGCCACTGGTGTTCATATCAATGACAACATACACCGCTACTGGCGTTCGGATAAGCTCATATGAGTGGGCGCTCTATACCTGCTACTACCGTCTATATGTACCACATAGCCACACATATGAGTGCCCTCACACCCTGCCACCTATACATATTATAAAAGTGGCTGCTTATATGAGTGCATTAGTGTCTTTCCCTCATATGAACTTTGTAGCGCCTTGCCACTCATATGAGCTCGTCCCCTCATATGAGCTTGCCCCCTCATATGAGCTTGCCCCCTCATATGAGCTCGTCGGCGTCTCACCCCTCATATGAGCTTATTAATATCCCATCCTTAATATGAATGCACCAGCATTCCACAGCTCCCATTAGCACATCTGGGAACCGGCATACTCTATTGCATGCCTGTGTGTATAGGTGCACCCATGCCGGAGCAATTCTTCAGCTTATCATATTACTGAGACACAGGAACTGCACTCCGAAAGGACAGGAAACTGCACCAGCTGTGCCACAACCGAAACAGACAGAATGGGTGCCCATTAGTTCCATTTTTATTCACACAATGCGCAAAGAGAGAGCAAGAAACCCATGATAGAAAGTGCAAGGCTTAAGCCGATCTCCACAATCGGCAATTGACTCCCCCCGGGGGTCACCTCCGGGCCGGTAATTGACTCCCCCCGGGGGTTGATCTCCGAGTTTTTGATCACCTGTGTATCTCCGAGTTTTTGACCACCTGTGTATCTCCAACTTTTTGATTGCCTGTGTATATTGTCAGCCTTCATTACCAGACTGCCTGTATCTATTACCGAGTTTTTGGACATCTGTGTGTATTACTGCTTTCATTGCCGAGTTTTTGATTGCTGGTGCCTGTTACCGGTCCTCATTACCAACTTTTTGACTGCCTCAATCCATCACTGAGTCTTTGTTCGCCTCCAGCCTTTGATACCAAGTTTTTTATCACTGATATTGGTAATATTAGATGAGTTAGTCTGCCTGTACTAAACACCCTCTCCCTAGGAAGTCACCCTTCACAGCTGCATGTGTTGATGGAAATTGACCAAGCTGTTTTCTGGATCAGGTAGTAGCATGCAAGAGTTGTGGGTGTGCAAATCTGGAGGGCAGTAGCTGCAAAAGTGAGGGAGTAATGGGGTATGATATTCTAAAATGACATACCAAACACAGACCTGGGATGAGAGTGAATCACGTCCCAGACACCTAGATATATTCACAGAGGATGGTTTAAATGCAATGCAGAAGAGAGCGCACAGAAATCAGGATTTCCGATGAAGATACAAGATATGTGTGGAAAGTGGAAGTTCTGAGAAAACACAACATGCATAAGTTCATGTGCAGACATTATATCAACAGGCTATTTGCTGCATCACAATTGGGTACTATTGGGGTGCTCAGATCGGAATTTGCAAGCTTATCGGTGATGAGATGCATATGGGGCACCATATGTCATTATTTCATGACATACAGTATTCTGACACAGCATATGCTCCGATTAGAATGCTAAAACATGGAATAGAACGGGGTGAAACATAGCTATCCAACGCAGAACAGACCTTGAAAAACGGTTGAGAATCAGTGGAGATGTGCAAGGTGAGCCAGAAGTGTGGTTTATGCTGAATGTACTCTGACCTCACTTTTCACCGCAACCACACTTCTGGCTCACCTTGCACATCTCCACTGATTCTCAACCGTTTTTCAAGGTCTGTTCTGCGTTGGATAGCTATGTTTCACCCCGTTCTATTCCATGTTTTAGCATTCTAATCGGAGCATATGCTGTGTCAGAATACTGTATGTCATGAAATAATGACATATGGTGCCCCATATGCATCTCATCACCGATAAGCTTGCAAATTCCGATCTGAGCACCCCAATAGTACCCAATTGTGATGCAGCAAATAGCCTGTTGATATAATGTCTGCACATGAACTTATGCATGTTGTGTTTTCTCAGAACTTCCACTTTCCACACATATCTTGTATCTTCATCGGAAATCCTGATTTCTGTGCGCTCTCTTCTGCATTGCATTTAAACCATCCTCTGTGAATATATCTAGGTGTCTGGGACGTGATTCACTCTCATCCCAGGTCTGTGTTTGGTATGTCATTTTAGAATATCATACCCCATTACTCCCTCACTTTTGCAGCTACTGCCCTCCAGATTTGCACACCCACAACTCTTGCATGCTACTACCTGATCCAGAAAACAGCTTGGTCAATTTCCATCAACACATGCAGCTGTGAAGGGTGACTTCCTAGGGAGAGGGTGTTTAGTACAGGCAGACTAACTCATCTAATATTACCAATATCAGTGATAAAAAACTTGGTATCAAAGGCTGGAGGCGAACAAAGACTCAGTGATGGATTGAGGCAGTCAAAAAGTTGGTAATGAGGACCGGTAACAGGCACCAGCAATCAAAAACTCGGCAATGAAAGCAGTAATACACACAGATGTCCAAAAACTCGGTAATAGATACAGGCAGTCTGGTAATGAAGGCTGACAATATACACAGGCAATCAAAAAGTTGGAGATACACAGGTGGTCAAAAACTCGGAGATACACAGGTGATCAAAAACTCGGAGATCAACCCCCGGGGGGAGTCAATTACCGGCCCGGAGGTGACCCCCGGGGGGAGTCAATTGCCGATTGTGGAGATCGGCTTAAGCCTTGCACTTTCTATCATGGGTTTCTTGCTCTCTCTTTGCGCATTGTGTGAATAAAAATGGAACTAATGGGCACCCATTCTGTCTGTTTCGGTTGTGGCACAGCTGGTGCAGTTTCCTGTCCTTTCGGAGTGCAGTTCCTGTGTCTCAGTAATATGATAAGCTGAAGAATTGCTCCGGCATGGGTGCACCTATACACACAGGCATGCAATAGAGTATGCCGGTTCCCAGATGTGCTAATGGGAGCTGTGGAATGCTGGTGCATTCATATTAAGGATGGGATATTAATAAGCTCATATGAGGGGTGAGACGCCGACGAGCTCATATGAGGGGGCAAGCTCATATGAGGGGGCAAGCTCATATGAGGGGACGAGCTCATATGAGTGGCAAGGCGCTACAAAGTTCATATGAGGGAAAGACACTAATGCACTCATATAAGCAGCCACTTTTATAATATGTATAGGTGGCAGGGTGTGAGGGCACTCATATGTGTGGCTATGTGGTACATATAGACGGTAGTAGCAGGTATAGAGCGCCCACTCATATGAGCTTATCCGAACGCCAGTAGCGGTGTATGTTGTCATTGATATGAACACCAGTGGCAGGGTATTCTGTCGGCATGCGCTGGGCCCTTACCAAACGCTTTCTCAGCCATTTGCAATGACGGAACAACGCGCAGGGCATGACACAGAATGTGAGATCTGTGAGAGCTCGGGTGGTACTTTGACGAATCGAATGCACGACCCGCGTGCTCCAGGAGGAAAAGAGATCCTGGACCGGCAGCCGTGGCTCGGATGCGTGAGCACGAGGGAGAGAGCAGTCAGCCTCCGCATCTTTGAAAGAAGATCAGATGCAGTGGTTGGCTCTGGGGGCATGTCGTGCATCAGCGTGGGCGTGAAAGTAGTAGTAGTGGGCTCACCAAAACCAGTACATAACATTGAACGCGTGCAAACAGCGTCGTCACGCTCGCGAGGGGCCCGCGTGCGACGTTGCTCTGCGCCGAGACCGCGTTCGTCTGCGCGATCATGAGATCGACCCCAGCGCCGCTTTTTGGCAGGGCGAGGTCTGGCGAGGTGCGGCTGAGCATCCGTGTGCGATGGTGTTCCTGTTCACGATGTCCATACACGGAAAACTCGCCGCTCGTGAGCGTCCCGTCATGTTCGTTGCCGCGGTTTTCGCCCGCACCCCTCCGCCTTTTCCTCCGCCCTCTCTCTCGCGTCCTCCTCGAGCCACGCGCTCTCCCCCGTCCGCAAGCTAACAACCGTCGCGTCCCTCGTCCCCTCGCGAGCGTACACCAAACCGAGCATTGAGGAAAGGCTTCCACACCCTCTAAGGGCCTCACGGGTGGACGAAGACGAAGACGCCGCCCCGAAAAAGCACGGCAGCGTGGGCAACCCTCGATGTGGCGGAGTGGTTCGGGAAGGAGGTCGTTATGCTCGAGGAGGTCGCGACAGTGGGAGTGAAGGACGGGACGGTGCTGAGCCTCACGGTGTTCGAGGAGCATGTGAGTAGTTCTGCTCGGTCTGTCGGCGAGAAAGCGCAAGGGCTCACCGTCATGTGCGGCGTGTCTGTCCAAGCTCATAGGAGCCAGTGCAGACTCCCCTCCCCACTCTTCGCCTTTCCGTGCGCGCTCTGCATGAAGAACTGTGTTCCTCTGTAACCTGCTTCCCTTCCACCAGGCGTCCTCGCCCCAACTCAACTACGATGGAAGCGTACTCGTCAATCTTCGCAGGAGTCATCGTTGCTCCGGTCATCTTGGTTGGTCTGACCGAGAAATGGTCGTTGAATTTGGAAGCTTCCCTCCTTCGCCGGTTTCTACACCATCTCAAGTACATATCACCAGTAGCCATCCCTGTTGCCGAACCAAGGGGGACATTGGCCCCTTTTTCGCTCACTGCATATCCGTTCTATCTGCCACATCAGGGATACCATTGAACGTGAGCCAGAGCCTCACTTCGCGGCCGTGTGTAACCCATGCTGACCTAAACGCAGCCTTTGATATGCGCGTCGCAGAGTGTCCGCTGCACCTGTCTGACGTGAATTTCCCGTTGCACCCGCGTGGACGCGTTGGACGAGCCACCAACGTTCTACTTAGGGCTCTGCAAGGGCCCCTCGGACCTGGACGCCATCCTAGCGGACTCTTGCGCGTTCCGAGACTTAGGGCAGCTGCGATTCGACGTATCCGCGAGCCCGCAGTGGCATGCGACGACAACCACCTCCCTCCGTCGTTCCACAACCTGTCCAGTGTCGAAGGAGCGCGCGGTTAAGTTGATACGGATGCACATGCCGCTGGCCCTGTCTCGGAATTTCGGCGACTTCGAGATCCACGCGCGGTGAGCTGCAGGTCCCCACCGGTGTTTCGAGCATGCGCCGACGTAGAAATGTACGATTTCAGGCGGCCGGATCTGCCCAGGCCCATTGGCTGCAAGTTACCCCACCTACGCACCGTCCCCACCTACGCACCGTCCCCTCCCTAACCCACCCCGGTCCAGGACCGGCATACCCGCCTCCGGCCTCGTTCGATCCTGAATGAGACTGCAGTCACAACTGGCGCTGTGCGTTGTTGAAGCGCTTGTTCAAGTCATACTCTAAGTACTAGGATACAGAGTCGAATCCGAGACGTCCTCACGCTCCCACCGCCAACGAGGTTCACACTGCGGCCCCGTTCATGTCCGTCCTCCCATCGTCCTCCCCACCCCGCCCCGCTTCCAGCAGCTTCATCTCCGTCCCCACCCGCCCTCCCCCCGGCTTCGCCAGCCCGGGCACCACAGTGACCCCCGACATGAACGCCGCACGCGCGCTGGGGCGCCCAAGGCCGCTGTCGAGCCCAACGCGCGTCGCCGACGCGCCCGACAACCCCATCCCGCCCTCCGCGCCGCCCTCGCCCCCGTCCCCGCTCTCGCTCGAGAGCCCGAGCGCGACCTGCACGACCATCAGCGTCGGCGCGATGCCCTGTCACAGCATCAGCCTCGTCCGACCCCACACACGACCTCCCCCCCATTCGGGACGCACGCACATAGACTTGTGCGGCCACGGCCGCCGCGACCGCCTGCGCGGGGTGGCCGAGCGCGAAGAGGACGACGAACGCGGCCTGCGCGGCGAGGTACAGCGCGCCGCTCTCGACGACCGCCGCGAGCGCCCGCCGCGCCGCGCGCGCGGTGCGCCCCGTCTCCGACCGCGCGTGGGCGCGGCGGGTGGCTACGAGCAAGCGCGCGACGACGAGCGCGGTCGCGGCCGCGTTCGTCAGCAGCGGGAGCGCGTACCCGGCGAGGCCGAGCGGGACGAGCGCCGCGGGGGCCACGGGCGCGGAGGGGTCGAGGGTGAGGAGGATGTAGGCGACGGCGGCGATGCAGCCTGCCGCGCGGAGGGCGCGGAGATGAGACGGGGAACCCTGGGTGAGCACGGGAAGAGGTGGGAGGGAGACGGGGGAGGGGGACGTACCGAGCCCGGCGAGCCCGCTGACGAGGGGGAGGAGGACGATCCAGAAGTTGCGGCCCCAGATGACCCAGCAGCGGTAGAGGAGGCAGACGCCGCCGAGGAAGTCGCTGACGGAGATGAGCAGGTCCGCGCCGAGCAGCGCGCTCGTCTCGTCCGCGAAGGCCGCGAAGGCCTCAGTGCGCTGTGGGGATCGGGATCGGTGAGGGTGAGCTCTTGTCCGGTGGGATGTGACTTACCACGCGGACGATGTAGTGGTCGAATTCTAGCACGAAGTGGGCGGTGCAACTAGTGAAGAGGATGCAGTTGAGGATGCAGATGGGGTGGTTAACGGACCGCCACCGCCGCTTGCGGCAGAACACGCCGATGGCGACCGCGAAAACAGCGACATGGAAACCTGCAATGTGAGGACGATGGGCTCCACGACGCGCGCGCACAAAACCAAAGCACACATACCCCATAGCACCGCTTCGCACACGACCCCGACGAGCGCAGCACTGTCGTTGTTCAGAGCAGCAGCCCGTCTCTCCATCAGTCCAGTTCACGGATCACAAGGCAAGGAGAGAGAGCAGGGGCTCTGGTGGAGGCGAAGAGACGGGGTGCGCGCGAAGAGGTTACGCTGCCGCGGATTCTGAACCCCTTTCTTGTAGATCCACCCCGCGCGCGGCGTGGGAGGCCGTACGTGAACCCGGCGAACTGCGATCCTCGGGGAGCACATCCCTCCACGAGCGTATCCGGCGCTCCTGCTGCCTCTCCCAGACGCACGCCGGGGAGCGACCGGGGAGGGTTCGCGCGTCGCGGGAGCGGGGCGCTCGAACAGGCATCTCCATGGGCGAGTGTGGCGGACGGCGAGCGGGCGCGTGGAAGAGCCTGCGCGCGGTGGACGCGGCATGAGAGCGAGCCCTGTGTTGCGCGGCGCGGCCTTCTGTGGAGGGCACGTCAGATCGAGTCCGGGCGGTGGACGAAGGAAGATGGAATACAGGTCAAGCGCGCGCGCTTTCATGCACGACCGTCGCGCCGCGTCTCCGTACCAAAAAAACTGTGCACATGTCAAGCCAACGTGTCGATGGTCGTGAATAATTCATGACAAGTTCCCCGAGACCGCCTCCAGGTTCGCGAAATGTCCCCGTTTGGGGACAGGCCTTTGTCCCTTTCACTTCTCAAGCTTCAAGAACCACAGGGCAGCCGTAACTGCAACTCAATCGGGAGCCCATTCCGGGGAAGAAACGCACAGAGGACGGCCATGCTTACGGGAGACGCACGCAGGGTCGATTTCACCCCTGCAGGTGACCCGGGGGAAATCGTTGAGTTTTGGTTAAAGCTGACAACATGATGCGACAGCGATCTACAGCCACCACGCCGGCAGAGCAACCGTATTTGTAGTCTTCGCCCGCTTCCTGTGAAAAGACGTCACTTAATGCCACCACATGCACTGATAGAAAAGACAACATGCATGACGAATGCGTCGTCGCCGTCCCATCGGCGGCGGCGAAGTGTCCCAGCTATTTCCAGCGACACAGAACTCTCGCGCACATCATACGAGCAAGGAGGAAACGATGAGATGAAAGAGTGATGTTGATTCCAGTATACCGATGCGAATGCCTATTCGTGTCACGTCGTCGTCATGTCAAATTCGAATGCGGAGTCCGTGTTCTGTAATCGTCCATGCGTGTTTTCCGTTCCTTTTCCCGCCCTCAACAACCTCGTACACATTCGGCGCTGCCTTCTTCCGTCCAGAATCCCATCTAATCGCACAAGGCGCCCTACACGCTTACTCGGTCGTGACCGACTTCGCCCTACACGCCCACGGCAAGGTTAGCACGCACGGAACTGCAGATCTAAAAGAGAGAAAGCACGCACAGGTTCCGGGGGAAGTCGACGTCGAAGCCGTTCTTGACCGCGAGGTGGTACGAGAGCAGCTGGAGTGGGATGATGTTGAGCAGGCCCTGGAGGCAGTCTACCGTGCTCGGCACGCGGATCGTCTGGCAGCCCTTCGGGATCCCCTCATCCTCCTCGTTGCAGATGATGATCGGCGCCGCCTTGCGCGCCGTGATCTGCGCGTACGCCGACTGAACCTTCGGGTACAGCGAGTCCTGCGTCATCACGATGATCACCGGCATGTTCTCGTCGATGAGCGCGAGCGGGCCGTGCTTGAGCTCGCCGGCGAGGATGCCCTCCGAGTGCATGTACGAAATCTCCTTGATCTTCAGCGCGCCCTCCAAGCACGTCGCGTACCTACACGAAGCGGTCAGCATACATGAGATGGGATTCGGCGCGGGATGAACTTACTGGTAGCCACGACCCATGAGAAGCAGACTCCTCTGGTTGGCGAGAACGCCAGTCGCGAGCTCTTGGAAACCCTTGTCGCCGTCGAGAACTCGCTTGATCTGGCCGGGAAGCGCGTGGAGACCCTGAATGATCTGGTTCCGGCGCTCGGTGAGGGAGATCCGGTCTTCTGAGAGCTGGAGGGCCACCATGAGGAGGGCAATGTACTGCGAGGTGTACGCCTACAGAAGACGCGTCAGCAACAAAACAAGCCTAACAGCACTGGTATTATCTACTAACCTTGGTCGAGGCGACACCAATCTCAGGACCAGCGTTGATGTGGACACCGCAGTGCGTCTCACGCGAGATCGTCGAACCGACTGTGTTGACGACACCGACGCAAAGCGCCCCGCGCTCCAAGCAGTAGCGCAGCGCGAGGATCGTGTCTGCGGTCTCGCCCGACTGAGACACGAACACGCAAACGTCGTCACGGAAGATCGGTGTCTTGCGGTCGAGGAAGTCGGACGCGAGCTCAACCGAGACCGGGATCTCCGTCAGCTCCTCGAAAATCGCCCGGGTCGCGATCGCGGAGTGATACGACGTTCCACACGCGCAGAAGACGATGCGACGGCCACGACGGATGATGTTGAGGTAGGCACGGAGCCCACCGAGCGTGATGCGGGCCTGGTCGAAGTTGACACGGCCACGCATAGTGTTGACAACGGACTCGGGTTGCTCGTAGATCTCCTTCTGCATGAAATGGTCGAACTTGCCCTTCATGATCTCCGCGAGCTCAATCTCGAGCGTCTCGATCGTGCGGTGCTGCGCCTGGGGGGCGCCGCCCTCCTCGTTGCGACGGAGACGGTGGATGTGGAGCTCGCCCCCGGAGATGTGCGCGATGTCATCGTCCTCGAGGTAAAGCACGCGTTTGGTGTGCTCGATGATGGCCGCCGCGTCTGATGCGATGAAGAACTCAATGGGCTGAGGAAGACCGTCTTCCGACATGAAGGCGCGGGATTGTGAACGGAGCATGCCAGGGTTGCTTGGAGGCGCGAGGAGACCGCTCGGCGAGGTAGGGGGAGCAACTACAGGAGGGTCAGTCTGTGCGTCAAGCATCGTAATGGTACAGACGTACGAGCGCTGTTGCTCTTCGCATCTGACTCGGGACCCGCGAACTCGACATCGACGAAGTCCACCTTGAGCTTCTTCTCGGTCTTGACACCAATCAGGAGAGGTGAACCACGACGGGCGGTGACGACCTCGTTGGGGTAGTGCGAGGACTTGAAGACGAACGCGAACGAACCCTCGAGCTCGTGGAGCACCTGCTTGACGAGCTCCGTGAACGTCGGCTTCTTGCCCGTCTGCGAGTCGTAGATGTACTTGGTGAGGATGGCGGCCGCCTCAGTGTCGGTCTCACTCTCGAACTTGTACCCGCGCTTTTGAAGTACGAGACGGAGAGCGACAGCGTTGGTCACAATGCCGTTGTGAACGACGATGAAGTGGGCGTCCGGATCCGATTTGAGGGGATGGCAGTTGACGACGCTCGGGGGACCGTGGGTGGCCCAGCGGGTGTGGGCGATGGAGACCTGGGAGATGAAGGTCTTGCTGGTGTCGACGTCGGACTCGGCGATCTTCTTGCGAAGGCCGGCGACTTTGCCGACCTCCTTGAAGAAGTACATCTCGCCGGGCTTGTCACCATCGATGCCAATGCCTGCGGAGTCGTAGCCGCGGTACTCTTGGCGGGCAAGGCCGTTGACGAGAATGTCGCAAACCGTCTTACGGTCCTGGAAATGTGCATATAGTCAGCGTCGCCGCCAAGCCAGCACAAGAACCATCGCACAATCGCCCGCGTTCGTTCTCGAGACACGATCTCGACGGGTGTTCCCACCGCGAGCAGCCGGCGGCTTCGAGCGTGCCTCCGGGCCGCTGCCGCTCGAGCCCATTTCCGCTCGCCCTGCAGGGACGCGTCGCGGATGGAGCAATGCCCGACGGAGGCCCCGCCCGGCGCACACACATCACATCGCCGATGGCGCCGCGACCAGGGACGAGGGAAGTGATGTCATCGCCAGAACACGTTCGCCGTCGCTAGCGCGAGAAGCGCGCTGGTGTTGCGGGGCTGCCTTCCATCTGCCGCCCCGCCGCACGGCCATGCCTGGATTGCGCACGCGCACAACACGCCGCCGCGTGTCCTCGTGCACTACCCACGGACCCGGGCGTCCTCCTTGTCGCGGGCGATTGTGCAAAGCAGCGAGAGTCGAGGGCGGACGTACCTTCTCCTGGAGGAAGCTGCAGTAACCGAAAATCCCGCACATGATGGCCTGCGATGGGGGTGCGATGGAGGTGGGGCGTTATAAGAGCGTGGGCGTGAGGTCGTAGACGGTGGTGAGAAGGTGCAGAGGGAAGGGGAGAGGACGGGGGATGGGGCGATAGAGGAGGTCGGAGGCGTTTATATTTGAAGGCTGGACGCGTCGCAGAAGGCGCCGAACGGGTGTATTATGTAAGCGCGCCCTCCGCCCCGGCAGTGAGCTCGGTCTCCCTCTTTGCTCGCCTGCACACACCGCCTCGTCCTCGTCGGGGCTCAATGTCGTCCGCCTGCTCCCACCTCTGCACCCGCCGCACAGGCCCGCCCAAAATCTCGTTTCAGCCTCCGCTGCGCCCGCCCCTCATCACAGCCGCCGGCCAGTCCTCCCCGCCTCGCGACCTTCGAGAAACTAGCCATCCGAGGCCTCGCGCGGCGGTCTCGCGTTCCGGGTGCAGCGCGACGCCCATACAGAGAGCGAGGCGCGTCGACGGCCTCTAAACCGAGAACAACTGCGACACCAGCTACCCCACGGTATGTGTGCCGCCCGCGCTCTGGTGCGATGCCTCCTCCCAGCGCATCATGATCACGCTGCCTTCGCCCAGCATCCTTTGCGCGCCGCGCTCGGCGCCCAAATTCACGTCTGAAATAATCGCCGTTGCCGACCCTCGCGCCCTGGATGCTCTGCGACCCCCGTCTCCCCTGACGTTACCGGTACGCGCTGTGGGGTCGGGGGTACAACACCCGGAACCTCTTCGTCGGGCACAGAGGCCGCGCGGGACCGCCCGGTCCTATTTAGGAGCAACACAACAGTGTCAACCCAAAGCGCTTCCTGACCCTCGACTTGGGCTTGCGCTCAGTGAGCTTCCGCGGTGACGTGGAACGCTCGCGCACGCTGGGCAACGTGAGTTACTTTTGTTCTGATCCACCGCGGCGACTTCTTGTGCGTGTGCGTGTATTTACCGCCTGATTCGTTACGTTTACGAGCTGAGAGGTTCCTAGAACGATCAAGCTCGGCGGCGCGTCGTGGAAACACGCTGCATGCATACCGCTCCGCTCGGAGTGGACTTGGAACGTTGCACCTCCGGCCATGGTCACTCCGGATGGTCGGTGAGCATAAGTCAGCGCGGCTGGATGCAATAGAGACCTGAAATGTTCAAGCGTTGTCGTCCTATCGTCCATTTGCCGACCAGCCTCGGAGGGTCCAACACCTACCAACACACATGTGACATGCCCTGTTTCCGGCACCCCTCAAACCCCGCAACATCCACGCCTCGAGGCCCAAGTCTGCTACAATATTGAATGGGACATATCCCCGTGCTGGGTACATACCGAGGTCGACGGAAGGTATCAACTACAGCATCGAGGATTGTCACATAGCATAGATTTTATAGCGACGATGGACTACTGCTCTCATTCGAGTGTAATATGAGTGATCGACTACAACGACGATCTGGGAATGAAGATTCAAAACCGTTGCGGATCCTGCGTGACGTCATCGAGGGTCGACGCGTTCTGCATCCCGCCGAGGTGGCGATTGTCGGGGTGTGCACCTACGCGAGATACTACTCGTCAGCCCTTCAAACTCCTCGACCACTCCACACGAAGACTCACCATGCGCGACCGCCCGCTCGCGGCGCATGAGCGCCTCTTTCTCGAGCCGCTCCGCCTCCGCGATCTCCGCGCTTTGCATCTTGAACGCGCCGGCTTCCTGCTCCTTCATGAAGCCGCGCTCCTTGAGCGCCTGGCTGCCGACGAGCGAGCCCACCGCGCGCTCTGCCTTGCCCGTCAGCTGCCCAGACTTGCTGGGCGCATTCCCGGGCACGCCCGCATTGATGTGCGTGACAGGGGGGACGTTCGGGTTCGGGCCAGCGCCGCCCACGCCGGAGCCAGAGCCGCCTTGTTGCATGATGGACTGGGGACCCATGCCGGGTTGCTGCTGAGAGGAGTAGTCCATCATGCCACCGCTGCCGATTCCCGCCATGCCGGCGCCCTGTGGGAGAGAGGACGGGGGATGAGCGAGTGCGCGCGAAGGCAGATCGAGGGACAACCGTACATGGCGCGGCTGCTGGGAAAACTGGTCCTGCTGCGGGCCGTCATGTTGTTGGTCTTGATATCCAGCGTACGGCTGCTGCTGTTGGCCGACCATAGGAGGCGGCTGGTGGTGGTTGTGATCGTTGTGTTCGTTGAGATGTTCCTCCCGAGCCGCCTTTCTCTCCTTGGGCAACTGCCATCAGGCCATTGAATGCGGAGGCGCGATCAACCACCGACGTACCTTACGATGCTTTCGGATGAGAGGCATGATGTACATGCGAATGAGTTGTGGTGGTAGAGGTGAAGAGTGGTGAAAGAGTTGGCGAGGTAAACTAGGAGGGGAATTGTGACGATTGACCTGTCAGTGCCGACACCCCGTCACTCACTTATACCTCTCGGGTGTGGATGCATCAAGCATAGGGGTTGTGCGTCATACACACGGCGCGTGGGCCCCAGTATGACGTGCGCCATGGCGAAGAGGGGGGTGCACAAATGTGGTCCGGTCGTCGTCATCGAGCGTATATTTCATTCGGAGACCTCATGGCGCACATGCAAGTGCGGTGAACGTCTCCTCGGAGATCTGGAAACAAACCGCAATATCAATCCGATATATTCGTACGTACGGTCGTCGCGGAACCCACATGGAACGGCTCCCGAGTTTCGGCCGTTGAGCTGATCGCTGTATGAGAGATCAAGCTTTCAAGTGGGGAAAGCGATCGTGGTTGGGAGAGAGTTTGAAACCAGCGCCCTTTGAGTGCTGACGTATGGGTGTCACGTGGTAGAGCGCTCCACGCCAGCGCAGTGGGCGCTCACCGGTGAGTCTGCCTTTTGCACTTCGGTGACTTTGCCCGAGGCCACACAGCTTCGACCCACAGTCGCATCCACCCACTAATATGAGGGCAGTACCCATGTTCTGTCTCCGATACCGCCCCGGATCATTCACTTGGACGTGGGCGCAAGACGAAGATTCAAGACATTTCTTGGCATCCCCTCTAACACCATTGCACGACTAGAGCGCATTTCTGGTTGTGTACTATCAAGTGGTCATGCGGGATCGACAGTCGGTAATTACAGAACAGAGGTGCAGCTCGCCTCATCCGGGCGACGAGTTACGATACTATGCGTTATTCAGCGGTTCACGAATCACCACAAAGTGAGCGAGAATAACTTCACGCTCAGTACGATATATCTGACCCCTCAGTGTTTCGCCTTGTCAGAAGACGCGCGGGCCACATGCTATCTGGGAATCAAGGTTAACTATACTCTCTCGGAGATCTCTTGGTAAGTATCATCAGGCGCTCCCTGTCATTATGTGCTGTTATGTGTCCTTGCTATGATAGATCGATAGATGCTGACAATGCTCTTCCCCACCCCGGCTCGCATTAATTGCGCTCTCCCAACCCTACTTTTCGAGTCAGAGCACAGTGTCTATTGGCTGACCTGCGCTGCGACCCGGATATCGACAATCGCGATTTTCCTATATATCATGGTCTCGAAGGCGAAGCAGGGCTCTGAATCGTCCTCGGAACCTTCATCCAGGGAAATTCCCCATCCTATACTTACTATGATCACGTATGCCCAGCAGCTGAACTATGCGAAGGTCTTCGGAGAGAGCCTGTTCTATGGTACGTCCAGTCCCTGTACGGGTGATGATGTGCGCCAGCTGGAAGCCGAGGCCGAATAGTCGACTCGCTTCGATGGACACCAGTCACCCTAGACCCGGAACGTAGACTGACAGCCATTCCGTGCTCAATAGGTGCCGACTGTGTGCTCATGATCGCGATCCTCCACATACAGCTGTGCGTTCCCTTCCATCCTTCGGTGAAGGGTTTCGTCCAACGAAGCGTGGACCTGCAGGACATCCCGGCGGTTGTTGCCAACGCACAGGGCCCTTCTGTATGTGGCCGACACCATGTTCCTGCTCGCCACTGCCCATATGTGTCTATTGCTGTACGAGACCATGACGGGGACCGTCCCCCCACGCGTGCTGCAGTCTGCGGTCGCGGTTTCCCAGATTAATGTGTGGTATTCCGGATTATGTGCGCTCCATCTTCGACGCTGATACTTCTCTGCAGACAGCCCTCGGGGATTTTGTGTTAATATGGCGCGTGTGGGTCGTTTGGAGCCGCGACTATCGGGTGGTCGTTATCCCGGTACTTCTTTTGATCGTGGGATTCGGTGAGCCAAGTCTGATTCAGTCGAAACGTCCTTGCTGAGGAAGAACAATTCCAGTGGCTGGGATTCTGTCCGCGATGGAATCCACGAACTACGACGCCCTCAGCAAGATCCTTCCTATGCCCACCACCGTCCTCGGCGTCGTGAACACAACCCTCTGCACTGCGCTCATCGCCGGGCGACTAGCGTAAGAATCTTCCCGCCCCGCTCTAAACAGGATACATGCTCACTGCTTCTCCGCCCCCCCGCTCCTCCTTCCATGCAGCTATGTCGACCACCTCGTCAAAGGCATCTTCACCTTTAACGCCGGCCGCGACCGCCCCTACAGGGCCACCATCCTCATGGTCGTGGAGTCCGGCGCCGTGCTCACCGCCGCAAACGTACGTCCCCAAACTTCTCTCTGCAGCCCCGCGCCCGCCGAAGCCGACAGAGTTCGCCTGTTACCTGTATTCTAGGTCATCGGCCTCGTTCTGGAACGGCGCGGGCACCCAGGCCTCCACGTCATGCTCAACATCCAAACACCGCTCACGGTGAGCCCCAGCCCCCTTCCGCTGGCTCGGGCCTCCGAACTGTACTAACGATGCGTCTGAACCCTGGACTGCGCACTACCTCAATCCACGACCACGGACACGGACACGGACCGCACGCACACACGCACGCACCCCGCATGGCACCGCCCTTGCCGTCGGCCCCCGCTTGACCTCGAACCCCTCGAACGTTCTCGATCACTTACGCGGGGCGCGGCAGTACATGGTTCCCACTTCCATCATCGTCCTCTCCCACTTCCGGCTCGTCCCCGGGGACGCCGCGGACGGGACGTCGACGACCCCGGTCCAATTCGCGTCCCACATCAGCATCAGCCTCGGGGACGCGGCTTCGACCGGGCGGCGTGGCGGGACGGTGTCGGACCCTCGCGCTGCGCTCCACCGCGCGTCGCAGGCCGGGTTGGAGGACGTTGAGAAGCAAGTAGGGTCGTGCGGGGCGGCCTGAAATACGGTGATGCATGAAATCTCGCCGTTGGATCTCACGAATCGGTCGGCGGACGTACGCGGTATGGTCCGTGGAAGGGCGATGGGTGGCTGTATCCGTGGTCTATCCACTTACGGTTATGTATTCGACGAATATCGGAAGCGTTTCAAGGCCTCGTGTACAGAACGTGTTTATGAAGGCAGTGGTAATCAATGGTCGAGTCCTGTCGAGTCACTGGTCAAGCGTATCTCAGTGGTGGAACGTCATGCATTCAATCTGTGATAATTTGGGTCCAAACTGACGCCTAATTGGTACACCCTCCCACGAGCCACAGCACAGACACAGAGGGTAATGCATGGCGAGTCAACATTGTTCGAAATTGGCGCCAAACGCTTTGAGCGCCTGCGGAAATCCGACGCGTCCACGGGCGCTCGGACGGGTTTGCGTCTCCTCCACCGACGTCCACATCGCCCGTCCACATCCCGATGCCCAATCCATCCATGTCTCCCGCCCGCGCGTCTCGTCCGTCCCTCCTCGCGCGCGCAAGTCTCCCGCACCAAGGCATCCTCGCGCATTCAGTCCGGCTTTGACTTCGCGCTTCTCGAATCCCCTGCAACGCGTGCAGCAGGCTGCAGCCTGTCATCCCGCGTCCTTCTCGACTCTCGACACGGCTCGCCCTGCGCGCAGACCGCGTTGGGTCCGCATGACGCGCAAGAAGACGACGGTGTCTGAGGGGCGATACGTACGTTACACTGCTTGTCGTCCCTTCTCCACACGCGAGACCCGAGTACCCCCACCGCCGCCCGAACGAGTCCTGGCGCGCCCGCGACATGGACTTGGACCCTGACGGCCCACGGAAACTAGGACGAGTGCGCTCGCCGTTCGCCGGATAGACGAGGACGCGGGCGGGACTGCAGCACTGCGCAGGCGGGGGTTCGTGAGTGTTCGCGTTCGGTCTTCGACGCTCTGCCAGGAGTATAAGTACGCGAGGCGTTGCCCTTCCATGTCCCCCAGGTCCCCCTCCACATATCCTGTGCACCCTCTCCGCGTATATCTGGTGAGCCTCCCTTTCTTCCCCCGGCTTCCGCACCCCTGTTCTGGCTCGTGTTCACTTGTGGAGCACCAGTTTGTTATATTCTATGATGAGTTGGCCCAATGGCACGAGTGCGCCGCAAGGTACTCGTACCCGATCCACTTCCTTCCGATACGGGGAATCGACACGAGGGGACTCACCTGGGGTCCTCTACCACCTTGCAGATCAGTCTGAGTGGGGAGGGCCCCACCCCTCCCTCGGTGCCGATGGTGCCATACCCGAAGTATGTAGTCTGCGGTCTGTGCAGTGTACTCACTGTGGATTCACAAGTCTTGTCTCTAGTTTCTGGGTAGTCAACACCCATTTATGGGTACTGAAGCCCCAAACATGGGAACTAATGCCTCTTTGGAGGAATTTAATCACCTTTCTTTGGTGGAAACCCCACAGAATGACCCTACTCCATATGATGTGAGCAAACCCTCTTGATAGTGTTCTACCTCATGTTGAATCAAGTCCCAGGGGATGGGAATGCAACCAGCTTACACTAATGAGCAGGATGGTCAGGCCAATGAGGTGAGTATTGCTTCAAGTGCATTTGTTGAATCTGAGTACTCACCTGATCTCAGGGCCTTGATTGCAATTCTCCATCACTTGAGAATTGTGTGAGTAGAAGCTGTTGTGTATCTCTGGAGGACTCTTGCTGATGTTAGATTTTCAGTTTATCCAAGAGGAAATATGGTGGATGAGTATTTATGCAAAACAAGAACTTGAGAAGTTCTTTAAGGTGATTTTGCCTCCTCTTAATCATACTTCTCTAACTAAGTATGTTGTTGCCAGTTCTGGGTTGATAAAATTGCCCAGAATGAATTTATATGTTTGCAGTGTGACCCTCCTTGTGAGTGCCCTTAGACTGCTAGTAGTTAGACTTGACTTACATCAACACCTAGACCCCAACACCTACTCTACTCATTGGAATGCTTTGGTCCATCTCAAAACCTCCCACTATCATATGTTTTATCAGTGTGACACTTGTGGAAAGAGGTGCACTAGAAAAACTTCACTCAAGAAACATCACAAGAGTATCCATTCTGGAAAGCCACTGGTAAGCTTAGCCTTTGTGTGCACTTCAGATCAGGATCTCACACTTGTTGATCAGAGTGCTTCTGAGAAGATCCTAAGGGCACCCAACCCTTTTGATATCATCTAGTAGAAGCTGATCCCCTGGTTTGTTTAACACCAGAACACACTCCTCCACATATATGCATTGAACTCTCTTCCTTTCTCGTGGTACCCTAGTTAAGATCACCCTCTGTAACATCTGGCCAGAAATCTGTCTCCAATTCAATCACCCTTGCCCAAATCTCCTCAGCCCTTCTGAATGCAGCCATTACAGGTGTGATTCCACAGCTATAGCAGACAACCATGAGCACAGAACATAGCACACAGTATGTTGGATGCTCACTCATTCACCAAGCCCTCAAGGATCTCCACAAACTGCTCAAACTCAGGAGAGGTCCAGTGGTCAGCCAGCTCTGCAACCACAGGTGCAATCACACTGGTGCCCTGCACCTCTGTGCTGTGCAGGCTCTTGACGTACTTCCAAGAGTCAAGGTACACCTACGCTCACAAATGGTGTCAGCCTCTGTCCTCACAGAAGCAGAAGGCGCAGCTTGCACGCTCACCCGCTCCATCGCCCACAGGAACACGAGCCCGTCCTCGAGCGAGCCGCACGCCGCGACGCGCGCCATCTCCGCCGCGTACGCGCGCGTCGCGCGCCGCTCCGGCCAGCGCCCCAGCGGCGGGATCCTCCCCTCCCCCTTCCCTTCCACATCGCGTCCCTCCTCCCCCTCCCCGCCGGCCTCCCCTCCGACGCCCGCGAGCGCGTCGAACAGCCGGACCTCGTCCCGCACCGCCGCGAGCGCGTCGAAGAGCACGCCCGCGAGGCGCTCCGCGGGGTCGCGCGGCGCGTTCACGGCGGTGTCGAACGGGACGCGGGCGAGGAGCTGGCCGAGGAAGCGCGGGTAGGCGTGCGCGGCGTACCGCCGGTCCTGGGCGATGTAGAGCGAGAGCGTCGAGGCGGGGAGCGTGCCGGTGCCGGCGGCGTGCAGGAACGGGTGCTGGGTCGCGGCGGCGTACGGGCGGGCGGTGCGCAGGGAGGTGAGGTGCTCAGTGAGCGAAGGGGCCATCGTGCTTGCGGGATGTTGACGATGAACGTCCTGGTGAGGACTCGGAGGGAGAAGGCGGGGTTCCAGATGGGAGGAGATAACGTGTGAACGGGATCTGGTCAGAGTGAGACAGTGGAGCTGACGTCATCGCATGCAAAAGGCCCAGCGCATATCTCAGCGCGACGTGGCCAAGAGGACTTGGACACGACGGGGAATAACGGAGGGCTAGAAATCGAACGCGAACAACGGCGAGTCTAGAATAGATAAAACACGAATGAGAAGTCCACACGGGGGCAATCATACTTTATACGATATACTGGCACACAAGCGCGGTTCTCCTCCTGCGTTCTTGCGCACTTGGTCTCTCCTCCGTCCCAGGCTCCGACCGAGGTCAAGTCGTCCTCGTCCACGCAACCGCCACCGACACCTCAGTAACTCGACCCGTTCACCTGCGAGGAGTCCATCAGCTGTCATCACAAGAGTGGTCGTGATAGAAAAGTAAGAACGTACCTTGTCGCGCAATTGCGAAACGAATTGCTGATAGCTTGGTAGGACGTCTGCGCGGTCCTGAATGAGGCAGCTGAGGGCCCAGAGACGGAGCGGCGGCTCGCCGTCCTCCTTGACGATGTACAGATGTGGGTGGTACACGCCCCGGCGCATCTCGCGCGTCTTTTGGATGACGCCGTTGACTCGCTGTGAGAACGGGTTATCGAGCAGGGGCAGCGTGGTCTATGTGCGGGATGAGCAAGAGTAAGTGAATGAGAACAGAAGTACGAACCTTGCCGCCACGGAGAACCTCGTAGCTGGGGAGGTTGAAGACGTCCATGATGAGCTGCGGTATAGCGTCCCGACCGACCCAGAGGAAGATCGTCTGGCCGTCCTCGATAAGGAAAAGGCCGTGGCGCTCCAGACATTCTGAAGTAAGGGGAAGGGGTTTGGGCATGATGATGCCCTGCTCGCCGACCGTACCGCACTGTATACGCAAGGAAGCTTATCAATCCGACGAATATGCAACGACAACACAAGACCAACCTCTGGAGCCATGTTGTGGAGAGAATAAAATGCAGGGTAGATGTAGGGCATGAGGGTCTGGGGCGGGAGGGTCGTAAGGAGGCACTGGGCGTATGCGCGGAGGTCTGGTGGGATTTGCGCGCTTTGCCTGATGCCAACCTATATCAAGGAATGCGGTCTGCTTCAGCATAGCACTAGAGGATCGTAATGCCGATGCACGTACATTCTTGAGCAGCCCAAGCGTGAGAACAGGCAACATCTTCAGGTTCTCCGAGATCGCAAGCTGTGCGCTCGCGCCTGCACCTGCCGCAGTCATGCTGCCCTTGTAAGCCGACAAGATCTCGACCATCTTGTTGAACAGCGCGTCGCGCGCGTCCTCGAGCTTGTGCGTGAGCGAGCGCTCGACTGCCTTGTTCGCCAGGAGCGTCGCAATCGCGACTTGGTCTGCAGACGCAAACAAGTCCGAAAGGTTGCTCGTCGTAGGCAGCGCAGTGGTGACGACACGAATGCGGCGCTCGCCTGTGGGGGACGGGATCAGTTAAGGGAGCAGTGCTGAATAGGACGTTAAGAGCTTACCGTAGCAGGTTGTGTGAAGGATGGCAGTCTGGAGAACGACGAAGGGTGCAGTGATGTTGTCCTCGATCTGGATCTCGACCGCGTATGACAGGTCCTGGGGAACAGAGGGCATGGCGAGGAGATCCGTTGACCGCACAAAGAAGTTGCCATGGAATGACGACATGCGTAGGTCTGCCAGGGGATAAGGAGAGCGATCTGAGTGCACAGAACAACGAACTCACTCTTCGAGGCGCGAATACGCATGACAGCTTCCAGCATGATAGGCATCGCCAGCATTTCGCCGAACTCGTGCGCGAACTTGATAGCATCATCCGTCCGACCCGCGTTGAAGGCAGGGTAGAAGTAAGTCTGGCCAGAGGTGTAATGGGGCAAGCAAGCGAGGGTCGCCACATCTTGGTATGCGGCGCTGAACAAGAACATGTCGACGGCCACCTGGGCTCTTGAGCACTCGATGGCGAATGTCTTGTAGAATGGCGACGCGGCTTGGAGTAGTGCAGACTCCTACACCAGAAGTTACATTGAGACACCGAGACTCGGAATTGCGAACGTGAACTTACCTTGGACGTGCCCAAGACCTTAGGATCCTCCCTGTTCTTCAGAGCACCAGCGCCAAGCGATGGAAGACTGGCAGAGAGCGTGACAATCTTGCCACCAATGTGCGACTATGACATCCCGGTGAGAACACAGCCCCCTAACATGTGCATACATCCACTCACCATCAGCTTGAATGCAGCCTGGAGAGCAGGTCCCATGGCACTCCCAATGATGTGGTTTTCTTGAAACATATCATTCAACCTCCCCATCAGGTGCTCGATTGCTGGACGGCTCTCCGCAAGGTTGACAAGCAGGTCCGTTGGCTTCGGCAAGAACACGTCGTCGATATCCGAGACAACGAGCATCTGAGAGTCAGTTGTGCCGGCCTAGAGAAGTGCGATGCAGATATCAATATAACACGAACGGGCGTGGAACAGGACGCGAATACCGACAGGGAGCGAGAAGAAGTAAAGGGACACGTCGTACGCGATGAACGCGACCTTCGTGCGCGAGTCTTCGTTCGGGATGCGATCCAAGTTCTCGAGGATGGTGCGTGTCGCGGTCGCGACCATGCCGGACTCGATCGCGTTGTGACTGACGTCGATGAGGAAGACGTAGACCGCCGGCTGTGGAGGTCGGACCATGTACTCGGTGGGGGCGACGAACTCGACGACGCCGTGGTTGAGCTCGGCGCGCGCCCAGCGGTCGCCGGGCTGATTCCGGACCTGGTCCCAGTCGAAGAGTTGTGGAACCTCATTCGACATTGAGCACATGCAGCATCGCCAGCTACACCGTGTCAGGCGCGTGGGGGTGGGTGAAGGGCGTAGGAAGACTCACCGGTTGCCGCCATCGATGAACTGCACGTAAGGGTTGATGTACGTCCTGCATCTCCTGCACCGCGCGATAACCGTGTCCGTGACAAGGGGCACAGGCTCCTCCCCTTCATTGAGCGAGCGGTACGGAGTGATCACGAGGCCGAGTGGGATCTTGACCTTGCTCAGAAGCGAGTTTGACGTCGGGATCGCGTTGAGCGTGCAGCGCTGGTACGACGAGTCCGAGTTCGAGAATGGCGAGTTCGACACCGCCGCGTTCGGTGGGAGAATTATCGCAGGTGGTGGGCGGTGAAGCTCGAGAGGTTCGGGCGGTGCGTTGAGCAGGTTCGTGGTGAGCAGCCGGAGACCCGCCGGCTGCTGGCCCATGCCCATCTGGGAGAACTGGCCGGCGAGCTGGTCGACTGCGCCTGGCTGATACGCTGGGACCTGACCGAAGCCAGACGCGTTGATGTATTCAGGCTCTTGAGGCCCGCCGACGTAGTACGGGGCTTGGCCGGGCTGGCCGCCCATCTGCTGCTGCGAGAACTGGCCGTCGTTTGCGAGCCCAGGGGTGAAGAGCTGGGAGGGCTGAGCAGGCTGGCCGGGTCCTGGGCCGTATGAGGGCGCTGGTGGGCCCATGGTGTCGGCGCCATAGTATGCCTGGGTCTGGCCGGCGGCATACTGCCTACGCTTCGAGGGCTGGGGAGGAGGGGATGTGCTTGGTGCCTGTGCCATCGCGGGGTTCATGCCTTCAGGATCGGGGAAGGGGGGCTCCCATTGCGTCCTCCCGGTCGCGGTTTCTGTCCGCGCAAGTTCGGGCGGGTGTATGCGCAAGGATGTATGGATGGGACTCACCGATGAAGAGGTAGCGTTGGGCATTTTGATCCCTGTGCGACAGTCAATGTCTAGAGAAGTAGAGGGGCTGTGAAGCTGAGAGACTGACCATTCTGCCGCCCATCCTGGAGGAAGTTGCTGAGCAGGGGAGGCCATGGGAGAGGAAGGGACGGAGAAGGACAGCTGGAGAGAGTGGAAAGTAAGTCGCGGATGCTTGCGCAAAGGCGTGAATTCAGCCGACACGCGACACGTCGTGGGCGCCTATCGCTAACGTGCCTTGCCCGCGCGCTTGTCGAGCCTTTCTCAGTGGCCGGCCACGACTGCGAGAGCCTGTTCATCCCTGCTCTCCACGTCGCCGTGCTCGAGTACGGACAGCCGGCCGGCCTCAGACCGGGACGCCAAGAGCTGGTTTCCGACGCCGCAGCGATCGCATTTCGCACCTAGTCGCAATTGTGTCGACTAGCGCTCCGTCGATCCCATTCCTGCGCGCGTGCTCCGGGTATAAAACCAGCTGGACCCAATCTTCCTCTGACCTTGTTCCCTAGAATCGCAACCATGTCTCTCACAGCGTACGCATGTTCCCGTTCTTTTTTCCTTATCCAGCTGATGCTCCCAAAGTACTGCCACCGAAGTCGAGATGTGCTCTGTCCGCACTCGCTCGCCCCACCCACCAGACGAGCCCATCACGCCCGGCGGGGTGTTCAACGGCGACACCAGGAGCATTCGCAAGAGCCTCGAGATCCTCGAGTCGAGTCCTCCTCCAGCTTCGCCGACGCCTGAGGATCTTGCGACTGCCGTACCAGCCCTCACTCCGTCGATGCGCCGCAAGGCTAAGATCCAGTTCGCGGTCCTCTGCGGCACACTCTTCCTCGCGGGCTGGAACGACGGTACCACGGGGCCTCTGCTCCCTCGCATCCAGAGCGTGTACCATGTGTGTTCCCTCCGGTCTCCACGGCCACCCTCTAACTAGCGACTGACTCGACTGCCCAGGTCAACTATGCTGTCGTCTCACTCATCTTCGTATTCAATTGCATTGTACGTGGGCCCCTCCTTGGCAGCCTCCATGTCACATCTGACATCAGGTGCTTTCAGGGCTTCGTTTCAGCCGCCGCTGCGAATGTGTGGCTCACTGACCGTCTCGGGTTCGGCAAAGTAGGTGGTTCTTGGTATCTCCGAGGTTTCCCCGATAGGCTCACTTTTGGGCGCCCCAGGTCATGGCCATCGGTGCGGCTCTTAATATGCACATCCCCACACTCTGCTAGCCGTCCTAATTCAAATGCCGATATACAGGAGGTCTCGCCCAGGTCATCGGGTACTGCCTCGATGCCCCGGCACCGCCGTTTCCCGTCCTCGTCCTTGGATACCTTGTGAACGGCTTCGGCCTGTCGCTCCAGGTGCGCATTACGTGCTTCACCTCCTGAATCGGATGTATCAGACGAACTGACGCGCGCTCGCAGGATGCGGGCGCGAACGGCTTCGTGGCATCACTCAAAGACAACGCGGCCACGAAGATGGGCGTCCTTCACGCGGTCTACGGTCAGTACCGTCGCGCCGCATTCCCCACACCATCCAGTGGTTGACCACCCACTCACACCAGGTCTGGGCGCGCTCTCTGCTCCCCTCGTCGCCACCCAGTTTGCGCAGCTCGAGCGGTGGTCGTTCCACTTTCTGTGCTCCCTCGGTCTTGCGCTTTTCAACTTGATTTCGATCGTCGTCACCTTCCGTTTCAAGGATCAAGACGGTATGTTTCGTTATCACGCGAGTCCTCAGGCGTCTCACTTCGTGCATTCAGCTTGTCTCGCTGAGATCGGCCAAACGCCCACACATGAATCGCATGAGGGTGGCGGCAACAAGTACAAGCAGATGTTCAAGCTGCGTTCCCTGCACTTGTTGGCATTCTTCATCTTCATCTACGTCGGCGTGGAGGTCACGCTTGGAGGTCGGCTTCCCGCTTCTTTTATCCCCTCTCAAGCTCACTGGTTCACGTGTATCAGGATGGATTGTCACGTACGTGATCAACCTTCGTGGTGGGGGGCCTTCGTCCGGATACATCTCCTCCGGATTCTTCGGCGGTGCGTGCCTCTCCTGCCTCCTGGCGATATGACCCTCATAGTACCCTAGGACTTACTCTTGGCCGAGTCGTTCTCCTCCCGGTGAACAAATTCGTACGTCCCCCTCTTCCATCCACCGCCCACCGCTCACCAACACCATCACCACTCAGCTCGGCGACCGCCGCGCCATCGTCGTCTACGGCCTCATCGCCATAGGGTCCGTCCGTCCCTCCAACCCCCTCCTCCCCCCTTTCTCACCCGCCTCCAGCCTCGAGCTCGTCGTCTGGCTCGTCCCCTCGCTCATCGGCGGCGCCGTCGCCGTCTCCCTCGTCGGCTTCCTCCTCGGGCCCTTCTACCCGATCGTCATGAACCAGTCCGCGCGCGTCCTCCCGCCGCGGCTGCTCACCGGCGCGATCGGCTGGATCGCCGGCTTCGGCCAGGCCGGCTCAGCCTTCCTCCCCTTCCTCACCGGCGTGCTCGCGTCCCGCGTCGGCATCCAGGCCCTCCAGCCGTTGTAAGCCTCCCTCCCGTGCAATCGCCCGCACCCGCGCTGACGTCGACGGCGCACAGACTCGTCTCGATGATGGTGTTCATGCTCTTCCTCTGGCTGCTGGTCCCGCGGGACGCGAGGCGCGCGGACTGATAAGTTCGCGCGGCCAGTCAGGCGCGTGTATGTAGAGGGCATGCTGGTTTGCTTTCGGTTGCGTCTGCTCTAGATTCGTTCTATGGCATCCTATTCTCATCTCCCCCATCGCGTGTCGGTTTATTACGGAGCGTCTCCACCGCCCCGCGTCTGTCGATCCGTCGATCCGTCGAACGTACTGACATCACGCAGAACTGCGGCGCGCGCAGCCCCCGCGCCCGCAACCGTAGACGCACGGCCCTCCTCACCTGGAGACACACCGCCGCCTGTCTGGCCAGTCTGGAATACCATCGACCCGACGCACCCAGGCGTACGCACACGCCCTCCCCGAGCAAAAACAAAATACCAACGGCTCCCACACCCACGCGCGCCTCCCCTCGCGCTCCCAACACATCCGCCCAGAGCGCCTCCCCAGCCGTCCCTGCCTGTGCGCAGGGCGCGCGAACCGCCAATCTCGCTCTCTCAAGGCCGCCCGCCCGAAGCTCGAACGGCGGCACCAGTACTCACCGCACAGCTCCGATCGGCGCCCCCGCCCGGTGACCGGCCTCCGCGTCGCGCAGCCAGCGAGCTCTCGATTCTCACAGATCCAGCTCCGGGTACCATCTGCCCCCACGCGAGTGCAGTGTACACCAAGCACCGGGTGCGCCCCGCCCTGCTTCTCGACCGCCTACCCAGGCGCTCCTGGCTATGTATACGGCATGGCACATATGTACATCGCGCGCGCAGGCTTGGCGTCGAACCCTCCCCTACCCCGACACACGCGCACCCGCGGACCTCCGGCCACTGTATATCAGGGTCGTCCGCACTACCCAGCTCTCTCTGCCTCTGGACCGTGACATCGCCCGGCCCGCGCACGTCTCAATGCCGCTGATCGCGTCGCAGCGGGGGGAGTCAGAACTTCAGAAGGCCCAGGATCCGCGCGCCGAGCGTACGCACGCACACCTCCGCGCAGAGCTTCTTCGCCAGCTGCACGGTGGCCGCCTGTGCGAGTTAGACCGAACCTTGCAATGTACTGCGTGCGCGCGCGCGGCCATCTTCCCAGTCAGCCCCGGTCCTTCTAGACCTTCCGCAGCGCGTGCTCTCGCCTGGAACACCACAGAGAAAAACCAGACAGAAAGACACCGGCCCTCCGATCGACAGATCTAACCGCCGCCGCGGAGCTCTCGTACGGCGGCTCGAGGGATCTCGCGGGTGGGGCTCAGGAAAGCGTGCGAGCGTACAACGTTTATACCTTGGCTTCTACCAAGTATTGGTACTGTAAGGACAGACTACACTGGGTGAGGGTATCGGGGGCCGCGCAGTGAAGATATACGGTATCACGGGGCGAATATAGCCGGTACAGTACTTATATCGGGTGCAGAGCGCGTGGAAGGGGAGTATACAAGGAAGAAGCGGACAAGAAATAGCCGGAACGGAGGAGGATTGCAGGCGCGGCGGAGATTGCGGGACGACACGCCGGCCTTCGACGTCCGCCCAAGTCTTCCCGCAGCGGCATCCATGCAATCGGTCGGGGGTTCGCCGCGAGAAGTCGTCGAAAGGTCTTCGTCCACGGCCAGCGCGGGGATGATCGATGAGCGGCAGGAGCCATGCTGATGAGAGCGAAGCGAGAGGGACGCGATCGTGGCCGACGCAAACCTTGACGCGGGCGCTGCCGATGAAGCTCGTGTTGTGTCGAGGGATGACCAGTCGCGGGAAGGTTCGAGGGCTCAATCGGACCGTCGCGTGACCGAAATAGACAACGGCGGGTATCCAATTTTGCTCGTCCACTGACAATAGAGGAGGGGGCATGCCATACGGGCGACGGCCGCGTTGGCAGCCGAACACCACAGGCAGGACGCCAACCATTCTAGTCGACGAGGCCGAGATGACCGGATGACACGACAGCGTCCTACGACGGTGGCTACGGAAGGACGACCACCAAGGAAAGAGCAAGAAAACGAGATACGGTCAAGGGCTGGGAACGAATGCGAGGGCGACAATACAGTCTGGAGACTTGCGTAGACGGAATGAGTGTGCAATTTGGTGAGAAGGGTTCGTCTACTGCGCTTCGGCTTGCTTGTGGTCTTCAGACGATCGAGCCTCCAAGTCGAAGTCGTCCGCGTTGCCTCGCTTGACGATTCTTCCCGCAGCATCGTACTGGACGAACGAATCGGTGGGAGAGGCGTCCCCTGGAGCAGCCTCGAAGTTCTCCATCTGCATTACTATCAGTAAGCATTCGCAAGTGTATTGAAAGCGACAAACCAGCGTCGACATACCGGCAGGTGAACATCTTCAACTCTCTTCTCTTGCGTTGATATCGTGCCGCGAGAGATGAAGCGAGTGCCACTTGTGAACGCCAAAGTCGAAGCACGCGTTGATCTGCGCTCTATGTCAGCGTAGACACTCACGTCGACACTGTATGTACTGACCCGATAAACTCGGCCCCCTCGTTAGTGTACGTAGCCAGACGGCGGACTACGCGGCAGGCGACGATCTTGGGCAGAGGTCAGCTCTCGGTCAAACACTCCGCATAGTTGAGTCATACCGTCGAAGCCACAGCCGCGGGAACGTTCGCGATGATCGACATCACGGCGTTCAGATTCAACAGCATGAAAATCTGCAAACGAAGCTAAGCCTTCCGTGAAGTGAAGGCGATGTGAACACGACTCACCGTGGCAATGAGATTCGCAACAAACCTACACGAATGATCATTGAGAGACTTATCGAGGCGAGGTCGTAAAATGGCTTACGCGACTACGAAGAAAATAAGGCCGTCGTGGAAGATGAGCTGCACGATTCTGGACCTATCCCTCCGCGGAGTCATTGCAACGCCCAGCTTGACGGCCGCAAGGGTGAGAACACAGAAGTCGAAGCACATGGAGTAAATGAAAGTCGCCGCAAGGATGGTGTTGCTGGTGTAAGTGATCGCGCAGCCCGTCCCAGGGATCCACGCCGCCTTCAGCAGGATACCTGTTCCGAGGTTCAGTCACTGTGTGTTTGTCGAACATGCATTCCTACAACTACAACGTACCGTGCAACAGCAGCGACCAATGCCCGATGATGAGGGCAACCAAGGGAACGACGATGTACCAAGCCTGGGACCAGACTGCCATGCTAGAAAAGCCACGTGGGCAACGTAGGCTTCTATTTGCATCGAAGTATGGGAGTCGAGATACTCACGTGCGCAAGGACAGGTTGATGCTAGCGAGACCGATGGCGGCATTCCCGAAGATTTGGTTGACGGTGTACAGCGCTTGACAATTGACTGGGCTGCGGCGACTCGGGGTGAGTCGAAAGCAGGTCGACATAACGGTGTCCATACCTCGTGACGTTCAGAGCGACGGCACTGAAAAGGATGCGCGCCGTCAGCTCGGGGTCAAATGGGGTGCGTGGCGTGCATACATTCCGATGAGAGCGAACAGGAGGACGTATCGACCCCCAAAGTAGAAGATCTGAGCATCAAGGACAGAACCGCGTCAGCATCAACGCCTTCCGGGCATCGAGGGACGCGAAGAACGTACCATCGGCCACTTGAACTTGCGCTTTCCGGTCATGTACTCCCAATCAAAGGAGAGAGACGTGACAAATTCCCAGCTGTAGGATGAATGAGCACAAGCCGTAGAGGTGGAGGATGGCGGCGGCGCATACATGTACAGGCCGAGCAAGCAGTGCATGAACCTGCCGAAGGCCTCTGCAGGAGAGAGGACAATGTGAGCGTACGGCGGGATGGAGAAGGATTCGAGGCCCACCTCCATCCTTGGCGATCTCGTCTGGGGATTGCCAGTTGACCATGGTGCTCGGGGCGCTGAAGGTTGGGTTGCCGAGGGGGTGGAACTGAGGGAGACTAGCCAAGGTTGGGGCGGCGGCGGGTGGCGGAACGGGGCTAGCGTCGAGTAGTAGCGCGGTGGGGACACAGCTCGGCGGCGGACGGGGGACGAGCAGGAGGCCAGCCGGCGGGAGGCAGCAGGGACTTGGCTATATGGGCGGGGCGGCGGCGCGGGGAACCTGCCCATGAGTGGCGCGCTGGGCCTCGTCGTCCGGATCGGGCGAGACGTGCGCGCATCCTCCGCTGGAGCGGGGCAGCTTCCTCGGACGCGGGGCATCCTCCTCCCGCCGTTCGCTGTCCGCCCCCCGACGCTTCTTTGCAAGCTTCCTCGATCGCGGCCTGCGCGCGGGGTGTTCGCTCGCCTCTGGCCCCCGCGCGTGTGGGCAGCCGGGGCAGAGGGCAGGCCAGACGAACGCAGGCCAGGCCGCCGGGAAGGTGGAGGATGCGGACATGAAGGGGGTGCGCGCGCAGACAGGCCGGGGCGGCGAGTGCTGCCGGGCGCGCAGGCGCTGGCTGGGACTCCTCGGATTCCGAACGCGGGCGGCAGAGGTGCTGCCGCTCTTGCGGCGCGTGGAGACCTCGCGCAGCACGGCGCATGGCGCGACCGTTCGTCGCCCTGACCGACCGTCGCTGGTGTGCTCGCGTCGTCCACGGCTGGGCTTGTCGGCGACGCTGCTCGCGCGCGGGAAGAGAGCACGCCGTGGGCCGTGCGCGGAGGGCGAAGAGGGATCGACCGCAGCTGGAGAGCGAGGTGCCCGGTGGGGAGCGAAGGGGGGCTCGGCGCGGAAGGGTGCGCAGGGTTCCGAGCATGGCGTGGGAGGCCGGCCCGAACGAGGTGGCGTGCAGGACACGGAGTTCGAACGCGCTCTCTGCAGGGTGCAGCTTCTGCCCCTCCTCCCGCCCTGGCGGATGCTGTCTCACTTGTGCGCCCGCCGCCACGATTGGTGCGGCTGCAGATCGACCCCGCGGAGGTCGACGATGGCTGTAGATGAACATTGTAGTAATTAGCTTCATATAGACGGATGTATTGCGAATGCGCACCCACTGATTCTCGTATTCATGTCCGGTGTGACGAGCTTGAGGGTTCGAATGCCCGAGAGGGCACGTGGACTTCAGATGAAGAAGAAAAACATACTCGGTGCTTCGTTTCTGTTCCAGCAGATGTCACGGCGATCGTTCTAGGGATGATCTCAGACGGTCTCGCCGGGGAACCATCTCCGTGGAGCGTCTCTAAAAATGGGCCAAGGTTCGCGAGCGAGGAGAGGAGCAGCCCGCGACTGGGGACTGGGATCGGGAAGAGATGTGTGCAGAGTTAGCGCCCAGACACCGTGGGCGAGCCTGGACCACGTGCAAGTGGCATCATTGCCTTTCTGTAAGCAAGGCGCATCTCATTGCAAGCCACCACGCTCATTTGTCCAAGATGGCAAGACCGTGAACACCTTCTGAATGTCCACATGTTCCCTTCGTCCCCGTTCGTTAGAGCTCTTACCAGACCTCTGCAGGAAATTTTATGGGGTCCCGTCACAAACTGCACGCGTACCTGGGCGCGTTCCACGTCGCCCACAGATGCAGCAATAGAGCGCTCCAACCAGTGGGAGATTACACAGCGTGCGGGAGAACGGCTCAGCGCTCATGATGGCCCACAATGCTAGAGTCGATGAAGCTGACACCCTCCGAGTCCCATGTATTGCTGGTACGGTGAGCCTCCCTCGTCTCCACTGTGATGTAGCGCCAGACGCACCTCCCCCGGTACCCACGGCCCTCGCAGTCCGCCCGTCCCGCCCCCCGTCAATCCGTCAACGTCGGATGCCTCACGGGCCTCGTTCAAGGGGCGGGACAACGTTGAACGTGGAACATTCCCTCCGGACTCCACCCAGGCGCGTCCAGTCCACGAACCAGCCCTCCCCGACTGGCTCGGCGAAGGCGGGAATGACCCTTTGGGACTTGTGGGTGCGAATGTACGGCTCCCGTCGGCCGACCCTGCGCGCGGGCAGACTGATGCGCCCGCCCTCTTGTCAGATCCCCGCCTCGCGACCCGCTGCGATCGTGCGGGGTCACGTACAGTTCTCACTGCCCCCGTCGGCGATCACACCGCCAGTGCCACGCTATCTGGCACGTCAGCAAGTATGGATGTCCCCCGCGACCTGTTGGCCTGCGGCAGCTGGATGTACGTGAACGATAGGCTGATGAGGTCTCCGCCCGCACTCCCGAGCCTCCGGACCGTGGCATCGCCGAGCTCGCCAACGCACCAAAAAAGCTGGAATACAGGATACCAATTGCTTATGGACCTTCCCGCTGACATCGTTTGGCGACTTGCGCTGATCCTCGTACTGACCTCGCCCCGGCGAGGCGTCATCTCGACCCACTTGCGGTCTCGGCCACTGGCCCTTCAGTTCGCTTCGGACGACATGGTTGTTCTAATCCCAGTGGGGACACTCTTCTAATACGGCTGCCACTTGAATTTGCCGGTAACCCTTCACGGTCTAGTACTTTGCTGTCGCGACTTTCAATGGTTCACACCTCTGGCCAGTACGGTGGCATAGATTCCTAGTCGACATGCGGATATGTTAGGGGCCTACGCGACGCCTGGTGGCACCCATCACCACGCTTTGCGTGACTGTCAGCTCGGGTAAGTTTTTGCACGTCGTGCTTGCTTTAGAGTGCAGTACGCTAAGGACGATTGATCGTACTAGAGCTAGCCGAGGCGCGGAAGCGTTCCTGGGAAACGCCCTGAACGAGATCAACCCGTCGAGCCTGAGGAGAGCGGGCATCTCCGAGGACCGAAAGGAGCGTCGCGGAGTTGTGTCCTGCACAGGAGGAAGCGCGTTCAGCACGAGCGAGGTGGCTAACAGCACCGACATGGTCACACCAACCAACCTTCGGTTCCCGCTCGCACCTTCGCCAGACGACGTCAGCCTCCTCGCTCCCGCTCCTGTCGCCGTCTTGTGCCCCCGAAGTTAGCGGGTCTGTCGCCACTCTGCTCGTCGCTTGGCCCGCCCCCGACCTCCGCCGGCACCCCGCACATGTACAGCTGGACTAAATCGGTCGGGCGTGCCGCCTCCCCGACGCCCTTCGCATCCACGTTCACGGTCGCCGCTCGTTCCCCGCAGGCCATGCCCCGTCGTCTCTCTCTCAGGGTGGGCGGACTTTGATCCCCGTCCGAAATGAGTTACAGTACTTGTGGCTGAGCGCCGCGCCGGCGCTCGGTGAACTCCTCCACCGTTTACGCGGTACGTCGTACATTCGACATAGCTCTGTCGATCATGTCACACTCACTCCTCCTAGCTCGGCACTCTATCGCAGTCCACCAGCTCTGCTGCCCAGTGACCCAGATACGCCGTGACACCAGCTGGATCTCGCTAGTCCGACTATGTTTTGCCTTCCCCACCCTCTCCCCGCCATGGAAGACCGTCTACGAGCGCGACATACACGTCCACCGGGGGGCGCGCGCGGTCCACCTGCCGCCGCACACCGGTCTTCTATCTCCAACTGCCGTCTTCCAGGCGTGCGCTAGGAGGGAGGGGTCCGGGGGCGGCGCTCATTCCGCCCGCCAGCGGCTGATAACCCACGAGTGGGGCTTCCAGGCCGGTGTCCCAACATACCGTACGCGCACGCACATGACCATGAATACACTCCGCGTCTGTCGTCCTTTCAACGGAACCCATGGCCACATGCGCACTCGCATTGAAAGAAACTGTATTGTTTATCGCCACGCGTCCGCGCCACCACCGCCTTCTCAGGACGCCTCCGCGCACCCCTCGGATGTCAACGTTCAACAGAGAACTTAGCGGCCGCATCAGGCTGAGGCGACGCGAATGCTCGTGCTGCGAGTTCTGGAGTCTGATGCGGCACCCACGGCGGTCTCGTCGCTGACACGCCCCCACGTACGTGAGCGCACACGCCTGGCAAAATATAGACGGCAGGCAGCACCCGCGCGCGAACCACCCGGCGTCACAACGCGGCACTGCCGCGCCCAACGGCAGGCCCCAGGGCCCCAAGGCTCTGGCGAGACGGACCTCGCCGGCACCACCGTCCCGCCCGCCCCGCGCTCTCCTGGCGGGCTGGGTGACGGGATAGGTATGACATGGGAGATCGCGCGCGGATCGCGCACCTTCGCTGTGTATGTACATGGCGACTGAGCACGAGGCTACCCGCACCGCCAGATCGTCCGGGCCGCCAGCGTCGAAGAGCGACGACGGGACGTTTCCGCGAAGATGGGAGGGACATGAGGAGCAGGTACGCGTGCAATGGATGCCGTAGGCTCGTCCGTCGTCGCGGGGAGCGGCCCCCGCCCTGCGAGCCCGAAGAGAACGCGCTCGGGCGCGCGCGGCGATGCCGCCGTCGCCTTCCGTTATGACCGAGGGTTTACTGCACCCGCCGCGCGCCGTCCTTCCCACGAGCCCGTGAGTTCTTCTGAGTTTCTCCCTGGCCAGGCTCGCCTCCGCCTCCTTTTCCATTTTCTAGACATCCATCGGTCCCTGTGGCAGAATTCAACGCAGCTCGACGGCGCGCACGCACCTGCGCCCGTGCGCGGTTCCCTTGGAGCCTTGCGCACCCGCTCTCCTGATCACAAATTTTAACCCCCCCCCCCCCCCCCCCCCCTCGTTCTTCTCAGTGTGCGCCGCCGCGCTCCCCGCGCGCGCGCGGGCTCCCACAGCGCGCTTCGCCGCGCGCCACGAGGGGCGCGCATCGCGGCCGTAGAAGCCCTCGGCCGACGTACGCAGCTGCGGTCTCTCGCGAAGCACCGAAAACTGACCGATGTCCGCGCGCCCATACGCCTCATAGTGAAGCACCCCGCTGGAGAAGAACCGCGTGCGCGCCGTCGAGCGAGGGAGCGAGCGAACGCTTCGGGGAGCTCTCAGCGTGCGCTGGAAAGGACACCAACAGATGATGCCCGTAGTGACACTAGCCAACATCACGGCTCGACTCTCCTCTCTCCGCCCGCTCAAAAAACGCCTAGCGTGGCCGTCGCGAAGCCGACGCTAGCTGGGTCGAACCTCTCAACGTCAACGTTCAAGAATCAAAACCTTCAACTCTCCAGAGCAGCGCTGCGCGCTAGCCTCGTCCGGAGGCGCCTTGTCCCCTTTCCGGGCCTCCCCTTGTAATTACTTGCTCGCCCCGTGCCTCGGCGCTGGCGGCCGCCGCGCGCGCCATCCGGCCAGCTTCTTATGAAAGCACCCACCCCTCGAACCGGGAACTTCGAAAAGCCTGCAGTCAAATCTGACATCGAACGAGCAGGCTAGAACCGGCTCAAAGATCAGATTCGTGTGCGCGCGGGGAGGGGGCTTTGAGGGGGCGGGAGTAGTGCACGCCCGGCCTTCAGGCAGGCTCCAGGAATCAGGATATCAATGGCCGCGTCTGTCTGCCTCAGCAGAGAGCACACCATGTGCACATACTGCGCGGCGGAGCGAACGACGACGGCTTGCGCTTCTTTCCTTCTGGTGCTGCGAACGTGCGGAGCCGGCGCGACCGACCCTTGCAAGTGCGCACTGGGTCGAGTGGACAGATCAAGGTGCGGCCTTGTTCGACGGCCCCGGGCGCCCGCTGCGCCCAACGATCCGCGTCTAGCACAAAGCAAGTGATGCGCCGCGATGACGTCGCGACCGCCATCGCCCTCGAAGGACGAGATAAGGATATCGAGAATTGCGGGGCACTAGCTACCTAAAGAGACTGAGAGATTAAGGCAGGAGTAAACGACAGTGAGTTCCGACGCTTCGGAGTCGGCGGGGGCGGATGCGGGGGCGGGAGATGTACAGTAACAGCACGGGTAACGCTACACAAGAGTCGGGGTATTAGCGGGTTCTTTAGAGTCGAGAGCAAGTCAGTCAGTCAGTCGTTCGTCGCGTCAGCGTTAAAGCCATCCAATCCGCGCGCGCACCCCCCCGTCCGCTCACGCCGCGAGCGCGACGTGCAGCGGGAGCATCCCCCCGCGCCCGTCGACGACCGGCTGGAGCGTCGGCGAGATCTTCGCGTGCACCTCCGCCGTCGTCTCGTGGAACTCGAGGGCCCGGACGAGCGTCGCGAGCAGCACCTTGAACTCGAACACCGCGAGCCGGTACCCGATGCAGTTCCGCGGGCCGTCGCAGAACGTCACGAGCCCGCTCCACCCGTGCGGGAGCGCGCTTGGGGGCGGCACGCCGCCCGGCGTCAGCCACCGCGCGGGGTCGTACGCCGCCGCGGTCGGCCCCCAGACCGCGGGCGCGACGTGCATCGTCGTGAACGGGATGTGGAACACCTGGCCGGCGCGGACGCGCACCGAGCTGAGCGTCTCGCCGGAGGCGGTCTTGATGGGGATGCTGAGCGGGATGACGTCGTCGCGGAGCGCGACGCGCTCGGTTTGCGGGGACGCGGGGTGGAGGCGCAGGCTGGCGAGCAACGTGAGTGACGCCGGCAGAAACGGGAAGACGGGGACGAGACGCACCCTTCCTTCACGACGGCGTCGAGGAAAGGCAGGCGCTGGACGTCGTCGTAGCTGAGATCGCGGCCGGTGCTGCGAATCTCTTCACGGAGGCGCGACTGCACGTCTGGGTGGCGGGCGAGCTCGAGAAGGGTGAAAGCGAGCGAGCCCGCAGTGGTCTCGTGCCCGACCATGATAAAGGTGTTGACCTGCTTGACCGTCAGTCTTGCCCCAAACCCAACCCCCCACAGCACTCACATTGTGAACGATCTGCTCCTCGGTGAGCTTCGCGCCGCCGCCGGCCTTCTCCTGCTCCTTCTGGGCCTTGAGGAGGATGCTCATGATGTCGCGGCCCTTCTCGCTGACGACGCCGCTCTCGAGCAGGCGCATGCTCAGCTTCGTCGTGATCTCGCGGATCCGCCCGCCCGCGCGGACGCCCTCGACGGGGAGCTTGGTGAGCAGCGCGGTGACGAACGGCACCGCGCGGAGGACGAGCATCGCGACGAAGCCCTCGAAGCCGAGGCCGGTGTTCACGTGGCCCTCCCACGACGCGCGGATCGCTTTGGCCTCGGCCGACTGGCCGGCCTTAAAATCGTGTCCGAACGCTACGCGGCCGATGATGTCGAGTCTGTTGAGGCGGATGTTATATCCAGAGAGGTACGCGAGGGGGGATAGCGCGGACTCACGTAGCGGTGGAGACGTATTCGAGAATGTTTACGGTGACGGAGCCACCGGCGGAGAGGACGTGGTTCGTTAGCCTGCTCTCGAGCTGCAGAGTGTGTGCGGCGGGGGCAGTGGAGACGGGGAGGGGATGACGAGAACAGGCTTTCGTAAGCACACGGGCGAGACCCAATATGGGAACAGACTTGCCTTTTCGGAGCACTCTGAGATGTCGTCCGCCATGCCTTTGATGGCCTCCGGTCTGGACGGGAGAAGAGAGTTAGCATGTCGTGCAGCCCGTCCAGTACTTGGTCCGTGCACGGGGGGCGGGCGGGAGGCGACACAGCTCCCGCACCCAGCAGCGGTTTCGCGCAATCTTCCACGCCGCTTACTCAACGCCTGCGCGCGCCCTGGGGCGGCGGAGGCGACGTGCGGCACGGTGTGACAACCGACCATGCCGCCGATTCGGGGAGCTCATCCGTTCTGGCTGCACTCATCGCGCTGGCCCGACGACGGGCGGCGACAGAAGGCAGGGAGCCAGTCCGTCCTTCCGTGGGCACCGCACGAAGGGGGCCCACGAGGGGATAGGGAGAGAGAGGAAGAGAAGGCGCGGACTGAGCGGCCGCGAAAGAAGCACAGAAGCGGAAGATGGCCGCCGCGCGACGCGACGGGCGCAGACCAGAGACGCGGATCCAGGCGGATGTGCGAAGATGGAGCGGAGACTTACGAGAAGGCGGGCGCAAGAATGCGCCGCTGCATTTTGTGGTCTTCGCCTTCCGCCCAGACGAGACCTTTGCCGAGGACGTTGGCCACGGGCGGGCGAAATGCCGGCGACTTCACTGTGGGCAAACACGAAGGCGTCAGACATTGGATTCCGCGCGCGAGAAGGAAGGAAGGGGCCCCGGGCAGCCAGAGCAGATGCTTGCTAGGACTGATGCGCTCCGCGCCGGAGACAGCGAGCAAGGAGCGCTGAAGGGAACAGGCACCGGAAGGCGATTGGGGCTGCGACGAGCGACAGTAGAGTGAATGCATGCGCGTTTTCGTATCCGTGGAAGACGGGAAGCGTGGACAGAGTTCAAGCGTTTGCTCACCGTAGTCTTCGGAGTTCTGGAAGATGTGCTGGACGGCGGCATGGTCCGCGGCCACAATCTGGAGACGCGAAGACGGGCACCTATTCAGCAAACGAACGCACGCGGGGCCCGGGGCGCATCACGCTCCGAACGGTGGAAGACGAGCACGCACGATGTCGGGGTGGAAGAGGGCGCCTTTGACCTTGAAGAAGGGCCCGACCTGGGATGCCCACTTGGTGTAGGTCTCGGTGGCCTGGCCGTGGAAGGTGAGGAGCTCGTGTCCCCAGAGCCAGTGTGCGAGGCGACGGGGCTGGAGAGATGGAAGGATGGCGTCAGAGTGGGACACTGGAAGAACCGGGGGCCGAATGGCGGAAAGATGGGTGCCCGAGGAGGAGAGACAGGATCGGGTAAGCGTGGAAGGCGGACGTACCGCGCTGGGAAGCTTGGAGAGGTCCTCGCGCCGGTTGTTGGAGAGCCAGCGGACGATGTAGAGGAGGCCGACGAGGGAGAAGCCGAAGAAGGCGGGCGAGTGGAGGAGGGCGGACATGGTAGGGGAAGGCAAGGGGACTGGAGGGGGAGGAGAGAGAAGGAGCGGGCAGGGTCGGACTAAGGAGCGGGAGGGGGATGAGAAAGGCTAGGGCGGAAGGAATTGGGAGTAAGAGGCGGAATTTGCAGCGGTGGTTGGGCGCACGGGGGGCGGGGGCGGTCGAGCCTCGTGCGGCCATCCCAGCTGCGACGACGGGCGGCGGCGGCAGAGGCCCGACGCTGGCGGGTGAAGGGTCCACGCAGGGTCGGCGGTCACGCTTGCTGCGAAGGAGTGACTGGATTGCCGGCCTCGTTGGCGGTTGGCGGTCGGCCGCGCCCGTGGTCTGGATCTCCCCGATCCCCAGATCACCCTCCCCAGATTCCTCCGTATCCCCGGCGTTTACCGACCAAAGAGCTAGAGCAGGCCATCGTCTACACAGGGCGCGACGGCGGATTCGGTGGCAGCCGCCTGCCGTACAAGGTACAAGCGCGGGGGTCAGAAAGGACAGAGGGCGGGGCCGCGCTTTGTGCGCTTCAGGGTTTAGACTCTAGAGTGCGCGATTGGCGGGAGGACGCACACGGGCCGTGCGAGCAGTCGCGGGGGAGACTGGTGGGCGCAGAGTGAAAGGGAGGACCGATTGAGGAAGCCGGGCCCAAGGTGCACCCAGCTCGCATGGGCGCTTGGGCGCTCGGGCAGGCGTGGGACGGTTCTGATCTGCTTTCCCGGCAGCGCTTTCCTCCCATACTCAGCCCACGCTCTCTGTCCACTTAATATCCCCCATGGCCCGCCCGAGAGCCCCAGAGCAGCCCCCGCTCCTCCGCACCCGCCCCCGTCTCACTCCCCCTCTCTTCCGCCCCTCCCCTCCCCGCCTCACACCATGCCAGACTGGAACTCTGTCGAAGAGCTCACGCTCGATGGCGGTATGTCCACTTAGGCTCCCTCTTCTCCCGTTCTACCTAACACAAATCGCGTTCCTTAGCCATCTTCCTCAAGGTTATGCACGCCCTCGCCGGTCTTTACTTGTCCGTCGCTCTCCTTCCCTCCCCTCCGACGCGTCCTCACCTCCCCCGATAGCTGGGAAGTCGTCACCTCCCTCGACTACGACTGGTCTTTCCTCACCGGCAAGAGGCGCTTCCACTACCCGGCCGTCAGTCCCCTTTCGCTTATCCTCCCTCGCGAGTCCTGACGTCCGCTCCAGGTGTTCTACTTCCTCAACCGGTACTGCCTGCTCTTCACCATGATCGGCATGTAAGCATCCCTTCCACCGTCCACTGCGCGATCTGTGCTCACTCGTTATTATAGTTTGATCGCCCTCGACACCACCGTGTTCGTCCCATTAACACTGATGTGCCGTCAACCCCGCGCTGATCCTGGGATGCAGTGAGATCAACTGTCAATCGCTCTACACCTTCAACCAGATCATGGGTCAGGCCGCCTCGGGTTTGGCTAGCATCAACCTCTCCATCCGCACGTACGTCTCTCTCTTCCCCCTTTGAATCGCCCCGCTCACCCACATCCCAGCATCGCTCTGTGGTCACACGACAAGCGCATCATCGTTCCTCTCGTGATCATCATCCTCGGCCACTGGTCCCTCATCCTCCAGGGTGTCCTCCTCACTGCCATCTGGGTCCCTGGACAAGGCTGTGTGGTGTCTGGAACCAATAACACCATCCTTGCTGCGACATTCATTTACTCCATGGCCTTCGACCTCGTCGTCCTCCTCTTGAGCATGTACAAGCTCGTCCTCGGCGTTCGCGGCGGTCGCTCCCAGCTTATGTCCCTCCTTTTCAAGGACGGTCTCGTGTACTTCTTCATTGCGTGCGTTTCCGATCTGGTGTCAGACGCTCTGCCGCATCGACTGACCTGGGACTTGCAGCTTCTTCTCCAACCTCTTGGCCGTCGTGTTCATCCTGCTCAACCTGAACGCGATCATGAGCGTCATCTTCAATGTACCCGCCGCGATCTTCTCCACCATCGTTGCCTGCCGCGCCGTTCGTCGTCTCACCAACTTCGCCAACAAGGGACCCGAGGTCTTGTAAGTACTCGAATGGCGAGCCGCACACGATGTACTCACGCGGCTGTTTGCAGCGTCAGCACTGGTAACAGTTTCCGCGCCGCCCCCATGGGCACGACTCCCACCGTCCCTGTCGGTTCCCGCGGCACGATGAAGAGCAACAAGGGCGAGGGCGTCCACGTCCAGGTCAGTCGTCATTTGCGGCACAAATCAACAGCACCTACTCATAGCAGCTCCAGATGCAGACGTTCACCATGGCGGACGACCACCTCTCCGAGTACGACGCCGGCCAGAAGACGCAGATCCCCGACCTCGAGACCGGCGACGTCGAGATCAGCCGCGAGTTCAAGCGCCCGCCATACTGAGCTGCGCGCGCCTCCTGCGCCCTCGTCCACCCGCCCCGAGGCGGGGGTGACAGCTAGAGGCGGGGGCGCGTGTTCGCTGCGCACGGCGCTGGTCCGCCTGTCGGGGCCAGGGGCCGCCGACGCGCGCGAACTGCTGCGCCCCGCAGGGGCCCGCCTCTCGGAGCGTTTAGTAGAGCTCCCGGGGGCGCGCCGTGGGTGGCGAAGTTCTTTGCTGGATCTTCTTACATTACAGCCCCTCCCGTCTTGCATACCTTACACATGCTCTTCGCGCACGTCCCCCTTCCGTGTTCGCGTGGGGGGAAGTGGGTACGCCGACCCCTCCTCCAAGCTCACCGCTTCTTCGCCGTCGCCGTCGCCCGAAAAAAGAAAGTTAAAAGAAGTTCATATACCTTGTCGATCGTCTCAATACCATTCACCCGTCGTTCCGCTGCACCTGCCACCTGCTCTCCCTTGTACGTCGTTGCTGTGTATAAAGTGCACATTTCCCCCCGTATCCGTCTCCGTCCTCTGGTGCTCTCGCCGTGGATCCCCCTTTCGTGCGCGTGTGGATCGCTCATCAAACCTCTTCTTTTGCCTCTTCCGGTCCCTCCTTTCTACCCCTCGCACGTGGCTACGAATTGCCTCCGCCCCTCCCTACGGATATTCGCCCACGGAACACTGCGGCCACCCAACCCGGACCCTTCGCCTCCCCCACGATTGTATGTGCTGCGCGCGCCCCCACGGCTCGTCCCCCGCGACTGCTCTTCCCTGCCGTCGCCGTCCCCAGAACACGCGCACGCGCACCCCCACCGTCCTTCTCCGCCTCGGCTGTCGCTCGTTTCCCCCCTGGCATGTTGCATTGGTCCCGCTATCTTCGTCGCATTGTCGTGTGCTCCCGTTCCCCCGTACATACATCTGTCCGTCCGTTCATCCCACCGTTCGCATCCGCATCCGCATCCATCCGTAGATACTGCACGCTCCCACTCGTTCTCGTCCTCCCATGGGTATATAGAAGGTAGACACCGCGTCGCTCGCTATCGTTCGTATATTGCTGTACCCTTGAGCCGGATAACCCCGGCGTTCCGCGCAGCTTCGCGCCCGTCCACGTCCACATCTTCATCTTCTCTGCGTGCGCTGCGAAGGGCCGAGGTACACGCCCAATGGTCGGATATAACTCAGGACATCCGGTAGCGGAAATATCTCACGAGATCGTTCTGATTCCCCACTCGTGTCAGACTGGAACTGCCGCACCTATGTTTTTGTACTTGTCGCGTGAAACATTCTGAATGGACATCGCTCCATCACTGTGGTGTGTCGGCACTGTGTCTAGTGATGAGCCCCAGGACATACCGTCAGAACCCCGACCGAAATGTCCCAGTCATGACATTACCAAGAGGGCACCGCGCACATGGCATGATAGTGAACATGTAGAAACGGTACTAGCAGGTGTATTATCGGGAATGGTATGCAGTATCGTGCGACGATCAGAGGGAGCATGCAGGCAGTATGCAGTGTGCAGATGCGAGAAAGCTACGTACTGAAAGCGATAATAGTGCAAGTGATGTAGGATGGACGGAGCATGTGCGGGGAGGTATGGTGGCGTGTACACAGTGTGATTAAGGAGATGCTATACGGAGTCGGCGTGATGAAGGGATATGGACTCTGACACTGAAGGCATGTACCGTTGGACGCGATCGTCGAGACTCAGAGCTCTGAGGAACAAGTCGATGAGTGGACAACTCAGTCGTACCACAGCATGGCCTGCTCGATGGTCTCTTGCCACGGGAATGGGGTCGACTCGACAACGGTGAGCGGAGAGGACCCAGCGCCTTTGGGCTTGTACTTCTCGAGATCGGATTGCAGCTGCTCATTGAGATACCTGCATCGAAATCGAATCAGTGTCCGAAAAGTAACACTATAGACCGGATCCTGACCTCTGCCACGCACGGGCCTGATTCTCGTTGTCGTCCTTGTAGAGGTAGCTGATGTGACTCCTCTGGTGGTTCAACTGGGCATCGATATATTTCCAGAGCTGGTTATGGTCATATTCGCCCACCGCGGGTGCTTGAGGTGCTTAAGAATTGTCGCCAGCAGTCGGGGGCACAGAGCGGCGTTCATTTGTGTTGGAGGTGCCGGACGCACCCTGCTCGTCGTTGCCGTTGCCGTTGCCGTTGTCGTTGCCGTCACTGCCGGTTGTGGGGGTGGGCGACGGCTGAGAAGGTGCGTGGTTGGGGCACTTGTGCGCCTCATGCAGACCGGTGAAGAAATCGACCACCAACTGCCGCTACAATTCGATGTCAGCACTGGAGAGTAATATTGATGAAGTGCGAAACGTACCAGCACAGCAAACCTGAGCAAATGGGCATTGGTTATCGCGACCGAGGTGTTCTTGGGAATCAACGACTGCGCCAGCTGTACGAGATTCTTCGGTTTCCCGATCTTCCAGTCATGCTTGACTCCAGGCGGCAACTTAGAGCCGAGCGATTTCAAGATCTGTGCTCAGGACGATAAGTACTGGAAGCCCGTCAAGCTGGAGCGTACTCACCTTCTGGCGAATGACCCCACGAGCTCGTGCATTCAATAAAGCAACCTTCCCAGCGGCCTTCTCGAACACGCCGTAGTGTTCGTGGATGTCAAGAGGGAGGCCCATACTCCCAGGATGCATCCTCATGAGATTCTGGAGTGGGGCGATTGGCTCAAGCGGGATTCAAGATGCTAGACACATACCGTGACTCTGTCTTGCGTCTGGTCGAGGTAAGAAGGAATATTGGGAGCCAAGAAGCATACTTGAATGCGGTAGGAGAGTGAGATCTGCCATATCGGTTGTCGCGACAATTGTGCTCAGCCTTGCGGCACGTGCTATGAAATGGATAACTCACCTCGAAGTCGCCCGTCATGACGTGCTTAAGGAGATCGTCCCGGCGATCATGCTTCCTGCTCAGCATGGAATCAGCCTTGAGATGGATTAACATGTGGGCAGGACTTGGGAGCTAGGTAATGGTTGTTAACTGCACCAGTTGGCAGAGAGATGAGCAAACAACTGACCTCTGCAAAGCGCATCAGCTCCTCCCGGTCAACCCCAGCGCTAGTGGCGACCGCGTTCGCTTCGTCTCTGTGACGCTTTCGCTGAACCTCAGTGTAGTTGTCGTCGCTGGGTCGTGGGCGTCGTAGAGCGACATTCATGATAGGAGAGTCGAGGAAAAGCGGGGTCCGCTCCAATTCACCTCGGAGTTCGTTGCGGACGGGGCTGAGGGGAGCGTCGGGGCCCCCAGGAGTCGCAGCATCTTGATCTCGTCCTTGCGTGGACGGGGGCGGGTTTGCGGTGGCGCGCTCGAAGATGCTAAGCATGGGATGAGAGCAAAGCACAGGCCGGTGCAGACAAGGGACATGACGGTGGACGGAGGGGGGGAGGACATCCGCGACGCGCGCTGGAGAAGTGTCTTGTTTGTCTGTATTTGCCTGCCCCGTAAAATGCGCCAAGACGTAAGTGTTGGAGTCGAAAGTGAGCACATTCCTCAAGGCTTTGAAGAACATGCAAGAAGCACTATTTTTTATGTCAAAGAACTACATATTAAAGAAGGCTTCCCGGATTCTGAACGTAGTTTACATCGTGTTCATAGCTGTGATATGCATCCGACGAAGATGCTTCCCAAACTTGAGTTTGCGTGGTGTCGGGAGGGCGAATGAACGGTCTACCGAATGAATGGTGAGAGTCATCAGAGGCTTGGAAGACACTCTGTCTGTGAGGCTGCTGGTATGGGTGTGCTACACCGGCACCCAGCGGGCGCAGCGACGAGTCGGGCCGATACATTGCCGGACGTAGATGTGGATTTGGAGATCGCAGTTGCTGACCGAAGCCCTGCGCCGACGGTACCGAATAGCCATGTGAATTGGAGTAACTCATGGCCAGTGTGCTGGCAGGGGGCGGATGCATGAAGTGAGTCGGATGGGGTTCTGGACTTCCCGCACCGAAGAAACCTGCCGATGACAACTGCAATAGATAGAAGCTTTGCTGTGATGGCATACGTGGTAGTTCTTGCTGCGCCTGGAAGTCTGAAGGGTGTGAGACGGATTGTACGTGTCCAGAGTGCGACGAGAGACTCCCAAAATCGGCCCTGTAAGCACGCTGCATGTGCTCGCTGCGATAGTAGCTAGTCGAGCCTGATGGTGAGGCGGCGAAGTTCCATGGTTGGATCTGGAAGCGTGAAAGACGCGGAATGGATTGCGCGTGGTCTGGGTGTGGTGAAGTACCCGCAAAATTGCTTCCATAAGCGGGCTGCACCTGCTCGCTGTGGTAGCGGGTCGAAGGAAGCATGGCATCTGATGGTTGGCCTGGAACCTGCAGGTGTGAAGGATGTGCCAGAGCGGATTGCTCATGGTCTAGGTATTCAGATTGATCCGCAAAATAAACCCTATTGTGAGCAGTTGATGTTCGCTCGCTTTGGTAGCGAGATGAGACGAGTGCCACGTTGGCAGCGTTGTGCCATTCGGGAAGTAGACAATCTTGTGTCATCCCCGATGCGTGCGGAGCGGCCAAGGTCGTCGAGCTCGATGCCCAGGCCGTGGAACACGTTGTATACGTCTTCACCGAGCTCGACTCGTTCAAGAAAGTTTCTAGCGGAGCGAGCGAGGAGGCGCTTGATGAGAGGGAAGGCTGTTCATTTGAACTACGCTGCTGTGAGAACGATGGAGGGTTGATCGGTGCCAGCAGATCGGATGTGCCAGTGGCTGAGACTTGAGGTGATCGACTACCAGAAACACTAGGATCACCGCATTGAAGTGAAGGCTGGGTCTGCTAGATGAGCATGATCAGTTTACAGTGTAATAGCAAATTTATTCAGGGCAAACTCACAGACATCGAACTGAGGGGCTGCTGATCGGAGTGCTTGTGTGCACCAGCCTTGGTACGGCTGCCACTGCTGACCGATTTCGGCGTCTTGAGCGCTGCCCGCTTCTTCCGAGGGGCTCGTTCGAATGGTAACACAGTTAGAATCGTATCATCTTCCGGCGCCGGAGTTTGTTGCTGCTCGTTGAGGGGTTTAGACTTCTTTTTCCGCGCTATGAGATTCTGGACAGCCTTTTGACGAACATCAGCTACGTCTGCTTCTGAGACACATGGAGTGTCTAGCTGTAGCCTTAATGCGGGAGGAAGCGCAGATCGGATGTGGTCGTAGTTGTGAATCGAATGAGTATTGAGTATGTACGCGTTCGTCTCGTTGTGCTTGATGACCGCGCGCGTCCTCGTAGACTTCAATCTTTCCTGAAAGACTTGAGAATTCTCGAAATTATTGCACTCCGAGCCTGAGCAGTCGTGCTGGAGATTGATGACGCAAATTATGTCCTGCGGATGATGCAAAGAGACCTTCACAAGGAGAAAACATACAGCATAGAGCGAGGACATACCGATGCGGGAAGTACACACTTTTGAGTGGACATGAAAAGCCGTGGAAGACGAAGGCGATGGTGAAGGGTAGGTAAGAACTCGTGGAAAGTGACAAGGACGTGCGATGCGATATTCTGTCCGGAGTTCATGGGGACGAGAATCTCTTCTATCCGAGCTGGGGAGGTTTTCGACTGCACATGGAAGTATTATATTTCGATTTGGAAGGGTCCCTGGCAGTACGAGAGTGGCATACCTGGTCGTCATCACACGCCGGCGCCGCCTTCACCAACACATCTCCCCCCACGGCAGCAACGTCCCTATTAGTAACAACAACTGCCCGAGCAACGCGGAACCTTTGTCCCGAGAACTGAGCGTACGCGGCTGGATCCTGGCCCTTCAGGAAGCGACCAGTGTGTGTATTGCTCCATATCTTCACGCTAAGCCCGGCCGAGTCTGGTACAAGTCTTGATGTTCCTGCAGCGGGACTAACCTGTTAATGGAATGTACGCACACTATAAACTTCGCACATACCAATCAACTCGTCTTCACACGATTCGGGCAACCCAAGGATCCGGCAATGGTTCGGATGATCAGCGATATAGCGTAGCACCGCTGATCCTGCGCGCATCCATTTGTGGTTTACGGGATCCCTCCAGAGCCCTCCAGTCACGATATGCTTGACAATATCATTGAGCGCAAACGATCTGCATGCATCACGACTTGGGGCTTGGCGATTGCTATAGACTGAGGCGAGGCGGAAGATGTGATTAAAACTCTCGTACCGCTCCGTGGAGAATACGATAGCAGGTCCGAAACGGCGAATGTATGCAGGAAGATGAACGAGAAAGTGAAATTTCGGTTTGAGGAGGAGAATGCTGGGCGAACACTGTGCTGTGAGATTGAGGAAGTCTTCAATGGTTCGTGACAAGTTGGCCTGCATCATCAATTAGAGCCGGCGAACGTCAGTCACATGACTTTCGACGCACCAGGTACGTCTCGAGATCTTCTATGGTTGTGTGCCACAGAAGTACAACAAGTTTTCCGATGACATACCAGGCGTCAAGCACTGACATTGGAACGAGGTCGTAGATGAGAAATGTCATTACTTGTGCGATGCTCTTGAAATGCTTTCCGATAAGGCTACCCTTGTATCGAACCATATACTCAGCATTGAGACTCGGCACGTTGAGTCCTTCAACGTTGACAGAAGCAAGGCGAGTTTGAAACAGGTCTAAATGATTGCTCTTGTCGAGGATGTGCATGGTCTGGCCCCAGAAATATTTCACCACTCCGAGAAGCACGGTGTGCAGAATCTCAGTCGGGGTATCGAGATGGATGTCAACACCTACAACTGCTTTTCAGACATGATCATCATACCGGTTGTGCACCGCGAAGTGAATCATACCTGGCATTCCTATCAAAGGATTTATGTGGCTCTCAATCTCGGTGCCGTGTAGCGCGTTCTAAAGGGCTTCTTCGAGGTTCTTGCGCACTTCGTTTTCGGGCAGTGCTAGTGTACCGGCAGGACGCTTCCGAAGTTTTTTTCCCAGCTCCACAACAGAACTGAGGATGGCCGTCGTGGTGGAATCTTTCACCCCAGTCGCCGTTACGCCATCCTTCAACTTGTTTCCCGACAAGAACGTCCCGCTGATCTGTCGTCTGACCTCTTCAAGTGTCTTTGCCGGAGTACGAGGTTCACACTCCTATAAATGATTAGATATACGTACTATTCTGAATCAGAACTGATGAAAACGAGAGTACTGACTTGGAATATCTTCGCAAAGCCTTCTGCAGTCATTTTCTGGGCCGTCGTACCACCGATAAAGCACGTGCGACAAAAATAATTACAATTGAGACCGGCATGGCAGCATTCTTCCGCTTGCATTGGATTGTCACCTGCAAAGAATAGTCCGTAGGGCTGTAGTAGCACTTCCTCGTCGTACTTGCAGTCCCATGCTTCAACCCCAGCCTCTGCGGCCTGACTGAAATCGACGCATCGTCCAAATGGTCAGCCACACGAGCAACAGTTGTGCGACCTGAGAGCACTTACCAGATTGACTCTTTCATCGCAGCCATGAGTTCCATAGGGGAGGCGTGTGGAGATGCGGTGACAAAGCGAACACAGAATTGTTTCTCGAGCATCTCACGAGAGAGGCTTGCGTTCGACATATAGATTACGTGGTGCTTATTCCACTGCTTGGAGATGTTTCCAGAAACGTCGTCCATGAAGACGATCAAAGGAACGGCATAAACCATTCGACCTTTCGCCTTAGCGCGAAGCGGATTTGGCATCTTAGCAGCATATGTAGATGAGCCATCTGCGCAATACCATGAGTCGCAACACACACCGTTTAAAACAAGTAAATATACCTTCAAACCCCGCCAACATTTTACCCTGTTCAACGAGTTCGGCGTATGAGAGATCGAACCAGGAGATGGGCGCGATGACGCGTCTTGAATCAACCTGATATTTTCCCTGCAATAGTATCTTTCAGTTGCCATTCGGACCTCCGAATGACGGAAGAAGCCTCACGCCTGGAAGTACAGTGACCTCGCGCACGAGAGCGTGAAGCTCATGGTCCACCTTGACGCTCTGGCTCCGCTCTGAAGGCTCCACAGGTGCATAAAAGAACCGTTCGGGGATATAGAGTGTGCCGTGAATAGTCTGCAGTAGTTCGTTCACAAAGAAAATGTGTCCGCGCACTCGAACGGCAGGTGAGGAGAGTTCATCTGGAAGATCCTGAAGCATTTTAGAGCCGTCGTGCACCTGGGATACGGAATTCGCATTTGCGCGAGGGTAGTCTGTCATAGCGTATCTGGTGAGTGGATTAGAGAAGTCCTGGGCCGGTTATCCATAAGTATCCGAGAGCGACGAGCTGCGGAGAAATAATGTGTTATACCTTTGCAATGGCAGCGCGGACTTCGTTCATGTAAAAAATATTGCCGGCCAAGGATACAACCTTGCGAGTGATGTTGTGGTCGAGTTCTCGGATAGCAGTGTCTGCTTTCTTCAAGGCGTACATGGACGGCACATCAACGGCGTGCATCGCCTTTCCCCAGCTCAGAACAGCTCGTTTTTGCGCGTCCGAGAAGCGCAGCGTTGTCGAACTAAACAGAGTATGCGTAAGGAATTCCTAGACCGAAAGGTGTCAGAAGTAGGATATAAGAATCACACGCTGGGGCACTTACCGCCATAGACGACCAAGGATAAGCCGGGTTCTCGGCCGGAGGTTTTATTTGTCCTGACGTGCATGCACATCGAGATCCCGCAGCATGCACCCCGCAACATGTGTCTGACAAGGGTAGATGGGAAGTAAGTCGTGTAGATCAAGCGAGTGGACACAAACTTCAGAGAGCTCCTACCTTCTTGAATCTGCGAGGTATGAAGAGCGTCCATGCATCCATCATCAAGGTCACCAATCTCGTTGTTGCATGACAGATGTATTCCGGGCGAAAAGCGTGTTTCCCGGTGTTCGCCAGAATTGGTAGTGTCGAGAGCATCCGCAAAGAGATCGAAGAACTGGAACGTATCGTCCAACTCGAACACTTGTGCATTAGAGTTGGCCCACACTCGAGACATGAGCCCATCTTTGTCGTTCTGAACTGCAGAAACACCTTGCCACGGTGTTTGAATGGAGCAGTCGCTATTTGTTGGAGGTTGAATGCGGTGTATATTCGTCGGTAGGATATCAGAGGTGACGACAAACGGAGAGCGGAGCATTGTGGGAGCACAAATTGTAGCAGGGCGATCCATCACGTTTTCTCGCGTGTCTACTTCCATAGGAGACGCACCAATCCGACGAGTCGCAGTGAGAAATGAGGATGACCGGCATGAGCTGCTGACGTCTCGGAATTTGGAGTTGCGGCGCTGGAGCAGTCGCGCTCGTTTGTGTTGGGTCGAGTGTGAGTGAGAAACAGCATTTTTTGCCAGCATAGTGGGCCGAGTGCCTTTGATGGAACATGCGGGACATATTGCACATCGAACCTCTTGCCCGCGCAGTCGCACAAACTCTGGCCAGAGCGGGGACGACATGAATCAGCATCCTGAAAGTTCAACAGCAGGAAAGTGTTGTCACCTCGACTTCTAACAAGTTCTCCGATAGTTTTTGGTTCGTCTTTCATATTGATGGTTGAACGAGGAGCGGGAGACGGTCGCACTCAAGAGCGCGACCAGCCTCTTGCTGAAGGCGCCAAAATCGGACGAATGATCATGTGCTGCGAAACCGGCCTGAAAGCGCTGGCGCGCAAACCGGATTCGGACACTGCTGGCCTCTCACTCTCTCTTGCGTTCTCACCATGTCAAGTTTCGCCGTCCACTCCTCCATCCTTGACCTTGATGTCAATTCCACAGGATCTCTACGACATCCTGTTGACCTTCACCTTTCACTCCTTGGTCACCTTCCGGCTGATTTACGCAACCGCAAACTAGTGAGTGTCTCATCGAGTCTAATCCTCGAGTTTTGACTGTGCTGACCCCCACCACCACAGCCCCTCCACATCGCTGTCTTCCTGCCTGTTGAATACGCCTCTCACATATTTCCACTCTCTTTCATATCCGCTACGGCTTCACCCAATCCACCGGGAGTAGAGATACACAGTGAGGCTGAAACGGCCCAGGTATGTGTCGCGATTCCTCATGTGTTTCAAGACTGTTAATTCTCGTTCAAGATTGTAGAGCTTCTTCACGGAGCTCCCCCTCCCTTCCTTCCAATACCGTTTACTTTCAACCCTCGTAACGGGCAAGACTGGCAGGCGATGTCGGCGCAGATCAGTGACTGGCTCCTCTCCCAAGTCCAAGATCGCTCTTCCGCGCTCTGGATTTGGGGCCGGGAGGCGTTCTGGATCGCGTTCATCGCTGCCCATCCCTTGTTCCCTGCGGGCGAATGGCCACGATGGTCGCCTGATATCGCGCTTGACGGTGTATTTGTTCGTCACTGGGTATATAACATGGACCGTAGACAAGTGTTCGGTGGTTCATACGATGTGTATGGCGAGCTTTGGGCTCGTTTCAGATACCATGTCTCCATTGTTTTGTAGAAGCATCCTCCTTTATACCTAGTAGTTTTGTCTGTGCCGCCAACAGTGTCCACCTCGTGTTTACCCTGACGCCGTTATAGCCATGCGATGAACAGTTAACACAGATACAATATCTCACATACAACTCCTGAAGATCTCGCATTAATAGATTGGCATGTTTCTTGACCGATGCATCACGATAAATTGCCAAAAACATACGACTACATTCGGATGATATCTCGTATGCTCCAACCGGTACCTTGTCCATATGTGAAACAGGATACTGCAGAAACATCCCTGCGTGCCTCCAGGTTGAGGTCTGGCCCGATATGGTGCTTCATCAGTCGTACATCCTGGCAAACCCCGCACAATCTTCAGGTGCGCAAATCCAGTCGATCTATTCTAGGATATAATGGTCGATTGGACGTGTAGTGCATGGAGGGCGCGCTCCGCAAGCCTGCGACATCCGTCTGCGGCTCCCGCGTCCCCGCGACGAATGCTCTCGGCCGACGCCCCGAGTCTTCCGAAGCCTCGCGTCTCTCGGGAATCAACCGCAGGCAGCCTGCGCAGGCCTGCGCTCACGGCCGTGGCGAGGACTCGAGCCAGCGTCGCGGCTCCGAGAGCGGTGCGCGCGGTGTATAGTAGTAGTGCACGCCGTCGAGTGACATATGTACATGGGCTGGTTCTCGCGGCATCGACGTTCTATGTGCCAAACCCGCCCAGTACTTGCCGAGCTGCTCGACCGTGACGCCGTCGGTCCGAGCGTGTGAAAGCGTTGGGACATAATTAAACGATCTTCAGGGTATAATTGGCCGGCCCCGGCCGCACGGTTCGATCGGGCGCTTGTCCATGAGCGCACCGCGAACCCGATGGCAAGTCCTGGACAGTGGGAGACGAGCTAGTCACTCGACGGTCGACCTCTGAGACCGAAGGTTGATGCGACGGGAGGGCCCTCCGAATTCCGTCGAGAAGAATGACCACACGGGGTCAAGCCGTCCAGCGAAAAGGAGGACCGTCGGCAAAAACTGGAGATCTTTCTGCGCCCACAAGCGAGGACGGCGCCAGGCTCGATCGTTAGGCTAGTTCTCTGCAATCAGCCTCGGCTTGCGCTCCGCGCGCGCACGCTGCCGTTGTTTGCGAAGACGAGAAACAAACTTTGATGTCCCGCCAGCGAACGAGAACGTTCTCGTTCGCGTGACGCCTCGAGGACCGGCCGCTGAGAGTTTGGAAATCGCGGGCCGTGGATTCGAATCCGAGCGCGACTTCGACGTCGACGTTCTGTTCCGTTCTGTTAGGCTGATCTGTCCCCGTGTGCCCATCGCTTCCCTCCGCTCGGAAGAAGGCCTCGAGGAGAGTCGGACGACAGACGTCCAAGTGCGAGCCCGGCACCAGCGCCCCCGGTGCGCGCGACGGCCGGATTCCCCGTGCTGCCGCAACGGGCCTTCGCGTACGGCAGCGACGCGCACGTCGGTGCTGTCCAGCGTCCAGCGTCCGTCGCCCGCGGAACCGCCCGCCTGCGCCGTGCGGGTGCCTTGCAAAGCCGTAACGCAAGCGCAGAATTACGGCGCGCGCGAAGTCTGTGCGCATCATGAAGTCGGACCCCATTCCCAGGACGACCGAGCGCACGCCCCCGCGCGCAGAGGGAGGAGGAGGGCCGGCGCTCGGGAGCGTTTTGAGGGTGGCAAGGCCCAGGCATCGGGAGGGGCGGATCGCGCGCTAGGCCGTAATCGGCGGTTAGCTTGTCCTCGGGGGGCGATCTCAGATAGACGCCTTGGATGTCGGGCACTTGACCGGCGTCTAGCGGCGTCTGCTGCCGGCTCGAGGAAGAGGACAGGGAGAGAGCATCTGCTCACAGATGATGCGCGCGCGCCCTGGCTGGGTCTGAGGGGCGTCAGCGCGTCTTACGAGGCGGAGGAGAGGGGGGGATATGTGGTTGTGTCGTCGCTGTCGTGCGCGCGTCCGAGGAGCGGTGCGAAATGCCGTCACGGGGCGCTCTGGCGTCCCAAACCAGACGCGGCCTGCGCTCAAAGCGGGCGGCTTGACTCGACTGTGGACGGCTGGAGGCGTAGGCGTATGCAGCACGGAGATTGACGGCCTGCGTCGATCTTCGGCAAGCACTTGTGGGTGCACCGTCGCGGCACCGACATAGCTTCGGTGGACGACGAGAGGAAACGAGGTCTGGGGTCAATGACCGTGCGCGATGAAGCGAAGATCAAGTGGGATCGGCGACTCTGGGCCGACATTTGAAAACACGTTGCTTGCGGCGCATGCAGTTCAAAGCAAACAACGCAGACCACGATGGGGCTCGGAGATGATGATTGCCATTTTGAATACAAAGGACGAGCGAAATCGATGCTCGCCACAAGTCTACAACTATCGTTCCGGAACCAGTTAGGACATCGATGCACTGGCGGAGTAAAGTTGCTCACCTGAAAGTGTCTACCCCAAAAAAACCTGGTATCGTCGCCATGAGGACCCAAAGGAAAGAGAAGACGAAAGACTTGGCTGCTCTATCTGAGCTGCTCTCGCGTGCGCGGGACGAACACCCATATCGCGAACATCAGCGCCATCATCGCGATCAGCCTGCAAATACAAGCCCGCCCCTGTCAGCCTGCCCCCCATGACGACGTGTGCTGGAATCGCTACTCACAGCGGCTGCAAGCTCCCGATGTTCGTCCCAGACGCGATCGCCCCGGTGACGAACGGGAAGGCGGCGGCGCCCGCGGAGCCGAAGCTGGAGATGTACCCAATCCCGCCCGAGATGAGCTCTGGGGGGAGCACGCGCCCGGAGTGGTTCATGACGATCGGGAAGATGGGCCCGAGGAAGAAGCCGACAAAGGAGACGCACACCGCGGCGGAGATGAGGTGGGGAACGAGCCAGACGACGAGCTCGAGGCTGTGTAGATCGGCTGGCCGTGAGATGGGAGAGACAGTGCCATGGATGGGGAACAACTCACCCGAATGCGAGAGCCACGTAGAGGAAGATGACGCGCCACTCGCCGACCTGCACTTCCAGTGAGGACGGGGAGCAGTGGTTGAGGGGTCGCGAACGTACCTTGTCGTTCACCCAGATGAGCAAGACCCGCCCTAGAGTGAGCCCTGGACGTCCTCTCAGCATCGTGCGTCTCACCCGAAGAAAAAACTCACCGCCCCAGAAGCCAGAGGAGATGTAGCCCGAGCTTCCGCCGCCGCCGCGCTCGTTGATGATGTACGTCACGATCCACCCTGCACACCCGTCGTCAGACCACGGGCCGCGAGAGAGCACAAAACAGCTAGAGAGCACTCGCCTCCGATCGCCACCTCGACGCCGACGTACGTGAAGATGAAGAACGCCATCAGGTGCACCGCGCGGAGGCGGAACACCTGCCTGTACTTGCCCACGCCCTCCTCGGACGCCTTCGTCTTCGCGTGCGGCTCCTGGCCCACCTCTCGCAAGCACTCTGCACCGGGTGCGCGTCAGGGCTTCGAGTCACGATCCGGGGGCCCGCGTCGGCGCACGTACCTTCGGCGGTCCGGAAGCGGAAGACGAGCGCTTGGGTGAGCGCGTTGAAGGCGATGAGCCCGAGGTGGACGAGGTAGACGTAGTGCCACGTGTCGAGCTTCGCGAACTGGGTGGATACGAGCGGGGCGCACATCGCGCCGACGCCGAAGATCGCGTGCATGACGCCCATCTTGAAGGACGTGTCCTCTGAGAGCCCGGCGAGGTACGAGTTCGAGCCCGCGTCCTGCGGGATCAGTTCGCGAAGGCGATGCGGGGTTGGGTGCGAGAGAGCGTACGAGAAAAGCGATGCCAAAGCCGCTGAAGAGGAAGGAGACGACAAAGGCGGGGAAGGGGACCCCGGCGGCTTGGATTGCGTAACCGACCGCGGCGAAAAACGACGCTGGAAAGACATTAGAAGATCCGTGCCCGAGAAATGGAAGAGTAAATTACCGATAATTACCACCTGCGTACCGCATTCGCGTGAGCTCAATATCGCCCCCGAGACTGAGAATCACTCACCCTTCCGAAGCCGAATCGATCTGTGAGATACAAGAATGAAGAGGCGCCGACGAAGAATCCCTGCAAAACGCCGTTATAACATATCCAACAGACATCGCGGGTGACCCACTATACAGTTGACTATGAAAATCAGTGAAACGACGGCATATCCAACCTGGAGATTCCAGTTAGTGTTGACAACACAAGATGGGAAGGACGACACTTGCATGATACACCTCCTGCAAACGAGGGAGCAGCGGTCCTACGGTGCCACTGTCCCACCCCGCAACAAAGATAGACACGCAGAGCGCAAAGAACTGCGCCCAGCTCTTGCGGCGCATCGCAGGGGTGACCGCCCCCGCAGCGTTCTGCAGCACGGGTGGTTGCGGCGGCGCATCCTCGGCCATCAGTTCCTTGTCTAATCCCTTGCCCTTCTCGGTCGTCGGTGTCGTCCGCATCGACGCCTCGAGGTCATGGGGGTCCACCGGCGTGATGGTGGGAGCGGCGGGCATGGTAGTGGGGAACAAGGGCGAGCTGGCGTCGACGCGCGAGCGCGAGGCGTGTCCGCGTACATATAAGCCCAGTACTCGGCCTGACTCAGCCGTGTAGCGAAAATGTCAGGAGCAACCGCACATGACGCCGCGGTTGACCTGAGGCGGCGTGCCGCGTGCGAGATTGCGGGGTCGCAAGGTCAACACACGTCGGCGTGCTGGGCGAGGCGGCGGTTGTGGTGAGCGTTTTGACCTTCTGATTCAACAAGGGGACGCTGAGAAGCTGGCACGGAGTTCATATTGACAATTGGGTTCGCGCTAGAGGCCGCAGAAGGTGGTCGTGTTGCGCGCTTTGGCGAGCGATTCTGTCAACGTGGACGAGTAGAAAGAATGGGCGGGCAAACCTCGGAGGATTCGGATAAACGTCCCGGGATCAGGTGCAAATGAGCTCCGACGCAACTCAGTCGGTTCTCCGACGCAGAGCCATACACTCCGACGTCACTTACATGTGCGCAACCACCACTGCTCGTCCAAAGATCTCCGAAACATCAACTGACAAACTGCAGCAGCTCCTTCCTTGTTCTCACAACCAATAGCCAGTTTCCCAAGTTCGAAATCCCTGAGTGGGCTGTTAGAAGTCCGCGGTTCGGACGAGGTCGGACGAGGGGGTAAAGGCAATCGATACCACGCGGTTGGTCCCTATGGGCACCGGGAGACGATTACAGACGGACGCGGGGGAGAACGAGGTGGTGGTGAAGGGCAAACGCGTGAGGCGAGTGCGGGACGAGGGACGGCGGCTATCTACGCGATGACTAAGCGCTGGTACCGTACGACCGAGCTTGCTAAGTATGCGGGCAGATTCCAACATGGGCTACAGGTTTCGACCCGACCGCTCAAAGAAGAAGAGCCTCCCTCATCGTCGCCGGGGTCTTCTGGGTCTTCGTCTATCAGCCAGGGCGTGGCGGGGGTGCGTTGACGACTGATTTTAAAACGGCATACTTAAGTAACCGCGCCAGGCTAGCACTGAGTATTTCGCTACGCTTCCCACAACAAACCAATGTGCGCAGGGACCCTATCTTACTAGCACATAGCCCGACCCTTACCGAGAGACAGAAATATCGTTCGAGTGCGTCGCCCATCCCGCAGAGGCCGTTCGCCTGGGTGCGGGGTCACGTCGTCCCGAGCCTCGGCTCATTTCTCCACTGTAGACAAGCAAAAAAACGCCGGCGAGCAGACACCTGCTACTCCCTCGTCCTTCTCCGGTCTCGACATGACTTATCCAGGATCCTACAAGGACTCTGCATCTTCCATCCCAGTGTTTGTGTTTCGACGTGGACAACTTTCCTGCTAAGTTCACCCACGATCCCCTTCAGGAACTTGACACAATGTCTCTGGCTCAGCCACTTCCGAGTTTCTTCGAATTGAACGAATTCTCGAGCTACCCACCGTCCGGTTGTTCTTGTGACCTGTGATCCTAATCATTTGTTGTTGCCCCATCACGCGTCCATTTGTTGATGTCAACGTGGACTTCCGCCCTGTTCGATTCTCTTTCATGTAAAGCTTGCATTGCTTCTCCTGTCGATCATGTCATATTCCAGCGAACGAGCGTAGACGGCGATGTTCACGGACGGTATATCGGTCTATCTTTTTACCAGAGCATACATAAACGCGTGCTACGGGCAACTCATAGCGATTATGCAGCCCCAACACAACGTGACTAAGCAAAGGACCCTACGACTTCCTCTTCCGCGTCTTCGTGCCCGCCGCCCTGGGTGCCGCTGTGCTCGCACTCGCACTCGCGGCGCCCGTCGACGCCCGCGTCTTCCTGGTCCTCCCCGCAGCCAGCTTCACGGGCGACAGCGGCTCGGGTGAGCTCGATCCGACGCTGCCCACCGCCGACAGCCGCGACGATCGCCGCGCGGGGGTCGCGCTCGCAGCAGGTGCGGCAGGCGCGCCGCCCTTCGACCGCGTCTTGCGTACGGGTCGTGCAGGGGTGACAGGGAGCGGCGGGACAGCGTCCTCCTCCTCTTCCTCCTCCTCTTCGTCGGTGTCCATGAACCCTCCAGGCACGCTCCGTTTAAGCGCAGCGCGTCCTGACGTGCGAGCCCGAGTGCGTGCGGACGTGCGGCGCGGCTCGGGCTCCGCTTCGGGCTCGGGTTCAGGCTGCGTCTCGGGCTCCTCTCGCTCTTGCTCTGGTCCGGGCGCGACCTCGACCTCGTCTTGTTGTGGGGCGGGTTCGGGTTCGGGCTCAGGCGTCTCGTGCCGGCGCGCAAGGGACAACTTGATTCTTGCCGACGCCGCCGCCGCCCGCTGGCGAGCGCGTTCGTGTTCCTGCTGGACCAGCGCCGCCGCGCTCGCCGCGTCCGCGTCCGCCTTCGCCCTCGCCTTCTTCGCGCTTTTCGCAGCCGACGCCGACTCCTTCTCCGGAGCGGGCGGTGCTCTCGCGGGCTCTTCGTCAGGGAGGAACGCCCCCGGGGGCAGCCGCGCCTCCGTCTCCGTGCGCGCGATGCGCGACCCGCGCCCGGTCGCGATCCGGCGCTGTCCCTCGCCCTCCGCCGGGCGGCCGAAGACAGAGACGGAGAACTCGGCGGACGTGTCCATGTCCATCGACCCGTCGCCCACGAGCCCACGCTCGACTGCGAAGGAGGAGTCCCCGTTGTCGCCGTCGCCGTCGCTCTCGGAGAGCTCGGAGAGCATGCTGATGTCGAGCTCCGCGCCGGCCCCGGAGACGTCACCCGCACCCCCCGCGGATTTGCGACCTTTCCTGGCGCCCTTCGCGGAGGACGTCGACGCGGAGAGCGTGTTGAGGTCCGCGAAGGCGGACACCGACGCGGGCTTCGCGGCCATAGAGCCGAAGATTGGGGTGCGTTTCGCAGAGAGGGAAGCGGGTGGGGTGTAGAACGCGTTGGGCGCCGCATTCGCGCTGCCTGCGGTGTCGAACAGGGATGGACGTGCGCCACCGAACGCGCCCGTGCCGGAGCTCCCAAACAGGCTCTGACCGTTCCCGGTGCCACTCGTGCTTTTGGGTATCCAACTGGTGGAGGAGGTCGAAGGCTGCGAAGGTTGCGCGGAGATGCCGCCGAACAGGATACCAGCTTGGGATGGCGGTTTGGGCATTTGGGGTGCCGCGCTGATGGAGGGTCCGTGCGATATCGAGGGGAACATCTCTTCTTCGGCGGGGACTGTGGTTGACGCGGTGGCAGGAGCGGGGCCGCCGAACCTCGGAGCTCCAGAGCGGTGGGAGATGGCTTGGACGCCGCTGTACTTGACAATCGCGCTAGAGCTTGGGGGACGAACCTCTTGCCAGGACATGCTCATGCCAATAGCCATGCCCTTCCCCTTCGCCACCGACGCGTCCAACCCGCGGCCCTGGGAGAACTCCTCGAGCTCCAAGTCCAAGAGCAAACGCTCCGCGGTCGGCATTGCAGCCTTGAGCTCTTCGAGCATTTGTCGCCGGTCGTGGGCAGCCTTCTGCGCCTTGTCGCCTCCGCGAGTGGCCGAGGGGAATTGTCGGTCGAGTTTGATTGCTTCCGCATGCTGGCCACTCTGGACGAGGCGCACGCATACAAGGTCTTGGATGACAGGTATTGAGGCCGCAGGTATGTGCTCTGGAGGGTCGAGAGCGTACGCGTGCACACGTGTTTGCTCGTAAGGGGAGAAGGGGAATGCAAGCAAGTGGGTGAGGGATGTGAGGCGGGGCTTGGCTAGATGTGCAACGTTGAATGCAAGAAAGCGAACGAGAAACTGAAGACGTACGGGTCAAACACCAGTCCAGGATTTTGTTGATGAGGCGTTCCCGGTTCTCGTCTATCTCTGGGAACGTCCGTTGGTATGTCCAAGCCTCCATGAGACTCGATTCGGCCAAGGCGATGGTATACGCGTCCATGTCGCTGGGGAGGTCTAGAACGGGTTTTGCGGTACGGACGTATGACCGAATGAGGTTGTGGGGGTCTTGAGATAGAGAAAGAGCCTCGAACACTTTTGAAGTGTAATCACGGTTGATACGAGCATCACTCAGTATCGACACGGCTCTCTACTCTCATGAGCCTCCCGCGCAACAAAATGAAAGGAGCGACGCACCGCCATGGTAATGCCCGAATCCAGATGCCAATACGCGTCTGCCAAGCTGGAGAACTGCGGTGGTATGCAGCGTTTAATCTTAAAGTCCTCCTCCCTCCCGTCCTGGTACCACTTCAACAAGCAGTACACGAGGCAGTCACGCTTGAGGGCGTCGAAGGAGCAGTTGGCGATCGCGTTCAGTAGCGTTTGCAGTGCTTCTGGAGTGGCAGGTGGGTAAAACGCGTCCGGGGGATATATTCCGCTGCTGCTGAGGAGAATGTCGAAGATGAGGCAGTCGTTCATGTGTGCGCGGCGCAAGTTGATCTCTTGTACGCGTTCTTCGCGCCACGGAAAGCTGCTCGGTGAGACATCAAAAGATTGAAGGTAGTCGACATCCAAGGACATTGATACGTCCTTCATGCCCGTGTAAGTTACATGTCCGCGTAGCGTAGAGCCCACACTCACTGGGTCCATGCCTGCAAGACTCACAGCAATAATGCGCGACTGAGTCAAGAATCCGAGGCTTATGCTGAAAAAAAGACGTGGAGCGACGATCTAAACGTAAAGAGGGTGCGTTTGCGCCTAGCAGACGACCCGAGCGGCGAATGGAAGGGAGGAGGAGGACATGTGTATGATATGGCAGGTGGCGGCGGTGGCGCACCTCAGCGCATTCTCGTCACGTGCGAGACGCGTCTGAATCGTGACAACCTTGTGACATCCGAGCGAAGTGCATCACGATATCGTCCGAAGTACAGCGTTCGACTCTCGAACACGGCGGTTTTTTGAAGATCTCACACGGAAAGAACTGAAAATATAACTTCTATTGTCCACAACTTCGTCTCATATTTACGATGACATCAATAAGGCCACAGCTGCATGCTCGTACTAGTTGAAAGATTGCTGAAAGAAAGGGAAGGCGGCCTGATTCCACTCGAATTCCCTGTCAAATTGTTGGGGTAGCGGGGATACGAAAGCCGAAGCAGCAGTTGAGGTGGCGGAGGCAGCGGCCGAGCGGAATGGGTCAAGGGGCACAGAGGCAGAGGCGCTCAATGGATGGCTTCGAGAAGCTGGATCGACCGCCTGGAAGAAGAGAGAAGGATCGATCGCCTGACCATAGCGAGGGTTCTCGATTTCGGAAGCAAGGTGGAGCTGGTGATGATTGAGATGGATGTTGGAGTAGCCAGGAAAGCTGGGCGACATGTCCCAGGGCGAAATCACGTTTGGCGCGGCGTGAGGAGGCCGCCACATTGGGACGGTGGTACAGTCGAGTAGATCCACTGACGGGTTTGAAAAAGCCACCGCCGGAAGGCTTCCGCTTATTGCCGAAGAAGAAGGGTAAAGTTCTTCTGCGTATGTTCTCAGTGCACCCTGAATGGGAGTCGTCGTTAGACTGATACACGGCACGGGAAGTGTTCTCGACGTACATTCTGTGACAAAAGTGTGGTGGCGGGTGCGTCATCACAGCCGAGGGCCCACATATCATCGATATACGACGTTTCATCGACCGGGGTGTTGAGAAAACCGCTGGCAAGAGAAGTCGACGAAGACCTTGAGCCACTCGGGGCTTTACCTCGGCGTGAAGGCCTCCGGTCGTGCTTGCGGGGGCGTCGAGGTCTGTAGGCGTAGTCGGGGTACTTCCTCTCGTGTTCCTCCTTCGCGGCTCTGGCTCGGCTCTGCCAGGGCGCCTTGTCTGCGTCGGATAACGCATTCCATTGCTCCCCGAGTATCTGAGAGAGAACGCTCGCCCGGATCGGGGGTTCTTGTGCAACCTTGCGGCGATTCACTTCTTTATTCGACGCGTGTTGCCGAAAGAGCATAAATGGGTTGGGAGGCCTGGGAGGCCGATTGGGGTCGCGTGGCGGATTCCGATTGCGTGGAAATGCGGTGCGCGTCATGGCCAAGGAGGATGAAAATGCGTGAGGGTGGAGGGCGAGGCGACGGGAAGGGCGTACGCGCATATATGTATGCTCCACAAGTAACAAGTGGCATTTCCGTGGTGCAGTGGCCTGTCTCGCGATTGGCACGAGAGAGAGTGGTCGATACAGAAGCTGACGGCCGAAGGCCACAGCCAAAACGGCGTTTTGGTAGAAGAGTTGTGGTCAGTGTGTCGTAGCCATAGTGGAATGCCACACGGCGACCGAAGGTATAGCGAGGATGGCTTACTCATGTGGCCAGTAGACATGGCCACGCCGTTCAATCTGCAAGAAGCTGGGAGTGGATTGCACTTGAATCGTATGGGTAACCCAGGAGCCACGTGGGCTATGATAGATCTGAAGTGGAGTAGCGTTATGGATCAAAGTCCAGAGCACTTTGTAGTCAATTCGTAGTACTCACTGAACCCCCAACTCGATTCTCGATGTTTGGCAGGCATTCGATGAAGTGTAGATCAAATCTCGCCACTTTTGAGCTCTTTATACGCCGCATCTACGACGTCATTCGATAGATTCTAGGGCTATTCTCACGAAACAAGAAACGTCAGGAATTCGGAAGTCGGAGTCAAGAGCTTAGAGCAAGTCGAGGCAAATTCAGGCGCCTAGATGTGGGTGCTTATGTCATCCCCTCTCGGCCCCGCGCGCTTGTCCGACTTAGAATCGACGGGGGACCCGTGGGCCGTGGCTGCTGCGGCCTGCTCGTCCCTCCCAACTCTCGACACGACCACGATGTCCGAGAAGGTCTCCTTCACCGTCCGACGTCCAACACCCACCTCTCGTGGCGAATCCGACGCGGAAGGCCCCACTTTTAAAGTCCCTGCCCTGCCTCGTCATCTATCTGGCTCCAGCACTCCCAACATTCCGCCCGGACGCAAATCGCCTTCTGTGCGCACCTACAGCGAACGTGACTCCTCCGACGAGGATTCAGGGCACGAGGACGAGCTCGTCACTGCGTTTGACAAGTTCGGTGCCCAGCGGTGTGTCTCTTCCCGTCTCGTTCCCCGCACAGGTCCTCAACTCACAGCAGCCCGCTTCCGCGGCTTCTCCTCCCTCATCTCCCTTGGACGTAGTCTCCACGAGAAACCGAAGCCCCAGGGTCCTCTCGTCATCCCTGCGCTCAAGAACCGTGACTGGCGCGAGCTCGCACGGAAGCGCAAGCAGCTGTACGTGCCCCCCAGCGCGGCAGCCACCACTGGCGCGGATGGCTCCGTGGGTGGGCTCGGCACCCGCGACACGATCAACTCAGGCCTCCAGGCGTCCGGCCTGCAGTTCCGCAAGCGGCAGAAGGTGGAGGAGGATGCGGACGAGCCCATGCCCGACCCGAGCGAGGTGTCGACCTCGGCCGACGACATGCCGAAGGTCGAGGAGACGGACGACCAGAGGGCACTCCGCGCCATCCTCGCCAGCGCGGTCGACGGCGGGGATGCGGGTATCGACGGACCGCACATTGACATCATCCCCGCGCCGTCCGAAGACGACGCGTACAAACAGGACGTCCAGGAGCTCCCCGACTCCGCGACGCTCGACGACTACGAGCGTGTCCCAGTGTCCCAGTTCGGCGCCGCCCTCCTCCGCGGGATGGGCTGGAAGGAAGGCCAGGCGGCGAGTCGAAAGAACAAAGGCATCGTCGAGCCGTGGCTCCCGGCCTCTCGCCCGGCGCTGCTTGGTATTGGTGCGAAGGAGAGGGAGGTGTTCGATGACGGGAGCAAGGGCAAGAAGGGCGCCAAGGTGAGGCCGGAGAAGCGGTACGTCCCGGTCATCAAGAAGGAGAGGTCGGAGGAGGGAGGGAGTTCCTCGAGGCAAAGATCACCCTCGTCAAAACCTGGGTCGGGGAAGCCGTCTAGATCGCCTTCGCCGAGCCACCGACGAGACAGCAGACGGGACGACCGCGACCGGGACGACTGCGACCGGGGCAATCGACGGGACGATCGAGACCAGGACCGGCGGCGAGACGAAGGAGACCGTGACCGCGACCGCTATAGGGACGGCGATCGCAACTACCGTCATGAGAAGAGTGGCCGCGGGGATCGCGAACGGGACAAGCACAGGAGCTCCGAGGACACGCGAAGAGCCCATCCGGATCGCCGACGAGAACATGATAACGACAAGCCTCGTAGCTCCCGCTCAAACGATCGCTACCGCTGATGGACATTGGGTGCGCGTTGCTTGCCGTGTTGTAATTGCGCTGCATATAAAGAGATATGGACGCGTGGCTACATGGTATAATTGTTTCCGGATTTGTTGGTAGTGTACACCATGGGAGAATACAGATAATGGGCAACATTTGTCTACTCCCTTCGGTAGCTATCTTTGAAGTCAGAGCTCTGACGAAACAACGATACATAAGAAACGGCATCATGGGTTCGGAGGATTGTGCCCACCTTCGTGTACATTCCCCCGCGATCATTCGTTCTGCTGGTAGCAACTGGCTGGCTCTTCGCACCTTCGCTGTCCTTTGAACTACCCTGAACAAATGACGCTTTCAATTCTGCGACAACCGATATGTAGATGCGTGTGGTACTCACATGGATGGCGGACATTACCGAGCCCACTGCGCCTCTGTTCCCTGAAAGTTCGCGACCTTGCGATTGGCCACCGCTCCCGCCGCACGTCGCGTCTCTACTCTGATCTTGGGTGTCAGCCGTGGTCGAGGTTGTGTACTGAGTGTGTTGTTGGTTGGCGTTGCGCACACTAGTCGCGGCACCATGCCCGGGCATGCTCATACTCTCGTTCGTCTGCGGGGCTTGCTGTGCGTGACGGTGCTGCCCTGCAAGAGGAGGGAATTAGAGGGGAACCGCACAAGATCACGGGAAACGCACAGGTGGGCATCTCCGCAGGATCGGAAGAGTTATGGCTCCGGTTTTGCTGGCGGAACTGCAACATCCACCAGCCACCGAAACCGGCAGCGACGGTGGCCATTGCGACGACCATGGTCTAGCAAGGCCAAAATTTGTGAGTAACGTCACAATGAGTAAAATGCGGAGCAGACGTACTCGAGGGCTGCCGCCCTGACGCCCCATGTTCGGGTTGCCCGAACGGAGGTTCGAAGAGCGTCCGTTGTTCATGATGGTAGGTTAAGATGAGAGTTATGTGGGGGTGGTGGTTGTCAAGAGAGCAACAACGGCATCCCTATCTTATACCACCGGTTCTGTCCAAAGCCCCGAAGTGCGCCGTACGTTGGCTCGGTGAGCAATCGAAAGTGAGGTCACTGGAGGCCGGCATATTGATGTCCATGAATATTGGGCATGGATCGCCCCAACACGCTGGGCGGAGGCAGAAGCTGACGTCGTGCAGTGTGGATGTGCGTCATGCGGTTTCCTGAGCGCCGCCCCGCGGTACTTGGGATTTTCGGGCACTAAACGATGACCAGTTAGGTTGTACGTGGCTCATGTAGCGGCGGGTATCATACCGTTATACTCAATGGTTGAGCTCAAGTTGCGAGCCAGATGGGTAGTGGTCCTGATTCCTAACAGACAGCGTAATCTGTATGACTTCATTTTGTCAGAGTCTCTAGTGGCCAGCGACAGATCTGCCTTAAGGAGGAAGCTGGTGTCATCGGCTACAGGAACGTCGAGGTTGTTCGGAGGTCGAAGTCATAAGTGCCCTCAAGTCACTGGTCGATGACGGATGCTGCCATATTAGATTAGATTGTGATCAGGATTTACACCCATTAATAAAGGGCTGATGGAACTAGAATGAAAGGCTAATGATTGGTCAATTCCTATTAGTCCGAGGTATTCTCACACGGCGGCAAAGGCAACCTGCACGGCGCGCATCGTGGCCTCACTCAGCCTCCGCCGCTCCTCGACCCTTCTATGCCTTCCTCGTTTCTCCAACCTCAGCACTACGTCTAAACATTGGCTAGTTGCTTGCCTCACTTAATCACTAACAGCACACCGCTTTCGTCGAACAATGCCGCACGCACAGAAAGCGTCCATCGACGAAGAGATGCACGAACTCAACGCCGAGGCCGACTTCCTCGAGGAGAAGACGACGGTGACACGCTCGGCCAACGGCGAGGACGCCAAGATCCACCACCACGGCTCGGACCCGGACGCACAAGCAATGGTCATCGACTCCCTTCGGGCGCAGGTGCAGGACCTCTTCACCCAAGTCTCGCAGCTCAACGGCAAGCTCGTGCGCTCCTACGACCGCGTCTCCGACCTGGAGGATGAGCTGCACGTTACGTCCTCCAACCTCCGCCAGGCGACAATCAAGGTCTCCCAGCTCGAGCTCGAGCGCACCCAGCATCTCTCTGCACTCAGCACCGGGCTCCTTGTCGAGAAGTCGCATGTCACTACCGAACTCAACCGCCTCATGGAGAAGGCGACGGAGGAGGCTGCGCGACGTGGCCAGGCCGAGACTGCGCGGGCGACGATCGAACAGGAACTCGACGACCTCTCCGCCGGGCTCTTCGACCAGGCGAATCGGATGGTCGCGCAGGCGCGCATCGCGGAGGCACGCAGCGCTCGCAAGCTGGAAGAGACGGAGGCGGCGCTACATAGTGCGGAGGAGGTTGTGGGGGCGCTACAGTCGCAGATGCAGATGCTTGAGTCAGAGAAGGAGGTCGTAGACCGCCGGATGGAGGGGATGCGCATACGGATGGGCAAAGGCAAGTGGGTCGACCGGTCCCCGGACAGGACGCGTTCGAAGGGGCAAAGGCTCTTGTCGACGCACCTCCCCTACCACGAGTTCCTTGTCTTTGTCTCCCACCTACGCACACTCCGCACCGCGTCATCACAACCTCCATCGATGTCGACCCTTCTGCCACTGCCCTTCATTGCACGACTGGTCACGGAAGACTCGTAAGTGGGATGCATTCTTTCAGCTGCTGGGGTGCTAACCGTCTTACAGCGATCCTACAGTGCGACTCGACCTCGCACCGTCGCTGAATTGGTTGTCGAGGCGGTCCGTCATTGCCGCGATACACTCAGCTCAACTCACGGTGGAACCGATGCAATTCACTACCTTGCTGGAGGAGCTGGCTCCGCCGAATATACCCTCACACTCCCACCATACCCACATTGTATGCGCCCTTTGCGGGGTGCCGATCTACTCTTCCGGAGACTCTCCTGCGGGCACGCCGACGACCCCCAATCCCTCCAAGACTGTCTCACACAGCGCATCATGGTCCACGACGCTCTTCAAGAACGTCCGTGCCGGAGATCTCTCTTCCTTGACTGGCCCCAGTCGACAACTGTCCCTCCAGGCTGGCGCTCCCTGTACAGAACCGCCGGTACAGGTGTACATCTTCCGCATTGAGGCCGCATCGTCCAGTCTTCCGGTCTCCCTCCCTCTTTCCGCCCAGTCCCCAGCCAACCCCGGAACGCGACAGTCCATCTATCCCCTCTGCAGCTCCGGCTGGTGCTTGACGCGTTTACGCGCAACGTGCTCGCTATGGGCCTTCGTTCGCACTAGCGTCGTGGAGAAGATCTGGGAGGAGGCGCCACTGGTCATGTTTAACGGCGCTACTAAGCCTGGTGTCAACGGCCAGGTCAACGGGGCCGCGAATGGCGTCGTTGCGGATGAGCACCCCACCCCAGCTTTGCAGACGCCTCCAAAGCGGACCAAGATCGGTTTAGGGAACCTTTGGGGGTCAATGCAACGTAGTCTCAGCGGTGTTCGCGAGGTGGGCTCCAAAACTCCCGAACCCGTGCCTGTACCACCCAAGGCCGACGGAAGGCCAACGCTGCCGCCTCGCGACCCGTCAAGGAAGTCGCTGCCCCCGCCCCCGCCTACACATCCGACGGTCACGCATCAGCCGAAGCCACGACGGGTGCCGCCCCCGTTCAAAGAAGGTTCTCCTGGAGTCGAGGGTTCGCCTGCCGCCTCACCTGCGCCTCCGTCAACCACTTCGTCTCCCGCGCCTGTGGTGAGCGCGGCCGCAGCGCCACCGCCTCTGCCCAAAAGGAACAGGGAACGCGTTGCTACTCTTGTCAACCCTGAACTGGAGCAGAAGTCCGAGGCGAATGGCGCGTCTCACGAAGAGGTCAAGCCAGTAGTAGAACCTGCTCCTCCTACGTCCGAGGGTCCCGAGGCCACCAAGGGGGCTCCAGCAGAAAAATCCGCGCCTGAAGTTGATGCACCGCCAACCCCTGCTGCCCCCGCTCCTGTTGATGCTACTGAGCTCACTCCCACCCTAGTAGCGACCACTGGGACGCCGAAGCCAGATACTTTGACCGCTCCATCAATCTCGAGGGCCACTTCCGCCGACTCCTTCGCTTCGGCCACCGAAGGTCTCTCGTCGCCGGCGTCCTCCGCTGGGCCTGACCTTGCTTCAGACGATGTTCCCGCACTGCAGGAATTGACGCCGACTTCGAAGACCCCAACGCTTCCAGACATGTTTGTTCCTGCTCCTGCTGCCCCTGCCCCTGTCCCTGATGCGACCTCCGCCGCCGCCGCTGCCACCGTCCCCAAGGACGACAAGCCGCCCTCGCGGACCTCCTCCCCTGCGCCACCGCCCCTGCCTCGACGCGCCGCGGCCCGCGGACGGCCAACCTCCATGCTCGCTCAGCAGGCCGACGGCGAGAAGCGCAGCAGCCTCGATGCCGCACCCGCGTCCCGCGGCTCTACGGACGTCCCCGCCGCCGAAGTGCCAGCTCCTGTTGAGCAACCCGCGCCCGCGCCGCCCACCTCGGCGCCGGAACCCGAGAAGGGGGCGGAGAAGAAGGAAGAGGCTGTCGAGAACGCCGCGCCCGTCGCTGAAGCCACGCAGGTCGTCGCCCCGGCGGCAGGGGTCGAGGCCATTGCGGCGTTCGCTGCGGTCGAGGAGAAGGCTGTCGAGCCTGAGCATGTCGTTGAGAAGGCGGTTCCTGCTGAGGCTGAACCTTCCTCTGAGGTCGCTCCTGTCCCGGAAGCCCTTCCTGTCGTCGTCGCAGAAGACCTTCAAGAATCCGAGGCGCCAGCGGAGACCGAAAAGCCTCACATCAACGGCGAGGTCGCCCCATCCGAGACCGAGCACACCGAAAAGTCGGAGGTCTCGCAGACGGACGCGGAGGACGCCCTGTCGCCCGAGCCGGAGGACAACGGGCAGTTCGTCGGCGACGCGACGTGGGAGGAGCGCACGTACAAGGAGCTCATGCGCCTGCGCGAGGAGATGTTCTGGGCGCGCATGGGTGCGGTCGTGGCGTAGTGCTTGTGCTTGTGCTGCCACGTTTGTGGGGTGTGGTGGTATGCAGGGGCTCGGGTGATGGCGATGTGTATGTAGTGTTCTGCATGTAGCTGGCACACAATATCTATGATCTATATTCTATGGCACGCTAGATGTTGTAGTACCGGGGATCCGCGGCGATCATGTCTCCGTGTTTCACAATTGATTACACTAGGACCCACAAGCTTGGCTTGTCGGCGCGATCGCCTGCGCGGGTTCCCATTTAAAGGTTACAGCATGCATGGTGACATGCTCGGAGATAGGCGTCTCCTCAGAGCGCTGCCAAGGGCAAGCACAACCCCATTCGAAGGCGCGCACACGAGAGGAGTTGGGCCAACCAGGACTAATACCATTGAATGCGGGCGACGTGCGCCGGGGGCCGTACGAGTAGCTAAACGATGATGCGGACTAGCAACGAAGGTGATGATGCGGCAGATTGCGCAAGAGGGGTGAATGGGCGAACGAAAATGACGAATGCGTGCGACTACAGGGACCGATAGCGAATGGAAGCTGGACAGCGAGCGGGGCCGGGTCTATAAGTAAGTAGTATGGGATGTATGTATATTATGTAGGGGCAATATAAGGCGGGCGCCGATGTACAGTGGGTACGAAGCGTGGCGAGGGATGACGAGACGAGACGAGACGAGAGGCAAGGAGGGGAAAGGAGGGGTCCCACAAGAGACCGAATGGGAGCATGCTACAGTGGGAGAGGGGTCTATACAGTGTGAGAGGGCCGATTAAATACGATAGTTAAATCGCACGGCAAGAGGAGAGGAGGTCGAAGCCGGGAAAGAGCGAAAGTCTAGATGCGCCAGCGATACGGTAAAGACAGCGGAAGGAGAAGCCAGCCTCACAGGCAATGCCTGATGAGAATGCTACAGATGGGGTGAGGGGATGAGAGCGGGAGGTCGGGGTCGGGCGGCGAACCACGCGTGTACGAAGGGTCGAGAACCAGTTGCGGCTTCCGAAGATTCCGGGGACACAGTCGCCGCGCATTCGCGTTCTCCGTTCACGCGCTCGGCTGTCGCGACCTGAACGAAAATAAAGAGACCGTCAGCTACCGCGCCAAACGCGTAAAGGCTCCCACCGTGCACTGCGGTCGCGGACGCGCAAGCTTGGGCAGGAAGTGAAACACGCACCGTACCGTCCACTGCCGAAGCCGAGCGCCGCGCAGTGCGAGCCTATTTGCGACGCGGAAGGAGCGCGACGGACAGATCGCGGCGGATCTGTGGCCCATCGGTGCCGAAGTAGCGCTGAGTCTCGAAGGACCAGACGAGGTTACCAATCATCCAGTCGCCAAGGCCCTCGACGTACGTCTGGACCTGCGCGTCAATATCGGGGCCCCACTCGGGCAGCGACGCGCGGAGGTGCTCGTAGCGGTCGATGCAGCCGAGGCAGAGGTCGCCGACGTAGTCGATGGCTTCCTGCAGTCCGAGGTTCTCCTGGTGCTGCACAACGACGACCATGTTGTGCGTGTCGCCTGGCCGCCGGTGTGTGTGAGTATGTGGGATCGTGTGCGCGAGGAATGGAAGCGACGCACCGTTCGCCTGTTCGACATTGAACGAGAAAATGTCCTATAAGCAGCGAGAAGGGGCACATCAGCACGCGCACGAGGAGACGGTGTTGCCGACGACGCTTTAGGGCTAGTCTGGGCGTGAGGGATCCGAGTACGTACGTTTGACCACTGCGAGCAAATAGACAATGTGAACACACGTGCTCCGAGGGTACCCACGCCCATTGAAAGAAGGCACTCACAGTGACCAGATCATTGGCGGCTTCTTCGAGGCCCTGTATCGCCGGGTGGTCCATCACCCAGTCGGGAAGGTTGAGCTGCGCGAGGCGGAGACGAGCGTGAGACCCGCGGCCTTCGGACGCATTATAGTCAGAGAAAGCACTCACGTTGTTCGCGTACTCGATCAACGCCCAGCAGGGTTTGCACCCGCTCGTGTCCCGGCGCATGGCAATGTAGGACTCGAGGTCGGGGATGTTGCCCGTCTCGCGGTCCTTTGCCTGCTGCGCGACGGCGCGGAAGAAGAGCTCAAACGTCTCGATGAACCGCCGTTGCGCCCCGCGGGAGCCGGTTGCCGTCATGCGCTGCCAGAAACTGTGACGAGCGAAGACAGGCACCGGTTAGCGTGCCAATTTTCTCAATACGGCCCCCATCGCAGACGCGTCGGGGCTTGACGACGCTCACCTTTGCGTCAGCCTGCCCACCGCAGACGAAGGGCGGAAGCCGCGCGGGTCGCGGAGCGCGCCAATGACCTCGCTCGCGGTGCTGACGGTGCGCCGGTCGTCCATCTCGTCGCAAATGTTGTCGAGGTGAAAGAGGTAGTTGATGTAGTCGCAGCATACGCGGAGCTCGGTGTACTGTGCGCGGGGGTAGCACATCGCGGTGAGCAGACCACCCTTGAGGCCGTGGAAGGCGGCGCGGCGCCTTTTGCTGAGACGGCAGCCGTGGAGCAGCCACTGCTTCGAGTTGCTCGAAGCGCGTTTACAGTGCGGGTTGACGCGTAGACGGAAAGGGCATGCCGAGATGAGGTCGGGGAAGAAGATCTGCGCGGGCTTGGAGTCGGAAGAGGAAACAGAGGAGGTGGAGGAGTGGGTAGCGACGACGGTCATGGTTTCCAGACTGAAAAGAGCGAGAGGAAACGAAAGTGTGAATCGGAGTGATGCTGGGTGGTGGGTGGCAGTAGTTGGCCGAGCGAAAGCCAAAGGGTGGGGGTAGTCCCGGTCCATGGCGCATGCCTGGCACCTTTAAAGAAAACAGTCTGTGAAAAGGGTCGCGCGCGTACTTGGCGCAGGATCACATTGCGGAGACCTGTGGAAATTCTTTGGAATCTGGAGCGGACCTTTTCGAGAGAGCTGCGCCACGGCTGGGTCCGGGCCGCGGCCTCGAATCCCTAGCGAGATTACGGCAATGACGAGACCCAGTCCGTACTGTCGGCTATAGATCGCGTAGGACGTTTCAGATCGAGCCCGTTCACAGAACGACCGGTTGCAGCGAAGCCGGCGCGGGAGGTTGCGCGACGTGGAGGGCGAGCAGTCGACGTTGGCTACTGTTGCGGCGGCAGCGAGAGAGGTGCGGGTGCGGCGCATAAGGGAGTGCACTACGAGAAACCGCGGACGTACACCGCCCGCCGCGAGAGTGCACCCCTGCGCGATGTGCTCGCATGGTTCGTCTGCGCACCCTAAAAGCGTCAACACAATAAGCGATCCGGCGCGATGGTAGAACAAAGGCGCAGTTGCGTTCCGAAACTGGCGGTCCGTGGTGTCCCGCGAAGATTGAGGGAGATGTTACCTCAGCTGTAGGACGGGGATCAGTATCAGTACAGATCGAAGCTATCAACATGCAGCGGCGGGTATGACTCACACGCCGGCCCAGTCGATGGGAGCATCTTGACGCTGCCAATCTGGACGAGAGGCTTGCCGCGTTGGTGACGGCCGAGAATCGTGGTTTCCAGTCCCGGGACGGTCGGCAATATTCCAGATGGCTTTCTCAGCATTTTCCGAAAGGCACCGGAAACAATGACAGTGAGAGTGTGGGTTCGCTGGCAGCCGATGATAGCCTCCGTCGGAAGTATTTGGCGAGTGGGCGACCTGAATGGCATCAGCCACAGCTGTGGAGGCTTCGCGGCCGAATATTCGGCCCATGCGAAACCAAAGTCGCTTGCGTTGCAGCCGAACGGATATCTTCTAGCCAGAAGCCGCCAGCAATATTGATCGGGGAGGGAACTGGATCCCACGCCTATAGTGATCGTAAGATCAGCCTCAGAGAAGTAGGGTAAGCCACAAGCCTTAATAAAACAATATCTGCCCGGTTTGTCTACATTGCAGCTTCGTGCGAGGCAAGTACTGTGGCGTCGCGCACATAGCGGACGTGAAGACAGTGACGACAGTCCAGACTTCATCAGCGCGTATCAGAGAGTCAATATCGGATAGTCACATGCTGTTCCTGGGGATCATGGAGGCGGCTAGCACCGGCAGCGCTGCAGCCCGCGACCGAGGCCGCTCCCCATAACAAGCGCCCAGGACATTATCAGATGCTTAACAGAGCCCAGATTCGGATCCCGAACGCTTCGAGGGCAGAAAAAAAAAAGAAGAAATGCCCAGATTGAAGCCGACACAAATGATCACATCTCCACTACGCACCCGTCATGTGGTCGACTGTTCCACGATTCTGACTGACATATTTGAATTTGGTATATGTCGGCCCTCAGCATCTTGTCATCGCAGTTGCCGGATGAGCTGGCCAGATTGGCCTCATCGCTTGAGCGCAGATCTGGGGCGAATGTCGTGAATATTAGGCGAAGCCAGTGTCCACTAGACGGTTCGGTAACGCACCCAGCGCTCATTTTCGGCCCCCGTGTTGCTCGCTACGTACTCTGCGGCAAGGTTGAAGGCAGGGTCAACAAGGACCCTCGAAAGCGCCTATAGTAGATCAAAGTCCGGACGTGGGCAGAGAGCCAGACGGCCGGCCGAAAGTCCGGATGGGAAGGTTGAGGGGCGGCGCCTATCTCCAGAGCTTATACGATGTTCAAGCTCTTCCAGGATGTTAATGGTTATTGATGGCCCTTGTAGTGATGCCCCAGAGTATTGTTGGTTTGACTAGCCTTTTGCCGTTGTTCAAGGCGAGTAACGGGCCATGGCAATCTGTAGAGTTTGTAATCTGCACCTCCTTGCATACGGGCGGTGGCCATCTGGCTTGTCGGGGAGTTGTTAATCTGCGCACTAGTCTGTCTCCCAGGCCCATAACGACGCGTATAGCACTGAATATCAACACGGCGTATTTTCAAACATCGGAGTGCACCCAAGTGACGACCCATCACGTTTGAGAGCGCTATATGTCCTACAACGTGAAGTGCCGGTAAGTTCTTAATTCGCGTGCTTCGAGGGTCGACATCATCGGGGCGTAGCGTGCAGCAGAGACAACCCACCGAAATTTGCCATCCCCGACATCATACTTCCAGGGGCTTGAATCTAGGACGAGCCATATATTCAGACAGAACGGCGTAAGATACGGAACCCCACGCACGTCCATGCCATAGGCCTCGCATTCGAAGACCATGAGGAAGGGTGACCGGTTGAAGAACATGATGGTTGATCGTTAAGAGCTTTGCGGTGCTGCTGACAGAACGCAGAAGACCAAATCCAGCAGTCTCACTGGCTGATGCCACTTAGCGCCCAGAGAGCGAGAGAGGAGTGCAAAGCTTTCGGAGCAATGATATTGCATAGACCATTCGGGGGGCTCGGTGAACTCTGCAATACGCTTCGAAGTTCGGGGTGATGGCGACATTTTGAAACGGTGGAACATTGTGCGACCGGGAGTCGGGACGCTCGAGGTGGACATCCTCTATCACGTGATCAAACGCGACCGTGTCAGACTGAGTCTTGAGATCATGAGAGCCCTACTATCTAACTGCGGACTGCTGCGACGCCTTTGACGTCCCCACTGCATCCACACCCGCCACAACCTCCCTATCCTTATCTTGTTGTCTTCACCGCCCCCAGGACACCCCAACCTCTTTGCCCCAGGCCTCCTCCCGCCTCTGGCGACCAGCCGTCTCCACATGCCTCCTCAGCGAGTATTTGGTCGAGGGGATTCGGCCCTCGACGCCGACGAGCCTCAGACATCTGCCGGAGAGCCTGGTCCTAGCTCAAGGCGTTTCAGCGAACGCGTCTCCTTCTCTGGACTAGTGCGGAAGCCGAGCTTTCTCAGTAAATGGAGTCGAGCGGAGGGGGACGAGGAGAGCGGCATGATGCAAACTCCGGACAAGCCAGCTATTCCCAGCGCCTTGCAGAAACAAGAAGTCTACTCAACCCCTCTGCCGACGCTGTCTATGATTGTGTTGTCAATCGTGCGTCTCTCTATTATCCAGTCGGCCGATGGTCTGAACCAGTGGTTATAGACACTTCTTGGCGAGTTTTTGTCTGCGAATGTTTCGGCTCCGTTTCTCCTTTTCATGGTCGAAGGTGCGTATGTTGCATTATTCAGCGTTCCTGGTCTCAGATGGGATACGTATCATGCAGGGTTCGGGCAATTTGACAACGAGTCGGAGGTCGGGTACTGGACTGGATTGCTAGGTGAGTCCACAACGCACCTTATTCACGTCCTATGCATTCCATGCTGACGACTTTGCAGCGTCAACCTTTTTCCTCACCCAATTCCTGACATCCTTGCTATGGGTGAGATCCTCAGCGCCGTGTTCATGTGCAACCATTGATGGACACCCCAGGCAACTATTGCGGCCAAACATGGACCGCGTGTCGTCTTGACTATCTCTCTGCTAGGAAGTGCAGTAACCTGCTGTCTCTTCGGTACTTCAACCTCGATACAACAAGCTATGGCAGTTCGTCTTATGCAAGGCGTCTTCGCGGGCGCAATTGGTGTTGCTCGTGGGACAGTGACCGGTATCACTGACCAGAGCAATGAAGGTCGCGCCTATGCCATCCTGGGGTGCGTTCCGTTGTATGACACTGGTTCGTGGGCTCATGCCAGTACAGCTTTTGTTGGGGTTTCGGTGGTGTTGCCGGCGCCATCGTTGGAGGGACTTGTGAGTACTGCTCAATCTATGCAGCTATATGAGACGTCCAACAGTATGACAGTCGAGTCACCTGCTCGGAAGTGGCCGAACGTTTTCGAGAATGTTCCCATCTTCGTCAAGTACCCCTATCTTCTTCCCACTTGCGTTGCAGCAGCGGTCTTGGCTACAGGTATGGGATGTATGCGCGAAAGTAACATCACTTGCTTATGTTCTCGCAGGCTCTTTCCTTTCTTTGTTCCTTGCCCCCGACTGCGGGCCGCGGGAAGGCGCTATACAGCTCCCTCCTGAGAAGATTACAGGAGCTACCGAAGAATCTCGTCCTCCGACTCCCCACTTGGACGACGTCGAGGAGCGCGGAAGTGTCTTCGGGTCGGTTCGCTCAAAGATCTCGGGGTACTTCGGGCATGCTGCAGCGGATGCTGCAGTGTCCCCTTCACAGTCTACGCCGCAGCTCGTGCCTTTGCAAGAGACACCGACACACCATCCGAACCAACGCGCCTCCTCTCGGATCAGCCGTGCGAGCGGATCCGCCTATGGGTACACAGGCTCTTTCAGGAACCGTCTTTCAAGCAATATGACCTTCGCTACCCGCAGGAACACGGGGGTTTCCATCCGTCGCCGTCGGGAGAGCAACTGGGACGGCGCAAGCTCGAGTGTCGGGACGGGAAGCAACCTCAACTTCGCTCAGCGGCTCTTGATGGCCAACGAGAACACCGTGACCAACATCGCCGACCTTTGGGTTGCCGCAGCGATTAATGTCGACAACGAGGACCCGTTCGAGCCAAGCGACGAGGAGGACGAAGAGGTTTTCGCCGACGACGACGACGAAGACAACCAGGACGACGAGCCACTCGGCGCTGGACCCTCTACACCAGCCAGACACAACCGATTCTCCCGCCGCCTGTCCGCCGGCATGGCGCCTCGGATGCCGCCCATCCCGCACAGCGTCATGCCCCATCGCCAGTCACTGAGCAAGGGTCAAGGTTCTACCTTCGGAGGATCTCCCAGACGCCCTTCCTCTGCTGCACGCCGCTACTCCAACCTGCGTCATACCTCGGGCGCCGGCACCCTGGACGGGGCCGACGCCGATGGGCCTCCGGTTCGTCGGGCGTCCGCTTACGTGCCTCCCATCTTTGCCCACGTCGGCGTCCGCACGCCCCCTGCCGTTCTCGAGGCACAACAATTGCTCGCGCAAGCAGATGCGGAGCCCACGGGGCCCGGTACCGAGACCCTCGCCCCCATCGCCGAGTCACGACTGCCGTCCCGCGCACCAAGTCCCGTGCCGTCCGAGCGGGAGCCGTCCATTATGAGCCAGCTTCCGCTCGCCATCATCCTGCAATATGGATGGCTCGCGTTGCACTCCACGACGCACGACCAGGTGTTTTACCTTTACCTCGTCTCGTAAGTATTCAGCCTTTCGCTATGTTTAGATCCCGTGTTAGGCTTTTGGTTCCGAGATTGATGGATCTCGGCCGATGTGCAGGAAATACCCATCAGGCGGCCTCAACTTGAACGCAGGACATTTCTCGCAGCTCAGTATGTCAATATCTCTCGTCTGCTCCCGGTCATGACCCTCATGGCTGTACGCTAACGTCACTTCGTCGCTGTCAGTTGCCTTGATGTGTCTCGCGCAAATTGCCTACCAATTCGTCTTGTACCCGTAAGTCCGCAATCCCGCTTGAGCGATTGCACGGATTCTCATGATTCATTGTTGCGCAGGAATATTGGGTAAGCGATACTGCCCCCGATGATTCGCAACCTTCCACTGACGCCGTTGCGTGCCATGGTGCAGGCCCCCAAGAGGGCGCTTTTCTCATCTAGCGATGTTCCGCATTGGCGCGATGTTGTTCATCCCTCCATACCTTTCGGTTATCCTCTACCGCGTCTTTGCAAGTGCGAGCGACGACGGTAATCTCGTCCTCATGTCTGGTGTGTTTCTTGCTGCGCGTCCACATCATGACCACTGATTCATTGCCTCTACGATGAACAGCTCTTGCCCTGAGCACGTACGTCACCTTTCCATTTTACCCAGGCTCTGCGAAGCGCGCACCTGAGGGCTCTTCGGATTTTCCGAGCGCACGACCAAACTCTAATTTCGCGTCTTTGTTCGCAGCGCGGTCCGTTTCTGCGGTGGGACATTCAGTTACACAGCCATCTCGGTGCTGTTGAACTATAGTGCGTTCTTCCAACTTCCTCCCGTAACATCGCAGCGCTGAAGATCTGTTTTTCTCCACATTCATCTCGCGTAACTCACGTCCTCGCACGCGCAATTGCTCGCGGCCGACATCCGTCACCCACCTGTACATACCCGACCCGCGAACCCTTCACGCGTCCCGCGAACAACGGCCCAGCTTCACCACCTCACCTCGTTGGTTTCGCGAACGGCGTCGCGCAGAGTATCGTGTCCCTCGCGCGATTCGCGGGCCCCATTCTCGGCGGTACGGTGAGTCATCCCTGCTCCCGCGTACGGCCCGTCGCTGACCGCCTCTGCGTTCCCACCCCTACTCTTCGCGGTTACTATCACCGCTGTGGCCACCCTGCCCGCGGCCCGCGGCCCTGCCTTTTGCCCGCGCACTCGCGTCCCTGGCCCTGGTGCGATGGATGGCCCGAAGCTCTGGTCCAAGAGCGTGGCAGACGACCCGTCCGGGTACCCGCTCGGCTTCATCGTCTGCGCGGCCGCCTGCGCGCTCGCCGTCGTCCACAGCTTCTTCATCCGCTGAGGGGCGTCCGTGAAGACGGGCGACGCAGGCTCGGCGCGCGACAGCCTTCTCCCAAGCTCGACGTATCACAATGCGGCACTGCATCCCTATGCAACGACGTTCTCTGGCTGGGCATCCCTGTTACACCTTACACCGACACCCTCCGACCTCGACCCCGTCACGGCATCGCCGCACACACCACTCGTCGGTTTGCCGTACTTCCTCCGCCCACCATCTATGACCGTTGACAATGTCGCCGCTTCCATCACGATCTCTACGCATCCCGCTAGCCCCATCTCCCCGTCACCGACCCCGCCCGACCCCACCTGGTTCGTGGCGGGCACCAGGGTCGCGAACATCACCGTACCGGCCCCATCGTCCACTACCCGCGCGCCGCATACATAGAAGCGCTCTCTCGCTCAACCGTAGCATCAGCCTTGGCCCTTATTGCGTTGATTTATTGTCCGGGCTCCCGACGCCTCCCTACCCCGCTCTGTCTACATACGTACTTCATGTCTGTCTCGTCAATGTACTAGGGCTCGTTCTCGCAGCGCTTGGATCCGTAATCGATCATCTTGGCCGGATACCGCTCGAGAGCGTTCTGCGAACAACGACGCGCAGAAAGAGGAGCGAACCGAGTGGAAGTGGATTGCTTCTATGGCGCATCATGCGCGATGATGAGGGACACGACCGTGTGCTACAAAGGATAAATTACGTGCCGAGACGAGGAAGGAGCGAAGGAGAGGTGATGCGACCAGAAAAGAGTGTACTGAGCCCCGCAGGAGGAGGGCAACATCACGGAGAAGTTGAAGTTTACGAGAAGCTGGCACGGAAGATCGAGGGACTGAGTAGCGCGGCTCGGCGGGAGTTCTGGACCGGACGCGTCCGCCCAGGTCTGCCTAGGATGCTTGACGATACCCGAGTTTGTGTGCGTCGTTGAGCCGCGGCGTAGGCGTAGATGGACGGAACGTGGCGACGTCCCTGCGAGTGAGAGACGGGGGGCCTACGCGATGCTGATGTGCTGGCTGGTGGTTCTAGGGTGTGGTTATGAAAGTGACAGGCGCTCGAAGGAGTCTGGGAGGATAGATGGGCACGGAAGGCCCTGGAGAGAGGAGAGCGAGGTAAGGGGAGAGAGGGAGAGACATAACGGGCTGCTGTCCGAGGAGGTGTGGGATTGTCGACCAAGGAGGAGCGAGCAGCGGGGAGGAAACGAGGAGAAAGCGGACTCGCTGTACAGAGGGCGTTTGGGGAAGGTGAAGAGCGGAATCTGAGGGAAATAGTCGTCAAAGTGGTCGTCGATCTCGTCGTCATCGTCATCGAACACAGGCGGCAGGTTTGCAAGCTTCACGTGTCGCATGTAGGGCTGGCACAGGAACCGTTCACGGGGTGTCATTGTCGGGGAGGCAAAGCCAGCCAGGGAGCTAAAGGCGGCGTGGAGGTTAGCGAAACGCCGGCCAAACTGCCGGCGACGGCAAAGGCGCACGTCAACGATGAAAGAATGCCAAAAGAGGAGTGTGCGTACCCCGGGTCTGATATCCTCGTACACCTTGACGGAATCTGGAGAATCGCCCAGAGGATCTCCGAAGAGATCGACGTCGCTGCTTTGACACGCCACGTCTTGCGGAAACTGTTTTGCTTCTTCGGGGTTGGCCGCTGGGAAGTTCCTGAATAGATCTTGAGCCCAGGGAGCGAACTCGTTGGCAGGGTCGAAGGCGAACCAAGAAAGTGACTCCGGGCTTGGAAGTCGACTTGGTGTGAGCAAAGCAGAGAAGAGGTCGGACGAACAGGATGTGGACAACCCGAGAGTCATAACTTCCGGCAGCGGCGTTTGCGGAAGAACCGGGATTGACGGGCTGGCAACTTCATGCTCCGGAATTGACCAGGCCGTGTCCGCGAATGGGGAGTTAAATGTATCGAACCATGGCTGCTTTGTGATGTCCATGTCCACTGAGGAGCTTGGGCTGAGGTCACACGCATCGATTGCGGGCTGAACCTCGGAAGCTTGGACTGAGGTCATGACGTCTTCAGAGCCGCCTAGAGGCTCGTTGCGTAGATCCCAGAACGAGAAGTCCAGCTGGAAAGAGTTGTGAGGCGACACCTCCTCAGTGTCCAGTACGATGATGTCTTCGTCCTTTTGGGTCGGATGTTGCGCCTCTTTAGGGGCCGGTGCGTCTTGCCTAGGGACTCTATCGGCACCAACTAACGCATGCATCGTATACTGAGTGAACCGTGAAATCACAGCACTAAAGTGGGACTCACCTCGCCGCCACTCAAGCTTACTCGCCCCCCAATGCCATTTCATATGCAGAGCAAGGCTGTGCGCGAAGGTGAACTTCCGCGGACAGAGTGGGCACTGATGTTCGACTTTGCCTCCGTGCTGCTCGTTGTTAAGTGGGGCCGCGCCGCCGCAATCGAGGAGCAGAAAGGACTGTTCCTCTGACGGAGTTGCGACCACGACAGCCTCGCCAGCGTTCCGCTTCTTGCGTAGCGTCTTGGAGGGGTTCTTCGGCTTCTTCTTCATGTGGTTCATCTCATCGAAGGCCATGGACCACGGCATTGAGGTGGCGAAATTTTTGTGGGTGCGGGTCGAAGGTTTGGGGACGTATTGCAACGTAGGCTGAGTAGTGGGAGCCGAACCGCGACGACGACGTGCGGGCTCATCGAGAGCGCGCTCTTGATCCATATGCTGAAGCCGCGAAGGGCTGATCTCCTGTAGAAGGGGACGTGCATCTTCTGCATCCGCGGCGGGGATCCGATGAGAGAGTTGATCCAGGCTGATAGCTGCTCTAAGGGGAGTCGACAGTTTTCGGTGCTGTCTTGCCGTAGGTAGCTGCTGATGTGCGGGAAGGGCGGGCGTTGTCGGCGTTGTCTGAGGCGACAAGGCGTCTTGGGGTTCGACGGAAGTAGGTGGGCAGGAGTGGGAACCCTCGGTGTCGAAGCGTCTTCCTTCCGCCGATCCTGACGAGGTGCACGAGGGTTCGAGTAAAGGAGGCGCATGAGGGTTTCGAGCAAAGTAGGCTCACCGATAAGGGCCTCTCCGGTGGCTGCAGGAGCGCCATTTGAAGGAACGCTTGGAGTAGAGGGTGTGTTCTCAGAGGGATGATAAGAGCACCACCTATTCAGCTTGGCACGGCGTCTGGGTGTGTCGGAGGCCGGGTCGGAAGTTTTCCGTTTTGATGTGCGCTTGGGCTGGTGTTGAGACTTGGGCGTCGGGGACCGCATATATGCGGTTGGTGTAATGGGGGAGTGCTCATTCTGGGCTGGAGATTGGGATATGGCCGCGATTGGTGACGCGGCGGTAGGCGGTGGGGACACGGCCTGTGTTTGTTTCTCGACCCTGCATACAAGCGAGTGAGCAATGGCCAGGTGAGATGGATTGACGGTGCACGCACATTAGACAGAGGCGAGCGACGAAATGGAGGATGGGGGACGGAAGAGATAGGCATGGAAAGGTCTCGGCCGATGGGGAGGGAGGTGAAGGACTGTGGCGAGAGCGTCGGGGGTTGTCACTCGTCCAACTTCTGTTGTGAAGTTGTTTTCACTAGGGCCGAATAAGCGTCGTCCGTTCCTCACCGGCCGCACCAGTCCACCCGTATCGACTGACCGCGTGCAGAAACGCACCGAGGAGAAACACACCGTAGAGCAACGCACCATAGAGCAACGCACCGTGGAGAAACGCCCCCGTATGAAAGTAGCAGGACGATGTGGGATTTCCAGGAACGAATAAAAAGAGTGTGGTCAACATGGTACCGAGGCTTCAGACCGTCCTTCAGCTCCGCCGAAGTGTCGCAATGCCCCATCCTGATCACGAAGTCCCTTTCCCTAATCCTTGGGCTTGTATGTTCGACAACCGGGCTGCTTCGCTGGCGGGGGCTAGCTTCTCCTGCTGTTCGACCTTTGACCGCCCTACGACATACCGAATGAGAGCTCCGCGCGCACGAGTAAGAGGGCACAGACTTGCAGTCCATGCGCTCTGAAGGCCTTGCTCCTGCAGCTTCTTGCATCTGCCTTCTTTCGTTGATGCTCTGCCGAGCGAAGTAATAGCTTACGCCTGCCGCGACAATGAGACTTCCCCAGCCTAGCAACTGTCAATAGTCAACAACCAGGCAGAACACACATACCAGTCAGGCTTACCATGCTCTTCGGATTGTTCATGATGATAGTCTCTGTCTATGGGCGGATCGCGCAGCACGGAGGTGTCAATTGCGTAGTCTGGACGGCCCGTAATAATCCGCCGCGTCATTATGTAATGAGCAGCCTCAGGTGCAGCACGCACGAACAAGGGAGCGTTTGTAGGACGTGAAAAAGGCTCTTTGTGCAATGCTAGTGAACGAGAACTAGTCCAAGGATATCTTGTTGGTAAACGCTGTGACAGCTGCTTCTCTGAAGGATATCCTAATCCAAAACTCATCTGGGATTCGAACGGGCGACTCCTGCCGGGCGCCCACCAAGCCTCATGCATCATGCCCGCCAGGCTCCAGCAGCTCCATCAGCAAAGTGGGCGCGGAAACGGTAGCGTCTGATAGTGGACGAGGGCATTCGTAGCGTACGATAGTTAGTGATAGCGAAGACAATAGACAGTAGCTGAGCATCCAAGTAATGCAGTATCCCGTATTGTATGGTCGTCTGCTTCTTTCGCTATCAAATGATGATCAAGTCTCGCGGACAGGGCTATCAATTCTGAGTGCGCGCCCGACCATATACCGATCATCTGCGGCGCATGAGATGATAGCGGTACACGATAAGAGGTCAGAGTTAGCGGAGGAGACGACAGAGAACCTACAGCACCATGCGGAAGATTATCGTCTTCCGTCGTACACTGTAATCACACAAATAGTATCATACGACCACGCAACAATCCATTCGGAGCAAATAGGAAACAGGGGTGTTCTACAAGGCAGACTATGGTGTACATCCAGGAAACGAATAGGTACTCATTAATGTAGCATTCACAATACGTGTGTACGACCTGTGGTGCAAGCAGTGAGTGAGACGACAGGAAGACATGCAAGAATTGAAACATACCGTCTACTGCTGTCCTTCGTCGTCATCGTCATCGTCATCGTGGTCGTGGTCATCATCACCCTCCGGGAGCTCTTCATCTGAGCCTGGCGCGTCGAGGACGTCATCGACGTCATCGAAAGGCGTGCACTTCTCGTCGACAGTGAGGGCGACATCGTCAAAGGGGTGCCTGTGATGAATGCGGGTGTCAGCCGACTCGTCTCAATATAGCGCACGAAACGGAGGCTTACCGGATCCACCAAGTGGTCGTCTCGGCCTTCCGCTGCTTTTGTGTGGTGCACCTGAACTTGAGCACAAAGTCACACAGTGCACACGTCCCAGAAGCCGTCGGTGTTGCTCCATTCGGGCTCGCAGCTGAAGCAGAAGCGCACCTGACAGGGGAAGCATGTGAGCGCGACGAAAGGCAAGGACTAGATGGATGCGTGCTCCGACCGTCGCGTTGTAGTGGCGTGAAGAAAGTGGCCGCAGGCGCGGTCTGATGTGGAGGGTGTACGGCCTGCGCTGGGAGCTGCGTGAGTGGTGGCAGTGTGATATGGTGGAGATGCAGTCTAAATGACGGGAACTAGAAGCGTTGGAGGGCTGAAACAGAGGCCGCCGAGTCGCATATGAATAACCAGCAGTGGTACCGTAGAGCGCATAGTAAGACGTACTGGTGGACACTGAGCAAGGGGTGAAAGGTTAGGAGATGGAATCAGAGACGCTGCGGCGGGAGACACGGGGGCGGGACGCACGCCATGATCCATCCTGGGAGCCAGTGGCGCGGTCGGACTTGCACTTCTTGCCACCGTCACCGGCTTCATTATGTCCGAACAGGGTCTGAATGCCACTTAACTATGATATTGAACCATAGAGCAACTGAGCATACCTGGGGTGTAGGCTCCGTGCGCCACTCCAGCAGCCTGTGAGAGTTGTTGTGAAAAGCCATGTTGATGGCGACATCGATAGACGTGCGGCGGCGAGGGAGACGCTGAGAGCGGGGAATGAGGAGGAACCCGCCGTCTCATTATACATCGCACGCGAGAGTGAGTGGCACATCGCGCTTGGGGATGGTGGCGGTCGCAGGTAGAGTCCAGTAGGCGCGCATGCCCGCACACGCGCCCATGTCTGGGAACGGAGGCCAAAGCGGGACGCCACCGTCACATTGAACCCTATCCAACCGCGAGAATTAGCAGGAAATCATCATAGGCAATAGGCCTCAGAATGGCGCTGCTAACACCGACCTCTGTATGCCTCATTATCCACACCGACGAGAACCGGCGTGCACTAGACCTACGTCTTCAGCTTCGGAGGCGCACTGGGGACAACCTGCCGCGTGAGCGTCCTCTTCATTGCTTCACGCGCAATCAACTTCCGGTGCCCTCCGCAGACAATACGTCAGCTCCGACGCTTCCTAACCAGCTCGAGAGCGAGAGTGCTTACGAGTAGAACACTGGGGACTTAGTCGGCACGTCCAGGCCCTCGACGCCCAAGAGCATGCCGCGCGACACGGGGACCATGATCCGGACCACGAACAGGATGTCCACGATCGTGCGCTTGTCGCCGAGCAGCCACTCCTGCTTCGACAGCACGCTCTCGAGCATGCCGAACACCCGGATGACCTCGTTCTCATGGCGCGTGATCGCGGAGGGGAGCTTCTCCGGGTGCAGGTACTAGAATCAGCCAAATTTACCGAAGTAGGGGCTGCGCACGGAGAATTGTCAGACAAACTAGCCTTCGCATGCATGCAGGCTGATTGACGCACCCTCGGACGGACGCCTGGCAGACGAGCCACTAGACGAGCACGTAGCGCACTCGTCGTCCTGCACGAGGGACAGATTGCTCTCCTTCGGGTCGTACTTGTCCGTGAGGTGGAGGATGATCACTCCCAACTCCTAGATCGTGAAGTTGCCATTGTGGTGGTTGATGAGCATCGGAGTGCGGTCATTGGGGTTGTACTAGGTGTACGCGGGCGCCTTGTGCTCACCCTTGTTGAAGGAAAGGCTAAGTTCCTCAAGGACCATATGGATCGAAAATATGTTCGAGCATGTGCCGAGGGCGCGACGAAAGAACCACCGGGCTCCTGCAGGCAGGAGATAGGTCGACAGATTGCGCCGAGGGGAACGTGGGAGTAGAGCAGAGCGTACCTCATCAAGCTTTCACCGCCTACTATCAGCAGCATTATCTCAAAACCCCTTCCCAGTCGCATTGGTGGAGCTTCAAGCTGCAGAGGTCATAGCTTGTCGATCATGGGATATCGAGGAGGACGGGGGTGGATCATTATGGAGAGTTCGGTTGGGCAAAACTAGGCTGGGCGTTCGATGTAGAGATTGACGGAGCGGCGAGCCTGACGCAATGGGAATGATTGAAGCCATTTCCACCATAAGGGAAGAAGAAAAGCAGGAGTATATCGGCAAGATAGTGGTGGGACGAGACAAGTAGCGCGTCCGTAGGCGTCTATCGAACTCCGTGCGACACGGGCAACCAATTGGTTGTCCACACCATGACCTTGCGGTTAATTTGGGCAGCGCCCCTCGTAGCGGGTTTATAGCTAGTGTGTATTTGGGCATATCACTCTGCGGGACGGCCCCAGAGTTGGTGGACAATCCAGACTTGGTCGCGGAACACAGGCGCCTGCCTGAGCCACCCGCACGGGGAGGCCGTATGTATCCTCGCGCGCACCACGTTTTCTGCGGCACGCACTGTCGCGCGCCCACTAATCGACCGTATAGCTCAATAGAGCCTCTTATGTACCCCGCCCGCACCACGATTCACCCTTGGGGGAGCGCAAGATCATCTGCTGTCATTATTATATCATCGACTGCAGCTTCCTGTATAAGCTACTAGTGCCTGTAGTAAATACATCATATCTTGTATGCGGCCACAAAATGCGATCAAATGTCATAGCAAAGACGAATGAATGTCACCTGCTACCGTTCTGCTATCATCATTTGTCGCGCAGACAATAGACGACCTGTCCCGATCTGGTAGAGTCGCGTGCTATCGGGCGCTACCGTAAAAAACACCTTTTGCTGATGTCCAGCCTTCCTCCTCTCGACCATCTGTGCGCGTGTCTCATGAAGACTCGTGGGTTCATTGAGGGAAATGGAGACACTTGCATGTTTAAAATGTCGCAGAGGAAATCTGGCTCCAGAATCCAGAAAACATTGTATTTGCTCTTCCTTCCGCCGCTTTGAATCTTCGCTCGCGCGAACGACCATCCGCCCCGAAGGTGCCTCATCGGCTGATACATCGGCTACATCTCAGCTTTACACGATGACATGCCGGAAAATTGGAAGTCCTGATCATCCTTTACGCACGCCCATCCGACCACGTGAGTCCTGCCGTTGTATAGCTTATGTACATGGCTAAAGGCGTTCCTCGTCGTTCCTCATCCATGCACCGCTCTATGTACACGGTGACTCCATTTCTAGGTACCAGCGTGCCAGGGCGACTTCGTTTCATTCGTCTGTTCGCTGACGTCGGCAATGTTTGTCACCGCTTTTGCTGGCTTAGCTAGAACCAGTCCGCTCCGCGCGGCGTGATGCGTAATGTCAGTACTGAATGCCGCCAGCAGCCAGCATCCACGAGGGGTTCTTTCTCCGCGCCCTACAAATACCGCCCTCTCGTGGGGCTGTGTCCTGCTGCACCCCCGGCGGCATTTCAACCTACGGCGCAGCATACCGGACAACATGCGTTTCTTACGCCTCCTTTCCGTGACCCTCGTCCTGGGCTTGGGAGCTCAAGCGATCCCAATTCTTTCGTCGTGCTCCCACGGGGCTTACAGTGCTCTCATAAGTTTCGGTGACTCGTTCACAGACAATGGCGAGGAGCATACTTGTTTGTCCTCTGGTGGTAGTAGACTGACCATTTCATGACAGGCAACGGCGCTTGGGTGGTATCGAACCATTCCTGGCCGGCAAATCCCAACTAGTGCGTCTCTGTTCTTCGGCACGTCTCCCGAACTGGCGATCTTACGCGGGTTCTCCGACAGCTTTGGAGGGCGTTTTTCCAACGGCCCAGTGTGGACCGAGTTCATCGCGGGCAACCTCTCGATCCCGCTCATCGATTACGCAGTCGGGGGAGGTACACCACCTCGCCCTCTTCCACTTCCGTATTCCGTCCTCATGACCGCCTTCCAGCGACGACCTCGAACAGTCTCGTCCAAGGCTACACCGGTCCAAGCTCTTCGATCCCGGTACACTCCATCGACGAGCAGGTACACCGCTTCATCGCCTCTCCACCCGCCGCGCTGCGAGACACCGAGTCGTCCCGGCCGCTGTTCACTCTTCTCGGCGGGCTGAACGACTTTTTCTTCAACCCGAACGTGACCGGGGCGCAGTCCGCGCAGAAGATCCTCGCGACCCGAGCGCTCCTCGCGGCCGTGTACCCTAAAGCGCGGATCCTCGTGCTCGACTACCCGCGCGCGACGTGCTTCCCGTACGCGGCGTACGTGGACGACGCCGGCCGCGAGGCGCTCGAGACTTTCGGCAAGGAGCTGCGCGCGCACCTCCTTGCGGCAGCGGTGGGCGCGCAGCCCTCTGGGGCGGGCGCGTTCACGTTTGTCGACATGGAGCCGCTGTTCGAACAGTTCCAGCCGGATGGAGCGCCTGAGGTGTATGGGTTCACCGAGGACGGGGCCAAGGGGAGCTGCTTGACGGGGGCGTACGGGGAGACGCCGACGGTCACGTTGTGCGACAATGCGCCGGAGAGGGTGTGGTGGGATGAATACCAGTAAGTGCTTGCGCGGTCGTTTGTTCCACCACTGCAGTGGCTGATATGCTCGTCTGCAGCCCGACGACACATAGCCATTCGTGGGTGGCCGCGCTCGTTCTCAACGCGCTCGGGGTTTGAGACTCCTCATACCGCTATACTGCTCGCATGGCATATATCCATCCTGTACGCCCGAAAGAATACAGGGCAGCGTTTCATTACCCTCTCGGTAGTGAGTGACGCCAAGCCTTTGCGCAGCCATTGCCCGTCCCAGGCCGCACCCTCGTCTCATGTCTCTGTCGTTCGGTCACAAAGCCGTCTCGTCCACGCAAACCTATGTTCTATTGTCGCCGGATGCTTGCCTATCATTTCTCTCGTTTTCCCGTATCCCTATGTCCCAAGCCTGATGGTCTAGTCCGTGCCGGACGGAGACGCCGTGGGGCTCATCCAAGGCTCCTGTCGGTGGCGCGATCTCGGTACCGGTTACAGTAGGCATGCAGGAAACGATGGACCCTTCAAGCCCGCAACCTCAGCTCGACTTGAGGCCTGAGGAGCACGGTCTGTCTTATGCAAGGTTACAACGGTCTGAAGCGGACCATTAGCGGCACAGTCACGGATGCGCTTGAGAGGCATTGTCGTCGTCAGGAAGGAGTGGCCCACGACCACGGTGTCAATCGCGGTGAGAATCCCTGAGCAAACGGCCGGAGGGGATAAAAGCCGTGATTTCGCTGGCCGCAGGATGCGAGGTAGAGTCACGCGTGTAATCATTCACGAGGATACACAGTGCATGCTTCGTCCCTCTGCATGTAGTACTAAAATATCTTCTTTGCCTTGGCGTAGACGGCGTAAAGCGCAATGAGCTCCCGCCAGTAAGGCGGCGGCTCTTCGACGCGTTCCTGGGCCGAGTAGCATCGATACTCCTCAGCCTGACACGCAACACTGTTGGAATCGCACTCGAAACTAAGAAGTCAAGCCGCTCATCGAAAATGCACCTGGAAAGCACCGTCCTTCACTTCAAGCGTAGCAATGCGGCCCTGTATTTCCTTCGCGAGCTACGGTCATCGGTCATCGGCAGTGGCGTTCATCGACATGCAGAGGAACGTACCTCACACTTCGCCTGGTCGAACAGCACGTGGAAGAAAACCGCCTGTTGCATGAGCAGCGTGCACACCTCCTCGACGCCCTGCGCGACCTCGCGCACGAGATCCCCCAGGCACTCAGCGTCGTTCAGCTGAGTAGCGCTTGCACGTCGTCTGCTCGCCTGGACCTCTTCGTGCTTCTTCCCAGGGATATCTGTGGTATTTAGAAGTCGTATTGTCGAGGTTAGTGGGCGTGCGCGGACGGCTAGGTCGAGAGAGATGACGGACCGACGCAAAGCTGGCGCTTGCTGCGGAACAAACCACCGAGAAACCATTCCAACAGGCTGTCTGTGTACGCCCCAAAGTGATCGCGCATGACGTTGTCAACGCAACCCCACAGAACGCTTCGAACATGACTCACTCGCTGGAGTTGTTCTCAGACTGACGGGGCGCGCTCTCAGCGGTCTCCTCGGATGGCTTGGTGTCATGTCAGTCGTCGACGATGTGCTGCAGGTCATTCGCGATGGCTTCGAAGAACTTGGAAATCATGGTTACTTCGGTGGGAAACTTGTTGGTGGTGTAGATTGAGTCAGCTTGCTGATAAGAATGCAGTCAGCGAGAATTGCACTGGTACACGAAGGAGCTGAGAACGGTACTTTGGCATACGCCGACAGCACGGCGGTCCTTCGATCTGCGGAGCGAGCGGTCCTGTCGCCGCCGGTGATAAGGTAGGCTGTGAGGAAGTTAGACCGACTATGCCCAGCACTTGATAACTTGAACGACATCGTACCTGTCAGGAGCGCACTGAGACTACTTGCAGCGATCTCCGAGTCGATGATCAACTTCATGTACATCTGTATGAGCGGTTTCCCGTTATTTCACGTTAGGGTCAGCGGGGAGAACGCTCATAATGACCGAAAGCGTACGCTACGGGCCTGGGCCCACTGCTCGACATGTTCATTGCTCACGAGTATCTCGTCGATCTTTCTGACCTTCCTTTCGATTTTGCGGACTCTGAGGCGGTTTAACTGCAGAGCCTCGTGCGCGAGTTCCTTGAAGAGTCCACAGGGAGTCGCGTGCATGATGTGATCGAAGTGGAGGGGAAAGAGACAAGCCCCTGAGTGTTGGCGGACAAGGACGAGTGCACACGCTCGCAGGCCGACCGGGGGCTCGTCGCCGGCGAGCGGCCGAGTCCTCCATCTCCCTCGCCGGCCAATCGGCCGCGGGGAGGGCCTTGGCTCTGTAAGTATACCGAGATTGGCAGCAGGCGACGGCGTTTGAGGCCTCTTGGACGGGCCTCGGGTGGCGGACGAGAGTACTAGTGGTCCAAGGCTCGCGCGGCGCGCGATCCCCGCAAGCCCAGGAGCGCTCGCGTGCGCGCGAGTCTGCTTGGGGCTACTCAGGGACGCCCTCGAGAACCTGAAGGTAGCGCGTACCTCGTACGACCTCCTGTCGGGTTTGTTCAATTTGTACGCTGCGAGCGTATTGATCTGGCCGCCGAGGTGTGGCGTAGTTGTTTCTGTGTAATTTTATACGGAACGATTGCAGCACTTGGAATGGGACGCGATTAGTTTCGATCTCCTTCCGCCTGCAATATTTGCCGCCTCGTGAGGATCCGTGTTCCGGGGGCATAGCTCATGTAGTCATTTCATCCACACACCTCCCACCGGTCCCTTCCAACGCACCATAACCGCCCCTCTTTCTCCCCCCACTTCAACGCCTCCTCGACTGCCCACTCCCCGACCCGCGCCCACCGCTCGTCGCTGTTCCGCAGCCACACCAGCAACTCTCCCTTTGTCGGCCCCGCCAACACCCCCGTCCCTGTCCGCTCCTCCGCGCGCAGCTTCTCGATGAGCGATATCGGTTGCCGCCGCGCACACTTCTTTGTCGGAGTCCGTTCGTCCGCGTAGCACCCCAGCGCCGGGGCGGTGGCGGCGTCCATGATGGTGCGGATCGCACTCTCGAGAACGCGCGCGAAGTACATGGACGTGAGCGGGATGTAGGCCTCCTCATGCGGCGGGGGATCGCTGAGCGGCTCGTCCTCATCCCATTCATCATAGACGGGGCGGGAGCGAGAGGACGCAGCGGAGATGGACGATAGGGTGCTGCTGTGTGTCTTCCATAGACCTGATGACAAGGGGAGGGAGGCGGATGGAACGAGGGAGAGCTGGAGAGGGAGCGGGCGCACAGGGCCTTCCCAGAGTACGATGTCGCCGTCGGTGAATAGGGTGCGGATAGCTTGTTTGAAAAGGCGCTTGACTGCTGCTGCGATGGGCGGGTCGCTGGGCGGTGCGGAGCGCGAGGAGCCAGAGATGGGCGGCACAGGTTTCGCCTGTGAGCGTTGCGATTTCTCTTTTTCTTTGTGGTGGTTCTCCTTGGCGCGGCGACGGGCTTCTGCTTTGACAACTCGTCGTGAAAGTAGAGCAAGCTCGGGGACGCGCCGGAGGTGGGACAGCGTGAAGCCGTACACCTCGTCATCGTCTGACTCCGACTCAGCCTCCGACTCAGCGTCGGTGTCGGGATCAGGTAAGAGGGAGCGAGCAGGCGTGGCGGTGTTCTCTTTGTGTGCTTTCAGCCGCCTTGAGGGTCGAGGAGTTGCATCCACGTCACTTTCGTACCGTGGTCTCTTCGAAGACCTGGGTGTCGGGGTCGGAGATTCGGATCTTGAACCTGAAAATCGACGACGCCGAGGTGGCGGAGGCGCATGGTCCATGTAGTGCTTGACATATATCCGGAATGTGTTGGTCGTTAGGTCACGCGTGTGCAAACGCGATGGATGACGAAGCCGAGGAACCTACATACGCATGAGCACAAAACCCTAGCATTTTAGAGTGACGAAACTCACTTGGTGCTCGTCACTAACGTTTGATGCAGGGGAAGATGCTGCGATGGTGGTGGGAGTGGTGTTTGTGGGGGAAGCCACGGAGTAGTGTGAGGGTGTGTGGGGCCCGGATGGGACGACCTGTTTCGACGGAGAACAAGGCAGTTCAGGTAGTGTCGGCGGAGGTGGGACAAAGGGCGGCATCGGTTTTGTGGGATAATACGCATCTCGATGCAGTCTCGATACGGCCATCCAATGCTCAGATTCACCATTGGAGGAAGGGCATTCGTCTATGTGGGGTTATCAACAACTACGCGCGCTCACAATACTGGCGAGCTTACGGATCTCATTAACCAACACTATGCGTGTATCACGCCATTTGATAACGCGGCCTTCGACCCGTACCGACAGACCGACATGGATGACTGGTACAGGAGGTGGCAAGGGGAGTACAGGTTTTGGTGGATCCGGAGCCCGAACGTAGTCCGAGAACGACGCTTTGGCTGAAGAGGGCGCGGGCCGTTTTGCTGATGCACCAGCTGTCTTGACAGACTTGTGTTTCCCAGGGCTTCGGGGGGCAGGCTGTGGATGAGCGAGCCCACATTCAATCACCGCGGTTCCGTCGTCAATTATGTACATTGTTCTTTTCTCTTGGACTTGAATGCCGACCACAAGACCAACGATGCGTACCGTTCGGCATGGGATGCGACCAAGCCAGAAAAACTCCATATCTGTCAAGGCATATGAGCACTATCCATGGCAGAGCAAACTGCATTCCGGTTCAAGCGCGCTGGTTCAAGTAAAGCCAACGCTGAGAATCATAACAACAGAGGGCTATGTTTTCTCCGAATATGTGGTGTGTCCCATATCCGCTAGGGTTCCCATGCGGCAACGCAAATACATGCGTCAAGAGATGTGCACATACCTCGGGAACCACTATCTTTCATGTTGAGGACGTCACTCACGAAGCAAGATGCTGTGGAGGCACGATTAAATGTCCACTTCAGGATTTCCGCTGGCGTTGGTGTCTTCATAGATGCATCATGAGCAGTAGATGTGCCGGCCCTTCCTCTCTTGGATGGTGATAAGAGGATAGATGATGTTCGTCCAAGATTGGTCTTCGTCCGCTGTAGCGTGGAGGTCGAGGCCTTGCTCATTGGTCACAAAAGCGTGATGGGATCGCCGAGAGAGTTGTCGAGTGGAGATATATTGACGAGCCTACAGAAATACAGAAGAGAAATGTGAGGGGCACAGGGGGGAAGGGCTGGGGTAGGAGGGGACGGCAGTGAACCAGGCTATTATTATTATTATTATCATCATTCTATCCCTATGTGTCACATGGCAGTGAACCAGGCCGAACACTGCGTGAGCTGCAGCAGCGTGAGGGAGACGCGTTTCAGCCACGTGATTGATTTTGCCGCAGCACGTGAGCGTCTCGCGCGCGACTGTGTCGTCCTGGGTGCACGCTTATTCCTCCCCATATCACCGACAATCCCTTACCTCACACCACCAAATGTACGATGGTGCAAATATGTCGTGCAGCAGATGGCACAATCACCCCTCTCGACCTCACCCTATGGGATCTGGAAAGGTACGCGTTGCATACATGCTAGGAGAACATCACTGACATGCCTCACAGGCTCGCAAGCCTCGATAAGCTCATCGAAGAGAAGACAGGGATACGCCAAGAGGACATATGGGCATATCTAGCCGATGGGAGACCACTCAAGAACGACACCATCCGCGAACTTGCAGGGCTTGAGGACCAGGTGTGCCACCTTGTCTTTTCATCTTTTCCATGCCCTTACATGCGTGTAGACGGTCTATGTTTTCAACAAGCAGTATCTCAGATGTGAAATAGAAGAAGCAATCAACGATTTGCACCTCTCACCGCAACTGGAGCCCCCTGTAGACGGTATGTGTCTCTCGCTGTGTATACGCATGCGAAGAGAGCACCCATCGTTCGTTCAGATACTGTAGCGTCGACTCCGCCGCTTCGAACATCCCAACTTGCAAATTCCTACGCCGACATTGGTCACGCTCATGCAGAACGTGTCGGAAACATTCTCACCGCTCTGCTGTATCAACACCGCGCCCTCCGTATTTTGTCGAGTACCCTCGACCATCACATACTCGCCACTTCCGACAGCTTCGAGGGTTTGTCCGCGTTTGCAGAGCGCGAACTGGACAAGCAAGCGAAGCTTCTCGAAGGATTGGACTCCGACCTCGAGATCGCTAGTAGAGTCAAGGTCCACAAGGAATTTCTGAGCGTGGCCACACGGAGAGCCATGGAAGCTGGGGACAAGGGACGGACTCTGGGCGACTATGTGAGTCGTCAGAAGATGCAGCAAGTTGCGGCGAGTTGTGTGAAGACACACGAAGACCTCAAGGCGCGCTTCGGGGAGGTGGGCGAAACGATGGCCCGGTTGAGCAAAGGCGGCGACGAAGTACGCCATTTTGTTGCTGTCACCAGGTATGTAAAATCTTGTTTTGGTCTGCACGCAGCACATCAATGGACCCCAGTTCTGTAGAAGCGGCAGAAGAATGCGCGCGTCGAGCACAAGACATGTGGCAAACACTCTCCGTGCTGCATGCGTCGGTTGAAAGTGCGTGGATCCGCCGTCCGATTTGCTTCTGAATCTAAGCCGAGACGTAGAACCTGGAGTAACACCTGAGAAGGCTCTAGGAGGTGTGTGTATGCGTCAATCTTGGTATCCCTTTGCTCAAAGACAAGCAGAATTGCGCCAGCTTGATGAGGCTCTTCGGGCCGAGGTTGAGCAAATCACTGAAATCAAGGTACGCCACCTTGAACGGTACTCTAAAAGCCCGTCTCATCGGAATTTTAGAACATACACACGCAGCAGACCCTGCAAGCCATTCGCCAAATCAGTGAACTCAACACAGACCTAGTTGCCCTTCCCTCCGCCATGGCTTCTCTCCAGACAAGCTTCCGCACGAAGTCCAGCTTTGCGCATATAGCGAGGCTTCACAACATGCTCTACGCCTATGGCGCCACTGTGGTTGAAATCGTCCGCCGAAAGGAGTTTGGTGCGTGGATGCCCGACACCCCGATGACCTCGAATGCTTATCAAATCGGCAGCACGGTTCTTCTACCAGAGGGCGCAGAGTATATTGGAGGTCATGGCGAAGCTCTCGTAAGTGCCTCGATAGTTCTACAATGGGCGGTGGATTAACACGTGGCAGGTCGAATGAGCGAAAACGACGCCAGGTCTACAGGAGTGAAGTACAGGGAGAACTCCCTTTCAAGTTGGAAGGACTGGACGACGCTCCCCCTAGTATTGACTTCTCCCCGAGCGCCTCCAACGACTCGGAAACCTCTCTAGAGCGATTGGACATCGAAGGCGAGAGCTTCTTATGTCTGGGATGTAGGATGATGTACTCACGGTTTGAGCAGACTTTTTTCATGTGCTCGATGATCTGCAACGCTTCGCCCAGGAGTCCAAAGACCAAGCTGCAGAAGCGTCAGTCCTGGAAGCGCGTTCGAAGTTGGAGAAGCTTGTCGGCAAGATGGACGGGTTAGAATCCGGCTTCGACAGGATCGCGGAGCGATCTCGTACGTGTCTTCATTCTGAGATGGACCTCTTCTGATCCGATTGTTCTTCCTTTCAGTACTTTCGACGTCTCGTCTTCTGAGTCATCGACGAAGAGGTACGGGTGTATTATGAAACGTGCGCCCTGTCTGACCGGCCCATCAGCCACCGAAGACGATCAAGCGTTCACGGAGATGCAGCATCAGCTCCAGGAGTTGCAGCGTCAACGTCAAGAGGACGAATCATCTTTCCGGCAAACGCGATCCACGATGGAGGCCGACATTGCGCGGCTACGTGAAAGCCTGAAGACTTCGGAAACGGCTCGAGGACAGCTGGAACGAGACTTGCACTCGACCCGTGCTCAGCTCGAGAGCGAGTCGACCTCAAGACGGATTCTAGATGAACGCAACTCCGACATGTCCAAAGAGGCTGACACGAGTAGAGAAGCCCTTGCGCGAGCGCTCGCCGAGGCCACCGAGCAGACTCGGATCGCCGAGCTCGTGCGCCAACAGCTCACTCAAACGCGAGACGAGTTCGAGGCCGTCAAGTCGCTCGAATCTCGGAACTCGGACAAGGTCTCCACTCTTCTGGAAGAGCAGGCCAAGACACTGCTGCGCCTAGAGGAAGCCCGGTCGCGCGGCGAAGACCTAGAAACACAAATCAAGGCCGCACGCGCCGAGAGCGACGATGTCAAGCGCGCCCTCGCGGAGTCTAGCAAGGAGAAGGACCGACTTCTCCGCGCCCAGGCGTCGGAACACGATCGGCTCCTGCGGGACCACATCGCCGAGGCCGATGGAGACCGGGCGGTGCTCGAGCATCAATTCTCCGAGCTCAAAGCAGCCCTCGAAGACGCCGAACGTCAGGTCAAGGACTCACGAACTCAGGCTGAGACTGCCAATGCGGACGCCTTCGGCTTACGTGAAGAGCTGCAGCGCGTCGAACATGAGCTCCGAGATATTCGCCGGAGCGAGCGGGCCGCCCGGGAAGAACTTCGTACCGGACGTGCCTCACAAGTCGACTTTGAGCAACAGCTTGAGCAGAGTGAGCGGCTTGTCGCTCAAATGCTCGATGTTGCCCTCGCGTTCCGAAACGCGCACGCCAAGGCATTGTCCAATGTCCAAGCCATGGTCGCGCACCCTGGCACCAAGGCTGCTACTGTAACTAATCTTGCAGAGTCAACGTCTCTCAGCTACTCGCGTCACGGCATTGTCGCCCATTCCGGAGAGCCCGCCCCTATCGACCCATCCGACCCAAGCGGTGCACTTGAAGCGCTGCGTGCGTTTGATCACGACCACTTCCTCGAAGCAATCGCGAAAGCCGGGTCGACAATCCGCAAATGGCAGAAACAGTGCAAGGAGTACCGCGAGCGAGCAAAGGGCAAGATCTCGTTCCGGAATTTCGCGAAGGGAGATCTCGCCCTCTTCCTCCCCACCCGGAACTCAATCTCGAAACCCTGGGCGGCGTTCAACGGTGAGCGTCGATGATGTTTGCTCGTGCGATGATGTTCTCAGGCACTAACCACCGAGGTTCCTCCGATACTCCGGCGCTTCTCAGTCTCATTCCCTCACTATTTCCTACAAGCCTCCGGCCACCTCGCAGAGCAGCTCAAGACCCGCGAATGGATTGTGGCAAGGATCACGTCGATCACCGAACGGGTCGTTGATTCGAAGGCGAGTAGTATTGGTGGCAATATATTCATGTAGCTGTCTAACGATCTCTATGTAGGATCCCAGCACCAACCCATATGGTCTAGGAGACGGTGTCAAGTACTACATGCTCGAGGTCGAAGACTGGACGCAACCGTCGTTTCCCTCGAAGCGTCGAGAACAGCTGAAGAAGCTGCCGCCGTCGGATCCTCCCCTCGAGCCAACCGCTCAGATCCTTCCGGCCTCTGAGGCGATTCCCATTCCTGCTCGTCCACCGGAGCCAGACGTGGAAGAGTCGTTCAGCGCGACGCGTCCTCCGACGTCCCGTCTCTTCCCTCGCAACCGGTCCTCCTCCTCCCCAACGGCCGGACCCTCCTCTCTGTCTCGACTCCTGGCTCAGGCTGGGCCCTCCGATATTCCCGCCCAATCACCGTCAGCGCTAGGGTTGGGGATGACGAGTCTGGAACCCAGGCACGGCATGGCCGAGGGCGGCGCAAGTGGCGAAGACTCGACTCCTCCCCCTCGTACGGCGTCGCCTGGCGGCTTTCCAGTGACACCGCCTCCAGAACATAGTCCGAAGGCGTCCCGCAGTGTGTCGCCGACGGTGCCTCCCCCACCTGCTCCATCACGCACGCCTTCTCATCCGCAACCGATACCGCTTTCGCCATTAGATACGCAGGAGGCCTCCTTAACAGCGCCGAAACGTCCAAACCTCAGCGCTCCATTGCCGCCTGCGTCTGGCTCCCAGCCATCCGTTGCCCTTGCGCCGACGAACGGGAACACCGAAGGTGTTAGTCCCGTATCCGCGACTGCCACTTCCCCCTCGACGATCGTGCCCCCGCCCGCGCAACTCTCCCCGCGCCGCCCAGGCTCGCGCCAGTCACGAGGCTCGTCGTCATCGCGTTTCTCAACCGCACGCATACCCTTCGGCGCCGGCGCCAGCAAGGCAATGCCCACCACCGCGGTCTCCGAGCAGGCGATCTCCACACTCTCCACAACGCCTTCGTCTCAGTCGTCTGGATCTCCAGGCGCGGTCTTCCCTGCCGCCTCCCAGAACCCCTCCGCCTTACCCTCGCCCAGCGGCTCGCCCACGCGCGGCATGGCAGGGATCCTCGGTCAGAACCGCCGTCGGACGGCCTCGTACCACGTACCACGACCTAGCATCAGCACGAGCACGAGCGTCACGACTGCGTCTGCCACCGCGGCTGCAAGCGGGGCCACCGCGGCCGCGCCCACGGCGACAGGCAGCCTTGCGTCGTACGCCCGAAGCTGGAACATGTTCGGCGGGAAGAAGCGCGGGTCCCTGCTCAGCCTGGGGATGAGCAGCTCGCAAGCGTCTGGGGGCACCAGTACGATTCCAGAGGCGGAGTCTCCGTCGTAGTCACTAGTGGAAAGCGGTGCGGGTTGGATTGCCGTCGCTGTGCCTACTGTACGCCGCACTCTTCTTTTCATTTACCACCGCCGTTTGCCGGCGTGTTCGGCGCGCATCCTCCGGATCTACACTCGCTCGTTTGCCCATCCATTGCTCTAGCCCTTTAGTAACTCGCTGTCTTTAGACCCCCTTCACGCGTTCGCGCTTCAAGGAATACACACACGTAATGCTTCCATGATTCGGATGATCTCTGGGCCCGATGCCAAAACTGGTGCGTTTTTCTCGATCCTCTCTAGATCGTGGAGGAATCGATTGCACTCCTCATCTGCGCGCCTCGAAGCCTGTTTCTGTATCGCTTCCGCCAAACTTGTTGTGCTATGACTGTGTGTAAGGCGGAAGGTTAAGCCGTCCCGAACGCCGCTAGCGAGGCCCTGAAGACTGAGATGAACGTTCTGACAGACTTCTGCCAGTGTCCAGGGTCTCACTACGACGTTTTCCTACCCTTTCGAACAGATGAAGCGGGACTGTACCTGGATTCCACCCACCGTACATATTTGATGGTGACAGCGGCAAGATGTGGGCGATGGTCACGGGGCACGCTCGGCCCCGGCACCAAGTTTGCCAGTCTCTGTTCGGTGCCGCAGCGCATGTTTCAAAACGTCGGTGTCTCAGGAACGGACGACACTAATGCCAAGTGCGAGGGTCGTCCGTTTCTAAACACGGCCCATCATTCTCAAGAGCAGAAAACCTACCATCGAGTCCTCCTGGTCGCAATCAGACGGTGGATGCACACGCGCGACCGTCCGGTAGCCAGACGTCTTCCCCGGGACGTCCTCCCTCAGACTCCATGCCTTACGTGCGCCGCCATCTGCCTCAAGCTTAAGCAGGGTGCGAAGGACGTACTGCGGCCTGGGACGAGGAGCGGCGCGTGACCGCTAAGCGATTCTCCGCGTGCGACAGCCCGGTGGCGCGCCGCGATGCGCGGATTGTCCGACGAGGGCGCTCCCCGCCCGCACGCGACGGGATTTTTGCTTGTGCTCTTTGGCTTTCTCGTCTCCCGTTGGCGAGATGGAGAGATGGCTGGGCGGTCGGGCGGAGGAGGGGCAGGGCAGGAACGCGGGGGCGACGTGCTAGACGGTGGTGGCGCCGCGGCAATAACGGGATTTCTCCAGTGTTTCCGCGCGCGAGCGCCGCGGCGTGGTCCGTGGGTAGCGAGGAATCGAGGAAGGGGACAACGAGCGGGTGCGGGTTGGGCGGGGCACGCTTATCGAGCGCGACCGGGGGAGCGAGGCGTGATCTGGCTTCCATGCACGGTGCGCGCTCGGCGATACGTGTGCGAGCGGGGCACACGGGTGGATGAGGAACGGTGCTGCAAGATTAGTAGCAGCTGCTGGCGTGCATGGTCCGGACGCACGGTGGGCGATGGCGGTGCTTTGTGGAATGGGCGACGGTGTCGGGAGCGTGCTGCCGTGTGCTCTGTCCGTCGGACCTTCTGGGGCACGGAACCGGACTCATGGACGCCGACGGCCACCGACGCGAGATCCGGGAGCAGCGACGGACCAGGGGCGACAAAACATGTGTGAGGCGGGGCGTGAAGCGCTCGGCGGGCGCGTGCCGGGGAAGGAAACGTCGACGGGAGCTGGAACTGGAACTGGAACTGGGGCGTGCCTGGGCCCCGTGGGGGAGGCGCGGCGTCACGGGCCGGGTTCAAGATTTTTCCCGCGGGGTCACTTGGCGATGTGTTTGGAGGGCGAGGGCGGGGGCTGGGGAGGGACACAGACGTTGGGATTGCTCCGTACGAGGACCCAAGGGTAGAGCGCCGGACGTGCGGGGAAGCGAACGACGCTTCCGCGGCCGCGCCAATATTCCAATCTCGCTCGACGCGGAACACGATTCGCAGAACAGAACAGAACACGCGAAGATGCGGGGTCTGGGGCGGCGGTGGGGGGTGGCCGTGTGCCTGGCACGCTAGCTGGGCGACTCTCGCGCGGGGGCCATCAACGAACGCGGAGAAACTGGAGAAACTCTGGAGAAACAGCCGAGCTGCGAGCGCGCTGCGTCGCGTCAGGTGCCCCGCCCGACCGCGTCGTTCGTATAAAGCCCGCGTCCGCCCGCCCGCCACTCCAGCTTCCCACAGCTCGTCTCTTCCGACTTCTGCCTCGCTCGCCCCCCATGGCTGTCGGTCCCGCTGCCACCTCCAGTGCCGCCCAGGGCTTCATGCACCTGGTCGACCCCAACAGGAAGTGGTACAACAACAAGAGGTACGCGTCCCCCGTTCCTCCACGCGCCCCCGCTCACTCTACGCGTCCTCTCCAGAATCATCGCCCTCAATGGCTGGCTCGTCCTCCTCCTCATCACCTCCTCCGGCAACGGTTTCGACGGCAGTCTCATGAACAGTCTCCAGTCCATGTACCAGTGGAAGGGCTTCTTCAACGACCCCCAAGGTGGCACTCTCGGTCTCCTCAACGCTATCCAGGTGCGCCTCCCGCCCGCCGTTCATTTCCCGCACCGTGCTCATATTCCTCAAGAACATCGGCGCCCTTGGCGGCTACCCATTCGCGCCCTACCTTTCTGACGGCCTTGGTCGCAGACCCACCGTCTGGATTGGCGCGGTATGCATGATCGCAGGTGTTGCCCTCCAGACTGCGTGCCAGAACATCAACCAGTTCATTGGTGCTCGGTGCGTGGCTCCCCGCTACCTTACGCCACTCCGCGCTAATCTTATCCCGTTCGCCCAGTTTCCTCATCGGCTTCGGTCTCAGTATTGCGAGTACGCATTCACTCCACGTTCATATGACGTGCCCTTGCTCACACGCCTACCATCGTAATTATAGGCAACGCCGCGCCCATGCTGGTCACCGAGATGTCGTACCCCGTCTACCGTCCGCAACTCTCGGCACTCTACAACACCCTCTGGTATTCTGGGAACATTGTGTGCGTCATGACGCGTAGCTGCGCCGCCTCTCAGTCGGTTCTGATGATACGTTCTGCAGCGCGTCCTGGACTTCTTTCGGCACTGCGCGGATCAACAACGACTGGTCTTGGCGTATCCCTTCCCTGCTCCAGGCCATCCCCGCCCTCTTCCAGTTCTTCCTCATCTGGTTCGTTCCGGAGTCCCCGCGTTTCCTCATAAGCAAGGGCAAGGAGACCCAGGCGCTCAAGACGCTCGCATACTACCACGCCGATGGCGACGAGCAGGACCCGCTCGTCCAGTACGAGTTCGAGGAGATCAAGGCCGCCATCGCCCTCGACAGGGAGTCGTCCCGCAATGTCGGCTGGAAGGCGCTCGTCGCCACCCGCGGCAACCGCAAGCGCATTGCCATCATCATTGCCATCGCCTGGTTCTCGCAGTGGTCCGGCAACGGCCTCGTGTCCTACTACCTCAATCAGGTGTTCAACACGATCGGCATCACCAACACCGACACCCAGCTGCTCATCACCGGCATTCTCGCCATCTGGAACCTCTGCTGGGCCGTCTTCGCGTCCTTCCAGGTCGACCGCTGGGGCCGTCGCTTCCTCTTCCTCACCTCCGCCATCGGCATGTGCGTGTTCTTCACGCTCCAGACCATCTGCTCGGCGCAGTACGCGCTCCACGGAAACCAGGCAGCGGCGCACGCGGTCATTGCGTTCATCTTCCTGTTCTACGCGTTCTATGAGTGAGTCCAGTGTCTTCGACACACCGCTTCTGGGTACTAATCGCGTTCTCAAACAGCCTTGCGTTCACGCCCCTCATCGTCTCCTATACGCTCGAGATCCTGCCGTACTCGCTCCGTGCCAAGGGCTTCAACGTCTTCAACTTCACGATCTCCGTCGCCCTCATCTTCAACCAGTACGTCAACCCGATCGCCCTTAAGGCTATCGCCTGGAAGTACTACGTGCGTACCCGTCTCCTCCCACCGCTCGACCGAGCTAGTGTTGACGTTCGCGGCAGATCGTGTACTGCGTCTGGCTCGCGTTCGAGGTCGTCATCCTCTACTTCTTCATCGTCGAGACCAAGAACCGCACCCTCGAGGAGACCGCCGCGCTGTTCGACGGCGAGGAGCTCGACAAGCTCCACCAGGCCACCGCCAAGGTCGCCGAGATCCGCCACGAAGACTACGACGAAAAGTCCTCGGACGCGGCCGCGCACGTCTAATCGCGTCGGCCTCCCCGCGTTCGTGTGTCCCCCCTCACTTTTCTCCTTCCTTTGTCTCTGCTCGCGGATCTCTCTGGACCGGGTCCCCCGGATGCGTAGTTAGTGCGCTTGCGATGGCGCGCTTGTAAGGATACGGCCACCCCACCTCCACCTGCGATTTATTTTCGGTTTGCTCTGCACGCGCGACGCCCCGTTTGCTTTACGCCCCCTCGTCGGCGGCTGTACTATAGTCTTTTGGTTTCCGCTCCCCCCCCACGATGCCGCCCCCCGGGTATGTACACTACATGACGCACCGCACCGTACTGCACCGCACCGCACCATACTGCACCGCACCGCACGCACACGAAGCATACTCGCACGACTACTACCGGTCTCCCTCGCAATGAGAACATACCTTACCCTCCACCGCTGTGAGCGTGCCGCGTCGAACGGGCGCAGCGCTTCTGTGGCTTTGTGGCTTCGCGATGCCGATGTCACTGTCGAGCGCTGAATGTCGAGTTTCGAGTCGAGAGCGCGGAAAGGGTGGCCCGATGTCGAGTCGAGTCCGCGCATGCGAGCGTGGTGCGTGGATCCTTGCAAAGACGCAGCCGTTCTGCTCGATCGCGCGATCCCCTCCCAGCGCGGGACGTCTTCCGCGCGCGCGCGTCGAAGACTCCCACCCGCGCGAGCGAACCCACGAAGTAAGTTCGCTAACTTTGCGGTGTACGTACACACGCCGCGGTGGGATCGTCCGTCGAGATCGGGTCGCATCGCACGTCGTGCCGCGGCGCTCTGAGTCTCTCTCCATTGCGCGCCGTAGCGGCGGCCGTTGTGGGCGGGTGTATGTTGGTGCGCGGCAGCAGGCGCTGAGATGTTTGCACTCGCGCGCGAGAGCGTGTTCCTGGAAGACATCGACTTCGTTCATCAGCGCGGCGACGTCGAGGCAGGCGTCTGGGGCCCGAGGGACGAGTTTCACGGCGTCCGACCGGGCACGGCAGGAAGATCTCGAGAGTCTCGCTCTGAGGGAGGCGCGATCTTGTGAAATCCGGCCCACCGAAGCCGCGCTCTGGGCCGCCGCCGCGACGTCGAAGATAGGTGGGCGTGTGCGTGACCGTGCGGTGCGGCCCCAAGGCCGCACAATCTCATATCGCCCATCTGGCACAGCGGACCGCGGTGCCACTTGAGGCCGGCGGGTGGCATTGAACACGTGAACGCTGGGACAGGTGTGGCTCGCGCGCAAGGATCAGAGCTGGTACGTACGCCGTTCCCTGCGCACCCTGCGAGCACATCGCGTGGAAGTGCACCCGGGTGCTAGCGCGGAGGCACGCGCGGAAAGCGGCCAGCTTTAGACGGGATGCATGGGAGGAAACAGGGCTGGAAGAGGGAGAGGCGGCGCGCGGAGTGGGCATCTGACAGCCACTCGGGGCACGAACCAGATCCGCGCGTGTGGCGACGGTCCGCGCTGGACTCGCAATGGAGGATGGCAGATGGGTGGGGATGTCCCCAGCTAGAGAGGTAGCGAAGAGATGGAAGGACTGTTGGTAGGCGTGAGGCAGGATGCGCAGTAGGTCTCGTGGTGAGCGCCAGGACTGCTTGAATATTGCGAGAAGTGCTGTGCCTGACATCCTCCGCGCCGAGAGAAGGGAAGCTACCGGAGGGTCGGCTAGCGTTCTGCCACCATGATTGGGTTCGCTTCGACGCGCTCGTGGAGGCTTCCCCTGTCCATGTACGAAATCCGTGCCGCGCGGAAGATATTCCTGCCAGAGAACATACGCTGGATGGAGAGGATCGGCGCTGGGATAGTTTCCACACTGCCGGACTGGTCGCTGCGATTGTCGGTGGGGGGTTGTCGATGGGCGATGAGGGAGCGATCTGTTGGTGGCTGATCTTCGCGGCCCGGAGTCGTTCATTACGAGACTTCTCAGGGAGAGGATGACTTCGGAAGTCTCATCTTGACAGACGGGCGTTTGCGCGTCCGTTGTGATAGAACGCGACGCGAGGCTTTGAGACTCCATGACAGAGGGAACGAAGCACGATGGGCGGTGATACTGCGTCGTCGAAGTATGCCTGCTCCAAATGGGTGTCCGCCGGTGAAGATTCCAGCCAGACTGATGGAAGAGGAAATGAGGAAGGATGCCGAATGCCATACGGAAATGGAGTCTATTCAGCGCCTCAAGAACCCAGACTCGAAGTGCAAGTGAACATCAGTGGGGAGAAGAAGGTGGAGGATGCTCACAGATTAAGGTCCTGTTCTCGTACGTCTTTGCTTGGCGCATGAGCGAGACTCCCTGGGCATACCCACAGGACTGCTTCTTACACGAGACTCGGCTCGATGGTGACTGGTCGTCCGTGCAACAACTGGAAATTTTGACTTGACAAGTAGCCTCACCCATTGATTTTGCGAGCATTGAACACGCCTTGAATGGTTCTGTCAAGTCGTAGGCCAACTGTCTGATATCTTGCTGATACTGTCACCAGTGCGTTATCAACCGCGGTCACGTGTCCATCCCCACCTTCAATATTCAATATCCAATAAGCGACCGTACGCTCATCACATTGACCCCTCTCGGCGACGACCCACGACCGACTTGCGCCGGCCGTGCGCTGATGTCTTTTTCGTTGGAAGTTTCCCGACAGAAACCTCCCCGTAAATCTCGCGTCCCTCGACTCGACTCGGTGTTCTCCCTTGCAAGTCCAAGGTCTCCTACACTCGGCAATTTCATCCGATGACCATACACGGCGCACACGGGCCCTTCTGTCGAATACCTAGGGGTTCGCAAACAAACAAATTCCCTGCTCCCGGACGACGGATGGCCCGAAGATGAAGGCGGCTGACCAGCCGAGTGGAGATGGAGGCGGACTGAAAGGGACTATATGCGCAGTGTGTTTAGACCGGTATTCTTTCCCTGCACTGAGGCCTTGTTAGCGTCGCCATGCTTCCCCTTGAACTCGAGTTCCTCATCATCGAAAGCGTCACCGACAACACCACACTCTCTGCTTGCTCGCGTGTATGCCAAGCTTGGCGCTCTCTCAGTCAGGCATGTCTCTTCCACAGCCTTTCCATCGTCCTTTCCAGTAAGACCCCCTCGGAAAACTTGATCCACGACTTCATCTCCACACTGAAAGGCAGCCTGGACGTTGGGAGCGATGTCGGCCATTATGTACGCCATCTTGTCCTCGACGGTGACGACGACCCTTCGGAACCCGGCCGATCCCCCGACCCTCTTCTCGGAGAACAGATAGGCCCTCTGGGTCGACTTCAAGGCTCGCTCGACGGCCCTGCGGACGGCTACTTCCCCAACCCCCACTTCGCTGACGGCAACCCCACAATCGACTCCTCGCAATCCGTCTCCAACAGCAACAGCGGGCGCGATTCTCCATCCGACATTGACCGGGAGCACATACGTTTTCCAGTCCGGATCCTCCACCATCTTCTCCCGCTACTTCCGCAGCTTTCAGGTCTTTCCTTGGAGCGGCTCCAATTTTACGACGAACTGACTCTGGACGACTCCACTGTATACTGCTCAACGCCACCGTTCGCCCCTCGAAGGATCACGAACTTACTCCTCGATGTCTGTTCATCGTATTCGAACGACATCAATCATCTGTTCGACGTCCTCTCCATGTTCTCAACCATCGACCAGCTCTACCTGGACTGTGGGTCGTGGAACTGGGCCCCCTCCGCCACTGCCTGCTCCATTCCCCCCTCGCCCATCATCCGCCGTCTCATCCTCGAATCCTTCGACGCCCCCGACGTCCTCGCCGTCCTCTGCGAATCCATCCGCCTCTCCGGCTCCCTCTCCGGCGCGCTCACCTCCGTCCACTACTCGGGCTGCACCCGCGCCGAGCTCGACACCTTCCTCCCCTTCGCCGCCGCCGCCGGCCCGCACCTCACCGCGCTCGGCCTCGACGTCTTCTACGCGCTCGTGAACGACCTCGAGCCCGCGCCGCACGCGGCGCTCGGCGTGGACCTCGGCCCCTGCCCGCGCCTCGAGACCCTCACGCTCTCCTTCGACTTCGCGCCCGTCGCGGACGCCGCCGTGGCGCCGTGGGACCTCCTGCGCGTCGTCCGCGCCGCGCTCGCGCTCTACGCGCGCGTGCTCGCGCCGCAGGCGCAGGCGTTCCTCGTGCTGCGCGAGATCGCGTTCCAGGTGTTCTGCGCGACCGCGGCCCCCGCGGCGTTCGCGTGCGCCGCGAGCGTGTCGGCCCTGGGGGAGCCCCGCCCGCGTGACGGCGAACCGGACGCGGTCGCGGGCGTGCGATGCGCGCTGTGGGGCGCAGTCGACGCGGCGCTCTGCGGGCTGCCCGCGCTCGAGACGGTGCGGTTCCTGATGTGCGACGTGGAGAGGGGCAGCGAGGCGGAGACGGTGGAGGCGATGCGGCACTTCGTCGGGGAGCAGCTGCCGAGGACGTGCAAGAGGGGGATCGTCGAGGTCGTGCTGGAGGAGGCGCAGGTCAGCGAGGTGGGGGACTGGGAGTGGTTTGAGGGGTAGTGAAGGGTGCGCGGGCGGGACAGGCTCGTTGACGTTGAGAGCTTCGTGGTACGTTTGCGCTGGTTTTGCGTGGTGGTCCGCAATGCGAACTTTGCTTCAACCTTTGAAAAAACGCGTGCCGTAGGCTGCGTTGGATGAGAGGGCACTGGCCAAGAGGTCGCTATCTGCGTTCGACGATACGCAACACAACTTGGCGCAAGCAAGTGGTACGGACGAGCGATGTACGTTAAGCATCCCGGTCTGGCTAAACCCACTCCCACTTCAAGTCCACGACGCCCCGTCCCCACGTCCGCGGAAAGCACAAGCGGAGCGTCTCGGTCATCGGCGCCTCAATCCCCTCCCTCCTCCGTTTGCGAACGTGGCCGAAATCGAAGACGACGCGCTGCAGTCCCCCGCGGGACGCGGCCGCCAACACGGCGTCGAGCCTCGCGCAGGGAGAGACGGGACGCTGCGCATCGCTGCGACCTGCCGCGGCGAGCGCCGGAACGAAGCAGTCGAGGGATATGGGTCCGAGCAACTCCATGCTGAAGCAAACGGTGTGGAGGGTGACTGGGGGCGCGACTCCAATGATGTGTGCCCCGGCCGCGATGAGGTCCTTCAGGTATGTGTAGCCGTCGTCGTCCTCGTCGTCGTCCTCGTCGTCGTACCGGAGCCTGAGCCGGTACGAGAAGGACTCGACGGCGGGGAAGCCGGACAAGGAGATGCGCTTTAGATCCTCGCTGAGCTCTAGACGGGTTGGCGTAAGTCGTGGAGAGGAGGCAAGGGAAGCGTCGAAGCGTACCGTTTTTCATCGGGCTGACGTCGACGTTCAATGTGGTCACGCTCGAGACACCGTCGCGTGAGCACAGAGATAGAAAGTTGTGGGTCCCAGGTCGGGGGCGGTATGAGAGCTCCACGGTGAGGGTGTTGAGGGGCACGGCTAGAGATCCGGAGCGACGCAAGTAGTCGTAAAGACCGACATCTAGGGCATCGTCCGAGCTGTGGAGCTCGAGGGCGTGAACGGTGGACAGACGAGCAGGCTCCATGGGCGTTGACGTCTTCGGCCCAGACAGCACGTCCCAGGTCACGACTAAAGAGTGAATGTCGGCAAAGAGGGAGAGGGTGGAGAGGAAGTCGAATGCGCCTGGGTTCGTCGATTCGCAAGCTTCCACGGTGAGAGCCTCAATCGAGGGGCGCCGTTCTGGCACGAGTGTCTCTTCGGGCTGAATGCTTCCACATTTGGCGCACTGAAGTCCATTGAAAGTGCATTTGTAGAAATGTAGGTGGCAGAGTCGTGGAAGCTTGCATAGGAGGTTCCCCAAGAGACGAGGGCATAGCTCCATCGAATCGTCCGAGGCATCCAAGGGATTGGGAGTTCCATTGATCTCCAACCTCAGAACGTAGTTCCCAATGGTGTGGTTCGCGTCCAGGATGCGGAGGAGGTCGTGATCGTGCCGATCATCGTTGGCCCAGGGCCAGAGGCGAAGGACGAGGGAGCGCCAGAGGATTGCCTGACAGACTACGCGCCACCGCTGGCATACAAAGGACCAATTTTCCAGTAGTGATCTGTGGCTCCTTTTCTGCTCGATTATGGCAATTTCGATCTCTGGAGGCAAGCGTGGATTCGTGAGCGGGACGATAGGAGCATCCCCAGTGGCAGCTGTACATGAGGGCAGCTTCAGCGCCAAGTGAGAACCGCGGACCACACCGTATATACTTTGGGAACTCACGATGTCCAACGTTCCAGACATGAGGAACGTCGCAACTTCAGGTAGCCCAAGGTAACTCTGAGAAAGTCTCTGATCGGAACGTCGCGAAAGACAAGCGATAGCTATAATGCGATTTCCAACTCCGCTCAGACCGCAAGCCTCCGCTGTCATTGAGCTCACGTCATCTTTCGACGACTGCAAGTTGGTTCACCCCTTCGTCGGAGTTGAAAACACCAGCGGATGAGTCGTAATCATCTGAATTTGAGGATTCAACCACACTCCGCGGCCCTTGATAACAGTCAGAGCAGAATGGTTTGCATTGAGCATGTTACAGCTTCAAACGTTGACTAGTACTCACGGTACATCGATCGACAACATCGGAGCAGGACTTTGACAGGCCAGAAGAACCATCAATCTTGAAATTCACCATCGACCATATCGTCGTCCTCGTCGCTAAACTCATCGTCGTCTTCGTCCATGCCATCAAACCCAAACTGCTCTTCTTCCTCATCGAGAACGATCACGGGCGGCGGCGCGTTCCTCACCGCCTCGTTCACCACCCACGGCTCGAACCAAACGAACCCCGCCACGCCCGTCGCCCACGTCCGCGGCAAGCACATCCGCCACAGCTCCTCAAGCGGCCCCTCGACGTGCGCCTTCACCGAGTTCTGGTCCCTGCCGACGAACACCTCGACGCGGCGCAGCGCCGGCGCGCGCGCGACCACCGCGCCGTCCAACGCGGCCCACACGTCCCGGTGTTCCTCCTCGTGCTCGAGCGCGTGCCGGACGGCGGCGCAGAACGAGCCGAGCGGCTCGTTCATCGCGTCGAGCGCGAACGTGACCGTGTGCAGCGCGGGCGCGGCGGTGTGCACGAAGCACGTCCAGACGGCGAGCCAGTACCCGAGGAAGCGGTTGTTGGTCATCGTGTTGAGCGACCAGCACGCGCGCTGGACGACGAGCGTGAGCTCTTGGAGCGCGGGGAGGCGGGCGAGGTCGAGCGTCATGAACTCGTCGAGCATCGCTGGAGAGAGGGGAGGGGGCGCGTCGGTCACTGGGGGAAGACGCGGAGGTGCTGAGGGGGCGAACGTACATGATTGGCTCAGGCTGCACAGGTTGACCTTGAGCTTCGTGAGGACTTGGGCGCCGTGGCGGACGATATCGGTGAGGAGGTTCGGGGTGCCTGCTTGGTCGCGGAGTAGGAAGATGTCGAGCTCTTGCAGGTGCCTGGCGAGGGAACCGGAGACTTCGAGGAGGTCGAAGAGGCAGAGGTCGAGGTCCTCCGGGAAGCTCTCGAGGGAGATCGTATGAATGGCGGGTGTGTTGAAATCCTCCGCAGTCACCACCTCGACAGAGCCGTCCTCCCAGTGGGCCTCGGTGATCGTCAGGCTGCCGATCCTGGAGAACAGGCACAGGGCCCACAGGAAGGGCAAGACACTACCGTCGGGGGCGCCACAGCTGAAGAAAGTGAGGTTGTCGATGGAAAATGGACGCCACCTCCCACCGGTGAGCTCCACGCGAGGAGGGTAGGGGAACGAAGCTTCCAAAGAACAGTGGTCGATCTGGATATCGGATAAGTTCGGGAGATGGGAGAGGAGGCGAACAAAGAGTGGCAGGGGCAGCGGGGTCTCGTCGGTTGCAGAATCCCCCTTGATGGAGATGTTCCGCAAGTGTCCTCCAACTTGGGTGCGATTGGCGTCCAACACGGCGACGAAGTCGGCCATACGCTCGCAGCGCAGAGAGATGGACGCGAAGAGGTGGGATTGGCTGACGTAGCGCCATCGTTGACAGACCAAGGCACACAGCTTTAGTGTGGCCTTGTTGAGACGAAGCTTCCCGATGATCGCGAATTCGATCTCGGTTGGAAAGCACGAAGAGTCTTCTTTCGACGGCTACGGCCGAAGTCAGCCCGAACCATCGGAGTATGGTAGTTCAAGGAGCCTACCTGGAAGACATCCATTGCCAACTGAGAAAGCCGTTAGATGTAGCGCCGTCGGGAGGAACGGAGGGGAGGCGAAGAGTGGGAGCCTCCGCTGGGCTCACACGACTGTCAGACGGGCATTTTGTACGAGTTCCACGGGTACTGAGCGAGTGCTTCAGTAACGGATGCACAATGGCGTCCCAGGTCTCTGAAGGGAGGGGGGAACAATGGATGTGAGATCGATGTCCTCTATAGAGCGAGGGACACGTGTACCACCATAGATATTCGTCGGCAAAAACCTGCGTTGATCTGCATTTGTCGTGTTCAGCTTCCAGGTTCCTCGTCTCATCCTAATACATTCTAGCGAGCCTCCCGCTGTGGAAATCATGACATCTCGGCATTTTTTCGAGGCAGTATCCAGCCTTGTACTCGACACGCAGCTTAGCAGTAGCCGCTGCAGTAAACTTGTCTGGTTGGAGTGGATATTCGCCGTCCGACTGATGGGGCACGTCTTCTGCTGGTGGTAGGACCCTCCAGATTATCAGCAATTATGTTCCACCGGGAATGATTAACGGAGGCTGGCGTACCAGGCCAACAACGCCCCGGTTGAAGTGGGAATGTCCACGGGCTGACAACAAGCCCTTGTGTCCCAAAGCATGCCAGACTGCTAACATGCCCCATAGCGTTCGTCGCTGGACGCAAGATAGACGCACTTAAATCTGTGTCCGGTTGCATTTGGTGCAGCTGCTGCTGAAAGCACGTCTACCCTGTGCTAAGCCGGCGCTCGTATACGCAAGCCTCCAGACTCACCAATGTTCCAGCATCGCAGTCGTAACGCAACCAGCTCGTCATTGTCGACCGAGCCTCGAACGTGCTCCCGGACAACAATACGCGCATCATATCGTGCGACCCGACGTGGCCTAGGGGCACATAAGCTCGCCCTTCGCCCATAGCTTGGAATATTTGCACGCTGTGTTTGTGGGCCGGTTCCGTGAGGCGCAAGGTGTACGGTCTCGAGGGGAATAATGAGATGAACTGACGAACGCGGGATTTGTCACAACAAACTCGTGTATCGGCTGAGGGCTCACCCAGATTAGCCGATCGCCCATTGTACCAAGCAAACTGCTCAGAACAATGAGAAGAATGACCCATGAGATGTCTGGGAACGCACCGCCGTTGCCCTGCCAATAGGACAGGACATTCTGCCAGTAGCAACTTCCGGTCGCGGCAGGGCTCCAGCCTCGGGCATCGAGGTCGCGACTCACGTCGTTGAGTCGGACATGATACCACTACTGCTGCACAGCACATCCGGCGCGCCCCGGCGCGCCCAGCGCCTACTGCTGGGCGCATGGCGCTCGCACTGGAGTACTTAAGTACTTGCTTGTCTGTCGCTGGGAATCAATTCTTCCATCATCTTTTTCCATTTCAACGTTGTGCTCCGGGGGCTTCTCGTCATCAACCGCTATCCACACTTCATACAAATTTTGCAACATTGCTCAAGGTTCGGACTGCCAAGGGAGTGTGTAAGCAACGGGGTCGATGACAGACAAGACTAGGGTAGGTGCAAATAGAGAGACGATCATAACCAATCGCGGTGACGCATAGAAAGGAGGTTGTGAGAGTCACAGTGTGAACAGAGGTCCGCGCACCCGGGCGACGCATCCATGCGAGCGCGAGTCAAGGGCGCTTCCGACAGGTCCATAGGTTTCGGAGTCCGCTCAGATGCTTGATTCAAGTGGTTCTCTTCTAGGATGCAGAACGAGCAAACCGCCCAAAAAATAAGGGAAAGTCGGACTAATAGTTGGGATCTGTACAGGTTAAGTACATAGCATTTGATACAACAACGCGGCACAGCTCTCACAGCATGAGTAACAGATTCTACCGTAGAATTTAGTACGGATGATAGAGCATTATAAGGTCCTGAAAGTATGGCCCGAAAAGTAAAAGGGAACACACGGCGAAAGGAAGGCGACGCGCGAAGGAAACACAACTTAGTCCGAAGTCAAATCAATGACGTCGTCATCGTCCATGGACCGAGCGGGCTTCGGCTCCTTCTTCACTTTGTTCGTACTTGTCGACGCCTTCTTGTTCGACACCGCTCTCGAGACTTTCTTCTGGAGGTCGCGCAGCTGGCGCTGATGCATGTACCATGTTGAGCCCACGTCATAAGAGTGCGTTTCGCACATACCTTCAACGTTTCCACGTCCTCTTCATCCGACAGGTCGATTGTCCCCATATCCCGCGAAGGCTCCTGACGAGCTCGCTTGGGTAGGCGGTCTTCAAAGGATCCACTACGTTTGAGCGCCCTGTTGTCGTTTTGCTGCGGCGCGGCTGGGGGTTTCGGCTCTGGCTTCGCGAGAGGAGCAATGTCTTGTGCTTGTAACAGAGCTATGAAGGGTCGAGCAAGACGTCAGGCAAGTTCTATGTTCACAAGGGTGCCACTCACCAAGCGGCCTGTATCGGAAATTAAATGTAGCAACATAGCCTTCTGACGGGTCTAGCGGAGTGTATGCGGCGAGAGTCTGATAGTGGGTCCCTAGTGAAGCTCCTTTCCCCAGCCTACATGATCTGTCAATGGAAGGTGAAGAGCTTGCGTTAGACAGCAGGTACTCACGAGACACTATGTGCGCCCGCTTTTTTGCTTCTCTCATGGACGGCACCGATTGCAGAGAACTTGTCTGCGATGAACGGAACCTGCCGAGTTGAGCCTCGGACCAGACGCATCACATTCACTTGGATGGAGCCTATATCCGGGAGGGAGGCGGTCCCGCTAAGTAAAGCCTCGTCGTCTGCAAACACGGCGTTCAAGATAATGCCCTACGGCCTCAGCTTCATGGGCGAAGATCAGCACTCACCAGAAGTCTTCAGATCCGCGAAGAGAAAAGCCTGCTCGGAGTTGGCGTCTGTGATCACGCCGGCCTTCTGGCCAGACCCGCCAGCCGCACACCATTTGCCGTGCGATAAGGGGCTCCCATCGAGGTCGAAGCCGAACACGAGATCGTCCTTGGCGGCATGGTCCTTCCAGTTGATCGCGAAACTCTGCAGAACCGCCGTAGCCGTTGGCGTCAGATTCGATAGGAAGCGCCTCATGGCGACACACCTTGCCACTCTCGCTCGGAATGAAGCACCCGATCTCCTTCCCGTCCTTCCCTTCAGGCTTGGCTTGGTATTCGGGCAGCCGCTCGCCCTCGCAGGTAATCCAGACTTCGTAGGATTTGTGCAGCATGTAGGAGCCGGGAGTGCAATTAGATGGGTCGATAGCGTCGTTGGGGCCGATGGCAGAGAGGCACAAAGTTGCTAGAGCGGAAAGGGAGTGAAAGTGAGAGGCACAGGCAAAGCTGACGGCGGTTGCGAGGCAAGGGGAGTCGACAAAAGGGGCGACCCGCCGACGCGCGTATGGACGCGAATGTCACGCGACCGTGTCACTCTCATCGACGTCACCGACAGCACCAGGCGCGTGCGACCCCGACTCCCGATCCGTTCTCCTGCTCTCACCAATTCCCTGCCCGTTCGTGATGCTAAGGGCCGCGAAAAATGGGTCTACAACCCGCCTCTCGCGGAGCATAGCTCGACCTCGACCTCCCAAAGTGCCCCGCCTTACCATCCCGCACGCGCAATGGTCCAAATCATACGCGACCTCCTCCGAGTCCTCGACAGGATCACCTGGTCTGCGGATGCGTGTCTCCACTCTTTTCACTATCCTTCTCGGAGTCGGAATTGCCGCCACATCATATGGGATGTACGTTCTGCCTCTCTTTCCGAATGCCGCGTTCACTCGAAAACTCATCGTCGCTACAGCTATGACTTTTACGCGACTTTTACCATGTGGCCCAAGGAGGTGCGCGAAGACTTGCGCGCAGGGATCAAAGCGAAGCATCAGGGCGAGCTGGACTTGAGCGAGAGGTATCTCCGACGGTGGGTCTTTCACCGTCACTCTCATTTCATCCGCGTCTTACGCTCGACGTACGCTCGCAAGAGCATGGCAGACCGCACGAGAGCTCCCCATCACCGCCTTCTCCCAAGAGCCCTATCTCAAGCTGAGCGGCATCGCCATTGTTCTCGCGGAGGTCCTCGAGTCCACCAACCGGCCGGAACAGGCGTACGAGACCTACAGCACCGCACTCGCCCTCCTTCGCGCTGCCGAAGCCCAGCCGCAGACACAACTGTCCGGCCGTGAGCGCATGCGCACCGTCGCGCTTGCGCACAAGCTCGGGGAGATGGCGGAGGTCTATCAGCGCGAGCCCGAAGAAGTCGAGCACTTCCTCACGTTCGCCGTCGAGGAAGCGCTGCGCATGCTGAAGGACGCCGGCGGGGTGGACGTCAAGGGTAAGCAGAAGGCGGGCGCGGGAGAAGACGCGACTGTCATGCTGGCGGAGCTGGAGATGCCGTGGTGGGTGCGGAAGGTGGACGTCGCTGCGCCGTTGGAGGCTCTGGGACGATTCTACGCGAGAGAGAACAAGCCCCAGTAAGTGTATATCGCGCTTCTATCACTGCAGCACCCTCACCTCGAGACAGATACGCGACGACGCTGTATTTGCAGACGGTCGGCCTGCTGATGCAGCCTTCTCCGGGGGAGAAAGAGGCGAACGTCGAAGACCGATGCCGAGCGGCTCAGGTCATGAACAACCTGTCTGACATTATGTCGCGAGGACCGCCGCCCTCCAACATTCATAACGCGGAAGCATGGGCGCGGAAAGCACAAGACGTCATTGAAAAGACACGAACAATGTCTGGTGCCCGGAGGAACCCGGAAGCCATGATGCTCTGTGAACAAACGTACGCCGCTGTATTGTTCAACTTGGGTGCGCTCCTAGAAGTGATTCATCATTCCAAACCTCGTGTGCCATATGGTCTGACGTTTCTGTTAGATGTCCGGGCAGCTGGAAGACGCGAAGAAGTCATTTGAAGAGACAGTGGCACACTCGAAGAAGATCGGGTTGCGCACGGGCTTGATGGAGGCCCGCGCGGCATTGCGTAGGGTGGAGCGGGCGCAGACAAGAACTGGACGGGAGTCCCGGAGTACCACTTAGGTCGTCTTCCACCCCCCGTTCATGTTTTACATCAGCGTGACGTTTATGTTGGAGTTCGTGGTGCTCATTTTCGTCGACTCAGCTGACTTTGAGTGTCGGTCTATTTCCATTCAAGCGAGAGTTGCGCGTGCACCATGCAAGGCCATAATTCGTGCATCGTCGCCTCGAACTTGTGTTTCATTGGCGTAGACTATAGGGAGTCGTTTGCACTTCCGATGGGAAGATTTACGCTGCACTGTTCAGAACGAGATCCACTCGTGAAGGTCAGACGACCAGAGGGTATGGTAAGTAAAATGGATCCAACGAGGGCTTATATACGTTCAGTACGTATCTGCTCCGAACTCGAACTAATACTGTGCAGCTTCATCTTCAGACGCCCGATTGGCCAGTTGACCATCAGAGTACTTAAACTTGTAGTGATATCAAGATCTACTGGCCGCCTGTGGGGACGCGGTCATGTGACTCAAATCGAGTCGTTTCATATGGCATCGGTAGCAATTTCGGCAACTTGCTCTGGACCGTTTCCCTTAGGCTCAACGCCAACGCCGGTACTCACCCGAGGGCTCGTGCTCGGTTCTGACTCCGGGCCCGTACGTCTCTTGCTCCGGCGTCCCGTCACTGCAAACCAACGACCCCCTCCGTCTCTCGCGGCTGCTCTCAATGCACCACAAAGACTATGAAATCTGGATATCTTGCGAAGGCACTCGGCTTCCGGAATATGACGTGACCCCCGAAGGAAACGATGGAAAGACGTTCGGGTGCTACATACCGAGTGAGAGTGGTAAAGTGAGTGATGATGGCACCCTTCTGGGGACCGCAGTGGACCTGTGCTCATCACTGATGAAACAGCGATTCGGCGTGAATTGGCGCAATGACGATGAAAAATACTCTATAAAAATGGGGTTCGTGATTGACGGGGCTCAATTGTTGGTGGGACAGAAGGGGCGTCCTGCATCCTCCGCTTCCTTGGACGGCATCCGCACCTCTTCCGTAGACTTCCAACAACCGTTTATGTTTTCCAATTTAAAGACAACTGGTGAGCTCTTATGCAATCCAATTATGCTCGACAACATGCTCGACACTTTGGCTCGTTCTTTCCGTTGGTGTATGATTGAAGATATGCTGATACCCTCCCTATCACGCTTTCGCCCCAGACGACGAGGATGTCGGGACTCAATACTCTGACCTCTCCGAACTGGGAACTATCCGAGTCGAAATCACACGCGTGTTAAACCTTAATCACAAGATTCCTTGGAAGAGTGAAACGTTCATGGGTGTAGGTGCCGTTCATGAGAGGACAAAGAAAGCTGGTGCGCACAGCGTAGCGTGAGTCGCTTCCTGTAGGAGATTGAGTGCAAACTCATACATGACCCTCGCTTTATCCCGACAAAATTCGGAACACAGACTAGGCGAATCGACAGCCTCGAAAATGCGTGCGTATTTGGTCAAAGCGACCCCCGTCGATCCGTCGGAGGGGTTTGCGGCTGTATTCATTTTCCGTTATAGACCTGCTGGTAAGCTCATTTGCTCCTGTCAACTCCACGTTGTTATGAACTCCCAACTGCGCGTCTTGGGATGTCTTGCTCTGCATCAGCTTTACTCCAGGCGCAAGGCATTGCGCCTGCCCCTGAGACACCTCCAGTCGCCAAGCACGAAGGCGAGGCGGACGCTTCAATGAAGCGCAAAGCTCCTACCGATCCAGAATCTCCATCATCCGAAAAGCGTAGCCATGAAGAAAAATCGTCGGAAAATCCAAACGATAGTAGCTCCGAAGATGACGGCGAACTGGAGGCTCTACAGGTGCCGCTGGTTGTTCACCCCGTTGACATCCTTTCCTGACGTTCTTCGCAGCGTCAACTCCAGGAGATTCAGAGCCAGTTGAAACTGAGATCCGATCGGAAGAAGAAGCGCAAGATATCCGTCACAAAAGTGAAGAAGGAGATCAAGACCGAGTCGAGCAGCATGCCGGTATTTCGCGTCGACAGTGCGGGTGTTATCGACCTGACTTCGGATTGAGTCGCGTTGGGTTCGGAAATTTAGTGTTCCGTAGTACTTGTGACAGTATCATTGCTTTTTTCATTCATACCTTACGCGCTGTATAGAAGATACCGCATTTTTGCGTTTTAACGATTGCGATGCGATCCATGTGTCCTTGCACTTTGCCGTGAACGACATACTTAGGTGCGCGACCCAGCTCTACGGGACGACTGGCACGAGGCCTCCAAGGAGATATAGGCGCTCAGATCATGTGCACGTGATACACGTGCCCTCCGCGCGTCGCGTCGCGAGTCAATTCGGGGTCCGACGGGCGGCTTCTTCTCACAGCCCTCTTTGTTCCCCACCACCGCCATCGCTGCAGCCCCCTCCCCTCTCCTCCTTCCCTCTCCTCCCTCACACTTCTCACACTTTTCCTCTCGTTTCCCCTCTCCAACTCCACGTATATCGGCATGCACCTCAAGGGCTGCCACGTCATAATCACCTCCAACGGAGCTTCCCTCCCAGAGTACGGCGTCAAACCGGAGGGTAGAGATGGCAAGACCATCGCTTGCTATATACCTAGTGAATGTGGCAAGGTGCGTCCCTTTATATTCTACTGGTCTACAGGATGTCGTCTCACCACTTCGATGCAAAGACCTTCAAGATTGAGTGGCTCAATGCTCTCTCAGACACCCATCTACGATACGTTATCACGATTGACGGAAGGGATGCTGGAGGAAACAGGTGTATGCCTGGAGACAAGGGCATGAGATGGGGTGTCAGGACGTCTCCGATGAGCAGGAGACCGTTCAAGTTTGCGGAATTGCAGACAACAGGTGCGCACAATCACCCTATTTTCGCTATATGCGATCCTCAACATGATTTCCACTTTGTTGTGCGTTCAGATGAAGATGTCTCTGACTCAGTCTCTCACGCCGCTCTCGGCGAGATCCAAGTGGCGGTCTCTCGCATTCGTGCTGAGGTCCGCGCCGTTCCACATACCAAGGGCAAGTTTCAGCCTGTCGGACCTGTCAACGAGCGGTGCAAAAAAGGTGGAGTTCATTGTACTAGGTGGGCTTCTTTTGTTTTACTGTACCTTCCCCCTCGTCTCTCATGCCGCATATACCCACGTCGCAGCCTTGGGGAAACCGTCCGCATCAAAAAGGCGTACACCCAGACCTACAGCACCCCCCTTGACCCGGCCGAGGGCGACATTGCCGTCTTCATCTTCCGGTACAGGCCACTTGGTGAGTCCCCTATCGCGCCACTTGCCCGCAGCACCGTCTCTTCCCTCTGACAACCCCGACGCTGCACGCAGCGCTCCTCCAAGCTCAAGGTATCGTTCCCGACGAGGACGTGAAGCGAGTCCAGCGCGGATGCGGCGAACCCGTGCAGGATCTCTTGGGCGTTCTGCCGCGTGGTATCAAGCGCCCACGCGACCCGGAAGACTCTGACGCCGAGGACGTAAAGCCCCGCGTTAAAGCCGAGCGCTTCGAGGGCGAGATCCGACCAAAGGTCAAAATCGAGCCTCGTCGCACCAACCCTATTGTCGTCCAAGACGACGTCAAGGCCCATCCAGAAGCAGAGGGGGCGAAACCGAATGCCAACCCCGTGGCCGCGTCGGACATCGGGTCTGAGAGCGAAGTCGAGGACGAGCTTGAGGACCTGCAGAGCCAGATGGACGAGCTGCGGCGCAAGATGGAGCGCGTCGAGCGGCGGCGGCGGCGGAAGCTCGAGCGGGAGCTCATTGTCAAGCATGGAGCCTCTCAGTCCCTCACCTCGCCCCCCGCCACTCCCCTCCGAACACAGACTGCGAAGCAGTCGCCCCAGTCGCTGTCCCAGTCCCGGTCACAACGCCCATTTCAGCCCGAGCCTCAGCCTCAGTCTCAACCAACGAGCACGGGAAAGCGCAAGACCAGGTCGCAGCCCGTGCACGAGATCGTGGACACCGAATCTGAGGTCGAGGTCGTGGAATTCAAGACCAGGGAACAGTGGGACGTGGACCGCATGCGCCGGCGTGTGGTTGTGGACCTCACCCAAGAGCTCTGATTGTAGCTGTCATGGTGCGCGATGCTTTCGTTCGATCAAGATGGCCTCGCGCTTGGTGTAACAATGATGTTGTTGTTCAGGTTCTACATGAACCGATCGGTCTGGGCCTCACATGTATACCATTAATTGCTATCGCGCTGTGGACAATGTTTGTATGTACACCCTACTCCAAGGAATGTATCGATTTTGCTGTCGTGTTTATATGCTGCGGTCAAGGAACCATGCGCAGTGAGCAAACCCAATCACTCCGAGTATGCAACTGATGCTTCTCCTCAGTAGACGCTATGGCTCGTCTTGGTGTCGTGAAACCTATCGACATCGCCGGCCGAGGCGGCCAGTACTTGACCATCCCCGTGCGATCCTGATTGTGAAGACTTCTTGTTCCCATGTTCTCAACGCACACTCGAACCTTCTTTATCCAGGAGTCTGAAATATGTCAACTCCATCGTCTGCTTGATCAATCACTGCTGCTATGCTCGATGTCAACAAGCTCCGATCAAGCCTCGCCGACAATACCGTCCTCTGGCGGTTCGCTCGTATGCCGGGCGGCTGTACTGTCCGGTCTGGCAGAAATATGACCACAGTCCGTCGCATCTGACGTCCCGCAGTGCTTCCAATGACTCCATCCCCGAGAAGCCTGGTAGTCCACCTCTAATGCGGTCGCGCCGCAGTGCAAGCCGTAGCTCGCACGAATATTCAAACCTGCGCAGAGCATAGGCACATCGACAGTGCCCAGCTCCCCCCTCCTCATCCCACCCCGGCCACCTCACCATGAAGTAGCTTCTCACCGCCGCGTCCAAAGGCCTCCTCAGCGCCCTCAAATGGTTCTTCGGCGCCGTCCTGCGCGGCTTCGCGTGGGCCATCGCCATCTTCTCCATGATCTGCTTCACCCAAAGTGAGTCCCGCCCATCCCTCTCCCTCTCTCCCTCCCTCGCAGTGCCTCCCTCGCCCCCCACCCCCCGTCTCCCGAACACCCCTAACTTCACAACCACCCCGACGCTCACGCGCATCCCCCCGTCCAATCCAGTCTTTAGCTTCACGGTCAACCACCCCACCGTGCGGTCGTACGCCTCCACGCTCGGCGCCGCCGCCGGGTACACCCCGGAGCCCGCGCCGTCTGCCGAGATGACGATGACGTTCACGGGCGGGAACGGGTACACGTCCGTGACGACCTCGACGCTCGACTCCGCCGCGCTCGTCAATGCGAGGCCGAAGCTGGACTGGGGGTGGCTGTTCGGGGACACGGCCGCTGGGGGCGTGACGCCCGCGCCCGCGGGGCCGGCGGAGAGCGGGCAGGTCGTGATGACGATCACGGTGACGACGAAGAGGGAGGGCGCGACGGAGAAGACGCCGACGATGACCGCCGCGGGGGCGACTGGTACGGAGGGGGAGGTGGGGTTGGACTGAAGGAAACTCAGACTCGGGTTCGCAGATAGACTAGACGAAATTAATGTCTCGGCTTGCATCGTGGTTCCTGATTATGGCGCACTGGCTCCATCTCGTAGGCACTGAACTTCGTGCATGGCAATGTTACTAAGTGGCAACTTCTGACGTAGACGGCTTATAGTATCTCATCGCATCTCACTAGTACGGGGGTATGGCGCCCGCATTCATCCGCTCGTGTTAGTACATTCACTTGGATGCCTCGAAGTAGACACTGCAAAGCGCCACGAGCCATTAAGGGCCGCGGCCCTGGGTCGTCTGGTGTCGGTCGGAGTAAATGGGTTCGACGAGTGCAGTACTGTGCGACGGTCCACGGACGGTACCGCGGACGTCGCCCACTGTCACGTTCAGCAACCGGGCCTTGGGGGACCGCCACCGATAGCCCGGGCTCGCATCGGACGAGGCCAAGAAGCGATCACTGGATTCAAAAAAACATCAGCAAGAGGAGTTCAAATGTGGTGCTGCAAGACGAGGACAATGGTGACGAGGTTGATCAGGACGTCGGTGCTTTCGAGTACAGCTTTGTCAACGCGGCCGGGCCGAAGCCGGGATCGCCCCGGTCTCCCGCGACAACCTGCCACAACGCGGTCGTCGCGCCTCCGACTGTCATACTTTTGCGTTCGGCGCACGGTCTATTTCGCGGCTCGGTAATCACCCGTTCACGCCCGTGGCTTTCCGACACTCAAGGCCCAGGACGCAACCAAGAGAACAGCGCGTGGATGCCGCGCTTCAGAGCTTCAGACGTGGTTCGCACCCGAAGCGAATTCTTCCCCTATGTATCGCGCCTACTACGCTCACCGGTGACGGAGCCACCAGCATTATTCGTACAGGAGACTTCGTCACGCTCTCCACCCCCGACCACCACCCCCTCCCTACATCATGACCGTCCCTCTCGCTATGCGCTTCAAGCAGCTTGTGCACGAAGTTTCAGACTCGAGCCGTATTCTGTCCGGTATCGGGCAGAAGGTCAGCTACATCGAGGGCATTATTGGGGACCAAGGGTATATAGAGCAGTGGTCTCAAGCCTGCCTTGTGCGCTTTCGGTCTCCTGAGCATATTTTCCGTCGACACTAACATGCCACCGGATGTGCAGGCGTACAAAAAGTTTATCTTCCGATCAGAGATTGTTGCGGTCCGCGTCTCGGCGACTCTGACCTGTGCGAAACGTTCTTGTCTTGGGTTCGGCATACCCTAACGTCGCAGCAGCCCCCTTCAGAACCACCACAGATCATGGAGCTCCCTATCCGGCGGACGACGAGAAGACCGCCATACTGTCGGCATATACTGAGGTATCGTTATCTCCTTCGTCCATCAGCGCGTAGTCTAAATCTTTGACTGCCTCGCTGTTAGGAATTTGGATCGTTTTATAACATCAGTTTCCCTGACGGTATCGACGGCATGCGCAAGTCCCTCGAGACCTTCGGGAACGACTTGCAACACGCCGTCGACGATATTCTCAAGCAAAGCACCGAGGCGTTCGAAGAGGACGACGAGAGCGTGGACTACGATGATTACGAGCTGACCGGTGCCGACATGTGAGTCGTGGTTCCTAACTGCGATGTCGTATTAAAAGTAGCATGTTCAGCCTTTTCGGGCTGTTCTTCAGCGTGGAAATGTTCATTGGTGGTCTGTTTGGCTGGACTGGACGCCAGTATGTCCCAGTGTCTCGCGTTGGTCCGTCGTCTCTCTCAACCTGATCTCCCCGCGCACCTGCTGACGCCGAGACTGCGACTGTTCCACTCCGTTGAAATGGTCGTAGAGAATAACCCCGAAGATTCCCAGACGCACCCCCGGCGTGCGTTTACTATTCGAGCCAAAGAAGCTAGGCGCCTGAGGGACCTCATGGACGAGGTCGCGCAGGACGTAAGGCAGGTGTGTAGCCGGTTCAAGCAACAGGAGGCGATCTTTTACGAAGTGTTCGATCGGCCGAGGACCAAGGTACGCAGCTTCCCCTGCATGCCGGTGAACCCTATCGTTGAGGATCTGTCGCAGCTAGAAGAGGATACCCAGGACTGCATCACTGCACTCGGCTCAGGCGACAGTGACGACGCTACTAAGGTGCGTTTTTTGCGAATGCCTTGATCGTCACACGGCAGGCTGAGCAGAGTCGGCACTAGACGACCCAGGCCTGCGCGAGCCCTTACTGGACGGAGCTCGCGGCGCTTTACAGCGTCTACGCCCATACAGACAAGTTGGTGTACTAGTACGAACGGAGGACTGCGGCGACGCAAGTACCTGCCTGGAGACAGGCGTTCGAAGTGGGTCGCGGCGTGAAGATGCGCGCATGTACTGTGGCTGATGGGGCTATACGCCTGTTACGTACCGGTTGTGTTGTTGGCCTGAGGAAGGTCAGTAACGATGCAAAAGCCCAGTTGGAGCTCATCTGCACCGTGTCTCCAACGACCCAGTTATGATCAGGAATGCGAAGACCTCCATCTCGATTCTCCCGCATCTTTGCATCCGCGGCTCACCGCACTCCAGCCCGCCAAGCAAATCTGCCGTCCTCTGCGCACGTCTCAGCCAGAGAATGCCCACCTCTGACTACGAAGAGCTTCGCCTCCACGCCTGCTCAGCCCTAGTACGGATGCGTCTTTCCCGCGAAGGATGGACCGCACCCCACTGGTGCGCCAGACTCTCTTGTGCGATCCTCACGCCTGCTCCCGATCCTCACTGTGTGGTTTGTCGATCAGACCGGGGGGCGACACACCCAGCCGTTTGGTGGGCATGGCTGCGTGTGAAGAGCGAGTTGTTTCCGAATCAGTTACAACAGGTCGACCCAGCGTGTGCGCTACCCCCACCACGGCGGTGGGGGCCTGCACTAGACTAATAATGCAACAGGTCCTCACGTGCCAAGCATTAATGGGGTAGTGGTAACCTGGGTCGTTGCCATCGACCCGCCGGGGGTTCGATTCCCCCTTAATGCATAACTCGGTATTGTCATTGTTTTTTGCTGCACGTGGGCGATGCGGGCATCAAGACCGGGCGGGGAGGTTGCTGGGGAAGCAGCTCCGAGCTCTGGTCGCGTAACTCTCCCTCCTCCTTCCACCTCGGCTGCTGGTCTTCCTCTCCCACTCTCTTCATCACCAACGCTGTCTCTACCCACCATGTCTTTCAAGCTCTCCACTGCCATTGTTCTCGGTCTCATTGCCTCCCTGTCTGCCGTCTCTGCCCAACAGACATGGTACGCCACACCTGATTTTACGTTCTCCGTCTACCTGACCGATTGCGGCTCGCAGTAATGCCACCACGCAGTGTGGAACGGCTGCCCCGTGCTGCAGTGAGTGCCTCTCCGACATGTCACCACCACCTTACAGACGACTCTTGCAGGCGAGTTCGGGTTCTGCGGCACCGACAGCGTACGTGCTCTCTCTAGTCTGCTGCGAAACCTACAACTCAACTCCCTCGCGACATGCGCAGTTCTGCCTCGGCGGCTGCAACCCCCTTTGGTCGAAATCGCTCACGTCCTGCATGCCGGAGCCCGTCTGCCAGAGTGCCAACGTACGTCAAGCCCGCTTTCTTTGTCTTTGCTTTCTCCGCGCGATCCCCCACGCCTACCCACCACGCCCCCACGGCCTGCGCGACCGCTGTGTTCGTCTCGGGCAGGGTCCGGGGCGACCATGGCGACCGGGCAGCGTACGCCGCCGCGTCCCATCCCCATCAGCCCGCCGTCCTCTCGTGATCCACACCTGGGTCTCCTCCGAGCGCACGCGGCGTAGGCGTTCAGAGAACCAACGCAGACATTCCTCCGGGCATACATGGGACCGCCGCCGCGCGCTATCCCGCGTGTTGTTGCGAGGCAGTCCTCACTGGAGGGGCAGCGATGTCTCAAGAGATTGTGGCAGCGCTTCGGTCTTGGCGAGTGGACAGGTGTGACGATCACAAGAGGACTCCGCCTCCTCGTCGTGGTCGGCAGAGCCTCGCGAAGCCACTGCGATCGCTCGGGTACCTCGAGATCGGTCCGTCGTGCCTCGCGAGCTCCAGGCATAGGCCACCAATTGGCTTGCGCGGAATATTTAGACATCATCGGGTGAGACTCCTTGGACGCTTTTGCATCGTGCATGCTGCGGTGCGCTCCGTGAACTTTTAAATGCTTGTTTCAGGCGGAACTTTCGTTTGTAGGAGGACTGCTACTGACATAGTTTGTACATAGCTTACGTTCACCGACTTCTCGCGCGTCCTCTCCAACGCCACGTACTTTGACGGCAACGCGACAAAATACGACTGGATCGTGAACTCGGGCACTCTCCTCAACTCCACAACTGGCGAGGCCGCGCTAATCCTCACTGAAACCAACGGTGGTTCCCGTATCTCCTCCACCCGCTACGTCCACTATGGAACCATTACAGCCAGGCGTAAGTGCCACTATGGACGTGAACAAACTCCTTCACTGACAATTTTAACAGTCAAGACTGGTCGCTGGGCGGGTGTCGTGACCGCGTTCATCACCATGTCCGATATTAAGGACGAGATCGACTGGGAGTTCCCTGGTACCCAAACCACTGAGGGCCAGTCGAACTTCTTCTGGCAAGGCTATGTCCGTGAGTGTCTCTTTCTATTGCGGCACATCGCATTATATCCTAACCGTTCTCCGTCAGCCAACCCGAACGATGGTGCCACCCATGGCAACCTGACCGACACCTTCAGCAACTATCACGACTACACCGTATGCCACTATTGCTTCTTCTCCTCATTTCTCCAAGTACCGACCATGTTTTCTTCCAGATTGACTGGCAACAGGACACCCTCACCTGGCTCATCGACGGCAATGCCGTCCGCACCCTCAAGCGCTCGGACGTGACTGGCTCCGACGGCGTCTCGCACTACCCCTCCACCCCGTCCCGGGTGCAGCTCTCCGTCTGGCCTGCCGGCATCTCTCAGTCCGCCCAGGGCACGATCGACTGGTCCGGCGGGCTCATCAACTTCGACGACCCGGACTACAAGGCCGCCGGCCACTTCTACGCCCTCGTCGAGTCCGTCTCCATCACCTGCGCCGACTCCAAGTCGAACCCCGCCGGCGCGACCTCGTACGTCTTCGGCACCAACACCTCGTCGTTCAACCCCCAGGTCGCCGTCACGAACGAGACGACCGTGAACGGCGCCGGCTCGCTCCGCGCCCTGTCCGCGGGTGCAAGCGTCTGGAGCGCGCTCGTCGCTGGCGCCGCCCTCGCGCTCGGCGCCGTCCTCGTTTGAGCTTCAAGCTCAACTTCTCGAGTCCAGGGCTCGGCCAAGGCCTCGGCGAGCTGGGCTGGCGCTAGCCGCCGCCCCACGTTGTCCGGTCTCGGCCATGTGGGCCTTAGGAGTCGTGCTTAGGTGCCCATACGTTGTTCAGTGCTGACGGACTGCTTGAATACTCACATCACGACGTACTTACGGTTTCAGGCGGTTATAACCGCGTGGTGACAAATGTCTGTTTGGATGATAATTAATGTCGGTCTTTACTCTGCATGTACGCCGCCGCGCCGGGCTCGGACGGCGCGGCCACTGACGTATGATACCTCGTGAATTCTAATTTATTGCTCGTTGGTGTGCTTACGGGCTTGGCTGGTATACTCTGATCAAGGCTTGTCGATCTGACACCCGGGGCGAGGTGGGCTGGTGAGCGGTAAACCGTTGTTTCAAGCTGTTCACGTCGCTGTGCTGTGCTGTTGCTGCTGATATAATCTGTTGCATGTGCACTCTGAACTGCTTCACGGCGGTGGTCAAGCTCCGGTAGGCGTAGATTAATAACAAAGTGACATACTCGTGTTAGTTAGTTCTGATGTAAGTGTAGGTACAACATGGTGATAGCGTTCGATATGTGCTGAGCGCGAGGACTGATGCGTCAAGATACTTAAACTCAGGAAGGTCGTTGGTCTGTACGAACGGGACGAAGCAAAAAACAATAGACGAAAGAGATCCAGCGAAGAGAAACCCGAGCCCCATCCAACACTTACCACCAAAACCGGCTGCGAATAATAATAGCATGCGTCCAGGACGAGACTACGCTCGCGGGCTCCGCGGCTCGTCCACATCGACCAGGATACCGCTCTCCTCTCCGACGTCCATCCCGTCCTCCTCCCGCCACTCGTCGATCAGGTCCTTCGTCTCCTGCACGAGCGCCTCGAGTGCCTCCGCGCGGCTCCACGCGCGCACAAGCCCCTCCGTCTCGAGCCCGGCCCCGTCCGACCCGAAGCTCCCCGCGCCCGAGTCGACGGACGAGAGCGGGGCGAGGGCGAGGAACGGGTAGCCGAGCATCGCCTGCGCGACGCGGATCCGCCGGAGCGTCGTGCGCACGAGCACGGGCGACTCGACCGCCGTCGCGCGCGCGAGCGCGAGCGCGGTGCGCGGCGCACCAAAGCCCGTACGCCGGCCCGAGGGCGAGAACGAGCGGCGGCCGAGCGAGCCGAACTGCTCGCCGGAGGGCGAGAGCGGGCGCACGGGCCCGAGGTGGACGATCTTGGGGCCCGACTCGCGCGCGACGCGCGTCGCGGTCGTGAGCGGGCTCGGGAGCAGGGCGTATCCGGCGAGGCGGCTGGGGCCGTCGTCGCGCCGGGGCGTCGAGGTCGGCAGGCCGAATTCGTCGAAGGAGGGCAGAGGTGCGGACTGGGCGGACGCGAAGAGGGCAGAGGAGCGGGGGGTTGCAAGCGCGCTAGGCGACTCAGCGCCCATGCTAGGTCCTAGAAAGCTCCGGCGAGGCTTGGAGAAAACGCTGGACACCGGGCGGCTGCGTGAAGGGGGGAAGCCCATAGGGGAAGGGAAACCCATAGGGGATGGGATCATAGGGCTCGCGGAACCGCTACCAGGGAAGCCACCGGTCGAAGAGAGTTCTTGGTGGAGGAGGGCGACCTTCTCTTGAGTGAAGACGCGCATTTGAATGGTAAGCGGGTTGCGCCGGAGACAGAGCCATTCGATGAAGGACCAGGTCATGTAGTCTACGATGCGTGGACGGCGTTGTCGATGAGAAGCCGGTCTGTGGACGGCGGGAGTGAGGAATGGGTTGTCATCGCTTCCAATGTTGGTGGTGCTCGCTCTGGGAGAATGAGTGGGAGAGGGCGGTTCAGAGTATCCACCTCTTCCAGGGACAGCAAAACCCGCATCTCCGTCCGCCAGAGCATCCTTGAGCGCGGTGCCGATCTGCAGCCAAACACCTGGAAGAGCCATGGATAGGTCCTGCTCGGCGCGAGTGATGATAATCTTCATAATCTGCATGGCAACGACCAGACCCATTGCCGGCTTCGCATCCACGGTTGTGATAGAGGACCGACTGTCAGTGGATTTGCGGCGATCGAGACCGGATGGGTTGGTTTTTGAATCGGGTTTTATGAAGTCCGCTCGCTGAATGACGTTGAGCACGTAGGCAAGGAGCCGCATCCACGCTCTTGAGTACACATCTCTGCGATACTTGTCTCCCCATTGAGTGTCGTTGGCCATGTCGACCGACGCCTTCATGCGCAAGACGAAGGGAAGAATAACTCCGGAGAGGAACTCGTACGTTGGTTCGCGCTTCTCGAGCTCTGCGACAACATCCGCGCCGACGGCCATGAGAGCGCGGTCGAGGAGATTGACGAGGCTGCCACGAAGCGCCAGATCCCAGATCAGGTTCTCAGAACCGGCGACCTCGCAGGTGTCCAAACCCGCAGCACAGTATTGAGTGACGAGGATACGGGCGAAGGCGGGTTGGTTGGCGAAGACGGTGTCCAAGGAGAGCTGGGCAACGACGTCGAAAACACCTGAGAAGTCGACGGCGGTAGAATAGGAGGAGATGATGGGAGCAATGTCTGTGAGGAGTGTGACGACCTCCTTGAGCTCAGGGTGTGTGGGCCGGATGAGCACCGCCCGAACGTAGTCGGCGAGGAAACTCGCGACTTCGGTAAGACTCGGGCGCGAGTCCTTGAGAACAACCTTGACCATTTCCAGGGTTCGTTGAGACGAAAGTGCGGTTAGGGATCCTCCAGCTTGCGTGAATCCGACGACGAGCTTTAGGAAGTCTAAACGCATGACCAACAGGTCAGAAGGTACCGAGGATTGCGATAAATTCGCCTGAGCAATGCCGGTCGCGGAAACGACGTTTGGACTGAGCTCATCCACTTGCGATGCCGATTCGCTTGGCTTGGGTTTGACAGTCGTGCCCTTGTTGAGGAGGATAGCGCCAAGAGCGCTGATACCGTCTCGGAGGACAGATCGCGCGGAAGCCGATGCATGGAAGAGGTGAGGGGCCATGAACATGAGGAATCGCAAGAACTGCTGTGCCCGGAGGATTGTGGGGTTGTGCGCAATGACAGTGAGGAACAGCCTGACGAGGTCGTCGAGCCCCAGGCGTTTGCTGTCGAACTCATCCGGAACGTCAACGGTGACTTGGTTCTTGTCTTGGCCGCTCCGATGTACAGAGGCGAGGAATGCCTGAGGTACCTTCTCCGCAATGGTGACCATGATAGCCTCTTGCTCTTCTACCTTCGTGAGTGCACTCAGTCCTGCGACCTCCGGATGGTTCAATGGCGCGTTGCTCTTGAGCGTGGACAGAAGAGTGAATATGTTCCGACAGAGATCTGGCCCATCGACCCCTGGAAGAGCAACCACGTTCGAAAGGATGTCGCATGTTTGGAAGATGAAGGACTCCTGGTGAAGGGCATAGAATCTGTTCACCGCGAACTCGATGATGGCTCGAATGCTCGGGTGGGAATGGGCTTCGCAATAGACTTTGAGGACGGCGGGCATGAACATGATGTAGCCTCCACCAGAGGTGAATAGACGCCTAAAGCGAGTACTTGCGACAAGGTAGTCTGGAAAGGAAATAAGAATGAGGGTCACGGAAACGAGCGCATATACTCACTGAGAATGGCCTGCGCTACAATGGCGACATCATCTCCGTGAGCGAGTACAATCCTGTTCATTCCATCCAGAAGCAGAGCCAGCTCCTCTCGGTCGTTGAGGTGCCGTGACATGGAACGGAAAGCTTGATGAAGCAGAAGCAGATGACTACGAGCAAGGGTCAACGAAAGCGCAGTGAGGGCAGGATTGGGGGGAGCATGGGGCGGGCCGTGGGCAGGAATGTAGGCAGTTAGGGGAATAGAGTGGTTGTGCATGTCGTCGAAGGAGACGGGCAACGCGAGAGGCTGAAGGTTCTTGCGGAAGACTTTCACGTCTTGGGTGTTGCGTCGGAGCATGCTCAGGAGGAACATGTTTTGCGCAGTTCGAACCATTGTTACCCACACGACCGGCGCTGGTAGAGTGGCGAAGGGGTCGTAGTTGCTCTGTAGCGACCCGGGGAACATTGGACCTGGCTGGGGAGGATCTGGCCACCAGAATGAACCAGACGGGACAAGAAGCATGTCGACCTTCGCGCGACGGATATCACGCATGGACATCTTGCTGACTTGAGAGACGAGCTTCGCGACCGTGGGGATACTATAACCGTAGCCTTGCAAAGCGCGGTTTGCGTCACCATTCTTCATACCACCCTTGAGGTATCCGACTACATGATTGAGAATGTGATGGGCGGTGCCAGGAGGTAGAACGGATTCACAGTGGAGGAAGATGCGAAGAGTCGTAATGGCGGCCATGACGTCTGACTCTTGGCCAGAGAGCTTGTTGAAAACAGCGCGAGAAAGGATCTGAGGGTCGTCGCGCATGAGATCGACAATAAGCGCCTTCGCGGTGCTCGACACAATGAAGTCGGTGTCCTTGACCATCTCCGTCAACCTCGGGAACAGCTCCACCATGGTTGACACAAAAACGGGGCGCCATTTTGCCCTGACATGGCTTCCGGCGGTGGAGTCTTTCCTCGTTAGAGGGGAGTCACGGGCTGAGAGCTTTGGAGACGGTTCAGGACTGGGGTTGGGCGAATCCAAAGGCTTCATCTCGGCTACTGTAGACCCTCCAAGGGTGTTGAGCTGTGTTGTCGGAAGTCTCGACATCGGGGTCTTGATCCATTCTGTCTTCGGGTCCATCTCGCCGCGTTCTTCAGCCCATCCAACCTCCGACAGCCGCCTCCGGAGTTCGAGTGGTAAGACATGTCCCTTCGCGTCCTTGAAGTCGTTCGGGTCTTCTTCGATCTCGAAAGCATTCGTCCCCATATCAGTAGGGACAAACGTAACGGGTGGACGCGTGAGCCTGAAAGGTCGACGGTATGTCCTATCGAGTATCACGTCTTGGGAGAGCAGCTGATACCGCCAACTCGTCATTGTCGCGATCCGAAGCACCGCTTTCCGACGGATAACAACGTCTTGGCTGGAGATGTCATTTTAGCCCGTGAAGATGAATGACAAAAGGACGATCGTCTTACCTGGAAAGGTCTTGTTTAATCAACGCCGAAAACTCTTCCGGTATCCGCTCCGCACATTGCATGACGAGGAAGCACGTCTATACCAAGTGATGAGTATGAAGCTCTTCAAATTCGAGTAGACGTACTTACCGGAGCAATCACATGAGATGCATTGCTGTATAGATAGCGATACCATAGGATTGGCCCAAGAGACATGTAATCGTGCGGTTGAAGCATTCCCGAAACAGCAACAAGCAGCTCGAGCGCCGTGCTGACCTTGCGTGTCATGAGAGAACGCAGGAGCGTCAGTCGATCCTCGAATCCGTCTTGCCCTAGGTCGGCGGAAAGACCTTTCTGGTCCGGCAATTGAGGATCCTTCGACGCCTGAACGAAAGTTGTCCTGCGCTACATAACGATGAACTTGGGTACTACAGGCAAAAACTTGAGGACATACCTTGCCGGCACCACCCAACCCGGCCTTCGCCTGCTCGTAGAACAACTCGACCCTGACAAGCGTACTGACGGCTTCGTCCTCATTCAAGCCTTCCTCAGGGTCGGTGTCCGCGTCGAACAACGCCGATGATGTCCAGTTCACAACACTTGCCAGCCACATCGCACTGCAATGCCATTCAGTAGCCGACAGAAAGGCGCATGCAGCGAGCTCACGCTTTAAGCGAACGCGTCAACAGCCGACATTCCTTGAACAACGCACAGAAAAGCAAGCGCTGAGAGCCGGGGATAAGGGTGTGTTGCTCCTGTCACGTCAATTAGCCTCGACACTTGCACATTGCTTGGCAGGATGCTCACCTTGGCTTCAAGAAGCATACCCAACTTGGCCTCTAAAGACATTGCGAACTTGGCCGCGCTATTGACCTGTTGAGAAAAAATCTACATCAGTCTGATGCAAGTAAGTGTGGTTGAAATACAAACCAGACCAGCATCTTTCGACAGTCGCACTCTCTTCATGTGCAGGACCAGCTCCACCAGGAGTGCCAGCTGCCCGTATCGCGTCGTTCCCTTCTCTACGACTGGTACTGAGCCTTGTTTGACAGGCTTGGTCGTAGGATCTGTCATTAGAGCAACAGACATCATGTCCGCACTGTGGGTCCATAGCGCAGGATAGAAACGAGCGAGGGCGTAAAGAGTACACAGCTGGTTCGCAATAGTGAGCTCCTTCGCTGATGCAGCACAAGTGAAGACAGGCTTGAAGAAAGCTTTGGGACAACTGATCGCGGCGGATTCGAGGAAGTCAGAGAGTGGAGCGCAGGGATACAAGGGAGGATCGTTGATCAGGCGCTGAGTGAAAGTGTCAAGGCCCATTCGCCCGGAAGAAAAGCTGGTCACATACGTCGCTTATGGCTGGCAGTAATGGAGGAATTAGCGAGACGCGGATGTCCTCCGGTAGCTCTTCGAGGACGGGTAAGAGCCGAAGGATGATGGCCCACTCGCCGTTCGTAATCTGATATGGTGTTCAGCTCCGAATCTGGTGAGTGTCAGAAAAGAGCTGCTCACAAAGCCTTGCATTGATGTCTCCACGCTACTTCGCCACTTCCCACCTTCCTGTAGCCAGTGGCAAAAGTACAGCATCACCCAGTCCCGGTCTCGGCTCCCGCGAATACATAAGAGCTCGAGGACGAGCCGAATGATGCTGCTTTGGATCTCGTTCACAACGGCAAAAGCGTCATCGCGCATTGCTTCGACCTCGGGGAGAATACGAGTACGGAGGAGGTGGATAATGAGGCTGGCATCCGCGTTGGTTCGACTGGGGTCCGAGGAACCGGCGAGGAGCAATGAGACAGTGGAATTGACGAAGGTCTTAAGCTTGCGGAAAGTCATGGTGGTAAGGAGTGGAGATAGCATAGTTGAATCGTCTGAAGAGGACCAGTATTTCTGGACGAAGACATGAGCCGGCGCAAGAACGATTCAAGCCAAGCAGAGTACGTACCTCTATGAGATGATGGAGCGTCCATCTCCTGGTCGCGTCTGAACCCACTTCCAAGCACCCAATTACGCTTTCCGCGACGATGATATCTCGTATGCGCTCATCACTGTCCTTCTTGGAGTGCCGAACTCCGTACTCACTTTCCAGCCCCCGTACAGTAGGAGTCCCAGCTTGTCCGTCCCGAATGTTCGTGATGAAGCCTGCAACGGTGTCCGCCTCTGCCACCGACTCCAATGATGTCCGAAGTATCGACAGCAATGAGAACAGCTCCTGAAGCAGAGTCTGCAGGATTGGCGGGGTCTCCGCTACGAAGGTCCGTTCTCGGGCGAATAGCATGGTCGATAGGTTGCCGATGATACGTAACCGAGCTCGTGAGTACACGGATGCTGCTTTACAACACCATATACACCGTCCGAGCTCCACCTGAATCGAGCAGGACGCTCAGAGGGAACGCACAAAGCCGATAGCACTAAGCACTCACCTCGCTAGTCGGTGCCTTCCATGTCCTTGTAGCGTACTCGTACGTCTCCACCGCCGTCTGCTGCTCCACCGCAACCTGTTCGTTCCCGTGCTGGCCCATAAACGGCACTAGCAGCGCCGCGAGCACCTGCGTCTCGCATGGCAGCACCTTCGGCCGGTTGATGGATGTCGACGACGTCGTGAGCACCCGCGCGATGTGCGTTACCGTCGGCGCCGACCGTCCACTCGTGCCCATCCCGAGCGACATCTGGCTTTGTGGCCGTCTGAGTCCACCGCCGGTCATCTGGCGCGAATGTCCATGCTGGCTGCCTTGGGAGGGCGTGGGCGTATATGAGCTGCTATTTGTGCTCCCGACGGACGTAGACGACGCGTTCGCCAGAAACGGGAGGTACAGTGTCGAGCCGATCGTGTTGTGTAGCATTGTCGGCTCCTTGTGATGGCTGTTGTTGCGCGTTGTGACGTCTCCAAAGCGTACGAGCATGCATGCCTTGCGGATCTCCTCCGCCAACCGATTGCCCTCGTCTGCCGCAGCGTCGCGCACCTGGTCGACGACATACCGCATGGACCGCTTCGGTCCGAAACGGGGCCCGCGAGGCGTTGATGACCTCCTTGATGAGGATAAGGACGCAGCGGTTCCTGGTGGCTCATTCGTGGGCAGAGGTGGTGGGGTTGCAGAGCGTACGGAAGAGGATGAGGGGACGACGGCGGACCGGATAGTGTCCCATCGTCTGCGGCTGGGAGAGGGCGGGATTTCACCATCGTGAGCAGCGAGGATAGTGCCACCAGCACTGAGGTTGAGCTGGGGAGGACGTTTGCCGTCTGGGCGGGCCGTCGCGGGAGTTTGGGGAGGGCGCGGGGTGGCCAGGTCTTCTTCGTCAAACAGCTCGTTCATCTCCTGCACCGGAGACTGCACCACAGGCTTCTCGGTCCATCCTGACTCCGCGTCTCCAAAAGGGTCGGTACCCGCCTCTAATTTCTCGGACAGGGAGGTGAGGTTGGAGGCCGAGGATTGCTTGCGCCAGTGGGACGTCTCATTAACAGAGGACGCGTCAGACTGCGAGCCTGACCGCGATTTTTTGAGGTTGTCGATCGAGAAGAGGCGGCGGGGTCCGGTTGGCTTCTTCGTCCCAGAGGACATGACTAAGGGGGACCAAGTACATCAGCACGAGAGACGTTGAACAAGCTGATATGGTGCTCGTTGTGCCCACAAGCACGTGGGCAGCAGTACAATAGCAACGAGGGGGGGTAGAGGACGCCACAGATGGGTCTCAAGAAATGCTCACTTGAGGTAGAAGACTCGTAACCGACGTCCACCCAGGTTCAGCCGAGAACACGAGAGATGCCTGTGTGACGTCTGAGTCTTCCTAATTCAAACGGAGAAGAAATGAATCGGCTCAAGTGTGGCAAGAGTGCCGACGAAGATGGGAGAAGAAGAGGACAGGCCAACCCTTGGGACCAAGTGTGTTCAAGCATAGCCGATCGGCGTGAAGCTGCGCGTAGGAAAAAGACGCCTGACGACGGGTTGACGCCCATAAAGCTTATTGCATGCATAAGTAAGATATCAGCTGCATATGTTGGCGACATATGTACTCTATACTGTATGTCCATTGCCTCAGCATGTAAGTGCGTCAAACTCATACATTGACGACATGCACGGATCAGGTCCGTGAAGCTTTGAAGAACAGCTCGCGGTTTATCCTAGGGCTGAGCTACTGCAGGTCAGGCATCCGACGCACGACCTTGCCCTCGTTCTTCGCGTGTACCCTGAGCTCCTCCAGGATCGTCGACTCAGCCCACCGTGCCGGTGGTGCCTTCTTTCCCGTCGCCCAGTAGTAAATGTCCCAGTCCGGTTCGTCCATAAGCTGTCCAAGAGCTTCATGTCAGCCTCTCATCGCGAGCCCACCATGCAACCATGCAAGCCTCCTGGCCTTCCACCGTATTTCCCCGACCCCCTGACTGTCCCACACACCCCCCACCACCCAGAACAAGAGAAACGTGCACTCACGCGATCGAACTCCTTCAGCTCCCCCTCGCCCATCCCGCCCAGCCGCTCCCGCGCAAACGTGCTCAGCAGCAAGTCGCTCTCGAGCGTCCCCCGCTTCCGGCTCTGGTACACCAGCCGCGCCCGCATCTGCTCCACGGGCTCGCCCGGGCGGTCGAGGCGCGCGGGCCGCGGCGCGTTCGCCGGCGACGTCGTCTTCTCGACGTGCTCGGGGGTGTTCGGGAGCAGCCACGGGTCCGCGCGGCGCGGCGCGGTCGTCGAGAGCGCGCGGTGCGACGGGCGGACGAGGCGGCGTGCAGCCAGACGGAGCATTGTCGCGGTGCGGGTGGGGACGGGGATGTTTTTGTGTGTGGAGGTGGAAGCGGAGTGAGGTCAAGGAACGGACGCGCCTTGGGTCGGACTTCGGAGCTCGGTCTGCCGCTGGCACCGACGATGACGACGATCTGGGATCGCAAACGCAGAACGCTCGTGAACTCCGTCGCAAGCGTCCCGAGTACCGACGGAGCACCTACCCCGCATACCTATCCCCTCTGGGCAGGGAATGTGGCCGCAGTAGGGATCTGCTCGAACGAGCAATAGTGCAAACTCAAAGCTGACCGAGAGACTAGGGTAGTATTACGAGTAGCCTATCTCACATAGACAGAGAGAGCAATGAGCACGACGGACGGACGCAGACGGGACGAGAGGGCGGGTGGATCAGCTTCAGAGTACAGGGGGCCTATATCTTATACGGGGCGCGTAACGTGTACGAAGAGGAGGGCAAAATCAGGAAAGACGACGGCGTAACATGTCATGTACAAGTGTCATGTGTAGCGGCAGTGGGGGTTATACATGCAGAATGAAGGAGAAGGCAGTTAAAGGTGAAGAGCCCGGAACTAGTAGCAGGGCAACGAAGCAAAAGAATAGATAGAGAGAAGGGAAGGGACGGCACAAACGGCTGACAAACGAGCGATGGGGAACCTTCATGGAGGGAGGGTGGATATTCCGGCGAGGTGCGGTGGAATCGGCGAGGATCGCGAGGGCCGAGGCGTTGAGGATAGAGGCAAGGAGCGAACAACGGTGGGATGAGAGAAGAACAAACGGAACCTTGCATAAAACAACATGGGGTGTCTGAAGTATGCTGCAGCCTGTGGTCCGGGAGTGCGTGGCGTATCGTATGCGTCGTCGCCGTCTTGGCTCGATGTTGATTTTGTGACTTCCACCTCCTCTTTCCGCACGGCCGCCTCCTGCCCTGTTAGCCTCTGCCACCTCACCACCGCTTCCGCCCGCCCCTCCCCAACCCCGCGGCGCGCTGGCGCTGGACCGCGTTCGTTGCTCCACCTACCCCCACACCGGACGGCTTGACGTTCTCCGGTGGGCTCCGCGACCCATCGCATCGGTCGTCCGACGGCCCATAAGGATCTGATAAAGTCCATGTATATCCACACAGCAGTCCGTCGCAACAACCACCGCACCAGGGGAGGAAGGGGCAAGAGACGTCTGTGACATGACGACGTAGAGATAGGGAGTAGGTACTGACGATGCGGTCCTCAGCCCATCTTGTTCGCATCCTTCTTCTTCTGTTTGCGAGGAGGTGTGACCGGTCGACCCATGTTTACACCGCCGTAAGGATACTTTGCCTTCTTCTCCGCGGGTTTCAAAATCTACAGGCTATAATCAACAAGAGGTCTTCAGGCTAACACAAGCCCAAGACGTACTTGGAATGAGCACAAGAGCGTCTCGTCGACACTCATCATTGCACCAGCATTGTCGAACTCTCCACAGTAGTTCGGTGCGGAGAACAATGTCACCAGGTGGCGCTTCGCGAAGAACTCGTACCCGTCCTCGACGACCTACATAGTCGAGACGAAAGCGTCAGAACATCGCGCCCTTCAATAGAATGTCACGAGGGTATTTCCATACCTGATGTGCGCGACAAATTAGGTCCATGTCGTGCTTCTGCAGGAACCTCGACACCACGTCCGGCCCGAACGTAAACGAGACGCCTCGGTCGTTCTCAGACCAGCCGGTGATGTCCTTGTCCGGGTCGGACCACAGAAGATCGCAGAGCAAGCCTGCACGTCGCGTGCACATCAGCATTCCGCAACAGATCGCGAGCATTCAGCAGGCGCACCAGTATCCGGAACATCCGTCGGCCGCATGACTCTCCTTATTTGCTCCATCGACTGCAGATCAGGTGAAAGCCCGCCGTGCATTGTGAAGATCTTTTCATCGATGATGGCGGCGATGGGTAAGCAGTTGAAGCAGTCTGTGAACGTCTTCCATAGCTTGATGTTGTAACGGCGCTTGCCTGCCGTCGCGCGACGTCGTCGGATGACAGCGGGGCGGGGGGCGGCAAGTTAGCGCGGTGATGTTCGGCCGGATGTGGAAAACGCGCGGGGCGTCGTCGTCGAAACCGCGTGCGCAGGGAGCAACGGAGGGTATGACGGGGGTGCAGAGGGTGAAAAGGCACCAACAACATGAGCGTTCGCGCGGACAGGAATGAGTCATAGCTTCCAAATACGCACATTCGTCGTAAAAACCGTAGATTCGGTTGATGCTCGCGCACTCGTGGTTTCCGCGGAGAACAAAGAAGTTCTCAGGGTATTTGATCTTGTACGCCAGGAGCAGACAGATCGTCTCGAGCGACTGCTTGCCACGGTCTACGTAGTCGCCAAGGAAGAGGTAGTTGGCCTCTGGGGGGAAGCCGCCGTACTCGAACAGCCGGAGGAGATCGTAGTATTGTCCGTGAATGTCGCCTACGCAAACATGAGCACAGGCAAGGGGCGGGGAGTAGAGGAACGGGGGGTGGCGCCGTGGTCGCTCGAGAAAGGCAAACATACCGCATATCTTGATGGGGGCCTCGAGCTCGAGGAGGATAGGTTGGTTGATGAAGATCTCGCGCGCCTTGGTGCACAAGTACTTGATCTCGTACTCCTGCAGTTGCACGGGCTTTCCGGGGCGGTTTCCGCGCACTGAGCGCCGTCAGCGTCGGACAGCGGGAGCAGCGGGGCCGTCCAATTCCAGCGCCGGCGCGCTGGCGGAGGAGGCCGTCACTCACCTTCGAGCAGGCGGTCAATGACCGAGTCGAGGTCAATCTCCGTGGTCGAGTCCGCCATTTCTATGAATTATAGGGCGGGCGGGTCGTGAAGCGGGTCGTGAGGAAGATGCGTGGGTGACGGTCGTGCGAGAACAAGGGCGATTTGGCGCTTTTCCTCGCGGTTTTTCAGGGCGAGGCGACCTCCCAGGACGCGGCGAAGGCGGGGGGAGATGGTGGTGAGGACGTCGACGAGCGTGTGCGAGGTGTCAGCCGGCTGAAGGAGAAAAATTGGCAAGGGATGGACACGGCGGAAGATAACGAGCGTTCGGATGATGCTGAGTCGGCCAATCCCTCGTGGGCTGCGCGCCACGAGCGGAGTCGGTCGGGCTTTCAACGCTTCCCGCCTCCCAGTTGGCGCTTCAGCCCGGCCCAACTTCCCACTTCGCTCTAGATGTCTTTTATACATGGACTGCAAGCTGGGGATTCGCCTTGGCCTCGCCATTGTAGATGCCCCCAACGCCCATCGCACAATTTCAGTATGCGAGTGAACCAGCTCCGGTTATCATGAATTAATAGAATGCGGCCACCGATCTCTGGTGTCACTCAGGCCATGGCACGACCGTTCGTTCGAGCGGAGCGTCCACTTCAGTTTATGAGTAGCATGACGATCTGACGTGCAGGGAAAATATCAAGTCTCTTGGAACTTGTAGGCAGGTAGGAGCAATGCATACATGCGTGCAACGCGGTGAACGACAAGCCCCGCGCGAGAACGAGCGTAATATGTCCGTATAGACAGCGAGAGGTGTGGTGGCATTCATCTACATACTACAGATCGAGGAGAGCTAATGAAATACACAAAAAATCAGCGGGGATGCAAAACGATACACATTATGTGACGTGTTTGAGGTCATAAGGTCATGAAGTGTCCATGAATCGGATGCCGGAGTTGTGGGTACAGCGCCACGACGCTCAGGACGGGCCTGCCGTCTCGGCGCGACGCGGGCGTCGACGACGACGTCTAAGGAAGAGTAGATCAGTCGCTGACCGAGCACACAAGATCGTGCACACCCACCTGGGGAAGATGGGACCCCTCGGCATCGGACGCTCGTCCAAGTCAAGGGAAACGTTCGTCCCCATTTGAATGCCCTAGTAGGACAAGACGCTTGGTCTCAGCATATCAAGCCACGGTGGACGCGTGCGGCCGACTTACCTCGATCCAGTCCACCACAGAAGTAACGTCCTTCGCCTGCAGGAGGAACTGCTCGCCTTCCATTCTCACCCGGATGACGTTCTTCCGTTTCACGTAGTCGCTCGCAAGCCCGCTCTCCGCGTTCTGCAGCGTATACTGGCGGATCAGGTCTTCCTGGTCCGGCGTGAAGGGCGCGTTCTTGTCCTTGGAGCGCTTATCCGGCTTTTCTGGGCTAGTGCCCAGAGACGGTCGGAGCCGGCTGCGAGAAAACAGCGACGGACCGTCGCTCGAGGACACGGAGGAAGCAGATGAAGGGGTGGGTGCGGTGGGAGAAGCGGACATCGATGGTCGGCTGCTTGAGCTCGACACGGAAGGCCGACTTGCCGAAGTATCCATCGAGGGGCGAGCACTGGCCGTCGACGACATAGAGGGTCGGCTAGAGCTGAGGACATCCACGGAACGTCGTGCAGCGGCAGCGATGGGATCAATGGGAGGGCGAGGGGCGTCTGGTCGCGAATCCGTGCTGCATCGCGTAGAGGGGGTGGTGTCGTTCGGAGGGACCAGCAGACGTCCAAGGCTCTTTGATCTCCGTTTCCGGAGGAATCGAGACGGAATGCCGAGCTTGGATTTCGTCGGCGGAGGACTCGAATGATGGTCGCGTGACAGCTGTGTTGGAGGTACGGGCGCATCTGGTGTCGGTTCCTCGAGGATCTTGGGCGCTCTCTCGGCGGTCTCCGCCGTTTCTCCTTGCCGTGCGCGAATGACGCTGTTCGGCGACCGCGCAGTGACGGCGTTGACGACTGAAATATCGCCCACACCAACCTTGCTCTCCCACCAGTGCTCAATCGCGCTCACGCCGGCCGCCTCGGGAGGGCAGTTGTAGATACGCAACGCGGTGCCTTCCAAGACGCAGTAGACGCGGCGCCACTTGCGATCCTTGGACTGAACACCGGGCTTGAGGAACTCCATCTTGCGCGGCATGGCCCCGCACATGAAAATTGTGTTGGTATACGGAGGTAGAGCTTCGCGGCCTTCCTCATCCGGCGGGGCCTGATAGTGGTGCGACGAAACCGGAGCGCGCCGCCGAAAAACAGGATCGGGGTAAGGGGGCGGATCGGAAGACGGCTCGTACGTGGGCAAGGACCGGCGCCGCCGCAACGTCGAAGACGTAATCAAGTCGTCCGAGTCATTCACCGCCAAAACTTCAGTGGATGGTATCGTTTGACTTGAGAGTTGGCACGACTTGGGTGTTACACCGCCGAGCTTGGGGGATATAATCGTGTTCTTGTCCTTGCGCGTCGACTCCAGGTCGACCATGCTCTTCGAAGCATGGTGATACAGACTGGGCCGAGGATCGCGATCGGGGGAAGCAGGCATGGGGACAAGGCGGGGTTGTGGTGCTTGGTCTTGACGGCGCGGCAGGTTCCTGGGTCGGAAGTCGCTAGGGCGAGGCGTACGAGTCGGCGAGGGCGTACGCTCGCGCAGTTTCGAGTTAAAGTAATCGACTGGCAAAAGGGCTGCGGGCGGATGCGGCGTGCATTGTTCCGCATCCGCGAACGGAACGCTGAACCCAGACGTGTCAACCGCTGGCAAAGGCGGGAGTCTTGATGGGCCCGCTGCAGAAGAGGAAGCGCCGTAAGAGCCGACGGAATCGAAACGGCGTTGAGACGGCGAGATTTCGTCATCTTCGCTACTTCCATCCGAGTCTTCGTCCAGTCCGGTTTCCTCCGCCCCGTCCTCCCCGTCCTCTTCATCGTCCTCCTCGTCCAAACACGCGTTGTCATGGGTGGCTTCTTGATCCGCGTCGGCGGACCCTTGCATGGGGAGCGCAGGAAGACTTCGCAATGGGGCTCGAGGCCGACCGGGATGGACAGGTTGGGAGGGCGTCAGAAGCGGAAGAATAGGCAAATTGAGGATCGGCATCGGAGGCTGTCGGGTGACGATAGAAGGGGAAAAGCGCGCACTTCCGCCCGCCGTTATCTGGGCCATGAGGGGTGGCGGAAGAGTTGCCAGACGTGGAGGGATCGCCCTTCGCGCCGCCATGTCCTCCGAGACAGAATGTAAATGCTCTGCGAGAAGAGAGGCAGCGGTGGAGCGGGATGGCAGAGTGGACGCGCGAGCAAGCAGAGGACTGAGATTTGTCTTGCCAGGTGTAGGGAGGAGGGAGTCGGTATATGCGGGTGGTCCATCCGAGCGCGACGGTCCAGATGATCCTCCGGGTGTGGCGGCGCTCCGTTGCGGAGGCGGGGACGGTACGCGCGAAGAGGAGGGTCGTGAATGAGTCGTGGGGGGTTTGGGAGGCGTGGGGGGAATATGGGGATCGTCATAATGCGGCAGACCTTCTATTCGACGAGTGGGTGATTCGGTCAAGGGACCACTCCGGAGGGTGATGCGGCACCGGGGCTCGTCTTCGGAGTCGCGGTTGTGGTCGAGGGAATGGCGTGCGCGCACCTCGACTTTAGTCATTGTGGAGACCAAGTCCACAGACCGCGTCGACCTTGGATACGTAGGCGGCTCTGCCCCGCCTTTCCGGCGGGCGGTGCGGAAGTTGGAGACTCTCTTCAGGAATTGACTCGTCCGCGTCTTTCGAATCCGATAGATATGAGGTCTTGTGCGTACACGACGAGAACAAGAACGTACCAGAAGTTGAGAGCGTGCCTCCTGCGTCTCCGGGGTGGGTGATAAGGTCGCCTGCATGCAATGTGGAAGAGGCCGAGGGTGGAGGTCGTGGGGGAGGAAGAGAAAGCCGAGTGAAGAGCTTGGAAAGCCGAGTGGACGTCTTCGCCGGATTTGGGGACTATTCTTAGCCGAGTCGCGGAGCGTGGGCGGAGACGCATTCGGGCGAGATGCCGCAGCGGCGTTGCTTCGCCTTCGCCAGCTCCGCCTCATGGCGAAGTGACGTCGTTCTCACGTCCCCCTCAAGAAGGTCATCCCGGCCGGCCACCTCCCATTTCCTTATCTCTTCTTGCATTCTACCAGAGTTGTTTACTGGGATCTTCTCTTTCGTTCGGTGTGGTCGTCAGGTGTGAGCGGAGATTTGAGCTCGCTGCCGCGCGATCGGTCGCTGCAATCGACCTCTCCACAATCACGCGCGCCTGTTCACAACACCTCCACGTGCGGTGGCGACCCTCGACCACCACGCGCCCGATCGCGCATGCCTTGGCGTGCGCAGTCGCACCCTCGTCTCCTCCTGTCCGGAAATTCCGTTAACCACTGCGTCTGGGGTACGCGAACATACAAGTTGTGCTGAAGCGCCACGGAAATATTAAGGTCAGTTTCGCCGCGCCGAAAGCTTCCCTCAGGCGAACCGCAGATCCATGACGAGCCTGTTGCGTACTGCGCTGACGCTCTCAGTGGTGAAGCATGTTTCCACGTGCGCCAACGGGTGGGAGGATTCACGCGGCCGGAGTGTTGCTCCATGAGCACTGCCAAGTGAGGTCGCTCTAGTCGCGCGTTGTGCGGTGCTGGAGGCGGCCTCGTGAGGGGACGGTATGACCCGACTGCAACGTTTATCGTGCCTCGTTTGCGCTGAAACTACCATCGAAATCCTATTATACGAGTCTCAGCGACGATTCAGGAAGGCAAGTCGAAATCTGGGGGATGCCGCGCAGACCTCAGGCACCGAGGCCTACCTAACACACTAATTGATCAAATACAATCAGCCGTAGACGTCAGCGGCATCATAAGAGGCGAAAGCTAAATGTGAAACATCCCCATTCCACCCTATTCCACCCCGACACGTTGTTGGACCTTCGAACAACGGCAGCCTACAGCCGGTGTGCCAATGAGCACAATGAGGACTGTTGGTGTAGTGTGGGGAGCTGAGAAAGAAAAGGAGCATGAGATCCAGTGTGGAAGTTTAAGTATGTGGATCGACGTAGGGCTTTTCCCTTGTAGATGGCGAGGACACGGACAGCGGATGCGCTCTGGGAAAAGCCTGTTCGAACTTCGGTGCGTGATGACAGCACCCGACGCGCGCCTCGAGTAGATCGCCGTACGTATCCACTTTGACTTGCCTGTGGCCGGCCAGCGAACGCACGCACGTGATGCACCTTCTCGCAGTCCAACTGAAGAAGTTCGGGCCTGACGCCGATTGAACAAAGCAGCACCGCGAGCATAGGTTATACGCGGGGAAACTGCGAGTGTTTGACTCACCTAAAAACGCCACGAGCGCTGCCCTCGAGGCACACGGACACTCTACAACCAGGATGACGCGGTTCTGTCGCGCCGTGCTCAACCACGCGCCGATAGGAACGTTCCGGAAAAGGTTCTTCGCGAACGAGCCCACGGAATGCCCGACTGACCACGCTCTGCAAAGTCGGGCGCACATCCTCCTGGAGTGCCCCCGGTATCGGAAGTGGGGGCGCTGCAGGGGCGAACTTATCGAGTTCTTGCGGCATAGTACGTGCACTACCGCACCTGTACTCAGTACGCAGGATGGGAATGCTTGACCGACAAAAGAAAAAGAACAGAGGGTCCTCTCGCTCAATAGCCAGGTGGGTCCATGACGGAGGGCCGCCGTTTGAGGGCATAAGTTTTGGGGTACTGACTGCGAAGGGGGGATGGGTCGTGCGGAGTATCAACATGTCGACGGAAATCGTTAACGCGTGTCCAATGGCTGGAGTTCCTTGGGTGAACTAAGCTTGAACCTCCAGAAGAGGGATGCGGCCAGAGAAGCCGGCACGTTTCTCGGACGGTGGTTCGGGCGGGTTGGCTACTAAGCCAGGACGACCGAAGCACCGACGCAGGAGCACCGCGTGACGGCAAGTGCGGCGGCATGGAGGGTTCACTGCCAGATCTGACTAAACTCCTGAAACGGCGAACGAGCTGTCGCGCCTTCTCCAAGAAGCCACAGAGGCGGCGGAGGTGCTCAGTCGGCAACACCAGGAGGACAAGGAGGAGAACGACGCTGCGTGCACCACAGGACTCGATCTCACCCTCCTCCTCGCAGGATGGTTGCGGGAGCACCCGCTGCGGTACCGAAGCAAACCGGCCGGGTATGTACCCGCCCTCTGAGTTGGCATCGACTTTCCGTGCAGTGCGGACGTGTTCTCATATGCTGCTCCTTGCCTTGCGTCGCGATGTGAGTATCCGCCTTTTCAGGACCTCACGAAAGACCGACTTACCACCATTTTCATTCGATGACGGATTTTAGGGCTCTGACAATGAACAGCGGGTAGGCGGCAATCCGCATGTTCACTTGTCCGCCGAATCGCGAAGCCAACCAGCCGTTCCAGGAAGGCGGAGTTGCGCACAGCGGTCTTCAACACGTCGACAAAGTGGAGTTTCGTAACCTGCTAACGACGCCCCGCTCGGTGGCTGAGCACAACACCCCAACTGAGACAGTCCCACTTGCTCTCGAGTCAGCGTGCGGGTTTCAATAAAATATCCCAATGAGAGTAGCAGAGAGTCGCACATAGATACAGCGTGATATGGCTCGACACTCCCCTCCGTACAACACGAGCCCTATGAGTCCTCGTCCGGCACCTCCCCCACGCGCGCTTGTCGACTGGAGGGGCGCGAGTCTTCCGAGTCCACGACCTCCTGGATGCGCGGCGACGGGCTGAGGGACTCGTCGCCGTCGTTCGCGGGGGCCTTGCCCTTCTCGGCCTTCTCGGTGCGCTTCTTCTTCTTTTTGGGGACGTCCCACTCCCACAGCGGGATGAAGGACTCGACCTGCGGGCCACGCCGGACACACCCGTCAGCCACGCGGCCCGGCGCAGGGAAAGAGCAGACAAAGACACGCACGAATCCAACGTCCGCGAACAGCTTCGGGAATATCCAGATGCCGGGGTTCGCCACGACGACGGTGAGGATGTAGAAGATGAGGCGGACGACCGCGAGCCCGAAGAAGAGGGCGATGAGCCCGAGGAGGCCGAACGAGAGGTAGGACACGCCCATGCGCATCACCGGCGGCCAGAGCGGGAACATGACGCCGGCGAGCATGACGATGACCATCGCCGCGCCGCCGAGGTACGTCGTCCACTGGGAGCCCTCGTAGAACCAGGCGTAGTAGTCGGCGGGGACGAAGGTCTGCATCTGCGTGATCTGGACGGCCTTGGGCGAGTTCGCGGAGGAGCCGGTCGGCTGCCCGCGTTCGACGCGGAGGAAGAACGCGAAGGGGATGATCGAGAGCAGCAGCTTCTGCGCGTCCTCCTCGCTGGCGATCTTGGGCACGTTCTTGAGCTTCGCGTAAGCGGGGGACAGGAGCGCCTTCACGGCGCCCTTGCCTGCAAACGCAAGAGCGGTTGGCGTCCAGGCGCGAAGATATCGAGGGAGGGGAACGCAGCAACAAACGGTGGAGACGCACCTCTGAAGTAGTCGATGCGCTTGCCGTTGAGGATGCCGACGCGGATATGCATCCCCGCTTTGCTGCTGCGCAGGAAGTTGACGACGTTGCGGACGTCCTGCGGTGCCTTGGACTGCTGCTCCATGGCGAATAACCTGTGATCGCACGGCGCGCGGGAACCCAGGTCAGCAGCTGGGTCACGGACGGGCAATGGAAGATGAGACGCACTAAAAGAGAGACCTAACGTATGGAGAAGCCCAGTCCGAGGACGACGTGGAAGGAGAACAAGCGAGAGAGACGGCGGCGACTGCCAGCTCAACCGACTCCGTGGAGGCTGACGGGCTGGCATTCTATATCGGGAAATACTGGCTTAGTCAGCGCGGCCCTCCGCTGGCTGGCACGCTCGCGCTCACTCGCGGTTCCAACTCCGAGTCTTCCTGCCAGCCGCTGCGCCTTGTCCTTGTCTCTCTGCACCGCCGGGTTCTTGAAACGATGGCTGGGGCACTCAAAGCCGTGAAGGTCTTCCGCATGCGCGAACTCAGCAAAGCACTGCCGCCCATCGCTGGTCAATCGTCGACAGCATCGGCGACCTCGACCATTGTCAACCCGTTTCTCCCGCGCAAGAGCCTGGAGTCGGGGAGGTGGATACCTGCGAAGTACTCGCTTAGGCAGCAAGCGGACCTCGTGAAGAAGGCAAAAGCGGCCGGGATGCTGCACCTCCTCCCATCAGGCCCCAAGCTCTCCATACGCGAGCTCGCAGCTGCGAAGGCCAGCGCGTCGGCTTCTGTTACTGAAGCTGAAAAACCAAAGAAGGCGCCGCCGCCCGCCGGATGGGAGAAGGACGTGCAATGGGAGGGCGAGTTCAAGGAGAAGGAGGTCAAGGGCGCGGACATCGGTGCGCGGTTGTACGCGGGCAAGAAGCGCATGTTCAAGGGTCACCGCTGGGAGCGTGTGATGGACGCACGCATGAAAAAGCGCGAAGTCTTACTCAAGTCCATGCCGGAGCGTATCGAACGGTTCCGTACGGTGCGTTGCCCCTCTACATATCAATCGTACTCAGTCCACTCCGTCGACTATCCGGAGCTTGGAGGGCGTTCTTGGGTTCCCCTACTTCGCTACCAAGCCCCTTCTCATCATTGTGCGTGCGTTGCACGCTTTCCCTCCACAGAACTACAAGCGGAAAGTCCCCAACCCTATCGCCGAGTCGCGCAACACGTCCTACTCAAAACTCCCCTTCTAATGATATTGTACCCTGCCCGGTCCTGTCTAATTCCATCGTCTCGCCACCCCTTTCTGCCGCTGGCACAACTGCCGTACTGTCGCATCCAGACACCATCAAACGGTGGTCGTGTTCAAGTACTGTCAAGTTGTCAGCCTCGCGTCTCGCTTGCCTGCTGGGCTGCAGTGTCGAGGCTCTACCCGTTGCCCCCAAAGTCCGGGAGGAACAGCCCGCTTGACGCACACACGCACCCGCCATCCTCTGCCCCTGGCCACAACCTTGTTAGACCTGCATGTGGCCCACCGCGGGCTGACCGGATGCAGTCGTACTGCCTCGCTCTTCGATCATCCCGAGCTCCCCGGCATGCTTATCGCTCGCTTCGAGCCTCCTCAGCCCTCAAAACAGCTTCGGGCCGTGTTTGATGCATACGTGCCGATGCTCGACCGCAGCTGACGCTACCTAACTTTGAGTATGTAGCATTCAGGCATTTCCCCATAGTCGTCGGTCGGTGAGGGCAGCCCGTTCGGTGTCTAGATGCGTACTGTCGCGGGAACATTGATATGAAACCCACGGTCCACGCACCTCAATCAAGCTGTGCGGGGGGTCACGCGTCCTGTGTGGTCTACAACCGGAGCGGCGGGGCGGGATTTGCGCCTGTGTTGTTCGCCTCATCATGTTGGACTCCAGCGTACATCCCGCCTACCGAATACAAGCCTGGCGACTTCAAAGCAACGCGTGCGTGGACATTCGCGGCTCTCCAGGTATCGTATATTGCACAAAGTGCACCAGGCAGGGACTTCGATAAATAGCAGGCCCTCCAGGTGTCCTAGACACACGTACAGGAACAGCGGGCGACGCACGCCGGAGGTATTGCATCAAGTTGAACATCTGAGATCTGCACGGCAATCATGCACCGTCGGGCCCGCCCCCCGCCCTCCCAGGCCCTCCCCCGCCGCGCAGCAAAGGTGTGGTCGCCGTGGCGCCCGAGTCCATTCCGGCGACTGTGCTTGTCCGGCTTCGGCCTCTGCCGCGCGTCGATCAAAGTCTTGGCGCAGCGTTTGTGCCCAAGCGCTGTCTTCCACCGCAGGCTGTTCGCGACAGGCGTCGTTCCGAGCCGAAGAGAAGCCTCGTCGTTGGGCTTTGGATGGCCTGCGGTGCATCGACTGGCCAGCGAGGGTTGCGCGTTGCTCCGTCGCTGACACGAGAGAAATTGACAGGGCAACGGGACGGACTCTCGTTACAGGATAGGATCGATCCTAGCAAAGGTCAGAACAAACGAGGGCCCGGGGACTGCACTCACCAAGGTGGTTTCTGGTAGCATATGCTTAGACGGCGTAAGTAGTCGTCTTGTATCATAGTTTTCAAACTCACTGGGAAACATGTGTTGCAAGGTAGTGCGAGGAACCGTGCGCCAAATATAGGGCCGACGCTGAACGTCACTTCACGACGTGGAGGCCAAAAACGCTTAAGAATTTGCAAAGGCGAGAAACGCTCACCCGAGATTGAACGACCAATCGGAGGCGCCAAGATTCCTCTTCCTACGCTTGTGCTACGCATGTTCGTCGCCTTTGCACGTCGTGCTTGGCGATTCACGAATGGCTACCGGCGGCAGGAGCCGAGGACTAGGCCTTCCGTAAACCGTGACTTCGTAGAAATCAAAGGCAGTGTCCAGGCGGATCTCATACAAGGCTAGGCAGACCACACAGGACATGAGCGGCGATGGGGACAGATACACGCGAAACGGGACCACATACGGGCGGCGTGTGTGCGGCGCACTGACTAGCGATGTGATAAGACGTCGAGTGAAAGGAGGCGGCAGCGCTGTTGGGCTCGTGCCGGTGTGCGCTTGATCAACCACAAGTAAGTACTGTCACCCTGCAACGCCGCACGCGTTATCTTTCGTATCCTTTACCGGAGGATAGGCTTGTGGCTTGGCTCGCGCTATCGGAACGCGACCGCTATCGCGCACGTTCAAGCCTGCAGATGAACTCGAGTGTGAACGGAGCGGGGCGAAGTCGTGGCCGACTCCGCCTGCAGTCACATCTTCGGCTGACCCAGCGTGTGGTTATCCCGAGCCGTGTGGAGCGCGATCGGGCGAGAACAGGACGGCCTGGCGGGCAGGTGGTGCCCGAGGCCCGCAAAGCCTCCGTCTGTGTGTCTCGCCTGAGCTGGCCGCGATCCCGGAGGAGGCCTCTGTATATGTATGCAGGTGGGTGATCCGGGTCTCACAGGTTGTGGAATCAATGTACACACGCACGGAGAGCGTCACTGAAGGGCTGTTTGTCAATGGTCCGCCGTGTAAGAGTGAGAACACAGATCCAGGGCCGGGGCGGGACCACGCGGAACGGAGGGTGGGCGCGGGACTCGGTCGCACCGTCGTGGTGTCGTGGTCCCTGTGTACATGCCGTCTCTTCGTGGCGGTGGCCGGTCGCTCTGGGTGAAGGCTCCTAACAAGCCGTGGCACACACGGGTGTCTCTCCTAGCTCCTGTGTGTGATGCGGAGCCGAAATATTGCTTGCTCCGAAGTGACAAGGTTCGGAACAGGCGCGTACTTATCATCTTGGGGAAGAAAGTGCGGCGTGCGTCGGGGATAGGGTGGGTTTATTGCTTGACCAAGCAAGGACAAGACACGGAAAGGTGCAGACTTGAAGTGCCGCGGTTGGGGATGGAGAACATTCATCTAAGCGGGTTTGCGAGCGTTCGTCTGAGAAGCTGAGCTATCAGGATAGGGATCGAAGAGGGCGGACAGAGGCCGTTATGGGAACGTACCGGACGTGAAGACGATGTGGGCATGCTGTGGGCAAGGATCGAGGCGAGGTGGAGGAGTTGCTCAGACATGAAGCGGACGAATGGCGAGCGCTACGGTGGTCGATCTGGATCGTAGATGGTGATCTGGCGATTCGCCGAGGAAGGGCGTGCATTCGCGCTCTGGCTCGCTTTTAATACGCCCACCGTCCGCGCATTTCCCCGTCTGCGTCTGGCTCTCTTTCCACCTCATCTTGGGCTCGCTCTCTGTGCTCCCAGCCTTACACGTGCGGAGAGGGAACGCCGGGCCGATCGGACATCAACGTTGTCAGCGGGCAATCAGCGCCTAGCGTCTGTCGATGGCCGTCGCGCCGGGACCCTGGACTGAAATGACGCCACGGACGGCGTCCCACACGCACCCAGCCAAACTCTTGGCCCCTTCTTCACCAGCCCGTCCTGTCCTCATCACCTCACCACCGGCCACTCTCTCCTCCTCCCTCACCCCCATCCTCGGCTCTCTGCCCCCCATGGCCTCCGCCCCCGTCCCCTCCTCCTCCTCTTCCAAGCTCCCGTCCTCGTCCTCTGCACCCCTCGCCACCCCTCGGCCCTCGCGCAAAGACGTATTCCGCCCCCGCTTCCCGCTCGACCCCTTCGCCGGGGCCCCTCCCGCCGCCCTCGCAGAGCCGTGGTTCATCAAGACCGAGCCGCTCTTTCACGCGACCTCCCTGCGCAGGAGCAATGTCATCCTCATTCTCGGAGGTACGTCTTTCTTCTTAGTTTCCGAGCCTCGCCCTCATCCCCGCCCAGCGCCCACCCTCGAGCAGATTGCGCCCATCCTGCAGTCCCGTCAACTCTCCAAGTCGCTCGTCATCCTCGCCACCCACAGACCCCCAGACATCCCCGGCGTTGCGATCCCATCTGTGCGTATCCTCCATCTCTCTGCGCCTTTGGCGCTAGAGGACGCTGGTGCGGTGCGTTTCGTCACCGTGCTCGAATGGGCCGAGCGCGTGGCCAGGTTATGGCGCAAACACGGTGGCGACGGCGTTCTCGAGCTCTCCGAAGATGTCGACATCAACAGCGAGCTTGCTCCCCCCTCCGCCCTGCGTTTCGGCTCACAGAGCACGCCGGCTTCCCCTGGCAGCTCCTCCATGCATCTCTCCTCAGACTCTGTCGCGTCCTCGACTTCCCGGCGGTCTTCTCGTTTCGCCTCTCGACCCTCCTCGATGGCCGCGCTCTCCATCCGGCAGAAGAAGGTCTCACTCCCGCCCCCAGATCCATCCCAGCGACCGTTTGACGCTCTGGTCAACTTCCTCCCCGAGCAGGTGTCGGACAAGGCACTACTGAAGAATTCCATCCTTGTGACCACCATCTCCCGACCCTTCCTGACATCAAGTGTTCATCCATCGGCGGCCCGCTCGCGCGCAAACTCTTCCTCTTCTCCACGTCCACGTTCTATTTTCAACGCGTTTTCCCGGAGCACCACCTCCGTCTACCTCTCTCCAACTCCTCCCTACCACTCAGGCGACTCGCTCCCGCTTGTCAGCTCGCTCCCGGCGCCGCTGGCGCGCTCGCTCCTCGTGCACCTTCTCCCGCCACCGCACCGGAACGAGTCCCCGTCCTCACGGCGCAGGCTCGTGGAGAGTGTGGAGGGCTTCCTCGTCTCGTTCGCCTTTCAGAGCGCGGTCGCCCCACCTCAGCCCCCGCGATCGTCGCGGATGTCGTCCTCAGGAGGGATCGGGATGGGATGGCCAGGACCGAGTCCTCTCGAGCGGGCACGCCCCTACGTCATGGAAGCCTCAACGTTCCGAGGCACGGTGTCGTGGGAGCCCGGGCTCGCTGCGGAGTACGAAGATTGGACGGTCGCCGACGTCGTCCTCTGCGGCGCGCTGGACGCAGACGTATCTGCGAGCCCGATCGCCGCACAGAAGGCAACCAAGATGGCCAAGCGAGCCTGGATAGCCAACGCGGCAGATCTCATCATCATGCCTTCCGGCTCACCCGACAACGAGAAGGAGGCCGCATCGACTCCCTCGAAACCGGGGAACGAACGCATGCGATCTGCGTCCGCCCCTCTGTTTTCGCAGGCGGGGTCTCCAGCTACGACGTCGAAGCTCGGCATGCTGCCCACTCCTCCGCACTCGGACGAAGAATCGATGGGCTTCGAGGGCAATATCTCAACGGTCAGCGGAGCTACGGGCGCGCGCCTGCCGAGCGTCCTCCACTCCTCGTCCGCTTCGACGAGCGCAGACTCGCACTTCCCGCTCTCTTCGCCAAGCCCCAGCCCGAACGCGCGTTCGCCGAGCAAGCGCCCCCGGTGGAAGTTCTGGCGGCGTCTGACTGCGAGTCCTGGCGCCGCCGCAACGACCCTCGTTGTGTGATGACGTCATGCCGGCCGTGCCATCCGGCAAGGAAGACAACCTCGAGATGGCTCGGGCTGCCTTGGCGGCGGACTGGGCACCTCTTCTCCGTCTTACCCCCCGCGGGGCCACCATGGATCCGGGGCTGCGGGGTTGGGAGCCCGCCGCGGGTACGCTCCGATCATTTTTCTTGGCATTGTGGATGCACCAGGCACCCACACAAACTATCTATCTCGCCAATGCAAATTTGCCGGGTTACCGCGCGGGCGTGTACACCTGCACTCGGCCGGGGTGATGTCGACGCGAGCCGGTCGAGCCCTAATGGAACACGGACGTTTCCAGTACATAGATCACACCCCCTCCGCCGCTCCTCTACATATTGCCCTGCAGAGGCTTTATTCTATCGCACTAACTCGTCTCACGTTCGTTTGCATCCTGCCTGCCCCGCTTTTGTCCTGTCGACGTCAACACACACCTCGCACCCACTCTGTTACTCTTGATCTAGCCCGACCATCCATGCGTTTTCCCGGCGCGAGTATAATCGCCTCAAATACTGCATATCACTTTTTCCCGACGAGATCGTGTTCCAACACCTAATATGGACTCGGACTCCCGTACTTACTCTCATCCCATCCCATTCCACATCATGCCAGCTGCACGACATACTCACCAACGATCTGTCCCACACATATAGCATACTCGACGCTCCGCTCCTGCTTTCCTATCATCGGACTTCGTCGGACTTGAACATGATGGGACCCGGCCGTGCCCAGCTACCACTCTTACCGTAATTCGTACTATAAGCTATTGGTATTAGACGGTCCAGGGACCCTTCGCATCTCGAACCGCCTCGCGCACTTACGTACGATGCCGTGGACGGCAGGGCGGAGATGGGTTGCCACGAAGCAGCGGCTCAGGCCCCAGAGTCGGAGGACCACGATGTGTGCCTGTGCGCAACGAAGCACATGCATGCACAGTCGAGCTCTTCTCTGACCGCCGTGCCGGGTGCGCCCTGGTGCAGATCCGCGCCGCGTGGACGGTCGGAGCGAACGTTAACTCTAGTGGAGGCCGAGATACCCGCTTTCGCTCGGCGCCCGGAGTTCGCGCGTTGAGGCCAACCTCCTGCAAGACGTGCGCAGCCATGCTGGCATATGTATAGCTCTCGCGGGCGCCGTCGTAAACTTGCCAGGCGAATGGCAACGTATATAGACGGGCTGTGTCTGTGCGCACGCGGGGTCCCGTCGCCCGACGACGTCTAAGTATGTGCATTGTGCGTCTTCGAACCTCCCGTGTCCAGTCACGTTCGTCTGCGCGGCGTTCGAACCTCGGGCGCAGCACGTCGGTCGGAATGGCTCCAGGAACAGTGCTGCTCAGCTGCTCCGCCCTGGCCGTCGGTGCCGTACACGCAGCGGGTGCTCGCTGCACATGACGACGCCGCGGCCTATCTCCGAAGGGGACCGCGTTTAGCTGTTAAGCTCAGCTTCCGTCGTGCCGGGGTGGTGCGCGCTAGCGGCGGTACGACTGGTGCTATGCATCAATGAATGAGCGGGCGAAGGGCGAGGTGTAAGACAAGAAGGGAGGACGAAACTGGGAAGCCTATGAGAGGCTGGAGTGGTGTGCACTGTGTTTCGAGACTAATACTATAGATGCCATTCGAGCCAATGTTCTTGATCATAGCATACAAGTATGACTGGTTGACCATTGCGGGGTGATAGAGACCATATTGAGAGTTACTTATGAACAAGCGAACTTGAAGTAAGTAGGACAGATCTTATCTCCTCCGCGTGGCATGTCTCACTATCATCATCTTAGATAACATCACGTGCTTATAACTCTTCAACCTGAGTCTTAGTTATAAAGTAATCTCGCGTTATGCTCACACTTGATACGCAGTGCCTTTATCAGATCCTTCATATCACAGCGGATGTAATTCAATTTTAAAGATCGCAGTGGCTCGTTGGGAGTGATCATGAGTGTTTCGAGCAGATATCGGCGCATTTGTCCAATCATCGAGGTTCAGTGCAACAATGAAAGAGGCCTTTTCATGAATTTGACGATGAAGAGTTGAAGACTGCGAGGTGTCAGTGCGCAGCGGCATCCTTCCGCGCCAAACAGTCGGCCCGGAAAACACGTTGAGTTGACGACCACGCACGGAGTCAAAGCCCCGACCGCATTAACCATGGGGCACGCGCCCACTCAAGGCATTTCGCCGCGCGAAATGCGCAGACGCTACCACATCCTGCCACCGCGACCCGGCTCATCTCTGCCTGTGCTGAACGCATGAGATCCTTTGAAAGAGCTCTGCACGATGATTACCGCGGCAATTCGATGGATAAGCCATCTATCAGTATCGCTTAAATACCGGCGTGAGAAAGACAGATGCAGCGTAGCGTCGCGAAAAAGCAGTCCTCCCTTTGCCCTTGCCCACATCGCTCGCCTCCAACATCGCCAGCTGCTGCTCCACGCACCCACACCCATCATCATTCGACCCTCTCCTCGCCCTCTTACCCTTGGCTTTGCTCGGAATCTGCTAGCCATCATCCACCTCACCGCCTACACCCAACCACCCGAAGTTTAAAACCGCACACGCAACCACTTACCCCTTCCACCAACCCACATGGCTCAACAAGCTCGCCCCTCCTCCTCCTCCACCTCGTGTGTATTAGCCGCTCTCAGTGCTTCGCGGTCATTCTAATGGTTGTTCTAGCCACTCTGAATCTTGGAAACAAGGTCTGCGCCCACCACCAAAAGACTATCGCCCGCAGACCGAAGATGTCACCGCAACGAAGGGCGTCGAATTCGAAGACATGTTCCTTCAAAGGGAACTCCTCATGGGCATCTTTGAGGCCGGCTTCGAGAAGCCGTCACCGATCCAGGAGGAGGCCATCCCCATCGCACTCACCAAGCGCGACGTGCTCGCGCGCGCAAAGAACGGGACGGGCAAGACCGCCGCGTTCGTCATCCCCTCCCTGCAACAGGTCGACGTGAACAAGTCGAAGATCCAGGCGCTGCTGCTCGTGCCCACGCGCGAGCTCGCGCTCCAAACCGCGCAGGTTTGCAAGAACCTCGGCAAACACATGGGCATTCAGGTCATGGTCACCACCGGTGGCACGACCCTCAAGGACGATATCATGCGTCTCTCCGAGCCCGTTCACGTCCTCGTCGGCACGCCCGGCCGCATACTCGATCTTGCCGGCAAGAACGTCGCGGACCTCAGCCAGTGCCCTGTGTTCGTCATGGACGAAGCCGACAAGCTGCTGTCGCCCGAGTTCGCACCCGTGATGGAGCAATTGCTCTCATATCTCCCCCAAGACCGCCAGGTCATGCTGTTCAGCGCAACCTTCCCGCTTATTGTGAAGGATTTCAAGGTGAGCTGGCGGTCGGTCTACGCGCACTTCCGCCGCAGCGCGCTGATGGTGACGCTGTAGGACAAACACATGAAGTCGCCATACGAGATCAACCTGATGGACGAGCTCACGCTCCGCGGTGTCACCCAATACTATGCCTATGTCGAAGAACGACAGAAGGTGCACTGTCTCAATACACTATTCTCCAAGGTGCGTGTTTCCCCGATTATCTCTGTTCGCATGCCGGTATCCTGAACTGCTGGGGCCGGCAGTTGCAAATCAACCAGTCTATCATATTCTGTAACTCTACAAACCGCGTCGAGCTCCTCGCCAAGAAGGTCACCGAACTCGGCTACTCATGTTTCTACTCGCACGCGAAGATGCTCCAGTCGCACCGGAACCGCGTCTTCCACGACTTCCGCAACGGCGTGTGCCGCAACCTCGTCTGCTCCGACCTCCTTACCCGCGGTATTGACATCCAGGCTGTCAACGTCGTCATCAACTTCGACTTCCCCAAGAACTCGGAGACGTACCTGCACCGGATCGGCCGCTCGGGCCGTTTCGGGCACCTGGGAATCGCCATTAACCTCGTCACGTACGAGGACAGGTTCAACCTGTACAAGATAGAGCAGGAGCTCGGCACGGAGATCGCGCCGATTCCCCAGCAGATCGACAAGGGCCTTTACGTCGCGCCGTCTGGCCCAACGGAGGAGGAGGCGCAGGCAATCGCCCAGGCGCAGGCTCAGCAGGCCGCGAAGGGCAAGGCACCGGCTCAACAGCAACAGCAGCAGGCTCCGCGGCAAGCGACCGCTCCGATGAACGGTGGACAGAGGCAGGCGGGTCCCTCGCAGGTCGTGTACCAGAGCGGCCCACAGCCGAGGGCAAACGGTTCGGTTGCACCTCAGTCGCAGGCGCCTTATCCCAACGGATATCGTGGAGTGCCCGTTGCGCGTGGATGAGGGGGCAGATGTGAGTGTCCACTCGCTTTGCACGGAAGAAGTGGGGAGGCGAGGAGGGAGATGTGGCTGGAGAGGAGGATAGAAGGATTGGGGGTTGGGGAGGTAGGATGGGAGGATGTTTATCGCCGGCTGCACCACACGACTTCGCCTTCAACTCATAACGACCGCCTTGGACTCACCGCAACGACAAGAGGGGCACCATGTATCATATTATCCTCGGCCTCGCACGCACACATCGCATCGCACACTCCGCTCATCGACTTGGTCCCGACATTATCGCGCTCTGTACCCATTCTCATATCCCTCCTCGCGCGTCCACCAACGCTCATCCAGATTCGACACCAACGCTGTACACCCCTCGAACACCCTCGAGCCCGAATACACAACACAACACGTACCTCGCCTCGCCGTACCTCACCCCCACGTCTACCACTACACACCAGCCCGATGCCCGTGCGACTCGCCGAAGACCATCCGCGCTACTGCTGTCCGTCTCTTTATTCCTCGCATTTGCTGCCCCGTCCCCCTCCCCCGTCCGCATATTATACGGTTGCCGTTTACTTTCGCTCGCTATCCCCCGCACCCGCACCCCTGCCCCTCTTGCTTCCCGTTCTCTCCTCGTTGCTTTGTATCTGTAGGCGGTCGTCGTGACTTTGAACGCATTTGTGTGGTCCAGCCAATACTTGGAAGTGCTCGTGAAAGGTGTGCGCAGCAAGTGGGAATAACTAGGCAACGGAGCCGTGAGAAATTTGCAATTCTATACGGACTAGAAGACTTGTTTGACTGGCTAATAATGCTAGTGTTAGTTGTGAGTAACACAGCACATTGCCCTCTTGGCTCCGATGCAAAAGCCTGTTTGGCCAATGCTTGCAGCTTGTCTCTTACCACCACGCTCTCCTCATGACCTGACCTGCTGTCCCCATCCCTCATATCTCTGCTTCCACGGTTCACTCGACTCCGTACAACTGCCGGCCGCTGCGTCGGCTACGATCACCCGCTTTGCCTCCATCCACGTCTCAGCCAGAGGATGCCCACCTCTGACTACGAACAGCTTCCCCTCCACGCTCGCTCAGACAGTCCCACCTTCCGCCACCGCCCTGGACGACAGAGCAGCCCCACAGACGCGTCCTTCCCGCACAGGATGGACCGCACCCTGCGCCAGCTCGCGCGGCCCTCCCGCCTGCTCCCGATCCTCAAGTACGGCCTCCCCGCGCTCGTCTTCGCCGTCGTCCTCGGCCTGCTCTACTACGAGCCCCACATCGAGATAGCCGTCTACAACCGCGCGTGGGTCAAGCAGGAGGTGCTCGGCGTCGCCCCGCTCGGCGACTGCTTCTCGCCCCGCGCGATCTCGCCCTCGTACAACGCCACGGACGCGCTCTACGGCGCGCGCCGCACCGAGGTCCACGCGGGCACGAGCCTCCAGTTCGGCACGGACTGCTACGACTTCGCGGGCACGGTCCTGCCGGAGCCGCACTCGCGCACGAAGCCGGCGGTGGAGATCCCGGGCGACCGCCGCGCGCAGTACCACACCTACTGGCGGACGGACCTGGCGCCGTTCGGGGCGCGGCAGGAGTGGATGCTCAAGAGCTTCTTTGCGACGCAGGACGTGCACCGGGCGCGGCTCGTGCTCTGGAGCAACGGCGACCTCGGCGCGAACCCGATCCTGCAGAAGTGGGTGGCGCGCTTCCCGGAGGCGTTCGCGCTGCGGGTCGTGGACTACGAGAAGCTCGCGCGGGGACGCCGCTGGAGGGGAGCCCGCTGCTGGACGTGTCGGACGCGAAGGCGTGGATCGACGGGGACCTGGTGCGCCTGCTCGTGATCTGGGCGTACGGGGGCGTGTGGGTGGACATGGACTCGCTGCTCACGCGCGACCTCGCGCCGCTGCTCGAGCACGAGTTCGTCACGCAGTGGGACTGCTACGGTGCGTCTCCCTTCCGTCGTTCTTCTCGTGCGTGTGAACCGACGTCCTTTCCCTCCCTCCCTCTCCGTGCCTTCCCCCTCCTCCCCTAGACAAGAAGTACGTGCCGATGAACGGCGCGCTCATGCACTTCCGCAAGCACTCGCCCTACCTCTGCGAGGCCTTCCACGTGATGACGACCTCCGCGCCCCCGCGCAAGGGCACGACGGACTGGGGCGCAACGCTCTACCTCAAGCTCCGCCGCCGGCTCCTCCACGGGGGCGTCCCGCCGTTCAAGGTGCTCCCCTTCTGCTTCACCGACGCGCGCTCCTGCCGGCTCGACAACCGCCTGCCCGACCCGTTCGTGGCGGACCCGGCCGACGGCCGATGGGCGATGGGCTTCGGGCGCGAGGAGGACGGCGGGCTGGACAACGTGCTGAGGAAGGTGTTCTCGGTGCACCTGCACAACCAGTGGGAGAAGCCGTACCCGAGGGGCGGGTGGGTCGAGCGGTTGCTACTGAGAAGATACGACGCGGAGCTGGAAAAGGAGTTGTTGGGTAGCCCGCTGGCGGTATGATATGATGTTATCGAGTTCGCGTCGGTGACACGCCTATGGGTACTATCATTTGACTACTACGCCCCTCGACGCAACAAAGTGCAGTCTGCAGCTGTGTCCTCGGTTGAATCCTGTGACCTACATTCGCGAATAAGTACCGCCGGTTCAACATCACCCGCTCAACAAGTCTTCTGGCGCGCACACGTTCCATTATTTCTCTGAGCGACCGGCTTGCTGTCGACGGCCCTCTGGCTGACAACACAACCGGTATGTGGCTTCTCAACCTCTGTCGGCTATATTACATGCACTCATAGCTCATCATTTCAATCCCCGGTCTCCAGGCGGGTGGGTTCTTGTGTCGCCACAGTCCTCCGTTCGTGCTAGTACTTTACTTTGGATGCCATGGAGTAGACGCTGTAGAGCTCCGCGAGCTCCGTCCAGTAAGGGCTCGCGCGGGCCTGGGTCGTCTAGCGTCGATTCTGCTCAGCCTGCCATGTGACGATCAAGTCATTCGTCAAAAACGCACCCCATCAGCGTCGTCCCCGTCGGCCTCGAATGCAGCGATGCGGCCCCGGATATCCTCTTGGAGCTACGAGCACAGATCCTCAACGACAGGGTTCACCGGCATGCAGTAGAACGTGCGTACCTTGGACCTCTGCAGGTCAAACACCTCTCCGAAGAGCGCCTCCTGTTGCTTGAGCCGACTGCACACCTGCCCCACGCCCTGCTCGACCTTGTCCATGAGGTCCCGCAAGCGCCTGGCTTCATTGGCTCGAATCGTAAACGCACGCCGGGGGTGCGCCTGAGAGTCTTCGTCGGGGTTGTTTTCGACGACTATCGCGAAGTGGAACGGCCAGTCTCGACGTCAGCAGGTGCGCGGGTGATCAGGCTGAGAGAGACGACGGACCAACGCGAGGCACTGGGACATCCTGACGCTGAGTCCAGCCGCCGAACAAACCACCGATGAACATTTCAAGGCTGAAGAACGCCCCAAAAAGCCTGGACATGCTACTGTTAGTACGACGTCACAGTTGGGAACACGACTCACATGTCGGTAAAGGTCATCTCATAATGAACATAGTCCCCGCTTTCCTCATCCTCTTCGAACGCCTCGGTGCCTTGTTTGAGGATGTCGTCGACGGCGCGCCGCAGGTCGTTCGCGATGGTCTCGAAAGACTTGAGGATGGTCTCGATGTCTGCGGGGAAGCTCGTGGTAGCATAGAACGATTCAAACCCCTGACGGCGAGACAGTCAGGGCGTAGGCCATGCCCCGATGGACGAAGGAGATAACGGTACCTTGGCAAATACCAACAGCCTGTCAATATTCTGGTCGGCGGACCAGGAGCCCCAGGATCAATGGCGATGGTAAAGGAGGCTGCTGGGAAGTCAGACAAACCACTTCCGACGACAAGAATGTGATCATACAGCCCAGCCACGTAGACACTCTGGACGCGATGGAGTCCGAGGCAGCGATCATCTCGGAGTACGCCTGCGTGTCCGGTTGCACGTTAGTGTCAACAGGAAGCGTGCTCGGGTGACTGAAAGGCGCACATTGTAGGCTTGATGCCACCGCTTGAAATACTCTTGGTTCATGAGAATCGTGCCGATGTCGCAGAACAGCTCCCTGATATCGGAGAGAAGGAGGCTCAAGTCCCAGATATTGTCCTTGAGCTGCTCTATTTGTTAGTGGGAGGGACAGCCATGATGTAGTCGGGGTGGAGAGCGGACGGGGTGGCGGACGGGGTAAAGAGCGGTGGGGTTCCACGTCTCTTTAGTGCAGATGCTGCGAGCCTAGATGGGGGGCGGCTCCTAAAGAAGACGTCACCAGCGAGCGTAGAGGGGTCACGTCTGAAAGCAACCATGCACCTCTCTGGATATGCGTGATGGCGCGAGCAGCGTAGTACTACGCCGCCGTGGCCGAGCAGTGGGACCGACATCGTCGTACCAACAACCAACATATGCGCATACTTGGGGGAGCAATTTCTGTCTTCAAAGCTCAGGAGCAGCCCATCGTTTCTTCGCGACGGGCCACAAGACGTCGACCAGGGAAAGTGATAGGAATTGACTCGCAAGCCTCGTACGGCTATAGTACACGCATGCATCCATAAGAGTGGATCGGGGTCAAGGATCAGCAACGGTCGCTACCGTCGCTGTGTGGCACTCCGTGGGCGACACTTGCCGGCCAGCCGATCAGGTGCAGTCCTCTGTATGGCCGCTGACTCCCTTGTGCGCAATACCGTAGCCGCCGTAAAGCACCGCGAGCTCCTTCCAGTAAGGTGCCGCCTTCTGGGCCGTGTGATGCGGATCTTGTTCAGGCTGCCACGCAGAGCCGTCAGACCCCTCGTTCTCCCAACCAAGACGCTTGATAAACGAACCTGAGCAGCGCCGCCCCGCTCGGCTTTGAGTACAGCGATGTGATCCCGTACCTCCTTCACGAGCCACGAGCATAGATCCTCAGCGGCAGGTTTCACGGGCAGGCAGAAAAGACGGGTGCGGACCTTAGACCCCGGTTAAACAAACGCAAGGTTGAAGAGCTCCTCGTGCTGCTCGAGCGTGCTGCACACCTTTCTCGTGCCCTCTGCGACAGTGGCCATTGCGCCCCGTAGGCGCCCGGTGTGTTTTTCAGCGGTGAGCGCGAGCCGGAGGCGCGCACGGGGGTCTTCAGGCTCCTTAGTAAGGACTACTGTGAGGTGAAAGTGCCGTAGATTCGACATCAGCAGATGCGCACGGGTTAGGTCGAGAGGATCGGACGGACCATCGCTAGACACTGGGCCATGCTGCCACTCAGTGCTGCCGAAGAGAGCACCGATGAGTGACGACACGCTGCTGACGTAGCTGCTGAATAGAGCACCGACAAACGACGAGAAGCTGTCGACGTAGCTGCTGTAAGTGCAATTCACGGAGTGCTTGAACCACAACTCACATGTCACGGATGCTTTCCGTGGGCAAAACATGACGAGGGCTCTCCGCGACGGTCTTCACGAGTGTATTTATATCTAGATTGAGGGCATCGTCGACGGTGTGTTACAGGTTGTTCAAACAGGTCTCGAAGGACTTCATGATAGCGTCTAATTCGGTGGGAAAGTCGATGGCGCCATAAGTCGTTTCAAGTGTCTGAGGGCAAGGCGATGAGACATGTATGCGCCGATGGAGGAAAGAGAGAGACGTACGCTAGCTTTTTTCTCCAGCTAAGCGATCTTCTGGTCAGCGTGGGCAGATGCGCCATCGATGTTGACGTTCGAGTAGACTGTGAGGAACTTGTTGGACAGACCACGCCCGAGAACAAGGGTGAAATCGTACCTCTCAGGAACACATGGACAATGACCGCAACTTTTTCCAAGCGGGAGATCAACTTGGCCCACGCCTGTGTGTGCACGTTAGTGTCGACGGGGAAAATGCTCAGGAGACAGAAATTAGCGCACATCCCAGGCGTTCATCCACTGCTCCACATGCTCTTGGCCAGCAAGGATGGTGTCGATGCGGCTAACCTTCATCGTGGCTCCAATAAGGATAGTTTTCAATTGAGAAGTCTCGTTCTCGAACCGCTTGATGCAGGGTTCAGCGATGTGGGCGGCCATGATGGGGATGCGAGGCGGAGGTACTCAGGCATGAACCCTGAGCAAGCCCCAAGTGCTTGAGCCTTGCAGAGAGAGGGGTGTCTGCGATTCGGCGGCAAACATAGGAAGAGGCGAGTGCGCAACCGGCTTTTCCTTTCGATGCATTGGCTGCTAGTGCTCCGTACGAGGAGGCACTAGTCAGGCCTTCAGGCCCAGGAGGAGGGCCGGGCTGACAGCCTCGGAGCCGCGACCGAATTGGGGGTCGTGGGAAAGGGGGACCCCCGAAACCACTCAACTCGCCAAGAGTCGCGGGCTCTCTTCAAATGCGTATCAAGCTGTACCAACCACTATCTCGTGTATTCTCACCCATCGCAGTACCATGTCCTTACACCACCACCTTGTGCTGAATCGCCGTCTTAGGACATCGGATGATAAATCATTCTCGACGCATTGTTCCAGGCTGATCGCGGCCTTGTCATACTTGTTTCCAACTTGTTTCTGAATGGACCCTCAACAACGCCATACACACTTCCGGAAACTTGCTCTCCGATCGGCTCCAAGTCGTCCAGCAAGAATTCCTGATCGCACCGGACCAACAACCAATTGGCACCGCATGCGCTGACTTGTATCTCGTATCACGGGATGCGGATACACACTCCGAAATCGTCGTAAAGGCCTGTGGTCTTCTCCATTTCACCAGCCAAATCTAACACGTGAGCATGGACGTCCACCAGGTTTTCCATGCCCCGTCGAGGACGTCGTGGAAAGAGACATTGTGACCGCTGAAGCGCTGATGAGGCAAGCATACTCCAAAAGTTTGCGTAGTCCCCATCTTCGTACGTACGCTCGGAGAAGCCCTCGCGGAGAGCGGCCTCCACCTCGGCACGAACTGCTGACTTCGCGGGCACGGTGAGAAGCCGTAGGGATATACGGTACTGTTGGTTCGGAGTCGGGCGTCGAATGTTACCACAACGCTGCTCAGCACGATCGTATCCAAGAAAACGCAGATAGCGCAGCAAAAGTCGATGGTAGACACACATACGTGGGTCAACGTCTATGGGTAGGTATACTATAGCGTGCGTCAAGCGGAAGTCGTGGCAGGTCGTCAGCAGCGGCATGATGGCATCGTTAATCCTCGTCAATCGCGCCCGGCGGCGGCCGCCTCCACCTCGGTCTCGCCCCGCGCCGACTGCGCCCGCCGCTTCATCTTCCACCCGACCCGGCTCCGCTGGGACCCCGCGTCGTCCTCGTCCCCGTCCGACTCGTGCGAGTGGTCCTCGTACGTGTACGGCAGCGGCACCTCGCGCGTCACCCGGTACTGGTCGATGTTCCCGAGGTGCTCGTTCTCCAGACGCACTGTCGCGCGAAACCGTGAGCTAGGGATCATGGTGGGGGCGGGAGAACGAAAGCAAACCCACAGAAGTTCCACTGCCAGCGGCGGAGGACCTCGAGGAAGCCGGCGACGAAGCTGCGGATGATGGAGTTGGGGCCCTGTTCGGGGATGTACATCACCCACATGAACCGCAGGAGCGAGTTCGTGACCTGCGGAGTGCTGTCAGTAGGATTCTAGCCGTCGATGAGGGATGGAGCTCACGATCGCGAAGTAGTAGAACTGTTCGGTGGGTCTTGGTCAGACGCGCGCGTGACAGAGAGATGGGAAATGCTTACGGAGATGTTGTTGGTGTAGAGAAGATCGGGCCGGAGAAGGAAGTAGCGGGCGCGCGGGCGGAGGAGCGACCAGTCCATGAGCAGATCCTGTAAAAGCGGTGCGTGAGTGAGTGCTGCGTGTCATGGTGGCAGGAAAACACACTCACCCACGCGCCCGCGTACAGGGAGTTGACGGTAGCGAACACACACCACGCAACGAAGTACGGCCCATGCAAACCACCTAGCGCCCAGGGGATATCAGTACAGCAGTCAGAGCCTGCAGCAGACAGTGCTCACCGTGCGCCCGCCACAGGTAATAGAACAGCGACGCGGCAACCCCGGCGCCGTACTTGCCCGCGTTAATCAAGTGCGTGTCGAGGCCCGAGTCCGCGTACCGCTTCACGCTCTGCACGAGGCGCACGACGAGCGGCAGCGCAGCGAGCGCGAACGCGGCGCCCCAGCCCGGGCCCGGGCCCGACGTGCACCGGCGCCAGCTGTCGTCGAGCCCGCCGGCGGTGGTGTAGACGCAGGCGAGGAAGTAGAGGTTTCCGAGCGTGAAGGTGAGCGAGCAGAACTGGTCCCCGAGCCAGAAGTCGGCGAACTCGACGCGACGCCAGCCGGCGGTGAGGAGCTTGCCGGTGTTTCGGACGAGCCACCAACGCGACGAGCGGTGGATAAGAGGGAGCGGGAGGAGGAGGAGGAACGCGGTGAGTGCGAGCCAGAGGAGAGGCCAGCTCGTAGGTGAGATAGAGGCGGTACCAACGCGAGCGAAGGAAAGCCAGAAGGCGTAGCAGAGAAGGGAGAGGAGGAAGGCGGGGACCTCGAAATAGACGCGATGGTCGATTTTCGTGCGGACGTCGAGCTCTACGAGGTCGCATGAGGGCTCAGAAGTGGATTACAGAGAAGGGAGGCTTACCAAAGATGAAGGTGTAGTTTATGCGTGCTCTTGTCCACACCAGCAAATTTACCCCTACCAGAAGGGCAAAGAAGGTGGGGACAAACAAGACGCCGTAGATGTACATAAGTCCCGCCCAACCAGGGATAGCGGCTCTTGTATGGGGCTGGAAGCCTGGGCAAAAAGATGAGTCGGTCGGCGGCAATCATGGGATCAACGCTTTTCTTACTCTCAAAGAGGCCGTCCGCGAGCGCAGGCACAGCGAGGCCCAACGTCATACCCGTCCGGAATGTGCTAAAGTGATGGCTCGTCGAGCTGTTTCCACTGCGCAAACGGGCCATCGCTCTTTTCTTGTCCCCGCGAGCTGCACGATGGAAGGTGAGTCAAAGGATTCCGGGAAACACGTAGATACCTACCGAAGCGAGCCGCGAAGAGAACTTCCATCTCGCTCATCAGATTGTCCACGGTTGCGCCTGAAGAGAAGGAGCTGATCTCAATCTTCTCCAGGGTATATGCCTGTTGGGCGGGTATCTGGCAGAGATGTTATGAGTTTTAAGTAGGATAGGCCGCGACAAAATTCACCCGTGTCACTTTCTCGAACTTCTTGAGAGCTTTGCGGAACCCGATGAGGTTCAGAGTCTAGAAAAATATGGCAATTGGTCCAAGTCGTTACGTCGACATACATGCGCTTACCCGGTAGTTGTTCAACACCTCCAGACCTCTGTGTCGCACCATTCAACCTCACGGAGCATCTAAAAATGACTAGATGCGTACCTGTAGCACTCAAGAACGGCTTTCTTCAGCTGCTTCTTCGCATGCTGGTACTCCTCCGGGTCGTACTTCAGCGGAGCCTTCGAGCCGACCGCCGCTTTCCCCGCCGGACGCGTCGGTAGCGGAGACGTCAACGAGCTCGAGCTGGCACCCGTCAACCCGCTGCTGTCTCTGCCAGCGACTTCGTCGTCCCCGTTTCGCGGCGCAGGCGACGACGACGGACGGAAGAATGCGTGAACGGCTTGCATTACGGAGCGTTGTCTCCACCCCAAGCCCGAGGCGTCGCCCAACCCGGATCCCTCTGTAGGGCTAGGAAGCGTTGCCTCGGTCTCGTCCCCACTGGTGCTGTCCCCGTTCTTGCCTGGGTTGTTCGCGTCGACCTGATGGTGCGCATCGACGGAGGGGCGGCTCCTCGCCGCGCCGACGACTCGTGGAGAGGGTGCCGTGTAGGTTGGTGGAGTAGTGTCTGGAAGCATCTTGCGCTTACGGATGAAGCCGGGGATCGCTGGAGGCACTGTCGGTAGCCACGCATATCCCGTGGCCATCACTGGATAGGCATCCTTTCAGATGAATGATGTTAGACCGATGATGACACGGAGGGGCGAACGCTCACGTGGAATGCGCGCCTGTGGTCTTTCAGTTCTTGCAGCTGTTCTTTGAGTACACTCACCCTAACACAAAATGAAGTGAGCACAACCTCGACAAGGCGACAAGAACCGCAGATGTACCTGTGAGACATCTCTTTCTCGCGCTCACAGTAGAAGCTCTCGACCTTGTCAAGCTCTTGATCCAGCTTATCGAAGAACGCGTGTTCTACTTGCTTGAGCTGCGGTAAGAGATCCTTGAGTGGTATCGACTGGCGCATGTCGAAGCGAAGACCGTCGGGCGCACTTGCCCTAGCGGAATTCGCTCTGTCCATTGCGCGCGCCACGATGCTCGTCCCTGTGTCCCTTCGGATGCGAGGAGGCCGTCTCGTATGTGGCCCACTGTTGGACCCCGAGGGAGCGGATATCGACGGGTGGCTCGAGGATTCGTGGTCGGCCATATACTCCACGTCTACCGGCTCGGAATGGATGTGCGGTTCTTCTGTTGGAGCTGGGAACTCGACGTGCCGGCCCTTCAGATACGGCCCTTTCTGGGACCCAGAAATGTGTCTACGGTGGTCAGAGGCAGTCGAACTGGATTTGACGGACGTTCGCGTTGAGGAGGCGGTGTTGGCAAGGACAGGGTCTTCGTCGCTCTCATCCGGAGACGCGGCAAGCTGTCGCGAGCGCCGGATCGCGGTGATGCGTTTTTTTAGGCCGCGATAGTCTCTACAAACGGGGTCATAAGTATGGTGACGGCCAGATCTGCAAGCAGCCCATGTAGCAGAACTTCTGGACGCCGCACTGACATATATGCTTTTTTCCATTCTGGAGTCTAAGAGAGCAAACGATCAGATGCAGAAATGAAATATCGAAGTTGAACGCGTTTGCGTACATGTGTTTCTTCTAAGTATCTGTCTGGAAGTGAGCGAATGGGTCAAATGTCACTTGTTTGAGTAGAACCGCCCACCGTGCAAATTTCATGCTGTGACGTCAAACGGGCGCATATACGGAATAGATAGGTAGGGATTGAGTAAGAGGAAGGACGATCCAAGTGGGAGGAACGGACAACAGAGGAATGTTGAAAGCACCGGAAGAGGCTGAGTGGGTCCGATCGAGAACGCACCTCGTCAACGATATCACTCGATTTGTTCGTGAGAGTATCGCACGTGCTCCAGCGCTCCGGTGTGCGAATTTCTTTGAGTCGGCGCACCCGCCCACCGGGCCGGCTGGGTCCGGCCGCCGGGCTTGGGGACCTGCCACCACCGACGCGTAGTAGTACATCTTACCTTCGCCCTCTATCCCCTTGATCACCGAGCATCGTTAAGAAGACTTTCCCCTGGTACAGGTTTCTCTCTTCTCAACGCTGTCCAGCATCCTCCGCGCGACGAGTCGAACACCGCTGGGGATGGACGCTATCAGCGTCCTTCGCAATTCTTGGCTCAGCTTTTTCCTTCCATCATGATGCTAGACGGCCACTTGCTTCATCATTTCCAAACCCCACTGATGTGTAACCAGCTGAGGTTTGGCTCACATCATATTCTGACCTTCGAGCTCACAAAATTCCCGGCAGCTGAGGGCTTCCTCTTGTGTACGTACTTCGTGAGTCTCTTTGTTGGTGGTGCGCTGAAGCCTGATAAGCAATACCCGGGCAAACATTGCGTCCGCGGCGCGCTCTAGCTTTATCATTTACACTGCTTCTGCGGATCCATTCTGCGCAGGGCATGCATGCTCATTCACCACTTCAGCGATCGTCTTAAGCTGTACGGCGGCTGGCTATCCCGTCCCTCCGTATCGTTGAGCCTGGGGTCGGGATTACGTGTTGGCTGTCATGACCATGTCACATTTGGCGCGCGCGTATGCTCTGGCTAGGGGCGCGGCAGCGTCCGACTGATCATCGGGGCGGACAACTGTATGCAGGGCGCTGGGCCAAATTTGATTCGCACTGGGGACCGCGCGATATACCCCGCTTCGTTCGTGCGCGGTGCGCTCCGACTTGCTCCCTTTCCCCTTCTCTACTGTACCCCCTCTGCCTCTTGGCACTTCTCTGCCCTTGCGCCACGATGAGGGCGTCTGTGGCTCTTGCGCTGGGTGGCTTCGCTCTTTCCGTCGTTCGCGCGCAAGACACGGACGTCACATGTCTCTCTCAGTTCAATTGGGTGCGTGTCCTTGTTCCGCTTTTGCGCATGCCGAGCTGACACCGAGTGTTTACGCTCCTGCAGATGAACAACGCGCAAGGGCAAAACCCATGTCTAGTCACCTCTATCCTCCGCATCCCTTGCCAAGGCGATAGTGAGTCTATTTTACCTGATGTATTCGCGTGGCCCACACCCCAGCTCGTCAGACGAACTGCTCTCGCTTAAGGAGGACGGGACATACGTCGGCTCCGGGACGTCGTCCAAGTGCTACTGCAGCACCGTCCTCTACTCCACCCTCGCCGCGTGCGGGTACTGTCAGGGCGCGTCAGACCCGGATGCGATCGTGAAGTGAGTATTGTGATCGAACGTGGGTATGCCACAGAGAGCTAATCGGAAAGTTTGCTAGGTGGAGCACGTTCATCCAGAACTGCTCGAAGTCCGACATTTCGATCCAATCGTGAGTAATTATCCACGCCTTGTCTCTGTCCTCAATGTACCGACAATTTGCACTTGCGAAGTTACACGGCTGGTCAGATCCAAGGCTCGGAGGCCCCGAAATGGGCGTACTTGTTTGACGGCTCGGTGCGTAGACCCACAAGCGGTCCTGGAAATGATGTAAGAACTCATCACGGTCTCAGACGGACTTCGTCAACCTTGCCGCGGTTCAAGCAAATGCTAGTGAGCTCATCACGTCTGCGTGTCGTAATCCTTCTCCCTGATCCTTCTCTCCACTCCAGCGAGCACCACTTCCACCTCATCCTCGTCCACCTCCACCTCTACTTTGTCCGTTTCCACCTCAAACTCCGCCTCTACAACATCATCTTCAACTGCCGCGTCCTCCAGCTCCACCGCCGGCGCGAACAACAGCTCAAATTCATCAGGAAACAAGTCTAACGTGGGTGCGATCGTCGGAGGGATCGTCGGCGGCGTCGGAGCGCTAGTCCTCGCAAGCATCACGTTCTTCTGCTGGAGATCACGCCGCTCCACATCCGCATCGCCTGGTCCTGGGTTCATGCCTGAGCCGGCGGCGTCGTACGGCCAGCCGCCCATGCAAAGCGTGCAGGGGTACTCGCCGTCCCAGGCAGCCTTCCCCGCGGTCACGTACGGAGAGGCGTCGCCGATGCTGATTTATGTGAGTATCGTCCTTGTTGCCCAACCTAGTCGAGAGCTCATGTGCACGGGGATGCAGAACCCGGACGACCCACGGACATTCCCTGTGTCGGAACCTGCTTCCTCCATCCCCTCAGCGAACACGGGGCCAACGCAACTCAGCCACAATAGTTACTCGCCCATGATGGTCTGATGAGTATATTTAGGGGGGCGGATGGCCCCCGTCGCACACTCTTTCATTGACATCGAACTCCTCGTTTTTCTGGATGTATACTCTTACTTCACACGGATCTAACATATCATCAATGGCACCGGCGACCGCGCCTTCTAACACCGCCATCTGAAGCCCGACGCGCGCTCGTGCGCACGTCTCTCACGAACTGTCGCACCCATCGCTGCTTCGTTTGCATCGCGTGAGTGCCGCCCTATCGGTGACCCTGCACCGCCGTGTGGTAGATCACCAGCCTCAGCGGTTCTGAGGTTGTCTCCAAAGACCCCGCCCCCGGCGCAGCTCGGATAGTAGACACCCATTGCTTGCCCGTCGCCGTCTTCGTCGCCTTCCTCACTCTCGTTTCTTCCCCCCTTCTCGCTTGCGATGAAAGCCTTTACTTTTCGTGCGCTGACGGTCTTCGGTGCTTTTGGCGCTCTATGCCTGGTGCGGGCGCAGGACACGGACGTGACGTGCCTCTCGGACTTTGCCTGGGTGCGTACCTCCCCGCCTCGCCCCGCTCTGCCCCTTGCCCACCCCGCGGCGGACCCTCTGCAGATGAACAGCGCGCAGGGCCAGAACCCCTGCAACGTCACCTCCATCCTCCGAGTGCCGTGCCAAGGCGCAAGTGCGTACCTCTGTCTCCGCACTGGATCCAGTCGCGACTCACGCTCGCGCGCGCGCAGACAAACTGCTTTCGCTCAAGGAGGACGGGACGTACGTCGGCTCCGGGACGTCGTCCAAGTGCTACTGCAGCACCGTCCTCTACTCCACCCTCGCCGCGTGCGGGTACTGCCAGGGCGCGTCGGACCCGGACGCGATCGTCAAGTGAGTTCGACTCGGAGCGCGCGCGAAGCTCGCGCACCCATCGCTCCCCCGACCACGCCGGATCCAGGCGGTGGCGGCGTGGACGACGACCACGACGGATTCTGACTTGCCTCGCGCGGCGGTCTGACAGGTGGACCACTTTTACTCAGAACTGCACGTCGGGCGATATCGGGATCCAGGCGTACGTCATCCTCTCCCGGAAACACCGTCTCGCGATAAGTCCTGGGGACCTTCGACACTGACTTCGCGTTCGCTTTCCCGCCGGGCAGATACACTGCGGCGCAACTGCCGAGCGGCGAGGTGCCGCACTGGGCGTTCCTGTTCGACGGCTCCGTGCGTCTTTCACGTTTGCTTCGTGCGGTCGGGCGCGGGTCTGACGCGACGGCGCGCTCGCTCGCATGGGTGTAGACAGACTTCATCAACCTCGCCGCGGTGAAGGCAGACGCAGGTGAGCGCGCCACATCCACACCCGTGCTCGCGTGCGCGAGGGATCCCCGTCCGCTCACGCGACCCGTCCCACACCAGAAGGCTCCGCGTCCTCGTCCGCGCCGCCCACTAGCTCCTCAACGCGCACGTCGACGTCAACGTCGACGCCGCCGCCCACCAGCTCCCCTACGGGTACGACGACCTCAACATCCACCTCGTCGACCACCTCGCCGGCATCGACTGCCTCGGCGAGCGCGGGCGCCGCCACGGGCCCCTCGATCACAGTCCCGCCAGCGTCCACCTCGCGTTCGCCCTTCTCCTCCTTGTCAGGCGCAGCCCAAGCGACGAACTCGAGCTCCGGGGACGCCACCGCGTCGTCCTCGCGCAGCGGATCGAACGTCAGCGCGGTCGTGGGCGGGGTGGTGGGCGGGGTCGGGGGCGTCGTCGTTGCCGTGGTCGCGGTGTGCTGGTGGCGGACGCGCCGGCCCGCGCGGTCTCGCGGGTCGTGGATGCCGTATGTGCCCGGGGGGCGTCCGAACATGCGTCAGGTGTAGGGGTGCGGGTGCGGGCGTGGCGAGGTAGATGTCGGTGGCATTTGTCGCTGTCCACCTTTTTTGAGCTTGGATCGCCTCCCGATCTGAGAGCAGCCTATTTTTTCTTCATGCACAGAACGTCGTGGTGCGCAGACGGAATAGATTCGACCCAAGGCAGAGGCTGTAAGTACTGATGAGTTGCCTGTGCTCCTCCTTTCCTGCGCTACTCCCCCAGAGGTCATCGGTCTTGGAGAGTGCGAGGAAACACGAGCCGTGTCCGGATAGACTGTTAGTGCATTACAAACGCGCGTAAATAGAACAATGACGCAAACCACATCACTGACTGCGCGGTTGCTCTACCACAGAGGGATGTGGAATGCGCCAGTTGGGCAAAGGCGTGGTCAATATCACTGTGCAGCCGCGACACGTGTCGCGCCGGGGCCACCATTTTTCTGGGAGCTTTTCTGGGAACTGTTTATAAGGTTTAAAATCCACGTGCAGCCAGAAAAAGTATTTCTATGGGTTTCTATAGGCGAGAGAAAACCTTATTTGTCTTTCTCTCGGCTTTAATATAGCACTAGAAAGATGGTCGCCCCGGCGTGTGTACTCCAGACGGTGGAAGCACTCACAAAGGGCGCGCACGCCGTGCCCAGAGACAGTACGCGCAAGCCTGTGGCTAGCTGCGCGACGGCGCAAGCAACGCTCCTCGGGGGCATCCTCCTCGTCCGCCGCGTAGCCGACACGGCTGGAGCGGAGGGGCGGCGGGCGGCGGGCGACCAAAGAGCGGGCTTCGGCCGGCGCATGGACGCACGCGGCATCGTGCGGGGGGTACCACACGGTGTGACGGGACCCTTCGGTACGGGTTGGGCATTGGTCGTAGAGCTCGACTGGGGTGTTGGTCATCTAGCGGCGCTCGGACCCGGTGTAGCCGATGGGAGGTGGGGAGTTCGGTTCGGGGCGGAGGGTGCGTTGGCGGCGGAGGACGGGGCAGGGGTGGAGGGAAGGGCGACGTGGGGCCGTGAGCAACGGCGTACTTGCGGGGGTCGCCATTGTTGGGCCGAGCTGAGTGATGACGCAGGAGAGAGGGAGAACGGACATAGTCTACCGAGATCGTTTGGTCGATGGAACTGTTCATGAGTACACGGATCCGCCAAAAGAGGTTGACAGGGGATATGGGTCGTTCTTGCTACGACTGGCGAAGAGGGCCTGCAAAGTGGGAATAAATGAATTGGCTTGGTGAGCCCAATCCAGGTGAGTATTTGGCATATAAAACCCATCGTCAGCAGGTGCGGGATGACAATGAAAGGTGAGGAGTTACGAGCAAGGAGCAAGAGGAAAGCTCCCTGACTTGAACTTCGTGCGCACGCCGCGTATCTTCAGTGGAACGGCAGCGCATCCGATGACCGGATATAAACCAGCCTGACGCAGTCTTCCAACAGCGCGAGTTGAGGGCAAGATTTTTTCAATGAAACGACAACGGAATTCGCCTTCTGCGCCCGCGCCCGCTACGTATGTGATCGCCCTTCGCGATGACAGACCAGCGAGCCGCGCACCGCATTGTGACCAAGAGCGTAGCCACGATGGAGGCGGGCGAGCCGCGCAAGCCAGCCGGCTCGGACCCGGAGTGATCGAAGCGGACCTGCCCAGTCGCACCTACCGAAGTCGAATTGGGCCCCGCGGCGGGAAAGCATACGAACAAAGGCAGAGGGCTTCATCGAATGAGTATGGTGCACGACGACGCGCTCTGACTTTCATAGCGGGGGTTTCTCGCCGCGAAAGATTGATAGGAATGCAGCGTCCTGTTTCAACGAGGAGATGTGAGTCGGGGTTGGGGACACACCGGTCTCACGAGCTCCAGGACGTGAAGTACATACCTTGCCAGTTGGAGTGGACTTTGGTCTAGCGGCGGGGCGCACACGGATGATGCGAACATAGCGCGTGGCGGCCAGGGCGGGGGGCATACAGCATACAGGGCGGGGGTGGGCGGTATATACAGCCCCTGGTGTTGGTTGACAATATTTGATACGTGCTGGGGTATTCGTCGAACGAGGACCTGGGAGGATGGCGTGTGTCGGGGACCTGAAAGTGGAGCTCCGGGCTCGCGACCTGAACATGTCGCGATCGACCTCGTGATGGGCCCGTGCTTGGCAGGTGCGAGCTCCACAACGCCCATGGTAGACTGTGATGTCAGTTAGAAGAGGCGTAAGAGTACCAAAATATACTTGGTACTGTGTGCATGAGGGCGATGTGGCATGGTGGTGGGACTCTTGGGGAGAATGTCGCAATGACATGTTCAGTGCCGACGGGTCGACGGGCGGGCGTGTGGATTGCGGTAGATCAGATCAAAGCGAAGACAGCGGAGGGGAAGACGCGCGATCCGGCGCACGCTGATTGGCCAACGCGCCAGGAACCGGGGGGTGCCCACGGTCACGTGCGCAGGAACGGAGGCGCGTCCCTGGCCCACGCCGGCGGACGCGGGCTCGCGAGCCTGTCGACTGACAGGCCCGACGTCCACCCCAGGCTCGGGCGCATGTCCCGCCCCTGCGCCCACGACCGCCTCTGCTTGCGCTGATGCCTGCTCCCCGCCCAGTGTGACAAAACCGCTGCCTGTCGGTGAGTGGTCCGCTGGCTGCCCCCTGTCCTTTTCCCGCGTCCCGCTTGTGGTCTAGGCCTTGCCTTCCCAACGCTCACTCGATCTGTTCCACCCTTTTCGAAACAGCATCGCCCGCCGCATACACCCAGCGCCCACCAAGTGTCCTCTTCAGGCTCCCGGCTTCGCCCATCTTCTCCCTCGGTCTTTCCTTGCCCCTCACGCTCCTTTTCCCGATACCCCGCTCCGCCATGTTCACGCCCCCGCCCTCGCCCGATCCCCGTCCCCCCCTTCGCCGCAGCGAGCCCTCGACCTCTTCCCTCTCCGCATCCTCTTCCACGCCCTCCACGCCCTCCTCTCTCCGCCTCAGCTTCGATGATCGTGTACGCCCACCGCCTTCACGGAGCACCTCCCCGACCCCCGTACCGCGCATACAGCTCACTTCCCCCAAGGAGGACCCACAGGGCTACGTGCACACGCAGCTAGCCAAGGCGCGTTCTGCTCGCCGCATACGTTGGACTGTCCTCGCCGTCCCTCTTGTCCTCGTCTTCATCGCCCTCTCCACACGTTATGCCGCACATCCCGCCGCACTCGACCTCCTCTCCCCCTTCACTGCCGCTCGCCCTTCAACTCTCGACTGGTCACTCCACAAGCGGCATGCAGACCCGGCCCCGGTCCCCGCAGAGTCGTCCACCGCTGGGACGAGCGCATCGGGCACCCAACTCACCCTCGAATCAAGCACGAGCTCTACCGCGAGCCCATCAAAGAGCACTTCGCCCTCAGTGACCGTCCCGGCGACCGCACCAGTTCTCCCCACACCCTTCCCGCAACCGTTTGACATGACATTCACGACCAACTTCTCGACCACCGGCTGCTACGCCTTCGTGCAGAACATGACCCAAACGTCCGCCTTCCGGGAGTGCCGCCCGTTCAGCCTGTTGGTCCAGGACTCGAACGCGTTCATCACTGTGAGTTCTTCATCGTGTCCATCGGGAGCTTTGCGTTGCGTTCCGCGTTCGCGTTCGCTTTGCCTGGTCACATTACTGCGTCTCCTTCTTTCCCCTTCGTGCGCCACTTTTTTATTTTTATTTTTTACTTCTTCTTTATGGCGCACGGACGTGGACTCTTGGAATGTTGTATCGTGTTACTGGGCTGGGGGGCTGGAGGGCCGTATGGCCTTGTTTCGTGCACAAGGGCGCCCCCTCTCTTTCCCGGACCTTCTCGCGCCCCCGTTCCTGAACCTATCCCATGCCCTTCTCGGGTTCTCCGGGTCGGGACGGCGGTCACAGGAGGATGTCCGGTGAATGGGTGGACGTGTCCCCGCGCCGTTCTTGGTCCTCGGCCTTCCCGCCCTCCCGCAGACCTCTCGAGGCCAGCGTAGCCGTCAGATCGAACTAATGTAGCGGGCCCGGACCAAAGCAGAGCCAACAAAATGTCACCGAGCTTAACGCCATCATCTGGGGCACCTGCAACACGGACCTGAGTGAAGCCCAGTGCGTGTCGAACATGGCCTGGTTCGAGACGAACATCCAGACGACGTGCAAGGCGGACCTCGCGGCGAAGAACTCCATCGTCACCGACGCGCTCGCAGGTGCGTTCGCTCATCTTTCCCACCCCAAGGCACCGTCGGCACCGTGCCCTGTGTGACCCGCCCGCTCACACACGCCCCCATCTCCCGTGCGCAGGCCTGCAAGCGTACTCGCTCATGCGCACCGCCGCGTGCGAGATCGACACCGCCGCGGACAAGTACTGCTACCTCGACGCGACGCAGTCCGGGGACGCCGCGGACCTGTTCGTCTACCAACTCCCGCTCGGGCTCGGGCTGCCCAACACGAGCGTGCCGTCGTGCACGGCGTGCACGCAGCGCGTCATGGGCGTCTTCGCGAACGACACCAAGGGCGTCGCCGGCCTCCAGAAGACGTACGCCCAGGCCGCCGGCGTCGTGAACAACGCGTGCGGGTCCCACTTCGTCGCGGTCGCCACCGTCTCGGGCGGCGCGCGCGCGCGGGTCGCGGGCGCGGTGCTCGCGGCGAGCGTCGCGGCCGTCCTCGCGCTGGGGCTGCTATGAGAGAGGCGAACGGTGGTCCCCGTTGAGGCACATGCCCACACTGACGCCTCCGCCTCCGCCTCGACCGACGCCCAAGGCCCCGACGCCCACCGCTCGCTGTCCCCGCCGGCTTGAGCCTATCTGTGGCGCACGATGCGCCGCTCTCTCTTCCTCGCCCTCGGACTCGGACTCGAACTCAAGGACGGCGCGAGCGCTCCTGGGATCCCATCTTCCCCCACGTCCTCCATCCCCATCTGCATCTGCACCGCCACATTCGCTCGCGCCGCCACTCACGCTGCCGGCTGGAGCTGGGTCGGCGCACGGACTGTACATAGCTCTTCCTTCTGTCCTTACACGGTAATTTATCGCTAGCTTAGAGATACGCACGCCGCACACCTAACCCCCACCATCATCACCACCTCACCACACGTGCTTGCACCCCTGGTTCCGGGTCTCCGCCCGGTTTTGGATTGTTTATCATATAGGGAGTCGCTGTTGTAGTCTCGGGTTTTTTTGCTCATCACTTATACACTCACATCGGTGGCCCGCGTACGTACGGGACAGACCGCTGGGAATATTTGCGACCCGCTGGTGCCGACCCGGGCCTCTTCGATCGGCTTCCCTCGACGGTCCACTCGACGCATCAAGCTTCAAGCTTCGAGCGCGTTGACTTTGATTCTGGCCTTGGCTACAACGCATCCCCCTGGACTCCACCGCCAGATGACGGCGCGAGCATCACGACTAAGGCCGAAGGAACGTTCGAGCACCCGGGTGCCCGCGCGCGGGGCTTCGACGCCAGCTGCTGGCTTCCATCTGCCAGCGGGGTCGACGTCCGCCTGCACATACGTACGTACTTGCAATCCGTCGAGATGGCCTGAGAACCGGGACGAGAACGGCTGGCGTCCAGCGATGTCGATGAACTTTGAACGTTGAACGGCGTGTGCACGGCCTCGGCACACGTAGCGAGCCTCGGTTCGAGCGCTCCTGAAAACGAGCGCTTGCGGACCTGGCCCCGCGCAGCCGCTGCAGGGTTGGGCGCATCGAGACACCGCTCCACTCGGTTCCGCTCGTCGCAGCGGACTCGCACACCGCCACAAAAGGGTTGTGGTGTGCACGGGTGTGGGTCCCCGCGTCGGGAACCGTCGACCCGATCGCCGGCGCCGAGTGGAGCACGTTCGGACGCGGGGTGCCGAGGCCGCGCGCGCAGCGTCCACCGGCGGCGAGCGGCGAGTGGACGACCCAGGCAGTGAGAGCAGGGTCGAGTCGCGTGGAGGATCTGATCAATGGAGGCGAACGCTCACTGTTGCGCAAAGCGGGTGGGGCGTGTGTCCGGGCCCGAGCGATCCCGAGCTACCTGAAAACACACATAGCATTGTCCGTTGCGGAAAGCAGTACAGCGTCGGCGCACGCGCCAAAAAAGAAAAAGAAACAAAGCAAAGGGAGCAAGCGCTACACCGCGGGACCGCCGTCCTCGGCCGCCGAGCGCACGGTGCGCAGCGGGAGCTTGTCGGCCGTCCACTGCGGCGCGGCGGCGCGGAGCAGGCGGCCGGTGTGGAAGACGTTGAGCGTGTACATCGCGAGGGTGACCATCGCGCCGTCGAGGACGTCTACCGGTCGTCGCGTGGGTGGTCAGTCATGCGTGGCAGGGGAGGAAGGGGACGGGGGACTGACTGAAGTAGACCTGCGTGTGGATGATCCTGCCGTTGAAGCCGTCGGCGAGCTCGACGGTCCGGTACACGCCGCTGTGGAAACGCTTCGCGTCAGAGGGAGGGTCGGGCGAGGTGTCGTGGACTGACCGAATGAAGAGGAAGAGAGTCATGAGGCAGATGCCCGTCGCGAGGTGCTTGAGCGGCGTCTCCATCGGCCCGTGCGAGGCTGCGTCCTCGTAGGCGGGTGCGCGACGGATGGGCCGGTCGTTCGAGCGGCGCCAGAGGTACTCCGCCGCGAAGATCGCGAAGATGATGAGTAACACTGGGGTGGGTGCGTGAGCCGTCACGTTCCGAGCCAATCGCGAACGGGGGACTCGCACCGAGCTGGAAGGCGATGGCGCCGAGCATGACATAGGTGCCCTGCGGGTGCGGGTGAGCAGCGGGTCCTCGCTTGCGCGACGGCGGTGCTCACGATCTTGCTGACAAGCTCCGAATCGTTGTCGGCTATCGACCCGCCAGCAAACTGAAGGAACAGCGCGATGGAGTCCTGAGGGGGCGCGCGCCAAGGGGGTTAAGTCACCGCCGCCATCGGCGAGTGGAGAGCACACTCACCGCTGTCAGGAAGATGCGGCTGTCTGTGCCGGCGACGGTCAGCAAGCCAGACCCTTCACTGCAAGTAGAACTTGGAAGGGAACTCACAAAGGCGGGGGCTGAGGCGACTGTACTGCTCGCCTGCGGCGGTGACCAGCTGTCCGAAGGAGATGAAGAGCGCGCCGACGAGCGGCGTCGCGGCACAGATCGTGCAGATGATCCTGGTACCTCGATTCAGAAACCAGGAGACGCAATATCATGGGGACTGGCAGGGTGGCAGCTCACTGGATCACGAATGGGGTCTGCGCGAGGGGTTGGTGGCTTGACCACAACCGGCTGCCCCAGCCGGTCATCTCCCCGACACCGGCGAGCACCGCAGTGTAGATGAGCCATCGAGTCCGATAGTGAATGGCCTGTCCGAAGTGAAGGACTGCCAGGAAGTGGGCTCGACGTCAGGCGACGTTTGGGCGAAGTACGGAAAGATGCTCACGGGTAGAAATAGTAAAGAGGATGGTGAACATCATGCAGATCCATTCCGTCGGCCAGTAGCCGTAGAAAGGCGAAATCAGGTGGCCATGCGAGTCGAACTCGGGAGCGTTGTCTGTGGAAGCAAATCAATGAGCTGTTGGAACATGCCCCCTTGAGGGACGAATAGTAGCAGGACTTACCATCACTCATTGCAGGACGAACGAGATATGCGACTTGAGAAGCCGGAAGGAAAGAAGTGTCGAAAGAAGTAGAAGGAAGTTGGCAGAGGAGAGCACTGTCTGGTAGGCTTTTATGATGACTTGGGCACGGCCTTCAAACATCGTGGTCGCTGCGCCTACCGGAACCCTGCAATCGGTGGGAAAGGGCAAACCACGAATGTGTGGGCGTGCTTGACGCTGGCCTGCGCGCACGTTGGACGGGGATGCATGTGGCATCGCGCGGGGGAATTCCAAACGAATTCACGCGCTGCGGCAAGTAGACGCAGCATGTATGCTGTGGAGATCGAGCTCGCGCAGCATCACCATTATTCTTTGGTTGCCTCAGTGCCGTGTTTCTCGTCACCCGCAGTGCGAGTGAATTCTGGAGGGCTTCGGTGAGTGCTGGGTGCATGGTAGATAACAATGCGCAGCGGCAGGCACCCACACGCCGAGGGCACATTCCGCACAGCCGCAAGACGCAAATGAGAACGGAGGGGTTTAGAAGCACGGCTGCAATTGACGTGTAAGCGCTTGCGCCCTCCGGTGAGGACGTGATAGCATCCGAATCGGAGGCAACATACCACTGACATCGGCGCGGGACCCCCAGGGATCTTAGTGGGTACAGCGGTGGGTTGTACAGTGGCGGGGATCGGTAGTCGTGGTAAGGAGAAGCTGCGTCCTGTTGCCCAACCTATCCTTGCCTGCGAGCGTGGTCTCCGGGGGAAGCGGAGCGGATACTTTGAGGCGGCTTGCGTACTAGCCCGATAGCTTCTGCAAGCTGTCCCGCGCAGTCGCGCGATCCGCTGATGGCCCGTAAGGGGGGCGGTCCGACTGACATTCGGAGCCGCGGGTGCTTTGTAGATGATCTAGACGGAGCACCAGAGGGCGAAGAAAGCTTCCGGTGAAGCCTCTGGCATCCGTGCAAGTGAGTGTGAAGATAAGCCACCCATTCTCCGCGGGAATTCTCCGGATGCCGATTTTCTGCTGACGGCAGTGCGTTTAGATCGATGCATGGACGAGTGTGGAGAGCAGAGGGTGCAAGCAAGCGTAGTGGGAAGCCATGAAGTTGGACATTACTAGTAGCATGTGTAGATGGCTAGCTTACCATCGAGTGGTACGTCATTGCGGCGAAGCAAGTGGAGGTAGTTGGTAGGAAAGAGACTATAAGAACGAACGAAGAGAATTGGAATATCGTAAGACTGAGACTGACAGGTGGTGAGACGAGTGCCGCGATGGTGACCGTGCAAGAGGACGACGACATGGTCCAGCAAAAGACGATGGAGAACAACGAGGCGCGATATGGTGCGGAGAAGAAAACGACTGGAAGGAGGAGGAAAGGGGGATAGAGCTCACAAATTAAGCAGATCCTTGGTTGTCTGCTCCAGTTCGAGGTGGCGATGGCGGGCGCGTGGAAGCCGTGGAGACCTGACTGGCGGCGGAGTGAGCACATTGTGCGTGCCGTGGTAGGCGTAGCGGGAAACAGCCTGATCAGAGTGAGGTATTCTAGGAAGTGCAGAGTCCAACCTACTGGCCATTGCAGCTACAAAGCCTGCATGAGGAGGCCAGATCAATTGAGATGAACGCGTCATTTTGAGAGAATTTCTTGGAGAATTCACACGGAGGCGCCCGATGCGCACGCGAGACTGGAGACTAGCGCGCATCATGTCTTGTTCCCTGCGACCATGTCTGCTTGGTCGGCCTCCCGTTCCCCTCGCTGTCCCCTTCCCTTCTCTACATGAACTCATTTGCGCCCCAGACCGAATTCCTGTCACGTCGTCTCGCCCTTGAATCCGCAACAGCCCAACAACGCGTCCAAGATCTGCGCTTCGCAACGCAAGGTCCGATCATTCGAGCCTCGCTGCTGGCACACTACCATACCCTGTCCCACTTCCTCGCCCTTGGGAATAACAGCGTTCATTCAAACACTCTGTGAGCTCATGCATGAAATTTTCGTCTCAGAGGTTGGACAGCTCCTCGACTGGCCGGGGCTCGGAGTCCGGGGCGATAGTCCGCCTGTTCACCGCGGGGGAGCGCTTGCGGGGGGAGCGTTGTGGTGATGAAGCGTGTCGCTATGCGGCCTGCAAGTCGCAGCCGCAACGCGCGGCCATGGGCAGCGAGAGCGGGGCCGAGTCGCGTAGTGGAGGATCTGATCAATAGGGACCTTGGGGGCGAACGCTTGCTGTACGAGCTATCGCTAGCTGAAGACACACATAGCTTTGTCCGTTGTAGAGAGAAGTACAGCGTCGGCGCACGCGCCAAAAATAAATGGAGCAAATGGAGCAAGCGCTACACCGCGAGACCGTCCTCGGTGCGCAGCGGGAGCTTGTCGGACCACCGCGGTGCGGCGGCGCGGAGCAGGCGGCCGGTGTGGAGGACGTTGAGGGTGTACATCGTGAGCGTGACCATCGCGCCGTCGAGGACGTCTGCCGGACGCGCCAGTGGTGAGTCATGCGGGGCCGTGGGGGAGGGAAAGGACGGGACGGGGGACTGACTGAAGTAGACCTGCGTGTGGATGATCCTGCCGTCGAAGCCGTCGGCGAGCTCGATCGTCCGGTACACGGCGCTGTGGGAACCCTGAGCGTCAGCAGGGGAAGGGGTCGAGCGATGTGCGCCCGAGAAGTTGTGGACTGACCGGATGAAGAGGAAGAGAGTCATGAGGTAGATGCCCGTCGCGAGATGCTTGAGCGGCTTCTCCATCGGCCCGTGTGGGGTAGCGTACTCGACCGTGCGTGCGGGACGGATGGGACAGTCGTTCGAGAAGCGCCACAGGTACTCGGCCGCGAGGACCACGAAGATGAGGAACCCTGGACGAGTGCGTGAGCCGTCATTCGAAACCGGTCACGTACGATGGATTCGCACCAAGCTGGAATGCGATGCCGCTGAGCATGACGTCGGTGCCTTGCAGGTGCGCGTTAGCAGCGGGTCCTCACTTGCGCGACGGCGGTGCTCACGATCTTGCTGGTATTCGCCAGTCGGAGCCGGCCAGAGCCCCGCCGGAGCACTGTGCGAGAAGCGCGATGAAGTCCTGAGGAGTGCGCGCCCACTGGCCCGTCAAATCACCGCCGCCATCGGCAAGCGGAAAGCACACTCACGACTTTCATAAAGATGCGGCCGTCTGTGCCGGCGATGATCAGTACGCAAGACCATTTGACTGCAAGCAGATGGGAGGGAGCTTACACAGGCGGGAGCTGAGGCGACTGTACTGTTCGCCCGCAGCGGTGACCAGCCGTCCGACGGAGATGAAGAGTGCGCCGACGAGCGGCGTGGCGGCGGCGATCGTGCAGACGATCCTGGCGCATCGAGTCAGAAACCAGGAGACGCGAAATAATAGGGGATGGCGGGACGGTAGCGGCTCACTGGATCAAGAATGGGGTCTTCTCGAGGGGTTGGTAGCTTGACCACAACCGGCCGCTCCAGCCGATCGCCTCCCCGACGCCGGCAAGCACCGCAGTGTAGATGAGTCAATGAGTCCGATAGCAAACGGCTTGTCCGAAGTGAAGGACTGTTGGGAAGTGGGCTCAACGTCAGGCAAAGCGTGTGCGAAGTACAGAAAAGATGCTCACGGGTAGAGAGGCTGAAGAGAACGATGAACATCATGCAGATCCATTACGTCGGCCAGTAGCCGTAGAAAGGCGAAATCAGGTGGCCATGCGAGTCGAACTCGATAGTGTGGTCTATGGAAGTGAACGGATGAGCCAGTGGAACATGCTCCCATCGAGGGACGAATGATACGACGTACTCCGAGTCATTGCAGGATGAACAAGATATGCAACTTGAGAAGCTGGAAGGAAGGAAGGGTGGAAAGAAGCGGGGGGAAGTTAGCAGAGGAGAGCACTGTCTAGCAAGCTTTTATGACAACCTAGGCGCAACCTCCAAACATCGTGGCCGCTGCGCCTGCCGGGACCCCGCGATCAGTGTGTAAAGGCCGAAACAACAAACTGCGAATGTATGGGCGCGCTTGACCCTCGCCGTCGCGCACGTTGGGCGGGGATGCATGCGGCACCGCTAGGAGGGATTCCAAAGGCATTCGCGCGCGCGCTGCGGCAAGTAAACGCAGCATGTATGCTGTGGCGATCGAGCTTGCGCAGCGTCACTATTGTTTTCTGGTTTCCCCAGTGGTGTGTCGGGCGTCACCCGCAGTGGGAGCGAACTCTAGAGTCCTGGGATGAGTGGTGAGTATTGAATGTAGGGTATATAATGATGCGCAGCGGCAGGCGCCCACATGTCAAGGGCACGTTCCACACAGCAAGACGGAAATGAGAACGGAGGGGCTTGGAAGCACGGCTGTTGTTGATGCGTGCGCGCTCGCGCTCTCCGGTGAGGACGTGATAGCATCCGAATCGGAGGCAACATAGCACTACCATCCGCGCGGGACCCCAACTTATCTTGCCTACGAGCACAATCTCCATAGGAAGCGGAGTGGGTCCTTTGGGGCAGCTTGCCTAGCTTGATAGCCGCGGCAAGCTGTCCCGCGCAGTCGTGTGATTTGCTGACGATGACCGAAGTCTCGTAGCGCGCAGGTGGAGAAAGTGAGATTGAAACCAGGCGCGTTAAATGTGAGGTGTCCTTGGTGGATGATCGAGATGGATTATCAGAGGGTGGATTTGAAAGCTTCCGGGGACGCTGCGGATCAAGCCTCCGTCCGTGCAAGTGGGTGTGAGGATAAACCAGAGTGTTTCCACGGGAATTCTCTGGGTGCCAATTTTCTGCTGACGACGCGCGCGGCGTTCAGCGAGCCGTGTCCAGTGGATGCTCGCCGCTCGGCGAGCGGAGGATATGAGGTGACTTCAGGTGGGAAGCCATAAAGGTGGAAATTAGTAGCATGTGTAGACGGCTAACTCAGTTTTGCTTACCATCGAGTACGTTTTCCGGTTGGGATGAAGGTCTGAGCGCGCGTCGCAGTGGACGTTCGAAATTGACCAATCAACGCGGGCCGGGGGCGTCCGGAGATAGCCGGAGCCGTGGGACCCCCGTCACTCCCTTGCACCCAACTTTTCGCGGTCGGGATGTCTATACTGTCCTTGTTTCCTCGTCTAGGATCTTACATTTTCTTGACCCCTTTATCAGCAAACCCACTGAGACGCTACGTACCCGCGACGCGCCGCCGCCGCGGTATGGATCACCCGGGTAGGTGTGGAGTGTTTCCAGGTTTTATTGACACGATTTGGATACTACGCGTCCCCGATCCATTCCCTCCGCCGCGTTGGTCTAGTCTCAATACTTCCACCAGGGAGCTGCAAGTCGGTGCCGCACGACGATGTAATATGAAAAGGTGCGCTGGCTGACCGCGCTCTCCTCGCCCACGTACGTTGCGTTGTTGATTCTTGTGTGACCCCTCAGGTTCTGACGTAGATCCTTCACACGAACCATACTCGCCGCCTCCTGGCAATACGCTTTCAGAACCACCAGAGCAACGCGTGCTTCTCAGCGCTTCATACTAATAGCTTGTTCCAGACCACATTCGTGCAATTATACGACCCCTGGCGCTCGAGAATAGGATACAGCAACACCTCAATCCATACTTGGCCCCGCTATGCCCCTCGACGCCATCTAGCCACAGAGCGTGCGCACTCCGTTCCACTCTGTCTCGGACTTCAGGAGTTATCTCGGACTTCATTTAAGCCCCCTCATTAGGCGTCGCGCCTACGGCGTTTCCGCTCATCTCTGCTCACTATGCTCTCGAATTATGCTCTGGTCTTGGTCGCACTCTTCTCTTGTTCCCGTGCGAAAGACATTGGGTCTCCAGTGAATTGCTCTGTTGGTACGGATTGGGTGAGTTCTCCAGATCTGTCTGTGCTAGTAGCCATCATTGACATTGCTGCGCAGGTTGGCAACCATCTTCAACCGTCCCAAACACCGTGCACGGTTGCTGCATGGCTTTTGTCACCGTGTGCTGGTGACGGTGGGTGTGAGCAGCTCGAATTGTTCCAGGAGCCAGCATCAGGATTGATTCTTGTTCGCCCAAAAGTCACGTTGGGTGGTATTTCAGAAACAGGTGGCTTTTATCAACCTGGACCTCCAAACGAATGTACTTGCAACGCGGTCTCCTATGCTGCATTGGCCGTGTGCTCGTGGTGCCAGGGGGGGACTGTGATGAGGTAAGTCGCCTTTTTCGCAGATTTTTCACTAGCATTCGCTCAGCAGACATACAGCTGGGATTCCTGGACAGCCAATTGCACCAAGCCGATATCTGAATTGTATGTTTCCGGTCGCTCCCCTCGTCCCTTTCCCATTCAGTGATCCAAAATCTGTTAGGCTTCCCTACACCATTCCCAACGGAACTGCGGTGCCGGCCTACATGTACCCTGGCACCGAGGGTTTCCGTCTGGTGAGGAATTTTCAGATGCACTAGAACTTTCTCGCTGATCATACTGTGTCTAGGTCAACAACACGTTTGACGTCGTCGCGGCACAATCCATCGCCAGTACTGGCGAGTTTTGCCATTTACGTCGTTTCACACGGTGTTCGCGTCTAACCTCTCCCCCCCACGTATGCAGACACCATAGACAGCGTGGCCCCTTCGTCCGCCACCTCGCCCGCCGCACCCCTCGCAGCGGGCGGCACGGGCGGCACGAGCACCGCCAGCGGGCTCGCGGGCAACGGCCTCATCGGCGGCCTCATCGCGCTCGCGCTCGCGCTCGTGCTCGTCGTCGCCGGCTTCACGTGCTACCTCGTCCGCCGCCGCCGGTCCCGCGCGGCCCCCCCGCCGCGCGCTGCCGGGAGCGAGGAGGGTGCCCTGGCGGCGGCCTTCGCGACCTCCGAGGCCTCGGGCTCCGGCAGCCGGCTGAGCGTGGGGGCGCGGCACGCGCCGCCGGTCTGCGTGAGTCGCGGTCCGCGCACACGCCCGTGAGATGCTCACTGTTAGTCGCGTCTGCCCGACAGGATCCCGACGGTTCGCGGACGTACCCGGGCGCGCCGTCGGGCGCCGTCCCCTCGTCCGAGGCGACCCATCTGAGGCAACGGGGGCCTGACGACGCGGCGCGCAGATTTGCGCCACCGTCGTGCAATCCCGCGCCGTCGAGCGGGGACTACGTTGGACGTTAGGAGGTGTAGGTCTGCCATGACGGCTAGACGGGTATGTGTTATGTGTAATATCAAACAGGCAGCGTTGAACTCGACTTGGATTACAAACTGAAGAGCGAGAGTTAGGCGACGAGGAGTCCCTAGAAGATACACTGAAGGTGGAAGACGGGGTGGCCGGTTCGCGTCAAAGTTGTCACCTAGTAGAAACTTGACGCGCAGGGCTGCGCATGACATAGTTTCGCACGTGGACCTGGTGGCTGAGGTTGTAACGCCGAGATATTTCAAGTTCTTCGTCTCCCCTTCACTGCCACATGCTCTTGACGTTTCTTGGCCAGCAGCCCACGCCGCTCATGTTTCGATCACTTGCCCGCGCGGCGCGCGCGTGTGCTATGCCACCTTGTCTTCGACCCACTGCGACGGGAAGTCCTTGTTTTTGAGCACCGGAATATGCAGGTACGCCACATTTGGCTGTGCTAGCCTTTAAACATTCCACCGGGCGAGGTTGCGGCGAGGGGCGGCGGGCCATCACAGCAAGAGCGCGAAATGATTGCATCGAGACCAACCACGAACACCGCCGCGCGGCGGGTGCCCGTATCGTCAAAACCGAACGCCCGCGGCCAGGCAGCTCCTCCCTCTCCTCCTCCTCCTCCTCCTCCTCCTCCTCCTCCTCCTCCTCCTCCTCCTCCTCCTCCCACCAACCCCCTAATCATCTTCGACGTCTTGCTGCCTACCATGTCCACCGACCCCCAACTCGCGGTGGAGGCATCGAGCTCCGCGATCACGACGGGGGTTGTCATCGCCATCATCGCCGGTGGACTCGTCTTCCTCGGGGGGTGCGCCGCGGTGTTCCTCATCATGATGAGGAGACGGACGAGCCACCGGTACCACTTTGTCGACACGTACGTCTCTCTCCTTCTCTCTCCTCATGCGGTTGGGCGAACGTCGTGGATGGGGCTGGGGATGCGGTCGCTGATTCTGGGGGCAGGTCCGTGACGGATCGGCCACCGCGAGCAGGGGCGCCGGCGATCATGACTGTCGGGAGTGGGTACGCGCCGCCAGCGCAGGGTCTGTCTATGGCTCCGGTGAGTTTTTCGCCGCCGTATCTCGCGCTGGTGTTCATGTCGCTCTGAAGCCCGCGCATGGCCCTGGCGGCGCACCTTATTCGCACGACAAGGGTGCGGCACCGCCCGCGCATATGGCCACGATCCACGAGGAGAAGGACATGGCTTGAGATTATGGACTCAACAGTGCGGACTTTACTGGGACTTTGTTGTTCTATGGACTCTACCTCGATGCGTTGTACAGATAGAGAGACACGCTGATTTACTACTAGACCGTAATATGCAACACACCATGCACGACCCTGACTGCGTCGCTGCGCTGAAGCGATCCAGTATTTATGGCCCCACGGCGCGGAGATCGTGGGTGGTGGCCAAGGGGACTGGCAGCCCAAGCCCGTCCCGAGAAGGCCGTTGCTACCCGGCGGACGCGCGCTCGACGCCCAGGGCCAGCACCGCACGCGTTCCCACCCGGCGTTCACTCGACGATGCCGTCACCGACGTCCTTCGATCGGTCCAATCGAATTCCTCGACGCCGGCGCCAGCCCCGAGCCGGCGTTCCTCGCGCAGCCCAAGACCAATCAAACAAAAGCACTCCTCGCCTCGCCTAAAGCGCCCTCTCGTCCCCCGCCCTCCTCTTCGTTCACCCCACATCCACATTCACCCTTCTTCTAGCCGCCTGGCGCGCCACCTTCCGGTCTCGCTGCTGGGTCAGCGATGGCCTCCTTTTGCCTCGCTCTTCAGACGCAGCAGTTCGGCAGGGCCGACGCAGACTCGGACACCGGGGGCGGGGGCATGAAGATCTCCATGGCCGCCGCCATTGGCATCCTCGCCGGCGCCGTCGTCGGCGTCGCGATCCTCAGCCTTTGTCTCAGCGCCGTGTTCGCGCGCAAGCGGCGTTACAAGTGAGCACGCCTCCTCTTCCTCGTTAGATGACCGCGGTTCGACTTTGACGCGGTGCGCAGGGCTCCCCCACCCGCGCCTCCTGCCCCAGCGGAGGAGAAGAAAAGGCCGGTAAGAGCTGAACAGCCGCCTCCGCCGTACCAGGCGCAGACGCCGCAGTCGCGGCTTGCGCGCCCGCGCCCGCGTGTCGAGGAACCGGCGGAGGTCATGGTGGACTCGCGCTTCTATGTGAGTGCTCTTCTCGTGGTTCAAGTCGCGTCTGCGCAATACCGACGGCGCATACACTCAGCGTCCGTACTACGAACGCACCATGCCGCCCTATGAGCAGCAACAACAACAAGGGTACGCGCCACAGCGACGCCCGACGTATCCTCAGCCGTACCCTCAGCAGCAGCCCCCCTCGTACCGCTCCCCTCCACAGCTGTCCCCGTACGGCCCACCGCGGCGCGCAGGGACGCTTCCTCTCACCAGACCACCTTTGGATCAGCAGTACCCCCAGCAGCTCTACGCGCCACGCGCGCCGTACCCCGACCAGCAGCAACAACAACAATATACACCCTTTAATCCACAACCATACGCGCCCCAGCCGCTTCAGCAGTCCTACGCACTGCAAGAGCCCTACGCCTCACAGGTCCAGCCCTACGGGCCGTCCCAAGGCCCGCAACCGCCATACGCCCTGCCCCCACAGCAGACGTACGCGCCCGTCCAGCAGCTGCAGTACGCGTCCGCTCAGCAACAGCAATCGCAGCCGCCCTACGCCACACCTGCAACGGGCCTGTCACAACCCGGGCCGCCGTACCCCCAGCCACGGCGACACGCGCAGGCCGTCAACGTCCCCCCCTCCCGACAGGCGCAGAACCCCGCCCCCGCCCCCGTCCCAGGGGAGCTCCTCCCGCCGCCTTTGCCCGCGACGACGGAGGTCCCCCCGCCTCCACCGCCACCCGGGACGGCCCAGCAGCCGGCAGGGCGCGACGTCGCCGCGGCGCCGCCGCCGATACGTGCGCCGCGCGCGCGGCGGCCCTACCCCGCGTTCATGCGGCCGTCCGAGCAGGGCGGGGGCACGGCGCGCGACCGCGACGGACCGTTTCCTGCGATGACGATGCCGCGCACGCCGGCTACGCCGCACTATGCGGGGGCCAGGGCCGGGGCGCAGCAAAGCTAGTGCGTTTGCAGTGCGTATGCGTATATATGACGTGGTTTGGGACTTTTTGGTGGATACTTGGGATATCTCGGACGATCATGGGAATATGTCACGGACTTCATCGTTGGCACCAAGTTGGCAGGTCGTTCTGCGTACTGTATATTAGACCCGCATCAGAGGTATTGACATATAATTTTAGAGGCCTCGCGCACGCGGAAGCCTGTCGTGCGTCTTCGAACGGCGTTGCTTGTGTCGCCCGCATCGGTGGCACCGACGTCGGGCCGCTGCCTTGCGGTTGCTGGGCGTCGGGGTCGTGGCGTGCGCATCCGCGCCACCAAAGCGCAACTGAGTACTTCCAAAGCCGCGTCGCTCAGCTTTCCAGGCCGCTCACGACGGCCAGAGAGCCATGCGCGAAGCGAAGTGATCACGGGTGCGTGGATCGAGGACGCATTTCCTGCCTGCCATGCATCGTCGGATTGGCACCGACGGCTCATGCGGCTTGGGTTCTACGAGAACGTGCGTGGAGGGATTCGACCCAACCACAGTGCACTCCCATGTGCTGGGGTAAGCGTTGGATGCCGTTGACATCGGACTGCCAATGGTGGAAATCTGCATCACCAGTATAGTACGCACCTATGCACAACTTCGTTGGCCCCTGACTGATGAAAATCCAGATAGCGGGGCCGTTGTCCTGTGTATACAGAAGCAAGGTCCACCTTATGGTGTTCAGCCTGGTTCATGAGGCAGCGTGCATACCACATTCCGCTGCCCTGGTCTATGCTAGCGCTACCACGGGCTTCCCCGCCGATATCGAGACCATCCTCAGGTCTTATCGAGTCCATCGCGAACGACCTGCGGCGCGCCGTCGACGACATCCCCAAACAAGGCACCGAGGCGTTCGAAGAGGACGAGGAAAGCGTGGACTATGTTCATTATGAGATGACCTTTACCGACATGTGAGTCGTGTTCCCAACTGTGATGTCGTACTAACAGTAGCATGTCCAGGCTCTTTGGGGCGTTGAAATGTTCGTCGGTGGTCTGTTCGGCGGCTCGACCCAGCGTCAGGATGTCCCGGTGCCTCGCGTTGGTCCGTCGTCTCTCTCAGCCTGATCACCCGCGCGCCTGCTGACGTCGAGACTGGCCGTTCCACTTCGCGACAGTCGTCGAGAATAACCCCGAAGACTCCCAGGCGCACCCCCGGCGTGCGTTTACGATTCGAGCCAATGAAGCGAGGCGCTTGCGGGACCTCATGGACAGGGTCAAGCAGGGCGTGGGGCAGGTGTGTAGCCGGCTCAAGCAACAGGAGGCGCTCTTTGGAGAGGTGTTCGATGGGCAGAGCTCCAAGGTACGCACGTTCACCCCTGCGTGCCGGTGAACCCTGTCGTTGAGGATCCGTGCTCGTAGCTCCAAGAGGATATCCGGGGCCGCATCGCTGCATTCGAGGCCGACGGGGACGACGCTGATGGGGTGCGTTTTTGACGAATGACTTGCTCGTCACATGGCAGGCTGAGCAGAATCGACACTAGACGACCGAGGTCCGCGCGAGCCCCTACTGGACGGAGCTCGATGAGCTCTACAGCGCCTCAGACTGGCGGAAATCCAAATTAAAATACTATCACGAACGGAGGACTGTGGCGACACAAGCACCCACCTGCCTGGAGACCGGGGGTTGAAGTGATGAGCTATGAGCGCATGTAATATAGCCGACAGAGATTGGGAAGTCACGTACCTGTGGAGTTGCCAGCCTGAGCGTTGGCAGCAAGCAGGTCGCCCGGTTAGCGGGCCGCCTAACAGCTCCGTCTCCAGCTCCGCGTTGTATCTTCTCAGTAGCAACCGCTCGACTCACTCGCCCTTCGGTCTCCCATTGGTTGAGCAGGCGCACCGAGAACACCCTCCTCAGCACGTTGTCCAACCCGCTGCCCTCCTCGCGCCCGAAGCTCATCGCCCACCGGCCGTCGTGGAAGTGCTTGAGCGCGCCGTTCATCGGCACGTACTTCTTGTCTGCGGGGCGAGAGCGTGGAAGTCGGTCCACACGCACGAGAAGAACAACAGAAGGGAGACGCACCGTAGCAGTCCCACTGCGTGACGAACTCGTGCTCGAGCAGCGGCGCGAGGTCGCGTGAGCAGCGAGTCAATGTCCACCCACACATACGCCCAGATCACGAGCAGGCGCACCATGTCCCCGTCGATCCACGCCTTCGCGTCCGACACGTCCAGCAGCGGGCTCCCCTCCGGCGGCGTCCTGCGGGCGACTCGTGTTCCAACAGAAGACGGCGTGTCCATTGCAATACGCATCGCGCAGGAAATGCAGGGGAAAAGAACTGCTCTTGGTGTGTTCACCATTACGAGGAGGCTCGGTCTGACGCACGCGTGATGATACACCAAAACGAACCCATTGTATTGTCGAGAACGGAGAGCATGAATGCGTGATCCACGAGCCATGATGATGACGGAGCAGAAATGTCCGAGTAGTAGTGTCTACGTCTGGGAAGCCAAGGGCATGCAAAGGACAGCGTCGCTCGGCCGTGAACCGCGCCAGCATTCGAGAGGAGCGAGAGAGCGAGCTAATAAAATGCTATAAGGTTGACCGAGAAGAGAGCCGTGTCGTTGAGCTTGCAGGGTATCTTGATCTTGAAGAGGGTATCGCGAAGTATGCATGAAGGACCAAGGATAATAGGGCAGGTGAAGCTCTAAGCAACGTACGAAGAGCGCAGGACGGGCGAAGAGGGAGTGGAGAACCTGTGGGCCGAAGCGTAGTATTCCAGAGAGCTGTAGTGGTCGTAGCGAGGTCTGTGCATGATCGTCAGCGGATAGTCACAGATATCATGGGAAGGACTAACGTAGTCGGTGCAGAGCTGGGTCGCACTCCAGCGAAGGGAACGTAGAGCAAAGGCGCGCCATACGGGGACAGGGAATGAGGATTGACGGCCAGTAGACCGCCCTTCGACAGAGCGGCCAGATTAGCATGAGAGATGTTCGACCCAGGGTAGAGCGGGGTGACCGAGGTGAGGGCAGCATTGTCAGGAAGCCCAGTCTGCGTCATGAAAGGGGCAGCGTGAGGATTCAAACCTGCTTGCGGATCGACTCGCCCCAAGAGATCACGCACAAACTCGACCGAGATGGGAGTGTTGGAGTATGCTTGCCCGTGAAGAGCCTGCGCAGCCTCCGCTGCTTGAGAAACGGAAGCGTACTCCACCATCGCCGATACGAAGTGACGTTCTCCAGAGGTAGGGCGGATTTCCAATTTCTTGACGTCGCCATAAGGCCCAAGCAGAGGATGCAGATCTGAGACCTGAGAGAATAGCATGGCCGGCAAGTTTCTGATGATGAGGGCCGGGGAGGGAGGCAAAGCACGAGATGGGGGAGGTCGTTCAATAGGAGGAGTGACGATAATGGATGCTTGGAGGGGCGGGAGCGTCGGACTGATGCTCTTGACATCGAATGGCAGAGGTGAGGGCGACGGAGATGGATTTGACAGAACCGTGGCCCGATCACCTCCATCGAGGAAGCCTGGACGGGGAGGTTCGAGGGGTGACGCATGATAATAAGGAAAGAACTCACCTTCGGACCGCTGGACGACCGCCCACGAGACATCGATAATGTGACCTCTGCGGGCACTTCGTCATTATCGATATGGAATGCCTGACAGAACGACGTACTTTAACTCCTTCCGGTTGAGAGCATCCATGGCCGCCCTCGCTTCCTGGTGCTGGTTCATTACGATGAACCCGCGCCTCCTCGAGGCATTATCCACTGTGGCTAGAATAACAGCATGCGCGACTGTGCCGAAACGAGAAAAGATCTCCGAAAACTCGGTTCTATGTGACCTCGTTAGAGGTGCGACAGCGTGAACGAACGTGATCTCACTTTGTGAGGTCAAACGGCAGTCCAAGTACGTATAGGTTGCGGCGGGTATCCGATTGCTTGCCAGGTTTTGCGATGCGGGGGGCTTCTGAAGCTTGAACCGCGGCGACAACCCTACGACGCTTGTTGAGCATGGAATGACGAGAAGATAATGATACGCTTACAGAGGAGAGCCATCGACGTTGTACCCTGACATGCACAGCGCTTTCCTGTCGCGAGGCGAGATGCGTCATGCGCAGCGACCCACGTATCGGACTACTCACTTTGCGGTGTCTTGAGAGTTGAACGTCAATGAGAAATATCGGCGCCCTCCTTCACAGAGTTCTTCGCACTTGCTGATGTCGCCTGATAGTAGTACGTGATCAGCTTTGCGCATTTCGGAAAGAATGCATGCGCTTACCAATGAGATTATTGAACAGGTCGAGGATTTCACGCTTCGAAACTATGGCGAGAGTCAGTATAGTCGGAACATGGTGTCCGAAGGATATCACAGACCTGCATCGGCGATGTTCGTGACGTTCACCGAGTATCCTTCCCTGGTGAACTTGAAGAGGGTATTGACAGAAGGCGGCATCGAAGACAGCTGGCTGATGGGACGTTAGTACATGGCAAACACCGTTCATCACAGACATGCGAGCACTGACCTGGCGAATGCTCGGGGAGAGAAGGACGGGGGGAGGAAGGAGGAGATGAAGAGAGCCCGGGGGTGGGCAGACGCTCGTTCGCTGTTTTTGGCGGGCATTGCTTCCCACGCCACCGACGCGTTTGGTTGCGTCATTCCGTTTTCACCTGCCACTGGCCAACGGCAAGACGCCCAGCATGTCGTCGGCCTGCCAACGACCAAAGCCCAAGAGTTTTCTCGGTGTCGATACCTTGCAATGTTAGAAGGCTGAGCGCTGAGTATCAAGCAGCTCGCATCGTTGACGGCTCGTGTGCAAGCGGCTTATGAGCGTCCATCTATCTGCTCACTTCTGTCGTGTCTTAAGCCTAGTATGTATCCTCATCGCCTAGTTACACGCCCAGACGTGAAGTTCCTTGATACATGTTCTTTTAGCCGGCATACCAGTGAACCGTTCTCCGTCCGTTACTTCAAAAGAACGTACATTGATCTGTCACACGTAGAGGACAGGTTGCGGTTCTGGAAATCACCACCAAAACCTGCGAATATATTAAGCTCATGGCTTAGTTAACGATGTTGGTGCGCACGCTCTACAGCAACCATATGGTCGAATGGACGACCACTCTATATGCTGTCCCAACATGATCTTGCGTAGGATTCACCATCCCCCCCAGTTTGATGTTGGCGCTTGCGGAGCCTGCCAGTGCCGAGCACGACACTGTCTGGATCGACCTCGTGAGCGAGGCAGACTGAAATGTTTTTTCCCGTAGAATTACATTAAACCAAGTGGATGGTCGGTGTGTAGTTGAAGTGAACCGGCTGCCCACGGGGTACCGCGATCCGGGCGGTCCGGGTCGGTTCCCCTCCTGGTCTACCAGTTCCTACGTCATCGATCAAGATCCTCGAGTTCATTGCCGACCTCTTACCTCTCAGGTTTTCTTCTTCCCCGCCGACCCCCTACGTGCCCGCTCATTCGCGGAGTTGACACCCTATAGCTAGTTCTCGATGGTTGCGTTCTTCAACAGCACCTCGATATCAATCCGAAGAGGCAAGTGAGGCACACAGTCACATGATCAGCCGCCGACGCGATCGAGCGCCGAGCTTGCGCGTCCTGCTTGCACTCGAACGGCCACCACCGCGTGTCGGAGTACTGCCCAGGTTGCTCCTCCTCAGGGTCTGCACACGCGCTGCGAAGCGGTACAACTCCCGATTCCAAATTACTCCCTCGGAGCAATGTCGGCCAGGCCCCTCTTGACCTTATCGCTTCCCCCAGCCACACTGTCCGCGCTCGCAGCAGCGGGGTACGAACTCATCAGCGAGCTCGCGGGGGCAACCCCAGAACAGCTTGCGAGAGGTCTGTGTCCTATTTTACGTCACATGCGCCTCTTCTAGCCTCCCTCCCTCCCTCCCACTGCCGCGCGTCCGTGCCCCGACCTGAACTCCAACCTACAGAGCTCAACCTTGATCTTCCGGCCTCACAGGCCCTGCTCTCCGCCGCCCGTCCCGCGCCGACCGGCGCCCCGGCCACCCAATCCGCGGCCGCGCTCATCCGCCTCGGAGCCTCGGCTGGAGCGCAGCCGTTCCCGACGTCGTGCGGCCCCCTCGACGACCTCCTCCAAGGTGGCCTCCGACGCGGCACCGTGCTGGAGCTCAGCGGCCCGCCCGGGTGCGGCGCGGCGCAGGTCGTCGCACGAGTGCCCCGCGCGTTCGTCGACGCGGGCGAAGGCGTCCTTTTCGTCGGTACGTCGGTCTCCCTGCCGCATCCAGCCGCGAGATTCACTGCGCTTCCCCAGACATGCAAGGGATGACGCCGCCTGCCGTCCTCGCGCGGGCCATCGACGCGGGCGCAGGAGCGGCTTCGGACTCGGAGATGGGTGGGTGCGCTACGGACGTCCTCGTTCCCGCGGACTGACGGGCTCCGCGCAGGTGCTCCCACGGCGCAGGCGCGACGGGATCTGGTGCAATACCTCGCGCTGCGCTCGCCCCTCGAACTTGTCGTCTTCCTGCGAAACCTCCCAGCGTATCTCGCCGCGCGCCCTTCCGTGAGTTGGTCCCACCCGAGCCCGCACGCGGACGTCGCGACACCACGCTAATCTTGGATCGCCCATTCTCTCCCCCGCGCCGCGTCCGCCCGACGTTTCCGCGATGCGTGGTGGTGGCCATATGCGCTCTGCACACGCCGAATTGTAGATATCGCTGCTTGTGCTCAACTCTCTCTCGTTCCCGCTTCAAGGCCTGACCAACAAGGACCGGGACGGGCTGCTGGACACGGTCAAGCAGACACTCGCCCGCGCCCGTGCGTCGATGAGTCTCTGTGTACGTAACTTCTCCAGCGCGAATGCCCCCGATCGTATCAGAAGGGGCGAGGGTGTGGCCGCCCCAAGACCCTGCGCTGACGTCTTGCCTCTCTGCAGACCGTAATCACGAGCCACCTGCTCTCCAGGCCCGCGGGCGACCCGGCGGACCCCGGCGCCCCCGCCGACGCCGCCGGCCGCTGGGTGATGGCCCCGGCCTTCGGTGCGTGCCCGCCCGGAGCCCCCGGCCGGGCGAGGTGTGGCCCGACAATGCGTCTGACATACGTTCTTCATCTCCCCAGCCAGCCACCGCTTCACGCAGGGCCACACGCACCGGGTCCTGATCGTGCCCCAGACGAAGGATTCGGGGTGAGCCTGCGCCCCTGCCTGCTCCGCGCGCGCCGCCCCGCTCACCGCCCGCCTGCAGCGTCATGCGTCTCCTCGACCCGCGCCAGCCGCGCGAAGCCCGCTTCCGCAGGGTACGTCACCCCCACCTCTTCTCCCGTCCCCCGGAAATCACTTGCTTGGCTCGCTCACGCGCGTGCGCGCCCTTCCCGCGGCTGCAGGTCGCAGGCAGGATTGAACGTGGGCGTGACCGCGCGGCGCACCACGGCTCGCACGCCGGAACACAGGCGTCCCAGCCACATCCTTGACCCGGCCGCTGCGACTCGACCTCGCCTGCAACGCTCCGACTGGCGAGGCAAGGAACGCGGACGGAAAGCACCACGGTCGCCCGCCCGCGCCGAGATTGATTGCACCAGCGTGCGTGCGTCGCCCGTCCGGGTCGTCTGCACTTCGTCTGCTTCGCCTTCCCCGCACGCCCGCACGCCCGCACGCACGCACGGCTCGACGGGTGCTTCCTCGCGCCCACGCCCGCGCCACCATCGATATCCGCGATACCGAGGCGCGCGGGCGAACCTCGGCACTCCCGTGTCACCGCAAGAACGCGAGCGACGGTCGCCCTGTCCGTGCCCACCCAAAGCTCCGGTCGGCACCCGCCCCGGACGAGCGGTCTGGGAGGGAAAACGTCGAGGACGAGAACAAGACGAGGGGCAGAGAAGGCCCGCGGAGGCAAGAAGCACGACCCAAGCACGTACATGGTCCCGCGGCACTCTACGCTGCGTCGGTGGCGGAAGGCGGCGGAGATGGGCTGGCGGAAGGGGAGCCACTGCGGGGGAGCACGATCCCGTCCGGGCCCACGATCATGTCCACCCTCCAGTCGAGCTCGCCCGCCGGGACCTGGCCCTCCACGAGGATCTGCTCGCGCAGCGCGAGCGCGACTACACGCACGTGTCCGCGATCGGTGTGGCCGTACATTGACGTACCGCATGTCGTTTCCGTTCGTTCAGCACCAATGTCAGTTCCCGACCGCCCTCGAATGCGCAGGATACGCACCGAGCTTCGGTCGCCCCGCGCCGCCCTGCGCGTACGCCGCGAGGAAGCGGTCGTAGTAGCCCTTGCCGTACCCGAGGCGCGATAGCGATCGATCGAACGCGATGCCTGCAGGCGGGACAAAGCAAGCGGTCGAGGTCAGCCCTTCTCTCCTCTCCTCTCCTCCCCAGCCAGCACCGCGACGGTCACCCCCCAGGGAAACCGGGGCCCGGCGCGCGGGGTCGCCGCAATCTAGACTCTCGAGCTCCCACTCCAATTCCAATCCCCAGTTCCCAATCCCAGCCCTGAGCTCGCGCCCGCGCCCGGTCTCGTTCTGGCCCCGCGGCACGAAGGAAGGGGGTATGACGGCTCGCTTAGGACGGGCCCGTGATTGCGCGAGGATCGACGGGGTGTGCGTGCGTGCGTGCGGCGCAGGGGCCCAGGGAGGGTGAAAACGCTCGACCGGCCCTGCAGGGCGCAGGGATCGCAAGGCGCGAGAAGCGGCCGGGCACGGAAGGCAGCGCGTCCCGGGCGTTCTGGACGCCCAGGGGCGCGTTCTGGGGTGCGGCCGTAGGCAAACTCGTAATGCGTAAACTATAAATGGCCGGGGTGGGAACGCGGCTGCCGCGGATGCTGGGACTGGAGCCGGGGGCTGCAGCGGACGCGGCGGAGGACGGGGGAGGAGCAGGCAAGATATGTACGCACCTGGCATCACGATCATGTCGAGCGGTTCCGCGCCGCCGCCGAGCGCTGCCAGGTCGCCCCGAGCCGGGGAGCGAGCGGGGTGCGCGTGGGAGGCGGGCGGCGAGAGTGGGAAGCGGGAGAAACCCAGCGGGTTACGGCACCAGAGCCAAGTTGGACGGATCGTGAGCGCGACTCCGGGATGAACGGATACACGGGCACGACGGGCGGCGGCGGGTATGCGTCCAGGTGGGATATGCGGCGGAGTGGATGTGGATTTCTCCAGACGCAAAGGGCGCAACATTTACCCTGAGTTCTGTGGTGGCCCCCTTTTATTTTTCATTTCCATCTGGACGCATATCCGGTGCTGCCTATCGTGCTCCGAGAACGACAATAGGACTCACCGGCCGGACGGGCTTGGCCCAAATACTCAGCCTCAGGCTCGCGGATGCCCCACTGCCCGCGGGGGAGCGCGGCGAGGTCGGGCTCGTCGAAGATCCGGAAGACGTCCATGCGGCCGCGGGCGGTGTCCGTCATCTTGGGTACGTAGAGGCGTTTGTCTGGAGAGACGTCATCGGGGTAGGCACGATGCGCGCGCCAAGCGTTCGGGCGGTTGGTAGCGTGCACGGTACAAGCGGGGAAAGCAAAGTGCGAATCAGCAGCGGAAGAAGTCGCAGGTCGGATCGGACCGCCCTTGTGCGGAAAAGGCTAGGGACGCCACCACCACACCAGGTCCCCCTGTCTCGTTCGCTCGAACCCAATCACATAGGAACTTAGCTCTCGGGGGTTTTCGTTCCTTTTAAGCCATGGTCGATTCGGGAATAAACAGTGCACGGTAAACCTGTCTCACTAGAACCGACCACCATCCGACTGACCGTTCTGTATGCTAGAAACACCCGGAATGATGTCCGTTCAATGCATGTGTGCGTACGGTGCATGACAAAAGCCGCAAAACCACCACGCTCCATCCGCGAGGATGTCGCACCGCGCATATATCCATGCTGCTCTAAAATTGTTCGGATGCCAGCCGCTTCGGCAGAGCAAATTCGAACGCGAATCACACCGTCCATGCGGCCCGACACACGACTTCAAATACCCCGTATTGAGTTCGACGTCCACCACTGCGTCTCGACTCTCGGATATCGGTCTTGGGGGCGGGTAGCGCATAGCCGATGCTATGCACTACGTGCGAGATGAACCGCCTTTGTGTGAAAGTGAACTATATCATGAAGAGGACCTGGTCCGGTGATATCCGGGATAATGCCGCACAAAAGCCTTTCGACATGGCGCACGACGCAAAGGGACAACCGTAGAAACGGACACGTACCAGTTCGGAGGACCGCGGCGACGACCGCCGAGGTGTCGACCTCGCAGGCCGGAGGGGGCATGCTGAGAAAGCAGCTGACGGCGCGGCTCGCGCGAAATTCGGGAAGCGCGAGGAGCGTGGTCGTTATCTGGGCCGCTGAGCACGCGTGATAAGTGAGCGAGCGGGGTCGACGTCGTCGTTGCCGACCATTCAGTCGAGCGGCGGAACGAAAGGAGGGCGCGGAGCGAGTACGCACACTGTGCCTGTATCTCCTCTGGCGAGAGGCTGGCGAGCATGACGCGCATCGCCTTGCGCAATGCGCCTTTCTGCTTCTGGAGGACTGATGCCATCCGATGGAAGGCGCGTGTGCGGAGCCTAGAGCGTGATTACAGCCGGGTATCAGCGAACGAGTCTCCAGCCCTGAGTGTCGAGCACGCACCGACGGTGTTCGCTGGTGCGGACAGCAGAAACCACTCCGCGACGGTGGGAGGGGCTGATGTGGTGGTCAGGATCAACAACGTTCGCGGGGCGGCGCGGGTGGCGGCAGGATCAGGGCCGCGGAGTCACACGGTCACGCAGCGTGGTTTGTTTGCGACGTCGGCGCCTGTCGATCAACCGCGCTTACGTCTCGCAACCCCCACCAGCGTCCTGCTCCCGCCCACACGCCGCGCGGGAGGCAGTCACATTCCGCGCCTTCCTCGGGCGGACCATCCGCGTGTCTTTCAATCACAATCAGCAAACTTCCCGCGGCCAAGCCCTTTCCCATCATCACTTCGCCCTCCAGGCCCAGCCGACTCCGAACCCGCCTCCGCCTCCGCCTCCGCCTCCGCCCCCACCCTCCGCTCACGCCGGCCCTCGCGACGCCTCCCACCGGAGTGGGTTTAGCCTTTGTCCCGCGCACCCGGGCCAGATCTCCTCCCTCTGGCGCCCGGCAGCAGCAAAAGCCTCCGCAGATAGCCAGCCCTCGCTGGCGTGCGCACCTGGCCTGATCACCCGCCCCTGCGCTTCGTCCGGCCACACTTGGTGCGCACTCCCCCACCGCCTGCGATACCGCGATAGGACGATAGCCTGCGATAGCACCGGCCCAGTGTCCTCGCCCGCCTCCACCGCGCCGCCATCCGTACTCGTCAGAGTTCAGTCCAGGCTGCTTCGAAGCACGGGTCCTGTCCCTCCCTCCACCAGCTGCGTTCCGCGCCCCGACTCCCGAGCCCGCCGTTTCCCGAGCCCGAGCCCGAAGCTTGCAGCCGCCCCGGATCCAACGCCCGACCCCGACCCCGAAAATATCGCCCGCCATGGCCGCAAGCGGCTCCTCAGGCGCACCACCCAGGACTACCCGTTTCCGCAGCCGACCTCTTCCCACTCGAGCCGACTACGCGCCGTCGAGCCCAGCCGCTAGTATGGACGGCCACTCGGACGTGGACACAGACGCCAGCGGGCGGGCGGACAGTCCTCCGGAACCCACGTCGCCCGTGTCCCCGCTGGCACCGTACCCGCCCGTGCCGCCCACAGCGGGCCGCTCCCGCGCCCCCGAGTTCTACGGATTCGTGGCCTGGACGGGCACCTACCTCTTCTTCGCCGCCTACCTCCTCTGGGCGTTCCTCCCCGACGCCGTCATCGAGGCCCTCGGGGTGTCGTGGTACCCGAACCGGTGCGTCGACTGTCGTGCGCTCACCTCTCGATCGCCCGGCGCGCGCGCTCACCTCCGTTCTCCCTGTCTCGCTCGTCCGCCGCGCCCGCGTTCGCGGAACGCCTCGGCGTCGGAAATTTACCCGACTCGGCCCTCGATCGCGCGCGCGCGTGCGCCCACACACGCCCGTTAATCTCCGTCGACGTCGCCGCCCGCCGTGCCGTAACTGGTTATCAACCGCCAACGGCCACTCGCCCCCGACGCTGTTCACCCGCCCGTCGCTGCGGCCGGTGTCGACCCTGCCTCGGTCTCGGGGGGTGCGCTCTGCAGCGAATGGGCGCTGCTGATACCGGCGTACGGGATGGTGCTCGTGCTGCTCACGTACACGACCTACTTTGCGCTCGCCCTTGCCGGCACCCCCGCCTTCTCCGACCCGCGCACGATAACTGGTGAGCGCACGAACCGCGTCACCGCCAATCGGCCTTTACGCATCCGTTCCAGCTGACCCACCCTGAACCGCAGACTCCAAGGCCCAGCTTCCGCCCCCGCCCCCGCCGGAGAGCCGCGGAAGGGGGGAGTCGGCGTACTTCACCCACGCCCGCGCGGACGCGCCCCCCGCGCTGTACGACATCCCGCTCGGGCTCGTGAACCGCGTCGCGTACGGCCCGCGCCGGGCCCCTGGCCACTAGTCCCGGACACACCCACACCTGTGCACGGAGACGGGCACGCAAACGACAACGCCCACGCCGTGGCCGCCGGGCGCGTGCCGATCTGCTCGACACGTCACGTTCGCGGATTTTGCCTCACGTTCTCGCACGCACACTTTTGTAGCGGGTTTGGGAATCGACATCGATGCCGACGCGCCGTTCTCCTAGGTGTGCGTTCGAAGTCGGATGCGACGGGTCGACGACGAAGCCCGGGTCCGTCCCGCGTTCCGTGTCCGTCACCGCGGCGCGGACGGAGTGCGTGCAGGGGCAGCGGGGCTTCTGGCGTACGCGCAGCCGGGCGCATGGACCCGTGCATGCGGCCTGAGGCTGGACGCTCGGGGTCGGAGTCGGGTTCGTTCGCGCAACAGGCCTGCCCCCCGCGCCAGCCGCGCCAGACTCGACTTCGGGCCCGCCCCGAGCGCGTTTGATTGTGCGGTCATGAGCGTACGGCACCGCGCCGTCACCGTGCGGGCCAACCGTCGAGTTCATTAATGGCCGCACGGGCGTCCTCAGGTCCGTCACCCCAAGTCCAGACCGTCCAACCCACGTACGCACGTACGTACGTGCACTCGAACGCCAACCCCCCTTCCCCCTCCCGTTCTGCACGCCTGCGGAGATCGATCAGAACCGGGCGCGAGTGTCGCCCTGTGAACCGTACGTACCAGGACGGGGGAGCAGCCAGCCACGGGCGAACGCGCGGGCCCGATAGGGTTCGATAGCACGCCCGAGGGCTTCGGGCCTCGGATTCGGCCGGCCGGTCGCACTGAGCTTCCTCTGCCTCGACCAGGCTCCTCTGTCCTCGCGAGCTCTCGAGGGGGGCCTTCTCCAGCGGCCGTGCGTGTGTGCGTGCGTGCTCACGGTTTTGCGCGTGCTCGTGTCCGGGTTGGTCGTCTTTTTTCTCTCACCCCCTTCGCATTCGCGCCGACGCTCCAAAAGTTAGAGCCGTCGAGAGGCGAGAACCCCCCGGGCCGCAGGCCACCCGGTCGCCCGGTCACGGGTGCCACTCGCAGCGTGCGCGCGCCGCGCAGGCGAGATCCACCCGACAGCGGACGTCGCTAGCGCGAGCACACATACGCACCGGTCGTCCAACTTTATGTATGCGCACAGGATTCTCGCTACAAGAGTTTGCGTTTTGGCTGTCCGCGCGCGCGGCCCTTGCCCCGGGTCCGCGCCGGCCGGGCTCTGCGGTCCGCTGTGGCTCGGCGAAGTTCGACGTTCGAACTTCGGGATGCCGCAGGATCCGCGGCGTCGAGAGGGACGCGGACGGGAGGGCGACGCTCGATCGCGCCGCAGGACGTGCGTACGTACGTGCGACGCGGCGCACGGTGCACCGAATGAATGCGCCGCGCGGCCGGCGCGGGGTGCGGGACGACTCGCGCTGCCCCACGGTCTGGCGTCCTCTGGCAGATCGACCCGCTCTGGTGCTAGCTGCTAGCTGGCTGGCTGGCTGGCTGGTGGAGCCTGCTGAGCCCCTGCGTTTCAGCTCGGCGTGCGGGGGGGAGTCGGGCACGGGTACGCAGTGCTGGGGGGCCGGGAGAGCCCCCCGTGGTTGTCTGGCTGGCCCAGGGTAGGCTGATGTTGCAACGTTCGATAGGGACGCCGACGCCGAGGGAGAGTGCAAAGTGTGGCCAGCCATGGCGTGCTGCGTACGTACGCACGCACGCACCTCGCCGCGGTGTGCGTGGTGCGCGAAGACTTGGAGGCCCCACCGCTCCGACGCCTCTCCCCCTCTGGGGCGGCGGGTTCGTGGTAGTTGGATTGGGCTTCGGCTCCAAGTGGCCCTAGCAGCCATAGAGATGGGAGCTCTGCGGGCGGTAGTACGTACGAGTAGCCCCTAGGAGCAGCTCAGCTCTCAGCGATCGCGAGCTTAGTTCATGAAGCGGGACCCCCCCCCCCCTCCCGATTGCAGCGCGCGTTCGGAAAGAGAGAGAGTGTGTTCGACCGTCATCGTCCGCGCACGTAACTTACGCAGACGTGTGCGGTGCTCAGCGCTCGCGCTGGAGATCCTGGAGATCTCGGGGAGCGACGTACCTTCCAGGCGTCAGGGATTCGCAGCGCTCGCACGCCGCCGCCGGTCGTTCAGAATGTTCATAACTTCATCGGTCAACGTCGACGTCGCTGCCAGGCGCGAGCGACCGCAGCCCGGGAAGTCGGGCTCGGGGTACCTTCCCGATCGATGCGGGAGGCTCGTCGGCGGTCGCGTCCGGGGGGGTGCTACGCGCAAGTACTGCAGCAGTCGTCGAGGGGCGAGAAGCCAGGAGCGCAGCAGCCTGCAGGGTGGGGGACACGCGGGCGCGGACGTTGGAGACGGTGGTGCGATTAGGGCTCTATGGGGATATCGTTGCGGGACGTGTGGTACAAATACGAGCAGGGCGCTGCGGCGTGGGGGAGGCGTGGGGCGGGGCGTGGGGACGGGCGGACGGACGGCGTGGCTGTTGGTACAAGATCGATGTGCGGGGCGGGGGCGAGAGCGATGGGTGGGGAGCGTGTAGGTGTATATGCGACAAGAACCAAAACAAAAACACGGGCAAAAACACAAGCAAAAACAAAACGAGCAGAGCACTGGCCGGGGGAGCACCACAGACGGAAAAGCAAGCACGAGAACAAACGACGCGGGAGAAACAAACGATGGCGCGACCTTGCCATCGACGCCCGCAAGACACGGCAGGCGGGCGGGCTTCGCCGCAGAGCGGCGTCGGGATCCTTGCCGCGCGCGCGCGCGAGACGGGGCGACCTTCCCGTCCGGGCAGCGTGCGTGCCGCATCCCATTGCGCGGCGCGCGGTCCACCCGCCGCTTCGCCGCACGGTCGTGTCCTGTCGTCCCAAATAAAGCATATCGAGCACGAAAGCAGAGGCGGGGGGTGCGGGGGACGGAGATCCAGGTCCGGCGCGGGGGGCGCAGTCGGGGAGGCCGCGCTCAGAACCCTGGCGGGGACGCGATCGCAGGCCCGGGGAGCGAGCGCCACTGCGGCAGTCGAGACGAGTCAGTGTCTCGAAGAAGAAAACAAACAGAGGACATGGGGGGACTCACGTGCGTGGTGGAGATGTACGGGGACGCGTCCGCCTGCGCGTACGAGTTCCGCTCCTCGTACGCGTCCGGGTCCGGGCCCCACTGCGCCGGCGCGACCGCGGGCAGCGGCACGGGCAGCAGCGGGCACGACGCCGCGAAGTACTCGTCCTCCGAGTCCGAGCCGTCGCCCACGCTCCCGCTCCCGGACCCGCTGCCCCCCGTGGCCCCGCGCGAGTGCGAGTGCGCGGAGGACGGCGAGGGCGGGGTGCGCGGCGAGCGGTGCGGCGAGGCCGTGCGCGGGAGCACCCCGGCGTTGGTGCGCGTCGAGAGCGAGGGCGGCACCCAGCGCAGCTTCGGCGGGAGCCGCCCCGCCTCGTGCACCTCGGACACGAGCGGGGTCTCGAACCCGACGGTGAACTGCGAGGGCGAGCTCGAGCCGTGCTCCGCCGAGGGGAAGATCCCGTGCGTGCGCAGGTGCCGCTTCGCGTTCGACCGGACCGCGAACGACTTTGTGCACGTCGGGATCGGGCACTTGAACGCTGCGGGCGACGAAGGAGGGTCAGCACGGAACAAAACACAAGCCCGAGCCCGACCACGCACGTTTCGCGCCCGAGTGCGAGTTCATGTGCGTCGCGAGCCCGCTCGGCCGCGGGAACATCTTGAAGCAGACCGTGCACTGGTGCATCTTGCTCTTCTTCGCCGGCCCCCGCCGCTCCCCCACCCCCTCCCCGGGCGGCGTCACCGGGCTCCCCTGCTCGCGCTCCGGCTCCGGGCTCCCCTGCGCCTGGTGCGGGTGCGGGTGCGGCTCGAGCTGGTGGTGCGGCGCCTGCGCCTGCGCGACCGGCGCGTGGTACCAGTCCACGTCCCGCCGCTGCACCTCCGACGCCGCCGACGGCAGCGACGACCCCTCCGACTCCCGGTCGTCCTCGAACCCGTCCTCGTCGAACACGAGCCCGGGCACGCTCGACGGGCTGATCGGCTCCATCGCGCCCGCGCCCGCGCCGTCGAACGACTCCCGCCGGTGCGCCGACGTCAGCGTGTGCGTGTGCGTGTGCGTGTGCGCCTGCGCGCCGTCGAGGCCCGCCGCGCCGAACGGCGACCCGGGGGACCCGCCCAGGGCGAACGCGGGCGTGTACGCGGGCGGGGAGGACGAGAGCGGGGTGGGGGCGTAGCGCGCGCCGGCCCCGGGGCTGTAGAGCGCGCTGCTGTTCGCGTACTGTTGTTGCTGCTGCTGCTGCTGTTGCTGGTGTTGCTGGTGTTGTTGGTGATGGCTCGGGAGTGGGAAGGACGTCCGGCGGGCGGGCAGCGGGCCCTGCCGGAAGGTGGGGGCGGGGACGGGGCGGGCGAGCGCGTGCGAGTCGAGCGCGTTCTGGAGCTCGTCCGCCGGCGCGCCCGCGTAGTGGCCGTGGCCGTGGGGCGGGGACGGGGGCGCGGGGCCGGCGAGGGCGTAGCCCGCGAAGGGGTACAGCGCGGCGTACGCGGCGGCGTCGTGGAGATGCGTGCGCTGGGAGGACTCGGGGTAACTCACCAGCTGCTGCTGCTGCTGCGCGTCCGCGGCCCCAGGGAAGAAGGCGGGGCGGTCGGGGAGCGACGCGCTCGCGACGGGCTGCTGCTGTTGGTGCCCGTGGGCGTGGTGGCTGTGGCCGTAGCTCGCGGGGACGTTGACGTTGAGCATCCACGGCTGGGGGGGCTGCGGGTGCGCGCGCGCGAACGTCGGGTGGGGGATCGACGTCGTCAGCGGCTCGAGCCCGGCTTGGGCGTGGGCGAGGTAGTACGGCGCGGGGGCGTGCTGCTGCTGGTGATATCTATGGAGGCCGTGGCCGTCGTGGGTGGTGTCCATATTTGAGTGCGACGACATCGTGCGGGGTGTGGGTGGGTGGGGGTGTCAGGGCCAGTGGGGGTGGCGGGGGTGGGGACGGGGACGGGGGCAGGGGCGGAAAGTGTGGCCGGGCGCTGGAGAGCGGGCGCACGGGAGGATGCTCGAAGGCGAGGCGGGAGGCGGTGGCGGTGGCGGGCGTATGTCGGGGACGGAGGCAGACGAGGGCTGGAGGGCGGGGAGAGAGGCGGAGGGGAGGAGGCGGGGACGGTTATATGTGCAGCGTGCGTCGGTCTGGCTTTAGCTCTGAAACGGACGAGTGCGAGCAGCCAGAAGGAGCACGGGCAGCGACGCGCGCGAGTGGCCATCGCACAAATGGCGTGCAAGTCACAGTCGCGCGCCCGCGGCCGCGGACGCAGAGCCGCACACGCGCCAGCGACTCGACACCCCGGCCGCGATCACACGCCCGCCCCGGGCCCCCCTCCGGCCGCGCTCCCCTTCCGCTGCCCTGCCCTGTCCCTGTCCAGTGTCCCCCACCTCCGGCCGGCCGGCCGGCGAGCCCCGCGCGCGGGAACGAGGCCCAGCAGCCCGGCGCGCACCCAGCGAGCGCCCGCTTTGCCTCCCTACCTCCCCCGCGGGCCCCGCCTGCCTCTCCCGGCCATCGCACCCCCATCGTCTGCGCGAGGATCCCCCGGCGCTCCTCCGCGCGCACCGACCCCACCGCCCGCCACGCCCGCGACACCCATCGCCAGCAGCTCGCGATACCCGGCAGCTCGCGACGACGCAGGACCACCGGGGGAGCCCCGCCCGGTGCGCGAGCGCACGCTCCGTCCGCCCACTTGACCAGATGCTGGCGGCTCGACCTCGACCCCGCACGCCCAGCGCGACCGCAGCGCGCGCGAGCCTGGGCGGGCGGGCGAGCAAGGCGGCGGCGCGCCAGCTGTGGCCCGCTCGTCGAGACTCGAGCGCACCGCATCGAGCGGACGGACGACCAGGCCCCGAACCTTGCCTGGGGGGCGGTGCGCACGTACGCACGCCCGCCCGCACGCACTCCGCCCGTGTATCGACGCCCCCCGATCTGTCCTTCGTCTGTCTGCCCTCGATGATGTCGTGATTTCATTGAGCTCCTGTCGCCGCCGCATCTCTCTCTCTCCTCCTCCCTCCCTTTCCCTCTCCAGGTAGCCGCGCTGCCCCGTTCGGTTCGTCGCGCGAGGTCCGCGCGCCGCGGACCGCCGCCGCTGCGTCGCAGGTGGGCAGCTCCCGCGGGCGGCGGATCCCCTGCATAGTCGAGGCCCGGCCCGTGCGCACAACTGACCCACTGTTCGTCCGCGTCGGCTCGCGCTGGGTCAGAGGGAGGCAGCTGCAGGAGGGCGCGCCAATCCCGCTGGGCACCCGCGGCCCGCCGCGCTGGAGCCTTTGCGCGCGCGGGTCCGCAACGTGGGGATAAGAGCGATCGATGCGCGACGCGGGCGCGTGGGCGCGGGCGCGGGGCGGAGAAACTGGCCAGGCGGCCTGGCCTGCGGGGAAGGGGCGAGCGCGCGGGCGCCCGGACGGCATTGGGGGGAACGGAAAATTCGATAGCAGAAAGACAACGAAAGCGAGAGATCTGGAAAAGCACGCGCACGTGCGCCCGCGCGCATCTGCACGGCGTCGTGCTGGTGTACGCCCAGCGACCCAGCGACCCCGACCCCGACGACGAACCGGCCGCGATCTGCCCCGATCGCGGCGAGCGCGAGCGACTTCAAGCTCAAGCTTGCTCCGCCCAATTACGACACCGGCCAACCGACGGTCCCTGCCAGTGCTACCATACGACCCGCCCCGCGTGCCTTCCCACGGTGCGCCCACCCGATCCTCCCGCGCGCCCCAGCAGGCAGCCCCGAGGCGCGTGTCGACGCCCCCCGTCCACGGTCCACGTCTTCATTGTCGGCGTTGGGGTCGACCGCACCGGCGGCCTCGGTCGGGGCAGGTGCGGATCCCGCGCGTCACCAGCCGCCGCGGCCAGGCGTCCACCTGCACGCGTTTCCGCGCAGAACGCGAAAGTGAGGTCAGCGTCGCGCTCCTTACGTCTACGCCCTGTGGCAGAAGTAGTGGCGCGCGAAAGGGAGGGGGGGATAGATCTAGAGAGAGAGAGAGAGAGAGAGATCCGGATCGGCGCGCACCTGAACTGTTCCAGCGGCAGCCTCCCGTGCGCCGGGCTCGGGTTCCTTGTCAATCCCGTCGACGCGGTCCGCGCGCCGGCCCGCGCGCGCACGGCGGGCCCGTCGCCCCTGTCGGCAGCAGTCGCGCCGCGCGGGGTCATCTTGACGTCTTCGGCCGCAAACGTCTGCTGAAGATCGCTGGCCACCAGCGCGGGCAGCGGCCGCGCGCCGCCGTTCGAAGCGACGCGGGGCTTGGACGCCTGTGGCGCCGTGTGCGGCCGCGTCGTCGTGGGCTTCGCTCTCGAGCTCGAGCTCGAGCTCGCGCTCGGGCGCGGGCGATGCCGGCCGTCCGGGGTCACCGTCGTCTCGTGCCGCCGCAGGGGGCCGGACAGCAACGCCTGTGTCGCGCAGAACGAAACCGCAGCGCGCGAGAGAGAGATAGGAGCAAAGAGGCTTTCGGTCAGCCAGAGTTCAAACGCAAAGAACACCACAGCAGCAGGCAAGACGGCAGGCGTCCATTGGTCGATTGCCACGCAAGGAGATATGTCGGGAATGATCACAGATGGCGGGCGACGGGAGGAAGGGGGACTGTTCACTCACCCCTCGATCGCGGTTGCCGTCGCTGCTGGTACCGGTGCGCCCGTTCCTGTTCGCCTGGTGAGGACCGCCGCGGGCCCAGCGGGCCCACCACCCGTGCGCGACCGCGTGCCGGGCAGCGGCAGCGACCGCGGCCGCGGCCGCGCCGGCGCCGTCGAGTTCTTCCGAGCATCCCTCGCTCTCTCGCGAGATTTGCCCTGCGTTCTCCTTGTTCTCCTGGTCGGGAGCGCGCGCCGGCGCGGTGGGCGTCGAAGTCGGTGTTGCGGACGCGGACGACATCGAAGCGTGGAAGTGCGCGAGGTGCTGGGCCATTACGTCCTCGTCCTCGTCCATGTCCTCCCCCCCGCTCGTAATCTCGTCCCAGTCCTCGAATATCGACGCGCGGAGGTCGGGGCCGTCGAGGGACTCGCGACGCGTCGTGCCAGGGGTCTGGGACCCGTCTTCGTCGCCGCCGCCGCCTTCCTCCTGGTTCACGTCCGCGTAGCGTGCGGGGAGCGACCGCCGCCTGTTGCGCTCGCCGAAGCCGGTGTTCATGACCGGGCGGAAGGGCAGCATCTGAACCCGCCTCACGGTATCCGGGTGGTGCTGCTGCTGCCGCTGGGTGTTCGTGCGCCGCACGGGGGAGCTCGAGAGCACGCCCTCGTCGCCGAACAGGTCGTCGTCGTCGTCCATCCTGTCATCCGCGTTCCCGCCCGCCCTGGAGCGTGCCCCTGGGCGCACGGGCGACGACACGTCCGGGGAGTCCCACTGCGCGACCGACTCCGTGGGCGACAGGTAGCCCTCCTCCTGCGAGACGTCGACAGAGTCCGGCGGGAGCGGTCCGCCCATCTCTGCGTCTGGGTGCGGTTCGGCGTCGACGAAGCCTTCGGCGGATCTCGCGGTCGCATTGCTCTGGACGCTGCCGCTGGAGCCCGTGCGGGAGAGCCGTGCGCCCGCGCCACCGCGCTCGCACGCCTTTCCCTTCGTCTTCGCGGGCTCGGCGCCCTGCGAGAGCGAGAGCCGCGAGGGCCCCGGCGCGGGGCGGCGCGCGTTCGCGGGCGAGTCTGCAGGCGCAGCGGTGGCCCGGCCCCACGCCCTGTCGCCTCGCGGATCGGACACCGATCGGTGCGGGGGCGCGTGGAAGAACTTGGACGTCGCGGGAGTGCGCAGGGCGGCGGCGGGACTCGAGCCCGCCGCCGTCTTCGCGCGTTTTGCGGCCAGGTCCTCGTCCATCACGTCCGCGAGGGTGCGCTTCCCGCTCTTCTTGCCCACGGACATGGTCGGCGTGGGCCGCGCCCCACCGGCATCGTTATCTTGGTTGGGTGCGGCGGCGGCGGGAGCTCCCGGTGCTGGACCTGGAGGACGACGGTGGTAGTTGCGCGACACGTAATCGCAGACACGGAGAAGCCGGGAGCGTGCGCAAACATGACACAACGGGCGTGCAGGAGCGTTGAGCGAGCTTCGCGCGATGTGAGAGGCTGCGAACGAACTTACCGAAGAACTTGTACAAGCCGACGGTGGGTTTTGCCGACGGCAGGCCATTAGCCTTGTCTTTGCCCTTATCTGGTCGGGCCACAGCGGCCGAGGCCCCCCGCGCCGCCGGCTGGTAGGCCGGGTTGATGTCCTCCATTGGGAGAAGGCTGATAGGGCACACGTCGCCCTCGGCGAGTTTCTTCGCCAGCGATGGCTCGATATGTCTAAAGCGGTGCGTGCCACGGACGAATTCGCGGCAAAAAGTGCGAGATGAACCGGCCGTCAGTTGAAGCTCGCGACGCAGGAGAATGAAGGCCACGACCGTGCAGCGCACGGCGCACGGCGCGATGTGCGGTGCGTCGTGCGTCGTGACCACAAAGCGATGCAGCATGCGTTGAACATGCTCGACACTCACGCTCCGACATATGCTTCCTTCTCCGCGTCCCAGCCTTCGTCTTCAGGAAGCGACGTCAAATGGACGAGCTGCTCCAGCGTGGGGTCGTACACGCGCTGGTACAGAAACACCTTCTCTGCGAGGCTGAACGCGCCGAGGTACCCCGGGGGCACCTTCTTCTTGCCCTCGAGCAGCAGCGCGTTCACCGTCTTCGCCACCGTCTTGTATTTCTGGAGGAGCGTCCACGCCGTCTTGAGCCCGATTCCGGGGATGCTTGGCAGGTAATCGCATCCGCTGAGGATAGCCATCGCGCGGAATTGCGCGTCAGACCAGCCGAGCAGCGAGAGCCCTCCCGTGACGGCGGCGAAGTCGGTTCGGGATATCGACGATACGGTCGCAGCGGTTGTGTCGAGTTTGAAGAGCACGGTCTTGCAGCCAAACACGAGCAGGTCCGAGTCTTCGGTAATGATTGCGTCCACGAGGCCGATGCGCTCGAGGTACGCCAGCTGCGCATCCGCCTCGTACGGCGCGACGACGTACGCCACGCCCTCCGCACGCAGAGCCTGCAGAGCATGACATGTCAGTTGGCGATGAGAGCGACGAGAGCCAGATAGGCAACATCAGCTTCCAGCAGGAGCGGTTCTCACCTTGATGAGCTGATATGCCATTTGAGGCGTCACGTCCACGCATTTCACGTAGAACTCACGCGCTTGACTATGGTTGCCTTGCGCCGCGAGAGCATTCGCGCGGGCTAAGTTCTCCTCGCGCCGTTGCTTGCGGTCGGACTCAGTACCTTGCTTCGCCGGTAGCGGCCCGCCATCAAATACCAGATAGGGTTGGATTCCGTAGTGGCGCAGGAGGCGCACTCTGTGCATTGCATATTCGACATATCTGCGGAAGCCGTAGCGGGGTCAGAAATGCTCCTGCGAGCGAACCCACAGCAAGGATAGGGAGAGAACAAAGTTTAAATGCGCATTTCTCCGGGGTTCCACCGCGCCTATGATGCAACTCACGACTGGCCACACCAACAATGAGGCCGTGTGGGTCAGAAGGAACTTCCGTGAGTAATGGGCACAGATCCTCGCGATGCCTTTACGTACGGATGAGTGGATGATGACACCCTGTCACCGCGTACACAAGGCTTCTGGCCATTTGTATGTCTGCCTCAAATGTCAAGAAGGTACAGCAGCCGAGCGCCTCGTTTCGAGGGTTTGTTGCCTGCTGCGAGCCCAGCTGCGAGACCGAAACATTGGGCATATACGTAAAGGCAGAAGATCTCTGGCCCGGACGGGTTCGCGATGGCTGATACCACCATTCAGATTTCGCGAAGGCTCCTGCTCGAGGAACCGGCCCGAGCGGAAAATCCGCCTCACTGCCACACACACGGACGACCGTCCGAATGACCACAGCAAGCGCAATCCCATCCGGGCCGGAGATACGCTACGAAGCAGTGTCCAAACCTCATCGGGCACGATGAAGCAAAGCCGATAACTTTCCACAGGCTATTAGACACATCGAAGAAACTCCATGTCGGGATGAGCAGCAAACCCGTCCCTGTTCCGAGTGGAAACATGGATGGGCTTCTAGCAGCTATGTCGCGATCATTATGCAAGTGTTGGTCAACGCCCTGACTACTCGCTGTCAACACCAGCAGCGAACGACGAAGACGCTTCGCTCGCAGTCCGGCAGGCAAGCCGTCAATGCGTCATGTCCGCCGGATTCGAAGTATGTCAAGACATTTCACGACATGCCGGAGAGGCGTGGCCGAGCTAGACCGTAATTTGTGGATGCAATCGGCAAAATGTCCTCCAGCCTTGTATCCAGATCATGACGCGTTTTGTTCGTATCGGACCCTCTATCATGAAGAAAGCAAGGCGACCGCACCAGAGCAAGCCTCGCGGACAACGCTAGGAGTGCCTCATACGTACGCAGAGACATTGTGCCGCTTCGAGTTCCAGCCTTTCCGAACTCTGGACTATTCAGGAAATACGGCACGTACGACAGGCAAAGCTGAATCGCTCCCACGCGGTTGTCGATCGACATATGCAAAGCATATAGTGGGTACCAGAAAAAGACCATACAGCTAGTCTTTCGATGCAAGCCGAATGGTCTTCTCGGTGCAGCGGTCGTTTGGCTACCGTGCAATAGGTCATATGCACATTGTCACCATACCAGCCACCCATCAGCCTGGGACCTGGACATTCCATGCATGCGCCTTCGCCGAGTCAGAAAGCCCGCTACGGTCATGTCCAAGACATAAGCCTCATCAAAACCTTCGTCTGATGTACAGGAGCATGTCGCATGTCTCGCGGACACATTACGCATTCCATTTCGAGCGTCTCACACTGAGTCAAGATCCGGAGAGGAAACTTGGCACAGAAATGAGAGCAAGGAGTAAAAGCTTATGAAGCGCGGAGATGAAAGGACGAGTAGAGAGAAATGCGAGTCGTAGCGTGTACTCGCGTGCGGGAAATGACGACACAAGCGATGTAGGAAGACGAATGGAGAACAGAATGATATGACCAGTATGCTCACCTTGTTGTTTTCTTCCCCGTCGAAATCTCCGCAGCACAGCCGTATATGCCTCTGTGGAGCCACACATATCCATCCACCGCCAGGGTCTGTCCGCGAAATTCAGAGAGGTGTTTGCTGTTCTGGATGTCCTTGAGGAGAGGTAACAGTCCCGAGATTCCCATTATCAAGCCAGTGCAGAGTATGTCGAATATGTTGAGTACATGAGCCAGTAAAGAAAGCAGCAAGAGATGATGATGGGAGGTAACGAGAGAGCACAGAATCAGACAGCGTCGCGTCGCGTCGCGCAAAGCCGTGACACTAACAAACGGACGCGTCGCGTACCGTCACGGAACGCGTCGTCGAGTGTGTCACAATCCGAATAACGAACCCGTGACTATCGATTAATTGCGACGTGACGTCATTTGAAGCCTGCTTTGCGGGCCGCCTTGTTCAAGAACACGTACAACGACGTTAGTTTGTTACTGTAACTAGCGATTTCGCTCATCTCCCGGCAGCTTACGTTCAGTCACACCCACGTTTCTATTCAATAGAGTATAGAACAACAATATAACGTCCCGGCTTCCCACATGCATTGCAGGAAACACGATCCTTCCCCCTCGGGTCCTCACTGCTCGACCTCATCGAGCCCTCAGCCTGGCGCTGTAGGTGCGCATCATTGGCCTGTTCGTACAAGTTAGCGAACATTACTTAGGCAAGTCAGCTTATGGCAGCGAAGCCCTCTGGGTTTTGGGCATGCTCATGACAGTATTAAAATCCCTCTGCATTGAAAGCCATCTATTCTACGCAGTCTCAATGTGAGGTGGAGACGCTGTGTCGGGTTGTCCAGAAGACGAATGCGCGGGCTGCAATGGAGCAAGTACTGAGAGGTAAGAGACGGATCCTGATTCGTGCTGCCATATCGGGAGGCTGTATCGAGGGGGCGGAAACTTTTTCAGCGTGGTCTTACAGAAGACGAACGACCGCCGGCCAAAGGTAGACAAAAACGTACCTGAGGCCCTCCCTCTCCCGCTACAAACGCTAGCACACGGCAGACGAGCTTGAGGCGCCACCGCCGCGTGCGGGAAGCGTGTCGCAGACAACGGGACTGCCGACCCGGACAGGGAAGAAGGTCACGCCATCCACCTCGTGCGCCGCCGTGCAGAAGCTCGTCCCGTCTGGCCTGCGCCTACTGCATGGCCCACGCGCGCTAGGCGACTAGAGACGAATCCGATGACTTCGAATAGATTGTCTTGGTGGATGGGTCCAAGCGCAATGGCCCGTGCCAAAGCGCATAGACCCACTTGACGCTTGGCTGATGAAAATTCCGAAGATCGTACAGTGAGTCGGTGAATACCGACGAAGTCTGGTACCGATAACTAGCTCATCAAGCTCGTGATGGCCACGTTACCGCACGCGGACTCCGCACACTCGCCATGATGACATTGACATACGTTGAAGAACCCTCTCTCGAAGCCCGGGGTGAAAGGAGTGACATTGAACGCCTCTGTATGACGATCGGAGTATGCGAACAGGTCGCGAGAGCAAAAGGAAAGGAAACACGGATAGGTATACAAAACTTACACCCAGCTGAAACGCCGCCACATCAGTCCCTTGTCGTCATCGATTTCGAATAGTGGACGCACCTTCCTGACATAAATACCGAATAGTTAAAGAAAACCAGAAGGCGGAGACTAGCAGACCTGGCTCGTCTTGGCTTCATATGACGACGACCTCATATCGTCCGACTCGTGCGTGTGGCCGAGGGAAGGGGTTCCAGCAGCCTTGCGAGACTCTTCCTGGCACTGGATAACGAAGAAGATCCGCTCGAGACATGACCACGCGAGGAAGGTGAGAAGAAGGTACGCACGTAGACATGCACCGCAGTCATCTCAGAGTTCCTCGACGGCGACGGCACTGGGACGCTCCAATGGCTCGCTGCGCCTCTTGCGGCGAAGAAATCGGCGGAATAGACAGTGGACTTCGGCCGGATCTTCGCCCCCGCCGGGGCGCTACTGCTTCCCCCTCGGCGCCGGCGAATGATGTAGCAGGCACCAGCGGCGATGGCGAGGAGAACGGCGACAGTGCCTCCGACGGCGCCTCCGATGATCATGGAGGTGTTGTTCTTTGAAGCTGGCCGTGAGGACGCAGAGGTGTCTCCTGAGGCAGACGGGACGAGGCTCTTGGAGGTTGTCGATGAAGAAATGGCTGGGGAAGAAGTGGAGGCTCCTGAGGGGGTCGAAGGCTGAGACGAGGAAGTACGTTTCGTGGACGTCGAGCTCTTGGAGCCGCTCTGGGAAGAATCTGGGATGCCTCGGTCGGCAACAAGAGAAGAAAGAGAAGTCCGGGGGTGCTCACCGGTCGCCACGAGCCCTTTTACGGAACCAAGATCAACGCTAGTCTGTGCACCCGCCACACAGAATAGAAAAGCAATAAAAAACCAGGCAAGCACCGCGGAGTGCATGCCGCCGGGAACGCACCGCCGAGAAGAGGAAGAGAAGCAAAGAGGGTCAGTGCGAACGAGAAGGGGAAAGGGCGATGCGACGCACCAACGTCAACGAGATATATGTGGCCTAGGCACCGATCTCCGAACGGTGACCACATGTACGCTGTCCGCGGCGATGTCGGCGTCCTCCGAAGGGTGCCGGGCGAACGTTTGCTGTTGATGGAGGCATCCAGACACTGTTGGACGTCGTGATCAACACAGACGCTCCTGGGGATCACAGACCTAGGTCTCCCTAGGTGCGCTCGCTCTCTCGAGCGAGAAGTACACGGATTGCAGAGATGCGGGAGCGCGAATCGTGATGACGACTGATGACGGTGGGCGCAACTTCTGGCCACCACGGCATCGACGGGGGAGTTGGTCGATAGCCACCGGAACCGTGGCTGGCTTGTGACTGAACGAGCTTGATGGATCAGACACACTTGCGCGAGATCGCGGACGTACTTCATCTGATGATTTGTGGCCCCCAGATGAATTTGAGCATGCGCACTTCCGTCCGTGGCGTCAAGCGCCAAGGGGTTTGATGTCGCCTTGGCAAATTGCAGCAATCTGTAATAACGAACAACGTGGTCCAGCAACGGATACAAGTAATGGACTATGTACAGTAGATTACAGCCATGCACTGCTAAGGGCTTATCTCAGCACTGTAAGTGGGTGCAAGTCGAGTGGATAGTACTGACGGCATTGGGAGCTAATATGTGAATCGCGTTTCAAATGCTCGGATTTCGAGTGAAGGCCGGCGAAGGCATCACCGGAAGCAGTCTTGGAACTCCGATAAGAGCGGTCGGGGTCAACGAGCGACGTGGGATGGAGTCGACAAGAGGTGTGAAAGAGACGGGGGATATACAAAGGGGCGGAATTTGAGGAGGTGGAGAGGCCGCTCGTGAGCTACGAGCGATCTGCTCGACACGACAGAAGTCAGTCACCTTCACACGTATTAGCATAGTGATCGTACTTACTGAAGCATATGTAGAGGCCCGATTCGACGTGGATTCGGTGTACCGTTTTGTTCTAAGACCGCTTTCCATGTTGGATGGAATACTTGGCGAGGGTACGACAACACGTGGACGTTTGTGGTGCCGAAAAAAGCACGTTATGATCAATGTTAGGAGAAAAGCGCCCCCGACACCAGCCACGACGCCAGCCACAACTGGAGCCGCATGGTTTTGCGATGACGACAGAGCTGTGTGGCGTCAGTGAGCGCAGATTCCTGACAGGGCTAAGACCCACATCGCGCAAGTATCATCCTCGGCACATACATGGACATGCTAGAGGTTGTATTGGACTGATGACGAAATGTCAACAAATGATGCATATTGCAATAACGAAGGCCAGACTTGCCATGGTGCCGCGAAGAAGTGCGCGGACAGACATCCCTGGTGATTGAGTGGCTCTAGAGCATGAATGATCCCGAAAATGGAGGGCCAACAGACCGTCAAGATATATAGCAACCCGCGGACTGCGAACTCACAGTAGAGACCCCGCTTCTCACACGCTAAAGAAGATGCGTCAACCTGACGGTGCAAGATCCTGACATCCGGTAGGTTGGGGGCCCGAGCTGTTCCGAGTTGACGAGCTGAGAACCAAATGCGCGTACAAGATGCCGGAGACATACCGGTGATAGCGAGGCACCCGGGTAATGGTACCGGGAAAAACGTCTTCTCCCGATGAAGGCCTGATGATGATGTCGTTGGACGTGTCGTCGACACTGGCCACTTGGCACTTGCCCGTAGTCTCACAGGCCGCTCTCTTGAACGGTTTTCACATAAGAAACCGTCATCACTTGAAGCAGCATAGTCAACATACCTCACGAGGAACCAGGCATTGACGAGATGAGATCGCCTCGCCACACTATATATTGGCCTGCGGTGAGTAAGCTTGTGCACAAGACCGTCTTGACCCCATCACAATTGCCGAGGATGTCTTCGGCGAACGGATCGTGTTGTTGAGTGCGCTGGACATGCGGCGTGAGACCGTTTCGTCGCGGCGATGCTGGATACACGCGCTTCTAACTCGACAAACAATGCAGCAGGACGGACAAGACACACCATAAGGACGGCTGATCCCCAGCGTGACCGCTCCCATTCAATGTCTCATCCACGATCTCGTGCCCTTGTCGTGCTCACAACAGTAGTTCTTTGCAGCACGAAAGGCGACCCGCTCCCGTGAACGCACGCTGCAGCTTGTCTGAGCCCTACGGCTTGCCTCGCCACTCTTAGCAGACGTCTTTGATCCTACCATTCGCGAGTGTCGAATGTTTCAGCGTGGGAGAGGATCATTGAGGAAGTTGCACTGGCCGAAGGGACGTGAGGATGGTCACCTGGCGTCAACGACCACTGTGGCTGCCTCACAAACCGGTCTTCTTACCCGACACCCGCCCTGAGAGCGAGCAACGCGATGCCATCCCGCGAGTCACGGTGAAAAGCGTAGAGACCGGCGCGGCAGTGTGGGAGAGAGCTTGTTGAGAGGAAAAGAAAGACGTGACTCTGAGGTTGTGCCAGCTGAAGACAAGCTGATCAAGAGCCTGCGAGTCCAATTGGTCCGGAGTTCGGTACATCCCGGGCCGGGCTCGACAACATCACTCCCTAGTAAAGTACTCTGCAAACCTAGTACGCCTAGAATGAGATTGAGGGCCACATGCACTGACCAAGAAGGACATATCATGTACCCTGACTCGAGAGTGAGTGGGCACGCCAACATAAATCATCCGTGCTTCATTGCAATTCCGGATACGGAGGACAAACCATGATGTGCTGGGGGTCCGCCGATTCCGTTCTGTGGAAATTGGTGCGTTGCAAACACCCGTAGTATCTCATCACAAAGACAGCACATGGGGAAAATGCCTATTGAATCTCCGGCTTATGACTATATCCATGCTGTGCCCGTAGAGGTTTAAGAGAACTACTCGGGGAAAACGGCACATCACTAGGCGAGGAGAACGATAGCGAGTGCACCACCTCGTCGGAGTATTCGTCCACCCCGCCATGCACATTTTCACTGAGGGACCGATCAAATGCTGGATCAGCCCCTTTGGGGTCCTGTTCGTACTTCGAGGTGGGGGTGTGAGTCTGTGATACGGCGGCCACATAACGGCGAACACAAACCAGCCATGTACTCACGTAAGCGGTCGGGAGTTGTTCGCGGCGCTCCTTCTGCCGTGCGGCGCGATGTCGGCGGAGAATATAGATAACGAGGCAAGCCAGGCCGAGAAATGCGATACAACCCACGGCGATCCCCACAATTGTGCTCGTGCGCAACTTTGTGCTTGTAGTGGTCGACGACAACGCTCCGCCAGAGGGTGTAGGGGTGTGAGACGTGGTTGAAGTCGTGCTTGTAGAAGTACCAGATAGGGTGGAAGGTGTGGCGCCGGAGGTGGTAATATTCTGTGCCGAAACGCCGAAGTCAGGGAAGCCTGACAGTAGGCGCGTCAGCGATGCAGCAATGGAAGCCTTCGCGCGGCGGAAGTCGTACCGTCAGCAGTAAGAGCTTCACCAGCGGCAACATCCCATTCTTTACTAGACTAGGGCTTTGTTAGTGCACACAGCTCGCAAAACCACCAACGAGGGACTCACGGCGACAGGTAAATATGCCCATGCGGGCAAAGCGGTCCCAATTGGGATATCGAAGGGGTAGCTGAGGTAGGCGTTAGTAAGCAGATGGAGGCCTACTCAGCATGTTTCGTACGTGAAATTTAGGCTCGCGCAGTTCCTAGTGTAATCTTGCCACCTACAATAATCCTGCGTGAGAGAAGGGACGAGGGCCAGCGAAACAACGAGCTTACGTCGCAGCCGATAAACCCTGGCACACTGCGCAGGCAGATAAAGTCGAGAATACTACCGAGTTACAATTGCAAGTCGTGGTGGTGCGTGCAGAAGCCGGTCCTAGGAGCAAGCTGTCGTCGTTCCCAGGGATAAAGCTATCTGCCCTTCTGTCACGCAAGCTCGTGGATGTGAGGTAGATTTGAGACGCACCTGCCGAACCCGTGCACGGTACTTGCAGCCACGAGGAAAGTACACATGGATTCTGGCCCAACGAGTTGTCCATCTATGTCCAAGCTCAATCAATTCGCACGATACATTTGGAAACGAATGTTGCTCACCCATTGGAACTCAGGTTTGCATGTGGCATTTGAACCTTGCGTAGCGACCTGGACGGTCTGCGCCAGTGCTATGAGGACAAAGAGGGAGGCCATGGATGTCCCCAAATCATGCCCAATCCCCTATTTATGCTTGCATCGGCCCCTGGATACCGGAGTCGACTCTGTGAGCAGCGGAAACTAGGCATCTGACAGGGCTTCCGTGAGCTTTCATCATAATTTCTCTCCCCAAATATCGCCGGATCTGTCACCTCATCAGAGAAGGATGATATGAACGCACTCAGCATGGATGGAGACCCTCAAAGGTCAGATCGGGCCAAACAGCGTTGACGTCGGGCGGTGTCAAACACCGTCAAACTATCATGCCGACGGCTGAGCGGGCGGCAGAGCAACGATGAATCGTCAAAATTACTCACTGTGCACCACTATTCGCATGACCACAGCCGGACCATGCCCACGCTCGACAGCCCGTCGAACCCGTGCAACACAGCACCAATCGCAAGAAAAGGCGCGTATGTGAACCCAATCACTGTCACCATCTTGTACCGCATCTCCTTGTTGAGGATGATGATACACGCAGTATTGGTGTCCTGCCGGTGTTGAGAAAGATATACGACAGCGAAGTGTAATATTGGAGCACGCGGAAGTACTTACGGACGAGATGATCACTGCTTGACGGCGTTCGGCCCGCTGGATTCCGCACGAATCATCTGGCACTGGCCACACGTCGGACGTCGGCGTAGCGCGCTGTGAGTTTTTGAAGAGCCACGCGGAGCAAGTGAAGGTCAAGATAATGCCAATGCAAGGATATTGAAGAGATGGATGAGCTGCTCGACGACGCTGGGCAGCTTTACCAACGTCGTCGTCGTCGTGGAGTACACGTGAGTCGGTCGCCAAGCCGGAGTCGGGTCTTCCCAGACGGAGCGCCGGGCAGTTACGCGCCCACCTTTTTGGTCTCCGGGCAACTCCACCGTCAGTGCTCATGGGTTACTGACTTCTAGCACTACACCGGCGGTCTGGCCGCTGGGCCCGCCTCAGCGCGCATGAGCGATATCCCCCACATATCACGGAGCTCGACAGTCCGTCTTCGGGCGGCCTGCACGGCACATTAATTTCATGCCTGAAGGGGCCTGACCGTCTTCGCTTCGCGCGGTGATAAGTGGTTGGTCGTGATGATCCACATTTTGTTGAAAGGACGGGCATTCACAAAGGCAGAATAATGAAATCAAGATGTCGGTGACCACTGACGGTTCTACTACTCGAAAAATTTAATGAATCTCGGGCTTCAGGTTGTAGCCGTATCTCCCCACGGTAGGACCCAAAGAGCTTTCGGGATAAGTATCTGCACCAATGAGTGTAGAGCTGGGGGCTCTAAACGAAGGGAAAGCGCCGATATCTCCTCCCACATGGCCTGACGATGACATTTGAGGGGTAGAAGGGGTCGAAGGAACCGTCCGGTTGGGTGACAGCATGTCCTATTGGTGATGGAACGAACGAGATTGTGAGTGTGGAGCTCGACACGACAGCAGCAGCAAATGATCACGCACCTTAGGGAAGTTCTCGTTCACGGAAACAGGCGTGTAAGCAGGGAATCCAACATGTGGGGTTAGAATCGGTCGATGTGCTTCGTCTCGCCGTGAACGACGACGACAACGTAAGATGATGAATGCGACAGTGCCAAACATGAGAAGTGCTGCGATCCCCCCGCCCACGCCCCCCGCGATTGCAGTTGTTCTTGACATACCTCCGGTCGCAGGGGACGCAGACGGCCGTGCCACAGAAGAAGTTCCAGGAGACGTCGTAACGGTGCCCACAGATGTCGAGCTCGAGCTAATTGCCGAAGTGATCGAAGCTGGCATCTTGCTAGCTGCATCGTTTGTCAGGTCTGATTTATTGTGTACCACGAACATCCATCGACGTACTGGCAGTCGCCGCGATCTTCATGGCGCTAGCCACGTCAAAGGTGCCCAATGCCTGGATGCAGATGAGAATGAGAGCAATGGCGGGAATGAAGTAGCTGGGACTGTACCGTGATATTCATATACGCCCAGTCCGGTACAACGGTACCGTTGGGTATGCGCTCAGGGAAAATTGAACTACATGAGAAATTTCATTGGCCTCAGAATCATGCTACATTTCAGCCACGCACCTGGCAAAGTCGCACTCGAAATTGTATTCAAACCATCTTCGAATGCAAGTAAATGTGTCTTTGATAGAACTAGTAAATGGTGAGGAAATTACTCACGAGTAATTTTGTAAACCCTGACAAAGCGCGCAGGCTTGAAGAGCAGAGTAGAGGACGGTGTTGCAATCACACGGCGTGGACTCCGTCGGGTCGCTTGGTCCCCAAAACGGCCAAGCTTCGGAGACGTCGCCGTAGATGAAGCTCTCTGTGCGGTGTCTGAGCGACCGGGTCTCATTGAATAAACGGGATGGGCATACCAGAGGATCCCCAGCAGGGTGTTTCGAGCCAAGAAGACACTAAGCACGGGCTCTGGCCCAGAGCATTATTCGCCTGCAGTATGATGAATCAAATGGATACACCAGAAGATGAGGGAAATAGGGTGTACCCATCTCCATGATTCGGAGCAAATGGCGTCAGTACCTTGTGCGGTGGCAATCGACGGGTAGTAAACAATTAGCTCGAGGAGCGAGGGGAGCAGGAGCGGGAGCATAGTCGTGTAGCGGGAGCGGCGGAACCGCCGTGCAGAGGTTTTAACATTCACCTGTGCCTGCGGTCTGTCCCCATATTCTTCTCTCATCTGGCTTCTTGAGTGATCGCAGACGACTCGGGATCTAATCGCGGACGAAGTGTCCATGGGCAGTGCAAGATGCCGTTTGATTTGTTGCACTTAAGCCCTCTTACATAGCACTGAAGGCCGATGACAGACGAAGACTCAAGAGGCAACACTTACCCTGGAGACTTGGGCAGCGCAGTCATCCGAGATTGACTGTCGTCCTTGGTAACATCCGTCTTCCATCCGAACGTACATAGATCTAGCACTCGCAGCCATGCCTGATTAGCTCAAGACGGCCGCAGAGTCTAGGCCCATGCACGAACGGAAGGTAAGAAAGTCTCAACATCCATAAAAAACCGACTGCTTCGTGAACGCGTGAACGATGTGCGCACCAAGTGAGGAGATACCAATCCCAAAGTTTATCGAACAACCGAGCAAGTAACAAGTATACCGCCATACGAAATGCAACAGTAGTTCACTGACCTGCACATAAATCGTTTCCTTCCCTTGATCTGCGCCTTATGTAAATCCCTGCAGTCGACTTCCCGCCTGTCCGTCCACGGTTGCAGACGGGTATGGGTGAAGTGGTGAGGGAAAGTGTGCCAGTTATTGGTGGCTTGGCGGCGGAAAACGGAGCGTTTCACAGATTGAGGAGAGGCGGCAGAAAGAGGGAGAGCAAAGCGCTGATATGCAGCCGGTCGAAACGCGTACATCGTGGTCAGTGGTTAACCGGTCAAGGTGTACATAGTGCGGTACTCAAGGCCAGGCGGCTATCAGCGCCAGTGACTCGGCACTTCATGGGTGCATTGGTTGGTTTCCAGTTGTCTTCAAACCTCTGCCACAAAGGACTTGTCGACCAAGTCCCTTGCTTTTGAACAGGGGTACATGTTCTTATGTAGTAAGGCGAATAGAATATGGCTGTCAAAGTAGTGAAGAGGACACCCTTCCTAATTGTCGATTTCCAAGGCCCGTATGATGGGACCCCATTCATCTACGACGTTCAGCATCTTCTTCGCCTTTTCCCTCACAGCATCATCTCCTGATTTTCCAAGTGGAAGGTATAACGGCCATTCTTTTCCGGCCGCTTTGCCCTCTCCTCTCACGACGTCGACGACTAACTCCATCGCTTTCGCCGGATCCCCGGACAACCGTCCTCGCAGCGCGTCGAGTCCCGCCTTTGTGTTCACGGCCAACTCATTGTAGCCGGCCATAGGATTCGGGCGATCCAGACCGGCTTTGAAGCTGTTCGTCAGGAACAAACCTGGCTCCAAAATGAGCGTACGGATGTTGAACTGCGCAAGCTCCGTGTTCATGGCCTCCGCGAGAACTGGGGTGAAGGTCTGTCACCAGTTGCGAGCATGACCATGCATATCTCCACTCACCCCGTAATGCCGCTTTCGAGGAAGCGTAGTACCCTGTTAGGACGTTAAGATTCTTCTTTTCTTGGGTATCGTCGGCCGACCGCTCACCTAAACCCTACGGAACCCGGTTAGCGCCAGATTATCACCAATAACCAGCTCTCAGACTCACCGGAGCTTCAGGCTTCCAACTAGACCGCGAGCCAGTGTAGATGATCGTCCCACTCCCCCTCTCGCGCAGATACGGCAGTGCGGCGTTGGTCACGTCCAGCTGCCCGAACACGTTCGTCTCGAACTGCCGGCGCATCGCCTCGGACCTGCTCACGACCTGCTTCAGCACCCGCTCCTCCACAACGATTTCCGCTGCCCCAGGAAGGCGCACCCGTCTTCCTCACAGAAGCCCATGACGCAATTTCCGGCGTTGTTCACGACGACGTCGATGCGCCCGAACGCCGCCGCCGCGTCGGCCAGCTTCGCGCGCAGGCTCGCCGCGCCCTCGGTCACGTCGAGCTGCATCAGGTGCAGGCGCGGGGACGCGGGGAAGCCCTGCGCCTCGAGCTTCGGGAGGGATCGTGCGGTGCGATCACGCTGTCCCCACGGGCGAGCGCGGCACGGACGAGGGCGTGGCCGAAGCCCGAGGACGTGCCTGCGAGAAGGGTGAAGGGTGAGTAGAGAGGTTTGAGCTTCATGGAGGAGGAACGGAGGGGAAGGCCCACGGAGATGGAGGTAGGGAAGAGCAGCGAGGGCCGGGAGGTCGGAAGGTCGGGAGAACGCACCGGTGATGAACCAGACGAGTTCACCGGCGGAATAGGTTCCGCTCATATTGTAGAAGTACGGCGAGAAGGTCGAAGAAGGGAGCAGAGGTGGCCCTCCGAGTTTAAGTACCAACTGCGATGGAATTAGTACCACTTCCGGTGAGTTCCCGGACCGTGCTGACCCTGGTTTGTGCATGTCCAGTATTTTCAATCTACGTCACATGTGATGAGTGCTTCAGTTGTTCTCTTGGCAAGCCTATTCTCACCCGGACCACATGACGAAGAGCGGTTAAATCGAGATGGTACGTCGATGAAGTCAATGAAAATCGGACTGTCGAGCTATTACATACGTCGAAATCCCAACCAATTCATGACTGCAACCCATCGGTCAGGAGGCTGAGGTTGAGAGACCCCTCTTCATAGCCAACATAAGCAGAAACCTGCCATCCTGCTTCCTTCAGCGTTCAAAGGCGTTTCGCAAGGTGCGACAGTCGGCCTTTTCCCGCAATGTGTAGATGGATAGAATTCATGCATCGGAAAATGATCGACCTCAGTGTAAAGCCGCATGGACCGTAGAAGAGATACGCATACAACAACAAGAACGTACATAGAACAAGCGAACGTCCACGCGACGACTAATCGTAGTCATACCCTGCAAAGACGGCGGGTTAGGGCCAATGAATACGAGAGAATGAGAGTGTGACTCGCCTCCACCACCTTCTTCTGCTCCACCGCCACCAAGATCATCATTGTCGTCGGCTTCTCCGTTATCGAAGTAGTTCTCCGCATAGTCGTTGTCGTACTCCTCGTCAACGTCGTAGTCCTCGTCGTCTGCGAGCTGAGAACCAGCAGCTGAACGCTCGTCCCCGGATTTGTCCTGTATCAAATTCGGCGTCGTGCGTGTTAGAACCCCACATATTTGCTCACCTCGTCATTGTCGTCGACCATATCATCCAGGTTGACGCGTTTGGCCGACCCGGCCTTCTTCTTGGCTAAAACAACGCAATGTATGAGAGGAAGAAAACGGGGGGTACCGGGAGCGCATACATGTCCTCCGTTTCTTTGGATTGAAGTAACCCTCGAATACTTCTTGAGGGAAGAACGGTTGATGCATATCAGACCGTTTGAGGGTCGGCTGAGACGTCGGCGATGGTCGGTATTTATCCGAATATCGAGGTAGCTCTACACTTCATGTCAGTCAGTTTGTGAAATAGCACCCGCAGCGAACGCGCTCACCTGTAGATTTTGTCCGCTCTACGATATAATAGGGGGAGTTACGGAGACGCGTTGCGAATCCGGTCTGCAGCTCCGCGACGCGTTTTTCTTCATCATTATACTCCGTCAAGAGAGGTAGTGGTTCTAAGGGCTGTGTCACGGCTCGACGCGGGGATGTGGGAAGGACTACGGGACGACATACGGGATACAACTCGCTCTCCTCCCGGGACAGGGATTGAATGTCCGCAAGGGTGAGCGCAGCAAGGGGCGTGGTGTTGGCCCCGAATCCACCACGACCGCCACCGAATCCTCCACGCCCACCGCCGCGCCCACCGCCTCGCCCGCCTCTTGACATAGTATGCGTGCGAGAAAAGGGTAGAGGAGCAGCTAGAAGCGCGGAGAGGATAAAAGACTGTGCGAGGCTGGGTGCGCCAAATTGCAGGGCCATCGGACAATTGAAATTCCGATTCGAGCTCCACCATAGGCGCGTAGGAGAATTTGAGCGCCGCAACTGTATGCCTTGTGGCGGCCCCGCCTCGCCTCTTTCTCTTGCCTCCTGCCAACACGTCCCCCGCTCCCTCCCTGCCACGTCCGTTGCGTCGCAAGCCCTTTCCATCCCCAAAACCGATCCTTCTGACCTTCCACGACCCGAATATCTGCCATGGACAAGTCTCTCGACGACGTACGCCTTGTTATCGCCGCGCGTCACGACAACGCGACTGACAAAGGACGCCCCTAGATCATCGCCGCCCGCCCCCGTGGCATTCGTCGTGGTTCCGCTCGTAGGAACTCTGGCAAGGCTGAGGTTTTGGGGAAGCCGGTCTCTGCGCCCGCGACGCGTGCTCGCGCCAACCCGGCCTCCAACGGGACGAAGACCGTCACTGCTTCCACCACGCCACAGCAGTCCGCGGACAAGATCATTGTCTCCAACTTGCCTCCTGATGTGAACGAAATGCAGGTCAAGGTACGTGACTCGCAGTCTATGTCTTTCTTGGCACCATCTCACATCGGCTTCAGGACCTCTTCCATACCACCGTTGGTCCTCTCAAGGAAGTTACCCTTCACTTCGACGCCCAAGGGCGCTCTAAGGGTGTTGCGGCTGTTCACTTCCAACGACGGGGTGACGGCAACAAGGCGTTCCAGCAGTACAACAACCGGTTGATTGACGGAAGTTAGTATCGGCTCCTTGCACTTCCCCCCAGCCCCTTGCAACCCCTCTTCCACGCTACGTGAAGTCCTATCTGCACTCCGGTTCTCCTCGCTTCGTAGCCGATGGAGAAGGTCACGTCTCCGTTCGTTGAGAAGCTAGGGAGAGCAGGGTCGACTGTCGTCGGTGAACACTTGCCTGTCCAGTGCGGACGAAGATCACTTCCGACGATGAGGCGCGGTGTGGCAATTACAGAACGAGCGTCGGATTCCTCCGTCTCAATTTTTCTTGTGCCTCTCGCGAACAAGACAACTGATCAGACAAACGCTTCTCCCTTCTTCCTTGCTGGTCTTCGCCGACTCCTCGACGATGTCTTACGCAATACAGAGCGCCCGATGAAGATCGAAATCGTCGTCGACCCCTCAAAGCCTGCCCCCGCGACGCTGGCGTCTCGTGTGGCTCCAGCCCCTGCCGCCGCCACCGAGTCGGCACCCAGGTTTGCTCTCTGTCCAATACTCTATGCTTCCTTTGCCAACCCCTTCGTCAGAACTGGTGGCCGCCCTCGCCGTGGCAGGGGTGGTGGTCGTGGCGGCCGCAAGGTCAACGAACGCCCTTCGAAGACGGTCGCTGACCTCGATGCCGAGATGGAGGTGAGGCTCTCGTTTCTTTGGATGCAGCCTCAGTGCTCAACGCCTTGTCATAGGACTACACGTCCACCAACGCTCCCGCGGCTGCTGCTTGAGGTTTTTCCCTGTAGCTTGCTTGTTGTTACGTTCTCGGAAAACTCGCCCCTCGTATTCCCCGGACTCGATGGTCCTCGCATGCATCTCCCCCTCACCCGCCCCATGTATTGTATCCTATTATAGCTCTCATACATACGTCTGCTTGTTGATCGGCGAGGCCTGGTTGTTTCGGTAATTGTGCGCTCTTTTGCTCGGTAGACGATCGAATATGATTGGTCTTACTGGGAACAAACGGCGACTGTGATGCGCTCTTCCGTCAATTGGAAACTTAATGCAAACGTACAAGCTACATGAAAGAGAAATGCAATGTAGCAGTACTAGTCCTTCGCATCGAAATCCAAGTCTCGAATAATCGGTCCCCATTCCTCCAAGACATCCTGCATGATCTTGAGCTTGTCCTTCACGCCCTCCTCCCCTAACACGCCCAACGGCAGGTGGAGCGGGAACTTCTTGCCCTTCGCCTTGCCCTCGCCCTTGACGACGTCTACGAGGAGCTCCATCGCTTTGCGGGGGTCGCCCTTGAAATTGATCCTGTTGGCTGCTTCCTGGACGGCGTCAGCTAAAGGGTCGTAGTCCGCGATGGGGCCTGCAGGTCCACGAGGGAGGTCGGGGATCTTCCCCGGTATGACCCCAGTCTTGAAGGCCCCGGGCTCGAGGATGAGGCTGCGGATGCCGAACTGGGCGATTTCGGCGTTCATGGATTCGGCGAGGACTGTGCGGGGAGGGAGGAGTGTTCATAACCAAGACGAATGCATAGGGAAGGGGAGGAGGGTGGAAAGCGTACCTCGGACAGCAGCTTTGGAGGCGCAGTAGTTGCCTGGGGGAGGGAGGACGCGAGCGTCAGGACCGGCCGCATACACACGGCTACGACCTCGCAGCAAGATCGCTCACCTGCGGACTACGTCGGCGGCGCGCAACAAGACCCCGGCGAGCCAACGGCAGAGCGTCAGCTTCCAACGTCCGTCAATGCTCAGCGAGGCGGAGGTGCACGCACCGGTGTCTCCCGCCAGCTGGACCTGCTCCCCAGGTAGACGATCGTCCCGCTCCGGCGCGCGCGAAGGTGCGGCAGCGCCGCGTTCGTGACGTCGAGCAGCCCGAACACGTTCACGGCGAACTGCTCGCGCGTCGCGTCCGACCCGCGCTCCTCGAAGAAGCCGCGCACGCCCATCCCCGCGTTGTTCACGACGACGTCGAGCCGGCCGAAGCGCTCCGCCGCCGCGGTGAGCTTCCGCTGGAGGGAGGGGAAGCCCTCGGTGACGTCGACCTGCATCAGGTGCAGTTTGGGGGAAGGGGGCAGGGAGGAGAGTTTGGCGGGGTCGCGCGCGGTGGCGATTACGCAGTCGCCGCGCGCGAGGGCGGCGAGGACGAGTTCGTGGCCGAAGCCGGAGGAGCAGCCTACGGAGGAGGTCAGGGAAAGTGAGGTGGACGAGTCAGGGCAGGACGACGCACCGGTAATAAACCAGACGAGCTCGTCTCTTATCTCGACCATGTTGCTTGGGTTCACCGTTAAGTGCAGGACGATGAAGATGGGTGTCGAGGGAAGAGATGGTGTGTGCCGACGACGCAGTCAGCGACGTGACCTGCCGGAGGGTCTCCCCAAAAGTTCCATGAGGCACATCGTTGAGCGCAGTAGAAGCTTGATGGATGTGCTGCTCGCCGCTCGGCCTCGTGGGCGAGCATGTTGATCATCGAGGAGATGTCGAGGGCAGGTCTTTGGCGGGCCGAGTTGGACTTGCCCGCCGAACGGATTTGCCGCATTGCCATTGGCCAAGCACACACCTTGTCTCCTTCCCCCATCCCTCCGATACCCCGCCCCGCAGTTCTTGACGAATTGCGACCATACCCATAGCATACACCCTCCAGCATACACCTTCCTGTCTTTGTACTAGTCGCCATGCGCCTCACGACACTTCTTGCCCTCCTCGCGGTGCCGGTCACTGTCTTGGCCTGCGAAGGCGATTGCATCGTCGGCGTCACCAATGCATGGCTCAGAAACTACACACATCCCATCCGTATCGTCTTCAGCGACATTGTAAGCAATCCTGTCTCTCGTGTGCACATCGAACGCTCAAGCGATATCGAATCGTCTGTCCCACAGGCTAACCAGATCTCCGACCTAATCCCCAACCATCCCCTGCCTACCACCACATTCACCTACCTCTCCCCCATCCTTGACGCATACAACAACCAGGCGTACCACGGCATGGAGACCGCCATCTTCCCCCACTACTTCCACGGCAAATGCCTCGACGCCTCCGGCCGCGAACCTAACGGTTGCCCAAACCCAAACTGCCCCATCGTCTGCGGGACGCCAGGGTCGATGGTGCACTTCTTCCCCAAGCTGCGCTACATCGCCTTCAACGAGACGTATCACCTCCTCCAGGCGCTCTCCACTCCCGGCACAGAGACGTACGACGCCGTCGAGCGTGCCGTGCTCGACGCCGCGGACAAGGATCCCAAGCGGGCGGCGCGCCGTGGCCTTCCGCCCCCTGCTTCCTGGGCGCGATCCCTGGCGAGTGCCAATCCTGCTCCTGGATCTGTCTATCCATTTGGCTCGGGTGCGCTCCGTGGGCGGGAGATCTCCCCCAGCAGACTCTTTGCTCGCTATATGCTTCCCCGGCGCGCGGATGGCTTTAACTTCGCCCCTCAACCTCCCCCAAGCAAACGCACCACTGGCATCACGTTCGGGAACGAGAACACCAAGGCGGCACCTGCATCTCCTCTTGGCGCTCCTAGCTCAAGCTCTGGTCCTCGCGCTGCTTCTGCTTCTACCTCCGGTCTTCCCTCTGTCTCCGGCCTTCCCTCTGCCTCCGGTCTTCCTTCTGCCTCTGGCCACGATTTGGATTCGGAATCTGAGTCTCTCGCGCCACCACCCCCTAGCACCTCGGACTCGCAGCTGCAGGTCATCGCACCCGTGCCGAACTTATTGTCGGGCGCGAGCTCCGGCAGCCCGCTCCGGCTGCGCGACGTCTCGCTGCACAAGCGGCGCCCCGACATCAAGGCCGGCCTCCGAAACATCATGCAGCAGGTCCACGCGCTGCTCGAGGAGACGTGTGGGGGCAGCGGCGTCGAGGCGACGAATGGGCTCCCGCGGTGCAGCTGGGAGAAGGAGATGAAGGAGTACATCCTCACCTTCCCGTGAGCCATCCGCCGGGGTTCGGGAGCACTGGGAGCAGGCGCCCATGCCATGACTCAGTCTCTCGCAGTTGCCGCATCCCTTTTCTCCCATGGGTCCATCAGGCCGACGCGGGCGTCGGTCGGGCGATCTGATGCGGGCAGATTGGCAATGGCGAGGGGGTTCTAGCGAGGCCGTACGGTTCGCTTTACACCATGGTTGTACTGTATTTATGCGCCGTACCACAATCTATGTAGTCTATTCTGTTTCGGACTGCGGGATCCGGACGTTCGCTCGCCGTGGCTGGCTGATGACTCTGACCGTCATCGTCATCGCTCCGCGCGCACGTCGTGCCCACTCGGCGACTTCCAGCCAGGGTTTGGGTCCAACCTTGAGCAGCCCTAGTGTGTGGTACCACACTGCGTAGCCGACGTCGGCCCACAGTCCCCCGCGGGAGCGCTTTGCAGATCCGCGGATCATGCATCGAGTATTTACTAGCGAGCGTGACACCTTGCGCCGGCGACGTAAAAAAAGTGCGCACTAAACAACCAAAATATGCACTTGTCAGCCGTGGGCGCACCTCCCGCGGCAGCGTCAGGTCTGGCCAGCTATAGCTGGCCCTCGAGCGAGCTCGGCTCCTTAGCTTAGGCCTCAGGCCTCGGGCCTCGGGCCATGGGGACGAGCGCAATCCCCGCCGACCCGCGCGAGGCGCCATGACCACCATGATCAGGAACGACGTCCGCGATCCACACGCACCGACGTCGCACGCCCACGTTGAACGTTGAACCTGCGCGCGCACTGTCCTTCCGCTTCGGGCAACCTCTCTTCTCTCCCGGTGGATCCGTACGGCACCCCCGCGCCCGCGTGCGACGCGGGGCAGCGCACGGTGGCTTGCCTTGGAGACACGCGCCACGCCCCTCAAGCTCCCGGTGGCTGCCAGGATGGGGCGGGCAGGTGGGCCCCCGGCCAGCTTGGGGGGAATGAGCGGCGCGGCGTTTGAGAACGTTATCTCTAATCCGACAGCCCGTGCGGCGTGGGCGCTTGAGCCGCGGGGGAGAGAGGGAGATGAATGAGTACGTTCGCGGTTCGCCGGAACGCGCGTTGGACTATCCCGGTGTGTTCGGACTTTTGGTCGCGCGCGGGCCAGGCGGATGCAGAGCAGCGTAGAGTGCGTACGGGAGTGCGAGGAGTGCGGTACATACATTGTGTGCTTGCGGGCTGCGAACCAAACCAAGGAGAACGTATGAGAAGGGGCTCGAGAGAATATGCGGGAGTACTGGTGGGAGTCGGAAAGGCAACGGGAACGAGAACGAAGGGATAAGGTGCAGAGGCTGGGTATCTCCTGGGAGGCGATTGGCCCGGGTCATGCTGGGAGCGCAGCGATCGGCACGGGGCGGTCAGCGGGCGCGGGAGCGCAGGGTGGAGCAGCGAGAGAAGGAGCAGAAAGTGCGCGCGCGTGGCGGCGCGGGTGCCGTGGTCTGCAGGCGTGCGTGGGCCGCGGTGAACCGCATCGGCAGGCGCGTGCTCCGCGGCTCGTCTGAATCGTCCTGGCAGCGGTTCTACCACGCGTGTGCGAGCGGGGAGGCCGGAGCGACCGCGGGCGGCGCGGGTGCAGTCGCAAACGAGGCGGCGGCGGTCGAAGTCGAGGTCGAAGTCGGTTTCGCGGGCGGGGCGTAACGGGAGACTTTGAGTGGGAGTTCAGGTTTCACGCCGTGGACGCCGACGGTGGGAAAGCGGATGCCGGATATGTTCCAGACGATGGGCTTGTCCGAAAGCTCGAAGACGAAGTGCGACAGCAGTAGCGCGAGGATGACTTCTGTGGGGTGAGGGGGCTCCGTCAGCGTCACGTCTCATGAAGCAGATGCACGTCCGCTCCGACCGCCCGACCGCCCGCCCACAGACGCAGACATTGTGCCACATCGCCACGTCTCCGGGAACGAGGTGATATGGGCGCGTGAGCGTGTATCAGCCCACGTTGCGCGAGGAAGTGCGGCGTGCAATTAACGCGAAGGCGGACGGCGGAGAGAGAAGGCGTGCGGGGCACGGGCGCGGGGGAGGGAAGAAGGCGAAGAACCGCTCACTCATTTCAAGCTGGGAGAACTTGAAGCCGCTGCAAAGCCCGGGGCGGAGGTCAGCTCCAAGGCGGCGGGCGAATGGAAGCGCGGGGGCGGACGTACATGCATGCTCTTCCTCCTCCGATGAACGTCATTCTGCAGGGGGCGTCCACGAATCAGCGCAAAGTCCGCAGACGAGTCAGGGATGAGGGAACGCCCAGCGGACCGCGAGGCTGCGACGGGCTCGGGCCATTGGCTGGAAGATCGGTACGCGGCGCACGCTGGGGAGCCGGGGCTCGGGCTCTGCATGGGATTCGCGCGTGTGGACACCCCGGCAGCAGAGCTCCGAACCTCAAACCATCCCAGGAAAACCAAGGCCCGCGAGCGGTGTGCCGCGCTACCGGAAATGCGGGGATGCAGCGGAAGATAGAGAACTCAAGTACTCACAGGTTTGAGTAAATACCCGGGATATGCGCTTCGGAGAGAGCCTCAGGCAGTGGCGAGAGCCACCGCTCCGGCTTCCACTCCCACGCGTCTTCTCCCCACGTCCGCTTGTTCAGGTTGGAACCGAGTATGCCGACGTGTACGACGGTGCCCTTGGGGACTGGGATCTCGGTCATTATCGACCCGTCGAGACCGCGTATAGGCTCTGCGAGTGGGAGGATCATGTCTCGCTGAGCTCTGGAGGCGGGGGCGGAGGTAGCGGCGGAGGAGCAGGATGGGGGTTAGGTAGGCAGCGGAGTGTCAGTGGATTCGAAGGTGTGGCAGCAAAGCTATGATAGGTGGGCACGCACTCTCGGAAAATGAACGTCGCGGGCGGATGCCTGGGGAGCGCGAGACGGACGTCCATTAGTGTGGCCCAAGAAGAACTGTGCGATACGCACATTCGGAGAGTTTCGCGGCATACTGCGTCAAGCAGAGGGAGTGAAGAGATTTCATCGTACGAGAGGTCCTTATCACCGAAGGTCGCTTCGAGAATTTCGTGACGTAGTCGGTCCTGGACTTCCGGTCGGTGTGCAAGAATATGCAGAATCTGCGAGAGCATGTTCGAGGTCGTGTCCATGGCCGCGAAGGACATCGTGCTGCAGGAGACAAAGCAACCTCAGAGTCAATCAGCCCACCAAGGACACTGCAATTCGCGCGAATGCACGTACACCATCTGCCCAATAAGCTCTTCGTCGGACAACCTGTCCTCTGCCGATGCCAGCGTGTTTTCCTTCACTGCAAGTGGTGCGAGGCGGTCAGCCTAAGGCGAAGTGTGACGTATACCCAGGTAGCGCCTACGCACGTAGTATGCTCATCAGATCTCTGCCTTCGCCAACCTGCAGAAGTAGCGCCTGGTCCCCCTTGTCGAGTTGCGCTTTCTTCTCCTGGTAGATTTCCTCGGCACGGCGGTGCATGGTATCAACCACGTTCTTGAGCCTGTGCAAGCGCTTGAAGGGGATCCACTCCATCAGCCTTCTGCGGAAGGCGGGCGTGCCGAGGTGCGAGACGTAGGGCATCGCCCATCGGAATACAGAGAGTGCGTAGAGCGCTGGGCTACATGAAGCATCGAGATCAGCAATGTGAGGGGCGAGGCGTCGGTGGAGAGGGCGGGGGTAGATGGGCGAGGGGGTGAATGGAGAGGTGACTGACACATATGCCTTGATGGCCACCGCAAACACATCTGGAGTGACGTCTTCCTCAAGAGGGTCAAACGAGTACCCCAGCCCAGCTTTCCCGATGAGCTCAAGTGCGGTTCGTCCCATCCAGTTCAGCATGTCTATCTCCGCGGGCGCATGCTCCACGCGCTTGTCGATGGCAGCCCGAAGCTGCAGCGCGTACAGGTACGTAACGGCGTAGGCGCGGTAGGCACGGAAGGTAGGCAACGGAAACGAGGTAGAGTGAGCGTCCATGACAGGGAGCGCGACACGAGGCCGCAGGGGGCCGGAGAACGGACCTTGTGGCCGACGTCGTAAAACATGGGAATCATGTGGCGCATGTGGTTTATGGAAAATATCGGGTTCAGCAGACGGCGCTGCTTTCGATGGTGATCGCCTGTGCACAAGTCATGTGGTCAAGATATAAGTTTGACATATCACTACTAAGCACGGTATCGAGAGCACTGACCAAGCGTGGATAAGAGGCCTGGACCGAGGGTCAGAAGATTGCTCCTGCAGTCGTTGCATGAGTTCACAATGACGAGCAGAGACAGAAGCGCGTACTTGATAAACCAGTCAGGTTGTTCGTACGAGTATTGATCTTTAACCGTGATGCTATGCATCGCCCTGGGATCGAATACGTAGAGGATCTTACGCTAGTGGCACCCATTGAACAAAGATGTGGCGAACAAGGCGGTGATTGAGAACTCACTCCGTATGCGCCTTGTAGCCGCACAACACTGCCGTAGTTCTGAATGAGGTCTTGGTAGAAAGGCATCCCCTGCTTGTCGAACATTTGAGGAAGGTTCCCTACAATGAGTCGGATTGAAGCGAAAGAGATGACCCGCAAGCAATAGTCAATCAGCGGTCGTGGGAATATATTTAGACCACCTACCCTGTAGCCATGATGATGACGACGGCCCCGGGAGGTTATCAAGAGGATGCTTGACAAACATGCCCCTGAAAGACCTCCACAACGTCCATGTTATCGCGCATATCACCGAGCTTTGAAGGAATACACCGAGTGCTTCTGGCATGACTTGGGCTACTAGGGATGGACGAGGTGGCGGAGGATGGGTGGCGACAGAGTGAGGGCAGGAGGAGGCTTCTCCCGAAGTATATATCAGGACCCGACGCCGGAGATGAGCGCACCGGCAAAAACTGGCTAAGCACGTTTGGGACAAGGCCCGCTCGGGGGGGAGAGCGCAGAGTGGTATATGGGGTGGTCGGGCGACGGCGGGCCACGACACAACCAGGGGACCCGTGCGAGCGGGCCCTTGCGTGTTGCGCCGGGTTCGAGTTGCCAAAACTTTCCTGGGCGAAGCACGCGGAGTGAGATGCGAGCCGGGAGCAGATCTGGACGAATGTGCGGGCGCGAAGGTGCGAAGGCGGAGACACTGAGTTCGGCAGATGGATGGTGAAAGGCGTTAGGACCGAGCGGCCGTGGGGCCGTGGGGCCCCGAGGATCGGGGACCTGCCGTCAGGGCTGATTGGAGCTTGTGTGCATTGGAAGGCACGATGGGCGTTGAAGCGACCATCACGGTCGCGCTTGCCGCGCTGGGCGTGCTTCCTTGGTGATACGATGCTCCCAGCGTACGGGAACGTGAGCAGTCCAGGCTGCAGCGTGGCGACAGGTGTGCCACTCCATCGACGGGACTGGGCCAGAAATGCAGGATCGGACTGCCGCCGCCCTGTCTCCTGGAACGGCGGAGGATCAGAACACCGCCATGCAGTAAGCACCCCGTGGACGACGCGTAACAGCCCCGAGGGGTTGCGGTCTTCGCCGCGGACCTGACGCTCCTCCGTGGAAATCGTGAATGATGCGCCGAGCGCGTGTTTGGGCCCGAGACCTTCAAAAAGGGAACCTCTCTGTTGGACTACGGAGAACATTAGCTTTCGCCTGGACCACTATAAGGCGGGCAGGCATACAACTGCTGCCTGGGGTGCATCGAGGTGTGGTTGGCAAACTCGGCCTCAACATGGGCGCTTGAGAGTCGAAACTGTGCCGAAGGCAATTGTGCCTAGAAGATTTACATATTTGTGTGAGGTACTCTGCCGTGCATGTTGCCGTACTGTATATAAGTCGATGCTGTAAAACATACGTGGGAAAGACGTACGGATGTGAAGTCACTAGTAGATGCGCAAATATCATGTCATGGATGCGGAGGATGCACACTGAAAACGATTGAAGACCGGTTACCGTTCAACCGGTTACCCCGACTCCGCAGGGTTGACGTTGAAGTCTGGTCCGAGTCCGGCGCGCATACACGAACTGTGAGATCCGTGTTCTCCTAGAACCCGTCAAATCAGATCTGACGTATTCGCTGAGCACGCACCGGGCGCATATATAGCTGTAATGTCATCACATCAGATGGAGCAAAATATTGCGTACTTATGTAAAGTAGACAGCGGGGTGGAAATGAGCGGTCGAAAGCAGAGACGAGTCGCGAAGGCAGATTAAACGATGACGCGTCGCGGGCTATCACGTGCTGCGAACGAGAGCCAGTTAGAAAAGCGCTGTGACTCTTCAACCCATAGTAAGCATACACTGACATAGGAGCCTGGCAGGTGCTTAATTCGAGATATTTGCGTATACTGTGCTATCTTTTTGTGTTTAGACCTCAGAATACAGGGTGTTGCGACTAGAGGAGGTCCAACTCCGAAGGGAGTGTGATGGGTAATTATTCTCCTTTTCCCCCCTTTACACACCGTCTGACAAGTGGAAGTAGCCCGGCCGCGATGATATATAGTCGGCGAGGGCATGTTGAAAGTAGCAGGAAGGATACGGGTGTGTAAGTTCGCCGTGATGGACTGACGTACGAGCTTCTCGTGACACTGACCGCGCCTCGGCGAGTCCGGACCTTTGTCGTTCACTACAGCGCACGTTCGGGACGTCACACTTCTACAGACAGTCCATGTTGCTGAAATGACGAAACGATCGATAGCAGCGGTCTGTCAGGGCAGAAGATTCCCATCGATGATGTCGGACCACTCACCTTGCTACGTATGATTTTACCCGCTAACTCATCGCAGACTTCTCCCGCGTCGAGCTCCCCGGCGTTGTGAGCCGCGGCGTCATTAAGGTGCATGCGGAAACAGGGCGCTCCGATCCCGCCTTTGGTATCGCTGTTAAAGTGGAACTCCATGCAGATGGGATGCGCCGGGAAGTAGCGTGCCACTCCAGACGTCCCCGATCCCGATTCATGGCGCCCTCGAGGTGTGCTAGGCCATTTCGTGCGACGGCACGGCCCTCAGCGTTTGCATCGTCAGGTGCTAATCTAACCGAACACGACGAAAGAACGGACGTCAGTGACGGGCGACAGGAGTCAAAAAAACGAGGGCACACGAGAACGGTGCAGGGCGGTGGGAAGGGAACCATGCTGTCTTGTTCAAAGCATTTCAAACATCCACTATCTCCTGCACATTGCCTTGGAAATAGATAAAGCTCCCATGGCTCCTCCATTTGCTTCGGAAAACAGTGGCTTCAAAGTGCAAAATGGTGACTGGACTTTGCTGTCAGATAAGTGAACCGAAGACGCCATCATCCAGTGCCGGTCGAATCGCTGGACGTCAAAGTAGCCGCAAGAATCGACTTAGCCAGTGGCTCGGAAACGATGTCACGGGTAACCCGATCTATGATGCCTGTCTGAAGGTCCGAGGATTTGTCAGATTGAGGTCATGAACGTCGCTCCGCGGCGCGCGCGGGACCGCCATTAGCTCGTACGCTGAGCTGAGGGTCTCGGTCGAATGAATGCGGACGGTATCAATGCGGTCCGCGAGAGGTCCTAGTATTTCTGGCTTCCTGTGAAAGAAGAGGATCAGTGAAATGAAGGACGTAATAACTGCGGCGCCGTTCACAAGCCGTTCACCAATTCTCCGACCCGGAATACGCAGCACCCAGCGTGAGTTTGGCGAGTGCATGGGTAGTGCGAACTCGCAACACTCACGCAACACTCAAACGCCATCGATTCATCACTTGTAGGGATGAAGGCATCTAAAATATGTTAGTAGATATGCTCCAGTATTTGAAGATCATATCTTTTTCTGTGCTTTCACTAGCTCCATTAAGTATCGGAGTCTGTGAACGATTCAGTCCAAGCACACACAACGTAACATATACTCATCTCTAATGGACGTACGTAAATCTCACTGGCACGAGCGAGGGAGTAGCATGGGTAGTGATGATATGCTGACCACTCAAAGGTGTCGACTCTTTGACGACGGCTGCCAGCTGGGTCCGGGGCTCGAACTCAGCGCCGGCCGGCGCCCGCTGACATCATCCCCTGGCAGTTCGACCGCCTCGGACTCAGGATTCGGTGCCGTTGGGTGCTCACTTCACCTGCAACGTCTTTTTCTCCCAATTCCATGCCATAAAACTCTCGACTTCCATTATCGAGCTCCCCCAAATAATCGGCATTTGGATTGTTCTCTAGGCCTCACCAAGGGTTTCAAGCGCATACACCGAGCTGGTGGTGAGTCGTCTCTTATCCCCACCGCTGTGGTCGTCATCGGAGACATCGGAGGGGTCGGATTTTCCGAGGGAGGAAGGGGTGGAGCACAATGAGAATGAACGGTCGTGAGACTCATGTCCTACACAGACACACTCTATAGGCATGGCGGTCATCGTCCCCTCCCTTCCCCAGTACCCTTCCACTCGCGCTCGTGCAACTCAAACGCCCTCAAAAGCCGCCGAGTTAGAACAGAATATCTTGACTACTCTGGCGAGCATTCTCCCTCTCTCCGATTCACAACTGCTTCAGCGTGGACCGGAGACGTTTGTCGCATCGTATGTCAAAGATGTTGCCCAGCAACAACTCAAGTTCCTCGTTTGGAGGAACGAAGAGATAGCCTTCTCCTCACAGGAACGGAAGATCCGCCATTCTGTATTCCTCCTTGCCGAACGTCTAGCTCCTCTGGGGAAGCTGGATCTGCAAACAATCGTAGATTTCAGTGTCGCCTACTCCCGCATCTCATCCTCCCGCCTAAAGGCTCTGTTTTCTGATGCTTTTGTGCGCGCCCCGAATGCATCTGCCCAAGAGCACCAAGTCATCGCAAGCGCAGTCCCCGCCTTCATCCCCCTGCTTTCCTCGCCCTCCCATGGCCTGTATGGCCTCCGCAAGACCGCGCACATCCTCCTTTCTTTCCTGCGCCCCTCCCCTTCCGCCGTCTCCCGCGCCTTCGCGCGCGACAAATCCTTTATGGCCGCCCTCGCTACCGCGTACCATGCCGGCCTCGCATCCGTCGCGCAGAGCTACGGCGGCCTGCGTGCCCTCGCCGCCCTCGGCCCCAGCGAGCGCGAGCTTGACGAGTGGGAGCGGCTCTTCATCGATACCAAGGTCGCGCTCCTCGACGTCTTCCACATATCGATCAGCACTCTCCTCGAGAGCGTCGCGGCTGTCGCGACCGCCGGGCCTGTCCTCGTTGCGCAGGCCGAGCCTGCGTTCGAGGTCGTCTGCGGACTCGTCGATCTCCCCGCTACGCCCGTGGATCCAGACCAGCTCACGCCCACGCCATTCCTCAACCGGCCCCTGCTCGTGGACTACAACTATGCGTACGACTTCACGCGAACGCTGAAGGAGACGATGGAGAGGACGGAGGATGCGCGCGTGGACTGGATCGAGGCGTCGATTGCTCAGGCCGCGGGATCGGACGCGTCGGGCTCGCGGTCCCCTGGGGTGCTCAAGTTCGTTCTTCGGTCATCGGGTGTGCCCCTTGGGGTGGGCAACACGCCGGCCCATAGGGTGGACCCAAGCTGCAATGCTAAGGAAAAGGGCAAAGGCAAGGAGAAGGCGTCGGGTCGGCGATTGGGTGCGGCGAGCGTAGTGCCGGACGAGCAACTCGACGTCGCGGTGACATGCGTGCTGGACCTCTTCCCGGACGAAAACCCCCAGTACCTACGCTTCGTGCTTGGACACCGTGACTATCCGTACCAGGGCGACGCAGAGAAGCTCATCACAGCGCTCCTCGATAAAACAGCACCGCTTGTGGATGACGTTCATGCGGCTATGGCCCACGAGGAGGATACCGGAGATTCTGGAGATGCAAGCGGCGGCTCCGGGAACGTCCCTATGGAGGATGAATTTGCGTTTACGCGGGACCGGAGGAATGCGTTCGACGACGATGTGATGGATCTGAGTAAGATCCGGATTGGAAAGAACAGGTGCTCGTTTTCTCCAGTTTCTGCGCGCCTCTCCCTCCGGTGTGGAGTTGCGGCTCGTGCTCACGTGGCGCGCCATTATACAGTGATGATGCTCAGGCGGTCCTGCAAGACCGGTCATTCATCGAGCAGATGAAGGCGGATATTTTGCGGCGCGCTGAAGAGATGTCCGATGAAGAAGACGAAGCCGAGCAAAGTGGTGGCAAAGGTCGCGCTGTCGCTATCGAAGAAGAGCTTGACGAAGATGACGCTTCAGAAGCCATCATCAGGGTCCGCGATGGCGACGACAGCGACGATGATCTCGTCGACGACGTCGAGGGTGGAGCCGAAAGAACTGGGACCAACGTACGCCATATTTCTCTTGCTCTTTCTCGAGCCATGAATGCATGAGTATCGACACATGACCGTTACAGACTCCACAGAACCCGGAGACGATCCTCGAACTTGCATACATCGCGGACCCGTCTGCCTTTGAGCGCGACGCAGCGACACGGCGCTCTCGCGGGCGTGCAGACCTCAAAGCCCGCACCGGGTGGGGCGACGAACAGATCGAGGGCTGGAAGATTATGCTGGAGCGCGACGTACGTATTCCGTCTCTCGGTCCCCCACTCTCGCTGACACCTGTGGCGTTGGCGATGAATGGACCGACAGCCGAAGCGCAAAGCACAGATGCTCGCGAAGCATGAGTTCTCGGGCAACCGGCCGCTGAACGCGCCGCTCGCGGAAGACGATGGGGAGCCTGGTCCGAGCGGTAGTGGTGGACGCGGCCGTGGAAGTGGAGGCGGACGCGGCCGAGGAGGTGGGAGAGGGAGGGGACGTGGTGGTGGAGGCGGAGGTAGGGGAGGAGGACCGGGAGGAGGAGACCAGGCGCGCGACCGGGCATGGAAGGACAAGAACAAGGCGCGGCAAGGAAATCACGACCGCAAGAGGGGGCGGGACAAGAAGTTGGCGAAAGTTGGCGGACCGGGCTGAGTTCAAGAGTTTCGGTGTCGGAAAGTTGTGAGGCTGCCCGTTCAATTGTTGTACTTGTGCACACCGAGGGGAGCAGGTTTATCACAGCTACTTCAACTTGTGCTCGAGGATGATAAGAGTAACATGAAAGGGCAAAGTGCGGGCCCTTCGGCCTTATGCACCCAAAGATGACGTTATCGTGTCGCCTGAACGACCCGACCTGTCCATAACCTGTCCACGACCACAAAAGACGCGTGACAGAATCGCAGGCGCATTTCAAACGTTGCTGGCTGGAATCACTATTCTGTTGCCGCCCGTCAGGCATCCGAATTCCGCACGTAAACCGAGACGTAGGTTGTCGAGCTACTTGGGTTTGTCCCTTTTCCCTCGCGGCCAACATGGGGCTCACGACCATGTACCTAGTGGAGGGGCTCTGGCCAGAGAAACTGCAGTATGTACTACGGAGGCGCGACGCAGCTGACGGATTGATGTTGCCGATCGTGGAGGCGTCATCCTGTGGCGTTGGCGGCTGCAATAGGTTACGCGCTAATCGCGGGACTCTCGTGGGTGCCCGTCGTCCAGATAGCAGTCTTGCAGACTTTCAAAAGACCTGTGTAATAACACAACACCGTCTTTTCCTGCGTCGGGTACAGCCCCAGCAACCGAAGTACAAACCCAAACGGTGTGTTTCCCAAAAGGTGATCCGGGTGAGAGCGGAGGAGGGACGGCTAAGCGCGTTTGCTTGGAGATCAAAGTGACCGGGTTTCAAAATTTCAAGTTTGCGCACAGCAAGCGCACAGGATACACGCGTGATCCCGAAGCGCACGAACAGCGCCGCCGCCCACCTTCATCCCGTTCGCTTGGCTACCTGCTATATCACTCCTGGCACCCCGACATGCCCTCGGTTTCTTCTTTTCCCCCTTCTTCCTCTCCCAGTCATGCTTCCCTTTCTCCTTGCCGCCATTCTCCTTCCTAGCGCGAATGCACAGGGCACGGACGCTGTATGTCTGACTGGGTTCGCTTGGGTGCGTCCTCTTTGCCATCTTTTTTGCTCTATCCGCCAACACTCATGCCCGCGATGCAGATGGACAACTCGCTCGGCCAGAGCCCATGCCTCATGACCTCGTATCTCTACACCCCTTGTTACGGCAACACTGGTATGTATTTCTGTCGTTGTCTCTCTCATGCGCCCCAGACCAACCCTGCCTCTAGGCTCGAACATCACTGCCCTCCATTCTGGTTTCGTCTATACCGGCGCGACGAGTCCCGCGACGGGCACGGACTGCGTCTGCAGCACTGTCACCTTCTCCGTTCTTGCTGCGTGCGCCGCGTGTCAAGGGTTTGGCCTGGCGATCGACCCGTGGCCGAAGTACTCGAACTTCTGCACCAACTCGTTCATCGAGAAGTGCGTGTTTTCTCATTGATGTACCGAGGGGGTGGGTTTAAACCACGCATATAGGTACCCCTTCGACATTCCAACAGGAACCGCGATTCCAGCATGGGCGTTCATGGACATTCCAGTGAGTATATGCAGTCTCAACATGGGTTGCACCCCTGGAGCCGACTATATGCGTTTAGAATACCGCGAATGGCACGCTGGATCTGGCTCTCGCGGAGAAGGAGGCAAGCTCAAGTACGTCGTGGTCGAGCTCAGAGATTTGAGGCTCAGGCTCACCCCTGCCTTTAGACCTTCCCGAAAGCACTCCTCCTGCGTCGTCCTCGACCACAGCAAGCTCGTCTAGTACTACCTCCACGAATCCTTCCACCACGACCCAGGGTGATACTTCCACCACTCGTGGTGGGGGACCATCAAGTTCCAGCCCCTCCAGCGCCGGCTCCACGCAAACACAAGGCACCAACGGCGATCCGAACGCGAACTCACCCCCAAAGAGCAGCAACGCGGGTCCGATCGCGGGCGGAGTGGTCGGCGGTCTCGCCGTTCTCGGCCTTGCGGGTGGAGCGGTGTTCTACTTCCTTCGCAAGCGGCAGCAGCCCGCGTACGGGGCCGGGACGTGGTCGGGGCCGGATGACCAGATGGGCCAGCGGTATGGGACGGAGCCGGCGGTGCCTGTGACCCCGAACCCTTTCGCTGGGGGCGCGGTGGTCGAGTCGCAGCCCATGCTTTACGTGAGTCTCCTCTTCTTGCGCACATACCCGTTCCATGACCCGATCCGCCGAATTATTATGCCCTGTGCTTGTCTGCGTTTGCGTGTCCTGATGACTTTGCTCCCCCATAGGACCCGAACGACCCACGGACATTCCCCAACACATCCGGACAGCCCTCGGACGAGTCTTCTTACGGCCAGCCACACGCCGGGCCACTCTCTGCGAATCACGGATACACCGGTTCTGGTCACCAGCCCTCGTTCTATGCGGCGAGCATGGGTGGCGCCCCTGCTTCCGCCTCTCAAGCGCCGACCTCCACGACGTTCCCATCCACGACTGGATACACAGGCCGCCCGGAGATATGAGCTTTTTTTGCAGATCGGGCGGGATCGTGCGAGGGGGCAGGGTGCGTTTTATGTATCGCGAGGCCGTATCTTCCATGGATTCGCATTAAACATTTAAGTATGGATCGGTTTCGACCTATTTGCTTGTACATTAAAAGTTATTCGCGAACGTGATTGCCCTACGAACCAAGATGTTTGAAAGGGACCCGAATGTCACTTGTCACGACCCTATCACACGCTCGGCTTGTTCACGACTCTGAATATTCTCAGTGGAACCTGCATGTCGTGTTCTCCCAGGCTTTTCTTCCGGCTGAGTCGTCTGTTCTTGCATGCGCTGGTGATTGTGAAACGGCGCGTGTGTGGCTGGGCGATCTAACAATTGGTTCACGCCCGCCCGGTTTGACAAGGCAGTGGACCGATTGTTCTGGCGATTAGACGGTGACCTCAAAACTAGTAAGCCATTACTCATCGGAAAGAATTGTCTTGGTTGGCCACAATGGTAGCTACCGATGTTAACGTAGCTCTATTGGCGATAAGGACGACGGGGGCGTGCCGGGATGAGCCGACCGGGCATCGCCTAGGAAGCTCTAGTCACGACGGGCAACGGCCTAGCTTCGGAGCTCGAAAATGCGTAGAAAAAGACTGTGAGAGATGACATTTCCAAGGGCACAAAAACAGGAGCTAAGGTGACCTTTTCTCCACCTTGTTCGACAATAACACAGGTTATCACTTGTAATTACTTCTTTGTTACTCGCATACTATACACGTTCTATTGTCTTTGTTCTTAGTTACATCAAGGAAAGGTCACCTAACCTTCCGTTTTTGTCCCCTTGGAAATGTGATCTCTCACAGTCTTTTTCTACGCGTTTTCGAGCTCCGAAGCTAGGCCGTTGCCCGTCGTGAGTCCGGCTGGCCAAAAAGGGAGCAGGGCCAAGCGCGCCAATAGTGCCGCACCCTCTTGTCTTCGTCCACCATCTCCTCCCATCGTCTCCCCCCTCGCTCCTCGTAAGTTCTGCGCCTTCATCTGTCGACCTTGCGGTAACTGACGCTGTCCCCGATGCTTGCTCCTGCGCCTCATGTGCTCTCTCGCGCCATTCCAATCGATGCGCTCTTCTCTTCTCCCTCTCATATTCCTGCACGATCCGCTGCGATCGTCGCCGCGACACTCGACGCATAGCCTCTACTTCCTTCTAGTCCTCTGGATTCCTCCACAATGGCTCTCAAGCGCATTAACAAGGTGCGTTCTCGCATTGCCCCTCTCGCCCAACTACCATGGCGCTTGTCGCTAGGCAGTGGCGAAAGGGCTGTTCCCCTGCCCATGCTTACGAAACCCTTCTCATACCTCGGCTGTCGGTCACTACTCCGATGTCCTTTGTACAACTCTGTGCGGTCTGTAGGAGTTGATCGATCTCGGTCGCGACCCGCCCTCCTCTTGCAGCGCGGGCCCGACGGGCGACAACATGTTCCAGTGGCAGGCGACGATCATGGGACCGGTGCGTACTCTGGTCTCTCCGCCCCGGGAGTGGCGCCGACGCTCTCGGCGGTTGTGGTCGGCGGAGTTGCTGACTGGCACTCGTGTGACTCTCGGGTCTTCTTGCCTGTAGGGCGACTCACCTTACGCTGGCGGCGTCTTCTTCCTCTCGATCACCTTCCCGACCGACTACCCCTTCAAGCCTCCCAAGGTCAGCTTCACGACCAAGATCTACCACCCGAACATCAACGCGAACGGGTCGATCTGCCTCGACATCCTGAGGGACCAGTGGAGCCCAGCATTGACGATCTCGAAAGGTGCGCACACACTTCTCTTCACCTTGCGCTCGGTGTGGTCGCGATGCGATCGCGATCTGACCGGAGCAGTTGGATGAGTGATGCCCTCTGGCTGGGCGCTCGGGCACACGAACTGATTAAGATCCTTTTCTGCGCAGTCTTGCTTTCGATCTGCTCAATGCTGACGGACCCGAATCCCGATGACCCGCTCGTTCCCGATATCGCGCACCTCTACAAGACGGATCGCGCCAGGTACGAGGCGACAGCCCGGGAGTGGACACGGAAGTGCGTATTCCCATCTCGCCGATCAGGCGCTCTCTGGCGCTGACCTCGCCCCCACTGCCACCCGCAGGTATGCCATGTAACGAGCGTCAGATGACGACCCGCGACGAACGAACGGCTGGTGTACGATGTGTGTTTTGACTCACCCCTCCCCCTCCTCTTGTTGCCCTCCCTGCCCGCCAACCTGCATGTGTGTATTCGATCCCTACATTGATGGCAATCCTTACGCGAATGAGAACGAGCTGATGCAGTGCGTGGTACGGAGCGTGCATGGAAGCTTATTGAGTAGGTTTAAGATTGTGGGAGTGGGTGTTCTAGTGCGAACTCCTGCGCATCGATCCTTCCCAGGAGCTTGCCTTTGTTCCACGCCGAATCTTCCGTTACCAGGGTCATCCGGTTGCTTTGTCGTGTCGGGGAGCTCGGTCTCAGTTCCCTCTACTGTCACTTTCACTGGTGTCTGGCGACACTGCTTGTTGCTGCGGCAGTCAACACGCGGATAACACCGCTTGTGCCCACTACGCCATGTTTTGCAACGTCGTCCACAGGGAGGTCCGAAGCATGCATAAATTACTGGGATACAATACCGTCTACAGACGCCCTGTGCTCTTCATAACCCAACTACAGCGGCGCTTGTGCGTGCGTTGCACGGGCCTTGCGTTCCTTCCGCCACGCGGCAAACTCGCGCAGAACAGCGCCGACCAGAGGCGCGGCGAGGGACGCGAAGAGGGGCGAATAGACGGCGTAGGTGTGCTCGGCGGGGAAGTAGAGCAGCGCGAGCATGCCTGGGTTGAAGAACGCGCGGGAGGCGTGCGTGAGCGCGCGGGCGGAGGCGAGAAGGGCGCGAGGCGGATCCGTCGGCGCGGCGGTGTGGACCTGTGCGGGGAGATCGTAAGACGGGGGGCGTGTACGGGGGTAAGGGGGACGGACCTCGTTCAGCGCGGCGAGGGCATCCTGGACGTCGCCCTTGACGTCCTGCCCGACGGGCATGTTCGCGATCTGGTCGACGAGCCGGACGATGCTCGCGAGCGTGTCCGCGCTGCTGAACGCGTTCTCGAGCGTGCGCCGGCGGAGCAGTGCGTCGAGCTCCCAGTCGCTGAACGCGTCGAGCGTGCCGTCCGCGCGCGCGAGGTGCTTCACGCCTGGCGGTAGCCCGGGGATGCCGAGCAGGGCGGAGAGCTGCGCGGCGAACGTCATGAAGATCGGGTCGAGGTGGGACTGGGTGAGTCGGTGGCGGGAGAGCGGTGATGAGGAGCCGGAAGGGTTGAGGAGGACGATGCCGCCCCATTGGGGGAGGAGGAAGGCGTTGGACGGGTCGATGGAGCCTTGGTCGGTGAGGATGTGGAGCGGGCTGTTCTTTGAGGAGGGGATGAAGAGGACGAAGTGGATGACCGGGTCAGACGTGACACTGGATGCTGGCGACAGAATGTCAATGACGTGGCCAAAAGTTCGATAGTGTGCTCACAGAGCGTCCATTGGGCCGAGTTCACGAAGACGGTGAGATCCTCGTGAATGAGGCCGTGCGCATCTCGCCCGTCATGCTGGATGGGTCGAGGTTCAAACGCAAGAGGTGCGTGAAATTGGACTTGACTCTCTATTGTGAAGTTGTGCAACGCCGACAACTTGTTCAAGAGCGGAGATATATGTCCTGGGTAGCGGAGGGGTCATTCCTCGTGGTCGATACAGTGGTGTTGTGCTCACTCTGAATGGATTTTTGAACGTCCCACGCCAAGGCGGCGTTACCGCTGGTAGCGTCTTCGTTCAGTAGAGAGAAGGACAGTCGGTACCGAGGGGAGTAAGTAAACACGCGCTGAACTTGGGATTCAGGCTGGTGCGAAGTCGAGTAAGGTGAAAGGAGGTCCATTAATGTGCTCGCCAACCTTGTAGAGTCGTCATCTTGAATGCGGTCAACGAGCGAATGCGCTCAGCACGGGAATAACTCACATGCAGAAGATGCGTCGAAGGTCAGCTTTCTCCCTCCGACTGCAGGTCCCTCCTCTCCATCCGCAAAAACGACATTATACGGGGCACTGACAGGCCGGTTTGCATCACCTCGCACCTTGAGAAGAAGAGACTTACGAGTCGTTTCCCGTAGTCAGCTGCAAGTCGATTGCACTCCTCTTAAGGGTGGACTTGTCTGCGTCGAGCAATGACCGCACTGCGTTCGCCAAAGACGACGCCCGAGAGACGTCTTTTGATTGGACATTCACAGTGACGGGAAAGAGAACCTCTTCGAGTGTCAGAGGATACTGTGCGTTTTGGGATAGTGGGGAGTACCTTCCGATCCTGTTCAGCATGGACTCGGGATGCCGGCAGGGACAGACGTTCAATGCTTGTAGTCTTCCACCATATCGGGACGGCAAGAAGAATGACGATCCAGTAAGAGGCGATGATGAGTCTCCGAGTATGTGGTTTCTCAAAGCATAACGAAGCAGGGTCTGGGTGGTGAGAGTCCATGGAAGAGGGCGCGACTATGCTCGACCGCGCGGAGACCGAGCTCGGCGCGATTGTGAAACGCCACATCATTCAGGCGCCGACATAATGTCGGCGGTCGTATCTAGCGGAGATTCAAAGTGAGCAGTGGAAAACCGGTCGGACATTGAATATTCGCTTGCGTTGTGGCAGACGAGCGAGAGTGAGAGCCTCTGGGCTTGCTCAAGACCAACTTCATCAGCACCACTACAGCTTGCGGATATCGCACAAGATACCCTACGCCGAGACTCTTCTCTCAACTCTACTGCCTCTTATAATCCTTCACCCCCCACTTTCTATCACGCTGTTCTCTACGCTATTTCTCCCTCGACGGGCACTTGAAGCATCCTTCTGAATCCCCTATGTCCCACAAAGGCCCTCGTCGTCGCGGTGGGGTGAACAACGTCAGTAATCACTCATCATCCTTCTTTCAACGAATTCACCCGATGGGGAACCTCGTGTAGCGATATTACGGTCCGCCCTTCGCGGAGCCTCCAATCGCGGGACCCTCCGCCCCCTTCCCCCCCTTCTACGACCGGTTTCAAAACGAAATACCTCTGCCGCTCACTTTTCGCGACGGTCCCAGCAATGACTACCCGCCTGGACCAATGCAATGGGCACCAGACCGCGACTTTGGCCCTCCTCCAGTTCCCGTTCCCGAACGCTTTCGACCTCCACCAGGCGACAATGGATGGCCGCGCGCTGCTACCTGGAAAGATTCGGAGCCCGTCTCGTGGCCAGAACGTTCGGATCTCCCTCGTGAGCCGCCTTTTCCTTCTTCACGAGGCAAAACGCCCAACTCGACCACGCGTTTGTTCGAGCCATCCGACAACTGGAAGCAAAGTCATGGTGAGCGCCGTGGCCGTGCCTACTCGCCTTCCCAACCGGTGTCGGAATCGCAACAATATCGACCGTACTCGCCGACTCACAATCGCTTGCCTCGACTGAACCCTGGATCCGATTCCTATCGACCTGACTATGGCGACGACTGGACGCCCGAGGACGATGACGATCCTTACGAGAGCTTCGGGAGGGATCTATACCCTTCGCGAATGTCTCGACGCTCTCGCTCTAGGGGACGCTCTCGCTCTAGGGGACGCTCACACTCTAGAGGACGCTCGCACTCTAGAGATCACTCGCACTCTAGAGATCGCTCGCGCTCCAGAGACGGCTCGCGTTCGAGGGATCGCTCCCCTCGTATGAGACATTCACGTCGAGATAGCCGCAGTGACGAGCGGTCGTCGAGTCCTGACTCGCGACATTCGGAACGCTCTTCCTCTCCGTACGGCCCCCCTCTGCCTGCGTCTATCCAAGCGACTCGTGGTTTGTCTTCTAAGCCCGAACCCGCCACGAAGGCCGAACTCCCGAAGAAGACCGAGATTCCCTTTCCCACCAAACGGGAATCACCCGAGTTCCAGCTCCCTCACCTCTTACCTGCGAAATCTAACACAACAGCACCATCTGATCAGCCCCCCTCTCGTTCGCCTTCAGATGCATCGTCAACAATGTCCGCCGTTCTTCCGCACTTGCTTCCTCCGAAGCCTCCTGCTCCAACCATACAGCCGCCGCCACCACCACCACCACCTCTTATTCCAGCAGCGCGGATGTTACATCCCCCTGAACCTCCTTCGGGACCGATATTCTTTCGTCCACCTGTGCCATCCTCACATCTGCCCCCTCCACCTCCATCTGCTCCTCTTGACCTGTCTCTGCCAGAGCGACCGCAAGCTCCAGTCCGCCATACACTAGGACGGCGCTCATACATCAATGCCCCTTCATTTGTACCATCAACATTGGCTTGCGACCGGTCTCTCATGAATGGCTCAGAAAAGTCTACGCCTGGCAAGAATGCTCAGCTGCCTACCAAACCAGCCAGTGCTGTGCTGACCGCAGCGTCAGCGAGACCGCTCGCGACAGCTCCCGCAGTACGTATAAGAACCGTTTTCATGCGCTTGTCGGTACTTACATCTTCCTGGAGGCATTACGTGGGGCAATGGGTACAATGTTTGTGCGAGCGTCCAATCAACCATCAGCGCCCAGAGCGCTTCCACCATCAACGGCTTCAGACAACATACGTGACGTAGATAAGTTACCTATTGTGACTCCTCTACCACCTACCGCCGCTCCACCTCCACCTCCTCCTCCTTCATCTCTTCCTCCTGCGCTCCCAGCGGCGAACAACTCTGTTTTCCCTCCGAAAGATACGGCAGAATCCACCCGTCCCAGTCTCGCTATTGACACGTCATCGCCGTTCTTGCTGCCTCATGAACTGGCACAGCGACATACACCCTCCCCTGCGGCCACCACTTCTGAACCTCACGCAAGTGGAGATGGCGACGACGACTCGGACATGGACGTGTCTTCGGGCGCGTCCGAAATCGGCTCTCCCATTGCTGTCAAGAAGACTCCCTTCGCTCTTACCACGCCCAAGCGAGCCGACTCCGAGGAAGGGATCCCTGACTTCACGTCCCCGTCCCGCGCCATTGCTTTGGACGCCGCGAAAGCGGGGTCTCTTCTCCCTACCGTCTCTGTTGAAGGGATCCCTGGCCTCACACTCACACCGCCGTCCTGCGCCACTCCTCTCCCCAAGCGAGCTGTCTCTGATGTAACGATGGAAATCGTTGGCTCCTCATCCCCGTCCCGAGCCAATGCTTTGGACGCCCCGAAAGCGAAGCAAGCAAGCGTTCAGGTCTCTCCCCGTCTGGCCCGAACATCCACCGCGGATCGTCCCCATGTCGACAGCGGTGAACTATCACCCCCTGCCAGCGAGGAGACACTACGGGAGGAGACCGAAGGCGTGGAGAAGGACGTCGACGGCAAGTACGTCGTGCAAGACGGTATCCGTCGGACGGCCAAGGAGATGGTCGTCGACGAGCCTCTCTCGGACAAGATGATCACCGAACTGCCCCTCTCTGAGGCCCTTCGCTTGGTCGTCAGATTGCGCCACCGACATGATCTATTCACGCAGGACGCCAGGATCAACCCCATTCTCTACTCGAATCGCCAGCTCGCGTCGCTCGAGGAGGCTGCTCCTCCACCTCCGGAGAAGCCCGTGGTTGAGGCCGTGGTGGAAAAGGGACAGAAGCAGGCGATCGAGGGTCATTACGAACGACCGAAACACTCTCTGCGCAAGCGGTTCGCTCAGCATCAGGTGCAGCTCGCGGAGAAGGTGGCGCGTCTGAAGAAGGAGTACCTCGCCTTGCACGAGAAGTGGCTCGTTCACTGCAGCAAGATGGACGAGGTCGCTCGCGCCGGCGCCCTCGAGGAGGCCGCTTCGGCGGCGTGCCGCACGACGAGACGCACGACCGCGATGGGCGACGCAGTCCGGTCCGACCTGGAGATGGAGCAGATCTTGGCCAGTCTCGGGAACGAGGAGCTCACCGACGCCAACCACCTCTCGGCTAAGAACGCTGCGGTCATCCCCGACATGGTGTCTGTCACGAAGGGCAACGCCGAGTATATCTACGACGACACGAACCACCTTGTTGAGGACCCGCACGAGTTCTACAAGCTGGAGACCGGTATGGACGACTGGACGGAGGAAGAGAAGGTGAAGCTGATCGAGGTCTACGCGAAGCATCCGAAGCAGTTCGGCATCATCGCCGAGCACCTCCCGAACAAGACGCCAGCACAATGTGTCTCGTTTTACTACCTGCACAAGAACTGGGCGATCGACTTCCGCAAGGCGGTCACGCAGTACAACTACGCGGGTCGCCGGCGCCGCAGCGGGCGCAAGCAGAAAGGCAATGCCCTCCTCGCGGACATCCTCAAACACGACGATGAAGTCCAGAAGGAAGGTGCGACGAGCTCGTCTGGCCGCAGGAAACGCGGAGCTGCCACGCCTGTTCCGAACGGCGACGTAGCAGATGTCAAGAAGGCCAGTGCGTCAGTGTCGAAGCGGGGAACTGCTCAGAACACACCCGCTGCCACGCCTACTCCTGATCCCGAGCCTGTCCAAAAACGCCCTCGCCGTCGTGCCAATCTTAGTGCTCGCGCGGCAGCGGCGTCACAGGAGCAGGGTGAGGAGGATGCAGTAGGTCAACCTTTGTACTATAGAGAGCGTGATGCTGATCTCTACCGGTAGGATGAGGACGTTCGGCCCGCCAAGCGCACGCGTAAAGGGGGCCGCAAGAGCAAGGCTGATGCAGACGTCGTCGAGTCGATGCTCGCCGTCGAAGACGTGTCGCCTACGCCTGCTGATGGGAAAGCTGGCAAGAAAGAAGATGCTGATACACCTGATAAGCCCGCGGAGACCACAACGCGCAAGAAACAGCCTGGTAGCAATTCCACGTGGTCCGATGAAGACCAAGGTAGGCATCACGCCCCACATCCGCCCCACATCTGCACATAGTGATTCGGGTCTCCTGATAGCCCTTTTCCTGAAGCTGCTCGCACAGCACGGTGATGACTTTAAACGAATTGCTGCAGCGATGCCTAACAAGGTGCGCACGATTCCGCTGCTCCCTCGCCTTCCGCAGCCTCATCCCCCACCACAGACGACGATCCAGGTGTCCGCGTTCTACCGGTCGAACCTCACCGAAATGCAGCTGGCCAAGGTGGCGGCCCAGGCCCCCAAGCGTTCTCCCTCGCCCGCGACCGCGGCGAAGGAGAAGCGTGCGGCCGAACGGGCGGCGGCGGCGGCAGCCCGGACCTCTGGGCGTATGTCTCCCCCTCCCGCTCCCGTCGTCGACGCGACTCAAGGGTTCGAGACTGTACAGAGGCGCCATCCGCCTGAGCTCCGCACGCCGCTCGCCGTCCCGTACCACACTCCCTACGGATCGACGGCCAGTATGAACATGGGACTTGGCATGGGTATGGGAATGGGCATGGGCATGGGTGTCGGCCTTGGCCTCGGCGTGGGGATGGGCGGGATGGGTGCCATGGGCGGCGCCCGCCCGCCACCGACGCTCGGGATGTCCTTCCCCGCCGCGATGGCGTACTCGAACCTCGCGCCGTCCAGCTTCGTCACCGGGAGCAGTACCGCGCGCAGGCCGCCCACCACTACGCCGGGCGAGATGAGCGAGTTCGCGCCGCAGACGTGGGGCGTCATGCCCACCCGGCCGAGCCCACCCATGCCGACCGCGACCGTGGCGTCCACCTCGGCTCCGAGCACGCCGGCGCCCCCCGCGCCAGGGACCATCCCGGCGACGCTGCAGACCGCGGAGGATCTGGCGCGGTACCTCGAGCTCCGGACGCGGCTTGCCGCCGCGCAGCCCAAGGACTCGGACTTCATGTAGATCCAGGATGTCTGGAGTGGAAGTACTGCGCGCAAGGGTTGTTGTCTTTGTCGTCATTCGCGAGTGCATCGTGTCGTCGCCATCACATGTTTATTACGCATATGTTATCCTACGCTCTCGTCCTGTTGCGTTTTATCCAGGTCATAGAACACTCGCGCATCGTCACTGTAGCCTACCCACTGAAGTTGGTAATAAATCATGACTCGGTACTGGACAAAGTCGATTGTCGAGCTCCAAACGCGTCGGAGATCTCTCGCGAGTATGACGAATGGAATATGGATTCTGGTGCATGCAAGGAAATCACTATGAGCAAAAGATCTAGAACGGGTCACTTGCTAACAGTCACTTTCCCCCCTTCGGTCCAGGAGCTTACACAAAATGAGGAATATTGGCCGAGGTTGGGTTGGAGTGGCGCACTATCAGGATGAAAGGAAAGCAGAAATACTATTATATTACATCGGCGAGTCGATCCCACGGGAGTATCTACGCACACAGAGTGCCCTTCAGGTTCAGAAGGATAAAGCAAGATCGAGCACGATCACCGTCTCCCCTCGACCATGATGATGTGATACCCGAACTGCGTCTTTACGAGCGAGGACATGACCGGCCTGTCGACCGTCGACGGCTGCAGCGCGAAGGCCGCGTCCTGGAACGCTCCCTAGAAAACGGAGTCAGGCGAAGATGGCGGGGCTCGACGATCGGACTTCGACGCACCACCATCGAGCCCCGGGTCATCCACCCCAGACTCCCGCCCGCTGCGACCGGAGAAAGAAGGGACGTCAGTCACGCCGACTGGGAGATCTACCCGAGCGTGCGCGCGCCGGACCTTTCGCCTTGTCCTCGGAGTACTCCTGCGCGACCCTGTCGAACCGCTGGCCCTCCTGCCACGTCGGGAACCGGACGGGGTCCCGAATCTCAGCGGAGGGGACATCGAGCGGGACGAGGAGGGCGGACCTGGATCTTCTGCAGCGCCTCGCTCGCGCGCGAGTGCTTCTCGCACAAGATGTGGCGGACGTTCACCGCCGTCGCGGCTTTCAGCCCGCCCTTTCCCTGTGGAGTGAGCAACCTCTCGATTCAGTGTTCTTGCGATGTCAGAGCGACGGATTGCAGACCTTCGAATCGCCCGAGTCGTCGCTTGTTCCCTTTCCCTTGCCGGCAGCGGGTTTCTTGTCTGAGGCACCTCCTTTCTTTGCCATGTTGGTGGTGGTGGTGGTGGTTCAAGAACGAGGTTGCCTCGTTTGGAGACCCACGCTGTTGCCGCCTGGCCGCTCAATCGAGTAAGCGGCGCTTCAGCAGACTCAATTTCAGTGTCCTCCGCGTAAAATTCTCTCAGCATGAGATGAGAAGTAGTCTGACGATGGTCTCTTCCGTGCACTCCCGAAAAAAAACGGAAGTTAGTCGTGGTGGTGGTACCAATAGTAGGCTACAGAAGGGCCGGCTAGCCGCTACAGCGATTACTTTACATCCTGGGGTCATCGTGTACATCGTCTGTTTGCTTTCGCCCCTTCTCGCCCATGCAGTTAGCTGGTCAGGCCCGCCAGAAAGCGCCTATCTAGCCCGTCGGCCTCCTCGCGGCGCGACGTAGTGCTGCAAGACTGTCGTACTCGTGGGTCGACGGTGGAAGCGTCTCATTCCTCGAGGAAGAAGTAGTTGCCAGCGACTATTCAGCTTCGTTAGCGCACAGATCGCACAGGAGGCTTTGGACTGGCTTACACTTCTGCTCGCGGTCCTTGACGCTGTGCTTCTTGTTCACGCGTGGACGGTAATTCGTCGGATCGCGACGGAACGTGATCTCGAGCGAGCTCAGGAACTTGTTCATACCCGAGAGGAGAGATTGCGGTCTAGGAGCCAAGGCTCGGTGAGCCCCCGCATTTCAACCTCCCTGGGAAACGACGAAAACGTACGGGGTAGCCGTAGCGGCAATGGCGGGCTTTCCCTCGAACACGATGACGCGGTCCGCAAGGTAGGTGGCCATGATGAAATCGTGTTCGATGACAAACGCCGTTTTCTTTGCATGCAGGATGAACCGTTTGATGACCTTGCTCGCAATGATACGCTGCTCTGAGTCCAAAAAGCTGGATTACATGGTTAGCAAAAGCTTGAATGAGCACGACAGGAATGTAACGTACGAAGAGGGCTCGTCGATGAGGTACACCGCGACGTTCGGTTTCCCCAGCGCAAGCACGATGGCGACACGCTGGAGCTCACCACCGGAGAGCGTCTTCACCTCCTGGTCCATGATCGGCTCGAGGTTCATCGGCTTGAGGACGTCGGTGTTGAACTGCGGGTGCATGAACGCGGCCTTGATGCGCTTTATGAGCAGCATGCGGACTGTGCCAGGGAAGCTCGGCGAGATCGTCTGCGGCTTGAGGGAGACCGAGAGCGTCTGCTTGTCAGTCTCCTCGTCCGGGGTGTCTCCGGCAAGGAGCTTGACGAACGTCGTCTTTCCGGTCCCGTTCTCGCCAAGCATGACGATGATCTCTGAGTCAGTGAAGGAGCCGGCCTCGACGGTGAGCTTGAAGCCGCCGAGCGTCTTCGTCATCGAGGGGTAGGAGTAGTGCCGGGTTTTGTCGATGACGAGCTCTTCCGCAGTCTCGACCATCTTGAAGGAGAGCGATTCCTCACGGAACCGCAGGTTCTCGGTGGGGATGAAACCATCCAGGAAGATGTTGATACCTTGGCAGGTTCAACATTAAGATCTCGTACATCAGGATGTAGAGCTCACCTTCGCGGACGGAGTAGGGCATGGTAACGACACCGTACATAGACGGCTTTCCGTACAAACAGCAGACGAAGTCGGAAAGGTAATCAAGAACGGACAAGTCGTGCTCGACGGCGATGACGTAGTTGGAAGGCGTGAGCAACTCGCGGATGACCTCGGCCGCCTTCAGACGTTGCTTGACGTCCAGATAACTCGAGGGCTCGTCGAACATGTAGACATCCGCCTTCTGGATACAAGACATGGCGATGGCGAAGCGCTGCAACTCTCCACCAGAAAGCTGGCCGACTTCACGCGTCAGGACGTCGTTCAGCTCGAGATCGTCGCACATCTTCTGCTTGTTGTCGCGCTCCAGCTTCCCGTCCAGCATCTCAGAGACAGACATCTTGCCCTTCACTGCCCGGGGGATATGGTCGACGTATTGGGGCTTGATGAGCGCTTTAAGGTTGTCCTCGAGCACCTTCGTAAAGTAGTTCTGCAGCTCAGAGCCACGGAAGTACTTCAGGATCTCCTGCCAGTCTGGGGGATCCTGGATGAAGGTGAGGGTGCAACTCGTACGGGGGAATGGCCAGACAAACATCGTAGCGTCCGAGGTTAGGCTTCAGCTTCCCGGCGAGAACTTTGAGAGCAGTACTCTTGCCAATCCCGTTGGTGCCAACAAGCCCAAGGACTTGGCCAGGTCGTGGTGTTGGTAGCCTGTGAAGCTTGAAGGCGTTTGCGGTGTAACGGTGGGTGACTTCGGAATCAAGGTTGGTGGGGAGGTTGATGATAGCAATGGCCTCGAATGGACACCTGGACCACGCCTTGTGGGCTCACAGCGCAAAGAGATAAAATGCAAGGCGGACTCACTTCTTTACGCAAATACCACAACCAATGCAGAGGAACTCCGAGATGAAGGCGATCTTGTCGGTCGGCTTGACCTCAATACACAGCTTTCCTAGCACAGTCCTTCAGAGATCGCATACTGCAAGAGGCGACGCATCGTACCCATTTTGACGACAGGACACGACTGCTCTCTGATCAGCCAATGTGCTCGGTTAGATCTCGAGAAAGAGTGGGCGCACCTTCTTGCACTCCTGCGCACATCGTTTGGGCTTGCACCGGTTGGAGTCGACGATGGCAATGCGGGTGATCTTGTCGGCCATGGTCGACGGTGAGAGGGTATAAAGGGGGAGGAGAGGGGAGGAGAGATGGTACTTGAGCTTGAGTCGAAGATGATGCAAGTATGCGCTTCCGACTTGGCCGCGAAAATTATGGTCACGTGACACAGTGCAATCTGCTGCATGCTATTGGCTCGTTGAACAGAGGAGCCTGTTTTCAGAACGTGCACTCCGCAGGGTGAGTTGTCCAGACTCCAGCGGACATTCCGGCGGATGACGCCGCTCGAGGCTCAAAATCTACATGTACAGTCTTTGTCGTTGAGGCCACTCTCAGTCGCCGTAGCCGCCGCCGCCGCCGCCGCCGCCGCCGTGGCCGCTGTACGTGGTCGTCGTACCCCTCAAGCTCCTCCACCACCGAACCCTGGCTAATCGCACTGTATGTTGTATTTATTCAGGCCAAGAGTCCGGTGCATCATCAGTCGCGGGGAGTTTTGACTTCGGGCGGTTGTGCGAGTCCATTTCGGCGGACTGTCTGTGCCCGTCCCGGCGCTTACTACTATTGCTGCCTGCTCTTGCTGCTCAATATTGGACCGTGACTCATCGACATTCCCGCCATTCAACTGCCACTGGAAGAGCTCCGAACGGATCTCCGACCGGCTGTTCCGCAGGACCGCACCCACTCCCCAATGCATTTACCAATCCACCCCCACATCTCCCCCGTGCCAGTTGACATCATCCCGGTACTACCGCCGACATGAGTCGGACGAAGACTTAAGGTCTGCGCTTTGGCCGACTCCCCTCCACTCACCATGCCAGCCATCCAAGCCCCATCCAAAGTGCTCGTCACCGGCGCGAATGGCTTCATCGCCGGTTGGATCATCAAGGATCTCCTTACCCACGGCTTCTCCGTGAGGGGAGTCATCCGCGCGGAGGGCAAGGGCGACGCCCTCCGCACTGCGCTTACCGAGAACGTTGAGAAGCTCGAGTTCGTCGTCGTGCCTGACATCACTCTCGTATGTCCATCCCTCCACTCCGGGCTCTATCGCGAGTTAAGACGTGCCGATTGGCAGCCCGGAGCGTTCGACAGCGCCCTCGAAGGTGTCGACGCGATCGTCCACACCGCCTCCCCCGTCACCGTCGTCTGCGACCACCCGGACGAGCTCATCGTCCCCGCGCTGCAGGGCACCATCAGCATCCTCCGCAGCGCCTGCCGCCCAGGCTCCTCCGTGAAGCGCATCATCTATGTCTCCTCCCTCGCTGCCGTCGTCGACAACTCGCGCCCGATTCCCGCGACGTTCTCCGAGGCCGACTGGAACGAAAGCGACGTCGCGGAGGTCAAGGAGAAAGCCGCCGCCGCCAGCGGGCCCGCCAAGTACCGCACGAGCAAGACGCTCGCCGAGCGCGCGGCATGGGACTGCTTCAACGAGGGCAAGGAGAAGGGGTCCATCGGATGGGATCTCGTGTCGCTCAACCCGCCGTGGGTGTTCGGGCCTCCTCTGGGCGCGCGCACGCTCGCGGACTTGACCACGTTGATGAGAACGTGGTACAAGATCGTGGTGACCGAGGATGGCGAGATACCAGCCTGGAGTCGAACGTGAGCTCGCAGCAGATCCTCTGCGTCCCAGGAATGTGACGGCTGACCGTGCGTGCAGGACCTGGGTTGATGTCCGCGATTTTGCGCGTGCCACCCTGGCGGCCCTTGTCCGTCCCGAGGCTGGCGGAGAGCGTTTCATTATTGCGAACGCTTCCTTCCTGTGGAAGGAGTGGAGTACGTGTTCGCCCTCTTCGTTTCCGCTCGCTATATGCTGACCTATGTGAACGCAGTTCCGAGAGCCCGTCGTCTTCTGGGAAAGCCAGGGACTGAGCTCCCCTCGGCAAGCGAGCTCGTGTACGAGCACTTCTTCGACGCTACCAAGTCCCGCAAGATGCTCAACATGCAGTACCGCGACATGGACGAATCCACGACTTTCATCATTGAGGACTTCAAGAAGAAGGGCTGGTGCTAGGACAAGCGCATGTGTGTATGCTACTAAGGTGGTTGTCCCACAGCTCTCTTCTCTCGTCCAATGTACCACAAAACACTCTTTTCTCTTCGCGTACGGAGTACAAACTAATTTCTCCGAGTGTTCAGATGAGCCATGTCTTTTTCTCGAGAGGGGCTCTACAATTAAGGCACGAGTGGCGAATGAACCGACGGCGAGCCAAGTGAACCTTGAGCATGGTTGGCTGGATAGGAGAACCGTCGAAATAAAACCAGTACCCCCAGGGCGGACAATCCGGGTACGACGTCCTCCCCGTGTCTCATTTTGAGTACGCATAGCTGACTTTGAAACAACATCATTCGATGCCGCTCTGTAGAGTATGCATGGGAAACCGCCATTGGGCGTTTCAACCTTCCCTACGTCAATCCAATAATCTGATCAATAATGTCATCATCGGACGAGTACGCGTTCGGCTCCTAGATAGTTGACAAACAACCCCCCCTCTTTCCCGTCCACCAGCCGCCTTAGATCGAACTCGTCTTCCGATCGCGTCACAGCGCCCTTCCAAAGCGACAAGCAAGCCCGTCAGCTTGCATTCGCCCCAGGACGTGCGTTGATGCCTACTGTCTGCGGCTTGCTCGCCGCTGCCGCCGCCGCCGCCGACCGCGACCGGGTCAGCCAGCAGCGGTACGCGGTCCAGAGCGCCCCGAGCCCGAATACCGCCGCGACGACGCCCGCGACGACGAACGACGTCGTGTCCCTCTCCGTCGACCTGCTCGAGCTCGCGATTGGCACGGGCACCCGCCGCCGCCGCGGGCTCGCCGCTTCGGGGGCCGCGTCCTCGCCTGAGTTGCCTCGACCGAACCGGCCGACCCCGGCGCTCGCGGCGCAGGGGGGTATGAGCGTGAGGACGAGGACGAGGAGGGTGTGGAGGAAAGGGGAGGACATGGTCGCGGTGCTGCTGGATTCTGTTGGGTTGCTGGGGGCTCGGGGATGTGCTGAGAGCTCGACGTCGGATGCCTGCTTAGCGTTGCCAGTCGTCCGTGAGCTCGTCCTACCTTATAACATTTGACAGACCTCGAGGTTAGGGATGTCATATCAAAGGTGACGGGCCAAGAGTGGACCGAAATGGAGGCTGACGCTGCATGGCTCATATGAAGTAGGAGCACTCTCTTATGACCCTTGATGTAGCTTGTTTTGGCTGAGAGTACAAGGAATGAAGCGTTCAACTTGAGGTGCACCTGGGTCCTGCACCCTCATGATGACGCTTGGTTATCCATGTTTTTAGGCACCGGAGTAATTGCTTGTGCGAATAAAAGGCTTGAGTACTCTCAGCATGGATCAATATGGTCGAATGAGGGTCGAGGCGTTTGGGAAGCAATGTTGAAAAAGAAAACACTCTGATCCAATGCATGCATTAAGGGGGAATCGAACCCCCGGCGGGTCGATGGCAACGACCCAGGTTACCACTACCCCATTAATGCTTTCCATTTGAGCTGACTTGATTCTTTTTCACGCTTTCCCCAACGACTGGCTCCGCCGTATGATAACTCTCTTTCAGCGAGTCACCCCACTCTGAATCCACCGCTCGTGCCTCTGCAACAACTCGCCGACTATATCGTCCTCAATCTCTTTCTGAGGATCCTTCTCCAGATCTATCCGCAACCAAGACTCCTCATAATCCCTATCCACTTCGTCTCGCGAGGCCGAGCCCGGTTTGGGTGACACAAACACCACCTCGAACTTGCGCCGGTGGAGATCATTCCCAACCACTACCTGATGTCCGTACCGCGCTAATGCTTGTCGCGCCTTTGGGACAAGGAGCCGTTCGTCCGTCTCCAACTAGAGAAACCACATCTCTGAGCACGGACGGGCTGGCGGTTAGACGAGCGTGAGGAGTGCTGACCTTGAACGAAACGATGAACCCTTCACGCGTCCACTCCGCCACGAGCGGCTTGAGGATCTTCGGCACCTGGTCCATCTCAATGTGCAGGCTGCCCTTCCCTGACTGGATCTTGTGTTCCGACTGCCCCCGCACGGCGTGAGCGTCGCCGTCCGCCCCGCCCAGAGGGGACCGAGATCGAGAGACACGCACCATCTTCTGCCGCGGGAGGAAGAAGTCGCTGACCGCGGCGGCGAGGTAGTACAGGCCGCTGCGCCCGAGCACGCCCATCTCCTGGCTCACCGCGCGCAGCAGCCACAGGTAGTCGTTCACCGTCACGAACGTGAGCGTGAGGAGCTTTCCCGCGCGCTGCACCTCCTTGTACGCCGCGAGGACGCGGAGCAGCTGCGGGCGCTCGCCGGGGCGCACCGCGATCTCCGCGGACGAGGCGTCCTCGATGTCGAGGAAGTCGAGGAACGGGTGCGTCGAGTGCGAGTAGTGCCGGCTGAACGGCTGGAGGCTGAACTGGCGGTGCATGAAGATGACGGCGTACCCGGCTTTGAGGAAGTACTCCGCGGACGTCGCCCCACGCGTACCTGTCTGCCATCGGCGCGGGTAGGGGGGAGGAGAGAGGACGAGGACGCACCGGCGCTGAAGTTGTCGAGGAACCGTACGCTGCGCGAACGCCCAAGCCGTCAGCCTCGCCATCCCATCGCCGGAGGAGGAGGAACGCGCGTAGCTCACACGTTGAGCTCGAGCGGTACCGTCGTCCCGCCGCTCTGCACGAGAGGGGGTTGAACATCTGGCGAGATCGCGGGGAGGGAAGGTGGGGGGACGTACGGTTACGAGAACGACCTTGCTCCCGGCGTGCACCTGCCGCTGCACGAACTCGCGCACGCGTGCGGTGTCGCTCTCAAGCGTCGGGGGTGGAGGTTGTGTTGCAAAGTATGACTCGGCGGAGAACACTTGGGGGCTCGAGGCGTCGGCGTCGGTTGCCATCGAGTCGAGTGAGGGAGTGGGAGATCGAGTGCAGAGATGTGGTCGCGAGTCTGAGAGGACTGCGTCGGCTCGTGTCGTGGGTGCTGTAATGTGGGGAATCCAGGGACCTGGGGAGCTTGGCCGCTGTGTCCGCTGGGCGGGGTCCCGGGGAAGCGGAATGTGGTGTGCTCTTGGACAGATGAGTACCCGGGAGAGCGGTACGTGGTTCGATGGCCTCCGGAGGTGGTTCTATGCGCGTACACACCAGGCTGCAGTGGCCGTAACACGCACGATGTCGATGAGAGAGACGGGCTCGGGCTGCGGTCGCGCTTGTCCCCGGATCCCGGACAGTCACAATGGGCGCCTATACGTACTCTCCTCCGAGTCCCGACTCTCAGCGAATACATCTCGTTCAGCTGATTCCTCATCCTCGCCCTTGCCAGAAGCCTTGCATGCGCAATATCCCACAACACCCGCAATTCCCACCACGGATCGTGCATACAAGGCGGAGATGGGCGCGTTTGAGTTCGGTCATCCGTGCGCACCAACGTTTCACCGCCAGCCCCTCGCCATCACCATGGCCGTTGGTCTCGATGCTGTTCTGGTGCGCACCGAATCATGATCTCTAAGTAGCATGTTCATATTATCCCCGCATTCGGAGAACGCCACGGTTCCATCCCGCCTGCTCAAAATCATCAGGGCGATGTGAACCGTGCCGCTGATCATGCCGGGTGTATGCTGCACCGGTTTGGAGCAATGGGATGCCAAGCCCAACGTGAGTGCCTTCGAGCAAATTATGCGACTAAAGACCTCTAAAGACCCGTGTCTTATTCACGTTAGTCCTCATAGTTGACGTTAACTGCGTACCGAGAGCGTCGCCGAAATGAGCGTTCTCGAGACCGCAAGATTGCTCTTCCGCTCATACTCTAAGTGTTTGACCGGTGACCGATGCTGAGGCTTCAATCCGATCGGGGAGCGGCCAGTAGGCACGATTTGCTGGTCCCATCATCTTTATCCGACGCGCGGACCACAAGGACCGACCACGCTAGGCCGCCGGGATCTGTGGCCGCGCATATAAGCCTCGAGATGGGCATCGTGAGCCCTTGTCTCTGACCACCCATCGCACCCACTAACGTACTGAGGCAGGATCCTCTTCACGCCCCTTCCCTTCTCCGGCACACTTTCGCTTCTTCTTTCTCTCGACCTCCTCGTTATCTTCCTTACACCAGTCATGTTTTTCTCCAAGATCTTCATCGCCGCGGCCGCTCTGGTCCTCGCCTCTGCCCTTCAAGTCCAGGCCCACACTGTCATCCAGCCCATGCTCGGCCTCGGGCGTGACGCGGTCCGCAACGACGCATTCGAGCCTGCGGACAACCAGCTGTGTGGGAACGTCGACATCGCGAGCACGTTCGACTCCTCGCCCACGATCGCTGTTAAGTCCGACCACACCTTCCAGGCGACGATCCGCAACTTCAACTCGTGCGTATCCCCTTCATCCTGTCGCGCATCCCTCTTTGCCGCCTTCTTTGCCACAATATATTTACCCATGCTCCATTTCCAGCGGTGTGGACGGCTCGCGCCAGATCGTTGAAGCCAAGTTCGACCCCACCGGCACCGGCAACTCCTTCCAGGACATGAAGATCCTCATCAACGGCCAGCGCTCGCCGTCCGACGAGTCCGGTTCCGAGCAGGTCTTCTTCCAGCTCCTTGGCGACTGCAAGGGCGGCGCGAATGGCAAGAAGTGCCTCGTCGCTTTGAAGGCCGCCGGCGGTTTCGGGAACTGCATCGTCGTCGAGCAGCGCAAGGGGCGCTCGGGCCGCAGCGTCGCGGCGGTGCGGAGGGAGCCTCGCGCGGAGGCGTCCACGCACGAGCACGACGCGCGCGCGATCGGCGCGACGGTGCACACGACGGCGAAGCGCGCGGATGTCGGGCTGCCTCCCCAGCGGCGGCGGGCTGTCCCCAAGTTCGCGCGCGACCACTCGGTCGACGCATGAGCGTGCTGGAGGTGTGTGCTCTTCCTCTCGTCATGCGGCTTTTTCGGCCTGCGGCTGACGGCGACCTCGGCGACAGGCTCTTTCATGAATCATGACAGTCACGAGCGAGGGGGACTTTAGGAGGCTTCACTTCTCTTTGACTTATTTAACGGGCAGCGCCTGTGTGCCAAGAAGGATCGGGGGTGTGTATGAGTATGTACGTTACTTATCGAGATGCCAAGTTTATGAATAGACTTGACGTCGCGCGTTGCCAATATCTCGGGGGCCCCGGCTTCTGTGCGAGTCGAACAGCGTGGGTTATGCTGGTCCCTGAAGTGGTTGTGTCTACAGCGCGTCGGATGATGATCACTGTTTACTCCGGAGGTTGCATTCGTGACTGCGAAACATCCCCATTTGTTCGCCTGGCCCGACGCAGCCCAGTATACGTCTGCTTGGAGTACCCGCCTGCATGCCGCATAGACGCCCTCCCTCAACACCTGCGCAGACTGGGGCTCGGCTTGCTCTCGCACCATCACCATCACCTCACTCTCCCTCGCTGACAGCCTCAAACGTCCCCGACGAACTTTCTGCGCTTAGACCGTCGACGCCTCTGATGTGCGCGCCCCCTCTGCAGCGACACCAGTGCCGGGGCGCACAGGCTGCCCGTACAGCCGCTCACTAACCTGGACACGGGGGCAGATCTATCTTGCAAAGTCCGTCACATCATCTTCCTGCATCTCCGTACATAGCTGATGCTAGTTGATGCAGCGTCCCATTGGGCAGGGTGAGGGGAAGCCGCACTACGCTATCGGCATCGCTGCGGCAGCCTGCTGGGTGATGCCTGAGTACTGCGCGCGCATCGCTCACTCGGAGTAGTATAGCGAATGGATCAAGTCAGCCGACCCCGTCTCATGAATCGCACCCGGGTGTAAGGCTGACCGCGGCGACAAGGAGGGCGTGCCGGCGTTTCGTGCGTAGTTGATTTCTCCGCGCCGCTAGCGCAGCTCGCGAACTGCCAGAGAGGCCTTGACGACGACGCCTGCAGGATTCACCCCAGGAGTGCACAAACACCTGGAATGAGGTACGCGGTGTCCCACTGGCCACACGCCCTGGACTCGTGGTTTCTCGCCGTCAACGCAGGCTCGCGGTCTCGTACTCCAGCTCGCCGGGTCTCCTGGATACGAGCCGCGGCGCGGACGGCACAAACCGTGCTCCACGCTCCGGCCGCGCGCGATCGAGCCACCCGCGCCTTGGCCATTGCGCGCCCTCCACTCGCAAGTGGCCACAGTGCGGCGAGGCATTTCTCCCCCTCCCACACCGTCCTCCCATCCGCCGCCCGTTGACGAGACGAGAACAATTGAGTTACTAGATCAGTCGCCCCTGGCTAATATTGTCGCGCGCTCGTCTGCGACCCGCGCGCTCCGATTGCGATCTGGCGGCGAGGGCGCGCGGGCCGTGCTCGACGCAAGGGGCAGAGCTCTTTGTCCGGTTCGTATAAAGCCCCCCGCCGCCGCCCGTCGGTCTTCAGCTTGCTCATCCGTTTCCTCCCTCTCTCCTTCTCCTCATCCAACGTACACCGAGGCCGGATCCTCGTCGCGCTCCACAGCCACTCGTCTCATTCACCGCAGCCGCTTTCACTTCACGCCCCACGCCTCCCCCACAGTCATTATGCTCTTCTCCACGAACCTCCTCGCCGTCTCTGCCGTCCTCCTCGGCGCCGCCCTCCAGGCACACGCCCACGCGGCGATCGCGCCCATGCTCGGTGTGAGCGGCACGCCCGCGCGCTCCAACGTGCAGCGCCCCTCGACCGCGAAGCCGTGCGGGAACGTGAACATCGCGCAGACCTTCGCGTCCTCGGGCGTCATCAAGCTCGCCGCCGACGACACTTTCCAGGCCACGATCACCAACTTCAACGGGTGCGTCTATCTCTCCTTGCCTCTCCGCCGCGCTCGGGGTGCGCGGGGGGCTGTGCGGACAGGCCGTTGACACGATCTGCGTCCTGTCTTGTCTGCAGCGGCGTCGACGGGTCCCGCGAGATCGCGAGCGTCCAGGTCGACCCGAGCGGCACGGGAAAGAGCTTCGTTGCCGCGAAGATGGTCAAGAACGGCACCAAGGTCCGTCCGTCCCTCTCTCCTTCCCCGCGCGCGCTCCGCTCATCGTCGTCGTCCTTCCTCCCTCCCTCAGGCGCCGTCGAGCAACGCCTCGGAGCAGCTCACCGTGCAGCTCCCCGCGGGCACCAAGTGCACCGGCGCGGGCGGCAAGTGTCTCGTCACGTTCAAGACCGACGGTGGCTTCGGCAACTGCGTCGTCGTTCAGCAGGGCGCTGCGTCCGGGGCCGCGTCCGCGTCCAAGACCAAGGCAGCGACGGCGAAAGCCAACGCGAGCGCAAGCGCAACGACCAAGGCCAAGCTCACCACCGTCAAGACCGGCGGCAAGACCGCGAGCGCGGCGGCCACCGCGACGGACTGCGAGGAGGAGACCGTCACGGTGACGGTGACGGTGACGCCCACCGCGACTGCATGAGCGGTGTGCGGGGCATACGAGGGACCAGGGCGTACAAGTCTGGGCGGCCGCGAGACGGCTGTGCGGCGTGTATGAGTATGTACGTTGGAACTGGGACCGTCTCGCAATGGATGCGCTTGACGCCCCTCCACCTCATCCTCGTCTGTTCTCGAAGAGTGCTATGTCCGGCTTCCAAAGCATCGTGTTACAGGGGGGTGCGATCAGTGCGGGGGGTTCGCGCAGGCCGCACAAACAGCAGACCTCTGGCGGGACGTGTAGCGAGGCCGCGATTTGGGTGCACGGGCGGGGTCGGGCGAAAAGCCTGAAGGCAGCCAGGAATAGAACGTCAAGCGAGCCGCATGTTGAGTGCGTACCTCGAAGGCGTTCAGTCCCTTCGGCTGAGGATACCGCTGCCCCTCAGGCCGGCGCGAGAAGACCCACAGGAGAGCAGTGTAATTTTTCGACTCATCCCCGGCGCTGCGTGACTGTACAGGAACCTCATGTCCGTTATGCCTACCATGAGGCCCGGCATATGGTGATCTAAAAAAAGGCGGCTCAGAGGACCAACAACTGCGTCGCTGCGAGTCGCTAGCCGACGTCAACCAGGCAATCAGAGTCGCCGGCTTTCTCTTTTTCGTGGCGACTTCAGGTGCCTTGGCCGGGGACTTGGACACCCGACTCGTTCCGAACCCCACCGCGCCCTTGAAAGTTTTTTTCGATGCGGGCGTGAAGAACGGTTGAGATGCATGGATACCGTCGCCGCGTGTACCCGCAAAATCGCCGCTGTATATCAGAACAAGAATCATATAGCTCATCCTGTCAGGATGGATGGACGGATGGTAGACTAGATCGCGAACCCCATGATGCTGGGCCCAAACTGACCGAAGGGTGCACGCAACCCCTTCTCCGTAATACTCTGAGATTCAAGCTTCAGAGCTTCAAGACTTGGGGCACATACCTTCGAAGAGTACTTGATACAGCGGCATGCGTTCAGCTCCGTCGCTGCGCTGTCATTCGCGCACGACGGAACTTCCGAAGTCCCGAAGTGTCGGAGCGCCGATAGGGAGTTGAGTTGCGCGGGTGAGCGCGCGAGCATGTCGGAACTTGGACGGCTCTTGTTGAGTGTGCATTGTTCGATGATTATTGTTGTGCTAGCAACGTTATCAAGGCCGTCAGGTGTCAGACAGCATCGGTTGGCTCTACTAGGACAGGCCGCAGATACCTGGAACGATCCCAGGTGTCGGCGCGCCCATTGTTCTTCGAGAGATGGAAGATTCAAAAGAAGATACGAGCGCCGAAAGGAGCGAAGATGGCGAACAAATATTTGGTTCCGGGAGGCGCTCGTCCGCATGTGTTGTCAATGGCTTGACATTGACAGATGTCAGGGCCTTCTTCTGGTGGACACGATCATTACTTAGGAGCCACTGGCCACGATGCGGAGAATAAGATCACACACAATTGGATGGAGACAATGACTTCCCTCGAATATTGCGTTAAGAATCCACTCGTCATCGACAGCTGGGGTTCATATGTCAGAAAAGCATTCAAGCTCGCAACACAGGGGACAATAAGGAAAATCAACGCACGTGGCATTGTTCACCGCCCTTCCCGCGTGGCGTCGTCCGCCTCGGACACAAATAGGTGCGTATTCGCTCATATCCGACGGCACTGTAGGGTGTCTCGGTTAGTTGAAGAAGCTGCGGGATGGAAGACGTTTTTCGTGCCGGTATGACGTCTGCTTCCTGCAGTAGCGGGAGGCCAGGGGCGCAGGCGAAGGAGGCTCAGTATCGTCTTCAGGGGTGGGCGCCGGCCCAAGTGCCCACTGCAATTCACTTGAGGTAAGTACATCTTGCTTTGTGTCAGTGAGTATGACAACCGGCCACCACACTGCCCGCAACGGCCACGGCCACTGCGGGCCGCGTTGAGCCGACCTTCCCCGTCCGAAGCATCACGAAACGCGCCCAGAAAAGAACTATAGATGGTCGCGGCAGGTCAAGTGCAGTCTGCGGGGATCATGCCTTTCTGTGTTGATCGGACAGTGTCAATTTATGACAGAAAATTGTCATGGTAGAACCGGACCGACCATCCCAGACGGGGGTGATGAGCAGCCACGAACATTCGTAAGCGGATGAATGATGGGATGCGATCATGGCTGGGCTTCAAACAGTTCAATGGATGGTCATTACCTAGGTGTAGCTTGATCCAGAGTTATCATTTGTACGTGAGAGATAGAACGGTCCTGGTCGCCTACCCGGGTCGGGCTGAGCAGGGCCGGTCATTGCCTCGGGCCGAGATGAACAGTGCCGATCATCCGCTGGGGACACCATGTTCGATGATGAACATGTTCTCTGAGAGTGGTGATCTAGCCTGAGCGTACAGATGATCTGAGATGGGGTGCACAGTGATCATTGCTGAGGTACAGTATGATCATGGCTGGTTCGTGGCACAGGGATGAGATGACCGTGAGCGCACTTCGAAACGACCATTTCCTGGTGGTGCAATGCCACGAAAAGACCAATTCAGATGCACTGAAATGTTTCGCTGTTGCAGATCGACTGCAAACGCCCATAAATGCGCGAAATCCGGTATTATTCACGTCTATACAGTATGGTAGGTACAGTATGGATGAGAAACGATAACGGCGGAGTTGTAATCAACGGGTGAGCACCTGCGCCTCGCCCACGCCTCACCCGCAACTCACCCACACCTGCTCCGGATGGTGCCATGCGTATCGTCGTGTAGTTCATGGGGCGACCAGTGGCAGGGCGAGTTCATCTCAGAGCGCGGCGACGCCCCAACGAACTTGAGCCGACGGCAGAGTTCGTCGCACGCGCGACGCGCTAGTGGAACGACACCATGAGTCGCACGACACACGCAGCACGCGGCGGCGCTGCGCTTGTGGAAGCCGGCCATGCAGAGCGACGAGGACGAGAATAAGCCAGCTGATCGGGACGCTGACGCCGGTGTTACTGAGTCGGAGCCGGTAGGTGCGTGGGGGCAGGGGCGTGCTCGTCAGTAGCTCGAAAAAATACTCGACTCGCATCTGACAGCAGCACAGAAAGGTGTCAGCAAGACTGGACAAGCGCGAGGGGGAGCCCGGCCTGCTCACATGGCAGCAGCACGGAAAGGTTGAGCTAGCACGGAGCCGCCGCGCGCCTTTCGACGTCCTGCCCGGTGAGAGGGGCTCGTGCGGCGCGTGCCGCAGGCTCATCGGGTGACCGTCAGGCCTCGGGGGTCGTGGTCCTAGGCTGTAGCGCGGCGGAGACGCGTCGGGACATGGGGAGCACGTCATGGTGTGCACGTGCCCCCCGGAGGGTACCCGGTGGCGCGCGCGCGCACTTCCCGGAGGGTGCGCGGCGGCTGGGCGAGCAGGAGCGATGTCCCATTGGCGACTAGTTTCAGGGAAACGGGTCAGCAGCGTTGGAATAACGGGAAGGGCCCACGGGCCGAGTGCTCACCGCTGTTAGACTAGCGTCAAACACAGGTTGAGTTGGGGTGGGGCGGGACAGAGAACGGGGAGACGCACGGTGTTGTCGAAGTTTTCGCCGAGGGAGACCGTGGCAGCGCTAATGACACCTCTGAGGTTGAAGATGAACCAGAAGATGGCGATGAACATGCCCTTCTGCTGCTCGGTGGGGTAGGCGAGCAGCAGGGAGCCCTGGGCGGTCCAGAAAAAGCCGGCACTGATGCCGAGGTACGCGCCTGCCACGATAACGAACCCGCCGACACCATGGTGAATGTTGTATGCCCTGCGCGCGGTGAGCGGGGCGGAGGAGGAGACGCACAGGTAGGAGCCAATGTAGAGCGCTTACCTAGTCGTGCCGAGGAGGAGGGTGAGCCGTGAGCCGAGCACATTGTTGATTGACCTATCCCTCGCCGCAGTTAGTCCCCAGCCCTCGCTCGACGACACGCACGGTCTACCTCCCCTCTCCTGAGTTGTGCGCGGACGTGGTTGGATGGACGCGATTGGAAGGGGAGAAGAGGGAGAAAATGCCAGATAAAGAATGACGGGCGCACTCGAAGAAACCGACAAGCTAGGAGGAGTGTTGCCGTTGGGATGAGTCCATTTGGGCGCGTAGCCCGAAGCTGGCCCATCAGTGGTGCGCTGTGCAAGTCGAGGTTTCTTGCGTGAGGTGCTGGCCATGGTGGTGATATAGAGGGAGGCAAGAGGGAGGATTGGGATGGAGAGGAATCAATTCAAAGCTGAGGAGCTGAGGGCATCAGCACTTTCCGTGGCGGAGAGTATCGTGAGGCTGAGGTACTGTACAGTGGCGGATTTAAGGTTGAAACTCCCCCAGAGGCATTTCGTTGGGGACGGATATAAGAAGTGAAGCTATTGACGTATAGAACGAACGAGCAAGCAGGCATTGACATGAGAGGAATGAGACAGAGGGGCCGTCTAAGCGCACACGCCCGTCTGCGTCGCGCGCGCGGGCAGGCACTAGTTCTTCTGAACGGCTCTTCTCCGACTCGCACTCTCACCCTCCGCACCGCTGCATCCGAAGCCGAAGCAGGTGCGCCAGATCGTGTGCGTTACACGGGAAGCGTTATGTAGACCCCTCGGACGAGCTGCATACACAGAAGAGGATGATGTTGGTTCCTAGTGTTTCGGTGTACGCCCTCATCCGAGGCACTACCAGTATGCTTAGTCATGTATACTACGTTCCCACGCATTGTACAGTACTATGCCGCCGTATCGTCCTAGATCGATATCCAATCTATCATCCTATCCACCATCGTCGTCCTATCCGACACCCTGTCCGTCATCCGGTGTCCTTTCGCCTCTACGGCTCTCTTCGTCCACTGCTCGATTCTTCACAGATGATTGGCCGGTGAGTCTTGCGTTTTTGGAGACGTCTCGTGTGCGTATGCCCTTGCAAGGTGGCCTCGCCATCACCGGCAATTATGCGCCCACAGCTTGAACAAGTCCTGGGCCGTTTTGAGAAGGAGGCAAGGAGTTATTGGTGCGTCTTCCCACCGCTCGCGGCTCGCTATCCCCCTCTAATCTTGAACTCGGTGCTTCAAATAGTGTGTGGTCTCCCATGCCCGACACCGTGCCTTTCACATATCCACGACAATATGCGGGATGGTGGTTCATCACGGCCCCAAATTGTGGTCGGGTCCAGCGCACCACGTGGGTTCTCAACAGGTTCGCGGTCGCTGCCACTTCCTCCGCGAGTATGAAGGAGCACGAGGCTGTGGCGCGGTATGGCCCACAGTTCCGCTATGTTGAGTCCCCCGTGTGCTCTCCTCTCGCCGTGACCCCAGCTCACCGACATCATTGCAGGGCCCGGGTTTACACGTCCCCGCGCACGTGCACCGTGCACGCGCTGGCCGCGCCGGCCAGCGATCCACCCCCAGGCGTGCGGGAAGGGCAAGCCTCTGCAAGCCTGCGATCATCATTATCAGCCCCCACGGTGCGAACATGGACCGCAGGTGCCGCGCATGCCGTCGCTCGCGCGGCCGCAGCACGCGAGCCAGAAGCCAGCGTTCCTCGCGCTGTTTGAGGTGTTCTATGATGCGCATACGCTCAAGGGCTGGCTGCACGCCGAACCGCTGCAGAAGTCCGCTGAGCTCACGCAGGCGCCGCAGCTGCAGCAGGAGCACATCGACGAGCTCGTCAGCCCGTGGTAGAGCGCTGGCTGGGCCCTTCCCTGCCAGTGATTCAGGTCTTCCGCCGTTCCACGCCCTCTGTCTCTCGTAATACCCTGTATTCATTCACGCATGTTCTCTCCCCCTGTTCTGCCAATTTTATCTGTGCTTCAGTCCTTATCTTGGTCAACCTCCGCTCATCGAAGCCTCTTCTGCATCTCATAGATGAATCTGCGCGTGAGCATGCTGCCTGTAGTAGCACTTGCAATTATAAACTGTAGTGATTGCAAGTACGACATTGACTAGGTTTTGGCCGCTCTAAGAGATGCCGCATCCATTGGCGAAAGGATCAGGGGCCATTCTGGAGCTGAAGAGCGAAGACGCAGGCACAGAGAAGAGGAATCTGTCGTGAAGCAGCAGGCTTTATTATTATTATTATTCTCATTCTATCCCTATGTGTCACATATGCGCGTGTAACTACACAGCTAAGAACGTATCCCGCATTCGTTTGAGTACATGTGCTATGTAACGGGCCTGCGCCCGTAGGCAGTTGCAGAAAGTCCAGCGGCCGCAGGCGCCGCGAATCGTTCAGACGACCGAATCGTGCCACGGCGGGATCGCCGCGAGCGCATATGGGATGGGGTAAGTGGGCTTGTCGGTTCCGTAGGATGGAGCGCCGGAGCGCGACGAGCACTCACTCGATGTGGAGGAGTTGGGAGACATGGGACGAGATGGATCGAGATGGGACCCCGCAAGCGACGCGCGGTGGTGCGACCGGGTCAAGCCAGGCAAGGGTATGTAAGCGGGAGGGTCAGGCGACGCGCGTGTACTGTGCCGCGACCGGGTCAAGCCAGGCCCGCCACCGGTAGGTGCGAGTGGGGGAGGAAGGGGAGGGGGGCGGGGAGCGTTCCGTCCGCGGCCGAACGTGGGGGGACATACGTCGGGCGCGAGGGTGTTCCACAGCACCTCGAAGTGTCGTGCGTTTTGGCGGTAGCGGTGACCGCGTGCACGCGCACGCCTCGCGTGGGTTTTGTAGTGCTTTGCGACCCCGGCCTGGAGGACGTCGGAGATGGTGCGGCGGGTCTCGGCCGTGATGGGTGCGACAAGGTGGACCGGGGCGATAGACGTGAAGGGGGCGTCGTCTCCAGCGAGTATGTCGTCGTACCGTTCGTCGTAGTCCGTGATGTCCCAGTCCGAGGTGTCCGGGGGACAGTCCGACGGCTCGAACGCGTTGTGGTTGAGCGCGAGGAACGCGCGTAGGGCAGGCAGAGGGTCGTCGGGTCGTGTGAGGAGCGCAGGTACCATGGGTGTGTGTGAGGACCCGCGCCAGTAGTACGCGCACTCGAAGAGGACATGATGACGGTCGTGGAGTGGGGAGCCGCGCGGGTAGTGTCCGCACGTGCAGTCTGTGGGCTGCCCAGCCCGGGGGCGGTAGCGGGAGCGGTACTCGCCCGTGAACGCATGGCCGGTGAGGACGCGGCACAGCTTGGCGTACGACCGTATGGACGCGTCGCCGAAGCGCCGGATGAGGGACGCCGACGACGCGGGGTCGAAGACATGCAGCGCCGGGTGGTGGACGTAATTGCGTCCCCACCACTCGGGGATGGGGCGAGGCGGCTGGCCGGGGGCGTGGTCGAAGGCGAGCTCGCGCCAGAGGTCGCAGGTCTCGACCGCGATCGCACGCTTCGCGTAGGAGAAGTGCATGCGCGGATGGGGGTCGGGAGCGACGTTGCCGACGAGTGCGTCGACGGCCTCATTGCCTGGCACGCCTTCGTGCGAGGGGACGTACGACAGGTGGAGGTGTGCACCGGGGGAGGCAGAGAGCCAGAGGCGGATGAGGGACGCGGCGAGGATGAGGTCGCCGGCACCTGACTTGGGCTTAAGGAGCGACTGTAGGGCGGCCAGCGAGTCCGAGAAAACGTGGAGGTGCGTGGCGTCAGTGCGCTTGAGCGTGAGCGGGGAGAAGAACGCGAGGGACGCCGTGATCGCGCGGATCTCGGCGTCAGTGGAGAAGCCGCGGCCGGAGGGTGCCGCGTGCGACGCGCAGAGGGTGGCCTCGTCCGGGAAGTACAGCATGTACCCCGCGGCGGTGTGGGAGCCGTCGTGTGTGGCCGCGCCGTCTGTGAAGACGACTGCAGTGTTGGGGTCGGCGTGGGCGGCGGCGATGCGCGGGAGGACCACCGTGTTCTCAAGGAACGCGGCCTGGGCGTCAGCGTCGATCTTCTTTGGGTGCTCGAGGTTGAAGTGGATGCGCTCCGCGAACTCGTCGAGTATGCGGGCGCCGGGCGTGGCCTCCACGTTGAGGACGTCGAACTGCGTGTCCGACATAGGGCGAGTGAGGGAGTCGGGGTGGTGAGGAAGGAGCGAGGCGGCCCCGACGGCCGAGTGGTACATGTGGTGCGCAGGCGCGCGCGTGGGGGGGTATGCCGGGAGCGGGTGGGAGGCGGGAGGTGGGGGGTAGCGGCCCGGGAAGAGGAGGCGGACCGGGTGCGTCGTCATGAGCGTGTCGATGCGCAGCCGGTACGACGCCTGCATCTTGCGGCAAAAAAGGCGGACCGGAACGATGCCCGCGAGCGCGTGGAGTGCGCCGGTGGGGGTCGTGGAGAACGCGCTGGTGATCCACCGGAGGGCATGGTGTTGGGCCGTGGCGAGGGTCTTGGCGTTGTCGTTGAAGCCCTTCGCACGGTAATACACTTGGCAGCCGTACGTGAGCACCGGGCGGATGCATGACGTGTACAGGAGTCGGCGTTGGGAGGGGTTGATGCCGCGCGCCGAGGATCCCAGCATGTGTGAGGCCGCGGTGGTGGTACGAGCGCGGTGTGCGTAGTGGTTGACGTGGGCACGCCAGTTGAGTCTGCTGTCGAGCAGGAATCCGAGGTGGCGGATTGCCGAGGGGGGCTTGAGAGCGGTGGTGAGTCCGGGTAGGGGGATGGCGCGTGTAGCGTGGGGGCAGTGGGCGCTGTGGGTCGGGATGAAATGGATGCCCTCCGTCTTCTCGTGTTCGAGGAGGTATCCCGCGCGTTCGAGGGATGTGGTGAGCGTCTCGTACAGCGGGCCGATCAACTCGAGGTTGGTGGAGACATCTGGGGACGCGACCATTAGGTTGCCGTCGTCGACGTAGAAGTGGTGGTACGGGCGTGCGCCCCCCCGCGGGGAAGGGAAGCGGCACGCGTTGTCGAGCGCGACGAGCACCGGGGTGAGGGCGTGAAGCAGCAGGCAGGCAGCCCAAAGAGCCTGCGCGCACGCCGGATCACGTGGTATCTGGTACTTCCCGGCCACCGGGGCTTGATCAGCAGCCGATCGTCAAATGCTCGTTCACTGGTAATCTTATGCTCTGTACTCAGTGTACCCGCGATCATTTGCACATTAACAGATCTAATAATCGTCAGACAGATTGCAAAATGATCGCACAAATTCAGCTCAAGACAATAGTTGATCATATTTCGTCTACTAGACGAACCATGATCATACTTAAAATCGATGACGAAAACAGTTCATGCCGTGATCAACGGGCGCTTTAGAGATTGGCGCCGTTCTATCTCGCGCGCGTTTCGTGATGAGGATATTCGCAAGGAAATGCTGCGCTTGTGCGCCAAAGCCACCAATCAGGCAACTTCAAAATCAGGAGTGGAATTGAGAACGCAATTGAACACCACTACGGACCTGAAATACTGCGATGCGGCGCCCATGCTCGGGCTCACCATGATGCGGGTAGAGATCTAGGAACATGGCATCAATACTGGGAGTGAGATGTTTCGGTTTCGCCACTGGGTGGCGCCAGAATACCCTGCCACTGGCGTTCATATCAATGACAACATACACCGCTACTGGCGTTCGGATAAGCTCATATGAGTGGGCGCTCTATACCTGCTACTACTGTCTATATGTACCACATAGCCACACATATGAGTGCCCTCACACCCTGCCACCTATACATATTATAAAAGTGGCTGCTTATATGAGTGCATCAGTGTCTTTCCCTCATATGAACTTTGTAGCGCCTTGCCACTCATATGAGCTCGTCCCCTCATATGAGCTCGGCGCTCGCCCCCCTCATATGAGCTCGCCCCCCTCATATGAGCTTGCCCCCTCATATGAGCTCGCCCCCTCATATGAGCTCGCTCCCTCATATGAGCTCGCTCCCTCATATGAGCTCATCGGCGTCTCACCCCTCATATGAGCTTATTAATATCCCACCCTTAATATGAATGCACCAGCATTCCACAGCTCCCATTAGCACATCTGGGAACTGGCATACTCTATTGCATGCCTGTGTTTCTTTGCATGTATAGGTGCACCCATGCCAGAGCAATTCTTCAGCTTATCATATCACTGAGACACAGGAACTGTACTCTGAAAGGACAGGAAACTGCACCAGCTGTGCAACCGAAACAGACAGAATGGGTGCCCATTAGTTCCATTTTTATTCACACAATGCGCAAAGAGAGAGCAAGAAACCCATGATAGAAAGTGCAAGGCTCAAGCCGATCTCCGCAATCGGCAATTGACTCCCCCCGGGGGTCACCTCCGGGCCGGTAATTGACTCCCCCCGGGGGTCGATCTCCGAGTTTTTGATCACCTGTGTATCTCCGAGTTTTTGACCACCTGTGTACCTCCAACTTTTTGATTGCCTGTGTATATTGTCAGCCTTCATTACCAGACTGCCTGTATCTATTACCGAGTTTTTGGACATCTGTGTGTATTACTGCTTTCATTGCCGAGTTTTTGATTGCTGGTGCCTGTTACCGGTCCTCATTACCAACTTTTTGACTGCCTCAATCCATCACTGAGTCTTTGTTCGCCTCCAGCCTTTGACACCGAGTTTTTTATCACTGATATTGGTAATATTAGATGAGTTAGTATGCCTGTACTAAACACCCTCTCCCTAGGAAGTCACCCTTCACAGCTGCATGTGTTGATGGAAATTGACCAAGCTGTTTGCTGGATCAGGTAGTAGCATGCAAGAGCTGTGGGTGTGCAAATCTGGAGGGCAGTAGCTGCAAAAGTGAGGGAGTAATGGGGTATGATATTCTGAAATGACATACCAAACACAGACATGGGATGAGAGTGTATCACATCCCAGACACCTAGATATATTCACAGAGGATGATTTAAATGCAATGCAGGAGAGAGCGCACAGAAATCAGGATTTCTGATGAAGATACAAGATATGTGTGGAAAGTGGAAGTTCTGAGAAAACACAACATGCATAAGTTCATGTGCAGACATTATATCAACAGGCTATTTGCTGCATCACAATTGAGTACTATTGGGGTGCTCAGATCGGAATTTGCAAGCTTATCGGTGATGAGATGCATATGGGGCACCATATGTCATTATTTCATGACATACAGTATCCTGACACAGCATATGCTCCGATTAGAATGCAAAAACATGGAATAGAACGGGGTATAACATAGCTATCCAACGCAGAAAAGACCTTGAAGAACGGTTGAGAATCAGTGGAGATGTGCAAGGTGAGCCAGAAGTGTGGTTGCAGTGAAAAGCGAGGTCAGAGTACATTCAGCATAAACCACACTTCTGGCTCACCTTGCACATCTCCACTGATTCTCAACCGTTCTTCAAGGTCTTTTCTGCGTTGGATAGCTATGTTATACCCCGTTCTATTCCATGTTTTTGCATTCTAATCGGAGCATATGCTGTGTCAGGATACTGTATGTCATGAAATAATGACATATGGTGCCCCATATGCATCTCATCACCGATAAGCTTGCAAATTCCGATCTGAGCACCCCAATAGTACTCAATTGTGATGCAGCAAATAGCCTGTTGATATAATGTCTGCACATGAACTTATGCATGTTGTGTTTTCTCAGAACTTCCACTTTCCACACATATCTTGTATCTTCATCAGAAATCCTGATTTCTGTGCGCTCTCTCCTGCATTGCATTTAAATCATCCTCTGTGAATATATCTAGGTGTCTGGGATGTGATACACTCTCATCCCATGTCTGTGTTTGGTATGTCATTTCAGAATATCATACCCCATTACTCCCTCACTTTTGCAGCTACTGCCCTCCAGATTTGCACACCCACAGCTCTTGCATGCTACTACCTGATCCAGCAAACAGCTTGGTCAATTTCCATCAACACATGCAGCTGTGAAGGGTGACTTCCTAGGGAGAGGGTGTTTAGTACAGGCATACTAACTCATCTAATATTACCAATATCAGTGATAAAAAACTCGGTGTCAAAGGCTGGAGGCGAACAAAGACTCAGTGATGGATTGAGGCAGTCAAAAAGTTGGTAATGAGGACCGGTAACAGGCACCAGCAATCAAAAACTCGGCAATGAAAGCAGTAATACACACAGATGTCCAAAAACTCGGTAATAGATACAGGCAGTCTGGTAATGAAGGCTGACAATATACACAGGCAATCAAAAAGTTGGAGGTACACAGGTGGTCAAAAACTCGGAGATACACAGGTGATCAAAAACTCGGAGATCGACCCCCGGGGGGAGTCAATTACCGGCCCGGAGGTGACCCCCGGGGGGAGTCAATTGCCGATTGCGGAGATCGGCTTGAGCCTTGCACTTTCTATCATGGGTTTCTTGCTCTCTCTTTGCGCATTGTGTGAATAAAAATGGAACTAATGGGCACCCATTCTGTCTGTTTCGGTTGCACAGCTGGTGCAGTTTCCTGTCCTTTCAGAGTACAGTTCCTGTGTCTCAGTGATATGATAAGCTGAAGAATTGCTCTGGCATGGGTGCACCTATACATGCAAAGAAACACAGGCATGCAATAGAGTATGCCAGTTCCCAGATGTGCTAATGGGAGCTGTGGAATGCTGGTGCATTCATATTAAGGGTGGGATATTAATAAGCTCATATGAGGGGTGAGACGCCGATGAGCTCATATGAGGGAGCGAGCTCATATGAGGGAGCGAGCTCATATGAGGGGGCGAGCTCATATGAGGGGGCAAGCTCATATGAGGGGGGCGAGCTCATATGAGGGGGGCGAGCGCCGAGCTCATATGAGGGGACGAGCTCATATGAGTGGCAAGGCGCTACAAAGTTCATATGAGGGAAAGACACTGATGCACTCATATAAGCAGCCACTTTTATAATATGTATAGGTGGCAGGGTGTGAGGGCACTCATATGTGTGGCTATGTGGTACATATAGACAGTAGTAGCAGGTATAGAGCGCCCACTCATATGAGCTTATCCGAACGCCAGTAGCGGTGTATGTTGTCATTGATATGAACGCCAGTGGCAGGGTATTCTGTCGGCATGCGCTGGTTTCGCGACGACAGCGTGGCACTCCGGTGGAGAGTGCGTGACCAAGTCACGATCTAGTTACTGTCACTCACTCACGCGAGGTTCGGCGTTTGTCAGCTCTTTCTCGAACGATACCTTCGGAGGTCGAACATCGGCCTAGTTTGCAGTCTGCGCATAAGCGTGCTAGTACAGGAACGTGTGTGGTGAGAATATTGCGGATCCTGGTTCATCCTGACACGGCAGCGGTGTGTGACGGACAGCCGCTCAGTGACCAGTCTGAGCATATTATTGCATCCACTGCTGATGTGCTCCACGGTGCGCAGGACTTGCGCTGAGTTGCGGCGACATGCACTGCTATTACTTCGCCAAGACTCCTGAAAAGTTCAAATGAACCACCGGTTGGCGCAACTCCTACGCAAATGCTTACTAAGCACCACTCTTTTTCTTACTCGAGCTGTAGCAACGCGCCCTGCGCAGATGCGCACCGCTCTGCTGGACGTAGTACCGCTCCCCGGGCGGTTATTTGACTCCATCGCCGGCCCCGCGCAACCCCCAAGAGTCAAGACCAAGGCAATGGTTGCGCGACCACAACACTGCTGTCACCTCCCACCACCATGTTCGCTTTCGCTATAGCTGGTCTACTCATTTTCGTTCCCCATGGTTCCGCTCAAAGTACAAACGCGAAGTGTGACCCGCAATATGCCTGGGTACGTCCTCTTTACGGCCTTCATTCAGGCTGCTCCATGCTTGTCTCGCAGATGAACAATGCTAAGGGCCAGTCTCCGTGTCTGGTAACATCTTGGCTGCGAACTACATGTTATACCGCTGCAGGTACGTCGCTAAGCTGTCGACATGCGCGATTCTTAACCACCGAGCAGACTCCAGCATCCCCGCGCTGTCGCCAAATGGGACCAATGTATATCCTGCGCCATTGAAGGGGAACATAACGCCCTGCGTTTGCAGCACTGTGCAGTACTCTCTGCTGGCAGCGTGTGCATTTTGTCAGACGGGAAAGTTGTCAATAGATCCGTGAGTCATAGTTCCCCCGTGAGCACAACGGTAGAAGTTGACTAGAGAGCAGGTGGCCGACGTACACCGAGAACTGCGTACCAGCCAAAGGAGGACCCGGGCTTTCTAAGCAGAGGTTAGTATCAGGTATGCTTCGTCAGGATGCGTTACACTCAGACTTTGCAGTTTTCCCAACCCCATACCACCTCATACGTCCGTGCCTGCATGGGCGTATGGCGACGTTGTGGTATGCCTCTCGTCATTCCTGGACTTCTACATCAATGTTCATATTCGCTCCCCAGACTTCTAGCAATTTCAATGTCGCTCAGGCTGAGGCGGTAGCAAACTCCAGTATGTCTTCCTTGCCTATACAAACATCCTTGCAACTAACGACGCTTGCAGATGCTCCAGATAGTTCCGCCAAGGCCGGCATGACCGTTACTAGTGGCACCGCCGTCATCGATCCCAACCCTACCTCCAGATCCCCCGCTTCAGTCACGGACTCGGGCTCTGATCCCACAGGTACGGGAAGTGGAGACAAAAACCAGGAAGCGACCTCCAGCAAGAGTTCTAACGTCGGTGCCATCGTGGGAGGCATCGTCGGCGGGCTCGCGGGGGCCGCGCTCCTCGCTGGGGCTGGGTACTGGTTCATCTTCCGCCACCGCCGAAACGGGGCGTCGCCCTCGGGTCCAGGAGAGGCGGAGAAGTACGGTGAACAGCGCTCGCAGGACGGCCGCGACGCCGCGGCCGACAATGGACGACATTCGTTCGCGTGGACTGCAGCCAAGCTCCCCGAGGCCGCGCCGCTGATCTACGTGAGCCCTTCGCGCTGACATGCGATTGTGTATGCAAATGTCTGGCGCTGACCGCGAACAGTATTGTAATTGTCAGGATCCCGACGACCCACGGACGTTCCCTCCTCCGATCTCCACGGACGTCTCTGCTACGTTCGGCCCGGGGGTCTCCGGCATAGGGCACAACCCGGCCGAGTTCTCAGTTCCTGAAGCTCAAAGCACTTATCACAGTCGACCGGAACTTTAATGTGCTCTGTCATGGACTTGAACCATTCCCAACGCCGTCCATCATACCGGAGTACTGCATCGAGCTACCTCTTTCGTTATGTAATGTTCGACTCCAATTCAACTGATGCACTGTTTGAATTGGATGCTAAATAGACCTTCGCTCACGTGCGCCCGGACGCCTCCAACTTCAAGAGCCTGCGTATCGGTAATGGTGGGTCGATGCCCCAAGTGACGCGGCGGGCGTGATGTGGGTCTCAATATCATCCACATGAATGCGCGCTGTCTGGACACTGCCATACGTCTCAAACGTGCCTCGCCGGGGTCACCAATGCCGAAATAACCGCATCTGTCATATCAAAGGAGGTGCCGGCCTGCTACGCACGTCGGGCAGTCGCATATGGCTGTCTTGCTCAGCAGTGAGCCTGCGATCGGCTGCTTTTACCGGATATCGATATCGAGTCCGGAGGCATATGCCGGCGGAGCGCCCGGCGTCCTCCCCGTGGGACGCTGTTACGAACCCGCGGCGCCGGCCCGCAGCGCTCAGCTGTGCCCTCATAAGGGGCAGCTCGCTAGCGGGCAAGGTCAGTGACTGCCTTCCAATCCGACACGCAAAACAATGTCTCTTCTCCCTCTCGCCATCGTTTCCGCGGTGGTCGCCTGTCTGGGTTGGCCTGTCATTAAACACCATGTCATCAGCTCCCCACTTGACGTCTTGAACGGGCCCAAGCCATCCTCGTTCTTCTTGGGTACGTTTTATACACTTGCTATGATTGAAATGGGTCTTCCTGACACTACCACTGGTAATAGGTACCATCCCCCTCTTCTTCCAAAGGCAAGGATGGCGTAACTTTGCCCAGAGCGCAGACGCGTTCGGTCGCGCGTGGCTTGCTAGAGGATTCTTCTACGTGAGTGACTCTTCACACGGGATGTACCGATGACTCACACGCCATCTCTCCAGGCCCCTGTGCTCGTCATCCACGACCCCAAGGCGCTGCACACGGCCATGGTGAAAGACGAACATATCTGGCAGAAGGGCCTCGCGCCTTCGGAGTGCGTATTGCTGGAATGCAGGTGTTCTCCGTGCTGACTCTGCCGTGCCTGCAGCAACCTCACGCTTCTCCTTGGCCCTGGGGTTCTTTCTACGCGCGCAGGGCAACACAAGCGCCAGCGGAAGTTGTTGAACCCGGTCTTCTCCGTTGCGCATCTGCGCGACATGACCCACATTTTCTACAACGTTGCGCACAGGGTGCAACCGATACGTGTTTGATAACCCTGGCGAGTCGTCTGACATCCCAATGCAGGTACACGCTGCACTGGCGAAGCGTATCCCCAGCACCGAGATCGCGCAAGAGGTAGACATCAACGGCTGGATGGGTCATATCACGCTGGAAATGCTCGGCCAGGCCGGTCTCGGGTACTCGTTCGACGACTTCACCGACGACAAGACGGACACGTACGGGGAGTCAATCAAGCTTTTCTTGTGTGTTGAATTCCGCGTGTGTTCGTCCGACCTCAATAGAGACTAACCTTCCTCCCCAGCCCCAAGCTCTCCGCCACGCGCTTCTACAACCTCTTCACCGCGCGGCTCTCGTGGTACCTGCCTGATCCCGTCATCCGCCAGATTGGCCGCTCCGCGCCGACTAAGGGAATCCGCGATGTCATGAAGATCTCGGACACGATGATGCAGCGCTCGAAGGAGATCGTCGCGGAGAAAAAGGCCAAACTCGAGAAGGGCGACGCCGCGCTTAAGCACGAGGTCGGCGAGGGCAAGGACATCATGAGCATCTGCCGTGCGTACATCCGCAGGATCCTGTCCTCTTCTGACAACCGTACCCCTACAGTGCGGGCGAACATGGCGGCCGCCGACAACGAGAAGATGACGGACGAGGAGATCCTCGCGCAGATGTCCACGTTCATCCTCGCCGGCATGGACACCACCTCGAACGCGCTCTCCCGCATCCTGTGGCTCCTCTCCGGCCGGCAGGACGTGCAGGCGAAGCTCCGCGCCGAAATCGTCGAGGCGCAGGGCGGCGTGGGCCCGACATCCCGTACGACGACCTCGTCAAGCTCCCCTACCTCGACGCCGTCTGCCGCGAGACCCTCCGCGTCTACGCGCCCGTGACGCTCGCCCCGCGCGTGTACGTCCTTTAGCTAGCGCCCCGTCGCCCGTCCAACTCACTCCCGCCCAGCGCGACCCAGGACACGGTCATCCCGTTCTCCGCCCCCGTGCGCACGCGCGACGGGCGCGAGATCACGGAGATCGCGGCGCCGCGCGGCACGATCGCGCTCATGCACTACCAGGCGTCCAACACCGACGCCGCGCTCTGGGGGCCCGACGCGCGCGAGTGGAAGCCGGAGCGGTGGCTCGCGCCGCTCCCCGCGGGCCTCGAGGACGCGCGGATCCCGGGGGTGTACGCGCACCTGATGACGTTCGCCGCGGGCACGCGCTCGTGCATCGGCTTCAAGTTCTCGCAGCTCGAGATGAGTGAGTGTCCCGGTCCGGCCGTCGGTGGTGGAGGAGACGAGGCTGACACACGCGCCGTGCCACAGAGATCGTGTTGTCCGTGCTGCTCCCCGCGTTCTCGTTCGAGCTCACGGACAAGCCCGTCGCGTGGAACTCGTCCGCGGTCATCTATCCCACTATGGGCGAGGAGAGCAGCAAGCCGGAGCTGCTGCTCATGGTTAAGGCGCTCAAGGCCTGAACGTATCGGACGCTGCGTGGACAGTTGTATTGGAGCTGTTACATTATTGCTGGTGTTAATCCTATCCACTATTGAGCCTAATGTGATTTTGGTTGTCTCTAGAGCAATACTCCCCTCGACAGCATCACTCCCGTCTACATAGAAATACTGCAGCTTTCGACGTCCACTGCGCCCATCTCAGGATATTTGGATGAAGTCCCGCATGGTGTGTTATCGATGTAAACGGCCAAGCAAGATCTGGTGTTCCAAGTACTGTACACGAATTAAGCACTAGTGTAAGATCGTAGATGAGGTTTCGGTATCAGACTTTCCCCCAAGCCCTGATTTCAAGCCCAAAGTACACAGGTAAGTTCTTGAAAAAAAGTTTGCACCCCTCCTCCTCTCTTTCCACCACTGCGTGGTAGCACCCACCACAAAGGCTTGGGCGAACGCGTTTACTCCAAGAATGTTTCCGCTGGGTAAAATCTCGGTAGGGCTGATAATCATGATAAAGGAACCCTGGGTCTTGTTGCAGAGCATGTAATGTGGCATAGCACCGGTCCGAATCGTCGTTCGCGCACTTCTTAAGGTCGTAGTCGAACACGTAATCAATAGCCGAAATTATCTCATCCCTCTTGACGATCGGTCGGGCGTCGATGCACCTCGCAAGATCCTCATGGGAGAGATGTTCGACCGTACCGTCACCGCGCTTGAATCCGGACAGTAATGCGAGGGTGGGGAGCTCCAGACACTCGAAGAGTGCGGCGGGGAGCAGCCACAGCTCGTCCGTGAGGCGTGCGATGTTGACGACAGCGATCGCAGCAGTACCCCGAAGGCACTCCGGGAACGACGACCGGCTCGGGTCGCGCCATCCTGCCCAGTGCTTCGTGTAGTATTGTCCCAGTCGCGCGGCGAGCCTTTTGACGACCGTGTCCATTTGATACTTGTGGCCAAGCCGCACGCCCGCGCTGATGTCCAACATGTTCAGGTCTTCGAGGACGCATGCCCTTCAAACGTAGAGCGCTGAGAACTGAGAGATCGCGAAGGGGAAGAGATTGGACGTACCCATTCTTCGGCATCACCAAGCGAAGTAACCGCCGCACATCGTCGGCCGAGTCTTGCAGGTTGACGACAGGGCATCCATCGACGGCAGGCCGAGGACCAGGTGTGGGAAGAGAGAACATGTCCGCGAAGACTGGTGACGCGCTGGCAAGAACACCCTTGTAGACCCGAAACACGACGTCTCCTGCGATGAGAATGATGCTCCCGTCCTCGAACCAGAATTCTGCGTCCTTCACAAGTGCCTGTATCCGATCTTCGTCGCGAAGGTCGGTCGTACGGTTGGAGGAGGGAGCGTCGCCCTCGATATTTGAAGGGCGTGTCCGCTTGCGTCGAGGAGGGGGCTGCGACATGCTGGAAGCAAGGGATGGCAAAAAACACAAGACTCCCCGCGACGCGCGCAACCTCAACTGAAAGACGACCGGCAGCGACGGCCCGGCAACCCGGTCTGACGCCACTGGCCAGGACTCGGGCCTGCTGTCGTTCGCACTCGTCTTGACTAATAGCTTCCTCCTTTACCCCATCTTGGCCATGTCTGACTTCCTCGCAGATGACCCCGAGTGGGCAGACGTCGTTCCTGTTCGACAGTATGAAAACGCGAACCCGATCGCCCCCATCTTCTACTCCGACGAGTGTTCGTACCCCCACAACGCCGCCGCATCAGTATTGACTGCTCCGAGCAGACACGGACGCGACTGACTACCTTCGTGGGGTGCTCAAGACGGGGGAGATGAGCCTCCGCGTCTTGAGGCTCACCGAACGCGTCATCCGGATGAACCCCGCTCACTACACTGCATGGTGCGTCCTCTGTCTCTCATCCAGGAGACCACAATCCCAACCAGATCTTGCGCAGGCAACTCCGCTACAAGACTCTCCTCGCGCTAAAACTCGCGCTTGATGATGAGCTCCGACTCATGGACGAGATCGCGACGACGTTCCTGAAAACATATCAAGTGTGGCACCACCGCCGCCTGCTCCTCACCACGCTCAACGACGTCCCGACCGCGGCACGCGAGCTCGGCTTCCTCACGACCGTGCTCGACGCGGACTCGAAGAACTATCACACGTGGTCGTACCGGCAATGGATCCTCGCGCACTTCAACGACGAGGGCACGCTCTGGCAGAGTGAACGGCCGTACGTCGAGCAGTTACTCGAGGAGGATGTGCGCAACAACTCGGCGTGGCACCACCGCTTCTTTGTCGTGTTCTCCAGCGGGGTACGGGAAGGGGACGAAGATCGGGACCGGGTATTGAAGAGGGAGCTCTCGTGAGTCGCGATCTTTGCATACGTCTACCCCCGCATACTTTTCCTGCATTCTGGCTATATGCGCGGAAGAGGCTCACCTCAGCCGCGGTGCAGGTTCGCGAAAGAGAAGATCGCGCTTGCGCCGAACAACCCGTCCGCGTGGAACTACCTCCGCGGCGCGCTCGAGTTTACCAAGACCCCTTTCGCGACCGTCAAGGCATTCGTCATGCCATACACAGCATCGTCCCCACCACCGCCCTCCGATGTAGTCGACCTGGATGACCCAGTGCCCTCACAAGGCGCGGAGCTGCCCTGCGTCGCAGCGATGGAGTTCTTGGCGGACATTTACGAGCAGGAGGGCGGAGACGCGGTACCAGAGGCTGCCAAGGTGCGTCGCTTTTTCTTGCTGTGTGGACGGCCGCTTAGTGGAATCGTGGTAGATATGGAAATCTCTGGCCGAGGACAGGGATACCATGCGTAAGAAGTAAGTGTAGTGTTATGATGCTTGGTGCAGGCGTTGACCGTTCTCTAGGTACTGGGTATATCGCATACGGGAAGCGACCCAGGCGCCGTGACCGAGACGATATGCATTTGTACGATTATCTTGAAGACTGCACCTCTAAAACGAATGTATCGACACGCTTGTTCTCATGCCCTAACATGAATGCCAGCGGGACGATGCTATGAGATTACACACAGGGTAAGGACTGTTCAATCTACTGATACAACGTTACATAAGCACACCAGGTGTCAATAAAAGCAAGCTCAAGCCGAAAGCCCTGAAATCCGGATTCACGACAATTCCGGCCTTCCAAAATACGTGAACTGCGGCGTCACCCCCAGAGCGACGATCGCAGGGTCGTGGAATAACCCGCGATTCTTCCGCCGACTCTTGCCCAGTTTCTTCTCGTCTTTGGGTGGTGGATCGGGCGAAGGGAATGTCTCCGGGTCGTCGGGATTCTACACCACCCCTGGTCCATCATTGTCCAGATTCGCCAGAGGAGAAGGCATATACGCACGTAAACCGCAAGGCTCGGATACGTCCTCAGGTTCAGCCTCACGACAACCCGTTGCCCCTTCTTGTCCGCAAATTCTGCACATTCCCCTCCCTTCATGGCTACGACGCCGTGCTCTTGCACGGTCACGCTCTCGAACGTCCTGCTCCGGCTCAAGACCCCCGCCTCGCCCCCCGTTCCGTTTAGCCCCTTCGCGCGACAGGCGCGTCGCCGCATCGTGCACATCAGCAACACACCCCCGAGCAGGACGAGAACCACCCCTCCCACAACTCCGCCCGCGATCGCGGCCGCGTTCGACTTCTTCTGCGAGTCGGAACTGGAAGGGCTGGTAGCGCCTGAGATGGATGTCGCGGTGGCAAGGCTCGATGGTGCAGAGAAGTGGACGGAGGATAGGGAAGCGCCCGTGGTGAGGTGCAAGGGGGAGGGTGAGCGAGAGGCCGCCAGAGAAGCGGACGAGGACTGGCTGGCTTTGAATGCGAGCGCGAAGGCGGCGGCAGGGTCGAACGCGCCCGCGTCCTGTCGTGCGTCGAGGTGAGTGCGCTGGCTTGCGCGGCGGGAATGTCCGTGCTCACCGTCAGCGCAGCTTTCGGCCACGCTGGGATCTCCGTGCCGGACGACACCGGTTGCGTGAACCTGGCTCGGGGCTCAGCTCGGCGTTCCGCGCCATCCGCATGTCCCGCCGCACTTACACTCCGACGAAGGTGCTCTCCCCAGGGCACTGCTGCGAGAAGACCGGCCACCTGAAGAACGCCCAGGCATGTCAGACCTGGGGTACGGCCCGCACCCACAAGCACTCACGACGAAATCGGAATCGGGCTGCTGCCGCTCTGGCACAGCGCGCACGCAGCGAGGAGCGAGTACGTGACCGTGCTGCACACGCACGGGTTCGCGTCGTCCGCGCTCGCGGGGCCCGCGTACGCCCCGCCCACCTCGCCCAGCGCGCGCACGGTCGGGTCTGCCCCCGGGAAACGTCAGTCGGTCGAACGAACGCCCGGAGAGCAGCGAGAGGAAGGACCTGGTGGGAAGCACGACGCCTCGAGAAAGGAGGCAACGAGGCACGGGCTCTGCCCCTTCGAGTTGGACATCTAAGGACCACCGGCGGCCGAGGGGTTTTGGTGAGCGACCGCCCCGTTCGACCTCCGTTCGAGATTGCAGGTGTGCTCACCCAGCTGAACGCAGGATGGCATGTCACGTCCGTACTTTGGGCGCGGGTCCCGACAGCGGCTGTGATCAGTACTGCTACAAGGGATTTGAAGGAAGGCAAGAAGGGAAGGGCAGCCGGCGCGACCATGCTCGCAGGATGCGCATGGGGCGCCACAGCTGTTCAGGAAGAGTGATACGGGAGAGGGAGGGAGGGAGAGATATGCTTGTGGGGTATCCATGGCATATATGGATATCGACCAAGTGGTCGCCAGCGTTCTCACACAGGCTCCTCATATGTTTGTATTCCAGCCACGGGGGTCTCAGCACTCTAGAGGACAGGAGAAGAGGCGGGAGTTATGCGGCACATCCACTTGTCTGACATCCTAGGCGGGGCTCAAGTACCGATAAGATTGCTGGACGACCAGCTGAGGTACGGGCGCAGGCATCATGCGAGAGGAGGCGACGTGCACCGGGTTCGCCGGGGGTGTGGTCAGGTATATAAGAAGGCAGGTTCGATTCTCCCAGATCCTGCCAAAGTTGCGCCAACAAACATGAGAGCAGTGGTTACCGTCTCTGCACAGGGAAGATGGTCGTGCGCAAGATGCCGGCATTCATGAGGTCGTACGGACGAATATAATGGGACTCGCCGGCTACGTCCCAGCAGGTGTTGTAGTGTACACATACATTAAGGTATCCCTCTAATATCTTAATCTAACACTCGTGTGTCATTACGGAAGGACTTTCAACTCAGTGTGCTGCGTTCGCCGCGCGAAGACGAACTGTCTCCGCGATGTGTGTGGGATATTGCTCGTGCGCGCCGAAGCGGGAGCCTCGGGGAATTGCAGAGGGGAGAGGGCCTTCGATCATGCTAGAAGAAGGCGCATGAGGATCTGGGGAGTAGCCCAAGGGGGTGTACAAACCTCGAAGGTTGATATTGAGAGTAGACGTAGCAGGCGAGGCCTGTCTGAAGGGTGCCGAAGAGGACTAGTGACTGGTGCATAAAAGACGGCGTCAAGGACCATATAGATGGTCTGCGAATGAACATACTTGAGCACGGGCAGCGACGAGAGAGAGCATCGTGGTCGTCAGGGTTGGTGTGTTGGCTGGAGTGGAGGGTGCGCTCGAAAACTGAGGCTGAGGAGTGTTTGCAGAGAAAAGCTTAAGCCGAGGTTTCAGAAGTCCAGACCTCTCCGCTTTTATATCCCCTTGCGCTCAGCTTAACCCGTGTACGTGCCCAAGCCGCAAGCCTCATCGAGCTCATCCGATTCGGGCGCAAACGCTGCGCGACGGCGGAAGTCGGAACGTATGTGGCCCAGCCGCGTTCGAGTGCGAGCCGGAACACCACAGGATCGGTCGAGGCTGCGAACATTGACATTGAGCACCCAACAGCACCGCCGCATCAAGTCTGGGTGGGGTCCATAGGCGTTCTGGACAAAAGTGGTAGACGCCCATTCGGGCCGCTCGGTCAACGCCGGCGGTCCGGCCGGGAAGACCCGAAACAAAACATCTCAGACCGAGGGGAGACTTTGATAAAAGGGCTGCCTAGGGGAGACGAGCTGACAAGTTGCATAGGAGGCGTTGGAAACACTAACACTACGCAACGTCGTCATTTGACCGCGGAGGTCGCTACAATCCTCCCACTCTTCCTCACCCTGTTCTTCTCCATCTCCTACTCTTCCCAACCTTTGGTCTTTCAATGATCGTAGTCTGCGCGGAGGTGCTTTTATACGATGTTACTCAGAAGACGTTTTCCTACCCTCGTCGCTCCGTAAGCCACGTCGGCGACGAAGACGACGAGCTACTACCGCTATTCAATAAGGTCAAGGATGCGGTCAGCGACATCGCAGACAATATCAGCAACTATATTGGCATGTACGAGGTTCGTGGCCTTCATATTCACTACGATTCACATAGTTGAAGTTTCCACCGTTGCAGGTCGCGCCTGACCACCCATACCTCGTCAAGAACCCTCGCAGCCCTCTGGAGTGGGAGCTCCTTTGTGAAACTATCACCATGAAGGACATATCCCGTATGCTCACTGTCTATAGCACCCTCAAGTTATCTGAGATCGGTCACAAATATCCCCTTGTTGCGCTTGGTATGTTCATACACCTCTATTTTCTTCTCGTCATTAAGGCGTTGTGCCAGCGACGACGCGGCCACTTCGGGCTGCGCACGTGCAAAAAAAAACTCCGAAGTCCAGTAAGTCGATCCCCCAGAATCCCCAATCTCGCGCATCTTCTTACGGAATTACAGTGCGTGAAGCCCTTGCCGCCAGACTTAGGGCATATGGTTCCAAATACGCTCGTTCGGCCGAGCTCTATCAGCGTGAAAACCAGGACGACATCCTCGACTATCGGGGGGAAAGTCCACCTCCGATATCCATCTACCATCCCGCCTTTACGAAGTTCCTCGATCGTTTGAACAAAGATAACGACGCTGCCCCCGATGAACTGGTCTTCGCAGCAGATCTCGTGGCGCGGGGCCGCATGTACGGTTCAGAGGACCATCAAGAGCTCCCCCAGATCCTGGAAGTAGCGTTATCTGGTGCCAAAGCCTGCACGAACCCATTCACAATTCCTACCGGCTTCTCACCGATACCAACAATCATCCGCGCCAGGAGCGACGATAGCTATCTCGACCCAGTGTCTTTGGCTGAGTGCGAATATATCGATGCCTTCACTTCGCACGAGGTAAGTGCCTGTCCCCGTTTATACGCATGACTACCCCTCTGAAACACCTCCTATCAGGCATTTCAGGTGCGGCAGGCATGCTGCTGCCCAGCACTGCTCATCACCATCGATGGCGCGCGGATTCAGGTGGCCGGCGCGGCGTTCGGAGACCACATCATCGTCCAGCCGCTCGCGGACGTTTCGCTATTGCCCCTACCCACCATTGACGGCACCACACCGATGACACACGCCGTGATCTACCGCGTCGCACGCCTGCTCCGCGCCCTGCGCGCCGCTCGCATCGAGCTCGACAAGTACTACTCCGACATCGCGTCGGCCATTTCCGCGTGGCACCGCCCGCCCCCAGAGTTGATCGGCCCCCACTGGACCGAGTTCGTCCACCCCGAGCACGGCAGAGTGACGCTCACGTACACGGGTCGCATAGGCGCGTATGACTTCCCGCACAAGGCGGTGTTCACCGCGCAGGCGACCGCGGCGGGCATGCCCGCGGCCAGCGTGGTCGTCAAGTTCCCGCTGCAGTACGGCAAATCGGGCCACGAGGCCCTCGCGCCCGAGTTCGCGCCGCGGCTGTGGCACTGCGCGCGGGAGCCCAGCGTGGGCGGACTCTGGGCCGTGGTGATGGACTTCGTGCAGGGCTCGGCGGTCGCGGAGAGGGAGGTGCTCACGCCCGCGCAGGGCGAGGCGTTGGGTTCCGCGGTGGGGCGCCTTCACGCGCGCGGGCTGGTGTTCGGCGATCTGAGGGAGGTCAACGTGCTCACGGTGGGCGATGGCGTCAGGCTCATCGACTTTGACTGGTGCGGGACGGTCGGGGAGGCGCGGTATCCGCCTGCGATCAATATGGAGCACAAGTGGCCCATGGGCGTTCGGTGCGGCCAGTTCATCGAGCAGTCGCATGACCGGTTCTGGGTAAAGAAGATGAGTGGGATGTGGACCGGCGATGTAGTGTAGAGAAGCAGTCGTGTAGGATCTGAGCATGCTTTGTCGAGATCTCGTATGTCATCTCATGATTCACGGATGCAGATCTTCCCTGCCGGCAAGATTGACGAGTGCCATCGACAGCCTGTAGGTCTTGCTTCTGAGGCGACGAGCGGCTGACGTCGATATCGTTGTCCGTCTACGGAAGACACGTTTGGAGATTTCGAATCCCGTTTCTCTGCAAATCGGAAACTGCCACCCGCCACTTCTACTTCTTGAGCAGCGTCACCTTCATCGGCATCGCCGCATCCCGGCCAGAGGGCATGACCGACGGGTACACGACGGGCGCGACGTTCCAGTACACCTGCTTGTCTGACAGGTCGAACTCGAACGTCGACAGAAGGACAGCGAGGACGACCTCTGCGGACGAGCAAACATGTGAGCATGGGGAGAGACCGTTCAAATGCAATTCTGCACGTACTCATTTCGAGTTGAGAGAACTTGAAGCCGCTGTAAAGTCGTGAAAGCGTCGGATCAGTGTAAGCACGGTCGGGAACCAGGAGGGCCAAGACGTACATGCACGCGCGAGCGCCTGCCCAGAACGTCATCCTACGTACCCAAGCCGCATCAGTATGCACACCCGGAGCCTACGCCTGAGAACGAAAGTCCACGCACAAGTTCGCGTACACGCCGGGGATGCGCGCATCGGTCACCTCGCCGGGGAGCGGCGCGAGCCAGCGCTGCGGCTTCCACTCCTCCGCGTCCGGCCCCCACAGCTCCTTGTCCGTGTTCGAGGCGCCGATGCAGATGTACACCTCCGTTCCCCTGGGCACGAGGATCTCATGCATATCCTTGCCGTCTGCGCCCCGAACGGGCTTAGAGAGCGGCAGAACCGCGTCCTCGCGGGCCCTGTTGGTAGACTGAGCGGGGATGCGCGAGGCGAGGGGCAATCAAAACTCACTCCCTGAATCGAAGCGGCGCGGGCGCGTGGCTGCAGGGGGAGACCGGTAACTCAGCATCGGAGGGCGCTCAGAGGTGAGTGAGCGGAGGCGTACAGGCGCAGAGTCTCCCGGCATACCGCGTCCAGAAGCGGGAGCGAGACGAGGTCGTCGTAGCCGATGTCGCTGCCGTTCTGCGCGTCGAGGATCTCTTGCCGGACCCGGGCTTGGATGTCCTTGTTCTGTGCGAGGCGCCAGAGGGTGAGCGAGAGCGCGTTCGAGGTCGTGTCCATTGCCGCAAAGACGAGCACGCTGTCGAGTCGTTAGACGTCCATCATCAGGCTTGCAAGGTACGGAGAGGGCAGCGACCGCAGTCACTCACGCAATCTGGGCGATTAGCTCATGGTCTGGAAGCCTGTCCGCCTCCGCGGACGCCATGTTCGCCTTGACTGAAGAATCGCGAATCAGCTACAGAAAGCCTCCCCGGAGACCGCGGAGGTGGGGAGCACGCACGCAAGACGCTCATGATGTCCCGACCTTCGCCGACCTGCAGCTTCATCTCTTCGTCTCCCTTCGCGAGCGCGGCCTTCTTCGCCTCGAAGATCTCGAGCGACTTGTCCTTGATGATACGCGTTTCGCGCATCATCCGGTGCAATGCCGGGATCGGGACCAGCTTTCCGAGTGGGACTATGAGCGGCTCCGGGACGATCTTCTCCACGAGCGGGAGCAGCGTCGTGAGAGACCCGAGGCCTGCGGATGCGGGCCTGGAGGGAACATGACTGGTGAGTCACAACCTAGTAGACGGATCATAGGCTTGACGTACATGAGGTTCTTGATCGCCTCTCCGAGCGGGTCGGCCTTCTCCTCGGTCAGGGGATCGAAGGAGTAGCCGAGCCCGGCCTGCCCCACGAGCTCGAGTGCGGTGCGGCCCATCCACATCACCATGTCCACTTCGGCGGAGCCGTCCTTTGTACGCATCTCGATGGCCTCCCCGAGCTGCGATAGAAAACATATCAGTTCTGATAGTTGTGGGGTAAACAACGGCCGAACAGTACCTTATGGACGACCTTGTAGAAAGTCGGCATCATTTCCCGGAGATGGGCGACTGAGAAGACGGGATTGAGCATCTTCCGCTGTTTACGGTGGTGGTCGCCTACGAGCACCGAGTTAACGTCAGAGATCACCTTCTGCCCGAACTTGACCGAGCCACGTGTACGTACCGACGGAGGAAAACAGGCCCATTCCGAATTGACGCTTCGTCGCACTGCGGGAGGCAGCACGTTGGTGGGTCGGAAGGACGGAGTATTTCACTCCTAATAAGTGGCTTACCTGAGGAACCACTCTGTCTCTTCAAAGATATACGGCTCTTTGACAGCGATGTGGTGCATGGCCTTCGGGTCGTGCACGTAGAGAAGCTTGGACTGTGTGAGACACCGATTAGCTGTCATTGCAAACTGCAGACATGACAATACAGCGACTCACGCCCAGGAATCCATGCAGCCGAGCGACCCGGCCATACTTCTTCCCGATGTCGAGGTGGAAGTTCCAGCCCTGTTTATCTCTGAGCTGCCGTCGGTTACCTGTCGACACGATCATCGGTCGGGTGATACCAAGAGGTGCGGAAGCCGCGGGGCACTAACCGAGGAGGAACGATTCGGGGGGAGGCCCATCGAGCTTGTCGAGGTCGGACTTGACGATAATCTGACGGAAGTACTTCCACAGCACATATGTTGTGCCGCATACGAGGAGAGTCTGTAGTAGTGATCCTATCATGGCGAGCGGGCGGGCGAGTGAATAGCTGGTTGTTTGGCAGAGCTGTCGGCCAAGCAGCTGTATATGTATGACGGCCATAGGATCCGACCGCGGAAAAAGGAGGGGGAAACGTGATGGCGGCTGAAACAAAGCTGGTGCGTTGCCGGCGGACACGCTCCACGAACTTCCTCTGCGCGGAACGCAATGTCACATGTGATATGACGACGGGATGGAAGTCTCAATCGGAGAGGGTCATACGGATACCACCTGCAGGTGATCAAGAAGGGCAAATACCGCGGCTTCACTGCTGCATGAACGGGATCGTCGGTCAATGCGTCCAAAGGCGATCAACTTCGATTCAATCTGAAAGACACAGTGAGCCACTCGCCCTTTCGACCTGTTGGGTTTGATGCTTTCGAGCTCGTTGAGTTTGTGAGACACAGAAAGGTGAACATCTCGAGAGCGCTGGTTCAGCTCAAGTGACCTCCGATTGGACATCCCATAAACGATGCCTTTAGGGTAGCGTAATACCATTCAGGTTGTCGACCGGACCATCGGAGGAACCATTACTCACTGTTCGCGGTGAATCAGTCGTACGTGATGACGTGCGGACGACGCGCGGGTTCTTGGCATTCGAGCGTGTGCTCCGGATACTGTTTGCAGCAAATGTTGATGTTCGGTGTCAGGTAGCCGGCGGGAACATACTGGTACAATGCGGCCAGATGTGCGTCTTCATGCAAGTGACCAGCGCTTCGAGATTCCGGCTACTCACATCCCGGTTTATACCGGTTTTCAACATGTTTGCACTTGTGTTGATCGTGGCTCTCTGAAGCCGTCCAGGACAAGCACAATCACTCGCTCGACCAGTTCCTCAACTCATCATCATCTTCATAAACCCAGGTCCGTGTTGTTCGCCTGTACGTACAGACGGCAGAACGACAAGACGTGGTGTCCAACCTCCACGAGCGCCCCTCGCTGTGCGCTGGAAATGACGTCACCACACGTCTCGGCCAACTGAAGTGCATATACGTATGTATGCCCCTCAAGTCCTTCGACTCGCCTCTTGCACACACCTCGTTCTCACTACAATCACCGCGCATTCCTCCACATCGAAACCATGGCTGTTTCCGGCATAGGAGGTACCAGCGGCGTTCACACGAGGGGCAACGGACGTGTTCTTGTGAGTCTGTTCGCGACGTTTGGCTGCGCCCGTCCGCAACACGCGGACGCGGTTGTCCTGCCAAGGCCATGTCTGCCGTAGTAGGCATCGTCGGGACGCTCGGGTACATGTTCGTCGCTGGAAAGCAGACGAAGAAGGAAGAGGGCCCGGCGTCGATGTACAGTGCGTGATCCTCACCTCTCCTGTCCGCACCTTGTATTGATGGTGGATGGGGCACAGGCCAAACCCAGGGCTTGAGCCCAGAAACGAACGACGTACGCAGTAACTCCGCGCAGGTCCGCGAGATCGTACAGGGCCAGCGCAAGCCGTGAGGTGCGATGCGCATCGAGCGCGCTGAGTCAGGGCGCGCACAAGAGAACGAATACTATGTATTACCATCAAAACACCTGTATCATAGGATCGAAGGCAATTACTACACCTGAAATATTCTCTACGCGGCGCGCGCAAGTCCTCGAGCGCGCTTCGCCTCGTCCGATCTGGACTCGGGAGCGCACACCGACCGCACCGCTAGACCTCAAGGCCTCAGGGCTCAGTACTCCCACCCCCTCGCGTACACGTCAACATGCAGTCGCTGTCGTTCTCCCCCCATCGCCCCGCACCGAGAGCAACGATAGGCCCACTGCCTCTCTCGCCGTCGACTTGAGAACACAGGCGCGCACCGGGGAGGCCGACCCCGGATCGGAGCGGACGGTCTTGGCCCCCCTCGGAGTCGGCGCATCACCGTGCGGGCTGTCTGCCGAGGGCACGAGGGCATGCGCAGAGTAGGAGGCCTGGAGCCCTCCGACCCGTCCGGCTCGGCCAGTCTCAGCATGAGGCGATGGACGGCAGACGCGGCCAGCAGCGGCCCGCGGGCGGCCCAGCGCCCGAACAACTCCCAAGCCCGCGCCCGAACGACATCGGGAACTCGCTTCGACGGCAGTCCGGGTCTTGTTCGAAGCTCTGCGCACTGCAGACGTATTTGACGTCCTTGTCAGTGCCAGAGTCCTCGAGAAGTACGGAGATCCGGCTCGCAGCGAATCGGCCGACGACCACCTAGGCGCGTGCCAACAAGGTTGGCCGAAGGCGAACGTTTGACAGGCCGGTCGGATTGGGGTCGGAGTGCGTTGGCCCGCGTGGATTTGGTGGCGGCTCGTAGGGTTTGCGTGCGCGTGGTGCACGGCGAGGTACAGGAACGGGCTGTGTCGGTGTGGAACGGCGGCGGACCTCTGCGGTCTAGAATGGGGATGGCGGCGATCGCTGGAGAGAGGTAGAGTTTCTTCGGGATAGTCGGCCGCGCGTGTTCTGCAGGATGGGTGAACTGAGTTTCATCTCTGGATAGGAGGGAGAGCAAGAAGTGGCAGGCGTGCAAGTGCTGGATATCCGAGGTCGAAAGAACTACGACAAAGAGCCGTGCGCAGGAACGGGTTCGTCAACTTTCACGTGCGATACCGCAAATCGGGCGGCTGATCGACTTTTCGCCCCCACTAGACACCGGTGGCTCACCAGGCTGTACGGGTTGAACGTTGAAGGAGGTGGCACAGTCTTGTTGGCCACCGCCGCCAAACATCGGCATCGCGCGTCGACCGATTGTACACCTGTGGTCGACACAGCAGCACTAACAAAAGGAGGCAATCAGTGACTGGAGGGACGACGACATCAGGGATGAATGTTGTTCGCAGAGACCGTTCCATCCACCGTTCGTGCGCAAACGAGGTACCGCATCAGGTGACGACGTCTATGTTGGATGGCCCCTATGCGACTTGCCTTATCGAGAGGTGCTGGCTGTCCCGAACGGCGCAAACGATCTCGGGACGGCACCGCCCGCATAACTTGTATGCTCGTGTGTGTCGTCTGCCCGATCCCAGCTGCTCATCGGGCTCCGCAGTGAGCGGGATCCGAGCACTCACCATTCTGCCCAGAACGCCGCCCAGTTCCTTCTTCGGTACAGGGAGGACCCATAAGGCCAACAAGAATAGACGCCTGTGTATTCCTTGTCCTGGCCGCACAATCTAATAATCCTGCGCGTGAGGCAATGGCTCGTCAACGTTAAGAGCGCTCAGGTGCGGAACAGAGAGTCTAAAGGCCCCGGCGTGCGCCCCGTTCCGCCCGTCGCAGCATCGCCTCCCACCGGTCTGAAGCACGGTCCAGGGCCGCGTGGAGATCTCGCACCGACACACGAAACACTCACCCGATAAATGACCCCGCGCTAGCCTCCATGTATATGAATTTTGGCGTTCCCCGATCGCCGCGTCCAGTGGCGAGCTCGCGGGCTTTCGGCGCGCATCGCGGAGTTTAGGTTCGTGCCCGGCCGTCCGCGGGCGTCGCCAACAGGGTTCGTGCTGCCGCCGTGCCACGGTGCTGCGATCCCACCAGCGTGATGCCCGCATGCTGATGTTGTCGCAGCGTGGAGTCTGCAAAGGCGGCGAGCGAGTCGCGACGAACAGAGATAGCCCGCCACGATCACCGCGGGTGGCCCGCGAGGGTGGGGGCGGTGTGTGGCCCGCGATTTGCCTTGTTCTCTCCCGTCCACCTTCTCGAAGCCCGCGGACACCGACCGCCGAACTGGTGAACGCGCGCGCGGGAGCGACCGTGGCGCGGGCGCGCGGCCCTTGTGTGCCGCGCAGTTTGAGCTGGGTGGGAAGTGCGGCGGGGACGCGCGCAGCGTGCCTGGGTTCTCTGCGGGCTTGATCGGGTGGGTTGGCGTTTGCTCTGCGCCGCCCCGCGTCCGTCGTCCGCGCCGCAGGTATGTGGACGGCTTCGTAAGCCTGGAGGGGTCACAAGGGAGTCGGCTGCGCGCGCGACGCTCGAGCGAACAGAACTCGGAGGGTTTGAAACTCTGCGCCAGCGATGCACCAGGCTGAGAGGGTAGTAAAAGCCCCGTCCGTGACGACATTGCGCGAAGAAGCGAGCGCCGAGCGATCAACGAAAACTTTCGACGCGCCCCTGCAACACTCGTGCCAGCCTGCGCGCGGCACTCTCCGGGCGTCAGGCGTCCAAGCCTGTACGCGCGATTCTCGAGAACCCGCCGAGTCTTGAGTGGAGCGTGCCTTCGTGAGTGGATTGGACACTCCACGGCGGCGGGGCCGATCGAGGTTCGAACGCAGGCGGGTGCGGTGCCGGGAGGCGTAAGTAGGGGAAGGCCACCGTGGGCCGCTTGATAGGACTGCGCGCGTCGTCCGGGGGTTGTGGCGAGGGGTGAGATCTGAGAGGGTGATCACGCGAGTTCGTGTGCGCCTTTCGCCGCCGCACATAGCGCGCTGTTGTGTCCGTAGTGTTTCGCGCAGCCCCCAGGGCGACGACTCCGAGTTAACGGCCGCGGCCTCAATTAAGCGGCCGGAGAACAGCACAGATTGGAGAACGAGCAATGCTCCGTGGAAACACAAAACAAGGCAGAAAGATGGGTGCGGGGCGGCGCGAGCATGCTTGCTTGCTTGGGCGCGGTGCGGTGCCCAGAGGCGAGAGCTGGCGTGACGAGCGGTTGCGGTCATCATCGCAGAAAACGTAGCTGAAGCACTTCCTCTCACCCGGGGGTTGCGCGTCCGGACAGCGCAATGGAGAGGTGCCGTACCCACGGTCTATCGCGTAGATTGAGGGTGCCTTGACGGCGAGTGGGCGGGGAGAGAGGAGGAGAAGGCAGTGCATGCGCCATCCGACGCGGGCGGGTCGACGGCACGGAGTCTCACGCAGCCAGGCGCTGGCCACGTCGACCGGTACGATGGCTTCGACCTTGTGTATTTGGCTTTGATCACAGCGGACTGCTGGTGGGCCACATCAGCTGAGTCACCTCTATGTTCTGAACTTTGTGACTCATTGACGCTTCGCAGGAGCTGCATCATCGACGACTGGGAAGACTGGCTTGTCAGCACTGCTTCGCCGCACCGTCAACTTTGCATATTGCGCTTGAAGGTTTGCCTCGAGGCAGTCTGAGTTCACCGGTCCTTCAGGGACTTTCCACGCCGAAAATACGGACATGTTCCCAGAGAGGCTGACAGCCCGTCCTACCTTGCTATTGTATCCAACCGCCTGCGACAACTCGAGTATCTGCCAAGCTCGACGTCCGCATGTACACCGACGCATGTTCCGCACACGCTTCAGGAACTATCCAGGCATGGAGGCGCACTGGATAGACCAGCATGGGTGGGGCGCAATCTGCCAGGCGCAACCTGCCAGGCGCAGAATGGGTCCGCTCCCGCCACCGGGGAGGGGGAAGCTCGGTGCCGTCCGTGCGCTCCCCGACCCTCCCTCGTGTCGGTCCTCCGTCCGGAGGCCCATCGGGATCTCCGGGCGGTGACCGTGTCGAGGCGCCTCCTCCGCTGGGCCCATCGATCAAGCCCGCGGGGCGCGAAATGGCAGATGTCGGGCTCGCGCTGTTGCCGCAACTGAATCTTGTGCGCCTCCGCCTGGATTGCTCGCGCGCGCACTGGCACCCGACGGGACAGCATCGCGAACTGCCCCGCGCACTCTCCCGCGCGCGCGCAGGCCGGTATAAAGCCTCTGACTAGGATGCCCTGTCCTCCTCATCCATCCACACCATCCACCGCCTCCGGTCCCGGCGCAGCGTCCTCGTTCCTGTCCTATCCTATAGGATTTTTAATTGCTTCGGCTACCCTAGTCACATCCTTTCCTCGGTTCTCCGCTTTTTAATCCTCGCCTTTCGCTCTTCGCCCAGCCCTCCCTTTTCTGTCCATCTCTACCAGCAATGCCTGCCCAGCTCAAGACTCACCTCCACGCGCTCGCCGAGGCCGTGTCCTCCCACTCCGACCTTCCTATCTACAAGCTTCCCGCGTACGACAGCGAGGACGTGCTCCGTGCCTGGACCCCGATCTCCTTCGCGCAGTTCCAGGCGGACGTGAACCACTTTGCCGCCCATCTCGCGCGCAAGCTCTCCGCGGACGGCGTCCCGTCGCGGTCCGTCGTTGGCCTCTGGTGAGTCCGCCGCTACGTGCTTAGTGCGCGCACTGCTGACTGCTCGGCAGGTCCAATGGGATGTCCTACGTCGACATCCTCTACATCTACTCGCTCGCCCGCGCGGGCTTCGTGCCCCAGCTGTTCTCGCTCCGGTTGCCGAACCCGGACGTGATCTACGAACTCCTCGCAAAGGCGGGCGGGAAGGCGATGGTGTACGAGCCCGAGCTCGAGCCTATGCTGGCGACGTGCCCCGTCCCCTCTTACCGCGCGGACGACCTCCGCGACGCCCCAGTCGACCTCGCCTCCCTCCCTCCGCTCTACGAACCCGCGTCCGCGGACGAGATCGCGATGATCTTCCACACGTCCGGCTCGACATCGGGCCGGCCGAAGCTCCTCCCGTGCGACTACAAGTGGCTCGACGCGATGGTGCACAAGTCCGCGTGGGTGAGCCCCCCGCTGCGCGCTCCGCAGGACGTGACGGTCGCGATGTAAGTACCCTGCCCCCTTCCCTCCCGCGAACCGACGCTGACAGACACCATAGGGGCAGCATGTGCCACATCGGGCAGACGTTCATGTTCCTCGCGACGTTCCAGCACGGCGGGTGCACGCTCCAGCCGCGCGCCGTCACCTTCTCCTCCGCCGAGCTCGCGCACATGATCGCCGTCGGCGGGCTCTCGCGCCTGAACCAGTTCCCCGCGTTCTTCGCGGTGCACGTCCGCGCCGCGCGCGGCGACGACGCGAAGCTGCTCGCCCTCCTCCAGACGCTCGACGAGATCCTGTACTCGGGCCAGCCGATGCCGCTCGAGGACGAGGGCTGGGCGTACGCGCAGGACCTCCCCCTCCGCAACCTGTTCGGGAGCACCGAGTGCGGCGCGATGCTGCTCTCCGTGCGCGGCGGCGGGCGCCCGACGCCCGTGCTCCGCCCCGTCGAAGGCACGCACTACGCCTTCCTCCCCATCCCGGACGCGCCCGAGCTCGAGGAGGAAGCGGACTCGTCCGAGTCCGGGTACGCGAACGCGAACGCGCAGCTGCTCGAGCTCGTCGTCCTCGCCTCCTCCCCCGACTGCCCGCACGCGTCCATGCGCGCCGCGGACGGCCACTTCCACACCGGCGACCTCTTCCTCGAGGCCGCGCCCGGCGCGTACGTCTCCCGCGGCCGGAACGACGACTGGATCAAGACGCAGAACGCGCTCCGGTGCGACACGCGCGCGGTCGAGGACAACGCGCGCGCGCAGTGCGCGGACCTCATCGCGACGTGCGTCGCCGTCGGCAACGGGCGCCCGAGCCCCGCGCTCTTCGTCGAGGCCGCCGCGGGCGCGCTCGCGCGGTGCCGCGGGGACGAGGCGCGGCTGCGGCGCGAGGTCGTGCGCCGGACGCGCGCGTTCCACCAGACGCGGTACCTGCACGAGCGCATCGCGGACGCGCGGTTCGTCGTCGTCGTGCCCGAGGGCACGCTGCCGCGCACGGCGACGAAGGGGAACGTGCGGCGGCGGGCGGTGGAGGAGATGTTCAAGGCGGAGCTCGACGCGATGTTCGCATGAGGGGACATACGCGTGCAAAACGAGCCGTCCGACTCACTCGCGGCTCTGGGTTTCCGTTTCTTGGAGACTCCCTGTGCATACACACTACTTTGTTCACCCCTTACCCTATTATTATCTTAATGTCTCCCCTCTTGCGCTCTTGTGCACCTGTATCACGGCATTTGTAGCATAGTATTGTCGCTCTAGACTAAATCATCATTGTTTCGTATTCAAATCACTTTGGAGAAGTCTCCCCGGTCATAGCAGTATTCTGCAAGTGAATAAAGGACCGTGGCGGGGAGATGAGATCCAATGGCATAAGCCCACGCCGCTCGGCATGACGTCATACCACAACTCCGGCGCTGGGATCCTCAGAATATGCAGACCTTGCACGAACCGGAAGACCGTCGACTGCACAAGTGGACGGATGGGTTACGCTGTACTGGTACGCCGGTTTCTTTGCCACCGCTCCCGCTTCAGAAGTCGACGAAGTAATGGTCGCCCTCCTCGATATCCTCGTCCGAAATGTGCTCCTCCCGTTCCTCCTCCCTTCCACCGTACCACCTCTCTTTCGCATCCCAGCAGCCGCCGCGTCCCTCGATACGCTCCAGCCAATCTCCCAGCGGATTCTCGATAGAATACACAAGGTGTTTCCCGCTCTTTATCATTTTCGGCAACATCAGCATGAACCGACATGGAGTGTCGCCATGGAGTTGGACATCTCTGCGGAGCCTGACCAGATGGCCCTTCAAGGTGTCGTATGAGCGTTTTGCTGTAAGTATTCCTCTCGGGTGGGGACATCCTTGCATGACGAGCACTTGCAGATTTTCGAGGACTGGTAGCCCTGGCTCCGCACCCTCGCTGTCCGGCGCTACGGTGGAACAGCGCCTTCAGAGGAGAAGACGAATAGCACGCGAGGCGCCTACCTAGCATGTTTCGAGCGGAGGCTGCGATGTACTCCCCGTCGCTTCCGTAGCCCACCCAGTCGAAACGGACGTGGGTGAGCTTCGGGGCCCGTGTGGCCCATCCATGGAGGTTTTGCGAGGAGGAGACCCGGGTGAGATGGAGATGTGTCAGCCTCGGAAATTTGGGTAGGTCCGAGCAGTCAACCTTGTCCCAGTCGAGGGGCAGACCACCCCGTCGCACGGATGGGAGCGGAGCGAATTCGTAGTCACCGTCGGTGACGGAGAGTTCCTCGAGGAGGGGTAATTCGAGGTCCCGGGATATATGGAAACCTGGCAGCGATAGAAAAAAATCTGAGGAGTGGGCCAGGACGCTCATAAATGGTAGGGTTGCGAGCGAGAGCGTCCGGAGATCGGCGGCCGCCAGGTTCAATAGGCAGATGACCGAGTCTGTCACGTGTCTAGCTTGTTCTCTATCGTTGAGTATTATTCCTGATTCGATGTGGAGGTGGCGAATGCGAGGCCGCTCGGAGCCGACCTCTCGGGAAATCTCGGCCTGGAAGGATCGAACGAAAATCTCGGGCCGAAGAAGGTTCGTCACTATGTTCAGCTTGACGGAGAAGAAGCGACAAGGACGCGCGACCTCTCGAAAGTGCTTGCAAACGAGTGACAGAGAGCATCCGGTGAATCCTCCATCCGTACAGGCGAGGGTGAATATGTTTCTGAGAAGTTCGACAGGCATCTGTTGAATCCGACCTCCGATCTAAGTATGTGATCAGATCAAGACATGCAGGACACTCATATCGTTCTACCTCGGCCTGATCGTCGGAGATGATGTTGACGGGTGAGGGTGCGCAATTCGTCTGTGTATATGTATACAATCAGAAGTCATACCTGACGCATTAAAGATGCTGCTCACCATAGCGGAAGCTTTAGGAAATCGAAAGGGCGTGCAATGTGATGATGGTCACTGTAAGCCGCCGTGGGGATGCCGCCGCAGCCCACCAAGTCCACTCTGAGTTCAAACCTAAATCTCATAAACGCCCAGCGAATATCCTCGGTACTACGCGCTGTTCGTGTCGGAGTCCGGGCGAGAAACCGCTTTCCAGCTGTGTTGTTTCGCTTGAGCTCCGTCCACTGACGGTATGAAATCAGGATCAATGCAGTGCGTTGAGTTATTGTGATAAGGCGAACCCACTTTTGTCCGCGCAAATAGCCCTGGACGTCGCAGCTCAACGATGACATTGACACTGCGTTCAATGACAGTATACCAGGACAAAAACAATATGCCACCAAATTGTGAGTCTTTGGACAGCTACTGAGAGGAACAAGATGCTTGGTGGTCGCTGGGTCGAACTTGTGATCGGCCAAAATCCAAATCACAAACAATAAAATCGACATTGGCGCTCGGGAGAGTTAGTAGCCGGGTCCCGGGAAAAGCGAAGCGCTGGTCCCTGGGAATCTTCGACAGGACAATCACCGACTTGTCGGGAATTCCTTGAACTGGCCTCCATGCGCACACTCAGCCTGTGCGTTCCCGCCGGACTGAACGTGAAGACTTCCACATGCTCAAAAGTAATGACAGCCGAGTTGGGGTCCCCTGAACCCGAATGGGTCTTTGTTCCTGTTGAACAGTAGTAAGCGAAGTTTTCTCCGAGCGCTGGCACCACGGGCAGTCTGACGAGTGCATCGTACATAAGTACTTGCCACCCCCATAGTGAAGTTCGAAGCGAAAAGGAACTACTTTGAGGTTTGCATCTCCCCTGCTTAGTGAAACTGCCGGATTGAAAGTTCGTTGCGAACAGGTTCGAAGGAGTGTGTTATTCGTGCTGAAGGGACTGGGTCAATCTTGTGCACGACCGTCATTCCCGAGGGCGCGGAGTGCGAGCTTGTCAAGCCAGGGCACTTCGACTCCCACGCTACTCTCGAATCCAATGCGGGCCGTGGCCACCGGCAACGCATCGTCTCAGCCGATACTACACTCCCCCCGCCTTCGCCGGAGTCGGGGGCGCAGCGACCATCATACATATACACTCGATTTATGAACCCCCGTTGTTCCAACTCCTACCACTCGCTCGCTCGTCGCTCATTCGACATGATTGGATCGCTACTACAGGCTCTTTTCGTCTGCGGCACGGCATTCGTGCTGTGGAAGTATTTCCGCCAGCACGTCATCAAGACCGACCTTGACAAGCTTAACGGCCCGCCTCCCGAGTCGTTCCTCCTCGGTAAGTGTTCATTTGCTCAAGGGCATCTTAGAATCACCCAGCAACTGCTCATGTTCCACAGGAAACTTGAGGCAACTCAGAGCCAAGCAAGAGTGGGACTTCCACCTCGACATCGGGAAGAAGTATGGTCGAGTCGCTCGCCTACATGGCTTTCTTGGTGTTCGTGACCCTCTCATCATACTTGGAGTAAAACTGACCTAGGTTGCTTATCCGCACAGTCTAATCTTCTCTACGTGCACGACCCGAAGGCCATGCACCACATCGCTGTCAAAGAGCCGTATATCTTTGAAGAGACCGAGTGGTTCCTCAGGTAAGCCACTTATTAGGAAGCCAGTAATCGGTCCTTCCGATCCACCAATGTGCTTTCTCCCGCAGTGCGACGAAGCGTCAATTCGGAATGGGCTTGTTTTCCTCCGTCGGTACGTACACGTGGCTCGGTCAACTTCGGGCAGAATGTGATCTCTGACGTTAACTCGGTGCTCGTAGGCGACCACCACCGTAAGCAGCGGAAGATGCTCAATCCCGTCTTCTCAGTCGCCCATCTCCGGGAAATGATGCCGAATTTCTACAAGGTCGTCCATAGTGTGATTTTCGGTCATGATTTACCCCACGTACTATATCAGAACTGACATGTTTTCTATCGCAGCTCAGGGAGGCCATCGAGATGCGTACGAAGGACGGCTCCGCCGAAGTCGACATGGTGATGTGGATGGGCCGAACTGCACTCGAACTCGTGGGGCAGGCCGGGCTCGGCTACTCCTTCGACCCGCTAACAGAGGACAAGGCCGACCCCCTCGGAGAGGCGGTCAAGAACCTTGTGTATGTCTCCGTGTCGTGGATCCATTCTCATGATCTCTTTTGCGCGATGCTCACCCCACCCAAGGCCCGCCGCCGCAGGCTTAGGCGCGCTCGCAACATTGCTCCCGCTCGTCGAGAAGATTGTCCCAGAGCCGCTTATGGTCCCGCTCGGGAAGCTGGTCCCGATCCCGGCATTGCACCGGATGATGCGAGACACGCGCACGATCAAGGACAAGTCACTCGAGATCTTCGAGGCGAAGAAGGCCGCCCTCGCAAAGGGTGATGAGGAGATGAAGCTCCAGATCGGCGAGGGTCACGACATCATGAGCGTCCTTCGTGCGTCATTTCTGCGTCCACGGTGTCGGAATTCGTCTGTGACTAATTCGCGACGTCGTAGTCAAGGCGAACATGGCCTCCGCGGAGGCGGACAGGCTCCCTGACGATGAACTCGTCGCGCAGATAGGGTGGGTTCCGCGGTCAGTATACTTTCTGGAGTTCGTTTGACGATGGCTTTCCGCACGACAGCGTGCTTGTCTTCGCTGCTATGGACACGACCTCGAACGCTCTGTCGCTCACACTCTGGCGCCTCGCGCAGAACAAAGACGTCCAGGCGCGAGTCCGGCAGGAGATCCTCGACGCACAGAACGGAAGCGACATCGGTTACGACGATCTCATCTCTCTACCCCTCCTCGACGCGGTATGCCGCGAGACCCTCCGTCTGTACGTCCGCTGTTTATCTCCAGAGAACGATCCGAAGTTCACGATGATCAATCTGTTCGCGCAGCCACCCGCCCGCCCCTCTGCGATTCCGAGAGTCAGTGCCACTTTCTTATTACATGCTTCTCGGGCTAATGCTATTGTGCACAGAGCCCGCAAGGACGCGATGTTACCTCTCTCAAAACCTGTTCGCACCGTTGACGGCAAGGAGATCCACGAGATCCTTGTCCCCAAGGGCACGAACGTGTACGTTTGCATCGGCGCGTCGAACACGGACAAGGACTTGTGGGGCCCGGACGCGGAGGAGTGGAAGCCGCAGAGGTGGCTCGCGCCGCTCCCAGGCGAGGTAACCGATGCGCGCATCCCGGGTGTGTACGCGAACTCTTTCGTTCTCAGACGTAGGCTCCGGGTGTGCATACTGATGCGGCTTGGGTACGTAGGATGACGTTCTGGGCAGGCGCTCGCGCGTGCATGTACGTCTTGGCCCTCCTGGTTCCCGACCGTGCTTACACTGATCCGACGCTTTCACAACTTTACAGCGGCTTCAAGTTCTCTCAACTCGAAATGAGTACGTGTAGAATTGCATTTGAACGGTCTCTCCTCATGCTCACATGTTTGCTCGTCCGCAGAGGTCGTCCTCGCTGTGCTCCTGTCGACGTTCGAGTTCGACCTGTCCGACAAGCAGGTGTACTGGAACGTCGCGCCCGTCGTGTACCCGTCGGTCCTCCCCTCTGGCCTAGACCCGGCGATGCCGATGAAAGTGACGCTGCTTAAGAAGTAGATGTTGTGAAGTTCATCGGAGGTCTACTAGGCAAATAAAGTCACAACGACGGCTACTGTACACCAACTAATGAGACAAATATGGCGTGATAGAAAATCGTCCTACAAGTTGGGATTGGTCCAGAATGACGTACGCCGTGCTTACCTTGCCACGCGACCGCGGGCGGGCGGGCGGGCGGGAGTGGTCGACCGCAAGTACTCGGGAAGTTTAACAAGTAGTGGCGGTATCAGGACATCAATCAACCCGAAGTGGCACGACCGGTGTATGGAGCTTGCATGTTCTTCTCAGGTGTTGAAATGGGGAGAGTTCAGGCTGAAGCGGACTTATGTAAATTATTCAGTGGTGGCTGAGTCGAACCCACGATCGGCCGGAAAATCGCGTGTACTCTCCGATATCGCCGATCAAAAATCGGAACTCCGGGCGGCGTGACCCGCGAGTCGGCGACCGTACGTCGAGACGGCGATTGGCAAGAACTCTGTCCTGCAAGTATCTTCACTGCTCCCAGCCCTTCTGCATATTGCGCAATATCCTCTGTCCTGATACTGCCTACTATTGGTCGACTCGGGGTCACTGCCGTGCCCGCACGACCAGCTTCACCTGCCAGCTACGATTTTCAAATCCAAGCGACTCGACGTCAAATAGACCGAAAGTCTTGCTGTCATTTCCCGAACGTCTCCAGCTCGCGATCGCCGACCGGGAACGCCTATCGGGGTAGGAGGCAGCCCTGCTGATTCGATGTTGCGTTTTTGGTAATGAGAAGCGCGTCACTCTATACACTCCGCTCACAGGGATTCTATACGGAGTTGACATTTCGCACAGAATTGTGGCACTTCTTTGATGAGAACGTACAATGCAATGACGTTACGGGCCGGCACAGGTGGACAACTACACACGCGCGATTACGGTCTGCAGTCCGCTTTTGACAGGTTTGTGTAACCGTCATCCCTTAACTCCACGGCACTGGGGGACCCACCTTTCTGGTATTGGTTTTTTTGGGTAATTATTCCTTACTTCTCTCGGGAGAGTCGGCTCCCGTGTGGTCAACGACGCGGACGTCATTTACTACGACGTGACCCAGTTATGGTTTGTACGACGTGTCGACCGCCCGTATGGAACATTCTCGGCGCCGACAGCATGCTTATAAGATCGGTGAGAGCTTCCCGAGTATTCACCACACCACCCGCCAGATCTCAGACTTTCTGCTACAAGCCCGACAGCGATGCTCGCCGTTGCCGTTGCCGTTGTCGCCTCTTGGTTCATTTGGACATATTTCCGCCAGATTTTCACGCGGTCTCCGCTCGATAGAATTCCGGGGCCTGCGTTGAAGGACTCGTTCCAATACGGTGCGTTTATCCCGTATTATTTTCTCTGAAATACTTATGTGATTCCTCCCCAAGGCCACCTCAAGCGATTGCTCGCCCCAGATGGTTGGGGGTTCCTTGAGTACCTGACCGACTCCTATCCGGGTATTGCTAAGCTTGCGGGACCTTTCGGCGTACGTACTCGTGCTCGCTTATGCTCGTGCATTCTCCCTGAAGCAAAGAATGCAGCACCGATCACTCTATGTGTTCGATCCTCTGGCTCTTCACAACATCATCGTGAAGGAACAGAATATTTTCGAAGAAAATGACTTCTTTTTCACGTAGGTCGTCGCAGTCCTTCCCCATGCTGAGGCTCACGCAGTCTATATCAGGTTGAACAACATGCTCTTCGGTCCTGGTCTCCTTTCTACCAACGGTACGCGGTCCCATACTATCGCTCTGCGGCATATTCTGGACCTACTCAACGTGTCATTGTCTGTCAACTCAGGGGACAAGCACAAGAAACAGCGTAAGCTACTGAACCCAGTGTTCTCCATCGCCCATATGCGCCGCATGATCCCAATCTTCAACAAGGTCACACACCAGGTATGTCCGATCTGTTCAACACCCCCACTTGCTGATGGTCTTCTGTGTCACAGCTCGTACAGGCTCTCGAAGCGCGCGTCGACGTGAAGGCCAGCAGTACCGAGATTGATGTAGTGCAGTGGATGGGTCGTACCGCTCTCGAGCTCATCGGCCAAGCCGGACTGGGAGTCAGCTTCGACCCACTTGTCGCCGACAAAGCCGACGAACTGGCCGAGACGATAAAGGAGTTCCAGTGCGTCTCATTCTCATCTTTAAATACTTGAAGTTCAGCTGATCCGCGTATAGACCCGCCATGAGCGATCTCGCCTTCGTCCACCGCTTGCTCATTGAGATTCCGGGTTTTGCCAAGATGAGCCGGGACTGGATACGTCGCGTGTGCCGATTGATCCCACTGCCCGCGGCTCACAAGGTGAACCTTTTCACCGATAGGCTGGAACAAAGCTCCCTGGACATCTGGCGGGCGAAAAAGGCCGCATTGGCTCGTGGGGATGACGCGATGGCTCGGGAGGTTGGAGAAGGCAAGGACCTCATGAGCATTCTGCGTACGTACTGCTATCGCACGAATTCACCCCTGAGAGTACTGACCCTCCCTCTGACGCACGGACAGTCCGGGAGAACATGGGAGCGAAGGAAGAAGACAAGCTGCCCGAGGAGGACCTCATCGCCCAGATGAAGTACGTCCAGAATTCGCACAGTCCCATCCCCATCAGCGCTGACCGGGAGACCACGACTGGCAGCACGTTCACCTTCGCCGCCATGGACACCACGTCCAACGCGCTCTCTCTGACACTCACCCGCCTCTCCGAGAACCCGGACGTCCAGCAGAAGCTCCGCGAGGAGATCCTCGAAGCCCTCGACGACCGCCAGGACCTCGACTACGACGAGCTCAACAAGCTTCCGTTCCTCGACGCCGTCTGCCGCGAGACCCTCCGCCTGTGAGTCCCCCCGCGCCGGCAGAGTCGTCCTCGCTCCGCGCGGCTGACCCGGTTCTCTCGCAGGCACGCGCCGGTACCGCTCCTCTTCCGCGTGAACCGCGAGGACGCCGTCCTCCCGATCTCGCGGCCGATCCAGTGCACAGACGGGACCGAGGTGCGGGAGATCCCCGTGCCGAAGGGCACGGCGGTCATACTCGGGCTGTGGTCCTCGAACCGCAACAAGGCGCTCTGGGGCGAGGACGCGGCGGAGTGGAAGCCGGAGCGCTGGCTCGCGCCGCTCCCGGAGACCATAGTGGACGCGAAGGTCCCGGGGGTATACTCGAACTTGTGAGCCTCGATTGTTGCACAGCGCGTGCGCCAGGGAGTAGCTGACGGAGGCCGTTTAGGATGACGTTCAACGGTGGCGGACGCTCGTGCATGTGAGGCCCTTGACTCTTTGCTGTGTATTCGGTGTAGGTGCTGACGCCTTTACAGTGGCTTCAAGTTCTCTCAGCTGGAAATGAGTGCGTCCTCGCCGTGTGTACCTACCGCTGATTCGGAGCTGACTTTTTCTTGTAGAGGTCGTACTGTGCCTCCTCCTCTCCAAGTTTACCTTTGCGCCCTCGGACAAGCGCATCACCTGGAACCTCGCCGGTGTGGTGTTCCCGACCGTCGCTGGAGGCGGCTCTCATCCGTCCATGCCGATGAAGCTCGCGCGCTACAAGCCTCGCGCGTGAGCCTCTGGAGCATAGCCAGAACCGTGGTTGTTTCTGAAGAACCGGTTTCCGCGAGAATCATATCCAAGTATCCCGTTGTATTACATCACAAATATGCGAGATTGTGGGCCTTTTCAACCTCACGTTCGCTTGATGCAACCGTGAGATCTTGGTGCATGCACACAGATGACGATGACGCCAATTAATAGATGGTTAAAACGCCCATAAGACCATTGAACAAATGAACCATCTAACAGAGCCTGTCATACCGCTACTGGCCCGCGGGGCAAGCGTGGAATCGCACTATCCACCCTTCGTGAACAGCGACATCAGAGCAGCGCGGCGAGGGCGGCACCCACAGCACCACCAACCGCGGCCATGTTGACGAAAAGACTCGCCGCGGCGCCGGTACCCGTCTTGGGGGTCCCAGTAGGAGTCGTAGCGCCGGGCGACGTCGTGCGACCGGGAGACGTAGTGCCGGGCGACGTAGTGCCACCGGGAAACGTGGGGCCACCAGGAGCCGTGGGGCCAGCTGGAGACGTCGTGCCTGGAAGCATGAGCGAAAGCGACGCCAAGGTGATATCTGCCTGCGCGCAGGCTGTCTCATAATCTGCATAGAGAAGAGGAGTTCAGAACGGGAGGCACAGAAGCAAGCGACCCATAGGCGGCTGACGCACCTGCGAGCATCTTCTGGCCTTCGTCGAGCGCCATCTGGTCTGGGACGAAGCCGAGGATACACTCGTAGCAGGCAAAGGAGCCCTTGTTCCGTGCGTCGGTGCAAAGGCAGGCAGCATCGGTGGAAGCGCACTGAAAATTCCGCCGCCGGGACAGTTAGTCGCAGGAGAAGGGCATCGCAGAGGCACACACTCACGCCGCTGGGGTCGGTAAGGATTTTGCAGTCAGATGTGCACTGCATGGAAGAATAGAAACGAGTGAGCGGGTTCTGAACGCAGGTTCCTGTAGCATCCTTACAGCGGCTGGAATGTTGCCAGAAATGTCCGACGAGTTGGTGGCCCTGCGAACGATGTCGAGGAAACCATGGGGCGCTCCCGCAGAAGAGAGGACCGAGGAAGCAGCGGCTGGGGGAATGTTCAACGATGGCTATAAGCGTGTTGACATTGACAACGGCGGGCGAACCTTGGCTGGCAATGAAAGCAAAAAGAGAGAGAGCGGATGCGTACATCGTTTGCCAAGATATTGAAGTGGAGAAAAAAGTCAGAGACGAAGACGCGGAGACGAAAGAAAAGCCAAGTGATGCTAGTTCGAGCTGAGATCCTGCGGTTTATATTATAGGGGATGAGTGCAACGACTTATCAAAGGAGTCCACGCCGTACGACCACATCACATCAGAAATGTCGCCGCGATACCACAGCGGTTTTGAGGCCCTGCCATCGATCAGTCCGATGTGGGACCGGTATACCAAGCTTGCACAGGTGGTTCCTGCGACAGCGACAGCGACTAATACGAGCCATGAGTGCGTGCAGTGCCATGATGTGGAGTTGAAGTAGGACATGGTGACACTGACCGCCGCATATCCCTGTCCGGTGAGCCTCTGTTGTCAGCATAATGCCAATCGGGTGAAATATATACTGCTACGCTTTGGCCAAGTGTTGATGCAGGATCAGGAAGGTCAGTACTTGTAATAGAATTTGGGAATCAAATAGGTTGCTTAACTTCGGCGTTCGGCGTGTGGAGGCCGCAAGCCTTGGAACGAAGCGCTGTTGATCAGCCCTTCTGACACGACTGAGGCAAACCGGCTGGGACCGGGATTTTCGAAAACGCTTGGCCGGCGGCAACCGCACCCGAGGACGTACGCAGGAGTACCCATGAAGACTGAAAACAAGCCTATAGCCTGGACCTGGCGGCTGCTCGCAGTCAGTGCCGCCGGGGTTGAATAGTTGGAATTCGTCGTCGCCCCCGTTTTCCATGAAAGCGGAATTCGTATATCCCCAGGAACTGTCACACGTACAGAACACCGTACTATCTTACACCTGCGAATCAGTTCAATACCTCATCGAAGCAATCTGCTTCTCCCTGTCAGTCAATGGCACATACTAGTGTAGCACATTAGTGAGGCGTTGTGCGACAAATGGGACGAGGACGCACCCCCACATCGAGCACTGCCTTCTCTGTAACTCGCCCTTCCGCGTCTTTGTCGATTTGCATGATCTGCTGCTTCTCAGTTCCAACCGGGATGAACATCCGCCCAGGCGCCGCCAACTGCTCTATGAGGGCATCGGGCACCGTCGGTGCAGCAGCCCCAACGTGGATGGCATCGTATGGACCATCTTCAGGTACGCCTGCGAGAAAGGTACCCCGGTGAATCATACAAACTGGAATGAAAGCAAAAAGCAAGTTAACCAACCTTTGCGCCCGTCCCCGGCAATGACCCTGATATGCCCTTGGTCGACCTCCCGTCCGAGCCCGTCCCGGCGAAGGTTGTCGACTGACCAGGAAACAAGCTCATCAATGTGATCGATGGCAACGACCTTGGCCGTGAATTCTGAGCCCGCGTGGCCATCGTCTGCGAGGAGCTGCCAAAGCACGGCGCAGAGGTAGCCCGAGCCCGAGCCAACGTCGAGCACGCGCGCGTTCGAGTGAAGGTAAGGAAGGAGATGTTCCGCCGCATAGGCATGCTGTGCGAGCAGTGAGAGACTTGGGGCGAGAGGGTCCGTGGCCCGCGTACCATGTGCGGGGCGGAGATCGTTGCGCCGTGACCAATGAGTCTAGATGGAGGTCATCGTCGCCATACCATGAGTTGCTCAAGGGCCGCGTGAAGTACGTACTGGGGAGAATCTTGGTAGGCGGCGGAAGGGTTACGGACGTACTTCGACCGATCGACCTTGGTCATCGCCTGGGGAGCTTCAACGGTGAGATTGTGATGGTCTCTCAAACATACCCACCGCGAACACTCGGTCAGATTTGATGATCTCGCTCTTTCTCATGTTGAGAAGAAGTTCGGTGTTCGTCGACCCCGTGCATCTCCAAGCCATAGCTGCAATTCCTCTCCACAGCGTGGGTAAGGAGGGTTAGTTAACCTGGCTCAAGATGGAGGGCGGAGACAAGAGAGTCCTGTTCAGACGCCCGTGGGGTCATCGTGATTTCGGGTCGCCGAGCCACAGACGCCCACAACGATTTTAAGTCCCTAAAGGCTAACGCTGACAAACTGATCTGCTTTCACTCCTGACCCAGTTTGCTGCGCGATTCCGTGCCTCGCAAGAACGAGATTCGGGACACAGTCATCATTCTGATGCTCTAAAACTTCTGATGCGGCATCAACGCTGTCCAGGTGCATACAAATCGTGCTGGTAGCTCAACAAACCCTTCGGCGACTTATCGTTTCGGCCCGCGTCGCTTCTTGATGATGCCGCAGGTCAGCATATGCTAATCATCAGGTCCTGTATTATAAGAACCCACCCTGTCGATAAACCTCCAGTTTCTCCTCTGGCTCTCCACCGTCATCATGGACGTCTCCCTCACTCAAGCAGTGCTGGCAGGCGGTGCATCATTGGTACTCTGGACGCTCGTCCGCCGTCTTACGGCTCCTAAGAGCGACCTGGACAACATTCCCGGCCCACCTTCGCCTTCGTTCCTCATAGGTGACTTCCGCGACTCGCTCGATGTCCTGGTCCGCGTCGCTGACCACGGGCGCTCTTTCAATCTCATCAGGAAACACCGCGCAAGTGAGAAGCAGAGTGGGCTGGGATTTCCATCGCGAACTGGCAGAAAAGTACGGGACGGTCGCTCAGTTAAAGGGTTTGTTCGGGGTTTGTCGCGATTCACTTTCTTGTTGACGCTTGCGCTGACTTCATGGCTTCACCTACGACTTTTTCATAGAAAAAGACCTTGTATGTCCATGACCCAAAAGCAATTTATCACATTGCTGTGAAGGACCTCGACATCTGGGAAGAAGCAAACTACTTCACGAGGTTGGAAAGAGCAAATCCCGCGTTTGATGTGACTAACAGCTTGCTTTAGGACCACATATCGGAACTTCGGCCCTGGCTTGTTCTCAACACACGGTAAGTTCTCAACGCAGAAAGAGTCGCTAGTGTTGAAACCATACGTATAGGCGAGCACCACCGCAAGCAGCGTAAGATCCTCAATCCAGCCTTCTCCGTCACCCACCTGCGCGAGATGCTGCCTATCTTCTACGACGTTGTCTACAAGGCACGTCGAAACCGGTCCCTGCCCCTCCCGCGCTCTCGCACCTGACCTCGCCCGGACCCCATAGCTCCGCCAGGCGATCGAGATGCGCATGGAAGACGGCGAGGCGGAAGTGAACATGGTCGGCTGGATGGGCCGCACCGCGCTCGAGCTCGTCGGCCAGGCCGGGCTCGGGTACTCCTTCGACCCGCTCATCGAGGACAGCACCGACCCGTTCGCCGAGGCGCTGAAGGGCCTCATGTGGGTCCCACCTCTCCTCCTTCTCCTGCACCCGACGACGGCTGACGACGCACCTGGACGCAGGCCGTGCCTCTCCGAGCTCATCCCTTGGCCGCTCTTCTTCCCGCTCGCGGAGAAGCTTGTGCCTGAGAGCTGGCTGCGCCCGATCGCGGACATGTTGCCGTGGCCGGCGCTGCACCGGCTCTGCCACTACACGGACGTGATGCACGAGAAGTCGCTCGAGATCATCGCGAACAAGCGGCGCGCGATCGGCGCGGGCGACGACGCGCTCAAGCGGGAGGTCGGCGAGGGCAAGGACATCATCAGCCTCCTGTGTGAGTCCGCGCGCTTGTCCCGGGACACCAGGCTGACGACTCGGGACGGGCCGCGCTCGCAGTGAAGGCGAACATGGCGTCCGCGGAGGAAGACAGGTTGCCGGACGCGGAGCTCGTCGCGCAGGTCTCGTGCGTGGCCCCCCTCCCCTCCCTTCGCTCCCTCTGACACTGGAGCGAGCGCGCTGACGCCGCCGTGAGCAGGGTGCTGAGCTTCGCGGCGATGGACACGACCTCGAACGCGCTCTCGCGCACGCTCTGGTGCCTCGCGCTCCACCCGGACTGGCAGGACAAGGTCCGCGCGGAGCTCCTGCAGGCCAAGGCGCAGGCGGGCGGCGCCGACCTCGACTTCGACACGCTCACCGCCCTCCCGCTCCTCGACGCCGTGTGCCGCGAGACGCTGCGTCTGTGAGCCCCCCGCCTCGCCCCGCCTCCGCGCGCCCGTCCCGCTCACCCACTCATCCACCTCCCCGCGTGCAGCTACGTCCCCGCCCCGTTCCGGTTCCGCGAGTGCGTATCTTCCTCCCTCCCTCCCTCCCTCCCTCCCTCCCTCCCCCTGCCCGTCCGTCTCGTCTCATCTGACCGCACGCCCCGCGCAGGGCGCGCGAGGCGACGGTGCTCCCGCTGCACACGCCCGTGCGCGGCCGCGACGGGCGCACGATGTACGAGCTCGTCGTCCCCAAGGACACGCCCGCGTTCGTGAGCATCGAGGCGGCGAACACGAGCCCCGCGCTCTGGGGCCCCGACGCGCACGCGTGGCGGCCCGCGCGCTGGCTCGCGCCGCTCCCCGCGAGCGTCGCGGACGCGAAGATCCCGGGGCTGTACAGCAACCTGTGAGTACTTGAGTGCCCGTGCATGGGCAGCCGGTGACGTGGCTGGCTGACGGGGAAGGCACTGTGCAGGATGACGTTCTGGGCGGGGGGCCGGGGGTGCATGTGAGTACCTGAGTCCTGCTGTGTGCCAACGCGGTTTCTGACGGGGTCAACGCGGTACGACGCAGAGGCTTCAAGTTCTCCCAGGTCGAGATGAGTGCGTGTTCCGTCTCGTCTTGTCCTTGTCGGGTTGGACGCTGACGGGGGTTCCGTAGAGGTCGTGCTCGCGGTGCTGCTCTCCACCTTCGTCTTCGAGCTCTCCGACACGCCCGTCCATTGGAACCTTGCCGCAATCGTCTACCCGTCGACCGAGCTTGGCGGTGTCAAGCCCGAGATGCCGATGAAGGTCCGGTTATTGAAGCACTAGGTGGTGAGGATCAGTTACATGGCCTGGGCTGTGTTTGCATGTGTTAAATATGCGGGTTGAGAGACCGAACGCTTGGAGACTGGTAGGGAAGGAACGATGAGAACCCGCAGATACCTTCTTCGTCGACTAGGCGGGGCTTTAACTAGTTCCAGTTCCTCCACTGGCGAGGAAATCGTCGGGGCCTATGGCATCGGCAAGCGCAATTGCAGTATGGGGAATCCATTCGAGGTACCATAGGTAGATGACAAACAAAGAAAAACATGACTAGCGATCATACAATACAAGGACATACCAGACACTCCACAACACGTGAACCAGAGATACAACGATGTCCGCCCAACCTAGCGTCGACTGGACACCGTGACATCGAGATGGATGCACGCAACCACATACAATAGAAAGGAGACCAAGCGGAGTTACTTCGCCCCTGCGCTGGAGAACTGTGACAAGAGTCAGACAATGCGAAGTGACATTGGTTGGAAAGCGCGTACCTTCGTGACTGACTTGGTACCCTCAGAGATGGCGTGCTTGGCCAGCTCACCAGGAAGGATAAGGCGAACGGCAGTCTGAATCTCGCGCGACGAGATCGTCGACTTCTTCGAGTACGACGCGAGCTCTGTGGGCAGGAGTCAATGACTAATCGCGGACATAACGCGTCAAGCACATACTGGAGGCTTCGGTAGCAATGCGCTCAAAGATATCGTTGACGAAGGAGTTGAGAATGGCCATGGCCTTGTTGGAGATACCAGTATCAGGGTGGACCTGCTTAAGGACTAAACAGGCGGATCAGCACACTATGACTAATACACGCGACCAATGCGTCGAACATAACACGGTAAAGCGCGAGTTGAGAGAGCATGACTCACCCTTGTAGATGTAGGAGGAGTAGGTCTCCTTGCGACTCTTTCTGCGCTTCTTCTTCTCGCCATCGGCCGCCCCGCTCGAAGCCTTCGCAGTCTTCTTCGCGGCCTTTGAGCCACCCTCCGAGGTGGTCTTTGCAGGCGCCTTAGAGGCAGTAGAAGCGGGAGCCTTGCCGGCAGTAGAGGCGGGCTTGGGGGCCATTGCGGTAAAGTGGGAGTGGGTGGGTCGTTCGAGGTGGGATTTGAGGCGCGCTGGCGAGTATGTACTTCACAAAGCTTTGCGAAGTGGTCGAGGAGGTTGTCGAGAGGATGTGGGCGCAGATGGAGGACGGACGGTGGTGGTGGTTGCGCTGAAGCTCAAGAGTTAGCTCGCGCGAGAGAGCGGGTACTTATAAAGGAGCGCCACGGATGTGTGCCCGTGTTTGGCGCGACGCGTGTCACGTGGAGCGCGCGCACGCGTTGTTGAACGCCAGTCAACAACCGTGCGGGTCCCGTGCGCTTGCTTTGGCTGCCCAAACAGCACATCCCCGAAGTACATAAGCCGCGGCCTGCTTGTTGTGGAACCGTTACACTTCGTGCTCTCATCACTCCCTCTCCCGTCCCCCGCGACCCACCCAAGTAAGTTGGCGCCTCTTTGTTGAACGCTATCGCCCCTTATCGGCGTTGCTCATTCGGACCTCCCTCACAGACTACCACCCACCCCCACCACCTCCCTCATACGCTTAAGATGTCTGGCAAGGGCAGCGGCAAGTCTAAGTCTGGCAAGGCCTCCGGCGATGCGCCTACGAAGGGTCAGTCTCGTTCGGCGAAGGCGGGTCTTCAGTTCCCCGTTGGTCGTGTCCACCGTCTCTTGAAGAAGGGCAACTATGCGCAGCGTGTTGGTGCCGGTGCGCCGGGTGAGTCTTGCATGGTGTTCTCAATGCATTCGAAGTGTGCTGATGGAGTGTAGTCTACCTTGCCGCCGTCCTTGAATACCTTGCGGCGGAGATTCTTGAGCTCGCGGGTAACGCGGCGCGCGATAACAAGAAGCAACGTATTGTGCCCCGTCATTTGCAGCTTGCCATTCGTAACGATGAGGAGTGAGCACGATCTTCTTTGTCTCAGCGTGTTGGTGTTGACAACTCGCTGGGCAGGCTGAACAAGCTCCTCGGCAACGTTGTCATCTCCCAAGGTGGTGTCGTACCCTTCATCAACCCCGAGGTATGTGTCTACTACCCTCAATTGGCGGGCATGAGGGCTAACCGCACACGTACTTGCAGCTTCTGCCGAGCAAGACGCAAAAGGGGAAGAAGGAGGGTGCGGCAGACGCGTGAGGTTCTGCCCCGCGGCTGTCTGGATTACTTATTTTACGTATCTCCTATGTCGATTTGTAGTACTAGGGTGTATGATATGGCGGAGTTGCGGCTAGCTGCCTCGGCGTGGGCCTCCGCAGTGGGAAGACTATGAGGCAGAAATGACGTCAGGGGGATTCGGGGGGTGTGATGGCGGGCGGCGGCGCTGGGGCTGGCGGGATGGGCGGGATTTGGGCGTGACGCGATCGTCGGGCGGGGCAGAGAGCGCAAGGGCGGGGACGGGAAAGCGTTCTTGTCCGGCGCGTTCACCGCGCAAGGCGGTGGCACGGGCAGCGACCTGCGATGGCCGAGGGGGAGAGCGCAGGGGATGACGTCAGAGCACGTGTGGCGGGTTGCCGTCGGCGGGTGGGGCACGAACGACACCCCGCCCGATTCCGGTGTGGAGAACTTTTGCAGCCCCAGTCGCTGCGCTGCTCTTCGCGCTGCCACCGCGCTCTCCACCGCCCACCTTCCACCCTTCGCGACGCCCCCCTTCCCTCCCCGTCGCTCTCTTCCGCCCACCACCTTCTCCCTCCTCGCCGCCCTCCTCCCCTGGCGCGCATACATCAGGCCTCTGGATTCACTACTCTCTCCACGGCCTCATCGATCCCGCTATGACTGCTCGCCCATCCATGAGCAATCCAGTACGTCTCATCGCGTCTCTCCGACCCCTCTTCATTGTGCTTACCGCCCTTTTGTGCTTTTCATTGCCCGTTTTCTCCCCGCTGCCCACGCGAATCCAGCATGCCTCGCCTCGACCTTCGTCCCCGGGATCGGCTCCGCAACCTACTCTACCACTTCCCTCTGGACCACCATCCGCTCACCTGACCTACACTCCTGCTCGGTCTCCTCCACCGCTGGTTTCCTCGAGACCATCTCTACATTCCACGCGCAACTCGTCTTCGGGCGATCAGGCCGGCGCGTCTTCCACCTCCTCCCCTACTGCTGGCACTGGGCCCACGAACGACGACATCGAGGCCGTCATCCAGATGGCTATGGCCTCTTCATCCGCGCCTCGCGTCACAAACCCGCCGCGCGATACCCGTACACAGCTCTATGTAGGAAACGTACGTCGCACTTTCGCTCTTTATTCGTCCTTTTCGCGTCTATCCCTTGCACGACTGGGAGACCCACCAGGCAACTCGCCGCTCGACCTCACTGCATTTAGATGTGATGCTCAATTCTACTGTTTTCTGCTGCATTGCCTTGCATATTCTGCGCGCTCTTCACCCCTCGGCCCCCTCCTTGAAGACGTCCCCGTACGCACCCCTCATTGCCCGCACTGATGCGCCGGTGGATCCCCCGTTCTTTTCCCCGTCACTTGTTGCTCTTTGTTCCCTCGTGCGAACATTCGAATTGACACGCGTTTGCAGCTCCCATACCGCGTGCGATGGCAAGACCTTAAAGACCTCTTCCGGAGAGCCGGAACTGTTTTGAGGGCCGACGTCTCATTGGGTCCCGACAACCGTTCGAGGGGCTACGGCACCGTTCTACTCGCAACGGCCGAGGATGCAGGACGAGCGGTCGACATGTTCAATGGCTACGCATGGCAGACGCGCACACTCGAAGTCCGCCCGGACCGCATGGGTGAGGAGTTGGGTCCGGGTGTACCGGGGTTCCCCATGCCGGGAGCGGTAGGCTCAGGCATTGCAAACGCGTCCCTCGGAGTCGGCATCTTTGGCAGTCCTATTTTGGGGAACATGTCGCCAGCGGCCGGGTCGCTGAGTGGAAACGGGTCGCCAGCGGTTACATCTGCGCTTTCCTCTCCCGCACCAGGTCATCCCCGTTTCCCCGCGTGGGGAGTGGGGGAGGATGAGTTTTCAATACGAACTGAATCAACTGTCCAAGCCAGTAGAAATCTGTTTGTCGGCAACGTGAGTCATCGGTATTCCCCATCTCTTATATGTTCTCTGATGGTCAGAGGATGTGTGCAGCTACCATTCCACATTCAATGGCAAGACCTCAAAGACCTGTTCAGACAAGCGGGGGCCGTGCAACGTGCCGATGTCGCACTAGGCGCCGACGGACGCTCGAGAGGATTTGGCACTGTAAGCTTCTCCAACGAGACGGATGCTGAGAGGGCTGTCAAGATGTTCAATGGGTGAGTGGTTTGTTTCTTCCTTATATCGTGTCGGCCTACCCTATTGTCGTTGTCGATTTATATCGAACCCGATGTGCTTGTTCCGCATGAAGTCAACACGTGTGAGATCATCCCTCCGGGCAAATGTTGCTTTTAAGGCAGGGACGTGCCTCGTCTCGGACCCGTCGCTTTACGCCCGTCTGCCTGAAACGGCGGACTGATACCCACGCTGTGCCGCTTGAGATTATCACTGGGATTCTGGACTGGACACTGACGCCAGTTCTCAGGTACGAGTACAATGGAAGGCCACTCAAAGTCCACTTTGACAAGTTTGCGCCTCCTGCCAGCTCGTCAGCACCACTAGTCGGGCCAACCGCCGTCTCCGCCCCACACTCTCCAGCCTCCTTCGTCTTCCCAGGCTCGAACTCATCTGCTTTCAGTACGCCGGGTGGCGTGTATGCGCAACCGTCTCTCGCGCGCGCGTCTTCGCTGGCGCAGCAGCTACTCCAATCACAGCTTGAACAAAGCCGAGGCCAAATATCTTCACGGCGAAGTAATCTTGGTTACGGCGCCCCAGGGTACGAAGAAGGATCTCGCAGTGCTGGAGCCGAATCGGAAGCAACCTTGGTCTTGCAGCTTGCTCAGCAGCTTTCCCTCGGGTCGTCGGCACATTCTCACGAGCAAGAGGTTCAACGGCCTAGTCAAACATACGCCAGTCATGCTCATCCGACCCACATATCTATTCCCGCCGCGATACAGTCGCCCTACACATTCGACTTCCTCCATTCAGGACCGCGGACACCCTACGACATCTACGACCTGAACTCGTATCACCAACGACTCAGTGCCGGAGGTTACGTCGCCGCTCCGCAGCCCCAGGAGCAATCGCAATATTCAACAGCGAATCAAGCTCGACCGGCTTCTCAAAGAGATTCGCCTTCGATGAATTCCGCCGCCCATCAGGACACCTCCCCCGACAGCGCGGTGCTCAGCACTTCCTCCCCCTCCCAATCTGCCGCGTCGTCTTCAGCAAGCCCTCCCGGTGCCTCAACACAGGCCACTTCTCCCGCATCTTCCACCTCCCGCTCCCATCCTACACCCCAGCAAACCCAGCACCATCCTGCCCATCCAGGACCTATCGCGCTTCCTCCGCCACCTCCTGTGACCGCTTTCCCCGTCCCCCCTCCCCACACACTATCCCCTCAGTACATTGGGTCGCCGATAGGCCACCCGATGAGCCCAATGCACCACCCGCTCATGGGCATGTCAATGCCCATGATGACCCCACACGGACTGCCACCCATCACGCCCAGCATGCCCTCCTTCACCTTCCTCCCGCAACTCTCACCAGGCCTGCCGTCGCCCGCAGGGGATCCGTCCGCCGGGACCGCGATGGGGCCCATGGCGCACCACATGGCGCACGTCATGGCGGCGACCCCCTACGCCCCCTTCTCCCCCGGGGTGACGATGAGCCCCGGCGCGTTCTGGGGCCGCCCCGGGTCCGGCGCGAACCCGCTCATCAACACCGCGGTCGGCGCGCCCGTCCGCGGGGGCTACTACGGCTTTCCCATGCAGACCCCTCCCATGCCGCAGCCGCAGACGGCGCAGGATGACGGGACGGCGCGCCCCGACGGCTACTTCCCCCCGGTCTCGCAGTCCCCCGCGCCCGGGGAGCCCGCGGGGTACTTCCCATGGGTGCCGCCCGCGCAGCACCAGCAGCAGCAACAGGCACAGACGGGGTACGAGCGCTCGAGCGGGCTCGCTCACGAGATCCTCCGGGACCACAACCACGACCACCACGACCACGAGCGGGGCGCGGGCTCGGGCGACGGCGAGGCGCGCGGGTCCCCGGGGGAGTCGGACGGGACGACGGCGCGGACGAGCACTGGCGGGCCCGCGACGGGCTCGTCGCGCGGCACGAGCTGGCACTCGCACTCGGACGCGGAGGAGGCGCGCGAGAAGGCGCAGGTGCGGGCGCTCGCGCGGGCGGGCGTCGCGGTGAGCGAGCACGCGATCGCGGGCGACGGGGAGTGCGTGCAGGGCGGGGAGGGCGAGGTGAACGGAGGCGGTAGCGGGAGCGGGAACGGGCACGGGAAGCCGAGGGCGTACTCGGCGGAGAGCGCAGGGTGGAGCGCGAAGGGCACGCTCGCGAGGGCGGACTCGGACCCGATCAAGAGGGTGTTGCGAGGCGGCGCGTGAGGAGGGGGGAGAGTGGAGGCTTTTCTGGGCTCTAATCTGTCGGAACTGGGACTGTCTGGAACTGGAGAGTCTGCATGTGGGAGGAGAAGGATATGTTGTGTTGAAGTGTCAGCCGCTGTTGTAGAAAGGCGTTTGGTGGGATGAAGTCGGGCATCGTATGTATCTTATTCGCCGCCGCACGCATGTATATACCACGACATCGTACACCCCTTCCGACTCGGTGTTTTGCGTACTCTATCTACTAGTCTCTTGGCTCTCGCTCTCGAATGCATCTCTTGTTATCTCGACGATGTGCCCTCGTACAGTGTGCAGGAAATCCAGGCAGTAAATAGAATACATGGCTGTGGAATATACACGTCGCGACCCCCGCGCGCTTTATTTGTAGATACATAGAGAGAAATAGACATACAGATCCGGGAGTCGTCGAGGGAGTCGTCGAGAGCCGTCAGACGTCGTACTAGCGTCGGTTCGTTGACGAACATAATCTAAGCAGTCAGTGAGAACCCAAGCAACCGAGCGTCCGCTCGGCCGTCCAGATGCGCCCGCGCACCCTGAAGTCGAAAAGTTCGAAGTTTGGCCTCCTTCCGCAACCCCGCCCCACCACCGAAACCCGCCCGCTCAGACGATGACCATGTCCTGCGCCGGCTGGTCCATCCACGCGAGCCCGCCGGACGAGTCCTCCGGGGTCTGGAAGTAGCCGACGCGGCGGAAGCGCATCGGGCGCACGACGCCCTCCTCGCCCGGCGCGGGCGCGACGAGCGCGACGACGAGGCCCGCCACCCACTCCCGGCGCTCGTCCCACAGCACGGGCACGGCCCAGACGTCCGCGACGAGCGCGTCCGGCTCGCGCTCGACCGCGTCCGGCCACGCGTGCCCGATCCGGATCTGCTTGGGCAGCGCCGCGGCGGCGAGGGACGTGTGGCCCCCCGCGTGCCGCCCCGAGATGTGCAGGAGGAGGTCGGTCGGCGCGTCCGCGGCGGGGTCCCAGACCGCGCGGCGGGCGGCGGTGCGCAGCGTGAGCGTGCCGGCGGGCGGGAACGGGGGCGGGGGCGAGGGCGAGGGCGAAAGTGGCGACGGGGAGGCCGACGACAGCGCGGAGGGGAGTGGCGGCGAGGGGGACGGGCTGCGACGGCCGAGGGGCGACGTCGGGCGCGAGCTCGCGGGGGTCGGCGAACCGGGGCGCGACGCGGAGCCTACGCCTACGCCCGTGCAGGACACGACGGTGCACGCACGCACCGCGTGCGGCTCGTGCGGCGGCGTGCCCGGCGCACGCTCCTCCTCTTCCGCGAGCGTCTCGCCGACGGTGTCGCCCGCGACGGCGAGCAGGGGCACGACCTTGCCCTCCACCGCGCCCCACGACCACGACGGCGGCGCGCGCCGGGATGTGCTGAGCGGGCGCGGGTAGCGCGTCGCGGGGTCCTTGCGCCACAGCAGGTCGCGCGGGAGCGTCGCGCGCCAGAGCCCCGCGAGGTACTCCGTCCGCCACGCGCGCTGGAACGCGTCCGCGAGCGGCGCGAGCGCGGGCAGGCGGTCTTGCGGCCGCGCGAGCGCCCGTCCCGTGTAGTCCGCCACGGCGTGCGCCCACGCGCGCCGGGTGTCCCCGAGGTCGCGCGCAGACGTGAGCGGAAAGTCCGCGTCCGGGCGGAAGAGCGCGTCGGGGAGGCGCGGCAGGTACGCGCACGCCCCCGACGGCGGCGGCAGCGCGACGCAGACCGCGCTGCCGATGTTCTGGACCGCGGTCTGGCAGAGGAACTGGAGGGTGTGCGACGCGTAGACGAGCGCGCGCGGCGCGAGCAGCTGCTCCGCCATGCCTTCTCCACGCTCCGCGGTGGGCTCCGCAGCGCCGCCGAACTGGAACTGGCGCGCAGCAGCCGCGCTCTGCAACCGGAAGCTTGCATTGGGGCCGACGTCGCGCGTGGGGAGGGGAAGGGGCAGGTGGGGGTCCGCAGCCGCGCGGTCGGGGCGGTCGTGCAGGAAACCCTCGGACGGGTGCCGTGCAGAGGCGGCGACGATCGTGAGGTATGCGTTGCGGAACACCCCGCGGGTGCGCGAAGCCTCACGGGCGCGGTCGTCGGGCGAATCTTGCAGAACGCAGAGCGCGTCGACCCAGAGGTATTGTATCCCGAGGAGGTGGGTGGTCATGATCGCGTCGCGGAGCGTACGAGGCAGGAGCATCGAGTCGATCCCGGTCCGATACTGGGCGGTATTCCGCGTTGTGGTGCAGTACGCGGGGAAGTTGGAGGAGCCCTGAGCAGTGGAAGGAGCGTACGCGCTGTCCACGTCCGAAAAGGAGGGAGAAGAACCTGCGATGTACGAGAGTGCAACGTAACGCGCGCGTTCGCCGTTTCGAAGGCGCAATTTAGGACGTGTTGGGTCTGAACAGTCGACGACGCGCGTGGGGAGCGCGGCGTCCTGCGGCGGCGTGCACTGCGGATGGTTCTTGATGCAGTCCGCGATGCATTCGACTGCCATTTTACGCGCGAGGGGCGCACGGACTTCAAGAAGCGGGCTGCGTGCCACAATTTGTGACGCTGCGGGGTCGTCTGCAGATGCAGCCCTGATGACTGAACAGGAAGGTGCGGTGCGGGGAGCATGTTCCACGTACCTCGGTCCGTGTAGACGTAGTACTCCGAGATGAACGTCCCATTGATGGTGAGCTTGAGTACTTGCACGCCTTTCGGGGTAACTCGTGCGCTGCTGGGACTCGTCCGGATTCCAACAGTTACTTGGAGGATGTGCTTTCTTTGCATCGCGTCCGTCTTTGTTCCATGCACGATCTTGCACCACTGACAGCCCCGCTCCGCTGAAACTTGCACCTGCGTCCATGTAGAAGTGTACGAGAATCCCTCGTGGAGCCCGCTCGAGGTCCAAGCCTGCTGGAACGCTTCTGAAGAGAACAGGCCCTCAAGGCAGTCTTGACAAACTAGGTCCCGGACATAACTAGAAGCCATCAGCCCAGTGGCAAAAGGAAAAGCACCGCACACACTCACTTAGATTCGGAGCTGGCTCGTGAGGCGTCCGATTCCGGCTCGGGCAGCACTTCGTCCTTTGTGTTCAGTGGCGGCGTCGACCGTCCTTTCTTCGGAGTCGGGGGACCGTTATGTTTCGACAGCGGTGAGAGGATGCGGTCTAAGTCCTTCAACGCCCGCGAGACGTACCGACGTCCTGTTGCAAGAATAGGAGGAAGACTGGACCGGCGCATTGCTTGGGTGGCTCGGGGGTATGGAGGGTGGGGGTATCTGCGAAAGGAGCAAAAGTCATATTTCGCGCCGGACGCGAGGTGAGTACCCCCTGGCACGTGTGGGACGCGCCCCGAGTGTACCACTTTGCCCGTGTGCGCCGCAGTCCAGGTTCGCGACTGTACGGCATCGTCCCCATGAGCCCCGTGCAGGGTCTCGTTCGCTCATCTCCGTGCTGCGGGGCGGGCAGCGAAGGGGCGGACTCGGCGACGCGCGAATGGATCGGCGTGGGACTCCACGATGCACCTGTGCAGGCCAAATGACGTATGTTAGCCCGTATTGGATGTGAACAGGAGGACGAATGAGGCCTTAGCGAGGAAGCAATTCCCACCGTGAGCGGAACGAGGCGTGGTTCTCTGGTGCTCTGGCACTCCGTGACCGCGTGTAAATCATGCATCGTGTGGATAGGCTTCAGTGGCATTGGACGCCGCGGACTTCGCGCTCGCGGGTTGGTTGTCATGCTGGACTCTGTAGATAAGACCACATATGAGGTTCAAATGCTCGTAAGCAGCGCGGCGAGGTGCCAGACACGTCGAGCAGTCTATGTGGGTTCATATATGCACATATATGCTCTTTTCAAGTCTAGATGAGAAAAAACTCATTCAACCTCGAGCAAAGGATGACATACCATTCCACCTTGGGCCGCTGCGGAAGCCGAGAAGTTCTGGAGTAACAAAGGACCGAGTGCTGCGCCACTTTGAAACAGAAGTTCTATGGAGACGTATCCGCAAATCTTTTCTTCCAAGATTGCGGCAACAAATCATCCATGGTGAGGGAGCGGAGACAAGCGAGGCTCCGTCACGGTCCAGTGCCGTGGGCGCTCGAATACGGGCCGGGCGGTCCGGTGAACTCGTTCGCATCATTGGGAGCAAGGAACACAGTATCGATATCTAGGTCCCAAAGCTGCTCCAATGTCGCCACGTCGAACATGATAACTAGCGATCCCTTCCTGCATTTGCCAACAGGTCACACGGCAGGCTTATACAAGTTCAAGGGCAAGGCGATAGGGGCCGGGAAGCGGAGCCAGCTTGGCCTACTAGTCGGGGAAGCCCACGAGATACCAGGCCTCCTCTTCCTCTTCTTCCTCCTCCTCCTCTTCCTCCAGGTGCACAGGAATATCCCAGAAGGCCGACGCCTCGTCCACGTCGTCGGCCACGAAGCCCTGCCACTCGGTGCGGTACAGCCTCGCCACGGCCTCATACTCTCTCCCCACCTCCTCCCAATCCGGCATCGTGCGGCCTCGGAAGTTCTGACCCGGGGCCCTCGACCGCGCCGACGCGCGCGAGCCCGCTCCCGTCGAGGTCAGAGGGGACGTAGTCGTACCTCCACCGCCGGCTTCCCCCTTTCGTGACATACGCCCGGACGGGACGTCCGCGGTCCGCGCGCGGCATGAGAAAGTCAGCCCGCCGCCGAGGAACGTCATCCTACGTACAAGGCAGAAGGAAGGCTCGTCAGGCCCCGATGCGCCAGGTTTAACATCTTGGGAACACGCACGCACATGTTCGAGTACACGCCCGACGCGCGCGCGTCCTCGCCCCAGATCGCCTTGTTGCGATTCGCGGAGCGGTTCGCGATGCACACCGACGTGCCTCGGACCGCGTCCTGTCGCGCATACTGAACGGCCGCGAGAGCGGCAGGACCGCGTCCTCGCGCGTTTCGCGAAAGAGGATCGACACCGGGGGAAGCTGTGGGCGAATTGATGTCGAGGTGAGCGAGAGAAAGAAGGCCGGGAAAGGGGAAGACACATATGAGACGTAGACAGAGGGTCTCGCGGCAGACGGCATCAAGGTAGGGCAGATTGTGGAGCTCGCCATACTAAGCGGCATTGCAGGACAACATGCGCATCCACGTGTGCTCTAGATCCATTGAAGCCGGGGTCCGAGGGAATCGTTAGTCTGTCTTGGCTCTTGGATACCAAGTTCTGTTTGTAAGTTCCCCATGCACGGATAATCAGTGGGGGAGAAGACTACTGACCAACTTTCCAATAGAATGGCTTCGCGGTGCTCGTGAACTGTCTGAGATCTAGAGTGCTCGATCGACACAGATCAGGAAGCACATGTGTGGCAGCCCTGTCCTTGGCATAAACAAGACACGAAGGCGACCATGATCGAGGTGGCGAACGAAATGGCGAGTGCCATTCCTGTGTGAGTACTAAGAACACTCGGAGAGTAATGCGTGAGGCAACGATGGTGACAGAATGTAGCATTGCAAGTGCACAGCGGAGCGAAAGCTGGAGATGACGCGGAAGGTGGATGGTGAGCGATACATTAGTACATAATGCGTTGCGTGGGTCATTAGAGATGCATGGGGAGGTGAAGTGACATCTACGGTAGAATGCATGCGAAGGGGTATGTATACGAACGGGAATATATCGACAGACGCGCAGACGGAGGTCGCCCTGTCTAGAAGGCATTTCGGGGGAGGGAGATGGTAGCCGGAGTGGTGGGCGAGATCGGTGAGGGACGAGCCTGCGCCGTGCGGCGCCGGACTTGGCTCTCAATCTTCGAACGTTGCTTTTGGAGATCGCTGTCCTTCAGCTTCGCTGAAAGGCACATGTCAATGAAAGCGTCGGGGTTGGCGGGGAGGGACGTGGGATGGAAGAGCATGTCTAGGGCAGCATCCGGAGAAGTACATTGCATGATCTTCTCTTTGCTCCACGTGAAGAGAGCGATCCCGGCACGGAAAAGGAAGGAGACGCCTATCGAGAGGCGATGAGCACCAGACAAGTCATAGCAACACAAGCACGCACCGTCGAACAGGAACACATCCCAAAGGCGGACGAGGTAGTCCGGAGGGAGTGCATCGACAAAAGCGGTAGTGAACCTAAATGCCACAACCAACGTGAGCTGGAGCGCCATCTGACATGGTACGAAACGACGAACAAAGTGTAGATGACTTGGATCGGCTTGACGCCCATATCACCAAAGAGCTTCTTCGCCACAACCGGCTCGTTCGCCTCCACCGCGCGGCCAAAGAGCGACGCATCGACCTCCAGCTGCACACTGGTACTGGAGAAGTACGGCCGAAGATGGGAGTCCATGAGCGCAACGAACGTCCAGAATGCGTCTTCCTCTGGGGACTGCATCAACAGCTGCGCCGCAATCAACACAAGCCCTGAGGAGCATAATAACGTCAGCCCAGACCATCATCGAGTGTCCACACCGCACACACCTCTTGAGTACGTGACGTCCGGAACCATCGTCAAGTACACCTTGAGCAACTTGGCGAGCGACCCGTCTTGCAGCTCCGGCTTGTCCACAAACGACGCCCGGATGTCGCGCTCGATGTCCGCCGCGGCGGCGACCTTCTCGCGGTCCGCGAGCTTTTGGTACAGCCCGTCCATGCGCTTCGCCTTGCTGTCCATCACCATCGCCCACACCTGGTATCGCACCGACGCCGGCACGCCGTCAACGACCATCTTCCGAACCTTCTTGCTCTTGCGCGCTTGTGCGGGAGGCGTCGATGCCAGCGCCTGGACCCACCGCTGCTCACGTTGCCGATGCACCTCTGCGCTCCCACTCCCGCTTGCGCTTGCGCTAGCGGCGCTCAGGCGCGCGGACATTTCGTTGGGGGACGCCGTCCCGGGCGAGCGGAAGCTGCCGATGGAAATGCTCGACATCGCGGGGCTGTCCGTGCGCAGGAAGCCCTCGCCGGGGCGTGGGCTTGGCAGCGGGAGCGACTCGAAGCTGTCCCCGAACGGCGAAAGGGGGAGGGTGGGCTTCACGAGCTCGAAGTCCGTGTCTTGCACTTGCACCGTGTCCTGCTCCATCGTGAATTCGCTCGTCCCGAGGCTGACAGGGCTCGAGATCGATTGCAGTGACTGGTGGCTTTTCATCGACTGGTGGCTTGTCACGAGCCGGAGCGGGGCCATCGTTACGAGCGGCGCGGCCTTCTTGCTGAAGCGCAGGCCCTGCGTCCCGCTGCCATCCAGAAGCTCTTCAGAGATGGACTGAGGGGACGACATGCTCTCGATTGATGGCCGCGCATCGAACAGAGTCTGCGACGCGGTCCGGGAGCGCCGAGGGGATGATGAGAGGTCGGAAGACCTTTTGGGGAGGATGGCGGACCGACTGTGACGAACGACGTGGGGCGAAGACGGCACTGAGGGCAAGAAGGCCGATTTCGGCGAGGATGGCGGCGAGGACCTGTTGAAACCCAGGGTCTCTGGAAGCGACGATAGTGGCGATTGCATCTGCGGTACGGGCGAGCGCTGGGCGGAGCGAAGCACAGGTGTCGAGGGATATTGCGGGGCATCGCCGCCATCTTGATCCTGATCTAGATGTAGTGGCCCTTCGGATTCGTGGTCGGAGGGGAGAGCGCCCAGAGCTGGCGAAGGAGAAGCTGCTGGAAGCGGGCTCGTGGAAGATCGAGGTGGGGGCGAACGTACAGCTGGTACGTTGTTGTTCTGCGATTGCGCTAGCGGCGACGGCGCGTGAACACCCCGGATCACCGTGGGCGAGTGCGATACCATCGCGCGCTGCGGCGCCGCGACGTTCGCCGCGACGGTGGGTGTGGCGGCCATCGCTGATTTGGAGCGCTTGGTCGTGATCTGGAGCGGTCGGATCGGAGACAAAGGCGGTGAGAGCGGGCCAGATGACGTGAGAGGGAAAGAATCATCCCGACTGTCCATGTTCCATCTGTCAGCGGAAACTATCTACTACGGTCAAAACCTGTTGGGCGCGCACCTCTTCTCGCCCAGTACATTCACTCGAACTGACAACCCATTCGACATGCCCGAGAACGACCTCGACCGCGGCCGCGCACCGCCCGCAGTCGGCGCAAAGTTCGCTCGAGGGATGGGCTGGCTCTGCCCCGCGCCAGCCAGCACCTGGTCAATTTGCGCCGTGATGCTCGCCAGTGCAGGCGAACCTGCGTTTCGCCGACCCGCGATAGGGTCCACCGCGTTCATGATAGGCGGCGACTTGGTGTTCCGGCGAGCGAGAGCTTCCGCAAGCCCCTCAGCGGGGCTCCCCGTGCGTGAAGGCGGTGGAAGCACGATGGGCGGGGACATCATCCTTCTCCCAACGGGGTCCATCGCCGTTTGCGGACCTCCAGGAATAGGTGGGGACATCATCCTACGCCCGACCGGGTCCGCGCCCTGTGCTGTCGCGCCTTGCAGAGGAGGAGACATCATCCTCCCGCCCACAGGGTCCGCATTCGCCATCGGGCCTTCTTGGACGGGTGGGAGCATCGTGACGGCCCTCTGTGGGGCGGGCGGGTCTGCGCTTCGCCGCCCAGTAGGGTCCATCGCCATCGCGAACTGCGCTGGGGGAACGAGCGCGGATGGCTGCATCGCCCCCGGAGGTAGCGTGGCGCTCCTTTGCGGAGGTAGACGCTGTTCCATCCCAGGCGCGACTGGAGCGGGGGAAGCCATGCGGCTCGCGGGTGTTCCTGTCCGACTTGGAGGGACCCATGGCATGGGAGGCATCTGAGCGCGGTTCGCAGGGATGTTGTTCTGGGGTTCCATCGCAAAAGTGATTGGAACCGGGCCCATGGATAGCGAGAGGTCGTACTCGAACCGTCCATATATGGTAGGAGGTGTTGGGCGGCCCTCGCGCCGCGCGTTGTAGAGGACCACAAGGATATGGAATGACGACCCGGGAGGTGGGCCAGCATTAGGAGGCCGGTTTTGGGGCATAGGCTGGCGGTTGTACATCGGTCCTGACGGCGCGGTAGCGGGTTTGGGCGCTCCGGGGTGAGGCATGAACAAACTTTGCCGTCCTTCCTGACCGACCATTGGGCGATTCGGGTCTACGGGACGCGCTTGAGGATGGCCTGGAGGGGGTATGACCCGTGAGGGGGGCGAGGCCGCCGGCATCGGCGCTGGACCCGGCGCTGGGGTCCTGGAGCTGGAGGCAAACGGGGCGGTAGGCTCTCTCGGGCTGTAGGGCGGAACAGGGTCGAACTCAGGTTCCTCGTCTGGGTTCGCGAGGACGCGCTTCTCCTTGGAAGAGGATGTGACTCTGCGCCGCGGGGATGTGGGCGGTGAGCGTGGTTCCGACGGAGCTGTAGTTGCCGGAGAACCTGTAGGAGAGGGAAGTGGCGCCTCGACTGCCGCGGGCGTGCTGACGATCTCCGCGCTCATGGAGACCGCGGTGTCTGGTATTCCATTGTCACGCCGAACGACGAGGAGTTCCTGCGTGTGTTCGGATGCCTTCGAATGTCGTTCGCTGGAGCGTGCACTCTCCCTATCCGAATCACTCTCCGCGCGCCGAGTGGTAGGCTCCGCTTTCGAGGGGTATTGCGGTGAGACCAATGTGGGTGATGCAAAAGCGGCCGACATCGCGGGTGTGAACTGGGTGGGTGACGCCTGCGGAGACCCAAACGTGGCATGCAAGAGCGGCGAAGGTTCCGGTTCGGGCCTGAATGTGAGCGGAGCGGGCCGGTTCTTCTGCATCTTGCTCTCTGGGGACAGAGGGCTGGCGTCCAGCAAGGACTCGCGATTCGATTCCGCAGTGGTTACTTCCGCTAGGCGAGAGGGTATGGCGGCCTTCGACAGTTTACGATCCCGCGAACCGATCGAGTCCATGCTGCCTCGGCGTTCACCTCCCGGTGAGGGGATAGGAGGCGTGTCTGCGAAGGACATCATTGAACCTTTGGAGAACCGCGACATCTTCGAGGCCATCGAGAACCGTGAATACCGGTACTGGTCGTAGATATCGCCCGCGCCCTCCCAATCCTCCATATCGGACCCGTAGTCTGAATCTGAGCGCATAGTTTCCGGGGGTGGAGGCGGATCAAGCGGTATTCGCGCGCTTACAGGCGAGCCCGAGTAGTGTGATTCCGAGCGGTCAGACATAGCGCTGGGTGGTGATGGATCGAGCGACTGTGGTTCTTCACGAGGCGACTGTATTGAGTTATTTGACGAGGCGTCGTCATTGTTCTGAGTAGATTCCGGAGATTGGACGCGCCTGTTCGCCGGCATGTCCGCATCACTGTCGTCGTCGTCGTCGTCGTCATCGTCATCATCCCCCAGGCCTCCGAGTAGAGAGAGACCAATGTTGCCCATGCCATTGTCGGACGACGCCATTGAGAGTCGGGAAGTCGCTTCGTCTTCCTGCTCTGAGTATATCGACGAGGTGTCGACCGGAGGGAAGCGGGAGGTGGTAGGGTCAGGGGAGTTGAAGTGCTCGATAGGGCTGTCGTCGCTGAGTTCCTTGGCCAGTTGGTCAAGGCGGATGGGAGGAACGAGAGATTCTGTGTCGGAATCATCGTCGTGGCGAGCGATGACAACGTCGTTCCGATTGTCATCAGCAGGAGTGACCGGGATGGATGACATTGACGTGTTGTAAGATTCGTGGCTCATCGAGCGTTCCGGTAGCGGAGATGTCGCTGGTGAGTCTGACACAGCCGTGATGGTGATGTTGCTAGACGCAGAAAGGCTGGGCTCGATCCCTGGGGAAAGGAAGTCTTGCGTTCCCTGACGCGAGGGTGCGAAACGAGTGCTAGAGGCGGCAGGGGAAGGTAGATCACGTATTGAGGATACGGCGGGTGAGGGTGGATCTCGCACAAGGAGTGCGCTCTGTGAAGATGACGGGCGGGAGACCGGAGAAGCAGTGGATTGGCGCTTCGTGAGGACTGGTTTCTTGAGACGTCCGTGAAAACGAACGGCTGCGCCGTGGAAGTTACCAACGACGCCCTCGCAATAACCCTGTACACAACATCAAAATGAAAGCAATTCGACGGCATGCAGTAGACGTACAAGATAGGTATCAGGTTGACCAGATATTTGCATGAGAACTATGATCTCGTCATCCTAGACGTCTCAATCAGCGTTCCGGACACAGTATGAGGCCAGGGCAGGGAGAAAAGCAGGAACAACACGATAATTGAGGCAGCTCCACCTCTACGCCAACCGTAGGCGTTCCTCCAGGCCACAACTCAAGCGATTGGGAAAACGCCGAGTCCTGAGGCATCCGTGTATGCAGACCAAGAACATCATCTGGCATAGGCCGAGACAGTGACCAAGGCCAAACGATATGAGCGTGCTACCCGCTGCTACCCGTCCCCCATGCGAAGAACGCTTCAAGTCCACACCCAGATCGTAGCGTCCTTGTTACACGCTTTGCCCCCATGTGGAAAGAAGGTGGGAGTTACTTACCTTCATGAACATGAGATCCTGAGACTGCTCCGCTATACAGTCCTCCAATGCGGTGCACTTCCCAATGCCGCCTTTGCTGGCGAACCGTGTCCATCTCCCGAGTTCGCTTGCTTCCATGGGCGGTAGTAAGGAGTAGAGAATGCGGGGGACGATACAGACACAGACAAACAACCCAAAGGAGTGGTACGGGTGAGAGCAGATAACAGGCTGGACAACGAAGGTGAGGGGACGGCGGGGTGGTGGGGGGAATCGAGAACAAGGTGCGAGCTCGAGAAGCGGGTGGTGCCGTCGAAACTGCTCGGGTTAGGGTCATATCTGCACAAGCAAAGCTTAACGCCTAACTAGAAAGGTCCCGCGGCCGTTGCGGCCTTCAATATTTTGTATCGTCATTCTATCTCGCTTAACCTGTATTGAAACCAAGGTCTATAGGGTCTTCAATTCTCCTTAATCAGACTCTTCTGATCGGAGGATTGACAACAGTGCCTGATGGTCAGATGCCGAATATTTTCTACTGCTGCGTGCCTGCGCACGCTTCTTCCATCCTGAGTGCGGACAGTACTCGAAGTGAAAGAAAATCCGACTAGTGTCGATTAATCAACTGAAGAACGCCCTCGGACATCCCACGAATGGAGCTTCGACATAGTTACAGCTCTCTCACCGGGGTGCATTGCCGTGGAAGTCGTACATAAGTACACGCACGAGGATAACACTACCCCATTGTTAGCGCACTTGATACTTGGTCGGGGGGAAGCTAGACGTATATATAGTGACTCTCGTTGCCTTGAACGCTGACGAAGAAGCACCGTTTTGAAACTGATGTCGGCCTCGTATCTTGACAGATAAGTGGATAGATACGTAGATGGTGTTCATAATCTGATCGCACGATCAGCGTCACAACGAAAGTCATCAGGCACAGATATTATTGCTCACCTCCGCTGATTTCAGGGGAAGCGCACGAACCTCGCCCGTTGCTCCGGTTTCAAGCTCCAGTACATCTCCGAACCGTCCGGCTCCCATGAGTCCCGCACCACGAAGTCGCTGAAGAACGGCTGCCCAGGCGACACGAGTCTGAACACGCCCACCCGTGCCACGATGTCACCAAAGTACGCCATCTGCATCCCGGACTCCTTCGCTTCCTCTCCAAATTGGATGTCCACGCGTTCGAGAGCGCCGGGGGGGCGCGCGGTGACCAACGCTCCGAGCGCGCAGGCGTACGCGGTGAGGAAGGCAGGTTCTCCAGCGGCGGACGGGGAGACGTTCGACACGACGCCAAGCGTGCGCAGTGTCTGGCTTCGCTTGGCGAGGGCGAGGAAAAGAACGCGGGCATCGTGCACTACACGTGCCGCATGCCGCAACCCTGGGTCCTCCGTGGCGGCGATAGCGGTGGCGAGCATGTCCGCAGAGTTCGGCAACGATGCGCCGACCGCTGGGCAAAGACGCGTGCGTAACGTCTGTAGTCCGGGGGTGTGGGATATGACTTCAGCGACCATGAACGGATTGACATCTGGAACGTCAAGGAGGATGGAGGTGACGTGCGTGAATGGGAGGGCGGTGGGAGGGTCGCTCCAAGAGATGTGGAACCAGTTGTGCGCTTGCTTGAGTTCTGTCATCGTCCCATGCATCCAAAAGTGTGGGCCGATAGCCTGTACGGCCGCTGGGAGTGAAGGGTCCGGCTCGATTGCGTAGTGGACGCAGTCGAGGTCTTTGGATATGCGCACATCGACGTGGAGGGGAAGGCTGACAGGGACGTTCGCCATCGGCGACCGCGGAAAAATGAGGGAGAACCTGTCGACGGAGCATATCTGCGAGTTGTGCAAACGGATGGGGACATGGGAAGGAAGTTCGAGTAGTTTGAAGAGACGAATAAAGTCGTCCGCGCAGTCGGTAAGCAGCAGCGAGCGGAGACGAGGGAGTCGGACTGGGGGCGGGAGGATGGTGAGGCCGACGATACCATGGAGGTCGGGGAAGTATTGGAGCCAGCGAAAGTGAAGATACTCCAGACAAGGAGTGTTGGCGAGGACGGAAAGGATATCGCTGGACGTGATCCCGCTAACGTAGTCGAAGGAGAGGTAGAGATGAGTAAGACTCGGAAAGTGATTGGCTGGGGTCCACGCGGTGATGCCTGACACAGCCAGCGCCTTGAGCGACGAAACAGGATCCCCAAGCAAGACGATCCTTCGCAGATGGAGGTCGTCCGGTTCTTCGTCGACCACAACCGCGAGGTTAAGGACTTGAAGGGTTGGCATACTGAGAGAGACGAGCCAGTCCGGAGGATCGGGCGATGCAGGGTAGACACGCTCAACCATGTCGAGACGACGGACTGTTTTCCGCCATACTAAGAGGAGTGTGTAGAGGTTGAGCTGGAACTGTCGATGGCCCAGGGCCGGGAGGGATACTGTCGCGGGTTCCCGAGAGTCGAGGTAAAGAGACAGAGGCAGAGAAAGGGATCTGGCTCGGAACTCGACAATCTGTGTCGCGTGGTGGCCGTCGACACGGGTCCAGAAACGCGGATACGTGGTGGCGACCGAACGCCAACGGTGGCAGACGTGCGTGATCGCTATGAGCTGGCTCGTGTCGACGCGCAAGGGCATCTTCGTGTAGCGCGTGAGGGCGAAGGTTGGGCCATCACAAAGGGCGTCTTGTACGAGATAGTGAAAGACAGCGAGGAGGAGCTCATTCGGCAAGCTGTGAATGGAGGCCATGGAAATGACGGCGGTGGAAAACGCCCAGAGGCCCTGTATCTGAGCAAAGGCGTTATGGGTTGAAGTCTGCAATGGGTTTGCAAGGATTCGAGGTACGCCAACCTTTGTAGACCTGATGAGGAGGGGGAGAAAACGTTGGATTTAGGTGAAGTCTAAAACTGCGCGTCCTTCTGACCTGAGTAGAGGTACGCTACATCGACATTGGGCTTCCAGATCGTCGAACGTGGCTGTGAGACGGTAGAATTGATCGGTGAGTGTCTTCAGATGTAAGTCAGATGGTGGTCGTCGAGAGAGTAGAGAGGAGCATCACGATAGCTAGCCGGCTTCTATACGTAACCTCTTGCATAGTTACTACTACTAGTAGTACTACTAGTGTAAGCACTGGTCGCGCCAAGGTCGCGCGTTGATCAATGTTAACGTTCAAGCTCAAACCTTCATCCCGTCTGCTTATCTCTGTACGAACACGCCCCCAGCTTTCGCAACATCCGATCTACCTTCACCCATTCCTACCCTCCTGAGTGCGAACGGCCACCGCCTGCACAGAAACCAACACTTCCATCATGCCTACACAGGTCTGCGGCGGATTTCGGTGCTGTCATGTGCTGCGGCGACAGTATAGGTGGTAGTAGCAAAGCTTCAAGCGTGGGTCCTGGCACTGCTGCACAGTACTTCCAAAGCCTCAAAGCGATGCTCGTCGAGGTCGCAGTCAACGTTGGGATCATGGCGCCCTTGGCAGCAAGCGCGAAGTATCCGTCAGCCGAATCACCGCCCGCGCTCTTCTCCTTGCTTTCTCTCCGCCTGTGTGCTATAAGTGCGCGTTTTCCCCGCTCCCTTTGCGCCCTCCATCTCACCATTCTCACTATGCCCAGGCACATGCGGACGTTCTTCCACATCTCCGATCATGGAAGACTACTGAATCAACCCATCGACCCCTCACGTGTGGTCACCCACACCAAGTATGGTATCTGGGACTACTACCAAGAGGAGCACCCGGACGCAGGAAGGATCACGTATGGAACAGGTGCAGTGCACGGCTTTAGAGACGTGCAAGAGGGCATCCCGTATATCACCCGCGCCGTGCGTGACGTCTTCGTCATACCCGGATGCAAGCTCCAGGTGTGCATATATGCGGCTGCAGAGCTTGCTGCGTCGCTCGTCCCTGCTTTGTCTGTCTGGTGCGTACTATTGGCATTCGTGCGCGTGCACCCCTTCAATCCAACGCGTCCTTCCAGGTTCCAGGGACAAATGCTGCTCATGGTACGTCCGTGTCTACCTCTGTCTGTGCTCCTTTTACCGAGCCTCTGTCAGATGGAGAAGGCAGTAGAGACAGGCGAAATAGACAAGCCTATGTTCCTCCTAGCATTCTCTGGTCATGCGTCTTGTTCACTCATCACCAACCTGCTCGATCGCGTCAAGGATCGCGCGCAAAATAATATTAACAAGAAGATTCAGCGCAACCAGGCCCTCCGCGCCTTCGCCATCTGGGCTCGCATTGATTTGCCCACATCCGAGAGGCCAGATATCATGAACGAATTGCTCACGACATCCAACTCGGAGATGTTCGGCCAGACCGTACTTTGGGGTGGCGTAGGAACGGTCGTCCATCTCTTGGGAACTGGTGCTCGTGTCAGCACACAAGTTGCCGTACTCTGGAACGTTCTGCGAGGACAAACGGACCTTGCGTACATGGGGATTGCGACTATTCTGTCCGAATTGTTGACCCGACTTTGGCCTTACTTTCGATTTTCGTCGTACAACGATGTGGGTGCGTCCATTACTATCCTTTCTGTCTACTATAACTTCCGCTGAACCATGAACAGCATGGGTGGTCAAGACCGACAATCAAGATTACTTGAAGATTGCCGGGTGGAAAGCAACGGTCCAAAGCCAAAAGCACCGGAAGGAAATCGTTGCAGGGGATCTGGCCGAGTTCGCAATTTCAGGCACGGATGACTCTCTTCGACTCCAGTGTTGTTGCTCAACCAGAACCGCTTCTCAGAGTATACGTCTGCTTCGGACCGGCTTGGTGACGGATACCGAGACTTCATGGAGATACAGAGAACGGTCGGTTTCCATGCAGGAAGCGGCAGTGCATTCTGGACGCATTTCCAGAACGGTTTCAGTTACCTCCCGCAGGTGAGTCGCTTTTGCCACTCGTCGGCTCTTCTCGCTCATACACCCTCTAGCTTGCCTTTGCTATTCGTGCCATGCAAAACCCTTCTCGAATGGCAGAACTCCTTGCTACACTGCACCTCATACAGTCGTCTGCCGCCGGCCTGGCGATGTCAGTTCAATCGCTAGTGGGCAAAACTATGTCACTCGGAGATGAGGTATACGGCCTGAAGAAGACGTATGAACCTGGGATCAAGAACTTGGTCGTTGATGGGAAGGAACCGTTTGTAGTGGATCCGCACCAAGGGAACATGGGCATTGAACTAGAGTTCCGGTGCGCCCGCTTGTGTACAGCGTGCTGCTAATAGGCGTTAACTCAACCCCCACCAGGAATGTGTCCTTCAAGTATCCCAGCGCGGATAAGTATGCTCTGAAGGACGTCTCTTTCAAGCTTCTTCCGGGGCAGCTTTGCGTACGCTATATGGCTGCGGTCTCCTCAACGGCCTGTTTTCTTATCATATGCACACAGGTCATTGTTGGATCGAACGGCGCCGGCAAAAGTACCATACTCAAATTGTTAGTTCGTCTGTATGATCCAATGGAAGGTGCCATCTTCTTTGGAGGCCGTGACATCCGCACGCTGAAGATGAGCGATCTCCGCCGCGCCACCTCCGTCCTCTTCCAGGACTACACTCATTTCCCACTGTCTGTGAGTTACCCCTATGACAGTGTCGACCCTATCTAATCCACCACCGTAGATCCGAGACAACATCGCGCTCGGAGATCCCACTGGAGCCCACTCGGACGCTGCTGTCCGACGCGCTGCTGAACTTGGTGGCGCCACCAAGATCATCGAGTCTCTACCGGAGAAGTACAATACCTATCTCGGCTTTAACAACTCCCAGCTCGCAACCGGGCCCCCGGATGGCTCGCTGACACGTTCCGGGAAGATCTTCGATACTGCCGCGGTGGTTGCGCGTGCTGGACTCCGACGTTCTGTAACACAGCTGAGCGGCGGGCAGATGCAGCGGCTTGCGGTGTGAGCACCCTCTTCTCGGTCGCGGAGATTTGCGAGGCTCACGTTGCATTCAGGGCGCGCACGTTCATGCGCTCAGTCGTGCGCGAGGACGCACGCGTCGGGCTTCTGTTGTTCGATGAGCCGAGCGCGTCGCTGGACCCCATCGCAGAGCATGGTGAGCAGTGGAGCAGCAAGTCCTATGGGCGTACCTGCTGATGCCACATGCCTTGCAGATCTATTCGACCGGCTGCGGGAGCTTCGGGGGAGCAAGACGATGGTCTTCTCATCTCACCGTTTCGGCAAGCTCACGCGACACGCAGACCTGATCCTGTATGTGCGCTCGTCTCTATTACGCTTGTTCAGTTTTGACCGCTCCACTTGCAGGTACATGGATGGTTGTGGCATCATCGAGGCTGGCACGCACGAAGCACTGCTGGAGAAGGATGGAAATTACGCGCGACTTTGGAAGCTTCAGGTCCAAGCCTTCGCGTGAGGAGGCACGCCTTGTCTCTCGTGGATATTGTCACGTAGCGCATTATACTTAATATAGACCCCGAATATTCGCTCACCCGACGCCGACAGTGCCCGACCGTCCTATAGACGCGACGTCATCCCCAGGCAACACGACCGTGGATGACTGACCGCAGCCATGTGTGACCCCTTGGCTAAATGGCCGGACCGTCAGGTGCTCCCGCGCGTTATTACCGCCGAGTCTACCCACGCGTATCGTCAACGGACGCGCGGATGGAAGGGCGCGCAGAAATCTACCTCGATCGATTCCACCACGGAACCCCTCACGGACACGCTGCCTCACGCTGCACGCAGCCAGCTCACCGCAGGTGAAACGGGGTGCGCGTCCTCTTGCCTCTCTTTTGGGGCCTCACGGGATGTGAACCAGAGCAGATGATCGTTCCTCGAACGACGCTGGGGCACGCGCGCATAAGTAATACGTAGCCATTTCTGGGCGCGGTAGTACGACCGGCTTCACAGCTAGGCACGAGCTACTCGACGTGAAGAGGATGGACTGACCCTGCACGGTGCGTACGCGTAAGTACCGGCACGCAAGCGAGGTCGCGTACCCAGCACGCCTTCGGCCCTCGGGAGTCGGACGGACGCAGCCGGTCCGAAGACTGCGCTTAGCGAACGCTCTGATCGGGCGTTGGACAGGGCGCATGACGTCACCGCCGGCGGCAGGCCAACCACCACGGAAAAGCGGCGACATCTCTGCCCGTTCACATGGGGAAGCACACAGCCCAGCCCAGCGCGCGCGCTGACTCTGGAGACGACACTCGGGCCAGTCGCCGCCACGGTCCTCCGCCCCTCGCGCTCAACGGGGGACAGGCGACAACCAGTTCCCACTGCCCAGGCACTCCGACGCGCACCCTGGGACCCGGGTCAACGGCACCATCGTCACTGTGGCCAAGTGTCCGCATGCGCGCGCCCGTGCCAGCGCGCGAGGCTCGAAGTGAGGCACGCCCACCCAGAGCGGTTAGACCCGGGACACTCCGCAAGTCCTCGTCGTGGCCACCCGTCACGATTTCCTTGCCAGGCAACGATAATAGTTTCAGCCAGGGTCAACGTTCAAACGTTCAAGGCCGCCGCTGCACCTGATCCCACCGGCCCCCGCAGAGGACGGGGAGCCTTTGCCTTAAGCTTGTCGCCTCGCATCTATGTGCACTCCTCTTCCACTCGTCACGTAACTCTCGCAGACGGGCCCTCCATGAACACGTGAACATTCTCAATTCTCCGCGCTCAGACGCCCTCGGAGCCCCACGGCAAGCGCGTTTGGTGACTTGAGTCGGCGACATTGGCTGATGTCCGAGCTCACCTTCCCCCAGCGTCCCCCAATACGTACGCTCGCAGACACACCCCAGCACCATGATATGCACCTTGGAACAGAATGGCACACACTCGACTGTGAGCACTCCTCCCTCTTGAGTCTCTCCCCCCACTACCTTGCATTTACTGAGATCCTTCAAGCTCTCTCCCCGGATGCTGCTCATGTCCATCGACCAGCCTATGCCGTCGCTCCCTTCCACTCCGCCGAACAGACCAAGACAGACCCGTTCGATGTCGCCTCGACGTGCTCCCACGATCCAACAGCTGCCCGTAGAACTTCTCGTGGACACCTTTGCTGCCGCCGACGAGGTCGAATCTTGGGGGCCATTCGGGTTCGGCCGCGGCCGCGGCATCGCGAAGCTCATGCTCGTATGTCGTAGCTGGCGCGACATCGCCCTCTCCACACCTTACTTCTGGCGGCACATCGACATCAACTCGGCGGAGCCATCTCCTCGGGTCCAGTTGCTCCTCGAGCGCTCGTCGGGCTGCACCATCGACGTCCGGCTGTTATACCGAGGGCTGCAGGAGGACGGTCCTACCCCGCGCTCAGTCCAACCCCTTCTTCCACACGTCTCCCGCATTCGGTCGCTCGACGTCAATCTCACTCATGAGGATTTCCCGTTTGTACTTCCCCTCTTCGCGCGGGAGCTGCCCATGCTCGAGACGCTGGAGATTATCCCAGTCCGAGCGGGAACCCGGGCGATAGAGTGGACTGACTTGGATCTCTCTCGCAAGGCACATCCCAAACTCCAGTCGCTCTCCATACGTCGAGTGTTCCTCCCGCCACCCGGGCACTCGTGGTGCACCCTACGCGTCCTGAAGCTTTACGACTATCCCACCACCTCCGACGGCCCACTTCCCCTTCAAGACTTTCTCCAAGTCCTGTCCAACTCAAGAGCGTCGCTCGAAGAGCTCTACTTGTGGTTCGGGTGCATCCAACATTCCGAGATTTGCGCCGCGCTCTCGCAAGACGTCGGTTCGCACATGTCCTATCGGAACATGGTATCGCTCGTCCACCTCCCGCGCCTCCGCATCTTCTCCGCACAGGGCCCGTTTGTGCTCATCGCGACGATCCAACAGGCGCTCAGCCTCCCGGACGACATCTCGCAGGTTGATATCCGCACGACGCAGTGCAACTCGACGGACGCGAGCGTGAACGCCATTGCGGACGTGACCCCGCTCTTCCCCGGGCACGCGCGCTCGCTCCTGGACCTCCCGTCCGACGTCACCTTCCGCACCTATGCCGTTGGGAGGTATTCCGAGTTCGAAATCCGCCCCGCGTCCCGGCCGCGCACCGAGCCCTCTCCTGACCATTGCGCAATATCCCCGACGAGTCCACTCTCGTCCGTATCTTCCCCGAGCTGCGTCTCTACCGCCGAATCCAAGCTTTCTCCCATCTCCGACTCCACACCGCCCTGCAGCAACCTCTTCCTCTCTTTCCAACATCCCGCCGTCGGCCTACCAGCGCTCGTCCAGGTCGTGGGCTGGGCGCCCGTGCGAAAGCTCACCCTTCCCGCGGCGTTGTTCCCCTCCGCAACGCCCGAACAATACGCCGAGGCGTTCTTCGCGCTCCCGCACCTCGAAGTCCTCGTCCTCCGCTCTCCCAACACCGACGCGATCGCCGGCCTCGACCCGCGTCTAGCCGCATCCACGCTGCCCCTCGCGGCCGCGTCCATCGAAGACCCGCGCGCGGACCCCACAGCGGCGGCGGTGCGCGCCCTGTGTCCACGCCTGCGCGTCCTGCGCGTCCACGCCCCATGCGCGACGGCGGAACGCGCGCGGGAGCTCCTCGGGGCGCTGTGCGCGTCCGCCGCGGCGCGCGCAGAGGGCGGCGCTCGGCTCACGCTCGTTGACGTACACGTGTGGGCGACGGGCCGCGGGGAGGATGCGCAGCTGCGGACTGGGGCCGGTGCGGCGGCAGTCGCGCGCGCGGTGGCCGGGCTCGAGCGGTGCGCGGCGCAGGCGCGGTGCCTCGTCGGGGAGCCGGCGCGAGATTGCGCGTGGTGCGTTGGACGGCGGGGGTGATGCCGGTGCGCGAGGGGGCGTTCACGACGGTGTCGGCCTCGGACTAATTGTACTGTATAGAGGCTCGTCGAGAGGCTGCAGTTGCGCACGGACTTGGCCAGCGCTCACACGGACCATCCTCTCGCTCCATCTTCTCTGTCCTTCAAAGTCCCTGTCTTCATCACGACGCTTACCTTCCTCATGACATACCATCAGCATCATACTGCTCACGTCTCTCATTGCTATCTCAATCTCCACGCCGCATACTATGGGCTACAGTGCCCGTTCCGAGCTTTCATCATATTTATTATGGCTATATATCTCACCGTCTCTCTTTACAGACCTTCGACCTTCCTTTTTTTTCCGAATCATCTTCTCCAGTTCTTAAAATGCTCTGCACCTCCGTCTTCGTCCTCACGAGTACTTTGGCGCCGGCACCACAGGGCGCTAGTTCAAAGGCGCCTACATCAGCAAAACGGGGGATTTGAAGATAATGCGTTGCAGTGCGTGATCAACGGCCGTATTGCATGGTAAGTAATCACAAGACATATCACGTATTACAGGGTGGTAGCCGTAGACGGCCATCGGTCGTCTGGCATGGCAATCTACCGCCTGATAGACGCCGGTTGGTCGGACAATTGTCTTCCCCCGCCACGCATTGTAATACATGAGGGTGCTGATGGCAATAAACGAGGGAGACGATGGCAATACCTGGCTGCACGCATTGCAGTTGTTCGACCATACACAAGGGGCGACATGGTAATCTGACACAATGATTTTAGACCCTTGTCATATGTTGGCATGTAAGACCGCATTTTGTAGCACACACAGGTTGCCACTGGTTGGATAGTGGTCGATTAAAACACGCAGTCATCATTCAGAAGAAGCTATCGGATCATGGCAAATATAATACGAGACTACTGGAGGTGTGGAGACGCAAGAACGAGAGTGAATCACGAGCTTTCCGCACTTTGAACATACATGATTAGTCATCTGTAAAATGAGACGGTGAGCGAGTGCTGCTGGAGACAAGTGCATACCATACATACCTGTCAATCATCGCCTGACGTGTAACCGACAGGCCCCTCAGTGTCCCAGGTCTTCTCTTCGCTGTCACTCTCTTCGAGCATCTGATCGCTTGTGGTCGGGGGACCCTCTGCACGCTTTTCGTGCCCACCCCCACAAAGCTCCCTGAGGTAGTATAAGTCAGTCGACGTCTCGAATCTCGATGAGCAGTGAGACTGCTCACATCCCAGTCCCCATGGGTGTCGCTCCTGGTTGGCTCACTTGTCAGGCAGAAGCGAACCTGCAATATACGTCAGAAGACGCCCGAAGACGTGTCCAAGGAGCTCACCAAAGCTGCAGTAGCGACAACGGAATACAGCCTGAAGCTGTTGGCGTCCATGACCGTCTTCTCCGCAACGGAGTTCTGGCCCGGCTGCTTCCGAGTGAGTAACCCACCCGCATCGCCGCGGATCGCAGCCGCCGAGTTGCCGTACCTTGAGTATCAACTGGCCCTTGAGGAGCCCCTTGCGAACCCGTGGCTTGGTCGGGTCGACCTCACTCAGACTCTCGCTGTTCCACATTCAGAGAATGCACGACGAGGGGGCAACGAGGACCATCGGCACGATGATCTGGGTGCATTTGCTGAGCGGCAAGGGCAGGATGTGCCTCTCCTTCGAGAGGCTCAGCCGGAGCGGGGCACTTGCCGTGAGTCCAACTGGAGGCACCAAGGGTAGCCTGACCGCATGATTGGTCCTCAGCTAGACACATTTGAATGAATGGGCTACGTACCGGTGTGCGCCTGCCACCTGGGCCCTGATCCCATTCTCCGAACCACCTGCCACCCGGGGACCGGTGTGGTGGAACCCGGTCGCCGTGTCCGACTCGCCCCAGGTGTTGCATACGCAGTCTGTGAGAGGCTGTGGAACTTGACCATGATTAGATGAGATGAGGAGATGGAGATGGAGATATCGCACCAGGTATGTGCTCTTCATATACCTGACTGTGAGGCGAGTGGCACCGGGAGTGATGATGGCGGTTGTGGGAGACGTTCAGTAGACGCTCATGGCTCACGTCGACGCGTCTTGTTTGCCCTATTAATGTCTGCGCGGGCGCTGGACGCGCGCAATGGCCCCCACCTCCATCTATCATCCGTGCAATCAGATCCATATGGTAAGTCTTTGACTCGGACTATGCTCCGTTTCCGACCGCCCCCCGCCCCGACTCGCCCCACGCCTCGACCGCCGCCTCCGCGCACACCGACGGCACGCCCGACGCGCCCCCGCCCCCGCCCCTGCCGCGTAGGCGCTCCCGCGCCTCACCGCGCTCGTCCTCCTGCTCGCCACGCGTGTCCAGGCGGGCGCGCACCGCGCCGCGTTCAACTACGAGTTCCACGACCACGAGCCTCCGCGACGCGGAGGACGACGACGGCGCGTCCGGCTCCGCCCGCCCGCCACCTCGCCCTCCTCCACCTCTGTCCCCGCGTCCGCCAGCTCGTCTTCGAGGGCCGCGAGAACAACCTCTCGGACGCGGACCGCCTCCCGTCCCACCCGACCTTCGCCTTCGTCGACGTTGGTCTCCACCCCGCGCCGCGCGCTCGCCTACTATCGCCCCCCGCGCCCGCCCGTGCGCATGCTCGACCGCGCGCTCGCGAGCCATGCTCGAGCTCCGTGTTGAGTATGTGTACGGAATGTACGACACCGTGCCTCAGGAGTGTGCAATATATATAATGTATTCCCATCCCATCATACGTTACCATGCATGTCAAACCCTCGTCTTGCGGGCGTTGGTCTATCTTCTATATACCATGCTCTGCAAGCAATAGTAAAGCATACAATTGATTGCCATGTATTACCATCAGCCGTCTAGCAGACAAAAGACGGCATGTCCTTATCAGGAAGCGCCGAGCGCGGTCAGACGCCGCGATGCGTGACAAGAAGATACGCCCTTTGCTGATGTATGAGCCATCTCATCGTTTTCAAGTTGTACTCGAACCCCCATGTGCACTGTGCACTGCATGAACCCACTTGAAGATGAGGCGTGATACGTGGTGTGTAAATTATGCTACTATGTATATCCTATCTCATATAGTATGAGCAGCATACATGGATGATGTTCTCAGCTCAGCTCGTTCAATCGACTGAGGGCCACAGTCAGCAACCAATGCACTTCGCTGCGCGATGCCGGCCGAATCGCGGTTTTCAAACTTCGCAGACTTAAGGCGTATGACAACAATGAGCATAGATGTCCACGGTCGGGAAGCACTCGAAGGGGTCTGAAGCCTGAGGTCTCGTCGGCCGACAGACAAACGTGGCAGTGCGATTGAGTTGTGAGAGTTCTAATTTGAATCCGCTTTGAGAAGCCGTCGACTGAGAGATGGAACACTAATTCGGAACGCAGGATTACCGGCCATGGAGAAACATGCTACAGAAATGACCATGTACACAGGTCGTAGACTGCACGGCTTGCGGGAAATGTGCCACACTTTTCCAAAAAGACTCTATGGATCCTTGGAACATCGAAAGGAGATGGACGTCTGTGCCCTGCTCTCGTGGAGCCCTGTTACGAATTACGTGTGTATCACCTTTGCACATCATCCACCGGCTGGCAATAGCATTCTAACTCGACTCAAGAGATCCCAAGTCCAAGTGAAGTCCGAATAAAGCCGAAGACGCTGCAGAAGTATCACAGCAATGCTGGATCCACGCACCCGATGCGGCACTGTCCTCTCATAGCTACGCTTGAAAGCCATGACAAATAGAGCAAAATGACTCAACTGGTCTCCCATCGGCCGACCGCTACTGAAAGCTTTGGCGAGCGTCATCGTGGAGGCGCGGGGTGGCCACATATACCCAGGTACGAGTCTTCGCTCTGCAACCAGCCTCTCTCCCCCCACATCGACCGACTACTTCAACTATTCATGTTTGTTTCGCTTCTTCAGGCGGCCGCTATAGCAGCCGTGATACTGCTTATCAGCATATGGAAAATATTCGGACAGTTCTTCATCCGCTCTCCACTCGACAATATTCCCGGGCCCCCGCGTGGAGAGTTCCTCTATGGTAAATATTCTCCAGCTATGGCTGCCTCTGTTCTTGCTATCAACTAATAGAAACCAGGAAATCTCAAACAAGTGTTGCACAAGAGCATCGGCTGGGGATTCATCCAAAACCTCACAGAGTCTTACCCCGGCATTGCCAAGCTCCATGGTCCTCTCGGTGTGCGTGCTAGTGTTAACCTGTACAAGTAGCAACTTGTACTAATCCTTTTCGCAGCATCGCATGCTCTACGTCTGGGATCCTGCAGCGTTGCACCACATCGTAGTCAAAGACCAGTATATCTACGAGGAGGCCGCATGGTTCATCAAGTAATGTCCCGTCTCCCCGCTGTACACTCGTCACTCACGCTCCATTTCTATCCCCACCAGGTTCAACCTCCTCCGCTTCGGCCCCGGCCTCCTCGCGACGCTCGGCGACACCCACCGGCGGCAGCGCAAGCTCCTCAACCCCGTCTTCTCAATGGCGCACGCGCAGCATGGTCTCGCTCTTCAACGCGACCTGCCTCCGCCTGCAGACCGCGATCGGGCGCCGCGTCGGCGCATCCCCGGGCGGCGTCCCGGTCGAGCTCGACGTGCTCGCGTGGATGGGCCGCACCGCGCTCGAGCTCATCGGCCAGGCCGGCCTCGGGCACTCGTTCGACCCGCTCACGGCGGACACCCCGGACGAGTTCGCGACGATCGTCAAGTCGTTCGGGTGCGTGCGTCCCGTCTCTCGCGCTGGGGACCGGTCCGGGCTCACCGGCACTGGGGGAGGACAGGCCGTCGCTCGTGCTGATGAACCACCTCCGCCGCGTCCTGCCTTACATCCCCAGCATCGGTCCGCCGGCGTTCCAGGCGAAGGTGGTCGAGCTCTTCCCGCACAGGGGCATACAGGGCGTCAAGAGGTTCATTGACAGGCTGCACGACGAGAGCCTGAAGATCTACCGCGGGAAGATCGCCGCGATGGAGAAGGGCAACGAGGAAGTCCTGAAGCAGGTCGGAGAGGGCAAGGACGTGATGAGCATCTTGAGTGAGCGTGCCTCTCGCCCACAAACCTGCCTCTGTCTCACCCACGACCGTCCCCCAGTCAGAGCCAACATGGAAGCTTCCGAGGAGGACAGACTCCCTGAGGAAGAAGTCATCGCACAGATCTCGTGAGCGTCCTGCATCCTTCGCACTCGCGACGCTCACGGTCGGTCGCTGACCGCCCCGTGTCCCAGGACGTTCATCTTCGCTGCCATGGACACCACCTCGAACGCGCTCGCCCTGACGCTCCAGGAGCTCGGCGACCACCCGGAGGCGCAAGACCGCGTGCGCGCCGAGATCCTCGCCGCGCTCGACGGCCGCGAGACGCTCGAGCACGACGAGCTCGTCGCGCTCCCGTTCCTCGACGCCGTCTGCCGCGAGACCCTCCGCCTGCACGCGCCCGTGACCCAGGTGTTCCGCGAGTGCGTTTCCCCTCATTCCCCGTTCTCCCCTCCCAATTAATAGTAGATCTACGTCAACGCACCCACACGGCAGGACGCGCCAGGACGTCGTCCTCCCGCTTTCGCAGCCGATCCGCGGCGTCGACGGCGCGCTCGTCCGCGAGATCGCCGTCCCGCGCGACACGACCGTCGCGATCGGCATCCTCTCCGCGAACCGGAACAAGGCCGTCTGGGGCGAGGACGCGGAGGCGTGGCGGCCGGAGCGGTGGCTCCAGCCGCTCCCGGCGACCGTCCAGGACGCGAAGGTGCCCGGGATCTACTCCAACCTGTGGGTGGCACAACGGTCGGCGTGGTTGGAGCGTGGGCTGACACTCCGGCTGTGCCTTCCAGCATGACGTTCTTGGGCGGCGGGCGGGCGTGCATGTGAGTCGTCCTTCACGTCTCCTGTCGCATGTGCAGAGGCTGACTTTCTGACTTGCGTTGCAGTGGCTTCAAGTTTTCGCAGCTGGAGATGAGTACGTGCATCTTGTTTTCCATCTACACGCGTCTGCGAAGACGTTGACAGTTGCGGGGGTCGCTCTGTGTACAGAGTGCGTGCTGTGCTTGCTCCTCGCCAAGTTCACGTTTGCGTGGTCGGACAAGCCCGTCACGTGGAACCTCTCCAACGTCCGCTTCCCGACGGTGGGCAACAACCCGAAGCCCTCCATGCCGATGATGGTTGGGCTGTACCAACCCGCGCCCGCCCCCACCGTGTCTGCTTGAAGACTGCTTTCGCAAAATTTCACACTTCTACGAGGCGACCACTCAACTGGCCGCCCTTGGCATCGATGTATGCACACGGACTCACGCAGTAGGGATGGAGGGAAAGCGACGACGAAAGCAGGATGTGTCATAGCAATGTGGGATTGTCAAGAGCGGTAGTATACGTCCAGAGTACTTTTGCGTAATGAAGCATGGGGAGATCTATACCGTCTGCTAGATCTTGCCGATGAGCAGGTTGCCGAGCATCTCCCGCCCGGTAATCCAGGCGGTGCGGCCGAACGAGTAGTAGTCGAGCGTGGACGAGAGCATGTCCGCGAGGCCGAAAGGGAGCATAGGTGGGATCCATCCTGGGGAGCGCAACGTGAGATGGCAGCTCGGAGGGGGCAACACGGAAGGGGGTAGGAGTTCGAGTTCGAGAGACGGCACTCACCACGGGCATACTCCATCGCAAAGCACCCCTGGTGCATCTTGTACTGCTTCACGTGTCCGCGGGGGAGGTGGTGCACGTCGCCCGGCGTGTAGACCTCCCGCTCGAGCGACGGCGGGTTGAAGGCCCACTGCTCGCCAACGAGGATGTTGAAGTAGTCGTCCGCGGTGTGCACGCCGCTGTGACCCTCGGTGCCGACGGGGGTGCCGAAGATGATGAGGTACTCGGTGATGCTGGCGTGGATGATGTACATGGCACCCATGGCGCCGCCGGCATTGTTGAACACCCACTCGGACGAGTCCGGGTTGATCTTCACGACGGACGAGGGGTACTCGGTGGTGAGGTTGGACACGATGAAGGGGATCATTGCGTTGATGTCGTCAGGGTGGGCCGCGACGGCATTCTTGGCGAGGTCGTGAAGGTAGCCTGGTTCAAAGACATACCACCTGTCCTGATACGACGCGGATGAGGAACGAATCGCTAGGCGAACAACAACGCGACGTACCTTGATCTGGTCCAGCGTGGAGTAGGTTGCAAGGGCAGTGAGGAGGACAAGGAGGCGAACAGCCCACTTGAAGAACCCTGCGTATTCAGGCTCGTTGGGAGGGGTCGTGGGCGTTGACTTGGAGCCTGCCATGGCGGATGTGAGGGGAGAGATGGCCGCGACAACGGATGTCGGACGTAGGGGGCAAAGCGCAGGGAGTTATATGGTCATCGCTCAAGTGGAACGATGCGCGTCCTGTCGCGCTTGTCAGCAGTTATGACAGCCGGGTCCCACAGTCATAGTCAAGAAGTTGAACCAGATCGACTTGGAACCGGACATACAATGGCAAGGCCCAGGCGCCGGGCCACGTTGTCCGACGAAAAGGGACAGCGGCGCTTGGCAGACAGGCCCTGTCGCCGTCGTGTCCTCCTCCGCCATCTCCCCTCCCCTCTCCCTCCACGGTTTCTCTCCCCCTCTCTTCAAAATCACCACCACAAGAGCACTTTTTGACCCGCGCCTGCAGTCGAAGAACACGCGAAGCGACCTTCTTCCCTTCTCCCTCCTCAAAACCACCCAACTATCACCATGGCCCCTCGCACCCGCAAAGGCGGCCGCTCCGTCTCCCCCCTCCCATCGACATCCAATGGTGATGTTTCTCCACCGAAAGACGACGCGCCTTCCACCCCCGGTGTCAGCGCGCTCCTGGTCCCATCCGACGCTGCGGAACGCGAGGAAGTCAAAGTTAACAACGCGAGCGCGAGCGACATGAAGCATGCATGCGACGACGCATTGAAGAGGGTGTGTGGTCTCTCTCCCTTGCTAGTTCTCATTCTTCCCTCTCTTGCGCGGTGGTCTTGGCGCAGCCTCGCAGCGTCTCCTCATCTATCCCCCCTGTGCCATGCGACAACGGCCTGTCGCTCGATCGCTCTCCATTTGCAGAGTGCCTTGGCCACTGCATGGTGGCGGCGGGGTCGTGTGATGCGTCCCATCTGCACCGTGCCGTTCCTCCCCCGTATCTCGTACAATGCGCCCTCTCTGCCCCCCTTGTACGCGATACCAGGCGTCCTCGGCGTGTCCGGGTAGCGTACGCGACGCCCACATGCCCGCGCTATCGGCTTCCCCGCCGCATGTTCCATTCACAACAGATTTCCCTCCCGTCCTTCTCCATTTGCCGGTTTTGAGCCCAGGACGTGGGCACCAGGCTAATGCTAACACGTGGATCTTCCCTCGCAGTTCCTTTCCCGACCCGATCTGTTCAAGCAAATTCACACGCATACAGACGTCCGCCTCGCCCTCGGATGGCTCTCAGTCCTTGTCGCCGGCGGCACCGGTCTGTACGGTTGGCGCGTACCCTTCGAGCCGGGCAAGCCTGTGGTTTGGGCAGGCGTTATCTTGTGAGTCCTTCGGTTGTCGGCGCTTCGTACCACATCTCCACTCTGTTCCCCGCCCCTTGTTCCTGGTGGTGCAGGCAAGTGGTCCGTGCGCGCAGGCCGCACAAGCGACCGCTTTCTCCGTCGTCATTCGTAACTGCTGCGTTCATGTCCATGACGCGCTTCCCACACTGTTGGGAGATGAATGTGTGAATCCAAAGTCTAACTGACCCTATTTCCCCGTGCCCAGGTACGTGATTCTGACGATCGCGCAAACACTATACGCGTACTTCATCGAAGGCGACATCGTCTTCGTTGGCAAGCGCAAAACCTTCGACAAGCGCGTGCGTGCATTTTCTTTGTCCGCCTTTCGAACGAAGCCTAACGACGCACACGCAGATCGTCACCGAGCGGATAACCATCACCTCGCGCTCGACCCCCTCCTCCCCACAAACACCACCCGGCTACTCGCTCGGCCTTGCGTACCTCCGTTCCGCAGCATCCGGGAAGACACTTCTGGGCAAGGGCCGCTCCTCAACCGACCAGCCGTACACGTCGTTCTTCGACGAGACGGGCGTGATGGACCAGGATGCGTTCGAGCGCTGGGTTGGGGAAGTCGTTGGGGGCGTGATGGACTCGAAGGCCGAGTGATCGCGGACGGCGCAAAACGGACGAGGACGCGTTGGGTTTATCGTTATCATATGGCCCCCGCCTCTCGGCGCGAGCCGTGCGTGCGCGGCGTTGTGGACGCGGACGGGTGGATCGGTGGTCTGTATGTATATGTACATCTGCACTTTTCGACGTTACCACATCTTATGACTTCCCATTTTCGTGTGCCAACATGCGCAGCGGACGCTCCGTGGCCTTTCTGAAGAGCCCCGTCATGCTGTGCGCTGGTTGTGCGCTCGCTGCCAGATACCAGTTTGCTTTACTGTGATGTTTCCACATCCCCGTTGCTTGTACAGGTCATCCGGTCCGTAGCTTGTATGGACACGGTGCGCGACCCACTCCGCCGTCTCTCCTGCACTAACACGCGATCCGTATCCCGCACTCAGATCTATCCGCGAAATCCTTGATGTGCCTGCATCATCCCGCGGGGCTTCACCCCTCGCTGAGCCTGGAACTTCCAGAAAATTGGCATGCGCATTGGAAGATGGGCAAGAGGGGCTGCTTAGGGGACACTACCGCGGACGAGGCAGGCGCAGTCCACGTTCTTGACGCCGTGGAACTGCCAGAACACGCCGCCGCCGTGCTTCGGTATACATTGGCTGCCATAAACGCGGAGCTCCCGGCCGCGGACTGCGACCACGTCGTCGCTTGGTCTTAGAGGCAGACAAGCGCCGGGTGCGTGGCGGAGTGTCGAAGTTACGTGGCAGCGGCAAGCGGTGAGAACTTAAGTACTCACTACTTATTCTTCCCAGGTAACACGGGGAACTTGGAACAGTCCGGCACCTCAACCTCACCTCGGCCGAAGGCCTCCACCGCACCCTGTACTCATACTCAAATGTCAAGCCCAGAACCCCTCCCACGCCCCGTCGAGACGCTGCTCGCCGATCGCGAGCGGTCAAAGTCAGCCTATTACCCATGGAATCGTCCTCGCACCTGGCGCTTCTCTCGCGCACACCCGCGCTCCCTCCTCCCCCGCCTCTTCCCGTCGCGCAAACAACCCGATACCCCGGTGGCCGCGTTTTACCGGATCTACGAGTTCTTCGTGCTCAACTGGACGTCCTCCATGCGCCGCGAGCTCGAGTACTTCTGCTGCAGCCACCCGGACTGGGCCGTCGCCGCCCTCCCGGACCCGCAGGACCCGGACCCCGTGCGCGCGGCGATACTCGCCGTCCTCACCCGCCTCATGTGCGCCGCGTTCAACCGCCGGATCGGGCTCGGCGTCCCGCGCGACGCCCCGCCGATCGTCCTCGACTGGGACGAGCTCCAGCAGCGGCCGAAGGTGTACGAGCACCCGCCGGAGTGGGCGAAGAGCGTGCCGCCGCTGGAGGAGCGGGTGGTGCTGCCGGACGAGAAGGGAGAATTCCCGGATGATGCGAGCGAGGACACGAGCGAGGAGTTCGGGGCGATGAACATCCTTGTCTTCGCGCCGCACATCCATTTCATCTGAAGAGATACAGCGACGGGACGGTATGTGGCACGGTCTTTGGCATCGCTTCGTCGTTACTTACTCGTAGACAGGCTCGAAGGCTCGGCCCGCGCCGTCGTCGTTGCTCCTGCTCCAGCGGTGTTGATTTGCCTCCACGGTCTCGGAGGACTAGTATTTCTTGGCATCGACTGTACCTTGGATGGATATTCGATGCCGCACCACTCAGCACTCGAAGATTCTACCGCACATCTGCTTACAGAACCGGCATCGAGAAGGCTGGAGCACTGCCAAGGCGAGCAACTTGGGCTCTGTTCAGATGCCCAATTCTGCTAGAATATGCCCTGTTTCTCGCGAGAACGCACATGCACACCCGTTGTTCTCCCGTTTGGAGGCTGACATGCTGTCAAAAGACTCCTCGTGCCCCTCGACGACTGCCCCTCCGACCTCACCCTGCTATCCCGGTCCCAACACCAGCTGTACGTCTGTGGGAGATCACTCCAACCAAGGAGGTACGCCGTAGTTGAAAAGCTGGTCGTGCAGTACCAGGTGCAGACGGACAAGGATGGAATTATGGCAACCGAAGCGTTGTACAAATCGATGTTGCGCTCTAGAGAGAGCGAGATTGTACGATACGAATAATTTGCACTCAATCGTTGGTCTCCCTCACGCCGTACGCCCACCACTTCGCCGATCTCAATCTTCCTCCTCGCCGTCAAGCTCTGGGTAGTGCCTGAAAATACCCATGCTAAACTTCCGCCTGCGCTCGCTCGCAAGGTACTCCTTGATGCCCTTCTCGCCCTTCACCCTCTCCACGAGCTCGAACACCAGTGCGTACTTCCCGCTCGCCTTCGCCTTCGCCACCCGCCGCGGGAACGCGAACTCGAGCCCGCTCACCACATGGAACAGCACGAGGTCCGCCGCGGTCGTCTGCTTGCCGACGAGGTACGTCTTCCCCGCGCCCTCCGCGCCCGCCGTGTCCGGGTTGGACTCGAGTACGGCCTGGAAGTGGCGGAAGAACTTGGGGACGCGCGTCGTGCGGAAGTCCTCCGCGCGCCGGAGCGCCTCCGCCTTCTGGTCCTCGTAGTACAGCGCGGAGGCGACCGGGTGGTGCGTGTCGTGCGCCTCGAGCTGCCAGTCGAGCGCGGTGAGCACGAGCTGGCTCACCGTGCTCGCCTCCTCCCGCGCCCGCGCGTACACCTCCTCCGCGCCTCCTCCATCTCCATCTCCCTCCGCCTCCTCGAGGAGCGCGCGCACGCCGGCGGCGGTCGCGAGCCGCGAGCCCCGCGCGCCGGCGAGGCCGCACGCGGGCGCGATGTGCGCGACGATCGCGGCGGTCTGGCTGAGCAGGCCGCGCGCGCCGGGGACGCGGAGCGCGGGCGGGGCGAAGTGCGGGGGGGAGCCGACGTCGGGCCGCGCGGGGTCGCCGATGTGCGCGGCGACGGTCGCGGCGACGGGCGGGGCGCACTCGGCGTACGGGAGCCCGGCGTGCTCGAGCTGGAGGCGGATGTACTCGCCGCGGCCGGGGATGCCTGGCCACTGCGGGCGCGGGCGCGCTGAGAATTCGACGGTGCGGAGGTGTGTCGGGGAGGGGGACGTACGTAGTAGAGGACGTAGCCTTCGGTGCGCTGCTTCTTCTCCGGGCGGTCGGTCATGTTGTGCACAAGTCTTGCGGGGGTTGGAGTGAAGCGCGATGAGCGACTGGGGTAGGCTCTGGGAACAGCACAGGAGCGGATAGGGGAAAGACGGAAGATGGGCATTTAAGTACCGTCGCCGCCGCTCTAGATATCTTCCGCCGTCGAGCGAGAACTTAAGTGCAGGAGGCATGACCTCCATCATGTCATCTCGCTGACCATGTTTAGTCCGCAGACTTGTCCATCAAACCAGGCTTATTCACCAACTACGGCATCCCCTTGGACAGAGTTGGACAGGTGTCTGGTTGGAACGGCTGCGCAGATGTTGTAGTTCTCGGTTCTCAGTGACTCAAGCCTGCGCGTACGCAGCCGCGGTATGGAGACCCGCGCTCGCCTTCATGTCTGCATCGACAACAATGTTCTAGGCGATCGACTTCTCGAACGTGCGCACACAGCACAACGATCAGTGCACCACAACATATTCTTGTCGCAGTAGAACACTGACTCAATTTCGAGCTGGGTGGATTTGAAACCACTGCGCAGGCAAAGTGCCAATGCGGAGAAACATTGGTAAAGCCTCCCAGGAACGTCATCCTGGATCCCTGTCTATCAACGCATGCTGATTCGGACCAGTGAACGTCCTGCAAAGACGTGAGTATGATGTTTGCTGCCACCAGAACGGGAGAGGAGAACTCACGATCGCATCTGACCAAGTAGCCCTTTCTATGACAGCTTGTCCTCATCATCCGCTGCCATGTTCGCGCGCGCTACAATTGTTTGAATGAGCATCCGTAGTATCTTTCGCGATTTTTACCCACTCAAGACGCTGATGAGATCCTTTGTGACACCGGTGTGGCTGTCCTGACGCCTTGACTTCTGCGTCAGGCGCGAGTGAACGCTCCCGCTGCATTGCTCCTAGTCGAGAAGAGGTCTGTGCTCGAGTCGTCCGGGTGCGCAGTGACGGCTATGACGAATCACAGGTGGATGCACTGCCAAGAATAATTAGTAAGTCCAAGTAAGCTAAGAGGCGCCAGTCGGGGGCACACTGGTGATGCCGAATGCTCGTATTGGCATCCGACCCTCCCGAGGACCCAGTGAAAGTATCGTCGTCTAATGGACACGGATTGGACACGGATGGTTCTGCCTGAAGGCGACTGAAATGAGGCACGCGAGAGACTCGGATGATTGTACGTACGAGCAGCTGTATTCCAGGCCAACCTGGGCGGGCTGAGGCGGCGGCTAGCAAGACCTGGGCATGGGCGCATGCCATGAGTGCGTGTGTTTTTGGAACGGACGTGCGGCATGCACTTACCTGCGGGCTCTGAAGACCCTCCATGCACTGAGAGCAAGTCGGATCAAACTGAATGCGATTGAGGTGGTATGTCCGTTAGGGTTCTAAGCATACAGGTATGTACACTTCAGCGCCGTGCTGGACCCGGGCTAATGATGCAGGAAACGAGATAGATCCGACAGGAGTGGTAGTGTAGAGCTGGTAGGATAGAGATGCGACGCGGGATGCAGGAATTGATATGGACAGCGACGGACGATGTGGGGGACGTCGAAATGACTACAGGTACAAGTACGAGTACGAGTGCTGTGGCGGGGGTGGGCCCATCGCGGTGCGGAATATGCGAGTGTAATCAAGGCCAGCAACAGCATCGGAGACACCAGGACAGAGCAAGAACCAGAACACACAGGAGGGTGGGACATGGATAAATAAGGAGACCGTGGTCGGAACGTCGGGTTTCATGTCGCACGTTCTTTCCCCTTGGACGGAGGGCTCGCGACAGGTTTCAGCTCTGGACTGCTTGCCATTGCTACCGAGGTAAATGACGGGAGTCGCCTAGAGCCGTTGAGCCCCAAAGGAGATAGTCGGGTGGCGCCTTGGGTGGGGCTTGCGGGCAATGAGCCGTTCGGTCGTAATGGCGAACGTGGAGGGGGTGGCACGCCCGTCTCTCCAGAGGCAGCTTCGGTGAGGAGGAACTCCACCCATAGCCTCGAAAATGACTGAGCAAGCATGGCGGATCAGCGTTGCATTACATGGCACGATGAAAAGGCGACTGACCTCGGTCTCATCCGTTTTTTGGAGATCAGCAGGCTTGGACGTCGGCGAAGGCGCAGTGGAGCGACCCCAAAATAGCCCTCCAGACGGCTGAGCTACATTGTTTCGCTGCAAACCTGCCTTCTCTCGTGCGTCGTCGTCCCAGGACAGTACCGACGCGAGGAGTTGCAGCATCTCGAAACGTTTTGAATCGGCTCGAGGTGTGTTGAGGAAGGAAAGTAGGACGTTGGTGACAAGTCGCCTATCCACGTTCGTCTCCGAGGACGAACGTCGCAATCGACGAAGCGCTTCCATGAGATGTTCGTTCATGATGACAGCTATACGCGTAGTTAGTCGCGTTGAAAAGGGTAAAGCGCATCGAAGATGCTGGAGGAAGATGGATAACTCGCAGCAAAACCGCCACATACCTTCTTGTCTCAACTTCCCAATGAGTATGCCTTTGTCCTTGACCTCCTTTTCCAACTCCTGTACGCGAGCGTTGCTGGAGGACGATTCCTCCAGCTGGAGTTCCGCATTCAGCGCACGACTCTTGAACTCCGCCAGCAACTGGGTGACACTGGTAAGTCGGGCCTCGTAATCCTTCACCGCCTGTTTCAAATCATGGTCCTTCGCTGGAGTGAACAAAGTCAGTGGCACCGCCTAAACACAAGGAAACGCGTACACACAAGACTGGAAGTCCTCCAAGACTGACTGCAAGTTCGAGCACTTCTCTCGCTCGATCTCCAACCCCATCTCCACACGCTGCTTCGCTTCCCGCTCTACCTCCAAGTCTCTCCTCAGGCTGTCTGCGATGGTGCGGGCTTCGTCGGCCGAAACATGCACCTGAAGCGCCTTCTGCTCCCACTCGTCGCGCTCTATTCGACACTGTTCAAGTTCGGCCTGGAGCTCACGAAGCTCACGTTCGCGGAGATACGTCTCTTGACTGTTGTCGTGTAGCGCCCGGGTGCGCATCGTCTCGAGCTCCTTGGACGCGCGCTCGGCCTCTTCGTTGGACGCTATCAGCTCCGACTTGAGAGTCTCGACGGTGTTCGCAAGGTCGTCATTCTGCGCTGTCAGTTGTTGGACAAGCTGTTCTTGACGGTCGAGTTCTTCCTGTCCATGCACTGGTGAGCACGTTCGTCCAAAGCCAGAGGGGATAAAAGCACATACGGCGTCTTGCTTCAGCTTATTTCCCAGCGTCGTCCGCATCGTGGTGAGCTTGGCGAGCAGGTTACGGTATTGCGCAGCGAGGGCATCCTTTTCCTCTCTTGTGCGTTGGAGCTCGTTCTCGAGGCGTTGAACGGGGTCCAGGGATTCGTCTGAATCATGGTGTGTGTCGCCGTTGGGGGAACTGACGCCATTTGCGGGTGGTGGCGAGCCGAGGATGCGGTCGCGGTCGAGCGACTGGCGTTTAGAAGCAATACCGTTGCTCGCCACCTCAGAGAGCGTTGGGGAGGCCATGGAGAGAGGCGGGGTGTTAGAGCCGGACTGTAAGCGCAGCCGCGAAGTGCTATCGTGTCAATTAACTCAGGGCAGCGCGCAAACCCTAACCCATATAGTCAGACGCCCAAAGGCATGCCATCATTTCGATGGCTGTGGACTTTTTAATGCTCCTCTTCTTCTTGCACATACCAGAATATCGATCAGACGCTACAGTTATCGCCTCTCGCACTGTGGAAGCACAAGCTGCGATGCCAGTCCGTTTCTCCAGTGTTCTCGGATACTCACGTGTTTGAAGCGTCATCATTTTCACGGCCTCAACTGCGCATTTCGTCGCATTCCGGGTCCAAGTTCTTGCGCGACCGCGTAAGATGCAATAGCTCGAAACCAACTCCTCCGTGAGCCGCGCGCTCTAGCAAAGTTGACACTTGCATCGAAGTCGCGGCCTCGCCAAAGCCATCAGCCATCAACGCGCGCCAAGGTCGCATTCATGGTCGAACGAACGCCGGACTGCTTCGCCCGCCCTCTCATGCTCCCCTCCCTTGCTGAGTCTGTTTGAGCTGCCCCTCCTCACGACAACCGCTACGACACCCCCACGACTCGCGTGAGCGTCGCGCTACACGTTCCATCACTCCGCGCTGATCACTGTGCACTGTACTCCAGATTCCGTACGTCACGATCACATCCTCTGCGCGAGTTTCTCCGTTAGCAGCTCCATTACCATGGGTCGAGGTGCGTCTTGTCCTGAATGCTCTTATCTGGCCGCTTTCCAAACGTCTCTCTCCAGGCACGAACGCAAATGACACTCCTGCGAACCCCAACGACCTCACCGCCATCCCGTCCGGTCCAACTGCCTCAGCAAACCACGATGAACATGGCTCGCGCGGCCAAAAACGCAAGCAGACCCTGCTAAGTTTACTGGATGCGCTTGCGGAGTTGAGCAAGGATGATGAGTTGGAAGGCTCCTGTGAGTGCCCGCCTTTGGATGTTCTCGCGTTTGTGTCCGGACTGGGCTTGCGGATCCCATGCTTTGCCAATCTACCCCGCACTCCGCCGCGGCATTGCCTTCGATGTCCTTTACTGGCGCGCTTTCTCCACACCCCTCCTCTCCCTTGCATGCCACGGCTCTTCAGAGGCGGTCTGCCAGCGAATGGAAATATCATCCGGTCGGACCAGGTCGGACTTGCCAAGCGTACTATCTATTCTGGGCGGGACCAAGTGTCGCGCGGCTGCCCTTACCCGGGAAGGACACGGTCTTCGCCTACTTTTTTGGGATTAAGCTGTTCCGTCGCGTATATGCGCGCTGCGGACGTATGCTTCCGATAGTACCTGCAGTTCGATATCACTAACTCAACTCCGTAGCGTCCCAGCAGCCCAGCTTTGAAGATGATCGCGACGTTCGTGAGTCTAATGTTCCGCTTGCGGTTTCAATGAATCTCAATATGCCTGGTTAGCCACTGTCGATGAGCACCTCCAAAAGGTCGGGGCAGAGACGTTCAACAAATTCCAAAGGTGTGTACCTAGCATTAGCCTTCCTTCACGCGTAGTAATCATCTCCGCTCGGAAGACGTATGAACAACCTAGACAAAGAGGTGACGTACCCCGTCTTCTTTTATGTTCACATATTAAACTCTCCGCAGCTCCGGAATTTCGCCAACGCTGCCCGGCAGCTTGGCAGCTCCGTCGGCATCCTGTCTTCATCATACCATCTCCGAGGACGCCTGACACAGGTCCTCTTTCTCTTCCGGGAGAACGCCGCGGATCTTTTCCCTCGGAAAATTCACCACCAGTCGCGAGACTCAATCACGAATCCTCAGCTGGCGCAATACCGCAAATCGAAGCGTCATCGAGCGCCACCGCATGTACATAATCCGGTGCTCATGGAGAAGCTTGAGCCCGAGGACTTCCCAGAGCAGATGCAGATGTTTGCTCAGGACGTGACCACGTTCTTGGATTGCCTTAACGAGTTCCCAGAGTTCACTGACGAAGCCGTCAATTCTGCGATACTTTCATTGGAGGGCGACTTGAAGGTGAGCCGGGTGAGAGTCGCATCAATGACTGGGCTTAAACGGAAATTCGCAGTATTGGGCATCATGCCTCAAGGCCTACGAAGGTCAGCGATGACGTGGGGGACTGTATGAATTCCTACTGACTTGTCGCTTAGGGCAGTTCAAGTACCCAGCAGTTCAGCGATACCTTCACGACCTCAGCGCCGAGCTCGGAGACCACATTGAGAGCATCACCTCGTCTCTCTCAGTGTTCATAGAGATAGGTTTGTCTATTCACCACAATTACGCAACTCAACTTCAAAGAGTAACCCAGTTCCGCATTGCAGGTGTCCCGACCATTCGCTTTGCGCAGAAGCACGCCAGCCAGAATCTGCTCAATCTCAGTACAGTGGCGACCTTCTTTTCCGCCGTCACAGCAACGACGATGCAATTTTCGTTTGACATGACCGAGGGAACGCTCGCGAACGCCGTCAACTCGTTCTGGTTCACCTCATTGGTGTTCAGTATCGGTGCCGCTGTCAACAGTCTGTTGGGAGTGACCTGGAAACAGGCAATGTAGTAAGTCTATCCTATATGCATATCTCTTCGCGCTTGCTAATTTGTTTGCAGTCGTTCACCTGGGCATCGAGTACCGTGGTGGGTGCTCATCTGGATCAAGCGATCACCATTAGCTTTCCTTGTGCTATCCGTTGCCTGCTTCTCGATCGGACTCGTCCTTTTCGCATACTCGTCAGGACAAGTAAGTACATCATAGCCATCAAATAAGTTCACTCGTGCTGACCACAACTTCCAGCACCCGGTCACATGCACCCTGACGACCGTATTCTCCGCGTGCAGCATCCTCGGACTGACCGCCGTTTCCGCGTGGTTCATATCCGAGCGATGGGCCTTCTCTCGTCACAATGGCACGAAGTGGCTTGCCGATGTGCTCTCGGAGACGAAAGTGCGCGTCAAGTCCACGCGCGGCATCAAATGGCTCATCTACGAACCTCGCGCGTGGGTTTGGGCAGCGTCACGCTGGACCAGAGACAGCTTCCGTGCGTTCTCCGAGCACGTCTCTGAGGTCTATTCTCGCACCTTCAACCGCCTCCGCCCCACAAGCCCGATGGATGAAGAGAAGCTAAACGACCCCGAGCGCGTCGACACCCCAGGGAGTCCCCTAGGACTCAGCTCTAGCCCCGAACCCATCACCCCGATCTGGCGACGAAACGGGTCCTCGGACCTCGGCACACTACAGCCCATCATGGAACTCCGGTCCCCTACAGTCACAAGCTTTGAAGGTGGAGAGGGTGACACCGCGACGAGCGTGACCACCGAGACCGCCGTCGCCAACGGTTCGAACGGACGGCCCCCAGAACCACCCGGGAGGTTCGCAAGTGCGGTCCGTGCGGTGATCAAGATGCGTGCGGCGTCCAGCGCGTTCCCTGTGGTAGGACGGAGCGCACGCCGACAGCGGACAATGAGCTCGGATGGTCAAGGAGGCAAGGACATGGAGCCCGTCGGGGTGCTCAAGAACTCGCGCGTTGGGACGCTCGTCCCCAAGCTCAAGAGCATGCATCCGACACAGATGTTCGAGGCTCATTCAGCGCTTGTGCGGCACTTGCAGTTTTCGCCGAATGGGAAGTTCCTCGCGACTTCAAGTTGGGACAGAACCTCGGTCATCTTCAAAGTTGGGGTGAGTATGATTTGTTTGAATCAAAGCTCGTTACCATAGACTGATCTCACTGAGCACAGCATGAATCATTTACATCTCACCGTATCTTGGCACACCCTCAAGGTTTCGTCGGTCAAGTGGCGTGGTCTCCTAGTGGTAATCTACTTCTCACGAAGCTCGGCCGTGGTGTTAAGGTCTGGACAGAGGTGAGCTTCGAGTGTTTTCGTCCTCATGAAACAAACCTTCACGCTGCCGGCGGTAGGACGGCGTCTGTCGTCGAACAATCGATCGTCGACGAAACGTCCAATCCATAGTGTGGCTTCCTGGCGGCGAAGGCAGGCGATTTCGTATAACGTATCTCCCTCGGACTGACAATCTGCCTCGGTACAGGTTTCCTGTCGGTTGAAGGAAGTGATGTCACCAAATTGGTACGTGATATAGGCAAGTGTGACTGGGCATCTACTCACCACAGATTTTATCGCCTGCAGGATCTAAACGGCTCGGTTCAAGCACAATACCACTTTGATAGGATGATTCTGCACGACGTCGCGGTCACACAGGACAATACTCGCATGCTCTGCGTTGGAACACTCACGGCTTCTGCGGATGGCTTACATCCGAGCAAGTGTCGAGCTGAAAAGCAGATTATAGGTACGGATATTGGTGATGTCAGACTTTTGTATCTCACTGCACGTATCTTCAGCATACAACATGGTCAAAGAGGAGATCGAAAAGTGGGTGCTCTTCATGAACGTGCAATGAATTCACCTCTAACATTCGCTTCCAGCCGGGTACCTGTACTTCACGAGGTTCGCGATATCACGCTGGCAAGGAACGATCAAGTGGCTCTTGTCAGTTACGAAAACAAGGCACCCCCTCAGCTCTGGAAGGTGGAATCAGTCAAAGACACCGTTCGACTGTCGTTGCGCCATACATACATGCCCAAGGTTACAGTCGATTTCGCCGGACCCAGCTATTTCGGTGGCAACAACGATCAAATGGTGCTTTGCGCTGGCAAAGGTAAGCATTTCTCCTTCATCTCGCCTGCTCCCCATCGCTGACTTGCTGTCTCCAGCTGGGGACATTCATATATGGGATCGTGAATCTGGCACCTTGCTGCATCACATCAGGGCACAAACCGTCGGCGGCGACCTCACATGCATCGCCTGGAACCATGCTTGGGAGACCTTCATGTTCGCCACAGGAAGTCACGACGGTGCCGTACGAATATGGACATCCCCTTCACTAACTTCGCTAGCCTCGCTCGCGTCGGAGGTCAACTCGCTTCTCTCGGTCAGCCGTGGCGCCACGAACACGTTGAACACGCCTTTGCATACTCCTCGAAACATCACGCCGATACCCTTCGAGGCGCCCGATTATCGCTCGGAAAGTCCGGTTGCATTGCAAGGTTCTGACGAAGGTCCAAGCTCAGACGCGTCCCCGGCCACTCTGACACACCCCTCAGCTGCCGTCTCGGCGACAAGTAACACCGTAGGCTCCTTAGACCGCCCTCCAACCGTCACAGTCAACGAAGGGTAGTCGGACCCCATCTCATGGTTTGTTGCTGTATAGAAACGTTTGTCCCTTTTCATGCTGTTTTCCATTTGCTTTCCCCGTTTGTCTGTTTGTTACTTTAGAGGCCCTCGGCGCCCGGCGCGCGCAAGCCGTAACGTCGACATGTTGCAAACCGTATACACCACTTTACGACAGGATATCCTTCACGTACAACACGCTTTTTGCATTGGGACGCTGTATACTGCTGCAGTTACCCTCTCATATCTGCATATCGCACCATGACTCCATGACTCTTCTGCATGTACATGTACAATATATAATGACCTGCACGTATCAAGATAACCCTTTGTATGTCTGTTGAGTGAGGTTGCTGCTTGATTGTGATTCCCCGACATGAGGGCTTCACAAACCAGACCACTAGTAACAAGTGAACAAACCTGTCTTCGATTCCTACCAGATCGTCCTCTTCTGCCCTCGTTCGCCCACAGGCCATGGCATCGCTCTGATACAAGTACTCAAGACTGCGAGAGTTCTTTTCGCAACACGAGGTCTTGGACAACGCAAAAACACAGAGGCAAGATCGTCGATGATAATTCGATGACGCGATAACTCCCTGAAGCACTGCATGCCTCGTCCGCGACTGCAGCAATCGTAGTCGCCAACTGCCTCTCTCCATCGCTCTCTAGCCCTTGAACACACTCTCATCATGGCTCTCAGCATCGCGTCCACTACCAAGAGGTTCCACGTCGCCGTCGTAGGCGTAGGCCTCGTCGGCGGCGAGCTCATCAAACAACTTCTCGCCTTCCCCCAACCCTCTCCCTTCCGGCTCGTCGCGCTCGCCTCGTCCAAGACGACGCTCTACCACCCCGACGGGCTCACGCTTGCGCCCGACGCGTGGAAGACGATGCTCGCGAGCTCGGGGCTCAAGCCGGACCTGCCATTCCTCGTCCGCGAGCTCGCCGGGCTCGTGCGCCCCGGCCAGGAGGCCGTCTTCGTCGACAACACATCCTCGGACGCCGTCGCGGCGCTCTACCCGGACCTGCTCAAGCTCGGGGTGCACGTCGTGACGCCGAACAAGAAGGCGTTCTCGGCGGAGCTCGGCCTGTACGAGCGCATCCTCGCCGCGAGCCTCGAGAGCGGCGCGCGGTGCCTAAACGAAGCGACAGTGGGCGCGGGGCTGCCGGTCGTGTCGACGCTGAAGGATCTGGTCGCGACGGGGGACAAGGTGCGTTTCGTGTTTTATGGATGGTGCGGGATGGCGTGCAGATAGTCGGGGGCGCTGACGGCTCCCCTGCAGGTCGTCAAAATCCAGGGCGTGTTCTCGGGGACGATGAGCTACATCTTCAACGAGTTCTCGACGGGAAATGCGGAGGGTCCGAGTTTCTCCTCCGTCGTCAGCGTCGCGCGCGAAAAGGGCTACACCGTATGTCGCCCACGTCCCTTGGCTCTGCATCCTCCTCTTATCCTTGCGCGCATCAGGAGCCACACCCGGCGGATGACCTCAACGGTGCCGACGTCGCGCGCAAGCTCACCATCCTCTCGCGCGTCATTCCGGTACTGCGCACCGCACTCCCCGAAGGGTACAAGTCCGTGCAAACCAAGTCTCTCGTGCCCGTCGGGCTTGAGGACGCGGCTACAGGCGACGACTTCATCGCACGACTTCCCCAGTTCGACGCGCAGTTCGACGCGATGCGCGCAGAAGCGGCGAAGGCGGGGCAGGTCCTCCGTTACGCGGGTGTCATCGACGTGCAGAGTGGGGTGATCAAGGCGGGTCTTGAGAGGTGCGTTCTGCAGGTCGTGGCAGCAGGTCGCAATTTACCTGGATATTCGCGCAGGTATCCAGCGACGCACCCGTTCGCGACCGCGCTGGGTGGCTCTGATAACGTCATCGTGTTCCACACCGAACGATATGGCGCGCGTCCTCTCGTCGTGCAGGGAGCGGGCGCAGGCGCGGCGGTGACAGCTATGGGTGTCATGAGCGATCTACTCAAGCTCATTTGATTTGTGATGTGCCGAAGGGCGGTCAAGAAGAAAATTTAGTATGTATCACTGTGTATCGTCCCCCAACGATGTTGCTTTTGTTTTCTGCAGTCTTATATTCAAATCTCCAATGCCGCTTACACCGCTGAAGCGTCAGCACGATCAGGAATTTGCTTTAGGGCATCGTCATACAGTCTTCCCTCACCATTCACTGGTCCCTCGGTTGAGTAAGGGCTGACATAGCCATGTTGAAATCCATGCTGTCTGGTATTCTATCATCTCCTTAAATCCACTGCTCATCCCAAGGGTAATTCATTGCGGTTGTTTCGTCAGGAACTCTACAATGAAAGGTGTGTTAAAGGGCACGTCTAGCTCAACTCGTCAGCTCGATTAATGCTTTTACGATTCAACCCACCACCTGCGCAGGCAGCGATCGACGCTCCATTTGGAGGGAAGTCCGCGGCAAATATATCACGAGGCTTCGGCTTCTGATGCGCAGTATTGTTCAGGTTGTCGCGTGAACTGAAGGGAACCTTCGACTCCGCCCCTGTCTCGTGCGATTGAACCGCGTTCGCTCATATGTTCCCATCCACTCACCCAATTTGACTCACCAGGGCCTTCTGTCCGCTCGCGTACTGCCAATGCCGCTGGAATCCGATCAAATACCGACGACGACTCATGCCTATCGACAGAACTTGAAGAATACACACAGGCGTGACGCAGGTTTTGTGCCTGTTAAGCGGTGAACTCCGGCAACCTTCCCACTGTCGGCCCCCGGTCATCGTGCAAAACCCCCGCGCCCTTCGGGAATGCCAGCCTCCTCCGGCAGTCTGCCGGCTCACCAGTCTCCCATGCGGTCACGTCACCCGGGGTTCCCCTCGCATGCATTGTATCCCCTTTTCCAGGAGGTTCGCCGCCCGCAGCCGGTGGACCGTCCGTGGCCAACGGACGTTTGTCGCGCGTTATGAGCGAGGTCCGTTCTCCAATGTGCTATCTGTGCCCCCATATAACAGTCTCGCGGCGAAGGTTTCTGCAGCGGCTCCGTACTCCCTCCCTCGCTCTTCTTATCTCTCTCAGGAGCAAGTTGACTGCCCACCTTTCCGAAAAGCTCGCCAGTCATGCTCGCGACCATTGCGCAGAGCACGCTGATATGCGGCGTTTCCTACGTCCTCTGGAAGTACTTCCGCCAGGTGTTCGTCAGGTCCCCCCTCGACAACGTACCGGGACCTGCTCCTGAGTCGTTCAAGCTTGGTCAGCATTGATACGCCCTGCGGTCTTGCTACATTTTAACTGAACCCATTTTCTGCAGGCAACCTCGGGCAGCTCGTTAATCCCAATGGCTGGGACTTCCTGGAGTACCTGACGGAGTCATACCCGGGTATTGCTAAGTTGGCAGGACCCCTCGGGGTGCGTGTGTTCCCACCGTGTCATCAGCTTTTAGTGACACCGGCGTTCCAGCATCGTATGCTTTACGTTTTCGACCCAACCGCTCTGCACGCTATTGTCGTAAAGGATCAATACGTCTTTGAGGAGACACAATGGTTCATCAAGTGCGTAGTTCAGTAAACCCTGGGCTCTTGAATCGATTAGCATTAATGGCTATGTCTATTCTCACAGGGGAAACAACTTGCACTTCGGCACGGGTCTTCTTTCTACTCTTGGTAAGTGGTCGCTCCATAATCCTCGAATACACTGTCCTCTCATACGAGGTATGTGCTCAACCACTTCTTCAAGGCGATAAGCACCGGAAACAACGCAAGATGCTGAACCCTGTGTTCTCTATCGCGCACATGCGCCATATGATTCCAATCTTTAACGAGGTCACACACAGGGTATGACTTTTATCCTACGAATCCTTCGAATTGATTCTTGAGCGTCTTCTTCTCCAGCTTGTGATTGCCATTGAACGCCGCGTTGACCCCAAGGCCGGCTCGTCCGAGATCGACCTTCTCCAATGGATGGGCCGCACGGCCCTTGAGCTCATCGGTCAAGCCGGCCTCGGCTATTCCTTCGACCCCCTCGTGGCCGACAAATCCGACGCCTTCGCTGACGCCATCAAAAACTTTCAGTGTGTACCGTTCCCGCCGTGTCTCGTACCCCGTTCTGACCGCAACAACCCACCAACTATACAGGCCGACGCTCATGCGGCTCGCGATCATTCGGCGCGTCATCCCCCTCCTTCCTGGTTTCTACAGTTTGAGCCTGGAGTGGCAGCGCCGGCTGATGGCGTTGGTACCACACGCGGGTGTGCACAAGCTCTCAAATATCGTTGATACGCTGCGTCGGCGTTCGATCGATATCTTCGAGGAGAAGAAGGCGGCACTCGAGCGCGGAGATGAAGCCGTGACGCGTCAGATCGGCGAAGGCAAGGATATCATCAGCATCCTGCGTGAGTGCCGTCGGGCTGAGGGTGTGGAGCGGACTCTAACCATACTCTCCATTGTGCCGGGATGGGGCCGCAGTCCGCGCGAACATGGGCGCACACGAGAATGACAGGCTGCCTGAGGAGGAGCTCATAGGGCAGATGTCGTACGTGTCCGTCTATCATGCGCTTTCTTTACGACTCAGATATGTTCGCAGGACGCTCGTCCTCGCCGCGATGGACACCACCTCCACCGCGCTCTCCATCACTTTCACTCTACTCGCCAAACACCAGGACATCCAGGAGAAGCTGCGCGCCGAGATCCTCGAGGCGCTCGGCGACCGCGAGGACTTCAACTACGACGAACTCCACAATCTGCCCTACCTCGATGCCGTCTGCCGCGAGACCCTGCGCCTGTACGTCTCGTGTCCTCCCCTTTCCCGACACCCCTTCCTTCACTCACCTCGATATCAATACGCCCACAGCTTCCCCCCGGTCTCGAACCTCTTCCGCGAGACGCGCGAGGACGCGGTCCTGCCGCTCTCGCAGCCGCTCCGCATGCGCGACGGAACCGAGGCGCGCGAGATCGCGGTCCCGAAGGACACGTCGGTGTGCATCGCGATCCGCTCCGCGAACCGCAACAAGGCGATCTGGGGCGAGGATGCGCTCGAGTGGAAGCCCGAGCGCTGGCTCGCGCCGCTCCCCGAGACCGTCCAGGACGCGCGCGTGCCGGGCGTGTACTCGAACCTGTGCGTGTTCCCAAGCCGTTCTGCCTGGCGTATCCGAGGGCTGACGAGCCTTCCTTCTACCTCGTACGTAGGATGACGTTCCTCGGCGGCGGGCGGGCGTGCATGTGAGTTTCTGCCTGCAGCCTTGTTGGGTCTATCGGAGCTCATGTCTCTCACATGACAGCGGTTTCAAGTTCTCCCAACTCGAGATGAGTGCGTCCGGCTTCGTTTTGCGCGCATCTTTGGCGCTTGACAGGATCGCGTTACTGACCTGGAGTTATACTCGCAGAGGTCGTGATGTGCCTGCTCCTGGCCAAATTCACTTTCGCACCATCGGAAAAGCCGGTCGCCTGGAACCTCTCTGGGGTGACCTTCCCCACTGTTGGAGATAGCGCTAAGCCATCGCTGCCGATCAACATCAGCCTGTACAAACCTCGCACGTAAATCCATCTTAGCAAGGTGCCTGAGAGTGGCCCGGGACCGGGACCATAAGACGCGCTAGTTAAATTGCCTGTATAACTAGTAGTTGAAGTGCCAATGACACCAGTCTCCCCCCAACACACTAGACAACAGGTTGTTCCTTTCATTCACCCCCTTCGTAAGATGGACTCTGCGGTGACAGATTGGTATCGAATGGTCTTCTCGCCTCGGGCAAAGGCGGAGAACATACCTTGCGAAAGCCATGGGAATTGATGGGTCGGGACTTCAATTCTGGCGGAGATAAAGTACTAACTAGCCGTCAGGCAAGTGGAATGTGAGCGAAATGTGACCTTTCGCTCCCATCTCACGGAGAAACCCCCGACCCTTCACCTTCATTTCGCAAGGGAGTCTTACTTTTCTCCCCGCGCGAAAGGCAACCTTAGACGCGGAGAGAAAGACAAGTGACATCAAAGTGACATCGGGAATTGAAGCCACGACCCATTTATTTCCCATGGCTTTCAACGTGAGGTGAGTTCTCCGCCTTTGCCCGAGGTGTCTCCCATCACCGTGCTCGCAGAAGTAGGCAGAAGCCCACACTCGACTTTCGATCCCACATAGTGAGTGGTATCAGTATCGACGACTTGCTGAAAGTTTTGATCATCATGAACTTCGCAGTCATGCATCCATTGCTCTTCTTCCTCGAAATGTCCGTGCGCCCGAGCGCTGCCAGCGTACGCGCGAGCAGGAGCGGGGGCGCAGAGGTGCATCGGCAGCGTGAGCAGCGGTGGGTCCAGGCGCTGGCATCGACGCCTCCCGCGCAGGCGCGCAAGAGCAAGAAGGTTCGGAAGATGGTCGTCGACGGCGTGCCGGCGTCGGTGCAGTACATGGTGTGGGCGATGGTGATCGACAGCAGGGCGAAGCGCATGGACGGGCTGTACCAAAAGCTCGCGGACCGCGAGAAGGTCGCCGCCGCCGCGGACATCGAGCGCGACATCCGGGCGTCGTATGCGGACAAGCCGGAGCTGCAAGACGGGTCGCTCGCCAAGTTGCTCAAGGTATACTTGACGATAGTCCCGGATGTCACGTACTCTAGAGGTGCGAGTGGTGTGGACACTAGATGATGGTCTGGGCTGACGTTATTTATCATGTTCCTCAGGGCTTGTGTTGATTGCGGCGCAGCTGTTGATGCAATCCCCAGAGGAAGACGCATTCTGGATATTCGTTGCGCTCATGGAATCCCATCTTCGGCCGTACTTCTTCAGTACCAGCGTGCAGCTGGAGGTCGATGCATCGCTCTTTGGCCGCGCGGTGGAGGCGAACGAGCCGGTTGTGGCGAAGAAGCTCTTTGGTGATATGGGCGTCAAGCCGATCCAAGTCATCCACACTTTGTTCGTCGTTTCGCACCATGTCAGATGGCGCTCCAGCTCACGTTGGTTGTGGCATTTAGGTTCACTACCGCTTTTGTCGATGCACTCCCTCCGGACTACGTCGTCCGCCTTTGGGATGTGTTCCTGTTCGATGGTGCGTGCATATGTTGCTATGACTTGTCTGGTGTTCATCCGTCTCTTGGTAGGCGTCTCCTTCCTTTTCCGTGCCGGGATCGCTCTCTTCACGTGGAGCAAAGAGAAGATCATGCAATGTACTTCTCCGGATGCTGCCCTGGACATGCTCTTCCATCCCACGTCCCTCCCCGCCAACCCCGACGCTTTCATCGACATGTGCCTTTCGGTGAAGCTAAAGGACAGCGATCTCCAGAAGCAACGTTCGAAGATCGAGAGCCAAGTCCGGCGCCGCACGGCGCAGGCTCGTCCCTCACCGATCTCGCCCACCACTCCGGCTACCATCTATTGAATGGATCTCAGTCTCGTAGTCGAGGACTGGATATATTAGTAGGTACCTATTGAATGGATCTGGTGTTACAGATCAGCCCGAGGCCCGGAATCAGGGAGAACGTATGGTAGGCTCACCTCAGTCTCGTAGTCGAGGACCGAGGTGGCCGTCGGGGCGCGGGCACGTACAAGTACAACAGAAACATTCGCAAACAGATGACGACGACGCGGGGAAACGAGAGTCCGAGGTCGATCGAACATATCGGTCGTGGCCGCGCGCGCGCGCCCTAAGCGCGCACCGCAGCCCCGCGCGGGGATCGCGCACGGCTTGCCCCGCGCTCTCCCGTCTTCAATACCATCTCCCTCCCCCGAAACACCTGTGAAGAATCGAACAGTGGACAAAGAGAGCTGTAGGGGCGAAAGGACGCCAGATGACGGACAAGGTGTCGGATAGGACGACGATGGTGGATAGTAGGGTTCGCTAACAAATAACTTATTTGTTACTTGTGTTACTATTAGTTGTTAGTAACATGTTAGTAACACGTTAGTAACAAGTGGGCTCCCAAGGGGTGTCCGGACGATGTTACAAATGTAACAAACTTGAGAGAGCCTTGGCACCTTACAGGCATACATTGGATGTGCTGTGGGTGGGCGTTCAAACATCAAACAGCAGCCGGAGCTTCGACACGTCTACTGCGGTGACACTGTCCTTGATGAGCTTGCCAAATCCCAATTGTGCCTTGCAACCCGGGTTGCGCGGGTGAGGTGGTGTTCGGGGCATATCACGGGTACCCCCGGCCCGCCCACGGGCCTCACAGCCGCTCCTTCACGCCCGACGCGTTCATGTCTCGCCGCGCTCAACGTTAACATTCAACGTTCAACCCTTGCCCTACCCATCGCCGCCCCTCCCTTGAGCCTCGCAGATTACACCGCGAACCCTCTGGCATGTTCACCTTCGCCACGGCCGTGCTGCAGCCTACAGACGTCGTCTCCACCACCCAAGACACTGCCGCTGCCATGCTGGTCACTCCCTGTGTCTCGTCTACCGCCTCTCCCGACGTCCACAGCTGGTCAGTACCAGTCAGTCGTGATTCTCGGCTCACTGATCTGGCCAGCAGATGCCGACCATCAGTACTCTGTTTGGGCCCGCTCTGTGCCCCCACAAATCTACCATGCCCGTCCTCCGCGCGTGCTACCACGACGATGTGCCCAATCTCGTTGCCCTTGGTAGCGAAAACTTGGCCAAAGTCATCTAGCTCGTACTCCCCCGCGTGCTTTCTCATCCCCGTGTTCGATGTGGCTCACGCTCCCTAGTGCACTCTCTGCGTGCATCGCGCGCCCCGACCGCGCGCCCGCACCTCACCTGGCTCGTCGTCAACTATGAGTACGACATGACCATGCTCCACCCTGGCGCAAGCGAGACTATTGCGGCTGTTGTCTCGCTCTGCCTACCGTCGCCGCCTACGTGCGCCAAGCGCGATCTGGCACGTCTGCGGACGGCTCCATGGGGTGGCAGATTAAGTACGCGCTCGACCAAGGTGCGCGCGGGGTGCTCGTGCCCATGGTGTATGTTTGTTTTGCACCCACATTCGTGCGAACATGGCAGCAGAGGCGGGAGGTGGAGCGTGCGGGGGAGGAGGGAGAGCGAGAATGCTGCAGAGTGATGAGTTCTGAGTACCGCTTGCAGGTCTCCACTGCCAGGGCACAGGCCAAGTTCGTCGCCACCCCCGGCCTCTTCCCCCCATAGGGCGTGCGCGGGCCTGTTCACGCAGACATCACTCCGGGCGAGCGCCCCGTGCGCGCATCCTCGTCCTTGTCCGGGTCGAGTGACAAACCTCAATGAGAACCTTGCCGTCGACGACCTCGGTGCGTGCTGCCTCTCCCCGTTGAATCTGAAGTAGCGAGGAAGGGCAAGCACTGACCCATTCCGTATTCATAGACAGCGTCTTCATCCTCCTGCTCTCAGAGTCCTGGCCTGCCTCGTTGGCGACTCAATCAAGATTGGCGGCTGGGATTTCTAGGTTATGGAGATGTGTAGATCGCCCGAATACATGTGCCTACTCTTTTATTTGTTACATGTTACTAACAAGCGTTACAAATACCGTCAGAGGTTTGTTATTTGTCGCGTATGTTACAAGGCCCCAAGTTATTTGTTAGCGAACCCTAGTGGATAGGATGATAGAACGGATATCGACCTAGGACAATACGGCGGCATAGTACTGTACAATGCGTGGGAACGTCGCATATATGACTAAGCGTAATGGACATGCCTCGGATGAGGGCGTACACTGGAACACTAGAAACCAACAACGCCTTCTAGCCTGACACGGCGACCTCCATCTCCACGTCTGTTGATATACTTATTCCTGTTCGTATACCACCCCTTCGCATGCATTCTACTGTAGATGTCCCTTCACCTCCCCACACATCTCTAATGACCCACACAACACATTGCGTACTAATTTATCACTCACCATCTACCGTACCGTCCACGCCATCTCCAGCTTTCGCTCCGCTGTGTACTTCTATCGTTCGCCCTCAGCGCCCTCGTCACACCCGCGCTCCTCTCTTCCGCCCTCGCGCAGACGTACACCGCGACGTACCTCCCCGGCTCCGCACCCAACATGACAGAGCAGGGCCAGAGCGGGACCAACGAATGCAGCGACGACCCGGCCGCCAACACCACGATGCCGGGTGCCAGAACGCGAGTCTTCGGTGCGTCCTCCCTCTCTTCTCTCGCCCCGTCCGAGTCCCGTGTCTCACTGGTAGGGTTCGCTAACAAATAACTTGGGGCCTTGTAACATACGCGACAAATAACAAACCTCTGACGGTATTTGTAACGCTTGTTAGTAACATGTAACAAATAAAAGAGTAGGCACATGTATTCGGGCGATCTACACATCTCCATAACCTAGAAATCCCAGCCGCCAATCTTGATTGAGTCGCCAACGAGGCAGGCCAGGACTCTGAGAGCAGGAGGATGAAGACGCTGTCTATGAATACGGAATGGGTCAGTGCTTGCCCTTCCTCGCTACTTCAGATTCAACGGGGAGAGGCAGCACGCACCGAGGTCGTCGACGGCAAGGTTCTCATTGAGGTTTGTCACTCGACCCGGACAAGGACGAGGATGCGCGCACGGGGCGCTCGCCCGGAGTGATGTCTGCGTGAACAGGCCCGCGCACGCCCTATGGGGGGAAGAGGCCGGGGGTGGCGACGAACTTGGCCTGTGCCCTGGCAGTGGAGACCTGCAAGCGGTACTCAGAACTCATCACTCTGCAGCATTCTCGCTCTCCCTCCTCCCCCGCACGCTCCACCTCCCGCCTCTGCTGCCATGTTCGCACGAATGTGGGTGCAAAACAAACATACACCATGGGCACGAGCACCCCGCGCGCACCTTGGTCGAGCGCGTACTTAATCTGCCACCCCATGGAGCCGTCCGCAGACGTGCCAGATCGCGCTTGGCGCACGTAGGCGGCGACGGTAGGCAGAGCGAGACAACAGCCGCAATAGTCTCGCTTGCGCCAGGGTGGAGCATGGTCATGTCGTACTCATAGTTGACGACGAGCCAGGTGAGGTGCGGGCGCGCGGTCGGGGCGCGCGATGCACGCAGAGAGTGCACTAGGGAGCGTGAGCCACATCGAACACGGGGATGAGAAAGCACGCGGGGGAGTACGAGCTAGATGACTTTGGCCAAGTTTTCGCTACCAAGGGCAACGAGATTGGGCACATCGTCGTGGTAGCACGCGCGGAGGACGGGCATGGTAGATTTGTGGGGGCACAGAGCGGGCCCAAACAGAGTACTGATGGTCGGCATCTGCTGGCCAGATCAGTGAGCCGAGAATCACGACTGACTGGTACTGACCAGCTGTGGACGTCGGGAGAGGCGGTAGACGAGACACAGGGAGTGACCAGCATGGCAGCGGCAGTGTCTTGGGTGGTGGAGACGACGTCTGTAGGCTGCAGCACGGCCGTGGCGAAGGTGAACATGCCAGAGGGTTCGCGGTGTAATCTGCGAGGCTCAAGGGAGGGGCGGCGATGGGTAGGGCAAGGGTTGAACGTTGAATGTTAACGTTGAGCGCGGCGAGACATGAACGCGTCGGGCGTGAAGGAGCGGCTGTGAGGCCCGTGGGCGGGCCGGGGGTACCCGTGATATGCCCCGAACACCACCTCACCCGCGCAACCCGGGTTGCAAGGCACAATTGGGATTTGGCAAGCTCATCAAGGACAGTGTCACCGCAGTAGACGTGTCGAAGCTCCGGCTGCTGTTTGATGTTTGAACGCCCACCCACAGCACATCCAATGTATGCCTGTAAGGTGCCAAGGCTCTCTCAAGTTTGTTACATTTGTAACATCGTCCGGACACCCCTTGGGAGCCCACTTGTTACTAACGTGTTACTAACATGTTACTAACAACTAATAGTAACACAAGTAACAAATAAGTTATTTGTTAGCGAACCCTACTCACTGGGATCTCACCTCTTTCTCTTTCCCCCCTCCTCTCCTCCGCTCTCGCTGACACCGCGCTCCCCACGACGTCCACGGGCACGCCGACGAGCTCCCTCCGCAACGACCTCAAGGTGTCCAGCGGCAGGGACACCGGCGGCAGCGCGCGATCGGTCGCGATGGTGAGCGGGCTCGCCGTCGCCGTCGCCGCGCTCGAAGCTGTCCGTATGACTGCTGGGGTGTGATGCACTTGATCAAGCTGTCCTCCGCCGTACTCCTTGCATGTATTGATACGCAGACAAGAGGAGGTTGTCGACACAGCCAGACGGCACCATCCCTTACTCGACGCTACAACGTCGGCCCCACTCGACTCCAGCGAGCACATACGCACACCCCAAGCAAGTCCGTCCAAAGGGGATCATATATTCGGATAAGCGTTCGTCGTACTCCAGCCACCCAACGCGCGTCCGTGACCCGACCACCACCGCCGCCAGCTGGCTGCAGCCGTCCGCTGGATCTTGCGGGGCTGCACCAGCAGCAGCGGCGATGATCGGCACGCGCGCCGAGCGACCGTGTACGTGTGTAAGCTATCGGAAACCGTCGTGTCATATCGTACCGTACTGCGACAAGGCGAGCCAACGTATCGTAACATGAGCGTGTATTACTGAGGTTCTTCATATCGAGAAGGAGAAAGAAGAGAGGATAGAGTGGGGCGAGTGGGGAGGGGGATTCGGGAAACGTGCAGATGAACATGGGAGATCGGAACGAGGCGAGTCCGCAAACGCATGTCCACGAGAAAATGCAGAGATGGGGGTAGGGGGAAAAAGCAACCGACAGATGCACACCGAGAACTGTCCATTTTTGACTGAACACTGCGCCTCCCCATCGCACAATCGCGCGCGCTCGAGGCTCCGAACTTCGCCTCCGCCTTCGACCGTCCTCCGTCGCAACAACTGGGTCCATGAGATGGTAGATCGCCGCATGTCGTGGATGTGTGTCGCACATAGATGGGAGTGTGGCATAGGGCATGTGATGAGCTTGCGCGTTGGGGTAGAATGGGGATGAGGGTGACACGCGTGCAGGGGGCTGGTGGACAAAGCGATGGCCGGATGCGGATGTGAAGAATACAGCGATGCGACGATGACGTGCTGGGGAAACTTGAATGCAGTTGCGGGGACGACGACGATGCGAAGGACCGGGTCCGATAGCGAGGAGCACAGCGAACGAAGCGAATACAAGCGGAGCGGGGGCTTGAGGGATGGCGACCGACGCGAGGCGGGGAAACGGAGTATCGAGTTGAACACAATTCACATTTCTATGTCGTCGATAAATGGGACAAATGGACAGATCAGGCAACGAGCGTCGGAAGGGAGGGTGTGGGGGCGGCCGAGTCCGGACGACGAAGTTGCAAGCACCTCGAAGCCCAGCCGGTGAAGGAAACAAGACACTGGGGGTCGCCGAGATATGTACAAGGCTTGGTCGTCCAAGGAAGACAACCAAGGGAGGCGAGCACCCAGGCACGGAGGTGGACAGCGGTATACGGGGGGGTGGCCGTTGGGTATGCGTGCGGTATAGACACATGATGATGCTGCAAGCGAAATTCAGTCAGCGACGTCACCACATGCAGCGAGGAAGGACTCACGAGCAAAGCCAACAACGTACACCGACCCCAAGGTATCCGCTATGCCACAAGCGGGTCGGAATGGAAGGAGATAAGAAGGCAAGGGTGGTAAGATGTGAGGGGGCGGGGGAGGGGAGTAGATAATACGGCGGGGCAGAGATATACTGTAGAGGCTGACCGGAAGCGCAGGCGCCAGCGGTGACATTAGCCATGGAGACGATACTAGTGCACAAGATGGAACAGGAAGGGGGATGGGTGTGGCGATGTGACGAGGATGTGATATTGATACACTGTGCGGCAACACGCCAAAGAAAATGGAGAAAATGCAGGTAATCGTGCAAGGGGGGAAGGGGGCGGGGGAGAAGGGCAACCTAAACATCGTGTGAACGTGAGCGTGGGGAGAAGAGGCAAGGGGAAACGCGAACATCGGACATATCTCCGCGGCCGTGAAAAAAAAGGAAGGGGCGCGCGGTACACTACGATATAGTAAAAATGAGGAGGAATAAACATGACCAAGGTAGTCCCAGAACCCAAGAACACATGCGTGGAACGACGACGCCAGTAGAAGGAAGACGATGCGGCCCTCTGGGCGGGCGGTGCGTCCCGCTGATGCGAGCCGAGGGAGGAGATAAATATGCGAGATCGGCCCTCCAGCCGACCATATAGCCGAGGTTTTGCTGCGGTCTTCATGTCATCGTTTTTCTTCTTGCTCGTCTAGGACTTCTGTTTGTACAACGCCGGGGCCGCTTGAAAAGACGGCGACCATCGGGTAGAGCAGAGTGGCGGAGGAGGGTAGAGACGAAATGCGATGCGACGGAGATGCGAAAGCATGCACGGAGCCGAGATGTAATGACACAAGTTGAGATCGAGAAGAGGTCAGGTCGGAGGGATAGAATATACACGGAAGGGGGGTCGAGTGGGTTGGTCTTCTCGCCCGCGACGAGTCGCGGACTCGGTGGGGACCTGTTGCCACAGGCGGTGGGGTATGAATGCCAGCGCCGATGACTGACCCAGCAATAGGCGGGGTATCTATGCTGAAGGGAGAGGTGTGAAGCGCGTGGATGTCCTGTGCGAGAGAGCCGTGAACCGGGGGTGATGCCGAGGGGGTGGATGAAGTCGAACAGTGTGTGGAGCCCGAGGAAACCGAGAGCCGGAGAGTCGCTGGTGTCGATGATAGAAGACAACGTCGAATGAATAATGATACTGAGAATAAAACGCCAGGACCCGGACGACTTCGAGACCAGAGTGGCACGAAGTCGAGGGGAGTGGCATGTAGGATGGTGGGGGGCGACTAGCGTGGCGGAGTAGCATGCCATTATGCGATCGACGCGCGGCTTGAGGATGGCGGATTAGTCGTAATCAGCGACAGTACGAACAGCGTCTACGGGCACTGGGTGGCCCGGGCTGTAGTGGTCCAATTAGTAGGTGGTTAAACGGAGAAGATGACGGGGCTAACCTCTACACTTGACGAATTCTATGGTGCTATGGTACAATTACACCGCAAAAGAGGGGGCAGGGAGATCGTCCGGACTTGGCGAGTTTTGGAAGACAGAGCCCGCGAAAAATCCAGCCGCGAGGGACGGCGCGGACGATGAAGTGAGTTGGTCAACGGTAGAGGCGCCGAAGGCCGAGGGGGAAGGTCCAGTGGAGCAGCGAGCACGAGGGATGGTGACGCCGCGGCGCTTGATGTGCATGGCCTCGAAGAGGTCCGACGCGGACGACGAGGCGGACTCCTCGTCGGTTGACATCGCGAAAACACCCTCGCTGGGAACACGGCGATGGTTGCGACGACGCTGGGCCGGAGTCGGGGTGGAGCAGGGGCTGGTCCCGGCGAAGGGGAAGCCGACGGTCGACGACAACGGGGCAGTGCGAGGGGCGTCGTCAACGATGAAGTTCTCCTGCTGCCACGTACCCCTCATGCCTGCCTTCGGAGGGACCGAAGCAACCTCCCGGATGGGAGTGGTGGGGGGGTGAGGTCGCTGTCGTCGCCGCAGTCGGACGAGTCATCGCAGACGGGGAACGAGTCCCAGCGGGTGGAAGTCATGTCGGTACTGGCGCGGCGAGGGGGAGGGCGACGGATAGCAGAGACTGACTGGGGGTGCGCAGTAGTCTCCTCGTTGGCGGCCCGGCCGATCTTGCGGCGAGAGGGGACTGGGGGACCGGCGAGTCGTGTTGACCGGCCTGGCGGCGGCGGGCGAGCTTGCCCGAGGGCTGCGAGGCGAGCTTGGGGGCGGAGCGGGGGGCCTTGCAGTCCTGCTTGCTGGCGGCGTCGACGTCGACGATGAAGGGGTCGGACGAAACCTCTGGCTTGGCCCGAGAGACCTGAGCTCGGGGAGCGGCGGGAGCCTTCTGGGAAGGCGAGGGTGTGCGAACAGGAGTAGGGGAGGGTTGGTGGGCGTGTCGCCGCGCAGCGACATCAGAAGGGGAGACAGAAGCTCCCCTGCGATTGCGACGAGAAAAAACTCAACGGTAAGCCACGAGCGCCAAACATCTATCAGGAACTGACGCTAACCTGCGACCACTGTCCTTACGGTTCTTGTGCTGCTTACGACCCCGGGGAGAGCTATCGGACGTCGGGGTAGGCTGTTCGACCTTCGCGAGAGAGAGGGGGGCGGGCTGGGACTTCTCAACGGGGGCAGGCTGCGCGCGGGAGAGCTGGGGCGAGCGCTGCTGGGGCTTGTTCTTGGGGGACACACGGGGAGCACGGGATTGAGGTTGAGCGTGCTGCGGGCGGGGAGAGAACTGAACAGGCTTGGAGAGGTTGAGGACGCCGGGGACGTGCGAAGGGCGGACGACGACGGGGACCGAAGTGAGCCTTGCGTGGGCAGGACGGAAAGCGGGCGAGGAGAACATTGATGGCGGTTTCTGTACAGCGATCATGGTGAGGGATGTCGGGCGGATATTATGACGGGGAGGTTGTCGGCGGCAGCTTGAAGGGCGCGGCGACGGAGGCGACGGAGGGAGGAAAACGAGGCGTCGAGGAAAGGGGGAAGGTTCGTATATGCGTTGCGCCCCGCCCAGCCTCTTTTCATTGGACCACCGATGGCGAGACTTGGAACTCCGACGCTGCCTAGCCACGTCGGACAGGGCCGGAGATCGGGTCCGTCAGATCCTGTTGCCGCCTGTTTGGCTTCTGTGACGCTCCCTTTCTAGGAAAGATGGGGACCTGGGCGCCAGCTCTTCGCAACTGTAGCCGTCCACTGTGCGCTCGTTTGGGCTGCTCGGGAGATGCGTCGCGGGGTCCTATTGTACTCCGTTTTGCGCAAGGAGCACGAGTGATGAGCGTAAGACCGCGTAGGAGGCGGACGACTGGGTGGTTTTCGCTTTGTCCCGGAATATTCCACGCGCGAGCGGCAGGCGCCGAGGTACGAGTCACAACGGTGACCGTCACGACAGCGCTGATGTGAGCGGGCGCTAGCACCCTGCCTGGCTCGACCTCGAAAGGCCGGCGGGCCCCTTTCCACCAGGCCGTTTGGCTTTCTCCGCTCCGAGAGCACGAGGCCCGCGTCGTGCTCGCAGGCCATCCTCCGCTAGCGGCATCCACACCCCCAGTCCTGATACGCCCCCCTTCCGTGCTTCTCAACCCGTCCGCTCTGGCCAGCGCGACCTGCCACGCGCCCTGCCACGCCCCCGCCCTCGCCCTCTCCTCGACCTCAAATCCGCACCCCGCATTCTGTCCAGCCCGTGCCCGATAGTGGCGCCCGCCTCCACAGCCCATTCCGCCGATCTGTGCTATCGCGTCCGCCCCTCTGTGTCGCCCCCACCCTCCCCCGTGTTCCAGTGCGGCTCCGAGCGCCGTGTGTTACGGCCAGATTCCCCGCGCAGCGAACAGCCTGCGCACACCCGCGCGCGGGGGATGCGCTATCAGCGGCGGGCGCTCAGCGCAGCCTGCGTCATTCCTCCACGACCCATCATTCGCCCCTGTAATTCCTGATCGTCCTCCGCGCTGTCGAGAGGCCGCAACCGGCGCAACACGAATCACGCCTATCACGCACACCTCCTCTTGCACCGCTCGCGGGCGCACCCCTCGGCGCGGAGGTCGTCCAGCTCCCGCTGCTACCGTCCCGAGATCGCATCCGCCTCCCCGGGTGATCATTCGAGATCGCGTGCTCGTTCCTTCCCCGCACTGCAGCCTGCACGCGCGCAACGGTCAACCTCCGTCCACACAGTGCGCCTACAATCTCTATGCGCATCCACATCCATGCCCATGCTGTCCCCATGCGACTGTCGCTGTCAATCCTGCATCTCCACCTCAGACGTTGAACAGAGAACCAGTGAGGAACAATGGCCTCGACGTGCGGATACGGCAGCGGTGCCAAACGACGACAACGCCCGCCCCCGTCTGGCAACTCGACCGCACAAAACAGCCACACTCCTCCCGCGCCCGCCTCATTGTCCCTCATTGTCCGCACGCGACCCCTCCGCCATATCGCCCCCTCGTTCCCACCAGCCTGCTTCGCGCCGCCCCTTTTGGGCCCCGCGAGCTCCCAAGGGGAACGGCTCCATCAGAACCCGTCGCGCTTCCCCAGCGCACCATACATTTCAGTGTGCGGTAAGGCGCGCGAGCCCAGCCGGAGGACCGGCCACGGAGCCTGTGAGCCTGCGAGCCGTCCGGCCCAGCGTCCCTGGCGCTGGAAGCTGGAAGCCGGAAGCCGGAAGCCCAGCTCGCGATGCTCCGAGTCTGACGCAAGGTTGAAGCTACGGCCCACGGCCCTGCAAAGCTGAACCGTACCGTCGCGTCTCGATAACGCCACTCCTCCATCGCCATCCTCCCTGCACCCCGCGACCCGGGGTCCGGAGGTCACGCGGGACGGCGGCAGGCAGCTCGCGCCGCGTTCCGTCGCGCACTGACACTGCCCTACTATGTACATACCATCACGCATCCATACGGACGTCCACCCGTGCAGCGCGCGCCCCCAGCTGCCCCGGCGACCATGTCGTCCCAGGCGTGATGCACGATGCTCCCGCGCGGCCTGCCTGATCGAGTCCCATGCCCGAACAGGCATGCCGCGGCAAGCGAGCGCACACATGTTTGCACATGTACACCATCTGGACCATGGACTCACCTCGGCCACTCGTACATCGAAGCGGATGCGCAGACGGCGCACTGCGCACGCGCGGAATGATGCCCACGTCCGGCTCCCTGCGCAGAGGCACGCCATCGTGCAGTGCTCTTCCGTCGCGCTGTCGCTCCGTCGGTTCTGCTCTTCTGCAGCTCCTCGCGTCCGACCACCGCGGCTCTCTCCGCCCGGCTGGTCGCGCCTCAGCCCCGCATCCAGCGACGGGGCTTGTGCTTGCGCAGGAGGTGCCGGTCACCTTCGGTCCCCGCAGATCCGGACCTAACGCGGGGCTGACGAGCCCGCGCGCGCCACGGCTCCGCGCAGCCGGGCGGTTCGTGCGCCCCGGCGAGCCGCTGCGTCAGCGAAGTGCGATCTGTCGAGCTGAGACGGGCGAGCTCCGTGTGCGCGCGCGAACCGAAGCACGCAGAGGTCGCTCGCTGCCCCCGGTTTCGCGCGCGCGGAGCTTGCAGCCTAGCCATCTCGGAGGCGCTCCGCTCTGTGACATGGACAGATCTGGCGCGCCGGCGCGACGGGGGCGGTGCCCGGCTTCCCTGCAACTCTGTCGCGCCGCCCCGCCCGGGACACCGATGCAGAGCGTGGACAGAGGATCGCGAACGCGGATGTGCCGCGTTCGCACAGATATCCATAGACGTGCCGCACGCCCGTGTCTTCCCCCTCGTAGGTTTCGTTCTGGCCATCGAGCCGCCGTTCGACCCTCCCAGTCTGCCGCCGGAGACTCGTTCGAGGGGCTGACTGGGAGCCCCGTCCTCGCCTTCGATTATCCCGGTCTGCCACCCACCAGCCCACCGCCCCCGTCTGTCCTCGGCTTCGCGACCACCCAGAAGATCGCGAGTGAGGGGGGCGATACAGCCACGGACGGGGCAAGGCGTTCCAGGTGGCTCGGTCGCGTGCGCCGGCGTTCATGAGGATCCGCGCGCCCCTGCGCATCCTCCCGCGGGGAGATTGGGATCCCGAGGACGCCGGGGGCGGGCGTGTTCCTCATCTTGCCGCGCACCCGGATAACAGAAGGCCAGGCCTCGTCCCCGCGCCCGATTGCGGTCTCGATGTCGGAATGTCGCGAGGAGCAAGGCCGTGAGTTGACCCTGATCCATCTGCGACACACCTCAGTAACGTCAGCAGGAGCTCGTTGGATTGGGGGACGATAGATCAGCGCACCGCGAAGGTGCCCCCAATAAGTACCAGTCGTGTCTCGCTCGCAGCGGCTGCGCCACCATGTACCTAGTACTCCCCCGCACTCGCGCTTCGAGGTTCGCTATATGCACCGAACGATCTGCGTCGGCCCGTGAGACCATGAGAGTCGCTCTTCGGCCGTGAGTGGCCAGGCTCAACCACGCCGCGGGCACTGCCGTCGCCCTCCATGTCGATATCGAGCCTGGCCATTCAGTGCCTCCGCCACCTGCGAGTGGAGCGTGGGCCGCGGGTGGCTCGCGACGGCTGAAAGATGAAAGATATACGAACCACCGCCAGACATATGGGGGCTGACCACCCGTGCGTCCCCCGCGGATTCCGCTCGATCGTCCGCGATCGAGCGTCAGGTGGGCGGCATATATACGAATATAGGGGAGCGGTGGCGGTCATCTGTGCGACGGAGGCGGGATATCTCAGCAACCGGCGACATACGGATCGCGACATACCTGGTTGGGATAGAAGGCGATCAGCGCTAAGCGCCCCCGTGGTGGTCAGCGTCTGAGTTCCCCCTTCGTGCGGAGCTCCAGCGGGGTTCTAAGATGGCACTGCATCTCAGCCCGGATCACCCCGCAATCTCCGCCCGCAGAAAAATTGAGCGGCGCTTGCGACCCTGGTGGCATGCCGCCGGGGCGCTTTGCGACTTGCTTTGTTTGTGTTTGGCTCCCACCCTCCGCTTCTTCAGCGCTTCAGCTGTCCATGCATCCCGTTCACCTTCTGATCGCTGTTCAGAGGCTCAGCGCTCAGATATCAAACATCAACTGGCTTGCAGCATGGAACGTCTCTCGCCGTCAGCACCGTCGCAAGAAAACTTCGCAGACCCAGGACGCGCTAGTCCACACCCAGCCAGCCCACCTCGCCGCCCTCTCCGCCGCAGCCCAAGCCAACTCAGGCTGCGGCCTCCGCACCGGCCCCTCTCCACCCGCCTGCGAACGCGGGGGGTCACGCGGGGCGTCCCATTGCCTCATCCGCACCCGCGCGAGCTTCTCGCCATTTCCGCGTGCACGTCCGCGCTGATGCCCGCCCGCGCATTGTCTCTGCCCCACTGCCAGACTGAGGGAGAATCAGGGCGGCGTGTCCGTGGCACCCATCTGCCATCAGCCACCTGGGCCACGACGGCTGGGCCGGGCGAACGGGCGGAGATGCTTCGAGCCAAACTCCAAATTCCCAATCTCTGCGCGCGCGCGAAGCACGTACGGGCTGCGGGTCGAAGGTCTGATGGCACTGCGACTCTGCACCCATGATGTCCTTGCGGACGCTCACGCAGGCAGACTCGGCCAGCGCGAGTCACTGGACAGACTCCAGAGAGGGAAAGGGCTTCTGGATGTGGGAGCCTCCGCGACGACGGCCTCCGACCTCCCGGGAGCCCGAGGCTGGCGTGGCTCGAAGTACCGTCGTCCGTCGGCCTCATGTTTTCTCAGTCTGTCAAGGCCAGCTGGTTCTCGTTCTCGTCTTCCTCCGCATCGGACTCGCCCGGCTGGCATGCCAGCACCTGCGGACCGACGCCTCCACCCAATCTTCGCAGTCTCCGCAGGGCCGTGTCGACCATCCAGGTGCGAGATTGGCGGAGGGAACGCTGCACAGCGGCGAAATTTTTGAAAGCTTGAGTCCACGGTCCCCGTCAGCCCGGCGAGGAGTGAGACTTCGCGAGTCCTTACGTCACGCTTATGTCGATCAAAGTACGCTCCGCCTCCTGAGCGAGACAAGACAAGACCGCGGGCCGGAGAGGCGCGGACTTATCTACGCGCGCACGGGCCTCCTGACCGCCGCCACCACGTATGCGTTGAGTCGCGCAAGCGTTGCCAATGAAGCTGTGAAGAGCAGGAAGGCGTTGCCGTGCACGTCCAATGCGCATACATACGTGTACACACCGTCGAATGCGGCTCGCGAGCTCGGGCTGGTTGCCGGAACGCCCTCCTGCGCAACGTTGGAATCTGTACCCTGCACCTCTGCTTATCGCAACAGCCGCGGGGCAGGTGGAGTGGCGCGACGGAGAAACTGATGAAGCGGCGAGCCAGGGTCCATGTTTGCGACATTTTCCAGAACTCCGTGGACGGGTAAATACTGCCTTCGAGCCCTATGACATACCCGCTTCGATAGCAACGCTGTGCTGCACTTCGTCGAATTCGACGAGACCGCCACGGTGACACCGCGAACTTCGGGGTGAACAGCCATGGCGCCTTCGATTGCACAGAACTGCGACTGTCTCACTTTCGTGCGGCCGTATACACTCACGCTCTCGTCCCGTGCACTGGCATAAGTTATTTTCGGCAGTCCGTACAAGCAACACAGCTCGGTATATACTTCGTTGCGAAAAAAGGATCGTCGAGGGAGGACAGAAGGCAGAAGGGTCATCTACGGTGCTGTAAACCTGTACCTGGATCAGAACACGCGCACACCGCACGCACACACGAAATCAAATCGGCGGCGGCGCGGCGCGCAAAGGCCCTCGGCGCGAGACGAGACATGCGGGGGCCGCGACGGGTGGAAAGAGGGGGAAAGTCGGATTGCGCGCAGCGTGGGCTCGATTAACCTTCACCACCACCACTACCACCACGACCGCCAGCCTCCCACACCTCCCGTCCCTTAGGCCCCCGCTGATCCGCGACGGGCTCATACAGAGAGGAGCATTTTCCGTGGGTCCTCGAGGTACTCCTTCACCTTGACTGCATGCGGGGTCCAGACTCGTCAGCGCCCGGTGTCGAGGAAAGAAGTAGGCGACGGAGGGTACGTACCGAGGAAGGTGACGGCTTCCCTGCCGTCGAGCAGACGGTGGTCGTACGTGAGCGCGACGACCATGATGGGGCGGATGACGATCTGGCCGTTGACGACCACGGGCTTGTCCTTGATCGAGTGCATGCCTGCATGCCGCAAATAAAGGAAACAAAAACATCAGTCAGCCGTTCGGTAGCAAGCGAGCCGATTTGATGGGAAGAATGGGAAACAGGAGGAAGCCAAGGTACGCGATCGGCACTTCTGGGCGGAGGACGCGGAACGGACAATGAAGCGTGGATCCGACGTGGGAGGGTGCGGGGCCGAAGGGTGAAGAAAGGAGCGAGGGTACTCACCGAGCACGGCGGTCTGGGGCAGGTTGATGATGGGCGTGCCGTAGAGCGAGCCGAATACACCGCCGTTCGAGCTTCGGGGGCGTCAGCACGGGGTGGGCGATCAGGGAGGCAGAAGGTACGCACATCGTGAACGAACCACCCGCCATGTCCTCGAGCGTGAGCTTGCCGTCGCGCGCCTTCTTGCCCATCGCCGCGATCTCCTTCTCAATCTCTACGAAGTTCATCGTCTCCGCATTGCGAACGACGGGGGTGACGAGGCCCTTCGGGGTCGCGACCGCGACGGAGAGGTCAACGTAGTCGCGGTAGACGATCTCGTTGCCGTCGATCGACGCGTTGGTCGCGGGCACCTCCTGGAGCGCGAGGCAGCACGCCTTCGCGAAGGCGGACATGAACCCGAGCTTGACGCCGTGCTCCTTCAGCACCTCGTCCTTGTACAGCTTGCGGAACTCCATGATGCTCGACATGTCGATCTCGTTGAACGTCGTGAGCGCCGCCGCGGTGTTCTGTGACTCCTTGAGACGCTCCCCGATGCGGGCACGGATGCGGCTGATCTTCACGCGGGTCTCATTGCGTGAGCCGCGCACTTTCGGTCCAGGCGCGGGCTCCTCTTTCGCGGCCGGTTTCGAAGGTGCGGGCGCAGGCTTGGGGGCCTCTTTCACTTCCTTCTTCTCCGGCGCGGCGGCCTCTGAAGGAGGTGGGGGTGCAGTCTTCTCAGCCTCCGCCGCGGGCGCGGACGACGACTCAGCGGGCTTCTCGGCAGATTTGCTCGCGCCGCCCTCTCCGGGCTCAATGCGGAAGAGGTCTTGTCCGACGGTGACGGTGTCCTCTTCGGCTGCGAGATGCTCGGTGATAACACCGGCGGTTGGTGCGTTGACGGAAACGTCAATCTACGCGCAAATAGTGAGCATGAGTGTCCGGGACGAGTAAAGCACGAAGCAATTCGACTGTCATGTCACGCTTTCCAGGATATTATCGCGGAGAAATCGCCCATGAAGATACTCAACCGGAGCCCCATAAACTAGACCCTGTTCCATGTCCGACCACGCCAGATGCGCATGGCTCCGTTCCGATGATGCACGCCGACGCATCAGTCGCCATTTTACGTGCGTATCGTATCGCAACGACGGGGGGTGTCGTAAGCTGCCGTGCCTCCACTGCCTCGTGCATGCTAGCGGCTCTGAAGCACACTATATGTGGTTTGTGCGACCCAAAGCCAACTGCAGGACGAGGTCGCGGCCTGTATCCACTTCTTCGTTGTGTTTCGCCGCCACCACGATTGGATTTGGGAGAAGGACACGAGGCCCTTCCCACCCCATTCTCGCGTGCAGTTCGATGAACACGACTTCGCCCAGGGTGTCCCCAAGCGAGCCGCGATACGACAATGCGCAGCCACGACGCGATACAATAGCAGAGCACGGCGCATTTGCAACGCAAGGTCCGGGCTCGAGCGGGAACGCACAAACGGCACTGGAAACACACACCTTGTCCGTCTCGATCGTTGCGACCTCCTCGTCCGCCTCCACGGAGTCTCCGGGCTGCTTCAACCACGTCTTGAGCGTGCCCTCCGAGATCGACTCGGCCATCTGGGGGACCTTCACAGTCTCCGCTGCAGGGGCGGCCGCGCGTCAGCAGACGGACGTGTCACCGCAGCGCCCGCGCGGGGACGCACCTTGGAGGAGGTGGGTGGAGTGGAAATTCGCCCGCTGCGAGTAGGTGGTCGCGAGCTTCCTGTGTGCGCATGCGGATCAGCCACCGTCCGTGCACCCCCGGTAGCGGGAGAGACAAACGCACCAGCCCTTCGCCATAGCGGCGGCGTCAGCGCGCATGGCACGCCCGCGCGCGATGAGGACGAGTCTCCTCGAGAGCATGATTAGAGTGGGTGTAGGAGATAGGGATAGATACGGGGGCGTGGGGGTGCGGTGGGGCGCGACGGCGGCTGCGTGAGGGGGGAGGGCAGCACGGTGGCAGAAGAGGCAGATATTGGGAGTGCCAGCGACGACGCGCCGACGACATCATCACCGCGCATCGCCAGGCGCCCGGCACCGAACAAGTCCGAACCGTCGAGGGCCCGACGTCCGCGCCGTTCCGCGGCCTCCGCCAATACCAAGCGGCCGATTTCCTGGCCGACGACGCTCTCGCGCGACCGACGACCGTCGTTCGTCGAATCGTCCCCGCCATGTTTTCAAGGACGCCTCTGAGGGCGGAAATGTGTTTCAATGTCAAGGGGATCTGGCCACTCGGCTCAAACTCGGCGGCAGGTTCTCACGTCTCGTCTGCAGCTGCCCAAAGGGCATTGGCCGATCTTGCTCGACTACTACTCACTAGCACCGCTCAAACCCTCGCCGGCCGTCACTTGTATGTATGTCCGTCCGTGGACCGAGGAGGTGATTATTGGACTCTGACAAATTCTTATGTGGTCTCGCTGACTCGTTCGTTGTCGAAAGGGGACCGCACGCACGGTTATAGGAGATTGAAACGCACTCGAATTATGCCCTTCCTTTCCTCAAGTACCAAGCACAATTAGCGGGAATGGCCCTGCGACGATCCTGCACGAGGTGCGTTCTTCCGTGGCAACCTCCAGCACTCGACTCTATGCGCATATACTCGAGCGGGACGCGGTGCGTCGGAGCGCCTTCGTGGCAGGTGCCCCACAACATACACCAGAGTCGCGAACTTGCCCACACCGAGATCGAACGCATGAAGATCCCGTCCAACCACATGTCCACCGTTCGTCGCTTCGGTGAAGACCGTCGCTGATGACCGGACCCGTTCCTGTCCACTCCCGGTAAGTCTCCTGCCTTCTGGTCGACCACCTACGAGCCTCACGTTCTCCTCGTGTGTTGCCTGGACCGCTGTGGACGACACCCTTGATTCCATTTCTACGGTCCGTTCCGCGTCTGAGAAGACGTAACGGAGCTGTGTTGGCTTCGCGATAACGGCGCAGGCAACCCTATCGCCTATGGTGAGTATCGCATCTTGCCGATATCGTCTGTGTGTGTGGAGAGTTGATCCTGAGGTTGGCCTTGCTCGCCTCATCCAGTTTGGGTCGTGCACTTTTGGGAGTTTTGAAAGATGTCCGGTGCACTCACCAGACTGTACAGCCCGCGAGGACATTAGTGGCAGCACTTCCCACTGAAATGAGGGTCGCTGCAACTACGTGTCCGCGGGTTCGTCTGCACGATTCATGTGATTAGATCCGCATTCAATGCAATATCATTTCACAGGGTCCAGTGTTTACTCAATGGTTATGGCATCCGTGATACGAATGACCCCAAGCCCAAGTGCGGATCATTTCTCAATTGCAGTGAGCACGGGCGACATCGAGGCTTCTCATTTCTCAGTCGTAGCGGTGCGAACCTCCGTTGCCACGTCTTCGCGCTACCAGAGGACACCTTCTCAGACCGCTCGTCTTACGGACCTTACCGGAAGCAAGTCCTTACGTTGACGGTGCTGCGATACTCCCATTGGTTCACTCTCGCTCTGGAAACGACGTGTAGTTCGGATCTTCGCCTGCAAGGTTGTATACAGTAACGGTCTACATGATCCATGTGCGTATTTGGTACTCGTTTTGTCAGTACCTACGAGGACTCAAGAGTCAAGCAGGATTAACAACTGGACCCGAATGCTTCCAACAAAACCGGAGTACACGGACCACTGAACAAATCGTAAGCGCTCACTAAAGTGTACGCGTGGAGGAAAGCAAGTATCCCGTGACCTGTCGAAATCTGGTATAGCACCGAAGGCCACCCGAATGGGTGCGTCTAGTGTGTACCTCTTGCAAGGAACAATACTGAACGCCCATGTGCTCCACCACGCCTTGATAGCCAAAACCATAAGGGTCTCACTTGCGAACGTGCGTTTGTCGCGTATTTTCTGCGGTTCGAGAAGAGGTTTGGGACGCCTCACGAACAGGTCGCCTCCACGTACAGCAGTGGGAGTCGTTCTAATTACCCGACGGAGTTCCCAGAGGGCGCATGTGCAGGAGAATACGTGTGCCTCCCTGTGGCGAGGAGGTTCTACTGGTGTGGAGGATGTGCCCGTTGTGCGTGGCACGCTTTGTGAACGCGGTGAACAATGGGCCAGAGGGTCGGGACGGGAGCCGGCGGGATTTCCTGAGTTGTGCACGATTGCGGGCCCACGTGCATGGCCTCTGCTCGCCGTGCGCAGATGCACGTTGGCGGTGGGGGACAACAAGAAGAGAGTCTTAGCCGTTCTCGGAAGGGAAGTGTCTTCCCCGTCGAGTGCGTTGTCCACGACGGATGGCCGACTGCGAACGTGGGTTGGTGGCGCTCACACACGACGGGGGGACTGGGGAGCGCGGGGAGCCTGTGGGCGTGTTATCGCTGCATCGACGACCGGCGGCTCCAATTGCAGGCCGCCAAGGACGCAGGCGACCGTCCGCGTACGTCCTCGTCGCCCGTCCACCCAGGTCCACCCTCGGGTCGCCTTTACCCGCCTGGCTTTATATCGACCGTGCATTTCCCGCGTCCTGCTAGCGCGTCTCAACTGCGTCTGCCCACTCCCGCTCACCGCCGATCTTCGCTCCCGCCATGCTCCACCATCTCATCGGCGAGCATGCCTTCGCGTTCGCTCAACGGAACGCCCTCACGTGCGGCGCGCTTGCTGCGCTCGTGGCCCTCGTCATACTCTTCCGCGACGCCCTCCTCGTCTACGCCAAGTTCGCCTATGCATGCTTCCTCAAGCCTCTCGATCTCGGCAACTCCTCCGAGGTCAAGACGCTTTCCGGCCAACAACGCGCCCTCGAAGGCTTCTACCGCACCCAGGCCAGCATCTATGACACCACCCGCGGCACCCTCCTTCACGGGCGCGAAGACATGCTCCAGCTCGCTGCGGCCCAACTTAAGCACCGGTACCGGAATAGGGAGACGAAGCCAATCTGGGTCGATGTGAGTATATGCGCTCGCTATCTCCCGTCCCCGCGCCCACATCTCCGATGACGCACCCAGGTCGGTGGCGGTACGGGCTACAACATCGAGAAGATGGGCGCGTTCGTCAGCGTCCCCGACTTCTTCTCCGACGTCTACCTCGTCGACCTCAGCCCCTCCCTCCTCGATGTCGCCCGCGAACGTTTCCAGCGCCTTGGCTGGACGAACGTGCATGTCGTATGCGAAGACGCTCGTACCTTTTCCATCACCAAACCTGACCCTGCGGGAGCGCTCGATGGGCAGAAGCACGCGGTGAAAGCCGATTTCATTACGATGTCGTATTCGCTCAGCATGATTCCGGAGTAAGCTTCATCCTCCATCCCATCGTTCGTCCACCCCTGATCGCGTATTTGCGCATACACCCAGCTTTTACTCGGTCATCGACTCCCTCATCGAGCTCCTCGCCCCCCTCGGTCTCATCGGCTGCGTCGACTTCTACGTCCAGTCCTCGTCCAGTTACTCACTCCGCAACTTCACCGGAGGCCACCACTCAAGGCACGTCAACCGTTTCTCACGTGTCTTCTGGCGCTCCTGGTTCAAACTCGACCGCGTCCACCTTCATGAAAGCCGCCGCGACTACCTCGAGTACCGCTTCGGCACGATCCTCAATGTCAACGAGCGCAACAACACTCTTGGCTGGATCCCCTACTACATCTGGCTCGGCTGCCAGCGATCAGCGACATACGGCGCGGTCACTGCCATGGCTCGCGATGCCGCTGAGCACATCGATGCCCTTGCCACCGAGAGCCCATATCTCTCCCCTGTACACTACAACGAGAAGCGTTCGGAAGCGCAAGACGCTGCGGCGCGCGAGACGCGCCTCTCGCTCCGTTCGAAGGGCTTCGAAGCCGCCATCCTTAACCTCGCCACGAATGTCCCTCTCCCTTCATTCTTTTATCAAAACCAGCGCTGGCGCCTCTACTACGACGAATCGCTCCAGAAGCACGCCCAGTTCGGCAACGAGTACATCTACGCGTTCACCTGGGAGGATCCCGCGGAAGACCAGCGGATCCTCAACATCAGCCGAGATGACGTCGTGTTCGCGATTACCTCCGCCGGCGACAACCTCCTCTCCTACGCCCTCCACCGCCCGCGGAGCATCCATGCCGTCGACCTGAACCCGACGCAGAACCACCTCCTTGAGCTCAAGGTCGCCGCATTCTCCGCTCTGCCCTACGAGGACATCTGGAAGCTCTTCGGCGAGGGCCGCCATCCCAACTTCCGCAACCTCCTCCTCACCAAGCTCTCCCCCTTCCTCTCCTCGCGCGCGATCCAACACTGGCTCGACTCCACCAGCACCTTCACCGCCCGTGGCGGGCTGTACGAGACCGGTGGCTCCCGCCTCGCCGTCAAGCTCGCCAAGTGGTTGTTCCGGCTGACCGGCCAAGCGGGCGCGGTCCGCCGTCTGTGCGACGCGCGCACGCTCGAAGAGCAGCGCGACATCTGGCGGCACTCGCTGCGCCCGCTCGTGCTCAGCCGCCTTCTGAGCCACGTCGTGCTCGCGGACTCGCGGTTCCTGTGGAAGGCGCTGGGCGTGCCCGAGAACCAGCGGAACATGATCGCGGACGACGGGATCGCGGCCGCGGTGGCGAGGGGCAAGCCGGTGTCGGACAAGGAGGCGGTGTGGCAGTACGTCGTGGACACGCTCGATCCCGTCGTGGAGAACACGCTGCTCAAGGACAGCAACTACTTCTACCGCCTGTGCTTGCAGGGGCAGTACTCGAAAGAGTAAGTGCTTTCGTGCTTCTCGCGGGACTGTCGTAACTAACGCGCTCGCAGGTGCCGACCAGCATACCTCACGGAGCAAGCGCACAGGACGCTCTCGAAGCCAGGCGCGTTCGACGGCCTCCGCGTCCACACGGATGAATTCGTCGAGGTCCTCGCGCGCATCAAGCCCGAGACCGTCACTGTCGCCGTGGTACGTCTCCGTCACCCTGGTACACTCGCCCATGCACACCAATTCATGCCTTCGCGCAGATCATGGACCACATGGACTGGTTCGAGCCCGAGGGCACACAAGCCCCCGCGGAGATCCGGGCGATCAACAAGGCCATGAAGCTCGGCGGGCGCGTCCTCCTCCGCAGCGCGGGCCTCAAACCGTGGTACATCGCCAAGTTCTCTCAGCAGGGCTTCCGGTGCGAGCGCGTCGCGGAGCGCAAATCCGGCACGTGCATCGACAGGTTCGTCTTCCCTCGTTCGTCGTTCTATTGAGGTGTGAGCTGACCGTGTCCTCCCAGGGTGAACATGTACGCGTCGACGTGGCTCTGCACCAAGGTCGCCCCCGACCCGACCGCTGTGGTGGACACGGAAGACGTGAATCACGTCGAGGCGCTCACATTGTGAGCGCAGGAGCTCTAGTCTGTGCTGCTTGAACATAGAGGGGTTTTTGTTCTGACGGTGGGGTTTTTGTCTGATGGTACTCACGGGAACCTTGTAGACAGCATCCGCAATATCCTCCTTGCATTGCTTTCCAAGCTGTGTACGTACTCACTGTACTTTTGCGCATTTTGACACGACTATTGTGACGTCCACTGTAAATACAGATGATTTGAACACGACCAAATCCTATTGGAACAACTTCGTGACTTTTGGAGGATCTCGCGGACTGCGAGGACCATAGTGCCTACATATACAAACAGCGCGAGCGTGGAGGATCTGACCGGAAAAATCGCTCTACCTAACCAGCCGCAGGCGAGCGCATAGCGTTCGTGACGAGTTTCAATATTATCTACTCCCAGCCGAAAGGGCTACATACATGGAAAGCGACCAATCTATGGACGATGTGTGCCATGGTAGAGCAGGCCAAGCATCCCTGCATCATGCGCGGGAGTGATTGGCGCGAAATCCTGCACGCCCTCCACAGGGAACACACGCTTCGACAAGTGGGAGGGATAGCGCGCTTCCCCTACCCGGCCCGCCCAATCGAAGTCGATGAGCCTCACCCGGCCCTCGACGCCCTCTTCCCAGCCGCGGAGGAGCAAGACGTTCAGCGGGCGGACATCCCCATGCACCATGCCCTTCTCATGCAGGATCTTCAGCGCGCGGTCCACCTCGGGCGCGGCCGCGCGTTACTGCTCCTGCGTCAGCGCTGCGGTGCCCTCCAGGTACTCCATGACCACCATCTGGTGGCCGTCGTACGGGGGATCCTCTTCTGGCCAGATGTCGCCGCAGTAGAGCAGCCCGGGCGCAAGCCCCGCAGAGGCGAGGAGCGTGTGCGCGGCTGCGCCGTACCGCTCGACGAACTTGACGACGACGTCCTGCGGCTCCGGCCCGTCGAGGCGCGCGCGAAAGACGGTGGAGCCTTCGCCGGGGTCCTTGAGCACGGCGGAGTACGTGAACGTCATGGGGCGGCCGCTTGGGGCGCGGTATCGAGTCGCAGAGGGGAAGAAGCGGGAAGCCTCGGTCGTCGGGAGGGGGAGGCGGGCGTAGAACCCGCGCAAGCCTGTCAGGGCGAGCGTGAGGGCGTAGAGAACTCGTGCGTTCTCCAGCAGTTCGGCTTCGTCCGCTTGATGATCGTGTGAGAGCCATAGGTCCCTCGTCAGGCGCTGCACCACAGGCTTTCCCGAGATGATGGCGCCGGATATGGAAACGCGCGGACCGGAGACACCGACCACAAAGGACGGCACACGGCAGCTGTTGAGGAGCGTCTGCGAATGGTGGCGTAGGTACGAAAGGAGTGGTCTACCAAAGAGGAAGACTCACTCGCTGGTTAGCATGGCACCAATGATCGACGTACGAGCTCGTGGAGTGCAGTTCACCGGACTCGGTTTCTGTGTCCACCCCGATGGCAGCGAGGGCGGCAGTGCCCGAGAATGGTGGAAAGACTGAGGCAGGGACCACATATCCTGGAAACGTGCGACAAACATAAGATTGCTGGACTTGACCGCCTAGGAGATCGGAGAGGAGACGGAGGATTTCGTTCTGGAATGCGGTCTGGTTAGGGAAGACACGACATCCTACGAGCATGAGCTTCGCGGTGCTCCTCAAGAAGTCTTCCGGGACGGGTAAATCACCATCTCTGCACATGACCGCAAAAGCGGCAAAAGCGGGATGAAAAACCCTTATTGAAGGAGGCAAAGGGTTGACGGCTTCACTAATGTAACGTCCTTTAATGACAGGGCCAGGCCAGTGTTTGATTTGACGGGAAACTTGGCTGTCCTGAGATTGTGTATCGTCGTCTCCGCGTCCTGCTGTTCGTTTGAATCCTAAATATTGGGTCAGCACAGCACAGCCAACCACCCACCACGTACGTATGCGCGACTCACTCTTCATCATATCGCTGAGAATGTCTCCCTCATCGTCTTCATCGTCAGGGGGCGGTCGAACGTTGTGGGGCGGGGCGATGTCGACCACGAGAGCACAAATTGCAGAGAGCTCGTGCGAGCCCTTCATACCAAGCATGGCGCTGATGCTGTCATCTTCCGAAAGGAGGTGGGCGATCGGATCGCAAAACGCACTCAGATCGTAGTCGTGTAGAATCAGGAGAGACTGCAGCCGTGGCCCATCTGTCGCGTACAAAGCTTCCTTTGGCTAGTTAAACCGAGATTAATGAATGCATTGGAGGCGAGAGCGGAAAAGACACGCCACCTTCGTGCACATATGCAGACGAGACGTGCGGTTTACTCCAACCATCGGCGCCACATCGCAAAGAATATCCATGAAACAAGCGTCCGACGGCAGGGTGACATTATCAGGACGAGAGCGGAGCCGTCGCTCCTGAACTATAAAGAGAGGGATATTGAGGTCCATGGGGAGATGGACTGGGAGAGTGACACGAGTGGCAGAGGGAGACTTGGGCTGTGCGGTTAAATTCGAGTCGCGTGGTCAACGCGAGCATACATATGATTCTGGACGGCGTTGAGGGCGTGTCCACACGCATGAATGAGCCCTCCGTAGTCTCCGCCTTAAGAGCGTGACTCAGTACTCAGGCCTGCGCTCGTTCTTTCGGCGTGTGCTCTGACGACCCTGGATTCCGATCAGGCGGCATAAATGAACGATGTGCCGTACTCAACTCAAATCTCAGAAAAGCAACTCACGACCAGTCCAATGGGATTGGACATCCACCGAACGCCAAGCATACACAGATGGAGACTAGGAGGAAGTAGATAGAATAAAAAAGTACAGGAATAAAATACAACAACCAGGAAGAAAAGGGATATCTACTTCGCACCCGCGCTCGAGAACTGCGGCAGTATATCAGACGATGCGCGAGAAGACATACAGATGGTGCTCACTTTTGTTACCGACTTGGTCCCTTCTGAGATAGCGTGCTTGGCGAGTTCACCAGGAAGGATAAGACGAACAGCAGTCTGGATCTCGCGCGAAGAGATAGTCGACTTCTTGGAGTACGACGCGAGCTCTGGAGCGCAAGATGAGGACGAGCTAAGGCAGAGAACGAGGAAGACGTACTGGAAGCCTCAGTCGCGATGCGCTCGAAGATGTCGTTGACAAAGGAGTTGAGGATGGCCATCGCCTTGTTGGAGATACCGGTGTCGGGGTGCACCTGCTTGAGCACTACAAGTCCAGTTCTCCGTTAGCTTGGGCCGCATCGAAGGCACACTCAAACGTACCCTTGTAAATGTAGGAGGAGTAAGTCTCCTTGCGGCTCTTCCTGCGCTTCTTCTTCTCGCCGTCAGCCGCGCCGCTCGAAGCCTTTGTTGTCTTCTTCGACGCCTTAGAGCCAGCCTCAGACGTGGTCTTTGCAGGGGCCTTGGAGGCGGTGGAAGCGGGAGCCTTGCCGGCAGTGGAGGCGGGCTTGGGGGCCATTACGATGTGTGGGTGGAGTGGTGGTGGTGGGGCGGGAGGCGAGGAGGTCGAGGGGACGATGGATGAGGGAAACTAGGACGCAAGACGCGCCGGGTCTTATAGGGACCCGATGCGCTTGTTTGGCGCGACGCGTCGACGCGCTGAACCTTATTTTGTTGAACGCCATCAACACCATCACGTGCGCATATGCGGCCACAGACGCGTCTCGCTTCGCGCGCCGTCATAAAAGCCCGCGCGGAACGGGAGGCGAACTCATCTCTGCCCTTCGTCGCGCTCCCCGTCGTCGTCGCCACAACTCAAAAACCTCCACTTTACAACCTCCTCTCCGACTACGAACATGTCTGGCAAGGGCAGCGGCAAGTCCAAGTCTGGCAAGGCCTCCGGCGAAGCCTCCTCGAAGTCGCAGTCTCGCTCTGCGAAGGCGGGGCTCCAGTTCCCCGTCGGTCGTGTCCACCGTCTGCTGAAGAAAGGCAACTACGCTCAGCGTGTCGGTGCTGGTGCTCCGGGTAAGTCTTGCCTGGAGTATTCTCAACGCGTTACAAGCAGGCTCATGGGGTCCTGTAGTTTACCTCGCCGCCGTCCTTGAATACCTTGCGGCGGAGATTCTCGAGCTCGCGGGTAACGCGGCGCGTGATAACAAGAAGCAGCGCATTGTTCCCCGTCACTTGCAGCTTGCCATTCGGAACGACGAAGAGTGGGTCTTGCACTGCCTGCACATCTGAAAGTTAGATGCTAACGTTGGCTGCGCTTGCAGGCTCAACAAGCTCCTCGGTAACGTCGTCATCTCGCAGGGCGGTGTTGTACCATTCATCAACCCCGAGGTGTGTCCACTAGGTGCCGCTAATTTATTTGCATGGTCTGACTCTCGTATTAGCTCCTGCCCAGCAAGACACAAAAGGGCAAGAAGGACAGCCAGGAGGTTTAGACCCGCATTGTATCCACCACTGTATTATTTATGTACTATTTTCCTATTTTCTCATAATCCGATCCCCCTGGATATCTAGAGTCTAGACCTAGCCCTTCCGCAGTCTGCACGAGTGATCTAGCCGGGTTCGCGTTTGCCTTCCGGCAGACGAAGGTTCTGATGCTGGCTATGTATGATGAGTGCCGAACAGGCCTGGTAAACCAGCTGGAGGCGCCCGCGTTTTGGCTCGCACCGCTCCCCCCAGTGTCGCTGCCTTCTTCCTCATCTTTCCCCTCATCCGCCCCCCTTCTGCCTCGTTTGTCCGCACGTTGCACACCTCCGCTCCTTCAGTGTTCGCGCCCTAATTGCATGGCGACCCTCACCCGTACTCGTGCGACATTCCAGGCTGAGGACGACTCCGAGCCGCAAGAGCCTCACCACCTCCATCTCGACATTCCGACCCCATTTCCTCGTGCCCAGCTTCAAGGTCCTCCTCTATTCGCGACATCGAGCTCCAATGAGATCTCGTCTGGAGAAGGCAGCTCTGAGAGGGTCAGCATAGAAGTATCAGGGGATGGGGACCGGACTGAAGAGGGTACGGATTCGGTACGTGTCGCGATTACATGCACATTACCTGGAGATCTTTACATCCCCGTAGGACGAACTTACGTCCTCCATCGTCAACGTGAAGCGATCATGTCTTACGACATTGAACGATCTTCTCTCCACCTCTACAAATTGGCGACCCATCATCCCTGACCGCCGACATTCAATGCCCGTACCTCGCTCTCCAAACACCCTCTCTCCGCCTTCATTCCTCACAGCAGGTGCAACATTGACCTCCGCTGCGACTCCGACGCCTCTCCAAACCCTCGTGCTCAATCTCCGGGCCCAGGAGTCGGAGAACATGACTGAGTGCGCCGACCTCGCAGACGAGTCCGCGCTCATCCGGGAAATTCAAACTCGCGTGGACCATCTCGCAAGCACCAGTCTATCTCCGCACGATGGACCCATCGCACAAGCCCTCGTCTCCCTCATCGCCCAGTTCAACCGTCTCGCCGAGCTGCACCCGCCCTCTACCCGATCCTCCGCCCTCCCCCGCACGATGTCCTGGGGCACGAGCCCCACGGAGACGGCGCCCCCCGCGTCGCACCCCCTGGCGCAACTGCAGCGGCAGATGACGGACCTCCAGCTCGAGCGGGAGGCCCGCGGTTCAGATGACGGGCAATCGTCGCGACCACCCGTACAAGCCGTCGAAACCGCGCTTCTGTGGACACGCGTGGACCGGGACTTCGACCGCATTCTTGCGCTCTGCGCGCACCCGACGGACCTCCCCGAGGAGGACGCGGAGTCGATCTCGGATCACCTCCCTCCCCAGTACGAGCGCGGGGGGTACCGAGATCTCTTCGCTGCGTCGGACGTGTCGCTACCGATGTACGAGCAGGGCGCGTACGAAGGCCAGGAGAAGGCCGGGGGATCTTCCAAGACGCGTGAGCAAGCATCGGCGTCAGCCACGAACGCAACGGGCGGGATGAGCGACAAGATGCGGATGGACCTTGAGGCGGTGGCTCTTGCGATCGACAGGCTGTATGCGGTCGCACCGCAGCTACACGACCAGCGGGTGGAGCTCAAGAAGAGCAAGCGCGAGCAGATGGAGCGTGCGCGGATGGCGGGGCCTTCGACTGAGGGCGATCACTCCCGGGAACGCAGCGGGGATAGCGTCAAGAGGAAGATACGGCCGGGCAAGGAGCGCGAGCGGGAGGACCTCGAGCTCGATAAGATGCTCATGCTGATCGGGAAGATGTCGGAGCGGAAGATGGTGGACCAGTCGGTCGTGTTGGATGGGGGTATGAAGGCGAGGCTGGAGCAGGCGAAGCTCAAAGACAGAGAAAAGGTGCGTCACAAGCCTTCCTTTACGTTGATATGCAACACACTGATTTGGATTGTAGAGGGAGGCGTTCGTGGCTCGTCTTGTTCGACACTCCGACGCAGGACGACTGCACGGTCAAGAAGCCGCACCCATGAGAAACAAACTCAAGGACCCACACGCCATGCTTTCTCTCCCCGAATTCATGCGCGAGAGCGTCCCGGAAGGTATGCGGCTCAAGATGCAGATGGAGGATTCCCATGCGATGTTGTCTCTCCCCGAGTTCGTGCGCGAGCCCATCCCAGAGAGCCTGCGACCCTCGCCACCTCCCACCGTCGTTTCCCGCAAGAAGAGCTTTAGAGGTCTCCGAAGCAGAAGTTTATCGGCTCCTCCGCTTGCATGGCTGCTTTCTACCTCACCTCGATCTTCGTCACCCGCGACGCCCTCTACCCCTGAAGAGAAGGAGGAGAAAAAGGAGACCGAGAAGGGCAAGGATCCAGAGAAGAGGAGATCAATATTGAACAGAGCAAAACGGCCGGGATCATCAAGTGGCTTCACGCCGCCCCCAGTGATCTTCCAAGGTGTGTCTCATAATTATCGGTCATCGTCGCATATTCTCATATCATACGTAGCCGGCCTCGATGTTCACTATGTTGCGGAGTACCATGAGACGCTACAGCACATCCTCGTCTTCCTTGATGTCCATGGAATGACTCCCGGCGCGAACCTCGAAGCCGAAGTTGTACCGGCTTCCGACTCCTCTGCTGGCCCCGGCGACGAGCGTAGCCGTCTTCTCCTCAAGTGCGGCGCCTCCACATCTCCTCTCCTGGCGCTTCCCGCCGCGGTACCCCCAGGTGTCAAAGACGTGAAAGTCGTCGGGCAGTACTACGAGGTCAAGCTCACGGTCAACGCCGCGGCTTCCTCCCTCCTACCCCTCGACGCGCCGCCTGCCCTGCTTGATGCCACGGAGCTGTCTGCCTCCCATCCGAGCAGCTTCGTTTGTGCGAGCTGCTCGCTTCCCCTTGTGCGGTGTGCGGGGCTTCGCGAGTACCGTGATCTGCCGTCGGAGCACTGGGCGGAGCTCGTAGACGCATGGATGTGCCACGCGGACCAAAAATTGCACGAGCACGTCAAAACGCACTCTGTGCAGGGCTTTTGGCCTCGTGAGGGAGAGGCGCTAGTTGGGGGAAGCTACGTCCTGTTTGAGGAGAACGCGGTGGTGGGGTCCAATCTCTGGCATGAAGAGAGCGCGGAGAAGCAGGTACGTCGTCTATCTTGGTTGCGCTTTCTTGCGTTTGGGTAGTGGTTGGGGGATGGGTTGGAGGTTGTGGTTACTGGTGTTCGGGCGAAAAGAAGGCCGTCGTTGGGTGTTCCACCAGCGGCCGTTTGCCCTTCCCGTCTACCGCGCGTGGTCTCGTCTCTCCCGGAGCCCTCGTTGGTTCTAGGGGAGCAGGCTGCGTGGCTGCGGCGAGAAGGGTGGCGGCAGGATCACGATCCTTTGGCTGATACAAAACGTCCAAGATTGACGTCGACAGGCGGTCACTTGCTTAACAACTCTCGTGTGGCCGAGATCACTGTCGCGGGAGCTACATGCGAGGGCACATTCTTCATTTTTATCCTTCACTTTCCTATTGTATTCTGAACTCCATCGGCTGACTTGTGCCCTCACTAGCCGGATGACGACTGGAGACGGACACGATGCCTCTGCGGCGCTATCATCGGCCGCTGTCAACAGAGGCCATTCGTTTCCGAGTCTGAAAAGGCGCCGATGGTGTACCGCTTCGCCAAGTACGCAGTACGCCCGATGAACGCCAACTCGGGTCCTTCGCGCTCGCCCCTGTCGGCGTTCATCGCCGAGGACATGAACGAGTTCGTCCACGCGCATGCGACTTATCGCTTCGTGTTCTTCGACGAGGAGGAAGAGCGACCTCGTATTCTCGTAAGTTTCAATAAGCTCCATGCTACCCTAGGTCATGATTGACTAACATTGCGCTGCGATAGATGTGGCTCTTCAAGCCCGCGATGCGCCTCGCGTACTCGGTCCCCAAGCAGTACGTGATCCCCAAGAGCGGCTCGATCCGCGCTGCCAAAGTGCTGTACAAGATCCTGGACACCGTCTCGACATACTCAGATCTCAATTCCGTCCTCACGCGGTATCCTGGATTCCCCCAGGCGGAGCACCTATTCTATCCGCGTGGCATCTGCCGCCGACTCGGTGCGCTTCTCAAGGAGAGCACCACAGCATACCCCGAGAACATGCGCACCATGACAGGCCTCGACGTTGGCTGGCTGCAGCGTGCTTGAGGGCGCTTGGCTACCCTCGGCCCATTCTCCACCCATTCGTTCATGTCATGATGCACCTCATACCACGACTCATATTCATCTTGTTTCTCCTGCCGAACCCTTGTGGACTTAGCTCATGATCAGATCCTTCGGCTGTGCCCTCTGACCCTCTCCATATACACATCCCGTCCATGCTTGTGTGTCTATACTGCTGTAGTTTGTTGACCGAGTTCCAAACTAATCTCCATATCGTCTGTCGCCTGGCTGCGTGCATCACGATAGAGTATGTATATAATATGCGCCTTCATATGGTACGGTCGGCGCTGGTGCAGGAGTACATGCGCCCCTTCGATCCTTTCGAACATGCCCATTCTTTCGGTCCGTACTACCTATGTACTAATCCATCTCACGTTGTCGTAACATTGCATCCCCCCATCACCACTTCATGTTCCGCGACCCTCGGGGGTGCCGGCTGGCGGCGCAGGGCGACATCCCGCGCGCACCGGGCGGGGTGCAAGTAGCGCCCCGTGATTCGCGGGTACGGCGGCGGGTGATCCGGGAAATGCGGGTTACGGCACTGGCGCCGGCGGGCGGGGGAGGCCAAGTCGGGCATGGCCAGCGTCGCTCCCACCGCGCAGGGAAGCCCCAGGAAGGCCGCCCGCACGCGCAGCGAGCACAAGGCCATGGTGTGAATGTCCCCCCACTCTCGCGTCCTCATCCTCGCCGACTCCACATCGCCAGGGTCTATCGCACCAGGAGCTCTCAGATTTTGACATCGCCGTCCCGATCACTGCGCGATTGGCAGCGGGGCGCAGGACCTGACAACAGACTGGTAGGTGCACTGCACGCCCATCACGGCGTTGGAGGAACCGTGGCATACCCGGTCGACCGACTCAGCACGTTCTAGCACGCCCGTATCGCCGTCCGATCCCCACGCAGGGCGAGGGCAAAACGTTCTCAATCGAGCTGTCGGCGGGCCCGAGAGGGACGGGCCCCTGTCACAGCCCTTGGCCTCCTGAGCAAATGCGCAACACGTTGGCGGCGGCCAGTCAGCTTAGCCCCAGTCGGTTCTCGTGACACGTAAGTGGGAGGGTCGCGCAGTATATACCCCCCGCCGTCACCGCTGCACCTTCCCCCTGGCTCCTGCTAGGTCCCGCCGCCGCCGCTGTGAAGCTCCGCCCTCAATCACGAAGAAGATGCCCGGAGCTGCTGTACTGGCGCTGCTTGTTCTCGGCGGAAGTTGGATCCTGTGGAAGGTCATACGCCCGTTCGTGTTCAAGAGCACGCTCGACCGCCTCCCGGGTCCGCCGAACCAGTCGTTCTTGTACGGTATGTCCCCCATTGTACCCAAATGGAACCCACGGCTGACTGACCCGTCTGCACGGGCTAGGCAACCTGAAGCAGGTCTACCAGAAGGATGGGTGGGCCTTCCACAAGACCCTGGGCGAGTACGATCGCGTGTGCGCGCTGCACGGCAAGTTCGGGGCAAGTGCTGGGCAGGCTTCGTCGACCACCTAATGTCGTCTGACACGTGTTCCGTCGTGCAGAGCAAGATGCTTTACGTGTTTGACCCGCTCGCGATGCATGCCATAGCGGTAAAGGAGGCCTACGTCTACGATGAAGCACAATGGTTCTTGAGGTGCGCAACGACTTTGGGGATCCTCCCTACGGATGCTTACGCCGAACCTTAGAGCGAATAGCATTGCATTGGGACCTGGCTTGTTGGGCACCACAGGTAAGAGCATTCAGAAGCGATTCATGAGATTGCCGTGAAGTATCTCGGGCTATTGTTTCACAGGCGAGCAGCACCGGCGACAGCGCAAGATGCTTGGTCCGGCGTTCAACAACGCCCACATGCGGGACATGATGCCAACTTTTTATGAAGTCATCCACAAGGTATGCCCCTTCTCCCGAGCCCGTCCTTCGATGAGATTGACCCATCGACATTCAGCTGCGACAAGCCATCGAGAACACTCTCGATGCCCAGAAGAGCGACACGGTGGAGATCAACATGGTCAACTGGATGGGCCGCGTCGCGCTCGAGCTCATCGGCCAATCCGGCCTCGGGCACTCCTTCGACCCGTTGCTTGAAGATGGCGTTGACGACTACGGGACCGCGCTGAAGCATTTTATGTACGCCGCGTCGTCGACTCTCGCTGAAGGACCCTCCTGCTGACTCCACGAGACAGCCCCGCACTGTTCAGCTTCTCCGCCTTGATCCAGTTCTGCCACTACATGGAGGCCGCGATCCCGGCCCCGTTCCGTCGCTGGGTCGCAGAGCGCGTGCCGAGCAAGAGGGCCCGGAAGCTGCGTGGGCTCATCGACACGATGCACGCGTGCTCGGTGAAGATATTCGAGGAGAAGAAGGCGGCGCTCGCACGGGGCGACGAGGACATGAAGGAGAAGATGTCGCACGGGAAGGACATCATGAGCATCCTACGTATGTTCCTTTTCCTGGCGCGCAATGCGAGTCCGTCGGCAGCGTGAGCTCAATTAACCACTTGCAGTGCGCGCGAACATGGACGCAGACTCGGTGGACAGGCTCACCGACGACGAGCTTATTGGGCAGATGTCGTACGTCCACTCGTTGTCAGTGGCTTGCTCCGCTCGCGGCTCACACCGTCGCTGTACAGCACGCTCATTATCGCAGGAATGGACACGACCTCGAACGCGCTCTCGATGACGCTTCACTTCCTTGCCCAACACCCAGAGGTGCAGCAGAAGCTCCGCGAAGAGCTCCTCGAGGCCCAGACGTCAAATCACGGTGACGACATCCCGTTCGACCAGCTGACCTCCCTGCCCTATCTCGACGCCGTATGCCGGGAAACCCTCAGGGTGTAAGTTCACCCCGCGGTCTTCTTCCTGCTCCCAATCTCCGCGTGCGGCACCTCGCGCCTAACTTTCTCCCCCGTGCGGTGGCGGCTGCCTTTCCAAATTGCGCACTGACCTTCCCTTCTGCCCCCTTCCAGCCGCCCTCCCTCCCCGTTCCGGTTCAGAGAGTACGTACAGTCGCAACCCGCTTCCCCCGCCCCTGCCGTCCGCTCACACGCCCTCGTCCTTTCCGCCCTCCCTGTCCTGCCTCCTTCTCCGCCGCCGCCGGGCAAACTCCGCCAGGACGCGCGAGGACGTCGTGCTCCCGCTCTCCGCGCCCGTGCGCGCGCGCGACGGCACGCTCCTCTCCGCGCTCCCGCTCCCGAAGGGCACCACCGTCTTTGTCGGCCTGCTCTCGACCAACACCCACAAGGCGCACTGGGGCGCGGACGCGGACGCGTGGCGGCCGGAGCGCTGGCTCGCACCGCTGCCCGCGCCGCTGCTCGACGCGAAGATCCCGGGCGTGTACTCGAACGTGTGAGTCGGTCGCGTGCGCGCGCGCGCGTGTGTGGGTGGGTGACTTTGGAGCTGACGGCTTGCGGTGCGGTGCGCAGGATGACGTTCTGGGGAGGGGGACGGGCGTGCATGTGAGTGCTTGTGAACTGTTGGGATGTGATGTGCGGCTGACGCTGACGGGGGCTCGGGTAGTGGTTTCAAGTTCTCACAGCTCGAGATGAGTGCGTCTCCCGTTGTGTCCGTCGTGGTTTTGGATGGGTGTACTGACGACGTCCGTGCAGAGACCGTGCTAGCGGTGCTGGTCTCGCGCTTCACCTTTGAGCTGACGGAGAAGCCTATTCAGTGGAACATCGCCGGCGTGATTTATCCTACGGTGGGCACAGACACGTCCCCCGCGCTTCCGATGAAGGTTGGCCTTGCGAAGAAGGCGTAACATGTATACCGGGGCTCGTCGTAACCGTTGAAGGGTGGTATAGTACATGTTGATTGCACGCTAGAAACAACTAATGTATAGATTGTAGCAGTCCCTGTATTGGAAAACATCAACGTACTAGTACACCATCGTCGCAGGTTCGTGAGCAGTGTTAGTCTGAAAGTAGTCCGAACCATAACGATATCCAAGTCCGACGTGTGGGTCCTTCACGGAAACCTAAGTTAGTACTACGAGCACAGCGCCGAGGAGGATCATGACGCCGACGACGGCGAACTGGTGCATCGATACAAGCGACAGCGAAATTGCACCTCCTGAAGCAGCACGACTTGTTATGGGGCCGGTTCTGGTAGAGCATGCTGCCAGTTGTCTGAAGCTAGCAGAACAAGGGTTACTAGCGCGCTGATACTGAAGGCACATAAGTAGTACAGTACAGCTACGGTCACAAAGCTTGTCCAGGCGCCGAAAAAACGCGACTTGCGTCGAGAGAAATCGAAAATAAATCGAAAATGGTCGAAAAATCGCCAGTGGTGATGCGAGCGTGTTTCTTCTCTCTCTCTCCTTCGTTAGATCCCCCCGACGACCATAGAATGTTGAAGAGCGCATCAGGCGCGTGTTTGGGTACGATATGACGCTTTTCCGCGTCCTCAACGGCCGAGATGACGTGTTCCGCGGCAGACAGTGGTCGGGTGGTGGTACACGACGATTATATCCCCGTCTGCCACCTTGGCGCCCCTTGAGCCACCCCGAGGCTAAAATCGTGCCAATGAAGCATGCATCTGCGATGCAAGGAAATCGTCACACCTACGGCGACTGTCGAGAAGGCGTTGGTGGAGGTGCAGGAGCGGGCGTGTACGTGTACTCTTGAAGAGAGGATGCCGCCTTCAGTGAGTGCCCCATTAATATCATGCGTCCCCTGTCGTCGCAGCATACATAGTTATGTATACTGTCGCTGTGATCTGTGGTGTAAGACGTTCGTATGCCCAAGTGTTTGTGGTGGTTGACGGTGCAGCTCGCGCTCTCATAGATACCGCCGTCCTCGCTTCGTGCTCCCAGCTTCATTGTCACGAGGATTTTTCAAGTCCTCGTTACACGGAACAGTTGGTTGGGTGGTAACGAGCTGGAAGGCTCTCACAAACCTATAGATAGAGGGGGATGTACAGTACTTGTAAGAGGTACATGCCTTCCAGTTCCGCCTTGCCGTTCGAGTGTTCCCCCAGCCCTCCGAGCGACATCAACTGTTCAATAGGCACTTGCTACTTGTGCGAAACTTGAGAGGCCCTATGTGTGGAATCAGGGACCATGTGGTTGTGCCCACGATTCTGGAAGTAGGCTCCAGTCACGGGGAGTACATGACGTCTTCGGTGTGGCGCAGGAGACGTTGAAACACCAAGAACTCACCCATAAGAATATATTCAGCTTCCTATTCGTCTTCAGACGCGATTCGAGGGGTCTGAAGGTGGCAGACGAGGATAAAATCGTCGTGTACCGCACCCGACCACTGTCTGCCGCGGAACACGTCATCTCGGCCGTTGAGGACGCGGAAAAGCGTCATATCGTACCCAAATACGCGCCTGATGCGCTCTTCAACATTCTATGGTCGTCGGGGGGATCTAACGAAGGAGAGAGAGAGAAGAAACACGCTCGCATCACCACTGGCGATTTTTCGACCATTTTCGATTTATTTTCGATTTCTCTCGACGCGAGTCGCGTTTTTTCGGCGCCTGGACAAGCTTTGTGACCGTAGCTGTATTCAGCCTCTGTTCTTCAGAGGATACGAACAGGTCGAAAACATTCCTCGCCAGTATCACCCATGCATTGATCAAACGAGCCGGAATCGGAATGGTTGCCGGGCATGTTCCAGTCACAGCCGAGAGTGTCCGAGTAGATATGTTGCTTGGGGACTCAAAAAAACCAGGACGCCAGGACTTAGCGCCGGGTGATTTATTCCTGCCAGGGGGCCGGGGGCGCTTCCCCGGCGTTCCCATGGGCCATCAAGTACCATCGTCGCTCTAGGATCCGCCATCCAGCGAGAACAGTGATATATACCCTTCATTATGTCATCTCTCTGAGCACGTTTGTTCAAGGATAGCTCCAGTTAGTCCGCAAACTGCCAGATCCATCAGACCAGGCTCATTCACCATGTACTACAAATGCAGGATATCTAGCTCAGGCAGGTTGGAACGGCTCCGAAGCCTCAATGACAGAAGCCTACGGTACCATATCGCAGAGGGCAGTCAACTGCCTACGCAGCCGGAGCGGAGATCCATGAAAAGATAAAGATCGGCAAGCTCGCCTTCATGTCGGCACAGACAACAAAGGCGGTCTCCTTGGTGTGGAACATCTCAAACTCTAACTTGGTGAGCAGCGCACACAGCACCAGCTGCCAGTGGCGTCGCTCAACTCGTGATCCACGATGTATATACCCTCTTCTTCAAATACACACCACGACGGCTCCCTCCTTCCTCTCGTCCCTCGTTCCGCCCACCGCCGCCGCGTTCACCATCACCGTCCCCTCGTCGCCATCCAAGAAACCCCACCACGCGCCGATCCTCTCCACGACCACCCACACCAGTAGCCGGGCGAGCGCGAACCACCCGCCAATGCCGGAGCCGGCGCAAATCTCGTCATACGCCCGCTGCGCCGCGCCCCAGCGCGCCCGCTCGACGCCGCGCCCGGCGTGGACGTGGCCGAACACGTGCAGGCGCGGGCGCACGCGCCAAAGTGCGGCGAGCAGCGCGGCGCAGCCAACGCGCGCGTCGAGCTCGCGGTGCGCCAGCGGCGGGCCGTGTGTGACGAGCACGTCCGTCAGCGCCGGGATCCGCGCCCACACGTCCACCGCGGACGAGGCCGCCGTGAGGTCGACATCTTCGACGTCGTGTTCCCCTTCAGCGGGCGCCAGCCCGAGGACCGCGGGGGCCGCACGCGGGTAGTGGAACGCGCCGCCGCCGTGCTGCGGCGTACGCGGGCTGCCGTAGACGCGGAGCTCGCGGCCGCGGACTGCGACCGTCGTCGCTTGGTCTTGGAGGTAGACGAGCGCCGGGTACGCCGCTAGAATGCGCGTGCGGGCGGCGGGGTCGGCGAGCGCGCAGTCGTGGTTGCCGGCGATGAGCAGCTTGTGTTGGTGCGGCTGCTCGTCCAGCCAGGCGAGCGCGTCCGCGAGCTCCGCGGGCGTGCCGGATTGCGTCAGGTCGCCGGCGTGGATGAGGATGTCGCCGTCAGGGAGTACGGGTTGGTGGCGGTGGGTGTTGTGAGTATCTGAAATGCAGACGATGCGGATGCATGAGGCCGAGATGTCCTGGGCAGTGACAGATAAGGCGGTGGAGGGGTTTGAGCTGAACGAATATGCCGTTCGTGCGAGAAAGAGAAGTGGGGAATCACAGAAACGTTCCCAGACGGTTGGAGGCCTTCGGTGAAGCAGGCTGTCTAGACCACTCATGCCGTATCAGCACTGGGGCTCCAGATGAATGAGGAGCTCAATGGGAGAATACGCCGTGTGGAAGGTACGTACGTGGCAGTGGCAAGCAGCAAGGAGAGGCGTGGGGCCGGCCTTCCATTCTTGGCCAACGCTGGGAACTTACGTATATAATAGCAACATCCGAGTCCGCCACCTCAACCTCACCTCCACCCGTTCTCCGCACAGAATGTCGAGCCCAGAACCCCTCCCACGCCCCGTCGGAACACTACTTGCCGATCGCGAGCGGTCAAAGTCAGCCTATTATCCATGGAATCGTCCTCGCACCTGGCGCTTCTCTCGCGCGCAACCGCGCTCCTTCCTCACCCGCCTTTTTTCGTCGCGCCAACAACCAGATACCCCGGTGGCCGCGTTTTATCGGATCTACGAATTCTTCGTGCTCAACTGGACGAGCTCCATGCGTCGCGAGCTCGAGTACTTCTGCTGCAGCCACCCGGACTGGGCTGTTGCTGCTCTCCCTGACCCGCAAGATCCGGACCCCGTGCGCGCAGCCATACTTGCTGTGCTCACTCGCCTCATGTGCGCCGCGTTCAACCGTAGGATCGAGCTCGGTGTGCCGCGCAACGCCCCGCCAATCGTCCTTGACTGGGAGGAGCTCCAACAGAGGCCCAAGGTGTACGAGCACCCGCCAGAATGGGCGAAGAACATGCCGCCACTGAAGGATCGAGTGGTACTTCCGGATGAGAAGGGAGAACTCCCGAATGATTCGAGCGAAGACACGAGCGACGAGTTCAGGGAGATGAACATCCTTGTCTTCGCGCCTCACATCCATTTCATCTAGCGACGAGACGGTATGTGGCACACTCTCCATCGCTTCTCGTTGCTCACTCGTATACAGGTTCACAGGCTCCCCCGCCGTTGTGTCTGCGTGTCTGCTACCACTCCAGTTAATTTGGTTCTACGGTCAGGGACCGGTGTTTCTTGGTATCGATTGTACATGTACTATCACTCCCGGGGTGTTCGGACAGCCCGTAGTGATCCCGATAAGCACAGGATTTTGCGTATAGATAGCCCTGCTTCTCTTTTACACGTGAATCGAGTTTTGTCTGTTTCGGTACTGATTTCGTCCCGATCTGCAACTCGCACGAATTCGAAAGTGAAGGCTCCGGTATTTTACAGAGTGTGTTATGAGGTCTTTATATATGTTTAGGCAATTTCTCCGAGACAATTCGTGGGCATGGAAGCTGAGTCCGAGAAGAGGGTCTCCGAGGAGGACGAGTGACAGAAAGCGCCTGCTGCCCAGAAGTTCAAACTCCGACGCACTACTGCGAATCACGGCGCGTGGGCAGCCCCACACTTTCCCGCGCCTACCGAGCGGAGCCTGAGTCGGCAGCGCACGGCATTGTGACCCCGAGCGTGACCGCTCTCGGAGAAATGTTCGAACACTGGGGTCGACGAAGTAATTCGACGACCGCCCACGCAAACCTTTCTGGAAAAGTCTCGGAATAGTTTACCCGGCACAATTGAACCACACCTCTCAAGTATCATTGTTATCGGCAGCGGAGGGAGATGGAGGTGCACTGAACTCTCTCGGACGGCGCTTACCTGTCCTCGGAACACCCTGGGAGTGATAGTATATGGACACTCAATGCTGTATCATTCCATCAGCACTCCAGGATTCTATCGCACATCTGTACGAAACCGGCAACGAGAAGTGTGGGGCGAGCGTGGCCTGAACCACTTGGGCGCTGTTCAGATGTCCAGTTTCTCGCAAGAACGCAGATGCACACGCTGTTCCCCCGTGTCCGAAGGTATTTGGAAACGAGGATACTTGGGTTGAACGAGGGTATTTGGGAACGAGGATCCTTGGGAACGAGGATACTTGGGAACGAGGATACTCGGGACCCCCGTGTCCGAGCTCGAGGATGGGAGGGAAGAAGGTGACGGGCGGCAGCTATAGAAGCAGAACCTGGACATTTATAAGACCTCCTTGTGTCAATGACGACTGCCGTTCTCGCTCCTGCCACCCCTGCCACCTTACCCTGCTATACCGGCCTCAACTCTACTACCATGGGCAACTGTCTGTCTGCAGGGGATACTGCTTCTCTTCGTGACCTCGTGCGCCGGCCTGGTGCTCCCCCGGAGCGACAGCTCTCTGCCGCAGATATACGCACCGGTTTATCCGCCGTCGCCAAGATACTGAACAACAAGCGCCGCAATGTCTCTATCGTTGCCGTCGGGGGTGCGGTCAACACCGTTCTCCTGGGAACACGCCCGTACACCGGTGATGTTGACTTCTTTTACCGGACCAAGACACGTTCCCAGGAAGTCACAGACGTGCTCGCCGCTGCGGAGGCAGTGAGGAATGGGCTTGGTCTCGAAGCCAGTTGGTTGAACAATCACACAGTGGTTTTCGTACAGGTGCGTCGTCCCGATGCTGTGAAGGCAGGTATCTTGACGCTTGCATTGGCGCCGCGGTTGCGCTGTTGACAGGAGGGCACCATCGGGACCATGTATGAGGAGGCCATCCAGCAGAACGTCGTGGTATTCCGGGAGCACGGCCTGACCGTGTACGCGGCGCCATGGCGCTATGCACTCATCACGAAGCTGGACAGAGTGATGAAGGGTGCAGGCCGGAGCTACGACATGAGCGACGCCGTTGGCTATCTGAGTCACCTGCTCCAAGGTCGGCAGGGACGTGTTGTGACAATGGCGGATTTGGAAGGTTGGGCCCGAGAGTACGCGCTCACTCCTCCAACCGAGGAGGTAGTTGCTGGGCTGGCCGCTCTGTACAAGGCGCAGACGGGCAGGGATGGGGTTGTGGTTTGACCGACAGTGCGTTGCACGAATCGACGTGAGAGAGAGATTGTACGATACGAATCTAAGTGTGAGGCTCCAGTACTCAATCGTTAGTTGCCCTCGCGCTGTATGCCTACTACCGCTTCGCTGACGCTCAGTATGTCGTCATTATCCGTGCCGATACTTGCCACTTGGAATGACCACGACGTGCTAAGGTTCAAACGTTCATGCCTTCCGCACGTGCCCACTACATAGCTACGGTCACAATGCTTGTCCAGGCGCCGAAAATGCGAAAATTAAATCGAGCCAGAAATTCGCTGGCGGTGACGAGCGCGTCTTTTCTCCCCCTCACCTTCGCTAGATCCCCCCGACGGCCATGGAAAGTTGCACGTGCGACCACTCACAAATCCGTCGTGGGTGCGCATTCTGGTCAACTGGAAAGATATCGCACAAGTCCAACGTGCTTGAACTTATCGTTTTGCAGGCTCCAAGTTTCGGACATGACAACAACAAGCGCCGGCCCAAAAGGTGTCAACTCCGCTTTAATCACAGGCGTGCCGCAGCGGCGCAGCCTGGCACGTCCTTGGTGCCACTGGCAGTACTCACCTTCACGACGTTCAACGTTCAACACGCGCCTCCGCGCGCTCCACCTCCGCCATTACTTGCTCGACACGCTCATCGATGTATTCCAAGCACTCACCCAACTCATGCTCGACCCTTCCATCCTGCGCTGCAGTGCTGCATGTCTCGTTCTCGCACGTCAGGGCGGGCCGGTGCCGTGACGGCGTGGATCTCGCGTACGCTTCCTACCGAGATGCGCGTGCCGGATGGGGGCCCCTACCCTGCTAAGATACTATCTCTCTTACTTCGCCTGGAGTCTTTGTACTTCCGCCACGGGAGCACTGGTGTATGCCCTTGCTGTGAAGACGGCATGCACAGAGGGAATGTCGACGCCACTGCTTGGATTGGTGGGTTCTGGCTCTCACGAGGTGGGTTTCTTTCAATGCTTTGTCTTCGCCTTGCTTATTATCTGCCTTGCCGTTTATTGTACCCTTTATGCAGGTCATACGAAAGCCACGGCTCGCGCCATCCACTCCACTTATTGCCCTTTGTACTTTGCTATCATAATACGAGCCGTGAATGTCTTTCCAGTTCTACTGTGCGATGGAACTCCGACTCCGCAGCTCCATTTTCCTACTCTTCTCAAGGCTTGACACACCACTCAAACGGTCCTTCCAACCACTCGTTCGTCGTAACGGACGATGAATCACAACCTGATCATGTGGGTGCGGGTGTTTCTTCTCTGGCTCCAATGATATGTCGACTGATTGCTGACGCCTAGGAGCTACAGGACGGCTCTTATACATCGGCTTCCAATAGAGCTGGTGGTAGAGATCTTCGAGACCACCGGCGCCACCCTCGACTCTGAAGTGATCGCTTACTCCGCGTCCGAGCTCAGGCGCCTTCCAAGAACAAACATGGGATGGGTCAAACTCATGCTCGTCTGCCAACGGTGGCGCGCCATCGGGCTCACCACCCCAGCTCTATGGAGAATCATCCCAATCACAGCGAATACTGAGGCCTTGGAGTATCGGCTTGGGCAGGTCGAGGCGTGCCCGTTCGATCTCATCGTCCACCACACGGCCGCAGCCAACAGCGAGGCCGTCCCACTCCTCCTCCCCCAAATCCACCGCATGCGCTCGATCTCGTCTGGCCATGACTTCCGTTTCGACGTTCTCGACTCCATCCGCCCGATCCTCAGCGCACCTATGCTCCCGGCGCTTGACAGACTTGATATCGTGCCGACTTGGTCGCCTTCTACTCCGGAGTACGAAGTGGAGGTCGGTCTGGAGGACGCCATTTGGTCTCCTTTGCGTCACGTCCGATCCTTCGGCATTTTTCTTCCGTGCGAAGCCTGGTTCTGGCAAAACCTGTGTTCTCTCGATCTCGTGGTGGACTTCTACATCGTTATAGACGACAGCAGATTTGCGTACGACATCCTCGGTTATCTCAGCTGGACGAAGACGCTCCGGAAACTGCGTGTGGTTATGGTTGAGCCCCACGAGTCCTCCGCATGGTGCTCTGGATTATATCCCCGTCAGGATGCGGGTGACTTCGCTACAAGGTCGACCCCGGCTCCGTTCCTCGAGCAGCTGCACTTGCATGCCCCATATGGGTTTGCGGCAGCCTTTGTACCGCGCCTGGAGCTCAGCAGCAAGCTGGTTGAATACCACGTCTCGGTCAGCATCCCGTCAGAACATGAAGACGCATCCAAAGCCATCGAGGTCTTCCTGCCGACCTGCATCCGCGAAGCCATCCTTCCGCGCATCACGGCCTTGGCTATCACAGGCTCCAACGGGGAAGTCGCGCTCTCAAGCTGCACGGATCTCTACGGGGGCGACAAGATACGCGACCCCTTCGCCGCGGACGACTCCTTCGACGATCCCATCGCGCTCAGCCTGCACTTCCCGCTCCGGCCCGACCGCACCCAATCCACCCAGCTCGACCGAGACTCCCTGTCATTCCTGTACACCGCGTGCGCGCAGATGGACCTGCACGAGCTCGTCGTCGTCCGTGGGACCCCCATGGGCCCCGTCGAGTGGGCGCGCGTGACGGCGGCGAGCCCACGTCTCCGCGCGCTCAGCTTCCGCCTCGCCTCCGGCACCGCCGACGCCGCCGCCGCGCTCTCTGCGCTCGCCTCCCAGATCTCGCCCGCCCCTTCCCAGGTCGCCGAGACCGGTACCAGTGCGGACCCCGGCCAGAAGACCCTCGGTCTCGGGGCAGCGCGCACGCTGGAGTGCGTCTCCCTTCACGCGCAGACGCGCGCCGAGTCCTCGCTCGCGACGCACGGCACGCTCGCGGCGCTGCTCGCGTTCTGCAGCGCCCGCGCAGCGCAGGGCCTCCCCCCGCTCTCGCACGTCGCGCTCGACCTGCGTGGTAGTTCGTTGCGGATGCACCGCGAGATGGTCGCCGCGCTCGCGCCGCTGTGCGCGCGCCTGGACGGAACGTTGGACCGTCGCACCGAAAGGGCGCTATGGGACGAGCACGGGGCGACGGGGTGGGACTGCGGTGAGAATGAGGGGCACTGGGTGGTGCTGGCCGGGGGCGGGAGGTGGTGCGTGGACGGGCAGTGGGACTTGTGGGCGCTGATGAGGTGCAGGAGTGAGTGGGTGGTGGGGATGAAGGGGCTGTATGCGCGGCTCGCGGACGCGGAGGATGAAGCTTAGCACTGCGAAGCATCGGATGATAAACTCTTCATTCGCATTCGAATATGTTATACATCATATCGTCCGTACTCGGCCCGTCTTCGGCGGCCCACCAAGCACGACCACCTCTCGTAGCACGGCACAGCCGTTGCTCTGGTCTTCACACACACTGCCAGAAGTCTACGCCCCGATCGCGCCAAGTCAGCACTCCGCTCTCCGTAGGACCAGAAAGCACACGAAAATCACTCACAGGGGTTGAGGACCGAGCACGTCGACCCGGACACGCACACCGTCGGGCCCGTGTAGCCGGTGCCGCCGCACTGGCCGTACTTCGCAACGGTGCCGGAGCCCGACGTGGGCGTCGACGAGGCGACGGTCGAGGACGTGGTCTTCGTCGTGCTCGAGGACGTGGTCTTCGACGTGCTCGAAGCAACTGTCGTCGTCGACGCGGAGGACGACGACGCAGGCGGGGCGCTGCCGGAGACGGTCGGCACGGCGGTGGGGACGGTCGATGGCTGGAGGGCGGTGTTCCAGGTCGCGGTCGTCGGCCAGGGGGTCGTGGCGACGGTGGGGGAGGTCGACGCATAGGGCGTAGGTCCCGGGACTGGAGTGAGAAGCGTTAGAGATGGTATGTTGGGGAGGGAGGGGGGAGGGGGCGCACTGATGTAACTGTTGAGCTGGGTGTAGATGTTGATGAGGATGCCAGGGTCAGAGGCGCTGTAGGCACCGGGGAACTTGACGGTGGGGGGCGACGCCGTGCCGGAGCCGCCAACCTGGGAAATAGGCGTCAGAGAGAGAGGAAGGAAGGGGAGATTCGAGGGCAGGTACGCACGTTGATCTGGTAGCAGGACATGTAGAACCTATGCGGATTTGCTTAGCTGGCATTGCGAAAAAGGTACATGAGATGCTCACTGGGCTTGACCGAGAGTGCTCGCGACGTGGAGAGCGATGACCTCGGCGCGAATGAGGTAGTTGCCAGGGGCGATGCCCGACGGGACCGTGAACGTGAAGTGGCCACAGTTGTTGTTCAGGACCTCTGTGCTCCCCACACGCGTCAGATACCCTTGGCAGCATTGCAGATGGAATCGCTTACCAGTAGCCCAGTAGTCGGGCGCCATCGAGGGCATACCCATCTCGGTCACCTTGAACCATGCGGCGGAGGAGCCAACGGCGGACGTCGCGTCGGAGACCTTGGCCATGTAGATCTGAACGGGGCCGAAGTGGTCACCGCCGATCGCCTCGTTTGCACACGAGCGGTCTCCTGGCTGCTGGTGCATTTCGACCGACACTGAGTCTCCCGCTGCGCGATCACATCCATTCAGCGGGCAGTGCTAGGGATAGTGAATGGGGTGGGACGCACGCATGACCTGGCACACGCCCTTGCTCGAGGCCGCGTTGGCGTTGCACGCAATGTCCTATAAAAAGTGCGTCACTAACGTGAGCTCTGGTGCACACGCCGGGGCGAAGAGCGAATGGACGTACGTTGCTCGTGACGCTGGTTACCGGGGAGTTGCTGGCCGGCAGACGCACGCAGGACGACCCTTGGTCGACGCCGTTAATCCACAACTCCTGGAACGTAGCGTGGGCAGCGGCGCCCGCGACGAAGGTCACGAGGAGAGCGAGTTTCGCGAACATTTTCTGCTCTGAGTCGAAGTGCGGGGTGTGGGGGTTGTGCCTGAGCGAGTGTCGAGCAGAAGGCCTTGAGAAGATGCTAGAGCGGGTCAGGGTTGCTGTCTATATACTGCACAGTAGTCGGAACATGTGGTCCTGTGGCTTGTCATAATTCAGTAGCGACACGAAAGCTCGGATTAGACTCGCTAGAGTGCCAACAAACCCCGCGCCGAGGTACACTAAACCACTGGATTCGAAGCCACGACGCGAGCGCATGATACATTTCAAACCCAGCGGTCCGTGGTTCTTCCAAAACGTTCTACCTTCCGCCCCGAGGAGATAGTATGGGGAATGACAGTGTGGGGCTGCCGGCACAGGTACGCCAATGTGGCAAGTGTGACCTCCGTATTTGAGCCGACATCGTACCGGGGCAACATATTCCATTCATAGCATGCGGGATTCTGGGATACAGAGTAGGGGAGCAATCAACAACATGCGACACGATGATTATGTGCAGAGATACGTTAGCGATCCGCAGACGTCACAAGCCCTGTGAACACGGGTCGAGGTCCGGTCCTCGATAGGTGAAGTGCCCGATGCTGGTCGCACGTGGCTCGCTCGTCTATATCATGACGGACGGAGTATTGTAAGCATGCGGCAAATGAACGAGAGAAAGGAGGGAGAAAGGTTTTTGTCGTGATGCAGAGCGAAGATAGGGGAAAGATACTTAGTTGCCTGGCACGGGAGCATGGGCGGCGCTGGTCTTGCGAGTCCTCACGACTTTATTGCGCAGCGCCTTTTCCTTCAACTCGCTCTCCCTCCTCTCCAACTCCGCGCGGTCGGCCTGCCGCAGTGGTGGGTGTGTTGAGCAAGGTGGTGGACTAGTCGGTGGGGGAACGTACTTCTTCACCCTGGTTGACTTCCATTCCTGTCTCCTCCTTCTCCCTTCGCTTTTCGGAGGCAGAACCTTTGATCTTCAGCTCGTCCATTTCCACGTCCACCTTCTTTTCCGACACCCGAGTGTCCATCGTCCGACTCCGGCTGCTCGCTTTGCTACCAGAGCGATTACGACGGCGGGGAGGTGAACCGCCGCGCCGTCTTGTAGGGCTTTTTCCAGGGCTAGGGCTTCTACGTTGCCTGCGGGGTGGGGTCCTGCTCCGACTAGGACTTCGCCGACGCCCATATCCCCCACCCCTGCCTCCACGTCCACCTCCCCCTCGATAAGGAGAACGGCTCCTGCTCCGAGGAGACGGGGTGCGCGACGAAAAGCGGCGGCGGCGCCTCGGAGGAGGGCTACGAGAGTGCCGGTCGCGTGAAGGTCCCGGAGAGCCACCACGTCTTTTGGGGTGGGACCGGGAGCGCGATCGCGACCGCGAGGGAGAGCGAGAAGGGGAGCGACGCTTGCGTCTTTGAGGAGAACGAGCAGGGGGTGTGCGGGAAGGCGAACGACCTCCACGGGGAGGCGAGCGAAGGCGGCGGGGTGTGCGAGAACGAGAGCGAGAGCTCCGAGAGTCGGAGGGGGAACGACGGCGGCGTGGGGGTGATAAACGCGGTGGGGGTGAACGGGGACGGCCTCCTCCTCCGGGGCGCTGAGTTCAGAGTTAGCGCATACATCCAGGAATTGAGCAACCAGGTGACTCACCCCGCCTCGAGCTCCCCATCCACTGTCTCTGGGACGGTCCCCTCGTTCTTCGAATCCTCTACCACCACCGCCTCTTCCTCCTCGGCCACGACCCCTGCCCCTTCCGCGGTCACCGCCACCTCGCGCTTCTCGTTCTGCAGCACGTACGTCGTCAAGCCGCGCCCGGCGGTCGCGCTCCTCGATGGCACGTGTGTCGCCAGCGCGGGCAAGGCGCATCTCCTCTTTCTTCTCTTCGACGAAAGTGCGTGGGACACCGGCAGGCGAATCTTGTGCTTCAAGGAGAAGGGTCCAGAGAGCGGTCATGAAAGCGGGGGTCGAGTTGGTGAGGAAGCCAGTAAGGTTGATTTGCATTTTGCGCGGGTCTGGTGTCTGTTGGGATGGAGAAGGGATTTGAGAAAGGAAAGTGTGGGAGGTGTAAATGAACATACCGGCTGGGAGTCATCCTCGAGTAGACCCATCGCGTATTCCACAACCACCTCATCTTCGAATCCGACGAGCTCGACGACTTTCTTGACGATCCATGGTCGTATGACTGACAAGTTGACTTTTCGCATATCGACCTGTATATATGCGCGGTCTACTCAACGAACATCCACCTACCAGCGATCTCGACACGCACCTTTTTGTCAAACTCGGAAGGGAACTTCATTGTTTTGAGAAGCTTGAGCTCCTTGTCGGAAAACCGCCGATCTTGGTCGGCGGACGTGCCCTTGAAGAAGCCTACGCGAGATCATTATGGAGCCTTGAGAGCCTGTTAAGACGACCATACCTGCGTCAGCCATGATTGAGCGGCACAACAGAGAGGTGAGCGTTCAGAAAGAGAGAGGATCGCGGTGAACGTGACGCGTGACGACGCGCTCTGGCTTGCTGGATGTAGCATGTAAGCGCCGGATACCTCGCTGACTTGGCCGCGGCGGAGAAAAGTCGGCGTTTGCTAGATCCTGGTCTCTTACCAACCTCCACGTCCTGCTCGATTCTCCTCACGGCCCCGGGCTCAATCGAACGATCTTCGTGCGCCCACACAGCAAAACCCGCGCCATCGATGCGTCAGTGCATTGTCTGATTCGCGCAGCCTCCCGCAGAAGTTCAACGAGCTAGGGTCTCAATCGCTGAGCAAGTCGACATGGTTTGAGGAAATCTCAATGCTCAAACATAGGCCCCCTTCTCCCACGCGCGGGGTGTCCCGCAAGCCGAAGGAGCTCACGTCCCGGAGCCGCAATATGTCCGCATCATCCATGCCGAGTAACGGTGATTAACCGCTCTTCTCACCTCCAAGCCACAAACCTCGCCTCGCGTTCTCCGCCGTGCACGAAGCTGGGAACTTGGCTTCAAAGTGAGAGCTCCACTCATGTGCTGCTCGTTCTCCCACCGCTCTTGATCCGCTTCTGGCTCCGTCATAGTTGGGCCGCGGGCCCTGTCTCACGGCAGCGCAGAGATGGTGCCTGGGATTTTAGGATGGCTCGAGTCTCGCATTGTCGTGCGAGCCGAGTGGGCGGAGAAGAAGGAACTTGACGCGGGTGACGGGCCTCAACGTGCGATTGAAGTGTCCGGCGACTACCTTCCTGACGGTGACGTCTGTCTGGCCTCTGACGCGTGTCCACCCGCTTCTCGTCTCCCCCTTCTATGCCCTCCCGTCTTCTCTTCTACCCTTCATGACCCACGCGCCGACGCTCTCACCTCTCCCTGTCCTCCCCCCTTGCTACCCTCCGACGTCGTAATGGCCGCCGCCGTCCAGAGCCGCCCACCTCCGAGGCCCCAGAAACCGTTCGGTAGGCCTCCGCAGCCTCGCTCGTCCTTAAATATGGCGCATACACCCACCCTCGAACCCATGATGTCCGAAGAAGACGAGGAAGAAGATGGGTCAAACGGGACCCCCACACCCTCCGTATCCAGCACCTCCACCTCCGAGCTCGTACCCCCACCCGAAGGCCAATCATCCACTGCCCCTGAATTGTCCCCGATATTCAAAGTAGCCCCAGCACCATACGCAGGCGGTTTCGGTCTTTACGCGACACGCCCTATCCGCCGCGGCACCCCTATCTTCCTCGAGCGGCCCGCCCTCCTCCAACCGCCTTCAACGCGCTCAAACTCGACAATAATGGCCGCACTCGCTCGGTGCACGCGCGACGAGCAGCGCCATTACTTTGCCCTTGCGAACTCATTCAAGCACCCGCGCCCCGGCTTTCCCGCTCTCCTTCCCGCCCAGGGCATCTTCGAAACCAACTTTCTCCCCTGTCCTCGCCCTCGCCGCAGAACCGCATCAAATAAAGGGGAGGAGAGAGACGAAGAACTCGACGGTATTTTCCTCCAAGCCTCGCGCTTCAATCACTCCTGCCGCCCGAACGTTGCCTTCGCGTGGGACCCGCACGCCGGCCGTGCGACGTTCCGCGCGCTGCGGGACGTGAGCGCGGGCGAAGAAATGTGCATCAACTACGCAGGCGTAGACGTGCTCGGGACGCTTGCGGAGAGGCGGTCTATCGCGCTGGAGGACTTCGGATTCCGGTGCGCGTGCGAGGTCTGTGCGTTGGAGGGCGAGGCTGCCGTGGAGAGCGATCGGAGGCGTGCGGGCATTCGCAGGCTGTTTGAAGACGTGGCGGAGTGTGGAAAGGAGCCAACGCTCGGATTGCGCAAGGTGAGCCGCTGTTTTTCGGAGGTAATTCCCAAGTCGAGGCGAGGACGATCTGGCGCTGGTAAAGGGCTGAGAGTGGTGCCTGAGAGTGTGAGTCGCCGATATCGCGCTTGGTGCTGATTATATGCGTACAGATCAAGATCGCACTCCGAATGCTCAAGGAGGAGCACCTCGTACACTACGAAGCGTCGTTCTGCTTCGACGCATTTCAGTTCTGTGTTTCGGTGCGTAATGACTGACTATATGCGCCGCCTTTGTCCTGATAACAAGACAGGTATCGGACTTCGCGAACGCCAAGGCCTGGGTCCGTAAGGCATGGGAAGCCTCTTGTAATACCTCCGGCCCCGACAGCCCCGCCGCGCGCACGTTCAAGACATACTGGCTCAACCCTCGCTCCCACCAACTGGTGGGAACGCTCCCTCGTATGAAGCTTTCAGGCCCCGATTGAGCTTCGGATTGCCTCGAGGACACGGGCTCGATAGGTGGACGTACTTTTCCCTTACACTCCTTGCTATGAACTTTGGTCTATACCCATACCGTCTTTCAAGGACTTCTGGACAACGAACACACGTGATGTATTTCCCCCGGTATTTGGTACCTACATATTCCCAACGACGTTTATAGAAATGTTTCTTGTCCGGTGAATCCGGGCCGGCTACTTGCATCTGCCCAGCTGACCGCTCAGACCAGACCAGTTCAGCGAGCACGCCGTGGCGGTAGATTGGAACTCTTATCACCCACGACATCTTCGCTGCCCATAGCCCACCACCTACCACACACTCACGTCAACATGACGACTCCCAACACGATCGTCAAGATTGAGGTGCGCCCATTCATGCCTTGCCATGTCCTCCCGTTATTCATCTCCGCCATTATACTTCACCGAAAATTACTTCTTCATGTAGACCTTCCGCGTCCCTCCACGCTGGCTCTTTGTCCGCGTCGAAACAAGTCTCGGCATCGTCGGCTGGGGCGAAAGCACACTAGAGGGCCACACCGAAGCCGTCGAGGGCGCATGTGCCGATCTCGCCTCCCGTTTCGTAGGCTGGGACGCGGAGCGCATCCAAGAGATCTGGCAGCACGCGTACCGCGCGAGGTTCTACCGCGGCGGCCCGGTGCTAATGGCACGCTTCTATGCTTTCCTCCGAACGGAAGCCCGGCTGACACACCGCAACACGTACGCAGTCCGCGCTCTCTGGGCTCGACATCGCGCTCTGGGACATCAAGGGCAAACGCCTCGGCGTGCCCATACACAACCTGCTCGGCGGCGCCGTCCGCGCGCGCATTAAGGTGTACGGCTGGATCGGGGGCGACCGCCCCGCGGACGTCGTGGAAGGCGCAAGAGCACGGGCCGCGCAAGGCTTCGCGGCCGTCAAGATGAATGGCACTGAGGGGCTCGGATGGGTCGACTCTCCGGACCGGGTCGCGGAATGCGTCGAGCGCGTGCGCGCGGTGAAGGCGGTGGGGCTCGACGTCGGTGTCGACTTCCACGGGCGCGTGCACAAGGGCGTCGCGAAGGTGCTCGCGCGCGCGCTCGAGGCGGTCGGGCCTCTGTTCATAGAGGGTGCGTTTGCTTTCATGTTGTCAGAGTATGGGAACGTTCGATGCTAATATATCCCGTAGAGCCACTGCTTCCGACACAGCCGGAGGAAATCGCGGACCTCGCAAAGATGGTCGCGATCCCGATAGCGCTGGGCGAGAGGCTGTATTCCCGCTTCGACTTCCGCCCATACCTCGAGCGGCGCGCGCTTGATATCGCACAGCCGGACGTGCGTACTCCACTCTCGTGCTCTTCACTCTCGTATTGACAGGGTACCCACAACAGGTATCGCACTGCGGAGGGATCAGCGAACTGTACCGGCTGGCCGCGTACACGGAGACGTACGACGTCGCGCTCGCCCCGCACGCGCCACTCGGCCCGATATCGCTCGCGGCGTGCATGCAGGTCGACCTCGTAGCGCAAAACTGTGAGTCGTTCTCATTGATGCACGCAGCGCGAGCAGTCACTGATTCCGACGTTTGCGTGCAAGTCTTCATTCAAGAAATGAGCTTGCAGGTGCGCGCGTCCGTCCCCGTCAGAAGGTTTGGTGAAGTTGACAAGCGTCCGCAGATGCACTACAACGAGGGCGCAGACCTCTTGACGTACCTCGTTGACCCCTCTGTCTTTGCCATCAAGGACGGGTACGTCGAGGCGCTGACCGGTGCGTACTCCCGTGTTCCCTGGTAGCCTAGGTCGTATTCTTACGATTGTGCGGTAGGACCGGGGTTGGGTATCGACATCAACGAGCCGCTTGTGCGAGAGATGGCGGCGAAGCATGCGGAGGAGAAGCCGTGGCGGAACGCGGTGTTCACAGGCCCAGACGGAGCGCTGCAGGAGTGGTGAAAGGCTGGCTCCGGCCCGGCGTAACGCCGCGCGACACCGCAAGCAGTTCCACAACGTCCCCAGAGAGAAAGTCGTACATGTATGATAACCGAGGAAACTGAGCGGCATCCGCAGACACGCTGAAACAAAGACTCCTCAACGGGCGGGTGAGACTCCTTGCGGCGGCGCGCGGCGACCCGCCACAGGGCGGCCGTCTTAGAGCAGCGCGGCGAGCGCGGCGCCCAGAACGGCGGCGACCGCCGCGCGGTCGGCAGATAGGCCCGCCGCGGCGCCGGTGTCTGCGGCACCCTGGGCGTTGGCCACGGGGGCCAACGTGCTCGCGCTGCCGGGGAGGGTGAGGGTGAGGGACTTGAGGGTGACGCTAGCCGACGTCGCGCACGCCGCCTCGTAGGCTTTGACGCAGTGCACGATTCAGCGCGAGCGCCGAGCGAGACGGGAGCGTCTGAGACGCACCGGAGAGCTTCTGCTGGCCCTCGGCAAGCAGGGTCTGGTTCGGGCTCAGCTGGCCGAGGACGCACTGATAGCAGGTGAAGGCGCCCTGGTTCAGGTCCTCGTTGCACAAGCAGGCGAGGTCGGACGCGGTGCACTTCCCCGGACGGTCAGCGCGCGGCGACGGTGGGTGTCGGGGGGCTCATGAGACTCACGTTCTGGGCGGCGGTGAGGGTCTTGCAGGCAGACGTGCACTACATGGGCGGAGGATGAGTGTACATGTTCCTGTGGGAGAACTGGAGTAGCGCTCACGGCAGAGGGGATGTCTGTGAAGCCAGAGACGGAAGAGTTGGAGGCGCGACGGAGGACGTCGCGGACACCGTGCGCGTGGCGCGCAGAAAGGGCCGAGGAAGCAGCGACTGTCGGAAAGGAACTTGAGCTCAGCGACGGGCGGAACACGCTGATCGCGTCGCAAGACGTACCTTGGCCAGCGATGAGCGTGATTGAAAGGAGAGTGAGGGTGTACATCGTCAGGGGACAGACAGAAAGAAGGAGTAGGGACGGAGCCGCAGAGGGCGAGATTGGAGCGCTAGTACGGAGCGGTCAGCCCTATAGTGACCTATATGATGGAACAGAGAGAGGGTGTGTGAGCGCAGAGGAGGGCCGAGCCCAACAAGTATGGATATAATGGTGGCACCGCGTTTCTAGGCGGCAGAAACTTCATCAGCGGCGGTGTTTCGGCGGCATAGAGACCAGGGCATCAAAACAGACCATCTCCGAAGACAGGCCGGTCGTCTTCAACGCCGTTTGCCCGGCTATGTCGTATCAATAATCGACGGACGGCCCGTGGGGTGCGACAGATACCGCAGTGAGGATAATTCTCGTACTTCGGATTATGCAGGTTCAAAGGAAAAGTTCACTGCATGATCAGAGATGGCCTAAAATACACGACGTGCTGCATCAGAGCTGGTGGGTGGAGGTCAGAATCAGATGAAGACGGCCCGTGACATGCTGCAAGATCAAGCTCTGGATCTTGAGCGTCTACACCCCTCTAACGGGAGACGCGCATCTCGACGTGTTCTTTGTCGTCTGGTACAACTTGTCCGGAACCACGACTTCACGCAAGATTTACCTCGCAGAGTCCGCCGTTCACACCTGCCACTATTCCGCTTATCCAGGTGATCATCGTGTTTGAAAGGATCGTTCATTACACTCACGCTCATGCAAAAAAGGATTCCAATCGAGCCTGGGTATATCTATTGATTACAAAGGTATGTCGGGGTGTTGGCGAGCCACTCTGATATTGACACTGCACTCATACAGTAAACGTGCGTTGTTCTACGCTGCGTCAGCTTCCTTCAGATACGGAATCCAGAAAACATACAGTCTCTCTTTATACTTATCTTGAGGTGCGCGTGCCAGACTAATATTGATGCCACGGCTTTTCGGGCTCATGTTGTTATTACCTTAGCCTGTGTCATGATTCTCGCTACACCCGCGGCAGTTCGCGTGCCCGACGAGGTTATGGCAGATATTTTCAACATCACTCGCTACCAGATACTTTCAGTTCCCAAGCCACGATATCCTCCAACAAATATGGGATGGGTCAAATTGATGCTAGTCTGCCGACGCTGGCGTCAGGTCGGTCTCAATGCGTCGTTTCTCTGGCGAATGGTCAGCGTCTGCGAAGACCTCGACGCTCTGCGTTATCGACTAGAGAGGACCCTGGATTGCACAATCGATCTCATCTTGCATCACGTTCCGAAGGCCAATGAAGCAGCCATGTCCCTTCTCATCCCTCGTACGGCCGACATTCGCTCCATCACCACCCGCTTCGACTTCCCCTCCGACGGCCTGCACACACTCTGGCCTCTCTTCACCCAAGATCTTCCCAAATGCGAGACCATCGACATATGTCCGTCGTGGGAGCACGTTCGGGGCCAACTAGACGCTGGTCTAGAGGAGTACGTCTCTAACATCAGCCTTTCGGACGAGCGGCTTCCACAGCTGCACCGGATCCGCTGTTATGGCATCGCTCTCCCAGCCGCTCCCGCATTCTGGGGCAGACTCTCCTCACTCGAGCTCGTGTTGTCCTTTCAAAATGAACAGGAAGCGGTCGGGGTTGCAGTGGATTTGGTGTCGTGCATCAGACACTGCGCGGTCCTTCGACGATTACGCGTCGCGGATCCCATTATTCTCCTCACAGTGCCGCGGGTAAGCTCTGGGATCCCGGAGGTTACACCGGCAAGATGCCGGTTACCGATCCACCTTCCGTTTCTCGAAGAGCTCTTTGTCGACTCGACACAATCCCTTTTTGTCGTCTTCCTTCTCGCAAGTACCCGCGGGGGCGACCGCCTCGCCAAGGTCAACATCCGATCGTGGATGAAACCTGTCAATGTTTCCGGCATTGTCCACAACCTGATCCCCATCGGCGTGCGTCAATGCACGCTCCCCCGCCTCAAGACGATGGTCATGACCGCGAACGACGTGGGCACGGGCCTCCACACACTCGGTTTCTGGAGCTCCGTGCCCGTGCCCGAGTCCCTCTCACTCATGCGGCTCCATGAGGACGAGGCGCACCACAGAGAAGATCCCAACGAGTTCAGCTTTATCCTCCGCTTCGTCGACCCCGCCGGCCACAGCACGGACTCCGTCGCGATCCTCTGCGACACCTTCGCCTCCTGCCCGCTGCGCGAGCTCACGCTCTCCGACCGCCCGCACCCGCACGACCGCGCGCGCTGGGCCCGCGTCTTCACGACCTTCCGCGAGCTCCGCGCGCTCCGCCTTCTGCACCTGCGCACCGCCGAAGTCGTCCTCCTGGCGCTCGCCGCGCTGACGACGTACTCCGCCATGAACCGCGGGCTGTCGCACCCGTGCGCCCAGGCGCTCCAGACGCTGTCCATCTTCGGGACGATGCGCTCCTCGCTCGTGACGCAGCGCGCGCTCCGCGCGCTCGTGCTCGTCTGTCGCGCGCGCGCGGCGCTTGGCGCCCCGCCGCTCGCGCATGTCAAGATCGAGCTCTATCAAAGCTCCTCACGAAGTGCGTCGCCGATGTTCTGCGCTACGAGGCGGAGACAAAGGGACTGGTGGCGAACTACCAGTTCGGGGGTAGACCGGGGAGGACCACGTCCGACTCGCTCCATCTACTCACGAAGACGGTGAAGGACGCCTGGCGGCGGGGTAAGGTGGCCTCCGCCCTCTTTCTGGACATCAAGTCTGCATACCCAGCGGCCTCCCCTGAACGTCTCTACCACAACATGCGCCTGCGTGGCGTCCCGGAGGAGTACGTCGGATGGCTACAGGTGAAGCTGGCAGGCCGCACCACCACCAGTCATCAGTAATTTTTCACACGTCTGCGGGGCACTGCCCGTCTGTGACAGTGACGGACAGTGACCCGCAGACGGACAGACGACAGTTGGACAGTAAAACCTAGCAGTTCAGCAGTTGACCACTGAGTCTTCTTGCACAGTTGCGCAGACGAAACAGTCAGAGCAGTTCGTCAGTGTCTTGATGGCGTGTGAAATCGGACAGGAATTAATGGGGATAAAATAATCGCATTATTGGGGTACAGTAGGCGACATTGTAACGACAGATACGTAGCAATGAACTATCGCAGAATTACGGCTACTCGAGAATTATGACTCCTTGGTCTGGCGCACGGCGGCGCGCATATGCGCCTTTCGGAGGGCGTGTGGTGGCTGGGTGAGCGCACTAGGCAGTTCTTAAGCCGTCATCTTGACCGGCGATCCGTGCGGGTTAACGGGGACCAGTCGTTCGCCCATGCCCAGTCAGGTTCAGGCGGCGCGATGGGAGAATGGGGTGCCGGTCGCGCCCCACAGGGTCGAGCAGGCGTGGGCGGAGCTGGCCGGCGGGCGCGCACAACTTGAAGTAGGGCTGGAGCGCGAGAAGGGAGAACGTCGTGGCCTGGTTCAGGACGCTCAGGCAGCTTCGACTCGGTCGCTGCATGGACGCCGCACACGGCGTTCGAGGACCCTACGACGCCGAAGGACGCGCCTTTCTACCCTGCACCAGCATCTGCTGCACGGTGTGCTTGTACGACAGGGCGCCCTTGACATTCACATCGAGCTCCGACCGCGAGGCTGCGTGTGTGCGTGAAGGGGCGTCAGGTATCATGCGGCGGAGCAGGTGGGCGGGGTACTCACTTTCATAGAGTTTGCAATCATCTTGGATAGCGTGCACGCGCTGAGCACTCACAAGGCATGACGAGGACGCTGGATAAAATAAAATTGAGATGTACCAGCTGCTTCCACCAGAATAGTAGCAAGGTTGGGCGAGTATCCGTTGCAGTAGAGCTGGCAGGAGACGGCTACGAGCGGGACAGGGCGCGAGGGGGCGACGTGGGGAAGCCGACATGCAGGCAGGTGAGACTGACAAGTGTCAAGAAGAGGATGAGCGAGGCCTGGATTCGACGGGAGGCGGCACCCTGGATGGCGACAAGGGCAGGAGAGAAATGCGCTGGCGACAGCCTCAGCCTGGCGTTGGCACACGAGTTCGCCTTCGCGTGGGAATCACGTGATCTCGCCGCCAAGAACCCGGCTGCCAGCACGCGGTGCACACCGTTCTCTCTGCTGCCCATGTCCCCTCGCCCACGCTGTCCTTGCCTCCACCATCCTCTTTGATTCCCTCGTGCCTTTTCAATGGTCCACCCAAGGTCCACCTTACTATTCCGCATGCAGCGCTCCCCACTCGCACACCCCGCCTACCCCAGCTCGGGATCACCCATCCGTACAACGACCCGCAACGTCGCATTTGGAAACGCCGCCTGGAGGAATCGCGCGCGCCTCCTGCGTGTTCGACTTGTCGTCCCGCCTTCTACACTCGTCAATGAGCTGAGCCGCAAGTCACACGGAGCGTGGTGAGGCGTGGTCCACATACATGAGCTCCGGGAGGACATCGATCAAGGCTCAACCTCCAGCCCCACTACGGTGCGTAACCCCCACCGGATTGTCATTGTCTCCTGCTGAACCGCCGTCTCCACCCGGCCACTACCGCGAAGAACCCAGGTCACGGCTCCTCTCACGGCTCGAAGTCAGCAGCATCCAACACCACGGACACCGTCTCACCCTTGTTTGCCCGTCATGCCCCTGCGTCGCCACGTCGCCTGGCCTTTGTCCGCCGCGGGAGCAACGCTGGGTCAAAGCATCGGGTGACGAGTGGGACCTAGCACCGCCGGCGACCCCAGACACGCTGCAACACAGCGCAGCCTGTGAGCGCCCCTGTCCCACTAGCCTTGCGAGCCATGCGCCACGGTCGACGGGGCTGCAGACGGGGGCACACGCCAGCACTGGTGAGGCGACCAGTCTTGGATCGCGCGGACTCCCTGGTGGGCTCACTGCCGGAGCTTGTGGACTTGCCTGATGAAGGGCACGACGAAGAGTTCGGCGACCACCACTTCGCTATGTAGTCCCGACAGTATGCACACATGGTTGAGCAGGCACCACTGGCTGCGCACGCGGCACGCGCTGACGAGCACGGAATTGGAGGTCGATAACGACGAGATTTATTCGTAGACACCATGTACTAGCGTACTGTTATACGCCGCAACTGTCTCCCCGGTCAAAGTGTGCGTGCCGATTCCGGCAGTCTGTCATAATAATTGCGCCCGTGAGGTAATGTGCTAGCTAGGTTATCTGTTGTTTGCCGGATCGTCTGGCCGTCTGCGCAACTGTCTCAACTGTGCGCCCTCGAACTGCTCGTCTGCCCAACTGCCGAACTGTCTCCGCTGCGTGCGAAATTGACAGACGCGACAGCTGTGCCAGATGCGTGCAAAATTACTGATGCATGGTCTTCGACGATTTCGCCTCGGACCCATTCCCGATCGTAAGCGGGATCGACCAAGGCTGCTCCGGCTCCGTCATATTCTACATCTTCTACAACTCCGACCTCGTCGACACTGCGATCATCGACAATCGAGAACTATCCCCCGGCTGCATGGACGATGTCTATGTGCTAGCGGAAGGGGACGACTTCAAGACAGAGGACGGAGACGGCGCACACGATAAGTTGGACGAGGTGATGACCAGAGTGGGAGGGGGTTTCGAGTGGTCGCGGGACCACAACTCGGAGTTCTCGGTGGACAAGTTTGGTGTCCTCAACTTCACGCGTCGCAGCGGGGCAGGTGTGGGGCCCCCGCTCCGCTTACGACGCGGTCGCCTCCGACGGGACGACCTCCTCATCCCAGCCGCACCGCACCACCGCTTCCTCGGCGTCATCCTCGACCCTCGCCTCTCCTTCTCCTTCCACCTTGCCATGGTCGTCGCGAAGGGTGCCGCGCTCCTGAACCTCTTCCGACGCCTTGCCAGGGCTCGGTTTGGGTTCACACCAGAGATGATGCGTCGACTCTACCTTTGCGCCGTCCTCCCTGCTCTTCTCTATGCGCTCGATGTCTGGTTTACCCCCATCCGGGCGGTAGGCTGGAAGACGACGCGTCACGGCTCGGTGGGTATGGCAGACGAGCTGGGCAAGATCCACCGCCGCTTCCTGCTACTGATGACAGGCGGCATGCGGTCGACCCCGACGGCGGCGATGGAAGCCCATATGGATATCCTCCCCTTCCCCCTCCTTGCTGATCTCTTCTGCCACCGCGCTGCTGTGCGACTACGTACTCTCCCCTCCTCACACCCGCTCCATTCTCCTGTTAGACTAGCTACAAGCCGATACATTAGACATCATAGAACCCCCCTCTACGAGCTCCTCGACGCGTACACTGATCACCTTCCAGACAGGGACTCCATGGAGACCATCAACCCCGTCCGTCACCACCCCCGGTGGAGGGCACACCACAGGATCAGCGTCAAGGCGTCGAAGAAGGAGGCAGCTCAGGATGAAGAACGCTGGGCCGCGCGTCCAGGCATTCGGGCCTACTCAGATGGGTCCGAGGTCGAAGGCGGCGTCGGGGCGGCTGCGGTGCTGATCGTCCCGGGCAAACGTCCTCGCACCCTCCGTTATTTCCTCCGATCGGCCCCTCGCACACCCACACGGTTCCAGAAGCGGAGGCGGTCGGAACCATCCTCGCCCTCGCCCTAATCCGACAAGTCTGCCGCCACGAGACGCGCGCGTCGATCGCACTCGACGCCAAGGGGACGGTCGAGTCCTCTCTCAAGTCCGACTCGGGGGCGGGTAAATACCTGCACGACATCTTTCACGCGGATTGGAAGGCACTCCGAGCGCGACACCCATCGCTTCGCCTCACACTACGTTGGGTTCCCGGTCACGTCGATATCGAGGGCAACGAGCTCGCGGACGAAGCAGCAAAGGAGGCGGCGGCGGGCCGCTCATCGCCCAAAAAACACCTTCCCCCCTCCCTCCACGCGACCCTACCTATCAGCTCATCGAAAACGAAACAAGCGTTCCGCGACCACCTAAAAGAGAAGGCGACTAAGGCGTGGAAGGCGACGAAGCGCGGCGCGGCGATGCAAGCGGTGGACAAGTCCCTGCCGTCTCGCACTTTCCTCAAACTCGTCAAGCACCTCCCGCGCCGTCATGCGGTCGCGCTCTTCCAGCTCCGCACCGGCCACATCGCGCTCCGGAAACACCTCACCACCGTCACCCGGAAGGTGGCGCCGCATGCCCCGTTTGCACAGAGGCGGACGAATCCGTCCGGCACTTCCTTCTGGAGTGCCGTGCCTTCGAGCCATGCCGTGCCGCCCACTTCGCTCCGCTCGGTCGCAACGGGCGCACCCTCAAAAAGCTACTCGGTACGCCGGAGGGCCTCATCCCCCTCTTCGGGTACCTCGAGGAGACGGAGCGCCTCCGCGCAGTGTTCGGATCCCTCGCACCACCGGAGTCGCTCGCCGAGGCCCTCGAGGCGGAGAAGAAGAAGATGGAGGAGGCCGCCGAGCGACGCTGATCCAGATGATCTCACAAGGTAGGAGTACCCTGTCTGCCGGCTTCAGCCAGCGCTCTCCCCGTTGGTGTCCGCGTCGTCGAGCTCCCCCCTCTCCCTCCCTCACTGTCCCGGTCTCTCATGGCCGACCTACTTTCCTCTCTCTCTCTCCCCTTACCTCTCCCACTATCTGTCTCGCTCTATCTCTCTCTTTTTCTCTCTTGCTTCCTCTGTATGCTTCTCGAGTTGTCCCTAATCTCGGCTCTCCCTCTCTCTACATCTCTCTATGCGATATGCCCTAGGTCTCCCCGTCTCGTTCTCGGCTTCTCGGTCTCGGTCTCTTACTGTACATACGACATATACCTTACCCAAACCCCAACCGGCTGCCCTCCGCACTGGGCCCACTCTAGGCTAGCGCGGGTACCGCCCCCGCACCTCTCCCACCCTCCGGGGCATTTGTGTAGCTGACGCTTTCCCCCCGTGTCGAGAACCCACTCTGATCGCGTAGATTTAGCTTGTGTACTGTACGCCTACCATAGGGCTCTGCCCTCGAGGGCGTTACATCAGGAAAAACCCAAATCTATAATGAGACGTTACTGAGGCTTATAAGGGCTAATGAGCCGGATTATTGCGTTATTCAGAAGTATTATTATTCGCTTACCCATCTGCTAATGAGAGACGATTACATGGAGAAGGAAACATTAGTTGCGAGAGCAAGCCCTCACCAGGTGTATTTAGTCTCACTCATGTCCGTAGATCACTGCTTCAAACACAGAATATCGAGAAGTAGCACTCATCACACATAAAATATAGCGCAATCACAAGCATTGATTCGACATCTGAGATGCAAACTAGACCATTATCCAGCAATAGCGACATAGATATACGTATCAACGACGAATGACGACGCAATGTAAACAGTACCGGAGCCTGCCAGACCTACGCAAAAGCGCACAGAAGTCGCTGAGGGACACGGTGCTCGAGCACATGATGTAGGGTGGGAGAAGTGCACGGCGAGCACGGCGACATGGTGTCGACGGGTGCTATAGGTGCGCGAGTACTAGAGTGCAGTCGAGAATGCGTGCACAGGGAGGATGAATATGAAGACGGTGACGATGTGTACTAACGAGGGTGGGCCCGAGCTGCCAGCGCCAGGAGAATGTTGTAAATGTAGATCGTCCGATGCAGACAATGAGGACGGCGAAAACGACTAGTCGACCTCCATGCCGGCAAAGTCGACGTGGGAGATAGCATCGGCGGTGGCGGCGGTGACGACGGTGACTGGGTTGATGCCACTGATATGATAGGTGAGATCGACATATCAAGATAGACAGAACAACGCACCTCGCAGAGACGAAAAGCCGGTGCATAGTGGTGTGGAAAGCGCGCACATTGTTGTCCTTGATGCCGTTCAAGAGCAACACATGCTCATTATAAACGTCGAGGTAGGCGTCCGCAGTGAACGGCGAAGTCTTGTGAGTTCCCTGACGCCATTCAGACAGCGACACATGTATCTGGAAGATCACACTATGATCAGTGCTCAGACTTTCGGGGGACAATGTGAACCTACAGCAGTGCACACAAGAGCAAGCATGGGGATGGGAATCTCTCGTTCCTCCAACCGATCCGGACGAGTTGATACAAAAATGGTAGGATGGCGAACGGCGTACGAAGATGCGCCGGAGAAGAAGACCGCGCGGAGAACGGCGGCAATGCAAGGGTGCTGATAAGGGCGGTTCCACGGCACAGTCTGCTGCATGGGCTAGAGAGAGGCGGGCAGTAAGTAGCATAAAACACTGATAGAGACGAAAGAACGAACATCGACAGGGTAAATATACGTGAGATGGGCGAAATACCATGCCACAAGGTCTTGGCAGCTGCCGGCAACGATCTTGTAGTACGGAGGAGCGTATCCATCTGTGGCGTACTTTGCGCGGCCTCGAATCGCACTGACCCGTTGGTTCGGCTGGCGCAATGGGCGTGTAAAGAGGAGAAAATCTGAGTGAAAAAGGACACGCACCAGTGACGACAACGAACGCAGCGCTGCTTCGTTTGCCCTGAGCCACTGACCCATACCGACCATCTCCAGCTCATCTGCGCACTCGAGGATGGCTGTCGACACGAACTGGGACCGTCCGATAGCGTCGGGAAAGGCGTGCTTGGACATGAGGCTCGCCTCGATCACCAAGAATGCACGGCGAACAACTTGACGGCAGTGCGTGTGCTGAGCATTGAGGGAGAGCACACCACCCGCGGTGGCAGAGGGAGTTATGGAGTACGCAGACGGAGGAAGGTTGTTGGGGAGGTTGTTGGGGAGTCCGGCATGAGTACCCGACGCATCGTGGGGACGAGCAGTGCGAGTGGGAAGGGGCGCGGGATCTTCGTCATCGTCAGAGTTGGTGGCAGCCGTGATGGCCATGTTGAGGTCGGTAGAAAGGACATCGTCTGCAGAGGGATAGTGAGAATGAACGGGCGAAGCCGCGGAGAGGATGAACGAAGCATACCATGCCAAACGGGGTGCTTTGAAGCGGAGTTAGTAAAATAACGGCTTCGGTGGTCGGAGGTTGAACGTACCTCTGCCATGAGGCGAGCGCGCTGCGCGAGTGAAAGCGGCTGCTCAGCGTCGTCAGCGCAGACTCCAGAGTTTTGACGACGATTGGAACCCAGCTCACCTTGGCCGCTGCCTGAAACCTCTTGCGTCCCTCGCGCTGCGCCACATACTTCTCAGCATCGAACTCGTCGGCCAGGTCCCAGTATTCAGCTACCTCTTCACCACCGCTCTCGGCAGCCTCGTCCTCATCTCCATCCTCGTCCTCCACCTCGTTGTCGTACTCGGCTTCCTCGTCTGTGGTGTCAGTGTTGTCAGCATCGGGCTCAAACTCGGAACCGCCCGTCGCGTCGGACTCCTCGATGTCGTTAGCGGAGAAGACATCGTGGTGAGTGGCAGATTTCTGCGACCGCCTTTGTGATTCCTGGAACTGACGGGTCATCGCGGATTTCGTGTTTGCAGACACAGGATGCTGTCGATGAAGAAGACAGCCGTCAGCAAAGCTTAGCAGATAAAATAGTGTACGTACCTCGGCTCTCCACTCGTCCTCTCCGATGACATCTCCTTCGCTTTCTGACAAAGAAACCACATCGTCTTCAGACCCGTCTTGATCAGCATCTGGGCAAAGCGGACGGTGAAGACGTCAGTTTGGACTGTGTTGTAGTTATAAAGCGGAATGCAGAACTGACCATTGTCACCAGGATCTGCCGCGTGACGCTTGGCAAGAGGCTGAGGAACCTCGGAGCCGTCGGATGACTCATCGAGTCCGCGTGAGCTTCAACCGCGCTCTGCCAGAACTGATTGGGAGCTGGATCAACACTGGTAAGTAAGAGAGCTCACTTTTGGCACCCGAAACTGATATATCCTTCAATGCGCCGCTTTCAGCACCCTCCACTGCGGTGCGTCGTGGTCGAGGCCGTGGACCCTTCCGAGCCGCGGGTATCTTGCTGGACGGTGTCGATGGAGCAGTTTCAGAAGGAGCGCTCGTCGTGGTAGTCTTCGACGACTTGCGTGGATTCTTAGGTGCGGTCTTTGTCCAGACTGGTGACCTCGCGTTGGTGCTGACCTTCGTGAATTATAAGTCAGAAACTCACCTTTTCGGATCATCGCCTGAACTTTGGCAGCACGCTGAGGGCGACCCTGAGAAGACACTGTTACCTCACAGTGAGTGCCTTATCATGACCGATACCATAATAACAAGGCTCACCTTCCGCGGTAGCCTCAACCTGTGAGGGAACGGTGTCAACCTGCCCAGAGGCAGCGGGGGAAGTCTGACGGTGAGCGTTGTTGTGTGGTTGTTTGTGGGTCTGAGAGCGACGAGCAGGCATGGTTGACAGCAAGATACCGGGAGCGGCGGAATGAGTGTGTGTTGGGAAAAGATAAATGATAGAAGAGAGTCTAGAAGATGAGAAAAGTGTCGCAGACACTAAAGCAGAGAATGGCGGGATGAGGTGAGTCGTCGGAGGTCATTGTGCGCAGTGTATATACTGGTTGTGGGCTGAGCGCGGAACTCAACAGCGTCGTCAAGACGGAAGAAGGCCCCCGTTCGAAGCCTAGGACCCTGGCAGCCCACGCAAAACTCTGGTCTCGCGCTTTTGACTGTAGTTGCAACCTTGCAGCAACCAGGTCTTGGCCCCGCCGCCCGCGTAACTGACCACACAAGCGACGGAGTTTCAAGGTACGTGTTGGTACTCTGTCTCGTACCACGACATCCTCTCCTCACCCTCGACCTTACCGCCTTCAGCGCCGACCCACCTCTTCACTTCCCACTGTCGTCCCCGAAATGCCATCAAACAAGGGGTCATTAGTGTGTCCCGGTTGCAACGGCCGCTTCACGCCATCCGGTCTCTTGAAGCACCTCGCCCACACCCAGAACCCTCAATGCAGAGATGTGCTCGCCCAGAGTGGTCGGGCTCCATCCGCTCCATCGGATGTGCATGACCATCACGCGCCGCAGACTGTGCCGGACTTCGACATGGACCTGGACAGCGCACCCATTCCGTTTCAAGGCGACTTCTTTGGCGATCACACCCTGACGCAAGTTGAAGACCATGTCAATGGTACGTGCTGCGTCTCTCCAATCGTTATCTTGTGCCATCTTCATCTCCGCTCCTCAGACACCGTAGACACGACCACGCCGCCCGGTCAATCTCTGTCTGGTCCTGTCGATTTCTCAAGATCAGCCCGCGAACAGGCTGAGAAGAGCGTATCCCAGCGCCACACCTATGTTGTCCCGTATCCAGTACCGTCGGCTGGTGCTCCAATCGCCGGAGTGCGCGCGAATAGATGGGACAGCGGTTACCGCTCATACCAACACCGGATTTCCGACGGCTCTCCCAGCATCAATCCCTATGCGCCGTTCGCGTCGCGACTTGACTGGGAAATTGCGCTCTGGGCCAAGACACGAGGTACAGGCTCGACCGCGTTCTTGGACCTGCTCGCGATTGAGGACGTATGTTTGAAATTCACCTGTGCTCTATCCGACGCTAATGGGCACTAATTAGGTCGCGGAGAAACTGTCCCTCTCGTTTAAGAACTCTGGCGAGCTCAACCGAATCATCGACTCCAAGATGCCACCAGGGCCACCTCCGTTTCAGCGTCACGAGGTCTCGATCGCCGGCGAGACATTTGAGATGTTCTTTCGCGATGTTCTCGAGTGTATCAAGGCACTTTTCGGTGATCCGGAGTTCGCCCCACTCCTTCTCCTCACTCCAGAACGTCACTACTCTGATGAGGCACACACGGACCGCGTTTACTTCGACATGAACACAGGGAAGTGGTGGTGGGCTCAGCAGGTACGTGTTTTTTGCGCATTTCTCTGTGATTCACACTAACCGGTGCCGCCGCACAGAAACGTCTTGAGAAACAGGCTCCTGGAGCGACCGTGATCCCTGTGATCATCAGCTCCGACAAGACGCAGCTGACACAGTTCGGAAGCAAGGTCGCCTACCCGGTCTACCTCACGATCGGCAACCTGCCGAAGCATATCCGTTGCAAGCCGTCTCGACAAGGCCAGATTCTTCTCGCCTACCTCCCAGCCACTCGCATGCAGCATGTCTCGAACAAGGCATCACGTCGACGCGTCCTCGCCAACCTCTTTCACACGTGCTTATCGCATGCACTCGCCCCACTCCGCGCCGCGGGCGCAGATGGTATTCCGATCATGAGTGGTGATGGTGTCACTCGACGTGGGCATCCGTTGCTCGCGTGCTACGTCGGCGACTACCCCGAACAAGTCCTAGTCACGGGCTGCAAGACAGGAGAATGTCCGAAGTGTCCGATTCCCGCCAGTACCCTCGGAGACGAACACATACCTAGTCCACCACTCCGAAACCTCCCTCACGTCCTTAACGCTCTGGCGACGATCGAGCAGGATCCACGCGGGTACAGTAAGGCTTGCTCCGACGCGGGTATCAAGCCTCTCTATCACCCGTTCTGGGAGTCGCTTCCGCACGCGAACATCTACATGTCCATCACCCCCGACGTGCTCCACCAACTCCATCAAGGGGTACTGAAGCATCTCATTGCGTGGCTCAAGGACGCCTTCGGCACTGAAGAGCTCGATGCACGCTGTCAGCGCCTCCCACCCAACCACAACGCGCGCCACTTCGGCAAGGGGATATCGTGTCTATCCCGCGTCACTGGTCAAGAACATGCCCATCTATGTCGTATTCTCCTTGGACTTGTTATTCATTTACGTCTCCCTGGTGGCCGTTCACCTATTCAGCTTCTCCGCGCAACTCGAGCCCTCCTCGACTTCCTCTATCTCGCTCAGTACCCCACGCACACATCCACCACTCTCCGTCTCCTCGACGGCGCGATCAAGCGATTCCATGACAATAAGCAGGCCTTTGTTGATCTGGGTATTCGAGTTCATTTCCACCTGCCGAAACTCCACTCCGCAGATCACTACTCGGTCTCGATAGAACTCTTCGGGACAACCGACAATTACGACACGCAGTTCACAGAGCGCCTTCATATCGTCTTGACCAAAGATGGATGGCGCGCGTCGAACCATAAGGACGAGCTTCCGCAGATGACGCGATGGGTCGAGCGGAAGGAGAAGATGCTTCGCCATAGCAACTATGTAAACTGGCGTTTACAAGCTGGCGACGTCGCCGATACTACTGGTACGCTCGTCGGTTCACTTGGCCCTTCAGTGTTCTCATGGGACCACTTTTGCAGGGGTCTCCGTTGCACCAGCCGCCGGA